AAATATTAAATTTATATTTAAAAAAATTAAAGCTATTCTTTAAAACTTTAATTTTATAATATTTAAGCTTAATACTTACTTATAAACTTTAATATAATTTTTTTTAATTAATTTTAAAAATAAAAGTTTAAAATATTATTAAATATTTAATAAATTATTAAATAATTAAGATTTATTAAAAATAAAATTTTTATTTATTAAAAAAGCTTTTATATATTAATTATAAAAATTATTAATTAATTAATAAAAATATTTAAATAATAATATATTTATTTATTATAATAAGTAAATAAATTTATATATTTTAAGATATTAATATAATATTTATTAAATATTAAAAAGCTAAAAAAGACTTAAGTATAGCTTAAAAAAATACTTATTATTAAGAAGTTTTAAGCTTTTATTTAAAAAAAAAATAAAAGTAAAAGTAATTAATTAATAAAATAAATAATAAAATTAAAACGTTAATTTATAATAAGTTAATTAAATAATAATATAATAATTATAATAACATTAAATATAATATAAAACCTTATAAAATAATAAAAAAGAAAACTTAATTAATTAAACTTTAATTATATTATAAAACATTTAATTTATTTAATGTTAATTAATATAAATATATTTATTTTAATAATATATAAAAAGCTTTATTTTTAATAATATAATTTATATTGTTTAATATTAAATATATATTTTTTATTAAAAGTTAATTAATTTAAATTAATATTATATACTTATTATTTACTTTAAAATAATTAAAATAATTAAAAATAAGGAATTAATTATAATTAATATTAATTAATATTAAATTTAATTAATTTATTTATATTAAATAAGTATTAAGCTTAATTAAAGTTAAGTAAAATTTAAAGAATTAATTAATTATTAATATTAATTATTTATTAATAAATTATATTATTTTTTTTATTAAAACTTATAAAGTATTTAAGAATTTTTAAATTATTAATTAATTAATATATATTAATAATTAATAGTTTAATAATTAAATAATAATTAATTAATATAAAATTTTATAAAAGTATATTAAGGAGCTAGCTTATAAATTAAAAATAATTAAGAAAATATTTAAAAATATATAATCTTTTTACTTAAATTAAAAGAATTTTTAAAAATTTACTTATATAAGCTAATTATATAAATATATAATATATATTTATTTATTAATATTAATTATTAATATTATAAATATATAAGTTTTAATCCTTTAACCTTTATAATTATAAAGTTATTAAAGAAATAATCTTTTTTTCTTATATATATTTAAGCCTTTTTATTTATTTATATTATATAAGATTTATTTATAAAGAATATTTATATATTATTATAAAACTTTTTTTTATAATATTATATAAGCATAATATATTACGTAATATTACTTATAAGGCAAACTTTCTTTTTATATACTTTTTTTTAATTTTATTTATTTATTTATTTATTTTAAAAAAATAATTTTTTTTAAGCTTTAAAAAAGTTATTTATATAATACCTAAAGCATAAAATACTTATATTTAATAATATATACTTACTTACCTTAATTAATATTATTAATAACCTTATTTACTTTATTAATATTATTTTAATAATATTATATTAAATTAAAGCTATTAATTATAATATTTAATAAATAATATTAATTTATTATACTTATTAAAATAATACTTTATTAAATTATATATTATTCCCTTAATAAATTAAGCTGAATTATTTTATTTAATTAAGTTAATAACTTTATTTAATTATTATATAAAAGCTATTATTTTAATAATTATTAAAATAATATAAAATAAATATAAATATAATTATATAATTATATATATATATAATTATATATATATATATATATATATATATTATATAATATAAGTTATTTAATATTAATTAATAATTACTTAATATAATTATAAATTAATAAAAATAAAAAAATAAATATTTATATAACTTTTTAATTATCTTTATTATATATTAATTAAAATATAAAGATAATTTAAGTTATATATCAATAATATAATTTAAAAAAAACTTTATTTTTATATTAATTAAAAATAAAAGTATTTATTAAAAAATAAAATTTCTTTTATTTATATAACTTAAATTTATATTATAAAATATTAATTAAAATATAAAAGTAAATAAAACTTTATATAATTAAAAGAAATAAAATATATATTATTATATAATAATACTAAAAATAATTATATATAATAAATTATAATAATTACTTCTTATATTATTTATAAATATATTTAAAAAATAACTTATTATTAAATTAAATATTTAACTTATAAATTTAATTATATATAAAGAAATAAGCATTAATAATATAATTTTATTAAATATATAATAAATAAAGATAAATTCTTAATATTAAAGTTAAAAAATTAACTTAAAATAATTACTTTTAAGTAAATAAATTAATATATATTTTATATAAATTATAATAAATATTATATACTTTAATTTAAATAAAAATAATATGTTTTAATTTTTTATAAATAACTTTAAAAGGTAAATAGTTTTTAATTAATTAAATAAATTATATATTTAAAAAAAGTTATTATAAATTATTAAAATAAAAAAAGTATAATTTATTAAATATATATATATAAGCTAAGTTATATACTTTATTAAAATAAAAAAGTTAAATAATAATTAACTTCTTTTTTAATAAAATAGCTTTAATTAATATTTATATAAATATTTAATATTAAAGAAGTTATAAAAGCCTTTAAAAATTAATATTCTTTTATATTAAAAATAAGCTACTTAAATAAATAAGGAATAAGTTTTATTAAACTTTCTTAAGGATAACTTAAGAAGAAACTTTAATATAATAAAAAGGGAAAATAAGAATAAAAGAAAATTAAAAAAGGAAAAAGGTAAATATTTTAAAAATTCTTAAAAAAAAAAGCTTAATTAAAGTATTAAATATATAAAAAAAGAAAAGAGTTAATTTCTTAAAAGAATATTTAAAGCAAGCAAAAAAGCTAGCTTTTATAGCTAGCTAAAATTTAACGCAATACCATTTCTTATATATTTCCCTGCCCTTATTAATAATATAATAACCTTAATATATTTTATAACTATTTAAATAAAGCAAGTGTTTATAATATATTTATATTTAAATAATAAATATATATATTATATAATAAATTCTTTTAAAAAAAAGAAGTTATATAAAAATTAAATAATTTCTTATAATAATAAAAAATAATGTTTATATTATATTTAATTTATATAAATAATGCATTATATTACTTATTTTTAATATAAATAATATATTATAAATTAATTAAATCTTAATTAATTTTTTTTTTTTAAAAAAGTAAAGAAAAAATTAAAAGTATATTAATAAGCTATATAACCTTTTTTATAATAAGATATAAATCTTTATTTATTATTATTAAAAGCTATAAATTATAAAAAGCTAATATTATATAAGTTTTTTAAATATTTTCTTTAATTATATAAATAACTTTTATATTTATTATATTAAGTTAAATAAATAATCAGATAAATTATATAACTTTTTAAATATATATTTTAATATTAATTTTAATTATAATTAATATTAAATAAATTAAATAATATTATTATTTATATAAATTAAGAAAAAAGATTTAAAAAAAATGCTATTAAAGATTTTTAAAATCCTTTTAAATAAGCTATAAATTATATAATAAGCTTTATAAAAAATATTAAAAAGTATTTAACTTTATATAATTATTATAAAAGCGTATAATACCTTTTATAAATAAGTAAATAATTTATTAACTTTAATTATAAATAATAATTATATACTTTTTAAGGATACTTTTAAATATTTATTTAGCTCTTAATTAAATACTTATTTAACTTTAAATTAAATATTAAATATCTTTTCTTAATAATTTATTTATATAATATAAAAAGAAAGCTTTTTATAAAGCTTTATTTCTTTATTTCTTTTTTATTTATTTTTAAGAAATAAGAGATTTAAAGTATTTTAATTTTTATTTAAGAACTAAACTTAATAGCTCTTAGGGTTAGGGTAGCCAGACGTGCGCGCTGGAGCATATATTTAGCTCTTGGCTGTCCATATGTGTGTCTACCGGTGTGTCCACAACCGGTGCGGGGGTGTGATATCCTCTACTTGCTGTAGCTATGGGGTGAGTTGATGTACCGGTATACCCTCGGTTTTTGCAAGTGCCAATCTCCGTATTCATTTGGAATGGCAGAATCCGCCGCAATAGCAACGGGATGTCATATTGTTGCTCTCGGTAGTTTAAGCAATCTCCTGGACGTGGCAGAGTCCTAATTCCTTATAGGCTATTTGTATTCTTTGAGTTCCTATTCTAAGCTGGAACAACAACGACTGTCCTAGTGGGACAAGAGACAATGTAGGTTGTAGGCAACTACAGTCAATTTCGCTATGCATAGTTTTGGACAGTGACTATCCAATCTGTTTCTGCAAACCAGTGTTGTGTCCACCGTTTTACACCAAAATTCTTAGTGTCAAGGCCGTGCCTAGTCTATTTGTGCTGGCGCTGTTGACAAGCTGTCAAGCCATCGTGGTCTAAGCTATCTCAAACTAGTTTGACACCGTCAATCACTATATTCAAGTGCCTTCGCCCTGTAACTCAGGCGAAACAAAAATTGCCCAAAATGGACAAATATAAACCTGCCAGTCCTAATGCCCTACTGCATAGATGGGAAGTTGTCAGGGATTCACTCAGCAGCACATTCCAACCAGCAAGGCAAGTTATGGAGCCACGCAAGATCTAATTACTAGGCCAACTTCATCGGCAGCTATACCCTCAAACACGAGACCAAAAGCTCAAACGCAACGTAAGGAGAAATTCAAGACGAGATCAAAGTCGATACAGACTTAGGTTGGACCCTGCAACTATCCACCCTTCTCATTGACCCAACCAGCCAAAAGACAAGCTTTCGGGGCCCAGCATCAACGCACTTCAGTATTCGAGGCGATCTGGTCCAAGATGGCCACCAGCGAAACTGCAAGGTGGAAGGCAGATGCTGTCACACGCATGGTCCAGGATGCCAGACTGCAAACGACCTTCTTACAGTCGCCCCCCGGCGTCCGCCACACCGTACGAAATACAGCAGCTCCGGGATCATCACTGCGGGAGTATTGGGAGCGTAAGAAATACATCGGCTGTGGTGGATTTGGATCCGTCCACTTGGAGAAATGTGTCGATATCGAGGTGCTTAGGGACGACAGTGACTACGACGGTGGTGCTACAAACAAAATCGGCTCACTGAGAGCTGTCAAAGAAGTTTCACAGACTAAATGCCAATCTAATCTGTCTGAAGAGTTCCTACGTGAACTACACAGCCTTGTTTTCTTCACCCAGCCCAAGGTATGTCTACCGACCATGCATTCCCTCTCATTGGCGACGGTCAATGTCAGAGAACAGCGGCTAACGCCCAAGCACAGTACGAATACCATTTTGTCCAAACTTATGGATGGTACGAGATAAACCGGACGCTGTACATTGCAATGGAATACTTGGAATTGGGAGACTTGCAATCCCACCTGGAGGACAGAGGCCCCATCAAAGAGACCGACGCCAAGTTCATCAGCAAGCAGATCCTACGTGGCCTCGAATTCATGCACGAAGAAGGATTCGTTCACAGAGACCTCAAGCCTTCAAACCTTTTGATCAAACAAATGCCTCCAGACGGACCCTGGTGGGTCAAAATCTCCGACTTTGGCCTCAGCGAGAACATCGAGCAGTCCTGGACGTTGCCATCCACTGTCTGCGGGACTCCCGGCTTCATGGCTCCTGAGCTGTTGGGACTCAGGACGCCTGGGAATCAGCTGTCCCAGCTCGACAAGTGGAAGGCGGTTGACATCTGGGCCTTCGGGGAGACTGTGTACCGACTTCTAACAGAAATGTCGCCTTTCGGGGACAACAAACAAGATTTGGGCGCGTATTTTCGAGACGAGACGGACTTTCCTGTGAAACCCTTGAAGCGGAAGAACGTCTCCGCCGACGGCATCGAATTCATTCGCTATTGCATGGCCCCGTGCCCAACCGATCGTCCATCAGCAAATGCTGCTCTGGAACTCCTCGGATGGCCGATGACCCATTGCAAAAACAGAAACATGAGCACCCAGACCACCCGCACGCTTTCATGCAAGGGGAAACAGCCCCCGTTTATTTTGTTCACTCCCGACGGAGATCACTTGCTCGCCATCGAAGCACAAAGAGTTCTCGTCTGGAACATCGAGTCGAAGGCTGTCGTCAACTCGTACACAGCTGATTACAATACGCACTTCTGCCACGGCTCGATCCATCCGGATGGAACATACCTTTGCGTCACTCAAAAAGAATTGCGGAAGCCTTTGATCCTTGGAGACGCCATCAGTTTTGAGTACTATTCCTTTATCGATGATTACCTCGATAAAGGTGAAAACCATGCGGCCATATCTACGTTCTCTCCCGATGGCGAGACACTCGTCACCGCCCGCAGTGACGTTCTGTGCCAGATCGACATCAAGGATCGCTGGACAGCTGCCAACCAATACTGTGTAGCTGCTATCCCAAACCCCAACAGAGACAGGCGTGAAAGCAGGATTGAAGAGTTGCGATTCACGGAAAATGGGTCGGAGCTCGTAGCGGCGTGCCATGATCATGTCGTCGTCATGGACACCGCGACCAACTGCTGGTTCAAAAGGAAAGTGATCGATTATCCCTGCTCGGCCAGCCCGAGCAGCTTTGACACCTCTTCGAGCGGCCTGATGGTTGCATGTGGATCCACGACCGGCGAGCTGTGGCTCCAGACGGCCGAGATGGGTTGTTGGGTGAGGCTGGTGATGCCTTCGGGCGGCCCAGGCGCGACGTCCGAGCCGGTGGAGAATGTTCGATTTTCCGCCACTGGAAATTCAATTCTATACAACATACGTGGTCGTTCGGGGGTGAAGTTCTGCAGATCTGCTCCTCTTGACCAAAGTTCATACGCATACAACCTGAACTTTCATCCTGGGCGGCGGCTGGGACATTCGCTCACAAGACAGGGCATCGGAGCCACTGCACTTGGTGGTGATTGGGGCGCCAGTGTCATCTTCTGGAAATATGAGTTTTATCGGGCGGAGTGAACCTCTCTCTGGCCAACATGTGCACTGGGCTTCGTTGTGGAGCAGTGTACTGACTGTATCTCTAGAGATAACTACCCAAACATAATTGTCCTAAAAACAACTGTCCCAGAGACGATTATCCCAATGATAATTATCCCAGGAACAGGCCATGATGTGTTCGTGGAAAGATTCGGAGGTGTCACATGCGTACGAATTTGGCATGACTAGACTGAGGTGTGGCAGGGCAATATCCTGATAGACGTTTTCTTTCACATAAAATACACTGACGCTGGGTGTTTAAGCGTTTATTACTGTATGAAGGGACTAGATGCATATTTCTTAAGAAGCATGTGTATACAGATTAAAAACGAGACCACATAAAATGCACTGGTTTGATTCTTCCTCAAGAATCTTGGTGTTTGTATTAAGCGGACCTTTTCTGCCTTGCTACCTCCTGATCCACACCGAAATTGATGTGAGCAATCCCGTGCTGGTAATTTTTCCACCGAAATACCAAGCCCAATGGGACAACCAAAAGTCTCAGGGCTCCTTGATGATTGCAAGATGACCGTAGCTGACCTCCTCCCTCCAGTCCGAGCCCTTTCTACCCGTGGTGCGACTCACGGCCGTAGAGTGAAGACAGCAAACATGGCCCTAGCTCGCCAAATCAAATCAGGACCATCCCGTCAATGTCAGAGCCCTGGTCCCAGTCACCGCGGGCGTAGACAAAGCCATTCCCGAAGAGCCGGGACTTGACAACGTTCCAGGATCGCTTTGCGATGTGCAAGAACATAGGAGACAGAGTGTGTCTCGGGTCGTGGGCGGGGCAGACGAAATCGATGGGCTCTGAAGGGTTCTTCCGGGGGAGCTCAGTAACCACGGCGTAGAGGTGTTGTATGGTAGGGAAGGCAGACCGGAACACGGCCGCGACGTCGCGCTCCCGGACACCGCATCCACCCTCTGACATGAAACCAAGGTGGTTGATGTCAAAGTTGAGATCGGTCAACTGCTTGGCGAAGGCGATGAGGTCTTGTGGGCCGATCATGAACTGACGGTGTGTGAGTTGTACCAAGTCCCCGACCTTGTAAAGGCATATGACATGCTTTCGGGGGTTGAAGCGGACGACAGCCTGACCGTTTGCAATGGGTACGGTGATGCCTTGGAGGTGTTTGAGGCACTCGGCCCTGATCGATCTGTTGGTGAGGAGCAGGCTTCGAATGGTCTTGCTGACTTGAGACTCAAAAGTGCCAGCATAGTCTTGTCGGCTCTGGTTGCTTGGGGGGTTCACACGAGGGTGGAAGCTCATGTACCGGTAATCGGTCCGCCCACCGGTTTGCGAGTGTTGGAGTGTGCCGGTAACGACATCGAAGACGAAGACTGCGGGCGTATCGATGACTTCGCGAATGATCTTGCACATAAGCTCCATTGGCAGCTTCATGGTGGCGGTGATACCAGTGATTACGTATCGGGGAGCGACTGTGCTGGTCGGGAGAGATGGGAGAAATGGGAGAGGACTAGGATTTTGGAGGAATCTCATGGTTGCCTGCTGCGACTGCGGATGGAAAGTTTAAAAGGGTAGAGCCCCAAAGCCTCGCGTATCACGTGGTGCTGAATGTTTGCGGGCAGTGACTTATCCTCATTCACCTGCGAGGCTGTCATCATCACTGGACGATTAGCCAGGCGGGTCAGGTACTTGGATGTCTAAAAGTGAAAGCAAAAGTTGCCCCAGTCTTTGTGTGCACAAACGAGGGACACGCACACGGGTAGTCTGTCACCTTCAGCACAAGCCTTATCCGGACTCTGGGGTGAAATTGAGTTCTGGGTGAATTACATCCTAGTCTGGTCAGATCACATTCCATAAAAACACCTTAGAAGGAGCACAGCATTGATGGAGATATTGGTAGGCCCCAGACCGTGATGCTACAGCTCGCTATGGCTGCTGGCTGTATCTCGCCACTTGAATGGCTTTTAAACAATATTTTGCTGCACGAGAGCGGAGTTGGACTTTCGGGACTTGACGGGTGCCATTGGAATCGTTGCTCACTTGGTTGTTGCATGCTGAGGTCCAATGAAACAGAAGAATGCCGGAAGGATGTAAGAGAAATTCAAGTTTGATCGGCCCCTCAGTCAAGATGTCGTATGTTGGTTGTGGATGTTAGGTGTGGGTGTATGGGGTGTGGGTGCGTTGGGTGTAAGTGCACTGGGCGTGTAATGTATCTGTATATTATCCGTTTCTTTCTGTACGAATATCTGTTCTATTTATAAGAGAACATAGCTTGACATCGCAACGACCGGAACAACGATTACCGTAGCTCCCACGTATAGCACCTCAACCTCTAGGACGGAATGTATGGTATGAAGTGAGGGTTCCGCATTGGATTGTCCTGTGTGAACATGTTTCAAGTTATACAAAGCACTGGAATGTAATAGTCACTGTGAACAGTCCGCAGGCCACCTACATGGAAGCTAGAGCAAAGCCGGGCTATATTGCTGAGATACGCTAACGCTTATGCTGTAAGCCCTTGAGACATATTGTGCAGTTCCTGATCATTTCCGAGAGCAATTATGCACTCAATCCCATCAATCTCATAGCGATTGAGGGAGGGATTTACTACACCTTTGGTCGAGCAGGAACATCCATCATCAAGCATTGATCCGGCTGGGCGCACAACGTAGACAGCCTCTGTCAAAGCCCAAGTCTTTAATATTGAAGCATGTTCAACTTAGATTTTCTCATCAGGCAAGTACTTCATCCACAGCGACATCACCATCAAGGAGACTACCTAGAGTCTTTCAGGTTGGTTGAGTCCCTGTATTCCTGAATGGATCATCTATCACCCTCAGAACACCCGTGGGTGCCAACATTTGGATGGACTTCCATTCGTGCAGGCTACTATTCATGTTCTTTTGGCAAGTAGCCGAACACCTCAACGGCCCCCCATCTCGACTTTCTCAGTCAGGTATCGGCTCGCTCTCAACATGGCCTCCGCTTTTGCAGATTTTCTCGTTGGTGTTTGTAAGATATTTGCCCCCCGGAACGCATTCATGTCCGTAAAGAGAAGGTTGCTGACTGATGTCCTTCACGTGGTGCTGGCTCTGCCAGGCCGCCAGGCCGAAGTGTGAAAAGGGTGGTCGTCACAAGCTTGACAACACCACTGATCAATAATAGTATAAGATTCGCACAGTATGTGAAAGAGATCAGGATCTACCAGTTGTTTCGTATTTACGCGTATTTGATAAGTATGGGGCACGGTAATTGGCACCCTCATCTTCTTTCCTCGACATTTGGCAAGTACTGGAGTTAGTGTAGTTGCATTTGCCGGATCAAGATCGACTTATTGAATATTAGATAGTAGGTCAGGCTCTGTAGTCGGCAAGGCCTTGTCTTGTCTGTTGGTGTATTCCCTTGGGCAGCAAAACAGCACGTTAATCATGTTCTAGGACGGCTGTGTGGAACAAAGTTGTCTCCCAGCGGCTCGCACGTTCGAACTGACAGAACTTGGGTGCCCAAGCTTTGCGCGAGCTCAGCTGGTCATCTTCCAAGGCTGTAGGGCCTCCGCCCCGGGTTTCCGAGTGCTGATTCCTCTCGATTCCTCCTGCGAGGCTGCAACACTAGATGTTTCTTGTAGATCTGCCTTCATTGTTGTCAGACGTTGGCGTTTGATCTCGTAATATATTGAATCTTACTCGATACCTTCATCGCCTATTCATCGTATCATCCCGCTCGCAGCCAAGGATGTGAACAGTACCACGGTACTGACTGGCAGCTGCGCTGTGTCTGGGGTAGGACAGCTCATTTAGGCCACACGCACTAGCGGAAGCAGACGTTGAAGGAACCGTCTTGACGTTGCATTTAGCCGGATTCTTCCACGCCCAACGCAGCGCTGCCACTGGCTCACCGCCGGCCGCTTCTCCTTTTCGTCGGTTTGATGACCCGAAATCCAGGAGTCAGTATGGGGGTCTGGCAGCGCCAAGCAGGCCAGCTGCCGCCAAGGCGCCGGTAATTGCACCGCATTCGTGGACGGGCGCGGCTTCTCACTCGCTGGGTCGCACTCCGGGATTGTTGACCCCGCATGCTGGAGGATTGTTCCCCGGATTGTTGGTGATTATGGCCCTTCTTGGCATGGTGGTCCCAGAAACGCGGGCCACGAGGCATACATCAGCCGCGGCGTCTAACTCGAATTGTTTGCAGATACGACTCATATATCAGAGCAACGCGTCCTTCGATGTGCTACGCCGTGTGCTTCGAGGTTCAGTTTGCGTAGTCCTTACCTCTGGGCTCACCTGTCGACCCCATACGAAGCGGCTCATTGAAGCCTAACACAGCAGAAGACCCCCTGATAAGACTGTGCCCAACTCCCAAGATGGCTATCGGCTCAGCGACGACAGCCGAGAAGGGGAAGTCGGACCCCATCATCACCCGGCTGGCCAACGAGGACAAGAAACTCTGGTTCAAGAAGCCGAACTTGCGATACCTCTACTTCATGCTCTTCCCAACATGTATGGGAATTGAGTTGACCTCTGGATTCGACTCCCAGATGATCAATGCTCTCCAGATCGTACCGCCATGGAAGGAATATTTCGGAAACCCAACAGGCTCACTCAAGGGCATTATCGCGGCTGCGTACTCATTGGGAGCCATCTTATCCCTTCCGTTCATCCCGATGGTCAACGAGAAGTTTGGTAGGCGAGGATCGATCCTGGGGGGCTCGGCCGTTATGGTGGTTGGCGCTCTCATCCAGGGGTTCTCACAGCATGTTGGGATGTACATTGTTGCCCGGATGATCCTCGGTTTCGGAATCCCAACATGTATCGTGTCGGGGTCCTCTCTTATCGGCGAACTGGCGTATCCCAAGGAGCGACCTGTACTCACCTCCTTGTTCAATGTCGCCTACTTCGTTGGCCAGATCACGGCAGCAGCCATTTGCTTTGGGACAAACAGCATACCGAATGACTGGTCATGGAGGATACCTTCGCTGCTCCAGGTCTGCCCCTCTGTCCTTCAGATAGCATTCGTACTGTAAGTGCCACCTTCGAACTCCACAGCCATGCATGCAAGCCGCAAGCCGCAAAAGCTTACCACATGTATTGACCAGCTTCCTCCCTGAGTCTCCTCGCTGGCTCATAACCAAGGACCGAGTCGAAGAGGCGCAGGCAATCCTGGTCAAGTACCACGCCGAAGGCGACGCGGACTCAGAGTTCGTCAAGGCGGAGATGGCCCAGATCCACACCACGATCTCGCTTGAGGTCGAGGCCTCCAAGAAGTCCTGGGCCGACCTGTTCGCGACCTCGGGAATGCGCCGCCGCCTGCTCATCACCTGCATGCTGGGCCTATTCACCCAGTGGTCCGGCAACACCCTGATCAGCTACTACCTCGGCGACCTGCTCGAAATGATCGGCATGACGAACTCGACCGACGTGCAGAAGATTAACGTATCGATCGCCTGCTGGAGCATGGTCTGTGCCACGGTCGTGGCGCTGCTGGTGGTCAAGATCCGCAGACGGGTAATGTACCTGATGTGTACCATCAGCTTGCTGTTCTGCTATATTGCGTGGACCATATCCATGCAGAAAGCCCAGACGGCAGCTGAGGCTGGGACACCGAATGGATCCGCGAATATTGCAACATTGTTCTTCATTTATGCTTACAGCCCTTGCTACAACATGGGATACAATGCTTTGACATACAGTAAGTCTCTTCTTGGCTTGTTACCATGCTGTTTTATGTACACGCCGCTGACCCAATGTTTCAGCATACATGGTCGAGGTCTGGCCCTACGCGGAACGGTCCCGTGGTATTGCTGTCTTCCAGCTCTTTGGCCGGTTGGCCGGCTTCTTTACCACGTTCGTCAACCCCATTGGGCTGGAAGACGTGGGCTGGAGGTATCTCATCTCGTACTGCTGCTGGCTTGCGTTCGAGGTTGCATTCGTCTACTTCATGTTTCCTGAAACATTCGGGCGCACTCTTGAGGAACTCGCTTTCAGTAAGTCATGCTGATCTATCATGCAAAACACGTGAATGAGGGAGGCCTTGCTAACGAATGTACAGTGTTCGAGGACAAGAAACTTGCAGACGAGGCTGTTAAGGCTACGGAGAAGGCAATTGCTCATCACGATGAGGACACAGCGGGGAAGATTGCAGTGACTGAGAAACTTGACACCAAGACTTGATCATGAATTCAAGCTGGGGTCTCACCTTGAGGGAGAAACGTCTTGTTGCTTAGTCGTATTCAGAAGAATATTCAACCAATAATCGCCTCCCCGTCCGATATTGTTTCGTAGATGAGGAAGCATACGTAGGGAGAGACTTGCTTGAGGCTATAAGATGAACTTCTCGGCAGATCTTCCGCGCCTAACAGCAGGCTTAATAGGGAATCTTGATTGACAACTTGAATTGGAAATGAAGGTTATCATAATAACAGCACAAGGAAAGGAGTCAGTCTCTTGCTTTGAAAATGATGACACACTCGAATACCACTACTAGCCGTGTCCTGACAGTCTCTTCCGTCAACCAGCCTTGGAACTGCTCTGAAAGCGATTCTCACACACCCCTGAGCGATGAACGGGTCTCTAGACATAACAATCAACCCTGTATTCGGTGCGAACGGAGATCGCATTCTGGACACCAACACTGCCAAGCTCGTTCGAGTCGGTTGGGTCAGACCAGTTCGACCTTTTAGGTGTATATCCTAAGCTGCCCTGGCCTGATGACTTGGCGCTGCCGCTCCTATAGAAGCTGCTCAAGAGAGTCGTCCATCCTTTGGGGATCAGCCTTATCAGTGGGCGGAGGGCGAGGACGGAGCTGGCGAAAATAGATAATCCATGCTCCACAGCAGACCATATCATGACCCGGTACGCTCTTGCGAAATCTCCTGGAGGAGTAACGGGGTCAAATATGGTTTTGAGTTTCATGGCAGCAGCGATGGCAGCACTGTAGCGACAGTTCCTGTCAGCCTTCAGCACCTTATAACGGACATGAGGAGGAATAGAGAGCAGCGGCTCAAGTAATCAAGATCTAACTCACAGAATCCCAATGCTGAACAAGCCAATAACACTCAACTTCAAAACCCTGCTGATTTGAACTTTCCATAAGATAAAAATAGGCAATATGATATGAAAGACATCATAAATGATATAAAGAGACTCTCGAGCATATGTGATGTTGTTACATGTTGTTGTGTCGATAACACCGTAATACGGATCCCCTGGCCAACAAAAGAGGGAGTCTAGGAGTGTAGTGGCGATGGTCCAAACGCAGCATGTAGCGATATCAAAAATGATGATAGCACGAATGAATGGACGGGTATCAAGGCGATAGAGAACGAGCGCAACGCTAATCTTGACAGTCCCGGAGATCACGAGGCAGACGACGCCCATTCCATAGTAGTGCTAAAGTTTAATATTCAATATCATGTAAATGTCAGGAGCTCTGTGTCTTTTTACTCACTAAATTGGCTTTCGGCTTGTCGTACCACGGCTTTTGGTCTCTGTCGAATAGTCCATAATGCAATGACTGTAATGCCAGCCCAACAAAGAGAACCATTCCCACCTAGATATCCTCTGCAATTAGCTGCTCTTATTCGAATAAGTCTGTAAGACGATAAATACGTCAAACGCCACAGAGAACTTACATGTGTGAAGATGAGGGCAATATCATCCCAGCCAAACGCTCCTTTGGTGAGCTTAGTGCGTATATACACTCGAAGGCCGATTGTGATCGTATTGAGCACAATGAAGAACGCGAATAACCCAATCACAAAGTCATGCCAACCCATAGTGGAGTTGTCTGCACAATCAAAGGAGGACAGTTTGTGGCAGGACGCAACACAATCGCTATACGGAGGAGAAAGGTGCCTCGGCTATGAGTGTTGGAAAGGTTGATCTCATATGGGCTGCCCAACTGATATTGGGATCGTATGGATCAGCTGAGGCTTCAACTACCAGAGCAGGACTCTGGGCCTAACGCATGTCTATATACTAGCTCGTAGCCTAATTCTGGCTGACTTAGATCACTCCCTTCTGACTACTACCACTGTGTTTTCCTGTCCAGGTCAGACATGACCTTGCCAAGTGCTAGCACAACGCTAATAACGCAGTTTCTGAGGAAAGGTAGATTTGTTCTCGCTCACAGGATGCCGTCTCCTCCTCAAAAGACTATTCCTGACTCGACACCCCACACCCATTATGGGATGAAGCGGCCATGGGGAGGACAACGAATATCTAAGATACTCAGCTCGGATTCTGGCCATTGTGACAGTTTCCATTAATACCAGATTTGAGCAATCAAGGGCAATGATGCCACTAAATGCCTTCTGATTGGGATGGCGTAGTCGTGTCAGCTTACCGCGTCTTTATGGCTGGCTGCTAGAGGGGGTTGGGTAGGCGGAGAGGAGTGGGGGCAATCCGCGCGTATGGAACACAATCGTAACTGAGGAGGGATACACCGCGCCGGCCCGGCGGTTTCATAGCAGCACAGTCTCAGAGTTTGACCAATGATTGCGTAGTCCATCCTATTTCATTGGTCGGTCATATCCCGTGACCATTGGGATCTGCTGGAGCTTGTGTACTGTATCGTCGCACAACACTTGGGGAGATGTGCAAACCAAAGGATATCTACCAAAGGATAACAGCACATCTATTTGTGGGATCATACCGTGGTTAGACTTGCTTCCTTCATAAAAAGATGTAGATGTTTGCCTTCCGCCTGACCATAGGCGACGCTATTTGGTTTGAAGGATGGGAAAATAGGCTTGTCACTCTAGTTAGACATGAGCCTCCTGTTCTCTCATACAGCCCAATTACATATCAGTGCAGGTTAGATTAAGCTTGCATGGTATGGCATCAGCTTGTTCTCAAGGATATTCCAGTATGGAGAGCTACAATGAGACCTTGAACTCTAGGGCAGGGTCTGACAACGCGGCGCGCAGGCCCGCATAGGCGAATGTCTTTGCCCAGACAAAAGTGCTGTTCTGAGAGGCTGCTGTGGAATTCAGCTACTTCATTACGTACAATTCCTTCCCCACATAGCTATCAAAGCCAAATATAGGTTGCCTTGTGCGCCTCTCCCCCGCACACTCTCACCTATTTAAGCACATCCGCCGCCCCAGGCTGACATGCTGTACATCGGCACAAGAAAACTTGTGCTCTTGTGGATGCGGACCTCGTCATCCTGGAGCCCACTTTCTCAGGTCTCACGATAATCCAGGGCTGATTCTTGCCATTATTAGCCTTTCAATATCTCGACATAGAAGCTGAACATCACGGTGCATGAGCTTGATGCGCCAGAGAACCAGGTCAGTCAGGGTAAGGGACTTTGGAAGCCCAAAGCATTACCACAAACAAGTGCTTCATTAATCGCTACTTAGCCAACATCACTGAAGCTGCAAAGCATGGTCGATCTCTTAATATCGATTGGTTGGCCCATATAAACTTTGCAACAGCTGACCAGGATATACGCTTTTCCTTCCATGCATGGTTGGTAAGTCGATAGGGCTGTTCATTATTATTGGTTAAGATGTCACCCACTTTAGATCATTGCCATACTTCTGATTGTAAAGCCACTTCCTAGGCTCTATTTTCGTTAAAGTGGCGTGCATGATGTCGAAGCAAGTGGAAGAAGAACTTGACTCTCAGCCGAGATTAAAGCCACCTGATCACCTGGCCCTCAGGCTGCGTTTTAACATACGTTTCTGGAAGATTGCTCTTGGAATTATTGGGGTGTTTCCTTATTCATGGATGGCGTCATGGATTGTTGTTGAATCAACTGTTATGTGGCTAAATCTGTCTAGAGGATGTGGGGGTGAGACAGTCCCTTCTCCTTCTTTATGCCATCTGCGCAATGCAGACGGCTTGGAACGCACGAGGGACTTATGGCCCTGACATTTACTGCTCATAAAACTAACGGATCTCCACTGAATTAAAATTGAGCCACTGGTGACAGGCGATCACAGGAAGCGAATGTGCCTGTCGAATAGAATTCGGCAATATTTCCAGGATATAGATACCCCAGTGTACCTACTGGGACACTTTCTTGACACAGAATGTAGCTGGGGTAGCATGAAAGATACCAAAGGAAACTAAAAATCTGAAAATCGTGTCGTTGGCTATATGAATGATTGTTGTCTTCTGTGGTTCGGCTGATTGGGATTCCGTAACGGTTGTAGAAAGGGGCAAGCAAGGTGGCCACGAGGGTAACATAGAGACAGCGGCCAAACTGCATTCTCAGAAGGTAGGCGGATGACTTTCCCCTTGAATATCAGTAGGATCATGACAACTTTCTTTGGCAACTTTTTACGTGATGATGGCGTTAGCGACGCACATGGCTTTGCTATCACGACCAGATTGATAAAAAACAGTAGGTAGCAGTATGCGATCGTTATTAATTTGCATTATTTTCTACCATGAGTTTTAATATGCTGCGGTGCTTTCAATTGCAAGAGATAAGAAGCAACTGTTGAAAAGAACTCGGTTCTTCCTCATCCCAAGGGTGACAGTTCGGGATGACAGTATGTATAGACTGGGCCGGAGAATTCCTTCCGAACAACATAATCCAGTAGCATTTCCAAGCTGAGTGCATCTAGTGGGTAGTAAGATTATACGAGCTTCCTAAAAGACTCGCCGAGATGCTGAACCCACCTTGTAGCTGTCCATTCACGTCGTGCGGATATGACTCCCTCTGCGCCTGGGCAAAGCTGACAATGCCATCATGCCCCGCTCAGCCGGTCCCGCTCTCGGAGAATTGCGTCTTCTCGCATCTCAATATCACCCGGAGTTTGCCAGCGATTCAGCTGGTAACAACTTGTTGAACCCATCAAACTCGACAATTAGAAGTTCAGTCCCGGTCTGCTCGATCACTCATATGCTGTCGTGCTGCCAAAATGAAAATCGACCAGGGAGACGCACCTCAAGCAATTGCCCCCTCGGATAAGGAGCGAAGCGCTGGTATCTACTCGCCACGGAACCTGCAGCGAGTACTATCAGGGCTGCATCAAGATGGATTGGTGGTTTTGAGGGGTGTGATAGACCTCGGTCACGTTGATGCACTGAACGATGCCATGTGCAACGAGGTGGAAGAGAAGATCGCTGACCCTACCCAGGTGTTCAATCATGATGTCAAATGTGAGGCTTTTCTCCTCGTCACAAAGTTTGAGCAGATAAGACCCTCTTAATTTTGAGACTGATGGAATACACGGTCTAGCCAACTTCTTACAAAGGCCGCCGGTGACACAGCAAGACCTCCTGCATGAAGACGTCTACTTCAACTCGTTCCTGCTGCAAGTCGCCAGCGCGTAAGTCGCACCAGCAAAAGCACCTGGTGAAACCGCAGAAGAGCCGAGCTCATCAGAATTTCACTACTACTAGTTATCTCGGCCAGCCGCCCATCTGGAACTGGCTCACAGCCAACACGGCCCTGGCCAACACGGCCGGGATGCGCCAGAACGAGCACAAGGACTCCATGTTCGACCACCCGCGGTGCCCCTACTACATCATCGCCAACGTGCCCCTGTGCGACTTCAGCACCGACAACGGCGCGACCGAGTTCTGGCTCGGCTCGCACGCGGGCACGACCCTCGGGGACCAGCTGCCCGTCACCGACGCGACGCGCGCCACGTGGGCGCCCAAGGACGCGGCGGACCGCATCCCGTGGATCTCGGACGGGGCCAAGGAGGCGCGTCGCGCGATGAGGCCGCCGGTGCAGCCGGAGGTTGTGCGGGGGGACATCATGATTCGGGACCTGAGGACGTGGCATGCTGGGATGCCGAATCATAGTGATAGGCATCGGATCATGCTTGGGCTGGGATACCAAGTGAGTGCATCCATGACCAACCATTTGAGTAGTAGAGCCAGGAGCATTGGCCGTGTCTGATGTCGGACGTTTTAGAGCCCTTTCCATCCGAACTACAAGCAGCGCATGCATCTTCCTGCGTCACAGCAGGAATTCTTCATGGGTCGTGCACGCGGAAGAGTCGAGGTTAGGGCCAATTTCCATGATGACGAGGAGTTTGCGAAGACTAAAGCAGACGCGATCTTTGATCTTCGGCCTCAGTACGGGGAGGATGAGTAGAGGTGTCATTATTCCACGGCACATGGCCGTGGTGACTTCTCGGATGGCCGATCTTGCCCTGGGGGCGCGACGACGTACACAGTATGCTAACTTGGTCTGTGGACGGCTGGAACCCAATTCTTTTTGCTCACGGGGCTGCTCTGGTGGAGACCACACCTGATACTTTCTGATTGGGATGGGCCAGTCCCTCCACAGATTTAACTTCTGACTGACTTTTCTTTCGACATGCGCGTCACGGAACAATCTGCAAGCCCATTTGTTTACTGCGCTTGTGAATCGTTCCCTGTAGAGGGCGAAAGCCGTGTGAAATGATGTACGTGCATAGAAACTTGTTGCCTTGGTAGTATGCGTTATTGCCGAGGTCCTAACCTGGCGTCGCCGAGGGCCGAAGAGCCTCGCCAGCCAGCATGATTATTACCCTGCGCTTGACGAGACAGGCACAGCCCCACGCGTGTCCTGTGCGTGTGTTCGTCCCCACAGCATAAGCTCAATCTAGAAATCTGAACCTTGACAGGCTCTCAAACCTGTTTTTAACTTCAACACTACGGCGCCGGCCAAGTTGCAACTTGATTATCCTGCCCTGACTAGAAACAATCTAGGTACGAAAAAGGGGGAGGAGGGCTGGATGATAGATCTCCGGCCCACGCCTCTTCATGGACCGCGCGCGCGCCCCCGGGCCTAGCCGTTGTGTGCTCTGCCATCCCTCCTCCATAGCTGTCTGTCTTATCGCTTAACGTGGCTTTGCGGGGACACCCGTGACAGCCTAGGACGCCTCAGGCTTGGCCCGGCGATCCCGCCTTTAGAATGGCTGGGGTCGACTTTGGCCTCGGTTGTAGTACGCACCCATTGACCCCTGGCAAGCCATGGAAGGTCTTACCTGTTCCAATGGCCTACATAGAATAAAGCTGTACTCTCATCGAACGCCATACACTGAGGGTAAGGTTTGTATTCCACAAGAACGGCAATGGAAGGACAGCTCAGCCTGGTTTATGGTTCATGTAAATGGTTGTTCATTCCGAGGTTGCCATCTACCTAGTGACATGCAAACCCAGGCCGAAGGCCTGTCGCCACAATTTTGTGCGAGCAAAGTGGCAGAGGCTGTCAACTGTCTCAGTCCTTGAGAGGAAATTGTTACGTGCCTCAGTCCTGTTTAACAAGACTTCTTTTGTACGACGACGTTCCAGTTGCCCCCAAAACGCTGCACTCCATTGAAAACGCCATAGCTACCGTCATCTTGGATGAAGCAGCAGTCGGTAATCAGGTCCTGGGCACCGTCTGCGATCCGGCCATAGCTGTCGAGCACCATACCCTCAGTGTTCTGCCATGTGAATGAATTAGAATTAGTTCATCTCGCAAGCTCAATTGAAAGAGGGACTGGGTTCGTTGGGTCTTACATCATTGCACCAAAAGATGGCCGCGTTGTAGGAACAGCTCACACGACCACAGCTGGCCTGGGGTCATGTTAGCAAACAGAGAACCACATGAAATAGGGTGGGAAGGTGTTGAAACATACTGGGCCAGGGCCCTGGCCCGGGGTCCCCTTGACCTTGCGCAAGTACTCGACGCCATACTTGATGCGGATGCCCGACACCAAGTCGTGGAAGGGATTGCAGGAGTAGTCGGTAGGGTCGTACTCGCCGTACTCGCCGGGAGAGTCGCTCGAGCTGTAAGAGACACTGGCACGGCCAGAGGCAGAAGTCTTGACAGCTTCGTTGATGCTCTCGTTGACAGCAGCGAAACCCTCAGGGTCCACAATTGCGAGGTGGTTGGCGACATCCTGGATCGTGCCGATGACCGTGTCATTGCGGTAGGGGCTGATTGGGACGATCCACTCGAGGTCAACAATGGAGTAGTTGGCAAGGGGATCGTCCAGGTCGCTGCTGACAGGAGCCTTGTGGAGTGAAAGTTAAGGCCAACATTCTGTCGCGAGACGCGTTGCACTGCACAATACATTACGAGGAAGTGGACACTTACAGCATTGGAGAGCATGATGCCCATCAGGGTTGAGAGAAGAAGCATGATGTACTTCATCATGATGGCTTCTGCCCTGTGTGCACTTACTGTCTGTTGAGATTGAAGAGAGCCTGGGGGCCAAGTGGTGATGAGATGGGGGATAGTTGTTGACAGGATCGGGATGGTGAAAAACTTGGAAGCACTGACACCATCACAAGCTGCAAATATCAGAGCTCAAAAACAGTTCTCAAAAGTCTGATCAGTGTGGGATGTTTGCTGAGAATTTCCAGACTGCCACTTTAGCTGGGCATGAAAACTGGCTGGCACCTTCCTGTTGTCCAAACGACCCTGGCAAGAGCTCCTGATGCAGAATGCGAACTTACAATCAGTACGAGGGCGACTCAATTGGTCTGGGCCCTTTGGCTCTTCCTGTTCATCTAAGAGCAGAATTTCAGAAAAGAGTGTAAGCAGGTTTTCCACAGTCTGAATCACACAGCTCCTAGCGAAGCTCAAGCGCAAGGCTTGCCTGGTGCATCTAGAGAGAAGACATCCACAGAACTTTCTACGGGCAGTGGCTTTCTTCTGAACATCAAGAGTTAGCAAGTGCATATCTCTCCTATGCATGTTCTCTTGCTGCTATTTTCTGCTGGACAAAGGCCTGCTATCAACAGTTCCTAACATTTCGGCCCAGACAGACGAAATCAAAATGGGTGCTTTTCTATGTACGAAGGCTCATATTGAACAAGAATTCGAACCGCCTGTAACGTCCCCGGCCCAGATTCGGCCCACCCCCCGATTCGGCCCACCACATTTTGGTGCAAACGCACCAAAAACTTCCTACTTTTCAACCGCACCTTATTAATTCTATATTAATTCTGGAACTCCCCATTTTTTTTATTTATATATAAAAATGATCATATAATATAATCAAAAATAATATAAAATACTTTATAATATGATAAATGAAACATAAACTTTTAAAATATAATTATAAAAATATTAAGATTTTTAAGGAATTCCTTATGTAATTGCTAGCAGTAATAAATTCGTCTCAGTAATTTCTTACAACATTTTTAAATGAAAATCTATATAAACTTTTATGTAAACAAAAGATTTTGTATTTATTGGAATTAATTCAGATTTAAAAAAGGGAGTTAAAGAGTGGGTATATTTTGGTGCGTTTGCACCAAAAAGGGCTGGGCCGAATCTGGGGGTGGGACGAATCTGGGCCGGGGACGTTAGTGCAGACTCATTGACACACCTTGGCCTCCTTTCACACAGCTTCTTGGGATGCCCTCAATTTTGCCAGCCCACTGGTCTTGGCCGACCAAGACTTCCACAGCCAGAGAAGCTTGCTGATGACACGAGCAACTTCAAGACATCGGGATGCGCTTCAAATTCCCAATTTGGAAGGTGAAACTAACGTTGGAGCAACATCACAGTTTAAGTTCGTTAGTTGAGCACCTGACTCCCACCTTGGAGCTTTCCCGCGTGTTTGGTTTGATCTCTGGCTTCGGGCTCCTCTCACTTCAGTGTACAGCTTCCGTTTGAAGGAAACGCTGCAATGTTGTTGGCCAAATTGTCACGTGCAATTATAGTTTCATGGTCTCTCCCTCTCGGCTTTTGCCTAGAGTTGAGATTGCTGCGGTTGCACAAAAGATGACATACAGCTGACAGGGACACTAATTGTCGGTTGGAAGGTTAAACATGACCCTGGCGGAGATTGGCGAGACTTTTGGGTTTGGTGGAACGCCATAGAGTTCGTTCAAATCGAAACTGGTCAATGCGCCATGATGTTTCTAGAATGAGTTTAACCATCAGATGACAATGTCAATGTCTCTGTGACGTCGGCAGGCCCGTTTGGGCAGGGTTCGTCAGAAGGAGAGCAGATGCCTACCAGTTTGACGTGGATGTGTAGTCCGCGGTCTCCACGGCGGGATATCGTCGAGCCGGGTGGGACTGAAAGAGATAAAGTAGTCGAGCTCGGGGATTGTCGTGGCCCAAGCCCCGGGAAGCCATCGAAACTCTGTTAGCTGGAGTTGCCAAGGGGGTGCAGTGGGTATTATTATGGGGACACGATGACGACGGAGGTACAGCACCGCACATGTTTCCTCGGTGCGTGGTGTCGTAGTAAGGAACACACCACTCGTATGCAAATATGCGGTGCGATATAGACTAGCACCCCCTCCTAAGTAGGTGGCACCGCCGGTGCCCAGAAATGAGGGCGCTCCCCAGCCCAACGTCTGTTCTTGAGAGTTTCTGGCTGGGTACTGTGTAGTAGGCAGGCCCAAATAGTGCAATATATGAGATCACGGGGCGGGCGACGTGCCATCCATCAATGCACCTGCAACGAACAAGAGCCGATCGAGGGAGCAGCGCCAACTTTGACAAGAAACGGCGACCACGTGGAGGCGGCGTGAGACGGTGAGAGCCAATGTACCGTCGTAGGCATCGGGGATTGGAATCTTGCACCGTCTACCTGACCTGAGGGGCGCTGGGGCTCTTCTGTGTAAGTTCCGACTAAGAGGGAGGGAGGGCGGCCGAGTCAAGGATCGGGACCATGCAGCCAGGGACCTGGGCTTGTTGCATAGTGGGTTCTGCCCCTAAGATCAGCCGAGCTTGGCCTGCATGTAAAAGCGCCGGAGCGGAGACCCAAGCACTTTTTAAATTAATTCGGGACCGTCTCCTCATCAGACGGACGGCCATCGACTTGTCGGGCATGGGAATCCCGTGAGGGGTTGCATTGAGAGCGTCCCTGGCCTGCTCGACGGTCCCCTATTGCGTCCAACTCTTGGTCCATGACACCTTCATCAACACTGCCTGCCTGTCCGCCCTACCTGACAGCGCACGCATCCAACATGGGCGCGCGCGTCGGCACATCGACAGGGGCGCACATTGGCCTGGACCATGATAACAGTACTGCACTATTCTTACCCATAGTAGGCAGATGCAAGATGGCTTGGGGACTTATAGATCGATGGTGCTCGAATTGGAAATCCCCCCTTCGCAGTCCAGCGCGTCCCTCAACCACGGTACGCAGAGAGGCTGTTCGTTAGCTGCCGACGCTCCGGATCCGCGCCAGGGATTTGCAAGGGACGTTGACAAGGTGCCTCGGGGACCCTCCTCATCGAGGTCTCCCTTCACTGAGTCGCGCTACCAGGGGGGCATCGTCACCAGCTGAACATTATAATAAAAAGCCGGCCCAGACCACACGTTGGCTGGGCCTCCCCTCGATCACACCTCACGTCTCTATCACGAACCGTCTGCCCTTCGCTTTGAGGTCTTGTCAACCTTTGTCACTCTTTATACACTGCTTGTTCACAATGTTCCTAACCGCCCAACTAAGCGCTGCTCTCATACTGGCAGTAGCCAACGCCGCCCCTTTCCATGGGATCCACCTGAGGCAGACTGAGCTCCTCGACAGCTATGACTATGTGATCGTGGGAGGAGGTGCCAGCGGTCTCACGGTGGCAAACAGGCTCTCTGAGGACAGTGGTAAGAACCTCAAAAATCCTCTAATTACGGCACCTCGGCAGGTAATTAACCGAATATTTAGCCATCTCAATCCTGGTCATCGAGGCTGGCGAGTTGTTAGTTTCCCCCTCCCACTTTGGCGGAACCGTTGATGCTGCGGACGCCATCGGAAGCCAGTACTGACTAGACCTTGTAGCGATGCAAATGAGGACTTCTTCACCATCCCTGGTCTGGCCGGAGGAGCGATTGGCAGCAAGTACGACTGGAACACAACATACACGGCAAACCCGAACCTGGGGAACCGTTCAGTCTCTATCCCACAGGGGAAGATCGTCGGAGGTGGCACAAAACTGAACCGAATGGTCTTCGACCGTGGATCAAAGTCAGACTTTGACCGATGGGCTGAGCTGGGAAACCCTGGGTGGGATTACGATGGCCTCTTCCCCTACTTCAAGAAGGTTGGCAGACTAGTGCCTACGTCTGAACTTCGAGGAGCAGGTGCTGACAATATAATAGCAAGAGTTCTTCTCACCGCCCAGCGATGAGATTGTTCAGCAGTGGGGTGTTGAATTCGACCCAGAGTCTCATGGTGACTCTGGGAACATCAACGTCACCTACTCACCCTTCTTCTGGCCCCTGACACGTACGTTGAGACCTGTCTGCCATTGAGTTCTGTTTGTGTGTGTGTCTAATAAACAATTCCAGGTAACATCATTGATGCCACCAACGAGTTGGGCATCACTATTCAAAAAGACCAGGCCTCTGGACTTCCCATTGGAGGCTACTTCTGCCCTCACAACATCGACCTTGCCAATGTCACAAGATCCTCTGCCCGGGAAGCCTACTACAACTCTGCTGAGGCAAGGACAAACCTGCACCTTGTCACTGGGCAGCACGTCACAAAGCTGGTCACGGCCAACAACTCGACGGGCTATGGAGGATCATCATCAGTTACAGTCACAGGTGTCGAGGTGAGCTCAAGCAGCAAGTCAGTAGCAGGCGATGGGAGCACAGCTAACCTCATTTTAGTTCGCCGCATCGGCCGACGCAGCCAAGTCCACGGTCGGCGTCAGCAAGGAGGCCATCCTGGCAGCCGGAGCATTCTTCACGCCCCAGATCCTGCAGGTGTCCGGAATCGGTGACAGCAAACTGCACAGCGAGATCGGCGTCGACACGGTCATCGACCTCCCCGCCGTGGGCCACAACCTCGAGGACCACGTCCTCCTGACGACCGTCGCCACCGTGACCACCGACGAGATCACCTCTTCCGAACTCACCAGCAACACCACCTTCGCCGCCGAGGCCCTTGCCGAGTACCGCGATCAGAAGACGGGCCCCTACTCGTCGCCCACCGGCGACTTCCTGCTGTTCCTGCCCCTGAACACGTACAGCAACGCCTCCGCCCTGATCGCCTCCAAGGCCGCCGCCCAGGACGGCACGCAGTACCTCCCCGCCGACACCCCCGCCGAGGTCGCCCTCGGCTACAAGAAGCAGCAGGCCATCCTGGCCGAGAAGCTGACGTCCAACGAGTCCGCCGTCCTCGAGCTCATCTGGGACGCGGGCGTGCTCGTCCTGGGCCTGCAGCACCCCTTCTCCCGCGGCAGCGTCAAGGCCTCCAGCAGCAGCACCTTCGACCTCCCCGTCACGAGCGCGGGCCAGCTCGCCAACCCGGTCGACCTGCAGCTCCTCGTCGAGGCCGTCAAGTTCAGCCGCGTCGTCCGCAACACCGCCGCCGTCCAGGCCCTGCAGCCCTTCGAGGTCCTCCCGGGGGCCAACGTCACCAGCGACGCCGACATCGAGTCGTTCATCCGCCAGAACGCCGCCACCCTGTTCCACCCGGCCGGCAGCTGCAAGCTCGGCCCCCGCGAGGAGGGCGGTGTTGTTGGCACTGACCTCAAGGTCTACGGCTCGGCCAACCTGCGCGTCGTGGACTCGAGCGTGATCCCTCTGCTCCCTGCTACGCACATCATGACGACCGTTTTCGGCGTTGCTGAGAAGGTAAGCCGCCCGCTGACGTTCCGGACCCTATATGACACAAATGCTAACTGATTTTCACAGGCCGCCGATATCATCAAGGGCGTTACGGCTTAAGCGGCCCAGGTGGTCTGTTTCTGCATGAATCAATGTCACGCACTGATGACTGTTGATACTTTGGTTTCTGGACTGGCTTGGTCCTGCTTCATGTACATGTGATGCGTTATCTGTACATCTCTAGCGCTTTTTCTTCGTTTTCATAGAGAATATCACACTGGCCCTCATGCCTTTCATGGGGTACTTCAAGAAGCTTTGGCTCCTATTTCCGGTTGTGATTGTGTTGTGTATCGCGACCGAACGTGCCATGACCCGGAACGTGGCGTTCAGCCATCACTCACGGTTCCTAAAGATCCGACTCCCCCAAGATACGACATCTGGCCGTCCAGAGGATCTCAGGACCCTAGTGACTGCATCAAACAACCACTTGTCCATGCCTGGCGCGCCAACCAGGTTCACACCGACCGGCAACCACTCCTGCCTACCACTTATCCTGGACTCGTACGGTATCTCTCCCATCGGAACAACCACATCCGGGGCCTTCAAGATCGGCGACAGGAAGAGTCCGTGGGTCGCGGACTGGTATCGCGGGGACTCGGCCCTCTCGTCCCGATAATGGGGCTCCACCGGCGAGATGGGCAGGACCATGAGCGTCCTGCCTCGGCGGAACAGGAACAAGGTGTCGAAGAGCCATTTCCGGTAAACCTCGAGCTTCCTGAGGCCTTCTTCGTGCTGCCGGTGTGTCACTGCGGCGCCGGAGTCCCATCTCTGTTTGACGAATGGAATGACGTATGGCTCGTGGCCGAAGCGGTCCTTGTGTTTATCTCGCCAGCCGCTTGTGAGATGGTAGTAGGAGTAGTAGTACGTGTGCACAATCACGTCCTTGAGATATGCTTCAATGTCTGGATCGGCACCGTCGGGCGGGCATTCCCGCCAGGAATCTCGCAAGGACATCTCCGTGACAGAACATACGAAGCAAGTGGCGAGATCCCCCACGAAGCTATCGATCAGCCTCGTCTGTTCCGGCACAGCGGCAGGGAGGTAGTCCAGCGGGTAGATGACCTCCATACCACCCCAAAGGCTCTCCACACGGCTCTCAGGAAGCCAAGCAGAGAAGACCCTGCCGAGGACACTGAGGCTCCGCGCGGAGACCACAGGCGTGTCAAACCACGGGAAAGCGACACGACAGAGCCATGGCTAGGCCGGAACTGGAATACCCCATTGACGAGAGCAGGGCGCCGCCCACTGCCCGAAGTGTCGGTGCCGATGGCGCAGTCGAGCCAGTCATACGCCGCCACGGCCGCGGCGCTGCCATGGCTGCTTCCGGCGGGAGACTGGTATCCGTCACCGCGGGGGTTGAAGGCCGTCTGGAAGTCGACTGCGTCCATGGGCTCCTCGCGCGCCATCATGGAGCTGAGCTTCGTGAGTCCCACGATCTGGTGTCCCCGGTCTGTGAGGGTCTGCACGACAAACGCGGTAGATGTAGCCGGCTCTGAGAGGCGGTAGTATGCAGTGATGTTTTCAGTCCCTGGAGGGAAAACACGTCTTTTACCGCTATCCTCAGAGGGGGGCCTGTTCGGCTTGCGTGTGAGGTTAGGCGAGAGGGAACTGCAACGGCCAGGGTGTTGTGCTCTTCGCCGGTGATGTGGACTGGCTGAAATGGGCCAAAAGCACCGCGCCGCGGCTTTTGCCTCACGTCGTGGGTGAGCCCTATTTGCTGCCGAAGAAGCTCCTTGGATGCATCCATGTGCAAGCCTCGGATGCAGTCCCGCCAGGAACGCTTTCTGCTGGTCGCGGTACAAGCGGCAAACAGGGTGCAGCCTCTTTTCTCGCAGGAGATACAGTCCAGGTCTCAGATAGTCAGTCTGGACCATCGAGCAATCGAGCCAGGCGTTACCGAGCTGACCTAGATATTCATAAGCGTCATCTCTGAAGTTGACTTTGCGTATGTTGTCTCTAGTGACCACCAGTCCATACAAGAAATCCTCGTTAAACACATGATCCTCCGTCAATGCTTCTCGAATGAAATCCTCGAGCCATTTCTTGTCGATGTCGCTGCTGATGCCAGAACCATCGATGGCGGTAACCAGCATGTCTTCGTCGCCTCGACCAACGGAGAGTATGGAGCCAGGATCCCAGCCAGAACACTGCTTTCTCAAAAAGTCAGTATTAGCGCACTATGGCGTGTCCTAGTGGGCAAGTCAGCAGGAGCAGAACACTCACATTAGCACGATCCAGCGCTAGTACATAGTGGCAGCCGTCGAGGCTGAAGAGACGATCCTCAATGGCAAGTTTGCGTGGCATCGCTACAAAGCGGCGACGCGACGAAAGTTAGGGAACTTTGTTTGTACGAGCATTGCGAAGGCAGTCTCCGTAAGATGCTATCGTCTTCATGTAAAATGATGAACAAGTGTCGGTCAGAGACGCGTGCCAAGTCAACGAAATCTCGGGCTGACCAGCCAAGTAGAGGATAGACAGCCACGGGGAGACTATTTTTGTTTGCCGGTTCGGGGACCAAGTCACATTGTCCTGGACGATCTGAACTTCGCCTATGGATGAGTCGACGTCCGAGGTTTGCTGGCTGTGAGTGTAAGGGACTTTTGAGCGGGGTCTTCCGTTGGATGTGATGTTGGTCCCGCATGATGCATTAGCCCTGCATGTTGTGTTACCTCATGAGGGCTGTAACATGTTCACCGGTTATTTTGAAGAATGATTTTAGGAATACTGACTCTGAGTGTGGTTGATAAGGAAGGAAACAATTGGCAGTCCACCGCAAAGTATCGAAAAGGCGGAAGGGTATTGCGAGGCATCAATATGCTCAGGTGGAGAGAAGCCAAGGGAAGGGGTCAATGATGACTTTTCAGAAGGAGGGAGACGGTGGTAGTCCTAGTCAGGCTTGTACAACACTTCTCAAATTGGATCATGTCTTCCATTCAGGCTTTCTTTTCTCCTTCCAAGCGTTTATGCCCTCATTGGCATCCTCACTCTGCGCGTGCATTGCCATAACGCCCCCCGCCCAGCGCGAGGCAGCCTCGTAATCGTCCATAAAGTCTCCCTCATCCCGGTTGTCAACCGCCAACTGCGCCCAGTAAGCCCACTTCCCGAAAGCCTGCGGCTGGCCCGCAGTCTCCTCCGCCAGCCTGCTCACCACCGCCTCCACCCTGGCCTCAAACGCAACCGCGGCCGTGTCGGTGGACTCGGCGTGCTCAGGCACGGGGACGACATCCAGCACGCCGGCGCCCAGCTCCCCGGCGGATATGCTCTCCCCCGTGGCGAACAGGCGGTATGCCAGGGCCGCGGGCAGGCGCCGGGAGACCGCAGTCGCGGGGCTGGTGCAGGGCAGGCCGATGCGCATCCCGGGGAGCTGGAACATGGTGCTCCCCAGCGCGATGGGGTAGTCGGCGGTCATGGCGAGCTGGAAGCCCGCGGCGGTGGCGAGGCCCTGGACGGGGCAGACGACGGGGGCCGGGGACCGGCGGATGAGCATCATGACCTCGGCGCAGAGCGCAAATGTCTTCTTCACCTCGTCGTCGGATGCGCGCTGCAGCTCCACGAGGTCGTGGCCTGCGCTGAAGGCGGGGCCCTCGCTGCGGAGGACGAGCACGTTGGGCAGGCCCTCGCGGTCGCGGCGCCAGGCTGCGCTGTCGGTCAGCCACTTGGACGGGCTGTCGCTGTTGTCGCTGTTGGCATCGTTGTGGGATCTGAGGAGCTTGATCGTGTGTGGGTTGAAGGATGGCAGAAGCAGCAGGCGGCCTGTCCTCGGCGAGGTGAGGTGGCGATGGAGCTGCGTGCGGAGGTCCTGCAGGACGGACAGGCTGAGTGCATTGCGCTTCTTTGGGTTGTTCAGGTGAATATATGCCGCTTTGGCGGGAAGCCTAGGGAATGCCATGGCGTACTTCCAGCCGGTGTGGACCTTCGTCTTTGACCAGTCCTTTTGCTGCATGTCGTCGACGGACCATCTCGAGGGTGTTACTTAGCAGAGGGTTGACACCCCTAACCCTTCTGACGACACTCCGTAATGCTCCGGAGCGATACGAGTTTCCGTATGTCTGCCCAGCAGTTCTGTAAGTTGGCCTGCAGATTGGTGGGCGTAATAGTTCGCTTGGAGTTCTATCAAGTCAAAGCGATGATGGTTCGCAGACGTGATCCGGTAAATGAAAGTGATTTGGCAGACTGCCGTTGACCCTCCTGTGACACGCAGCTGCTGGTCAGCAAACGCTGTAGCGGCTGACCGAGCTCACATTGAAGATGGGTGGTCTAGACACAGGTCTGTATAATTCTGTCTATCTTCAACATTCTTGTCATTCATGTTTCGCTTCTGTTTGGAAGAAAGGCGCCTACATCTACGGTCTTCGACGTCAGCGCAATGACAGATATCAAAGTGCAGGTACAAGTAATGGCGTAGCTGGGGCACTGTTCGTGAAGGCTGGAGCTACCCCACAATTTAGATGATTCACTCAAGACTGACCTAAAATACCGCGTGGGCAAGGCACGTCGTGAATTCGCCTGGGCCGTTGTGTGGTGGACGTATCCACTACAAGCTCCTACTCCAGCAACTTTCCCACCACCGAATTATTCATGCTTCATTCACTTTGTTCACTAAGCTTGTGGGCAAGCCCTGGCACGTGTTAAACCTGCTATCTTTGTGGACTGGCAGTTGTTTGGGCCTCGAGACCCAAACGGCCGCTCCTGCTACCGAATCCCTTAACTTAATCTTCCTCTGCCTTGCAACCATCACCTTCAACTTTCCTGCGACCACTTCAAATCTCTAACTAAGAACCTAAATCAACTTTTCCTGCCTTCCACATCCTTGTTAAGCATCTGCCAGCATCTTTCGTGCCTTTTAAGGTACTTAAGCTCTTGAGACTTTCCTTTTCCTTTCGACATCTTCTTAAGCCGTTTCCAAAACAGCTTTTGTATGAGAGAACCTGAAACTATCAAGATGGCCAGCATTCAGAACCAGCACTGGCAAAGCCTCAATAGTGCTGGCAGAGATTCTAGCCACCATCCCTTCGTTGATGCCAGCGAGGTGAGAACTATAATCTAACATTCAAAGGAGGCCTCCTTCTTTGATTGACAGCTAACCAGACTAAACAGCAGTCTGATTGTGTCGACCTCATCGACCTCACCGCAGACGATGAGCTTGACCATGATCATATCCAGCAAGCTGTGGGCTTCGCGGACGATAAACTTGACCCTGGTCGTCCCCAGCAAGCCCTACGCGTTAATAAGTCTCTGCGTAATTACGCGTTGGATGCAGATCACCGATCTGTAAAGCAAGTGACAGGCGACGGTAATCAGTACGAGGTTGGCCAGTTTGTTGAGCTTCGTGAGCTTGAGGGCCTACACAGCGTGAGTGAACCCAAGACTTTCCGACGTAAACCAATCTGAACAACACGGAAAACGAGCTAAAACTGGGAAAAGGCTGGATTCATCGAGATCAAGTCCATCCACGTCCACAAGCAGACTGGAGATGTCGTCATCCGAGGCCTTCCCTACGCCCGAACCCGTCACCTCGGCGGCCGCCTTCATCGAATGCAGAACGAAATCTGCCTTGTTCTTGAGATCGACGCCGACGACTCCCGCCCCGATGAGGAGCAGGCACTACGCGAGATCGGACCCGAGGACATCCTGAAGAAGAGGATCCTGACGAACACGAACAAGTCATTCCCCGACTGCCGTTTTGACAGGATCGCATACGCTACAGCACAGCAGGTAGTGGAGCAAGCGCCTCTCTGTTGCCGATGGAAGATGCGCGCCGAGTACAAGGATGCCTCTCAGCGACGTGTGGGTCGCTTTCAAGGTCTGGCCTTGGAGCACTTCTCTGAGCGTGATAGCCACAAAATCAAGAAGCGAAACCTCGGCGTCGACGAGCAGCGTGCTCGTGACTGGCGTGGCGAGACGATTCGCGGCGGATCAACATTTTGCGAGGCAGGCTTCATCAAAGACGAGACTCGGGACAGCAATACCGCGGGGATCCAGAGATACGCCTTTGCTGAGGTGTCTGCCGGCGCTGGCGGCGCATCTCGTGGGGCCGAGATGGCCGGTTTCAAGGTTGTCCTGGCTACAGACTCCTGCCCTCATGCGTGCGAGAGCTATCGAGCCAACTTCCCGAACACTAAGCTCTACGAAATGAAAATCACAGAGTTCGCCGCACAAAAGGTTCAGCAAGATGTTGACGTTCTTCACATCTCGTCCTCAGCTCTGAATGAGGCGAGCGGTGACCCAGAGTCTGCGAAGAAGATCTGCACGGATCTGCTCAAGTCGCACCCGCGACTCACCATCATGGAGCAACCTGCCGCCATACTCAGCAAACGAAGAGCTCCTTTTCTCAACGCAATCATCCAGAGCTTCACTGAAGCTGGCTACTCCGTACAGGGCAAGCTCGTCCACATGGTTGAGTACGGCCTTCCACAAATGCGCAAGCGGTTCATCATGATCGGCGCAGGCCCAGGCGAGACACCGATCTCATGGCCTACCGCTACCCATAGCTCCAACCCTACTGGAGACCAGCGGACCTTTATGACAGAGGAGGACGCCATCAGCAGGCTCACCCTTGAGCTCCACTCCCTGCACCATCCAGAAAGCCTCCGTTTCCGGACTATGGACTGGAAGGTACGTGACGCAGACAAGCCGATGGATACCCCAATTAGCAGCAACGGCTCGGTGTATTATCATCCAGACGGCGAGCGGGATTTCACCCTCAGAGAGCTTGCATGCATTCAAGGATTTCCGACATACCATCAATTTGAGGGTTCCTACATCAAGAAGCAGATCGGAAATGCGTTTCCTCCATCGGTCGCTATGGCTTTCTACCAGTGTCTTCGACAGCACCTGGAGGAGGCTGATGCCATCCATACTGATGAGCCGGCCGGAGACCCCGTCACATCATTGCCAGAGGTCAACGAGGGCATCACAGCGGTGAGCATGTTGTATGACGAGAAACCAAATGGCTCGCTCGATGAAGTCACGCCGGGTGTCCCTATCGATGTTCGCAGCGTTGAACAGCCCGTCATGCATTCAAGCCGACAACGGACTCGAGCAGCTGTCGTGCCGCCCTCGCCTCGCCGGAAAATGTCTCCAGAGGCCCAGCCAAGTTCGAGAACGAGCTCCCCGACGCCACACACTCCGTTGCCAGCCCAGCAACTTCCAACACCCTCCACCGGCGGACGCTACGTCGATGACCAGCGTGCAGCACCTCTCGGGCTGAAGCGAGATCGGGACTCGTTCGAGGAACCAGACAGTGATGGTGATGAGGACGACATTGGCACGCTAGCGCTGGAGACACCAAGCAAGCGTCCGCGGATCTCTATTCCCGGTGATGGAGCTGACGATTGGAGCTCTGCTCGGTCTCGCACCGTTCCGGCATCACCGGATCCCGTGGCTGGCATGGTCGAGAATGCTCCAATTCCTGAGGATTCTAAAATTTCTGAGGATGCTGATTATCGGGGAGTGAGCGGTCCAGACGATGAGATGCTTGCAAATCTGGCACGGGGAATCTAGGAGGTGGCCTGTCGCTACAGCAGCGATTCTGACGAGTCTGAGACAAGATGAGGGACCAAATACTCATCTCTCATTTCTGCTGATGGGAAGTTTGGTTGGATCTGAGCAACAGAAAAAGAGAAGAAAAAAAGGAAAAAGAAAAAGCCAAGCATGACTGGTTGGCGCCGCGCACACTTCTGAAGGTACGATGGCCACATTGAGGAGGGGATCAGGGCTGTACAGACCCCAGAGAAACGTGGATACAAGAATATTGTTATGGTGTGAGCTTCGAGATGATGATATGGAATGAGAATGGAATGGTAATGATGGTTGTTGGCGAGGTTGGCGGTGGGGAGCGCATGTACTCCGGATGGCCGCAGGGAAGAAGCCTCATCAGGCAAGCACATGTCTGTTCCAAGTGAGAGCTACTCATGATAGAATTGCAATGAATGTGATCTTCGATTCGAATCGTAACTGCAGGGACAGCACAGAAAGTAACTACCATCTCTTCATCTTGGGCATCATCTTGGCCCTGAGGGTCTTCTTTCCAGACTTCCTTCCCGCGGTGCTTCCGGTGCTCTTTGGCGCAGTCTCCTCAGCACTCTCTCCATCAGCCTCCTCGATGCTATTTCCAGCCCTCTTCGGCGCCTTCATCGCAAAGATGTTTGGCGGCATCGGGCAAAAGCCACCTTGCGCCACCTTCTCCGCCGTCTTCATCGCAAAGACATTTGGCGGCATCAGGCTGGTGCTCCGTTGCACCGCCTTCTCTGCGCTCTTGCGCGCCGCGCTCTTCACCTTCTTTCCGGTGGCCTTCTCCGTACCCTTTCCCGTGATGCCATTCTTCGCCTCCTTATCCTTGATTCGCTCGGTCGCAGCGGCCTTCACCTTCGCCGCCTTCATCTCCCTGATGTACTTCAGCTCCTCGACCGTCTTCTCGCCAATCTTCTTCTTGGCGAGCTCCTTTTGGGCGAGGATCTCGGCGGCGGTCAAGCCCTGGGCCTCCTCAGCCTTCTTCTCAGCCGCCTTCCTGGCCTGCTTGTCCTTCTTGGCCTGCTCGTCTGCGAGCGGGAACGACGCGGCGAGGAACTTGAGGTTGTGGCGGTATCGCATCTTGCGGGTGCGCCGGAGCGCGTCGAGGGCAGGGCGGTTTCTGGCCAAGTGGAACACTATGGCATCGGGGTTGGTCTCGTGGACTATCTCGGACTGCTTGTCGCAGCCGGTTTGGGGAGTGAAGGTGGGAGAGGCTGGGCCGCACATGGAAAGCTGCCGAAGGTGCTGGCCGTCGGCCTGGGTCTGGGCCATTTCGTGGGATTGTCTCATTGCGGCCTCCCAATGCTTGAAGTTCTGGTAGGTGATGCGAGAATCGGCGGGAACCCACCGTCCGTCGAGGAAGGCGTTTTTGGAGGCCATTTCTGCTGAACGGGACTCAGAAGAGGGAGAGAAGATTGATTCAAGGCTGAAAGAACTTGCGGATTGAACAAGATTGCAAGTCTGAACGGATTCGAGGATTGAGTTAATTGCAAGTTTGACGAATTGCTGGCAAACGAGAGTTTAAGTAGAGATCTGGGGCGTGGGCTTGAGTAGTTGTCCGTAAACCACAATGGGACGGCCTCTATTCAGACATTATTTCCATCTATTCAGATATTATTCCCATCTATTCAATGTTCAAACGTTATTCCCATCTATTCAATGTCCAGACATTGTTTCCATGTATTCAGACATTATTTCCATCTGAATTTCAGCCTCCAAATGGGAACAATGAAATCGAACTATGCTATTCCGAGTTCATTCCTTGCGATCCTAATATTTTCATTGGTCGACGTACATGGCCCTCCATTGCTCCTCGGTGAGACCCAAGTTTGCCAGGACCTTCTGCAGCAATTTCCAATAGACTGGACGCTCCTCCGTCGTGTGTATCACGCCATTGCACTGAGACATGGACCCCGATTCGTTTTGGGCCTCTTGCGTACTATTCCCAGGTGTAAACGCCCCATCTCCATCTCCCTTGCGGTGCTGGTGTTTACGTGAGCGACGGGTGCGGTGCGTGCCCCCAAGACCCGCCCGGCGTTCAACGGCGCGGTACTCTATGGACTTCCCAGTGTGGTGAAATGGATCTTGTCCTTGCTTTTCTGTGACCAATGGCCGTGGGAGCATCGCAAGGCTAAGTGCTTGGCTCGCTCTGTAGGCCCCGCTGTGGTGCCCGTTTCTTGATCATTAGCTTCGGGCCGAGCCGCTTCCATCTGAAGACTTGGGAGGGGTGTTTGGGGGCTGAGGTAGAAACTGCATACAGGTTCGGCTTTCTGGCTCCTTCTCGCGCGGTTCTCAGTCCTCGAGCTGCGTTCCTAGCATGGCTGCCGACATCGAACGAACGCTTATTGGCGCGAAGGCCCATGTTGAGAGCTTCAGGGAATCTTGATGAGAGACTGAGTGTAAGCTGGAGGTCGGGCAACAGAGGCGCTCGAAAGTTTGCGCATCAGTACCGCAGGCGCGGTTGCGACGCGTGCCCAGGGAAGGGTGAGTTTGCGTACCTTTATGCCGGCCTAGCGAGCCCAACGCGGTAGAAGGAAGGCCACGAGATGCACGCAGTGTGTTCGGTGGAGCTAGAGCAACCGAGAAGAGCTGAAAGGGAGATCTTGACGATTCAACACCGGAATTTGGCATCGAGCAGAATCTATTCACGAGCTTCGAGATTCTGGTGAAGTACGGTATGACAGTGGGGGGGGGGAGGCTTTCGAGTCACAGTTGCCCAGATCATCTTCACCCGTTCTACACAGAAGAGAAATCCCACACGACAGGAAGTCAGGCCAGAGTGATGTGTGAATTTACGCTGTCTTCCAACTCCGGCATATTCTTTACAACTAGAACAGAACATGAGAAGTACACCTTTCTAAATACACACGAGTTCCTGATATGCGGCCTAGAACTGATGGATCTGGTCCTTACGATACCCCAGCTTCTCCAGAACACCACCGCTCTTGCCTCCCCAGCCCTTCTTGCCGAGCAGCGCCTCCTCCATCGCAGGCGGGCCGCAGACCATGACCTTCGTGTTCTGCTCCGAAGGTGGCGCGGCAACCTCTCTCAATAGGGCCTCGGTAACGTAGCCCTTCCTGAAGCGGCCGCCGTCGCTCTCGCCCTTAAGGTCGCTCACCGCATACACAGCCTTGAACTGGCCCGGATGGCTCGCCTCGTACTTCTTGAACTCCTCGTTCAGGAGCACATCCTGCTCGCCGTTGACGCCGAAGACGAGCGTGATCTTCGTCTTGTCCTCCGGGTTGTTGAGGATACCCTGGACGAGCTGGTAAATGGGGGTGATGCCCGCGCCGCCGGCGATGAGCGTGACCGAGGTGTGCTTGTTGGGTGTCCACTTGTAGCCGGGGATGCACATTGCGAACATGACCGAGTCGCCGGGGCTCAGGGAGTGCAGGTGCGTGGACTGCTTGCCCTGGGGGTAGCGCTTCACCAGGAGGTCCATGTGGCCTGGCGTGTCTGAGGGCGTGATGGGTGTGTATGGCCGGAGGACGGGAAGGAAGCCGCCCTTGGGGATGGCGAAGGTCAGCAATGCAGCTGTGATGAGTGTTAGTCTCTGGTCGTGTGGCAAGCTTGAAGGTCATAGCGTTTGAGCTCACATGTCAATGGGAGCCCGGTGACGGCGTTTTCTTCAGGCAGCGCAAAGCGCAGTCTCTTAGTGTTGTGGTTGACATCTTCGGCTTTCTCCAATGTGAGCCTGGTGAATGAGGGCCCTGGTCGTGGGAATATCTTCTTTGGCTCTCCCGATTCCGCGTCTGCCTTTCTCATCAATTGTGTGATGACTGCTCCACCTATGCCAGCAACCGCCAAGCCCTTGAACACCGTCGGTCCATAAGCGCTGACAAGTTCTTGTGTCGCCATTCTGCCGTTGAGTGCTGGCCGTAGCCGTTGAGAGAATATTCGGAACGAGTTCATGGTGGGTGCAATCAATGGCTCAACCGCGGCTTTATGGGTGTACGCTGAGTGGTTTGTGGTGCTTGAAGTGGGGTGACGTTGTGGTTTCAGCCGCGGTGCGCTTATGTATGTCTTGGGGATGTCCGAGAAAGTCCGCATTGGTCCGCCGCAGCTTATTCCCTGTCAGCTTGCATCAGACCACCGGCGAGCCCGATTGTGGCGCGGGCGGAGGAATGCAACTCGGCCCTCCTTCGGGACCGAGCGGTGCTGACCTCGAAAAGCTGAAGTACTTGTCGTCCAATTCAGCCGAACTTTGTTGACTGTCCAATGGGGAGAGGCTCAGTGCATATGGAGACAGACCTGCACCATGATAGGGGCGAGGCAAAGCAACCATCGTTAAATGCTCACTGCGGACCTGTGTCTAGCAAACTAGCAAGCCAACTCTTCAAGTGCAACACAACAACTTTGCAGGCCAAGACCAAGCACCAAGACTCTGAGCCCATCCCGCTGGCACCTCCACAAAGCTCAAAGGAATTGCCGCATGTATCGACGGAGCCGTATGTCTCTCCGATAATCATTCATATTGACTTTGCCCTTGAACGCGTGTTTCACTGCTGTACCCAAATCGCAAGCTGGTGCGTGTCTGCCTTGCTGGCCGCAACAACTCCACCAATAGTAGTTCTCATGAGGCTTGCCGTCGCGGGATGCGGACTCCAGAATGGCTTTTCGAAATCGCTTTTGATACATTCCTTTCGAAACATTCGTTATTAAGGAATAATCTTCGAAGACAGCACGGGCTTCAGGGCACATACCAGTATGACCTCTTTGGCAGTCACCTGCTTCGTTGTGGTTGGGATCGTAATACCTGCTGCACCGCCTGCACTTATGGGTCGTCTGAATCAATGACTGAAGCTTCTCTACAAAGCCCATGCCATGGGACTTTGGTTGAGACCGCGGAGCGGGATAAGGGTCAGGCTCGTCCCCGACGGAAGAGGCATTGAGAAGAGACAAGTTAGAGGACGGTGCCTTAGCTTTCGAGTCGGAATGAGCAAGTTTCCGGGGAGAGTGATTGGTGTCTATGCAGTCGTTGGTCGGTACAGTGTCGAGTCCACGTCGAGGGGCCGACGGCGGATGAGCAGTCTGGGCTCCTCCATTGAGACGCACTCGGAGCTGCGGAAAGTCGCCCGCCTGACCCATGAAATTATCGTCAGGGTGTGTGTCTGCTGTCTGAGACGATTCAAATGTGTTAAGTTGACACGCCCACGGCGGCACGGAAGTATAATGACTTACAAGTGTTGCGATTGCACCTTTGCAGTATAGCCGATGCCCGAGGAGCTGTCCCATCGAAGGAAACAGAACACCACAGTCTCGACATGTTCGATTTTGTAGTGAAGTCTGTGGTTCTCCTGGTTGGCTATATTTGGCTCTCTTATTGGCTTGGTTGTGGGTTGCTGTTGGGGCAGCGCGGTCATTGTGAACACCTTCCGCCGCATGCTCCGGCGCCTTTCGCTTCTTGCTCGAGTCGAAAGGGCTTATCTTGATACCATCGTTCTGGATCGATGCCTTGGCCATGGAGATCGTGATTGAATGAGCAGCACCGCGGCCATCATCATCACTGCTTGCACTAGTCTGGTTGGCCTTCTTGTTGGAACCATCCTGGGACGGTCCAAGGCCATCAGCAAGAGTGTTGCCTTGGGGTTCTTCTTCAGCGCCTCCGTCATCTGAGCTGTCGCTGTCAGAGCTAGAATCGTCTGGGCTGTCATTGTCTGAACTAATGTCGTCGGAGCTCTTGTCGTCGAGACTCTCATTCTCCGAATGCTCATTGTCGCAGGTCTCATCGTCAGATGAAGTAACGAGATCTATGACAGTAGGGATTGTCTGCTGGGAAGACTCTCCCATGGAGTTGTCAAGGGTGTACTGCTCGGTTCCAGCTCCAAGCTTGGATGCATGCTTGGACTGCTTCTTCTTCGATGGATTCGGGTTACTCTGATCCTCGTTGTGATCGCTACCGCGCTTCTTGTTGCGCTTGGTTTAATAAAGCAATGAAGCAAATAATAGTTGATTGTTATGTATTGAGGAGAGAAATCTCCCCGCTATTAAACGCTTAGAAGGAGCCTATTTATAGGCTAGCGTTAGCGTATAGATATACAACCCTTACACCTTTTAATACACCCCTTATCGCGAGTATTATTATCTTAACGATAATAAAAGATATTTCATTTTAATAGCTAAAAAATATAGTTTAAATATTTTACTATAATTTATATTAAAATTATTATATAAATATTATTTAATATTTATATATTTTACTTACATTATTTTTAATTAACTATTTAAACACTCTTTTAATAATATAAACCTTATATTTATTTTAATCTTAATCTTATATAAGCTTCTTTAAAAATAAAGTAAGATAATGCTTTTATATAAATATTAATAAAATTATTTTTAAATATAATATAATAAATATTATATATTTTTTTAATTCCTTTATAAATAAAGTAATAATAAATAGTAATATATTTTAATTAAATATTAAATAATTATTAATATATAAAATAAGTAAATATTTAATATACTTAATATTTAAATCTTTTAATGCTTAAATTATTTAATAAAGATATAATAATATTAATAAATATACTATATATTTCGCCTTATAAATAAATTTTATAATAATAAATTAATACTTTAATAATTAAGCAATTAAGCTATTATTAAAAAGTTATATATATTTGCTAAATGCTTTTAAATTATTTAAATTAATATTATAAAAAGCATTAATATATATATTAAGTATAGTAAATTAAAATAATAATATTTATTTTAAAAATCATAAGGCATAATTTAATATATGCTAAATATATTAAAGCACCTTCTTTATAATATTTAAATAATAAATTATAAGCTTTATATTAAATATTAAGAATATTATATATAAAAATATAAAATTAAGTTTTATTTTAATAATAAGAAAATTAATGGATTTAATAAATAATTAATATATTATTATATTTATTGCAATATTATTAAATTCTTTTTATTATAAAAATAAATTTAAATTTATAAAAGTTTATCTTTAATTATAATTAAATATATTAAAGCATTTTAAAATTTATTAAGCATATTCCTTTTAAGAAATGTAAATTTTATTATTAATTTATATAATTTTTAATTTAAGCAAGTATTTATAAAGATTAAAATCCTTATACTTAAAATATTACATAAGCTTAATATAAAATTTATTAATTTAAAAAGAACTTTTAATAATAAGAATATTATTAATATAAATAATAATAATAATTTAATCTTTAATAAAAATATAAGAATTAAATATTATTTTTATTAAATATTTAATTAATTCCTTTTTAAAAATATTAAATTATTTATAGCCTAATTATTTAAGTTTATATAAGGCATTAAGAAATTTCAAAATAACTTATTAATTATTAAATAATATTTAATATCTTTATAATAATTATATATAAATATTATATTTTAAATAGTTATATAAATATATTATTTTAATATTAAATTGCTAAAGCCATTAACTTATTATAATAATAATAACAATAATTAATTTTAAATTATTATAATGCATTATAAGGTTATAAGTATTATTATAATTTATATTATAAATTTATATATATTTATAAGTAATAAATTAAGCTTTATAATAAATAAGCTTATTAAAAGCGTTAAACTTCTTTATATATACTTAATAAGGATTAATAATATATTAATTTATAATAATAAGTACTTTAACTTATATATTTATATTTAAAAGTAATTTAAGTTTTTTTTTAATAACTTATTGCTAAGCATCTTTTTTATTGCTCTTTATAGCTTATATATATATATTAAAGATATTATTAATATTTACTATATTAATAAGCAATGCTTAAGCAAAGATTTAATTAAAATAGTTAGCATTAATTAGTATTAATTAAGTAAGATTTAGCATAAAGTTTCCATTAATTAATGCTAAGTCGTTAAAATTTTTAAAATATTTTATAATAATATTTACATTTTTTTTTGCTTTTTATAAAAGCTAAATTTATTATTCTTAAAAACTATATAATTATATAAGCCTTGCAAGTTTAAGTAATTTATTAATAAGTTTTATAAATTTAAGTAATTTATTTATAAGTTTATTTATAAGTTCTATATTATTAATAGGTTTTATTAACTAAAATATTAATAATACCTTTATCTTAAATAGCATATTTTTTTATTTAATTAACTAATTATTTATATAATTTTTATTATTAAATTAAATTAAATAATATAGCTTAATATTATAATTATAATAACTTTTTAAAGTAATATAAATAAATAAAAATAATAATTATTTTTAACTTTTAATTTTATAAAGTATATTTCTTTAGCTTTATTTAATAATTTTATTTTTAATTTGCAAGCCTTAATAAGGATATAAAGGTATGCAAGGTAAAAATATAGTTAAAAATATTTAATATTAAGCTTTTATTTATAAAGTACCTTAAATAACATTATTTAATATAATAAGGCTAAGTATAATTTTAATTTTATAAGTATATTATATGGAAAATCGCTTTAGGCTATAAAAATAAGTAATTTTTATTATAAATTATTATATAAATGTTAATAATAATGATATATATAAACCTTTTAAGCATGCTATTTAACTTATAATAATAAAAGAATAATTTCTTATAAATAATTCCATATCTTTAAAATATTATAATAATTATTTTATTTATATATTTACTTTTATTATTTAAACTAAATATTTTAACTTTTATGCTAAATTAAGTTTTAATTATATTTAAAAATCTCTTAATAATGTTTAAAATATTATTTTTTTAAGTAATAAAGTAAACTTAATAAAACTAAGTATAATTATTAATAAATAAAATAAAATATTAAAATTTTTTTAATAATGTTATTAAGAATTTGCTTAATAAATTAAATTAAATATATTTAAATAGCTATATAAATTAGTATTTTAATAATAATTATAAGCATTTCTTAATAAATTTTATAAATTAACATAATTTATAATAAAAATTTATTAATTTATTTAGCATAATATCTTTATTTTTATATAAGTATTAAATAATTAGTTTTAATAAATTATTATAGCTAAAAGCTTTATAAAATTTATTATATATTATAAATATTATAAAGTTATTTTTTATTATTTAAATTTTAAAATTTTTATATTAAAACTTTGCTTATAATATCTTATAAAATTTATTATCTTTTAATAATAAAAAGATATTATTTCCTTATATATTTAATTAAAACCTTTTTTAAATTATAATTTAATTAAATAAATAAGTATTCCTTAGCATATAATTATATAAAATATTAATAAAAATACTTTTAATAATTAATTTATTTAATAATTATAAAAAGATCTTTATAAAGTTAATACCTTTTATAATAAGTTAATTATTACTTATAATAATAATTATACTTAAATATAATTATAAAAAGCTAAAGTTTTTTATATATTTTATTATATACTTTAAAGCATTAAAATTAAAAATTTATAATATTAAAGTATTTATAATTATTAATAGCTTTGCTATATATATTAAAATATTAATATATAGCATTATTATATTTTCCTTATTATTATTAAAAATTTTAATAACTTCTTTATTTATAATTTAATTTATAATAACTTATTTCTTGCTCTTTTTTTATTTTTAATTAACTTTATATTTAATAAGCTTTACATAATTAATATATAAATAATTAATAAATATAAAGTTTTATATATAATATTAAATATTTTCTTTATTACTTAATATAAAGTTAATACTTATTAATATAAACTTTATAGCTTTTTTATACCCTTTAATATTAATTTCTTTTAAATAAAGGTAAAGTAAGCTTTAAATTATTTAATCTTTATATAAAAAATAATATTTATTATTTTAAGTTTAATTTTAAAAAATATTATAAGGTTTTAGCTGCTTAAGTTATTAATAATATTATTTATAATATTTAGCAATATTATTAAGAAAAAAAAGCTTTTAACTTTATTACTTTTAAAAAGTAACTTTATTAACTTTTTAATTAATTATCTTAATATTAAGATTTTAATATAAAGTTTTATTTAAAGATTTTAAAAAGTATTTAAATAGTCTTATAAATTAAAGCTATTTTTATATTATAAGTTTATTAATTAATAAAAAAAATAAATAATTAAGTTATTAATATTATAATTAAATTAATTAATTAATATTTTTTAAATATTAAAAGATTTTTTATATAATATAATAAATATTATAAAGCTTAAATATATTAAGTTTAAAAATATAATAAAGGCTTAATTATTAAGCTTTTCTTATTTTATAAGAATTATACCCTTATTTAATTATTTCTTAATGCTTATAATATATTTATTAAGGTTAATAAATTAAAAGCTATAACTTTATATTACCCTTTAATTTAAAAAGTTCTTTCCTTTTAAGTTTAACTTTAAAAAAAATAATAAATTAAGCTTAAAATTAAATATATTTAATGTCTTTTAAATAATATTTATATATCTTTAAGTATATTTTAAATAATATTTATATATTTTTATTTATTTATAATAATTAATATTAATTAATATAAATAAATAAATAAAAAGGAGTAAGTAGTTAAAATATTAAATAAAGTAAGAGTATTAAATTATTATAAGTTATTATTAACGTTAAGCACTAATAAGCGAGCCACCCTAGCGAGCAAGCTACTTTTCCACAAACCGCTTTAATTTAACTTTCCAACGCGTTTTCTCGCGTTATATCTTATAATAAACAAAATAAAAGAAAGCGATATTTAATTTATTATTTAAGCTATTAAATCTAACCCAAAACTAAGCATTTAACGCGCAGCAAAGAAATATAATATTCCTCGCTTAACCCTTACCTATAAAATGGCCGGCCGAACTATATAATATAATACTTACCTTAATAATAAGAGATTAATAAAAATAAAAGAAAAGGTATTTATTTAATATATACTTAACTAAGATTTATAAAGATACTTGCTTATTTTTAAGGATATTAAAGATATAGTAAATTCCTTACTTTGCAATTATAATAACGGCGCTATTAATATTAACTAAATAAAAAGACTTATTTTATTAAAACCATGTTTTAAAATACATATTAATTATATATATAATTATTAAAGGGCTTTATGCAAAGATCTTAATATAATAAATATATAGTTTAACCTTATATTTAATATATATAAAAAATATAAAATCTTTAATTATAATACTTATAATTTTAATAAGTTAAGCTTTATAATAAGTATTAAATTACTTAAAATAATAGTTATATATTTTAATTAATAAAAATAAATAAAATAAATATAGCTTAAGAATTAATAATAAGCAATAGTTATTAAATTAATTAATAAGGATAAGTAATGTAAATTGCCATTCCTAATTATTAAGGTTAAGATATACCTTATAAATTAATATATTAAGGGCAGCCTTTTAAATAATTAAATAATTAAAATAAGCCTAAATAAATAAATAAATAATAAAATTGCTATAAAATGAATTTAATACTTTAAAAAACATATTGCATTATATATAAAGGGCATTTACTAATTGCTAATCCTTAATAAATATAAGAGCTATTATTTTATAAATTTTAAGCAATATTATAAGGTAAAGAATATTATTACTCTTTATATGCCTTTTTATTTATTTTATTTACTTTAGCTATTAAATATTAAGTATTTTAATTTATTAAAAAAGGCATATAATGTAGAAATTACTTAATTTAGCAAGGCTTAAATTACTTATATTAATAAGATAAAGTTCTTTCTTGCCTTTTATACCATATATAATAAGGTTTTTAAGCTAAAAACTATTAAAGAAGGTTTTCAAGGGGTAGGTTTAATACCTTATAATTAAAAAGCTATACTTTTTAAGCTGGATATTAAGATTTAAATATTAATAGCAATATTAAGCTCTCTATCCCTACCTATACCTTAAGTTTCTTAAATGCTATATAACTTAATATAAGCAATTTCTTAATTAACTTTAATTAAGAATTAAATCTCTTATTATTAAGAAAGCTCCTTAATATTAATTTTATTTACTATTAACTAGTTATTAAAGGGTATATAGTTATTAGCCTATGCAGTATTTTTGCTAACATAAGAGAATAAAACTCTTTAAGAGGTAAATATAGCACTTTTTAAGCGTTAAAGGGCTAAAAAAACATATATGCAAGATAAAGGAGCACTTAATATATAAAAAGCAAGGGAAATAATTAATAAAAAGGAAAAGGAAAAGCGGTTAGCTAATAAAATAAGCAATAGCGCTAAGGAGTTAGTTCACAGCGAATTAATAAAAAGATAATATAGCAATTATAGCAAGATTAAACATAATACGCAAACCTATGAGAAAGATATAGAATTATTTGCAAATTCTAATTTTAATTAAATTTAATTAATTTTTTTTTATTATAGTACTGCAATTCAAGTTATTGTACTGTTAATGCAGAAAAGTGGTTTGCTTGCTGGGGTGGCTTGCTTGTTAGTGCTTAACGTTAATTATAATAACTATTATAAAGTATAATAATAATATATAAATAAAGGCTAGCAATATTAAAATCTTAATGATTTAAGTATAAAAATAATTATAGAAATAAGGGTATTAATATTTTTCAACGTTTTAAGATATCTTAAGCAATGCTGGGCTTACAACCTAATGAAGTAATAAAGCAAACAATAGTTAATTGTTGTGTGTTAAGGAGAGAAATCTCCCCGCTATTAAACGCTTAAAAGGAGCCTATTTGTAGGCTAGCGCTAGCGTATGGGCATACGACCCTCGCACCTTCCAACATGGTCTTGGTCTTGGTCTTGGTCTTCTTCAAAATGAGCTGCCCGACGAGCGGGTCGGCATTGATGTCGCCACGCCGAGTGCTCCGACGCTTTTTCGAAGTTGAGGCAGGAACGTCCTCGTCCTGGCTGCTACCGTCTTGGTTCTTCTTTTTGTTAGATTTCTTGTGAGAAGTAGTGGGCGCTGACTCATCGTCGTCTTCGGACTCTGGCTGCTGATAGACGATCATGGGAGTTGGCGTGTGCCGCTCGATGGCATCCTTGATTGCTCTTGCGATCGTGGGCTGCGTAACAGTACACTTCAGAATCATGGACCTCAGAGTCCGCTTGGCCTGGTCCTCTGAGGCATGATCGACCCGTTCGATCAGCCCGAGCTTCTCACTGTTGTTCATGATTGTAGAGGGTGCCGCTCACGGCCTCGTTGGATTGGCTTGGTCACGCGTGTGACGGCGCGTGTACCGAAGGCAGGCTGCACAAGTCGCAGTCGCCACAGTAGTCGCGAACGGGGTTGAACAGTCTTGGAAGGATGGGGGGCGTGATCAAGTCATTCGTGGCCAGAGATACGCAAGAGACCATCTCAGGCTAGTTTGAGAATGATTTACTCGTTGGTGGTGTTGCCAGCAGATGTGTGCTGGTGATGGTGAGGATGGGGGCGCGTGTGATGCGGCTGCAGTTATGCGCGATTGGGGACACACAGAACCGGAACGCGCTTTCGAGGCTGACCTTAGGCTGCTAGGACACTAAGCTCATACCACCTGGTCAGCTTACTGAAGAAGAGCAGAGCTTGGTTAGTAGGTGTCAGTGGAAAGCCTGGCATGCTCAAAAGCTTACCCTCAGTAGGGACCTCCTACTAGGGGCCTAGGTAGCTAGTAGATACCTACCTAGGTAGGTACACTCCCGAAGAAGTGGGTAGGAGCTCGCAGCGCCGTACCTAGGTACCTAGGTAGATTGAGCTTATCGAGAAACCAGAATTTTAGAACTCCTGCGGGAAAGCACTGCAGTCTTTCTAGCAGTACCGTCACAACCACAGTGGCATTAGCATACCTCGTCTGTCGTAGAGCGCATTGGTCCTGATAGGTCGTATCATCTTCACACAGAGGTTCTCGTTGGAGGAAATTCTCGAGATATTATCAAAGAACATGTTACATTAAACGTAGTGTAGGGAGGAAGCTACGCTACTAAAGGACATCCTAGAAGAGCCGTTGTTAGGGACATTCCCGGGGAATTCATACTGGAGAGGCTATGCGAGGACAGTTTACAGGAAAACCATCTCAGAAAAATAATTACACTGACGTAATCCCAGTGAGATCTTCCGGGAAGGAATATTTGAAAAGATTGTTCAAGAGAAGCTGGAGATATTTCGGTGGATGTTATCCCAGTTTGGTTTCCCAGCGCGAGCGCTACCGAGAATTTATTCTATGGAAGATTATCTTCCAATAAGGCTGTAGCATTGCCGCCTTGGAATCTTAGTTTTCTAACGGTGGGAAAGTGAAAGACATAAAGAATTCTGAGACAACATATATGCTTTGCAAAAGGTGATTCCAGCTACCAGTGTTCTCGACAGAGGGGAGAATTCCAGCCTTGAATGGGTTGCATAACATTTCATGTTCCAAGACTGGTGACATCAATGAGATCAATGTGATCCAGAATGGTTAGAAAGGGATGCAAAACCTATAGTCGCTGGCAAAACAAGCTTATCATGTCAGATGACGCCTCAGGTAGGGTGGTCGGGCCGTTGACGGCCTGGTTATACAGGCCGGGTCGAGGCCAGTCTGAGATTGCCGAGGAGGATTCGAAACACCACACTCCATCGGACCAATGCGACGACCGCTTTTACCACTCAACTCAGCTAATGGCAGTGCATCTTTTCGTGCGAACCTCCTACACCTTTAAGGTTTGGTCAAGTGCAAGAGGCCCGTTAAACTCATAATCCTCCCAGGCTGCAGAAACATGAACGAGCGCAGATTGTGCAAGACCAGACGCGCAGTGAGAGCTGCAGTAATCTGGCAAGACGTCATTCGTGCCTTATCGCAATTAGGTTCCCTCAGTATCAGAGTTCAAATGCTAGAGCATTTCCATGCTAAGATTGAATCATTACGGATTTTCGCCTCTGCCAACTTGCTCCGTGTGAGGGTGAAAGTCATTGCATGCCACTCGCGCTGACCATAATCATTCCTTGCTGATTTAAACTCGACTCGGTCCCAAAGTCTCCAATGTCAAGCCGACTCGAGTACCTCATACGAAAGCTAGACGAGCTCGATGATGCTATCAGGCGTGAGAAGAGAGAGTACGACAAGGCGAGGGACCGGTACGACAAGATGAGAAGCCGAGACATTCTGGAGGACCTCAGGGGACAGTAAGCGCTGCAATACTTACGAAACTCCACACATGAAGCCCGTCCGCCGCCAACTGATCATCTCCATCCAGATTCCTAGGGTACCAAACCGAGCGAGACCAGCTCCACAGCGCGCGCTCCGCCGCTCGAGAAAAGTGTTTGTTTTTCTCCCTCCCGCTTCCGAACCACCACCCGAAGGCAGCCTCCTCCTTCATGACATACCTCATTGCTGATCCGCGCCAAATGTTTTCAGTGCGGCAAAACCAACCTCCTCCACAGCAAGAGCGGCATCGTCCTCACAGCTACACAGCTCCCCCGCCAAACACCCAGCGAGGCCAGCGAGAAGCGCCGCCTCGGCCCCAGTACAAGACAACCTTACCTCATCGACCGGCTCCCCAGCACAGGGATGCCTGTCCGCCACGGAAAAGCTACGGTTCCAACAGCAGTGCAGCAGGGCAGACCCGCGACCAGCCCGGCAACAACAGCAACAGAACCAAGCGGCCTGCGCCCCCTCGACCGCACCAGAGAACGCAGACGCTGGATTACGAGGTTGAGGAGCCCGATGGCAAGTCATACGTTGTCAGGGGTGGCGCGGTATTCCGAGACTTTGATCCTGCGCGGGATACAGTGCGAAGGGCCGAGTGATATCGTTTACAATAACCTCTCCGAGGCAAGTTTGGTACAAAATCACATAAGAATTATGAAAGACTCTTATCCGAAACATCATTTCATGGGAAACATTTGTCCAGTGCTTCATCTGCTTCTGGGACTTTGGCCCTCAAAACGCCATTTCCTGGCCGATGACCGTCGATCTGCGCATAATTGCAACAGCAAATGGTTGACGAGGACTCGGAATCTTCATTCTCTTTTCCGTTGATAGAAAGCAGACGACCTTCCCTAGCCTGCCACAGATATTATTCTACAATCGCCAATGACATGCGATGCATTTCACATCTCTTGTAGAATCCTTTCGCTCAGCATTCAGCCGGCGCAGTGGTTACACGGGTAGCAACCTCGGCTCTGGACCGTTCTTCGGCAGCAGTCCCAGACTTGGTGTGCTCCGACCGGAACGTCGTGGTGGTCGAACTTCTCGTCGTCAACGTCGACACAGCGACCTGCGAAGAAATGTCAGCAAGCTATCAATTCCTCCTATCTGCCATGCCGCAAAGGCTGGGCAGATGCTCAGAGTCGGCCCACGTACCTGTGTGCCGACGGCACTCCATCGCCGTGTTCTGAGCTTCCATGTAGAGCTCCTTGCATTGAATGCACTTGAGCTTCCTTGGCGCGCCGCTGTCCATGTTCTGATGGAGCACCGACGGAGCGTGGAAGAAATTCATTGCCACGCTGACATTGGAGTTGGCTGGGATCTTCAAGGATGACATGTCGACTCCGGTAAAGGGAGGTTTGTAAATTGTAGGCATTGGTTGCCATCCATGCGTCCCCTGTGAAGGCTTGGTGGAGGGGACTGGTGGTGGCCGGTTGGAACTTGCGTTTTGAGCTATTGGGCTGTGCTGATGAGGAGTTCCCGTTCGGGCGGCCGGCTCGGGGTGGGAGGCTCTGCGGTCGGCAAAGGTGAAATGCTCATCACATTCTGGCTCTTGTTGGACTGGCTTCCCGGGCTGAGCGGTTGCGAATTGGACGAAAGGGGGAGATCTGGGTTCTGGGAGGAAAGAAGGGAGGGTTTTGGGAATGTTTGGTGCAGTAGCGGAGGTCGTCGCGGCTGACAGCGGTGTAACAGTTGGTGACTTGCCAGCGATGGTGGGCGAGAGCGTCGGCCGACCAAAAATGATTGGCGACTGTCGGAATGCAGGCCATGCGAAAGGGATCTTTGGAGACACGATGTCGATGCCTGCGGACTGCAATGGCGGCGTGGCCTCGAAAACCTTGGGTTTCTTCTCCGGAGCACGTGGAGGGTCAGTAACGTCACCGTCATCTCTCTTGCGCTTTCTAGTCGCCGCCCTCTGTGCCTTGTCGTCCATTGTGAGGATCGCCCTTCCACACAGCGTGAGAAACTCCTCAATGACATTAGGGCCGCTGTATTCGGCCAGGAAGTTGCAAATGACTCGCTTGACGCCGGCCGGGAGCTCGACCCAGATAATGTTGACCGAGGCCGCACTGTCTGGCGCGGGATCCATGGAGACGGCCGTGGGCGCACAGCGTGCCAAAGAAGAACCCAAGTCAGGGAGAGGAGAGACAGTGACAATTCTGCCAAAAAAAAAAAAAGGAATCAAGAGTATGGAAGCGGCGCACCACGATAGAAATCGGTCGTTGGTGACAAAGGGAAGAGAGAAAACGGTGGCACGAAATGGGGATATGTCAAGGAGTGCAGCGTGGAGCTGCTGATCAGGAAAGAAAGCCCAGGATGAACCTTCGCAAGTGGGAGTGAATTTTGTGACAGTCGTTGTGGTAAGCTGTTGGGAAGGCGCGGCTAGGAGCCTGCACCTCCCAAAATAAGATGGCCTGCTGTGACGAGTCGGGCAACTGACAGTCTGTACTTGCACAAAAACGTCAGAGACGAAATGGGCCCATCTTGCAATTTTAATGGTAGCTACCTAGGTACCTACTTAAGTAGCTAGAAAGTCTGGGATACCAACAAGCGGTGCTCAGCCTTTAAGACCCAAACATCTCGCGGTCGTGTATCTTCTGCTTTACAGACCAGTATTGGTCCCACCACGGTTTCTCCCCCTTCTTCCTGTTTGGCGGCAGCCTCAAGTTGATGGTATGCTTCTCCCCCTTGGCCTCAGCATTCTTCTTCTTCTGCACATGGTTGCGGACCTCATAGTGATCAAACATGGACACAGCCTCAATCATGTACGCAGTTGCCACACGAGCGTCCCTGATGAGGAACAGGTTCTCCGCGTTCTTCAGGTCTGCCGCTGTGCTGAAGTTGTGCGAGCCAGTGTACACGCGAGCGTTGGGCTTATCGAAGTCAATGACCACGAACTTGTGGTGCATCCTCGCCCCCGAACCGCCGGCCGACTCGTCGTCGAAGCTCTCCGGGTACGCCACGGGCGGGTTGCCGCCGCTGGTCTGGAGCTCCAGCTCGTCGACCGACTTGTCCGACAGGCCGTAGACCATGATGCCCTTCTCCGCCGTCTTCTTCACGATGGCGTCCCTTATGACGCCGGGCGTCTGGTAGAGAAAGGCGAGCGAATAGAAGAGGCTCGACTGCGCGTTTGCGATGTCCTGCGCGATGCCGTCCAGGGTGCCTGCCTTGGAGCTGTGCGGCGAGAATGTCACCTGCGCGTCGATCCCGCCGAGCCCGAGGTCGTTCCACTGCGCCGACTCGGTGTTATAGAACCCGTCGGTGTCATTGGGGTGCTCCCAGTAGTTCTCAAATGCTTTGGTGAACACCTCCACTGGTCCACGTCCCTCCAGGGCGATGAGGTTGTTGTTTTGGACATAAAGGCCTCGCCACGAGAAGTTGGTCGATCCGCCGATGGCGATCTGGGTCTTCTTGCCGTCGACAATGATGACTTTGTTGTGGTGCAGACCACCCATGTGCTGACGCTGGACGTTATTCTTACCTGCAGACCTCTGCAGCATTACAGCCGCTTTGGTTTCAGCGTCGTCGGCTTCTTTGTGCGGATCGGAGTCATCAATGATGATCTTGACACGTTTCCCGATCTTCTTCAGGCGGAGGACAATCTCGGGGTTGTTCAGGTCATACGCGAGCACGCGTACCTGGGCCGTCTCATCCTCGATGGCCGAATCAAGGGCACCGAGCATGACCTCACGGGCTTCAAAGCCCATCCAGGATAGCGCCTTTTCCTGCAGCTCTGGGTCTCTGGGCCTGAATTCGAGTCCATCGTCGGCCTTGACGGGCAGGATGGTCCCCAAACCGCCATCGCTGCCGAACTTCTTGACAAAAGCCTTCGAGGAGACGAAACCTCGGGTAAAGGCAATGTTCATCTTGCCTGGGTATGTCTGCGCCATTATCTGGATTTTCACATCCTGAATCTCTCCATAGATCAATTGGTGGTCTTCCTCCCCACCCTTCATGAAGACAGGAGTGACTTTATAGCGGAAATACCCAGGGACATCTACCGTGTACGGGAAATGCACCCAACGAAACCTCTGGATCGGCGACCGACGGCTCGAACGGGCATCGGGCCCAGATTGGGGCGCCTCTCCGGGGAAGGTGAGAAAGTTGGGAATCTCCCGCCACTCGGTCGACTGGGGCTCCAGGTACTCAATCACGAACCCGACAAAGTCGTCGGGAGGCGTGTCTTTCTTCCAGTTCATGGCGAGCATACACATACCCTCTCCACGGTACACTGTGAAAGTGAACGGAGCCTTGGAGTTCTGACCTCTCACGATGAAATCAGGAGGTACCTCGTTGCTGGCTGGCACGAGGGTGTGTTTGCGCAGGGGTAGCGGCCCGGGGCCCGGCTTCTTGTGAGTCTCAGGGCTCCCGGCGGAGACCACGGCAGGTCTCTTCTTGGACTTTCGCGGCGGTGTACTCTTTCCGCTCGACGGCTCGTCATCTTCCTCACTCTTGCCCGCTGAAGTCTTCTTGGGCTTCCTTGGTGGTGTGCTCTTTCGGATTATGGGCACCTCATCCGCGCCCTTCTTGTCTGCCAGGGTCTCATAATCCAGATCCTCATCTTCGGAATTGACGTAATCCTCGTCCTCTGACTCCTCCGGACTCCAAGCATCATCCTCCTCGTGCTTGATTCGAGGCTTCGACTTCTTGCGGTCGGTGGTGGTTGAGACCTTGGGGGAATCCTTGGGGGCCGCCTTGGGGGGTGCTTTGGGGGGTGCCTTGGGGGTCGCCTTTTTAGCAGCGTTTGTTTGTTCCAGCTCCTCGCTCAATAGCTGTTCATTCACCATCTCCTGGACTTCGAGCTCTTCGTCCTCAAGCTCCTCATCCGTGGGCTTCCATGTCTCATCCTCCGGACGTTTCGTCCGCTTAGTCACCTTCTTGCGTTGCGGGACTGGAGATTTCTTTTGAGGAGTGGCCCGGGATGTCTTCTGGGATGAGGCTTTCTCTTCATCTTTATCTTTAGATCCATTACCCATGATCTCCTCCTCGAGGAACTCATCAGCGGCCTCTATGTAGGCATCTTCTGCCGACGGTCTCCAGGCGCCATCGTCGTCTCCATTCTGCCTGCCTCTTGCCATGTTGGGGCTTTCTAGGATGTTGAGATATATCCGTAGAGTATATGGTGATTGGAGTAAGTATGACTCGGAAGCAAAAAGCAAATTGTCGACTTTCTAGTTGGAAATAACAAAGTGTCTGAAAGGTTCTGAAATCACATCCAACCTCCGCCGCTGCAGGTTTGATCAAGATTTCTGAACGTATATTCTCCAGAAAAACGCCTGACACGTCACCGCCTCCATTTCTGGGGCAGTTCGAAACCAGATCCACTCGTTGTTGTGATACCCACTGGCTCCACAAGTACTTATTCAGAACCACCGGGGGTACGTGCAGTCTGCTGGGCTCGTGCGTCTGTGGCTGGTGAGCCACAGACTTTCATTCCTGTGACTACGGGAATTGGTCTGAAGAAGGCGGACCTGTGACTGCTTTCTGCCAACTTCGTTCATGTGGTAGATTTACAATGCCAGATAGCGGAGAGATCGTTTTGTGCTGAGTTAGAGATTCCGGGATGTAAAAGTCCGAATCACAAGCAGTATTGTTGAAAAGGCATTGACACATCAACTTTGCATGGTCCCTTGTTCCTGTCCCATTCCCTGGATTCAATTGTACTGGGCAGGATTCACATGCGGTCGTGTAATGATGTCTACGCTTCAGCCGCTTTGCAGGCATGCAAAATCGCGAATAGTCAGGTATTGCGTTGAACGAGAGCTGTGTGGCATGGAAGATAAATGAATGGATTGACTTGGGCGAGAAGGGTTCTATTGTATTGCCACCCCGGTCCTCCGAACAGCATCCATCTATCAACCCCTAATAGAGCGCTAGAAGCATTCAGACCTGTACCCGGCTCGTCATTTCCTTCGCATGGGTTAGAAAAGCCTTGCTCATCCACATTAAGCGACCCGAGGAAACTTACATCTTTGCGGCTCCTGCGGCCTACCAAGAGCCAAAAGACTGTGATGCGGCGGAGGGGAATCTCAAAAAGCGGCCGATCGAGATGCTAGGGACCAACGGTGCTTCTGGTCCAAGTTTGCTGGGGCATTAGTTGAATGTGGAGGGCGGGTGATTCCATTTTGTTTTAATTCAAAAATCTAGACAAGGAGGGTGTTGTTGCGTTGGTGTCGGCATTAATGAGCTCCCTTTGCGATTTGACAAGCGAGGACAGAGGCACTCGAGTACAAGCTGTGCTGCCAGGTCCTCGAGTGCTCAGTTTGAGGGGCCACGTGCGATCTCGAGTGGTAGTCCTTCGTTGCGAGAGGGTGAAGTAGATGACCAAAGCTTGTAGGAAGTAGAAATCGATGACTCAAGAGCTACTCTGATTCAAACACTGCTCCGTGGGGTCGATGAGGAAAGTTTCACTTGGTTTCGGGCGCGTCGTTCTCGCGTACATCTCCTTTCTTCCCAGGGACAGCGATGGAAGTGGACATTGGGGTGATTGGCGTCATGTGAGAGATGATCGCGGAAAATGCTCGACTGGTGGTGAGAGTGTAGAGACAGGGTCTTTTGTTCGAGAAGTATCGAAAGCCAAGGGGCCGTCAATGTTTTGCAGGCTGATTTCCGGTGCTGATGCTGCCGGTCGTTGTAGGGGTAGTTTAATCCTACTCATCAAGTCCATTCTCTTCCTTGACGTAATCGCTATCCTGATAGCGATCCTGCGCTTGCTAGGCTCCCAGGTAGGGTCCTTCTCAGGCACCTTGCGGGCTTTCTTTCGCGGCGTGTTGGACATGTCCACAGGTACCTCATTGTTCTCGCGCTCCTCTGCTCTATCATCAGAAGGCTGGTAACTCAGAGCCAAAGGAACTGGGGCAGAGAGCTTACCGCTTGAAGATGGCAGCGATCCAGTCGGCTGCTGCTGGAGATAGCCCCGAGTGAATCGAACGAGGGTGTCAAAGTGCTGCAACACGTCGGACTGGTCGCGATCGATGAGAGCGTCGCAAATCTTCTTTTTCTCGTCACGACTCAGCTCCACCCATAGCTCGCCAATGGGTCGACCAAGGTCGTCACCCCGTTGGTTGGACATGATTGTGGTCGGGGTGGTGACGTGTCAAAGAGTGATGTAGGCTGCAGTTTGGACAGCGCAGGCGTGGTGGTGTGTCGAGGGTGAGGCAGCTCAGCACATATGAGCTGGGTGGAGGGTTGCGTAGTGTATCAAGAGAAGTCTGAATCGGGCCAAGTGGGACCACAAACCTTTGGGGTGGGCAGGCTAGACGGGCGACGAAGGAGAACGTAAAGTCTGGAAGGAAAGTTGGGTGCTGGAAGTGAGAGGGCGGCGAGGTTGTCACAAACACGCTACCACGCTTATGGTGCTGCTGGATGCCTGGGTCAACAAAGACAATACCATGAGGCTGGCAAATTTGTGGGATGTCTGGGTAGGAAAACTACAGAGGGGCTGTTTGCGTTGACTAAAAGTACCAACTGGTGATAAAACGAGCACCGGTTAGATTCTGCCTCTAATCTGCAGCAACCGATGTCAAGAGAAACAGACTCGAACCATGACAAGACAATCAAACGCCTCAAATTCCAACCAAAATCCTGACTTCATCCCTCTGTAATCCCTCAATGTGCTTGAAGAATGAAGTAAAATCTCAACTCTCTTGAAAACTTTTGGAAACAACAGAGCTTCACGACTCCCGAATGACAGATATTTTAACACAAACTATACCCACGTGGTCCTGGTCCATGGCGCTGTAGAATCATGAAACTGACGACCATCAACCTGACCATTCACTCGCTTTCACCTGAGTCGGCCGGCTCGTGGAATTCGGGATGGCAGCCAGCCGCGTCGGGTCTACGGCGGCAACAGTTCCACGCTCTGCCTGTCATGCGAAAACCGTAGTTGCGTAGGGTCCGAAGTTCGTTGTTCGCGTAGTTAATGATTTGTCCTGTTAATGGTGTCACTCGTATGTTAGGATGAGGTCAGCGATCGTTCTGAATGGAGGCCACATACCGGGATGGTAACCACACGGAGGCCTGCCGTCCTCCTGAAGCACGTTGTCCTCCTCGAGATACCACTCGTCGCAAAGATCACAGAGCAGCCACTCTGGCTCTGGCTCTGCCTTCGGCTGTGGCTTTGGCTGCAGCTTCGGCTGTGGTTTCGGCTGTGGCTTCGGCTCTGGCTTTGGATCTGGCGTTGGCTCTGGCTTTTGCTCAGGCTTTCGCTCTGGCTCTGGCTGGACTTCCGGGCTTTTGTTCATGTAGTAATGATTGATCGTGACGTGGCCGTCGCGAATCAAACGTCGGGTCTGAAGTCTCTCAAACTCGAGGTCGCTAGTATCATGCATGGAAGTTTCGGCCGCGGCGTCTTCTTGCGGATCATGATGTCCATCCGTACTGGCACGATTGTCCATGTTGGGAATGTTCACGGAGGCTTGACTAGGCTCCGCTGATCTCTGAGCGTGCTCAGCAGCTTGTTGGGTCTACTAATGGTCAGTCCATGACGTTGTCAACCGCATCATGTACCGGGGATTGTCACCCACTGCATTCTCAGTCTTTGCCGACATGGCCCGCGACTTCAGTAAATGTGCTCTGTTCAGCCGGGCAGTCTTGAGGTCGGGGAAGTGAATCGTCGCATCGTAGTCGCATTGAGACCTGTCGCAGGTCGCGCGCACTGTCTTCTCAACCGTCACGAGCGCGTGTGCGTCGAAATTTTCTTCATCGATCGCGAAGCAGCGAAGAATGCTGCGCGCTTGCTCGACACCGAGATGGTCGATCAGGCTTAGCGTCTCGTCCACCACGCGCTCGCGTGCTTCGTCGCCGTATTCATTGACAGACATGGTTCAGGTAGGGTTGGTCCTGATGATGCGACGGCGAAGATGCTTGCGGATTGCTTAGGGAAGAGGCACGTACCGCATCAGGCAACTGGAAATGGTGGTCGAATGTGCTTGGGATGAGTGCCTGTTCGGGCAGGTACTGGTAGGACTGCGAACATGGAATGAAATTGGACAGGGCACCGAGTGGTAACTTTGCAAAAGTTCAAGCGTGAGAGCTTTGAGCCCTTGGAGTTGGAGACATTAACTTAGAAGGTCTGAGCTCTAGATTTGGCCATCAGCTGAGGAAGCCAGGTCTCCCGAGGTCGAGGACCAGACATTCTGGCGCAGCTCCCAAATATTGCACGCCCCAAGCTTTCCCGGCATCCGGTGCAAGCAACAACTTGCGTCCTTGTCACAAACTGTGACAGTCTTGCCAGGGGCATAATTTCAGAGTTTCTTTGTGTCATTTCGTAGACAATGGTGATGTGCTAGTTGACAGGTAGGGGGAGAACTCTGTCTGTCTCATGGTCCAGTCACCTCAAACCCCCTTATTCCAGCGACACCTGAATCCGTTGTAAGAACGAAAACCCACACAAGACGCAGGCAAAGAGCAGCGCAAAAATTTCCTCCCCACAGCGCTCCAAATTTTGTTTCTCCTGTCGTAGAAGGAGCTTGCAACACCTCGTGGGGAGGATGAAGTCAGTAGAACAGCAAAGCTTCGAAACTAGCAGACCTGACTTGCGCTATTCAGCAAACGTTTTTGCCCGTGATATCCTCACTTTAGCTTCCTCGAGTGCTTTCCTGGGCAGCATCCTAGTGAATCGGGATCCTGATGGCAGCAGTCCCATGCCACAAAAAGAAGCTGTCGCATCTTCTCTGTGCTATTCTTCAAACCTTGAGGATACCTCTGGACCGCGCCTAAAACCATGACGCGTTAGTATGATGAATATCATTTGAGGATGATATCCTCTGTCATCCAGGCTCCACATACCTGGATGGTAACAGCAAGGCAAGTTCAGTCCTTCGTTGTCAGCTTTTTCGTAGCGCTCCCCACATCTCGCGCATCTTCTTGGTCGGTTCTTCTTCTCGATCATTGGATCATCGTTCAGTACAGCATCCTGATCTTCCTTTCGATTCTGGACCTGCTCGTCATTCTGTTCTTCTTGCTCTTTGCACTTCTCGTCGTGCTGCTCGCTCTGCTCCAGAGCCTCAGGTTCGACCCTGGTAATCTCTCCTTTCTCCCTGCCAGTCTCTGGTTCCTTGGTCTTCAACAGCTTTCCAAGGGATTCAAGGGGAGATGCATGTGGAATCGAATTGTTGAAGTCCGTGAGCGAAGCCAGGGCCTCAGAGTACTGCTGATCCTCTGTCTCCGCGAAGGTGCGCTTGCGAGGCAGAATGGCTGACTGGGGTGTATCATGTGAAGTCTCCATGTATGAATGATAGTGTAGCGTCAAGTTTCCATGATTGACAATGGTGAGACCTTTGAGATCAAGAGGCCCGCTGGTAGAAGCTTTGATATCGTTTGATTCACCCGTGGCCTCTGCAGGCGCGGTCTCCCCAGCTCTAGGCAAGCTCGTACGTGGCGGAGTGCTTTTATTGTTGGCCGCGCTGTCGAGGGAGTTCTGGTGAAAGGTAGCAGAGACATGCTGAATTGGTTGTCGTGTCAGCTGAGTTTCCAAACCTGGAACAGTACGTAGAAGCGAGACTTACACCTGGGTAGCTGGCAAAGCTCTTTTCCCAGCTGGCCGCAGCTTTCAAGCTGGTATCACAGGTCAATGTTGCATTGACCCCTTCCCGAGGCACTTGGTGCAAAGTGCCGCTGATGAGGCCAGCAACGTGTGAGCACTGGGCCTCATTGAACACGGCATCGTCAATCGTAAGGTGGCGAAGGACAGCACGGATTTGGTTCTCCGTCAGCCTGTCGATCTGGAACAGGGTGTTGACGACCTCTCTTGAACGAGGTGATGAATCATCCATTGTGGTCGCCATTCATTATAGCAGTGTCGTGTGTGAGATTTGTAGACTGTTGACCGTCGAGAAGAGAGGTTGAAGAACTGCACGTCAATACGTGCTAGAAGTCTCAATGGCCGCTAGATAAGCTTCTCGAGATGGAAGGCAGTTTGGAGGGAAGAAGAGAGGAATGCTTGAAGGTAAGTCTCGATGGTGCACATCCGAGGAAATGGGCTTGCGGACCGCAATACGAGATTGCAAAGTTTCCCAAAAAGCCCAGGCGGGGAGAAGGGTACGTACGCAGGTGTGAAGGCGAGATGCAAGCTTGGGTGCTGAGCTGAAGACGCAAATCAAGTCTCTCATGTGAATTACTTTGAACCCAGGTACCTTCAATGGGCAGGGAGTGGGTTCCAATCCAAGTCGCTTCATTTGAGAAACACAAGTCGAAAAGATTCAATGACAGCCCATGAAAACAATCATTGGACACAGAACGAAGCGTCTGACTGTGTACTGGGCCGTCAAACACGGTTGAAGGGATTGCCAATCGCCAGAAACTTGAGTCCGCGTAGAGGAAATCTAGACCACAGACAGACTTTGGAATGGGATATTCCAGGCAAAACGTGGTGTCTTCAATGAAATATGCCGCGAAAGCCCAGCCCCTGATCCGAGTGCTAGGGGGCCTGGGCAAGTCATGACAACGAAAGCACATGTGCACCTGTGGCCGAACGGTACAGTTGCGTAAACCTCCTGTCTACTGTACATAAAGAGGCCTTCTGACCAGGAAGGAGGGCTTTGAGAGCGTTACTGTACAGCAGTATACAGCCCAAGGGTATATTTTTTCGACGGTGTATCGTCGTGAAGACAATTATTGAATCTCAACACATTGACATCAAAGTTCCGATTCATAGAAATGTCTTGGCTTCCGAATTCCAAATTCCACGCTCTCAGCTTCGTCACGACTCTGGTGATATATTGCCTTGCATCCTGGTGACTTTGGATCCAAAGCACGATCCCACAGTGGGCCCTTCGAGTTTGTTGTCTTCTGGCAGCAAGTCCAAACTTGGCTGAGTTGTCCATTCGGTACTGGCCATCCTATCCATATTAGTCGTTGCATTAGCATTGGTCTAGCCACTATGATGAGGTCAGGTCAGCAAACCGCTTACCTGGGTGGTATGAACAAGGTGAAGAGCCGTTCATCTTGTTTTTATTGTCCTCATCTGTGTACAGGCGGTCACAGATATAACATCGCGTCTTTTTCATTTCATAATGGTAGCCATTGGCGCATCCTCGGCTCTTCTTTGGCAGAGCAGAAACGGTATCATCTACAGACACTGCGCGATGGCAGCAAGTCCAGCCATGCCGGACGGTTCCGGCACCTAGCACAATCCGTTCAGGTATACCTGCGCAATTGTTACAGCTATCAGTCGTCAAAGGCCTGGTAGAACCGGCGTGCTGCTTACCTGGGTGATAGGAACAGGGGCTTAAGCCGTTGTCGAGCTCCCACAAGTTCTGCTCAGAGGTGAAATAGAGCTTGCAGAACTGGCACTGCATCTTCTTCATATCCTCGTATGCTGAAGTGGTCATTGAAAGAGCCGCTTCGAGAGTGTCCGTCTTGCCAGCGTTGATGTTCAGCAGATCTGCTTTCAAACTTTCCACGTAGTCCATGTCGAACCTTGCGTACAGATCTGCCAGATTCTTTTGTCCCAATTCATTGGTTGTTCGTAATTTTCTGGCCTTCAAGGCTGGTTTTCGGATGTTGCCAGTTGATTGTGGACGAGTCGCTGGAGGAGGCTGGTCTTGATAGGTCGCTGCTTGAAGGCTCGATGTGACGGGGATCAAAAGGGGCAGAGGCTGGTGGCGCTCCTTCTCACTGCTGTTCGGTTCCGAGGAGGTCTGATGCCTTCGGCGGAGAATGGTACCATACCACCATTGTGTCCAAAAAGCACGCTTATCACTGCCATGATCCCGACCCCTCACTCCCGACGCTGAAGAGGGCAGATCCATCTCCTCAAGGTCCTTATTGTCGCCGAAAAGTGTCTCTTTCGGCATTGAGAACGAGCCACTGATTCCACGAGCCTCAGCCGGGGTTGCTTCGTCCAGGGTTTCATCCGGAGGTTGTGAAGCAACAACGTTGACAGTTCCCCGCGATGGGGTACGTTGGGAAGACTCTGCTTCGGAGCAGGTTACGAACGAGGCGGCCGAGCTCGAGTCTTCTTCCGGCTCATCATCTTGTCCCTGGGTTCCTTGATGCGAAATGGTGAGGCTACGGCCGTTGACACTCGGAACCTTGGAGACTTCAACTCTGCGGTGATTCCGTCCATCCTACGCCAAGTCCAGATGTCAGTCAACAGCAATCAAGTCTCGGGTCTGTCGTGACCTACGTGCCTAGACAAGAAGTTCGAGACTTCTCAGAGCTTCAATGCGTCTGACCAGGGTCTCAAAGTACACGTAGACGGGTAGCACTCACCTTGCCAAGCTGCGCCAGTAGCCTGCGCGCGTCGCGAGTCTCGTCCTGGATGATTATCTGGAAGGCCATCCAATCCGAAAGCTTGCGGGTGTCATCTGAGCGCTCGTTGAAGAGGATGTCGTGGAGCATGTCAACCAGCTCCTCTCGGGACATCGTCTCGAGGAGCTTGGTGGCGCGCTGCAAGTCGTGTTGTTGCCGCTCACTCTCGCCGTCCATGGTTGATCTTGATGCGGGACCGTTGTGAGGTGGGCTCAGATTTTGAAAGTAAGACAAGTTACGCAAGACTTCCCACTTTTTTCATCTCGATGAGAGACTCAAAATGCTTAAAGACGGCCTTGGGACAGTGGCTGGTGTTGGCTGAGGCCGGAGCGAGATACCCAGGTGTCAGCGTCAAATTCAGGAGAGCGGTGGGGTAACTGGACTAGGGCGATCAACAAAACAAATGCTGCCTGAGTTCTCCGACCTGGCGGAGGAAAGAAGATAAAGTAAAGTTACATGCACATGGGACCTGCCGGAAAATACGTATGTGCTTACACTAGGATACCGACGCCAACCATCGGTGCTCCAGGGTATTGGAAAGCTGCGGCATTGCTGAAGCAGGCTTTAAGTATCACTGAAATCCTCCAACGATGTGACGGCTGAGATCTCCAAGGCCGGCTCATTCTAAACAGCCACTCGATACTGATTAGTCACTCAATGAAACGAAGCTGGTTCTCGTCGTCAAAAATGTGACTTTGAGTGGGGTGCTACCTGGATAAAGCGTCAAATTCATTGGCAGAAGGTCAATGACCTGGGACATTGATTGTCGTCCCGAGAGCAGTATGGTTTTCTGACTCTTTCATCTTCCGCTCCTTGAACGCGTCATTTCGTCATCCATGATCAACCCAAAAGTTTTCAAATGTGACACTGGCATGGCCCGAGCAATGTCCTGCTCAAACCATCTTCCAATGGACCCAATCACTACCAGCCCTTTCCCACCGAAGTCTTGGTTATTGGGCGCAATCAGTACCCTCCGATTTCTAAAGTTCCTCATACTCCAACGTCTCATATCCCAAACTCTGAACTGCAATGAGAGGCTGAGAAACCACCTGAACCTCCAAGAGAGCGTTTGCCGCATATGAGAGAGACTTTTCCCATAGATCCACCACATTTCTGAAAGGCACAGCTTCAGGGAGATCCGAGTCCATGTAGTGAGTAACGCACAGTTTTGCCACAGGATTGTGATCATGGGAGTGCCGGGATGACTGGAGGTCGAGGGCGATCTTGGTGGCGCGGCGAGTGAATGTCATACCGTTGTTTTCTTGTACGCGATAAACGTAGCTCATCGCCATGTCCAGATGCTGGATGCGAGGCATGTATCTGATGGCTCGGCCAACTGTCAACATTAACTCGTTGATCGCGACGTAAATTTCATCTTCCATCTCAAAATGGAATTCCCCGATGGTAAAATGGGTTAAATCTGGCCACGCCAGCGGCGGTGGTGCATAGGATTTGAAGCTCGCAGTCGAAAACGGGGCAAGAATTGTCCGTAGTATGGGTAGAGTGAGTTTCCCAAAAGAAAGCTTGCGAAGCCTCTGCGAGAAGGAGAATGAAGCAGTGCAAAACATGACTTGAAGCTCATTACTCGGGCTCCAACCGCTAGAGCATTTGACCTCCAGTCCTTCGAGATTCGGGGCGATGTGAGACAGAGAGTTGTAGAACACTGTTTAGGCAGGTCAACGTCATTTTAACACCAGGACTTGATTTGCAAGGAGACCTACACTGTATCTGAGAATCATTATCCTGATCAAATTCGAAGAGATTAGGCATCACCAAGACCGCGATGGCTCGGAGACGAGGCATACGTGAAAGTAGGGCCAGGATAGATATTGTGTCTAAGGCATCCCCGAACAAAGTGCGGAAGTAGACGATCTGTGGAGCGGTAGGCAGATTTACCAGTCCTGTGTGCACTCGCTGCGCAAACGCCTGTCGGGCTTCGTTTCCTCCCCCGTTGTTCTGGCCAGCCGGCAGAATTTCAAAGCGGAGATTGCCATTGCCTGTGCCGCTTTCGTGCCACTGCGCAACACAATTGAACACTTGAAGAATGGGCGAGGTCACTGTGTGGACCTTGTCCTCTTCAGGAAGTTCATCAACTTCCCGAGACACCCGGATCGCTGGTGCAAGGTTGCGAATGCGCAGACAAATGTGTTGGAGATACTTCCGTCGATTGCCCACGATGTAGCGTTCAAGGAGAGTCAGGTTCTTGGTCAGGCCTTCGTTCGCCCCATTCAAGATCAGGCGATGAAAGGTGACGGCCTCAACTGCATCCCGCCATTCCGCGTCAATGCAGGCATATGGGGCCAACCGAAGACAGCATCTGCATCGAAGAACGCTGTGTTCATGGTGCGCATCCGCAATGACGAAGCTCCGAATGTTGTCACGGAGCTCCAAGGGCAGCGAATTGTAACCGACGTCATCATCGGCCTGGATCTTGACACCACGCTGCTTGAGAACATCACGGGTGCGTCGATCTTTCAGCGCTTTCGCGAGGCTGTCCGCGCCTATTTCGGTCTTCGTCAATTCAGACAGAAGGCTTTCGAAGTCGAAAGTTCCTGGTTGATTGGCAGGCGGTGTTACCGCACCGTCGCCAAGGTCCTGGGATGGGCTGCCTGGCATTCTGGACGGCGTCAGCATTTCCGCGAGGCGCAAGTCTCGATGATGGAGAGTTTCGTGGATGTACTTACGTGACGTGACGTGGGATCTATCCTGATTGATCGGTCATGCGCAGACACTTTGTCGGGGAGGCGGATTGCGGCTCGTGAAGTCGGAAAGCTGAGAGGTTTCGACAGGTTTAGGTAGGAAGGCTGAAAAGATGGATTGGTGGAAAGTTGGGTGGCTGGGGGAGAGTTGGGGAGTGGAAGGCTGAGAGTAAAAGCTCAGGTTTTGGGCAACAGACAAGTGAAGATGGCCCAGGTAGATCTGGGTCGGCCTGTTACAACTTGCAGAGCTGCCACAGTACGCAGGTATGGAAAGGCGTCACGGCCAGTGAAGCTCGAGGTAGAAGTTGAAAGTGAGGAATGGAAGGTGCCAGATAATGGCTGCTTGAAAGCTGCCCATGGAATTCAGAGAAGTTGGTCCAGCTCATGGGTATGCTGCAGAACTTTTCCGAAGGCACAGAGGTGATTTGGGACAGAGATCAAAGGCCAAAGCAAGCATCCCTAGGTATGCAGGGCTAGACGACAAGCTGCTAGAGCGTGATGGATGGCCAAGAAGCGCAAGGAGATTGCCTCACAGGACCTGCGTCCTGCTTAAGCAGTTTGCAGCCCAAGTTTCTGGCATCTTGGGCCGGTAAGCATTCGCAAGTACCTATGTAGGCACCCGGAGGTACCTAGGTAGTGAGCAGTCTCTGCGCTGGGGAGCGGGTAAGCGCAGTCAGTGGTTGCAAAGTTCCAAACAGATGCCACGACCAATTCTCCCTGCATTCCACTCGCTGGAGTAACTTTCTGAGCTCCGCCTACTTATAGAATATCTACCTCAATGGCGTGCATCTATATCAATCGGGGTCCCGCGGTGAAAATGCTGTCGTATTTTAACGCCACTGAGAAGCCTCTCTGCCACTTTCTAAGCTGGTCTGTCCAACAGCACGGATGTATGAGACTTTGGGCTGGCATCCTGTGTTAATAAGACCTACGGGATGGAGAAGTGGGCATTCCCAGAGACTCTTGCATTCAGACAGTTAGAAAAGCCCAGCGGCTGACCTTTTCAAAGCTTTGGATGGTCAAAATCTCGTCAAGCCACACGTAATCAGAAGACCTCCTGGCTCCGGGAAAGTTACGAAGCATCTCTGGCCAAGACCAATCTTTGAGCCTTTCCCATCACATACAATCTGTTCACAATTCCGTACGTCGTTTCGCCTTTGCACAGGGTAAGTTGAGGACGCTGACAGATCTGCATGTAAACGCAGCTTGCCACCACGTGGGTAGCCGTAGGACTCTTAATGGAAGACACTCGTCTGACTACTGTAACCTCATTAGATGGCGGTCCAGCGAGTCAGGTCCACATTCAACGACACTATGTCTCATTTCATATCGACGACTTCACTTTGCAAATGATTCCTGGAATCGCATGTAATCGCATTGAGATGCCATTGTTAAGAGACATGGTCATTCTCACTACAATTCGTCAATCTCCAGCCTACCTCTACTTTAAGAGCTTTTGTCTGTGCGCCCTCGTCTCTCTCTTTCAGACCACCTCTGTCTCATCGCAGCTTCCAAGGATCAATGGGAGCCTTCATCTGGCACGTTCGCCTGGGAAGGCCAGAGCTAACACCCCACCTACTCAACGCAATGGCAGACGTCGTGTCTCTCGAGTGTGTACGGTCCTCCAGAGATGGCAACAGAGAGCGATGGATCTGGCCCGAATCAAGCACCTACTGCGCCGCGATGACAACGACCTGAAAACTTATCCAGAAATCAGCCTTGATGCTTTTGTACGGCGATCGTCTTCATTGAACAAATATGAGCAAGCGTTCATCAACGCCCGCCGAAGTCGCATCTCCTGTCAGGGAAATAAACACTTGCACACATTCCTAGGCTTGGCTGAAGATGAGGTTGTCGACTCCCGAGACGTTCCGCTCATCGCCTTGGGAGGCTCGGGAGGCGGGTACAGAGCCATGTATGGTTTCGCCACTTTCCTTTCGGTAGCCAAGAAAATGGGACTGTGGGACTGTCTGACATGGACAGCAGGCGTCAGTGGAAGCTGTTGGACTCTCGCAGGATACTATACTTTTGCCGGTCAGAGTGTGTCAAGGCTCACACAGCATTACCTTTCTGTTGCGAGAGAGCTGACCCATCCCTTGAGTTTACGTGCTCTTGATACAGTGGCCAGAAGTAGCCAAGGCATCTATTTCCTCCTTGGCTCGTTGATTCGAAAGGCCGGTAGCCCTGGCCGGGATATTGGTCTCGTGGTGATGGATCTGTATGCCACTTTGACAACTACGTACCAGTTCCTTTCTCGTCAACCCGGATCGAAACTCAGCAGGGCTACCTTGCAGTTTTCAAAAGTCTGGAAACACGCAGGTCTTGATCACGGGGCGGAGCCAATGCCTATCCTCACCGCCGTAAGGAGAGCTCCACCGAACGAGCGCGGAGTTGAACCACATGCAGACTCTTCCATCAGCAAAGGTCAACCACCAGAAAGAGCCATGAAGCAACACGAATCGAATTTAAGCACAATTGTTCCTTCGCGTGGACAGAGTCATTCTCCACCAGATTCTCAGGATAATCTGGACAGCTCTCTTGCCAACGGCTTTTTTCAATGGATGGAGATTTCACCTCTTGAAATCGGCAATGCCGATGTTGAAGCCTACATCCCAACCTGGTCCTGGGGTCGAGCGTTTCGATCCGGAAAGTCCATCGATCGCTGCCCTGAACAATCGCTTTCTCTCATTCTCGGGCAATGCACCAGCGCACCAGCAGGGCCTATCACCGGCTACATGTCTGCTCGGCTGGCTTCACTCCCAAAAGGCACACTAATGTCCCGTGCCCTACTTCTTCTTAACAAGCTTGCTCGAATGAAACGATGGGAGAGCTTCTGGGGCAATCCAATCCGGGCCGGGCAAGATCCGAACCCCTTCTACGGACACACGCCAGAATGGGAGCGGCAGACCAAGATCCGGCTGATGGATGGTGGGATGTCCAACAACCTCCCCAATCACGTCCTAGCACGCCCCGAGAGGGCAGCCGACATTATCATATCGTTCGACACATCGTCGGACGTGCAGACTGGGGCAGCTACCAGGCGCATGTACAACTTTGCCAAGGACTGCAACATACATCTTGAAGATGTTACCGCATTATCCGATCCACCTCGCCCACGTATAGCCACGGATGGGAAAGAACTCTCCACAGCCGCTATGGAACTGGAAAAGAAGTTCCTGCATATGTACGCGAGAGTGTTTCACGGAGGAAGGGAAGATGGGCGAGAGCTCTACATAGTGTACTGCCCTCTCCTCCCCAATGCTGTGCGACCGGGTTTTGACCCTTCAGTAAGATCTTCTCCCAGCGCATAAAGCAATGTTAAATGTGGACGCATGGCTAGAAAATTGTGACTGATGACCAGATAGACTACGGCTTTCTCCACTTCTTACAATCTTGCCTGGACTCCAGAACAGATCGAGTTGCTCCTAGCCACATCCGAGGCCAATGTTGAGCATTACGCCACGCAGATGATCAAGCAGGTCGCACATAAGGTGTATCGTACTAAAAAAAGAATAAGATTGGAACAGAAGGATGCCTCAACTTGGAAAGACATTTGACCTTTCACTCCACCCCAGGCCACAATATAACTGCAGTTCTCGGCTCCGCCGATGACATTGGCGATGACAACAGAGGCCGAGCAAAGCACGATTCGGTTCATCTTGGCGTGTGCGAGCAGAAGTTGCTGCAGTATCGAGACTTTGAAAGTACCAGGATGACAATGAAACACCGCCGCGCCATGCATAGTGCCCAATGCCAGTGGCCCCCCCACAGTCTGGCAGCGGTCACCCATCAATTGATTGAGCAACGCCATGCCTGCCTGCAAGTGGGTACGCAAGAGCTTATACCACATGTCGGCTGAAATGTGGGGGAAGTGGACGCTGCCCGGCCAATCTCTTTGTTTGGTAAACAGACTCTGCCTAAGATAATGGAAGCTTAGGAAAACTCTGGAGTGTCATCAACACAGTAGACATGGCTCTTTGCACAAAGCAGATAGAGACTTGTGATGAGCCTGAGATATCTGCCATCGGAACACACTGCAGCAACAGACAAGCTACTTGCCATCTTGCATCATCAAGCCGTTTCATTCGTTTCTACGTTTTACATCATTGCACCCCTTAATCTTCTAGGGTCTTACAAGCAGGCTAATGCGCTCCAAATTCAGACACAAGTCCACCGCCTCTGCCAAAACTCAAACGTCCAAATCCAGCCCGTTCTGTTTCACAAGCTCCCGAGACTTCTTCCTCCTCTTCATCATGTGCCGGTGCTCCTTGAACCCATACACCAGCGCGTTCACCAGCCCGGTGAGCTGCGTCGTCGCCTGCGCCGCGATGAGCCACTGCTCCTGGCGCCCGGCCAGCTCCGCGAACCGGTTCGCGAGGCCCGGTATCCAGACGACGATGTAGGCCATGGGGAACAGCGACAGCAGCAGCCAGTGCCTCGTGTCGTGGTCGAGCCGGCTGCTCTGGATGACGCGGATGCGCGGCTTGATCCCCAGGCGCTGCTGCGCGCCGAGCTTGGACTCCTGCGCGGCCTCGAGGCCGGTGGTCTTGTTGCGGTCGGAGCTGGTGCGCGTCACCGCCTCGCGCACGGTGGCGGGCATGGTGTGCTTGCCGCGGATGAGCTCGTTGTTGCTCATCATGGTGCTGACGTCCGAGGCCGAGTCGGTGTACATGCTGAAGGAGTAGCTCCGCTGCAGCCTGGGCTCCTGGTTGCGCTTCGAGAGGCGGCGGCGCACGCTGAAGAAGACGGCCACGTAGATGCCGATGACGGCCAGGAAGATGGCGAAGCGCCAGCCGTGGCCGAGGGCGTACCGCAGGTAGGGCGGGTCCTGCGCGATCCAGCACCAGTTGCCCGTCACGGGCTCGATCTTGTCCGTGACCAGGGCCAGCGACGCGGTGAAGAAGGGCATGGCCCACACGAAGAGGCAGATCAGCCGCTGCTCGGTCGTGCTGCAGTGCATGATCCAGCGGTTGAAGTTGACGGTCAGCAGGGTCACGACCGCGATGGCGAGGACGGAGAAGTCGGCGGCCTGGACTGAGATCTGGCCGATCCAGCCGTTCATGTCACAGCTTAGGCCGAGCTTGAGCCATTTTTGTGTCGAGACGACTATGCTCCCGGAGATTGTGTTGTTGAATGAGTTGATGAACTCTGCAGAGTGATGGTCAGTACACATATGATCGATAGAACACAGCGGCTAATGGGGCTTTCTACGTACCAGCAATCGTCAAGTTCATCACCAGTGCGTATCGAAATGAGTGTTTCTCGTCGTGGCTCGAGAACGCCCACATCAGGATCACCGCACCTGTGGCAACCGCAGACAGCGTGCTGCACACCAGGGTTGGGACCGCAACCCAGGGCTCGTAAGGCATATTGGCAGTAACGTTCCGCAGAAGGAAAGTGCCGGGATACTGGCGAGTTCTCTCGAGTTTTGTGGAATCGGTATCGTATAGGTAGGGCTTGTCGATATTCCCTGACGTCCTTCTAAAGTTCTCCGAGCTGATATCGTCGAGTATAGCAGGCTCAAATGAGTGCTACTTTCCTGGTATTGAAGCTCCCCGAGTGAAGAAACGAAAGAATGGAGAGCCGGCTCCAAAGTCTCCCTGGGACTTCGTTGTCGTGAACTTGCGAGTCGTCGCGCCTCAGTGAGTGTCCAGCATGATTGATTGGATTATAAAAAAGGAAAGAGGGAATGCGGTTCGCCGGTTGGAATGGAGCAGCAAGGGTGCGCAGCCCCAGACTTTTACAATCCGACCTGCAGTGTCTGTGTGGGCTCGGAGGAAACAGGAGTGGGCTGCGAGTCAAACAGGTTGCACTCCGTAGGGTAATGGATCTCGAGGTCTGTGGCAATTTCCCGAGACCCTCCTTGGGGAGACCATGTGTGTTGGTGTAGTGTAGTGACCGACGCCTGCGCAGGAGGCACGGAGTTTGAACGGATGCAGTTGCCGATGGGTGGATGACTGCAGACGAACCCTCACCGTTCGCTAAGTCCTGGGCGAGCTGAATGCCGGATATCAATTCCAAAGTTAGAATCGAATTTGCGCCTATTGGCTTCCAGCAGCAAATCAGGACGAGATGCAGGGCGTTGAGAGGGCGATCATACCGATTGGCTGACTCGTATGCGCGAAGCCTCGCCTCCAGCGGCTGATCAAAGATCGCCATCCTTGCCGACAGCCCCCTTGCTGCTGCAGATGATCTGAATTGCTGCCAGATCAGACTTTCTTGCTGTCCTCCTTCCTGGTTGGTCTTTAGGCCGTGCAGTGGGCTCGGCTACATTGGGCGGCGCCATGTAGCTAAATGCAGGTGCCGGGAGATCAACCACACTTGTACATCACCAGAGAACTAGTGTAGAATGCATTTTCAGGCAATGAACATGATCACGCCCGCGAAGAGTTGAGTCTGACGAGGTGGAGCCTGCCAAAATACAGTTGAAATCCCACCACGTGGTACACCGGTATTCCATCCAGGTCAGAGCCTGTGCAACTGCCTGTGCGACGGAATTCCCTTCGCCTGGGAGTCGGTGCCACCGTCATTGTCTCCACCATTCCCCACGATCCTGGCTGGCGACTCATGTCCATAAAGGTCTCGGGGTCTACAGGGCTGTCGGAGTCGTCTGAAGTACTGCCATTGAAACCCGTCCGAGACTTGACTTGCCAAGCTGGCATCCTGAGACGTCGTGACATCAATCCTTCAGACTGCTCGCATTCGGGCGGGCGGCAGTGCTGAACTGTATCAAGGCTGGGTCAGGCAAACACCGCGATTTTCTGTCTAGATTGGAGAGGACGTCGCGACGGTGGGCCTCAAAATTGCCGGCCTGGTAGCGAAATCCTTCAGCGGGAGAAGAACCAGCTCCCGTGTGTTGGTACCCACAGCTTGTCTGTGGGCCTGATCCTGATGATGGGGAATTCTTCTCCGTGGCTCATTCTGCGAGATTCGACTGGCCTAGTAGTAGTATAGATATTCATACACCGCTGTCATCTCTCAACCCTTTCAATCTAATCGACATGGGGTTGTGTGCTGAGGTTTACGGTGATAATCCGGGGGGGGGGGGTTTCAAGTATCCGGCAATTACGACGCCGACAGTGAAAGGAGAAGTTTTCCCAGGAGAGGTCGACATCTGCAGCCCAATATCGAATTTCGGCCCTCGAGAGCATTGTTGTCGGCACGATCCAAGGACAACCTTTCGCCAGGGGCGACATCGGCGGATCATCCCCCCTGAGCATAGGTTGAGCTGAAAGAGGCAACAATTGTGTGGTGAAAAGATTTGAGCACTCTGAACAAACAACCGACCTGATCCTGGGCTCAAGCAAGTTAATCGCTCATAAAACTCTGCTCCGGGCTGAGAAGCAAGCTCTCTCTCGCCGAACTAACCGAACAGAGGGCCTTTGCCATCAACATGACTCCTTCCGGCAAGATTGCCGATGCTTGAGTGCGCAGTTGGTGCTGGAAAGGCCGGAGATCAAGTTCGAGGATTTGTCCCCGAGGGCGAATATTAATCCCTGACTCGGATTTTGAAGCATCACCGTCATGTCAACGATGGCATCGTGAGACTCTGCTTTGTGAAAAATACTCCTTTCAACCACGAATACGATGTAGGTCATGTTTGATCTGAATTTGAATTGTTGTATTGCACACGTCGTCAAGGCTTACTCTAGGGTCAAATGAAGTCAGCCAGCCGTTTCGCTATTGTACAGCATGTATTCACTGTCAATAATCGTATCGACCACGTTGACAGAGTCCAAAATTGCTCGCCCGGGCGATGCAATATATGACTCGCCGTGTGGTTCGTCCAGGCCTGCTTCCTTCAGATATACACAATCGCAAGGTTGCAAATCCTGTTCAACGAACATAGGAACATTGAACAAGAGAGCACTACGAAGAAACAGAAATAATAGACCGATCAGAATCTGTGTAACTTATCGAACTGCTCAATACCTTCAAGACGTCAGGCTGAATAATTGCAAAGCAGTGAGGTATATGCGTAGAAGAGTCATGCTTTCAAGCTCATGAGTCTTCCCGAGGAGTGTATTGATTTAATAGTGAGACTACACCCCATTTATTTTTCTGTCAGTGTGGCGTACATATCTAGCCTCTAATGTTTCTTATGATTGGTTTAAATGGGTATCGCCCAGTTAAGGCAGGGGCTAGTAGATTGAGGATTACTTTTGGTCACACCACATACTAGAGAAGATGGGATCCAAGTTCTCAGTGCTCTAATTTCATACTTCTTTTGCGGTTCACGAGGTTGGATGCTTTCAAAAAGACACAGCCGAGCACCCCTCGAGTTTCGAGGATACCTGACACTTCACAGAATACCAAAAAGCAGGCCCTGCATGAGCCTCGAGAATTTGGAGCTTTTAGGCATCATATTGAATTGAATTACAGTGCCAGGAAATCCACATTTGCATCACTGCTCGATTCTAAGACCGAAGCTAAGGAGAGAGCCGTCATTTGCAAACTGATCATCAACGGTCTCCGGGTCTCTCAACTTTTGTACAGGCCGCCTCTACTGTTGCCAGATATGATTGGAAAAAGGGCCTCCAAAAAGGTCGACAGGGTTGAGGATCAAAAAGACCCTTCCAGGCCACCAGCCAGGGCGCGAACGCCCAGGTGGATCAGAATTCAGAACCCCCCCCCCCCCCCCCGCCCGCCCGGCCGACTAGAACGGCCAGTGAGCATCCTCAGGATTTTGCTAATAGCCAACGGGACTTGAACTCAGGACCACGGGGGCTTTCGTGCCCTCCAACTGTCCCGAATTGGCGACCCCGCCAGTTGTCGAAGTTTTCGTGAAAGGCGTTGCCCAAGAAGCTGGAGTCTAGGATCAGATGAATTGTGGGAGAGGGGAACTTTGTGTCCTTGTGGGGGCGGCTCTTCCATGACCTCCCGATGCGTATAGCACTTCTTTCCAGAGCTCGGAGCGGTCCTTCGGTCTCCCCCCCTGCCAATTCTGCAAGTCGACACAATTCCGTTAGTATACTTCGAGGCGAAACAGCTCAAGACTCAATCTGGATAAGCCTTGCACAGATCATGCCTGCAATGGAGAGCTGTTCCGAAGTAAACTGAGGAACAAGATGCACTGAGCGACATAAATTGGAGTAGTAACGTTACAGCAAAATACCAGACAATGGCATCGCACTTGCGAGACGATATGCAACCTCCAAAACACTCCAGTGACAAGTATGATGAGAGAAATTAAAAGATCAACCGCTGATCAGCCATGCGGATGAGATTTGTATAGAGAGCGCGGAATGGAATCGGTGTAAGCCCACGTATTTTCTCCGCTTGGCTGGATCTCCCGAGCCGTGGGTAATCTGCGGGAAAGAGTACAGTCGGTGTTTGAAAGCGATCCCGATGCATTGCAACCTGGAATCTGCAGAGTAGTACATGATGCTACTCAACACCCCCATGGCTTGACCACCTGTCATCCACACCCTGTGGAACAGCATGCCCGTTGGCAGGGCGGAGGGGACAGGGGTTTGCATTTGTACCGTGGCTCTGAGCCTGCGTGGACTACTAAGACGACTCCATCAGGATTACACAAACCCCACTGAGCCGCAAAGTCGTGCCTGGGGCCAACCCCATCTCTCGGCTGTGTTGGTCGACGCAGTGCATGCTGCTGTGCGGACTGGGCGGGCAGCCACCGATCTTTCCGAGGTCGCCGACCATGCAGTAGCCGGGGATTGCACGTGGAATAGTACGTTAATGCAGTATAGTTGGGAAATGACGAGCGAAGACAAAGGGAACCATCCCATTGTGTCCTACTTGGGAGGTTGAGCTTGACCGACGACAGCCGAGGCTTTGCCACCAAGGCATGCCTTCTCCCGGCGGTGGTCTGATGAATTGGGGCATGCAACTGGGGACTGTCGAGAGCCAAGGGGAATTCCGTAGCAAATGGCTACCAAGGGACAGAAAACCCTGAGTATATGGTTGGGTTTGCAGTCTCCCAACCAGCCAACATCACCAACCAGGACGAGGAAGGATGCGAAGATGGGGATCAATCCTGCTGGCCAGGCAACATCGAGATGGTGTATCACACTGAGCGAATGCCTGAAGCTTCGGCCAGCGAAAATGGAAAATTGATCTTCATGCTGAGCAATATGAAGAATAGAGGTGGGGAGGCCCGGGGCGGTACAGCGGGTGGCTGGCGGGACGAGATGATGGCAGATTACCTAGGTATGGCAGACTGGTTGAGGCGATGTTGTCCGGCTTAGTCAGGGGGCGGAGGACGGGGGAATATCTTGCCTGTCAGGCCTGTCTTTGCTGCACGGGAGAGGGGAGGACCCACTGGGCCGGGCTGGGCTGGCGGGGATGACAGAGCAAGTGCAAGGCCAGTCGGGTCACCCCGCGGAACTTTGACAGCCAGCAGCAGGTGACGATCAGACTGATTGATGAGTGAGAGACGAACTGATGACTGGCAGACAGACGGACAGACAACCAGACAATCAAACCTGATGTCCTCCCGAATGCCGACCAACATCTCTCACACACACACACACACACACACACACACACACACACACACATCATCCAGCAATCGCCGTCCCTTGCATCTGTCATGATTGCGACGGCGAGAAACTGAGCTGAGGATGCAGGCAAGGACGCGTTGGCTAAGCTGGAGTCGCTGCTGGTGACCAACCGTCGGGCAGGCTCGGTACCTTCGTTGGTCCTTTTTGCAGCACGCCTGCATGGCCTCACATTACACTGCGTCGCAGTTACCTCGCACCACATCGGTCGACCTTCCTCAATCAGGGGCCCAGAGCCGCCATTGCACTAATACCTGTAACGCCCTTGTGTGCCGCCCTCCCATGGTCCGCCAGAGAAAACGTGCGAATCCACCCTGGCAGCCTGACTTGGTCTCCCCGCTCGACCACGCCCGCCCGGAAGAAACCTTGCTGGCCAACAACGACATTGCGCCTCTCCAGTCTCCTGTTGAGAATTGATAAATGACTGCTGGGTGACTGTCGACGTGCATCCTGGGGGCGGAGAAATCTGTCCCCTTGTGCTGATCCTGGTCGTCATCCTGATTCCGCCCCAGCCAGAAAAAATCCATACATACACCGCAGATCCGCAGCGGCACACCTGAAGAGCCGCATTGTCTGATTGTCCTTTTGCTTACCAAGGGATCGGGAAGAGAAAAGGAAAAAAACGTGGCGCTCCCCGCTGCTCGCCGTGCTTCTTCCTCTCCAACTTTCCGTCTGTAGCGCATACGCAAGACACACTACTGTCAAGGGAATCGTCTTGGAAGCTTTGCTCGGAGCCTCCTCACTGGCCAGCCAAGCCCCAAGAGGCGCTTTTCCTCACGTGGTTTCGCGGATTCGCACAGGGAACCACTCGACGAGGCCCCCAAGCCGGGGCCATCTTGCTGACTGCAGCCTAGGTGCTTCTCTGGGCTCTGCTGCAGGGCGCTGAGCCGGGCCGGGCTGGGCTGATGTGAGACCCTCCACCACGGAAGAGGACCCCTCCCGCTTCTTTTTTTTCACCACACAGCCAGCTCCTGTCTGCCGATCGAGCCTCTTCTGCCCCTACCCAGCAGGAAAAGAAACCGTTTATTTAGGCGCCGTCTGTCCCGTCTTGGGGATCGAGGGCACAATGGACATCCGCGACCTGTTAATCGATCCGCCGCCCGACATGGTAGCAAACCAGGACGGCACACTTTCCGCAGCGGCACGACCTCCGCCCAGCGCTGGCGACCACGAGGCCGAAGCGACAGCCGGCCAACCAGCAGCGGCAGCCGAAATCCGCTCTGCTCTCACCTCTGCGCCCACGCCTCACGATGATGGATATGCGCCGGCTCACAAGCCGACGTACGACGAGACCCCAGCACAGCCAGACTCATCAAATGATGCACCTGCGGCCTCCGCGAATGAGATCACCTTCCATGACTCCTCCGCCGCGGCCTCGGGCTCCGGGCCCGGCTCGTCGTCCGGCGGCGGCGCCGGCAGCAGCACCCACCCGGACTCGGACAACGCCAGCCTCAACGCGCCGTCGAGCTTCTCGGTGGGGCTGAGCATCGACACGGACGACAGCGACGCCGACTCGGCGCTGGGGTCCGTGCGCGCGCAGTCGTCGTCCGTGTCGGCGTCGTCGTCCATCTTCGACTTTGTCGAGGAGCACGGGCGCACGTGGCACCGGTACCACGAGGGCAAGTACTTCATGCCCAACGACATCCCCGAGCAGGAGCGGCTGGAGCTGCAGCACTCGATCAGCGTGCGCCTGTTCGGCGGGCTGAGCCTGGCGCCCATCGACCGGCCCAACCGCGTGCTGGACATCGGGACCGGCACCGGCATCTGGGCCATCGAGTTCGCCAACGAGCACCCGGAGTCGGACGTCATGGGCACGGACCTGAGCCCCATCCAGCCCGAGTACGTGCCGCCCAACTGCCGCTTCGAGGTCGACGACGCCGAGGACGAGTGGGTCTTCAACCACCGCTTCGACTACGTCCACGCGCGCTTCATGTGCGGCTCCTTCAGCAACTTCCCGGAGATCTTCCGCTCGTGCCTCGACAACCTCGAGCCCGGCGGCTGGGCCGAGTTCCAGGACTACTACGTCAAGATGCAGTGCGTCGACGACTCGCTGGCGGGCACCGCCCTCGAGCGCTGGAACGACTGCGTCCTCGAGGGCGTGCGCCGCATGGGCAAGAACGGCCTCGCGGCGGCGCGCTTCAAGGCGCAGATGCTCGACGCCGGGTTTGTAGACGTTGTGGAGAGGAAGTTTGCGCTGCCCGGGAACCCGTGGGCCAAGGGCGAGGACCAGAAGATGCTGGGCATGATGCAGATGGAGAACATCCTCGACGGCCTGCACGGCTTCTCCATCGGGCTGTTCACCAAGATGCTGGGCATGGCCGCCGAGGAGGTGGAGCTGATGCTCATGGAGGTCAGGAAGGATCTGAGGAACACAAAGATTCATTTCTACTACATTGTGTTAGCGCCCCCCCCCCCAATATCTTCCTTGTGTGTTCCTCTGACCCCGGGCTCCGCTTGCTGACGACTACCTCACAGTTACTCTGTATATGGCCGGAAGGCACCATGACGGTGATGACATTTAATGACGATAGATTCACGCCTATGATACCACACACACAATGACATCTATACATATTGAACATATCCCAAAATGAAACTTTTGTCAAGAGGGGAGAAATATAATCATGAACCAGACCAATATCCTTATTCCGTGGCTCATGCATCCAAAACCCATTAACGTTCACCAAAAATACAGGCCTGGCATAGAGGCGCTGTCAAACCAGCTCATTGCACCCTGCCCTTCAGGCACGAACATTGCGTCCGTCATGCGCTGCAGTTTGTCAGATTGAGTCAATGGGCGCACGCCGCTTGGGGACACATTAAGAGAAAGAGACAAGAAATACTGACCGTAAAATCCCAGTCCTCCGTCAGCCCCGGCGACGGGCCAAACTCGTCCACGATCGCCGGCGCCCCCTGCTGCTTGGTCCGCTCCACCGTCGCCTCCATGAGCGGCACGCACCTCTCGGCAGCCTTCTGGCCCTCCCCGATGAGGAACCGCGCGAGCTCCGCCCTGTCCGCGATGGGCCCCCGCTGGAGGGCCTGGGTCTGCGCCACCAGCAGCGACGACATCAGGAAGCCCTTGACGCTCGTCTCGCCCGCCTCCATGCACCGCCAGGACCAGGCCATGATCTCCTCCGTCACGGCGGCGAGGTCGCGCCTCAGGCGCGTGGGGCCGAGGCCCTCGTCGTCCTGGAGCTGCGCGTGCAGCTCCATCGGGATGGTGAAGGACACCTGCACGGCGGCTGTCCGGAAGAACCCCGACCCGCAGGTGATGAGCCTCGCCAGGAGCTCCTCGCTTGACACCGAGGAGCCTGCCGACGGCGTCGAGTACACGCTCTGTGCCGAAGCTGTGATGCCGGCGATAGATGAGGATGGCCAGGTGGCGCACCAGATCTTCAGGAGGTTGTCGACGACCATTTGTCTCGAGAATGCATAGGCTGGGGATTCGAGGGACGCGGCAAAGTAGGGCATGTGGAGTGTGCAAAGGTACCGGTTCATGATGACCTCGGCCGCAAGGGCTGCGAATCTGGCCGATGGCTGGTCTCGGAGCGGGTGGAGGCTACGGCGGAGCTCTTTGAAGGCTTCTTTGACTTCTGTGTCGAGCTGAAGCGTGTCCTCGTAGGCCACGCCTGTCATATTGAGATCGTTGAGAAATTTCGTAATTTTCATTCTAACAGGGTACGTCGCCCGCAAAGCTCTTGGAACCGACATAATAGTTGGATCGCTGCTGTCGTCCGGTATATGGCTAAGCCCAGCTGTGAGTGCCTCGTCATCCATGTTGCTCGGCGCTTCTGCGTCGAAGTCGTTCATAGAGAGCAGTGGCGGCCCGCCCTTGGACATGCTTGCCTGTAAGGACATCTCCAGTATGGTATTCCAGAGCCGCCGTCTCATCTCTGCTGCCAAGGGTGTCATCTCGGGAAGATGTCGTGGGTCACGATGGAGACCCATGGTAATTGCAGTCCTGATAAGCGAGCCTGATGCGATCCATATGCTGTCGCCACTGATATCGACGGCTTCCATGGCAAGGAGGAGCAGGATTCGCGTCTGGACCGTCTGGATCCTCAAACGACTCTTAAAGACGGGCTCGGAGAGATAGGTCTGGGCTTCGTAGATCCACCTTGTTGCTTCGGTGCGTAGGGAGAAATTGTGGTCATACGTGACCGCACCGAGAGCGAGGACGAGTTTGAGTTGGACGAGGAAATAGGTTTCGGGCTGGGTGCCGGGTTTGGCCCAGATGGCTTCGTAGTCTCTCTTGAAAGCGGGAATGTGTAAAACTCGGTACACTGTCTCGAAGGTCTCGAGATATCGGCCGACAAGCCCATCGGCGAGATGCCGGGGGTATATCTGGTGTTGGGGGGCAAGGCCATGAAGGTGCCCGCTGGCTCTTGACGACCCGTGCAAGGGTTTTGCATTTATCAATTATATCTAACACCTTGGGCTTGCCCTCCCTAAGATATGGCTCGATTATCGCGACAAAGCTTTTGGTCTAGTGCAGTCAGCTCGCCAAGTACACTCACAATGCTTCGTCAACCGGGGATCCAGGATTACTCACAATAGGAACAGCACCGTTCATCCAATGACTTTGGCCAAGTAATCGTGTCTTGTGTGAGATACTCCGAGACATCAATGCAGACCGGCCAAACAAGCTGCTGGCAGTGTTGCTGCCGTGCACATGGAACGTGCCTGCGAACTTGGACGAGGTTGTCTCGATGTCGGTGGCAGGAGTCGCAACCGTCGCGGTGTGCACAGGTTTTGGTATAGCCTTGAATAGCTGCTGCTCCAGATGTCGAATTTTGCTTTGCATCAAGTCGATGTCACGGGTAGACACTTGGGTGGTATCGGTTGCGGGCGAGGTGGGCTCTCCTGCCACACTTGCTGATGAGTCTAGACATGTTGAAGTAGTGGAGGCCGTCAGTGCCGCGGGAACATTCCCATTCGATATTTGGAGAGGTTGTGCAGGAGCATGGCGGTGATCTGGTTGGATTGAGCGCGGTCGAGGTCGTGGTGGCCGTGGTTCCTCGTCGTAGACGCAAGCTTCCTTCCTCCTGGACCGCACGCAGTTGCTGCATGGGCTTTGTCGGTTGCATCTTGTCTTCCGTCTCCTGCACACTGAGCAAGACCTGATTTATGTGAGTGATCAGTACCAATGATCAGAATGATGTTGTGATCCGCACCCTATCGGCTGGTGGGGCTTATATGTAACCTACGTGGTGGGCCGCCTGCGCTGTCGCTCCGGCTCCATCGTGACGTGAATTGGGACCAGGGCTCACACTGTGGACAGCGAATTGGAACTGTGAAGGCTTCTATACTGTGCGGTTATACAAAAAAGAACTCGGGAAGCGAAGTAGGCTTGGCCTCGAGAGAAAATAAGTTCGGAGATCAGCAATATGTTTGAGCTCTCAGCGCTGGCAGGAGCATAATCGAGCCGACTGCATCATGGGTGTCTGTCGTCCGCCGTTTTCCGACCCCGACCCCGACGGCCATCCTTGCTCCGAGTTCCGAGCCCAACTTCATGCCATCTCTGGCGTCTTGATTATAAATAGACTGTCGCCTTAGCTGTTATGGTAAGGGAAAAACACTTTTAATTTGTCAGTGCGCCGGGGCGTGTCTGTCCTGGGGAATCAATAATGATGGTGTACCTCTTTGGCTCACTCCAAATTGTGTGTGAGCAGTATGGGAAAGTGCAGCTGTGACGATTAGTGGAGGCTGGAACCTGCTCCAAGTAGCCTCCCTAGCAGAAGTGGCAGAGCAAATGCTCCAACCGTTTACCGCGGGTTGTTTTCGTTTTTGTGTATCGGAACTGGTGGCCTCATGAGATGTATCAAAGATTTCTGATAGCCCAGAATGATTTCTGAGTGCAACAAGACTGTGAGGCCCAAGCTGCATCTCTTGGGTGCGCCCTCTCGCAGCTGAACTCCATGTCTCCTCCTCCTCCTTCCGTTTGAAGGCGCCTGAGAAGGCTAAGCACAGACCATATGCACATGTAAGGTACTCAGGTACCATGGACTTTCTTTGTCTGTTACTGCCACTTTTTTTTGTGACGCGTTTGCTGGTTGTGACTTCCAACAGCCACGCGTTTCACACTGAATTTCCTCTCTCCTTCGTTGACAAAACAACTCGTCGAATTCCCTTCCCAGAGACGGAGACACCATCAAAAAACTCATAAAGGCGCGTAGCCTGCTGCTTGTGCTTGAGGGTCCTTTCATGCCTCACATGCAGGATGGCTCCAGCACCGACTCCAGCACCGTTCAGCGTTGGTCTGCTTTGCGCCTACAAACAGTACAAGGCAGACACCGAGACGATTGCCAGCTGGCTCAAGACAACCGCCGTCAAGCATGGCTACAAGTTTGATGGTCAGGATGGAACAACCATTCGAACCTCAGACTTTATCCCCAGTGAGTTCCTTCGTCCGTTCCAGTCCCTGTCTTCGTGTGTCCTTTTCCCTTCAGCAAACTCGCAGCATTCATGCAGAGTTGGGAATGGTTACCGCCCCCAAGAAAGTATCATCTTGCGCATTCCTTGTGTAGACAGATGCTTCCATTCAGGGAACACTGGCAGATTATCTTGATTGCTAACATCTGTTCCCCCGTAGTGGCCCAGCAGATTGTTGCCGATGTCAAACAAGCCCGGTTCACCCTACATCCATCCATTCATCAAGCGTTCCGTCGAGCCATAATTTCTCGGAAGGATTGTACTGCTTGGTATGAGGAGAACACAGAGGGCCAGTGGACAAGCAACGTGAAACATGCCTGTATGGCCCAATTCTAACTAGGCGCACGAAGAAAAGAATCAAATCATCACAAGGCTGACACCCCAACAGATTTCACCAACATCTTGATGACCGCGTGGGATATTCTCCTCGCCGCAGCCGACTCTTCCAAGCCTGAGTCTAGGACCCTGAAGCCAATTCGAAAGCGGGACATACCAAAGGCTCGGACAGCAGTTGCGGAGCACAAAATTGACGTCTCGTCCAATCGCTTTGCTGCAGTGTACATCGACGCTGGGGGTGACGAAGACAACGATGACCTGGATGATGCAGACGCTGAAAGCTCCAAACTCACTGGCATTCCCACGAAAGGAAAGAAATCCAAGAGATCCTACACGGCACCGCCTACGACAATAATCCCTGACGAGGATCAGGTGGAGGAAGAGTTCTGGTTTGCTATACAGTCCTTTCTTCAGGAGCAACAGAAGGTCCGGGAAGAGGTGAGGCGCTACTGGAAAGATTTCAAAGGCGACGAGAGCCACCTTATCATGGCCACTTTCGGAACGCGCATGGCCATCGATCTCATCCGCCGATCAGAGATCGAACTGGGCCTGCAGGTGAACCGACCAGCGAGATTTCCTGAGGACAAGTATCCGGTCTCTACCTTTCCCGCCCTGCTTGTTGGCACGAAGCAGCAGAACAGACGGCTTTTCGATTCTCCGCTTGACGGGTTTGTCCTGGTACCGAGCCGTCTGAATGAGCTGACCCTCTACAATACCTATTCGACTCTCAAGTCCTGGTGCTACTTCCTGAGAGACGATCCTACCTACAAAGTCAGCAAGAGGTTGTTTTCAAATGAAGAGGTCAGACGATTGATTTTGAAAATCTCCTGGGTCAGATCGATCGTAGATCAGCGACTGCCATACGAGGATGACATTACCAGAGGCGTGAAGAAGGCCCTGCAGTGTGGGGAGGTCCCAATCTGGACAGTGTTTGCCATGAGGTTGCTGCTCGACATGGAAGATGTCCTCTACGAGTGTCCATTCTTACCCTGGCAGGACGCTTCTCAACATACCTTGAAGCATGCTCACACACCTCTGACTCACTGGCATCACCAGACAGGCTGTCGTCACATTCCCCTTGCCGAGGAAACCTTGGATGAGGACTTCTCGAAGGAGCGTCTTGTTAAGCGCAAACCGTCCCTTGCAAGCAAGCCTATAAGCATGCTAGAGAAGGTCAGGTCCTTGGAAGGCCCTAGGAAGAAAGGAATAGCGAAAAAGCGGCCGGCAAAGAAAAAACTCCCGAAGGCTGTCAAGGTCGATGACGAGGGCGGGCCATGTACGTGCGATGACTGCCTGAGGTGCGGCTACGACTGGTACGAAAAAGACGTCAGGCGTGCTCTCGACTGGATGATCGATGTGGAGCAAGGCCCAATGCCTTTTGCTCCACATTCTTCTGAGAAAATCAGGATGAATCCACTGCACTGCGGTCTGATCAAGTATGACCTTTACCGATCGCGCCAGGTGTAAGTCGTCCCTTGTTCATCCATCATTGGCGGCTCACAATCCGCACCCACCCGTCCCATCCACTAAAGGTTCCCGAAACAGGAGTGCGCTGTACCAGAACACCCACGACAACCGGGATATCTGGACCATGATGTACATTTATGCGGCTGGTCGATCGGCTTTCCCAGATTCCCTCCCCTGGCCCGACATGGAATTCTTGCTCTACCAGCAAGATGAAAAACACGTGTTCTTCGGAGGACGGCCGAAGAACGTCGAATGGACAGCTCGGAAATGGCTTTTGGCATTGGGCAAGTCCTCCAATGACTACTCTTACAGAGACTTGGGCCACGTACAATGTTGTAGCTCGCGGTTCTGGATTAATTACAGGAAGTGGCGACCCTTGAAGGACAACAGTGTCTTGGGCGGGTTCATCTCGTCTCGAATGCACTGCTGCGATGTCCATCATGCAATTGCGCAGGACAACTTCATGGAAATGATTCGAACGATGCATACCCCTGACGTACTGTCGCGCCTGGCTCGCATGCTTGACATGAGCCAGGATGAAGCGAAGGCGTTTGTGGCAACTTGGACTAGTCGGCTGCACAGCTGGACATTGAAGGACATTCTAGAGCTCACTCAGATGTACCTTGCTGTGGACCTTGCGGATATTGGATTCGACTGGGCCGCATTGGATTCTGCCTGCTCAGAGATGTGGAAGGAAGCTTTCCCTCTTCTGCGGGTTAAGCACTCCAACGCCGGAGAGGATGACGACCACCACTGTGACCATGAGGCCTGTGATGTTGGCACTCAGCCGTCGACTTGGACCACGATGATCCTCAGTCAGGCCGCCGAGGTTGAAATCGACCTGTCGGAAAAGAAGAAAAAAGATCCCGGTGTGTGCCCAGGAGCTCGAAAAAGGTAGTCCCGCCTTCATGAAGCTGTGGTCGCTCATTCAGGCTCATTGTCGAAAGAGAGTCAACACAGCTCTTGGTCAGGGGATCTTTTCCAGCTTTGCTGCGGAAGAGGGCCTTGTCAAACTGTTGGACACGAGAAACGAGAAGCCTTACCCGGCCCGAATCGTGGCTCCTCACGTCCAGAAATGCTTCAAGGGATACCCGGAGGACCTTGCGAAGCAGAGCAGTTCGATGATTCTTGCCGAGAGAGTCATGGCTAGCGATACCGGTGCACTTCGCACTCCGAAGACGACCAAGCGCGGTACGTGAGGGCCAACAGCGACAGTTGCTTGGGCTGAATTTGTGCCGAGGCAGAATGAGCGGTGACGAACATCGGAAAATTCTATGGTATCATATTTTGACCTTGCTGTTCAGGCTTTGCACGGGTATGTAATACATCTGTCGCAGAAGTGGGAACATTTGGAGTTATGAGGCGAGAAGATGTGCCGATTGCGAAGGAGTTACCAGTAAAGTCCGGAGTGCCATGCTTTCCCCTGTCGTCTGGGTCTTTTGCACAAACACAAAATTTGCTGGAAGAGTTGTCTGTGACTACACAGCATCTGGCAGTCTATCAAATTTAGAATGAACACTTTGCTTTTGAGATAAAAATGTCCCTTCCGTCTTTGAGCCGGGCCTGCCGTCAATTAGTGAGGCTCGTGTGTCTGCTGCCCTGAGCGCTGTGGTCAGGACCAGGTTTGGTGGAAACCTGACAGCGGATCTCGCCAAGAAGCATATGGCGCAACCACACAACGCCAAAGAGGGTAAAGAAGCGTGTGCGGCTCCATGCACGCAGACGATGTCAGACTTGACACCTAAGGCCGATATCGATCTACAAGAGTCACGCACTGCTCCAATATAAAGGTGGTGGTTGAACGTGAATGTGCTTAAACATTCTCCCGTGCTTAAAGCCTGACACTTCAGAACCTTCGCTTCGTTCCAATCGTTTTACCATGCCAGTCTACAAGCACAATGGCCCCGTCGACTGCGCGGTGGTTTTGACGCCAGCAATGTCCGGGGCAAGTTGGCCATCGTAACAGGAGGTAGGATACCCTTTCCTTGGTCAGATCTGTTATGCTCTCACATGCTGATCGTGGTCAAGGAGCAAATGGGATTGGCGAGGCATATGTCCGGGCGCTTCACTCTGCTGGGTGGGTGGTCCACTCTCTTCAAGGCTGCCGAGCGAACTTGTGAAGCTGAGGTGTTCGCAGCTGTAAAGTGATCATAGGCGATGTCAACGTCGAAAAGGGCAAGAGTCTGGAGGCAAAGCTGGCCGGGTACGAGATTCCAAGACATTTTCGTGTGCTTGCTAGCAAGTCAGGTCAAAGCTGACGGTGGACTCAGGACAAAGTTTGTCAAATGCGACACCACGGAGTGGGAGGACCAGCTGGAGATGTTCCGCACCGCAGCCAGCTTTTCTGACGACGGTCGGATATCATACGTCGTAGCCAAGGCGGGAATCGCTCGCGCCGACGAGGTGTTCTCCTACTCTGGTAATTATCAAGCACCGCAACCATGCATGTATGCTTCGGAAAGAAGACGCCCCCACTGACGCCCACCAGGAGACGACCAGGAGCCCACAAAGCCCGACCTCAGCATCACAGACGTGAACATCACGGGTACCCTGTACACTGCCAAGCTCGCCTTCCACTACTTCGTGAAGCAGAACGGCACGGAGCCCACGCCGGCGCAGCAGGACACGTGCCTCGTGCTCATCGGCTCGGGGGCCGCCTTCCTCGACTGCCCGCGGGGCCCGCAGTACTCTGCGTCCAAGTGGGCGGCGAGGGGGATCATGCACTCTCTGCGGCGCACCGCGCACTACTACGGCAGCCGGGTGAATGTCATCTCGCCGTGGTACGTGCGGACCAACATCCCCTCCGAGGAGGCGTTCCGGAACGTGGGCGGGGGTTGGGGTCGAGTTTGCCACAGCAGAGGACGCGGGGCGGTGCTTGCTTCGTATCCTTGCCGATGCTGGTGTTAACGGGCACTCGTTCTTCGTGTGTGCTCGGAAGTGGGCGCCGGAGAGTGGATTTGTTGATCTCGGGATCGACGAGTATGGTAGTGAGCTTATTCAGGAGATTCAGAGGGATCAGCTTTTGTCTGCGCCGGTTGAGGCGGGTCTGTTTATTGATCCTTATGAGGGTGGGAAGAAACCGAAGTGAGAGCGTGCTTGTTATGCTGAGGTTGGGTCGAACCACCTTGGTGGATTTTCGTCATACAGGCCATGAACGGGCAAGGCTGTTCAATGTCAGTGGGAGGACGCGCACTCAGCTTTTGCTGCTTGGGTGCTTCTCACCATAGGCTGTTAGCCAAGGCCTTCATAGACGATGTAGAATACAGCAATTGCGCAGGATTCAGAATCAAAGCTCGAGCAGACGGCGGCACCTATGGATGGTCTTAGTGGCATGGAAACCCATCGCCTGTCGCAGTGCGTATCCAGTATCAAGAGAATATTGACATGGATCCAAAGTCGTAATACAGTGGTTGCGCACACTTTGATCTGCCGGCCCGTCGCGGAATGTTGGCCGTGATAGATTTGAGAGTATAACGGCCTTCAGTGCGCAGTTAGATGGAGAAGTGGTTCTGTTGACCTCCATTACTGTCTTTGTCTCTACACAATGCTATATTTGAATTCTGGATAATGGAGCGGCTCTATTTTCAACACAGCAATGGATTGTATTCCTTGGTCTTTCATAACCAAACAAAGCAGGTCTCGCTTTAAGGACGATGCCTAATTATTCTCAATAGAAACCAAGACAGTATATAGAATCAGGGCGTCTCAGTAGGCGCGTGAAGTGCCTCAAGGAATGTTTCCTGCATAATGATATTTCAGCCTAGTGAAGACGCCTTTCTGCTTGTGAGTTTACTAATTGTTTCGTGACCTTAATTGTTCGACCCCCAACAATACGTACCTACAGGTATCTCCACCATTGTTGCCATCGATGTCGCGCAAGAGAAGACTTGATCTTGATGATCAAGAACCCAGCAACCCAGCCAACGGAAGGCTGGAAGTAGTTCGCCCAAGGTTCTGGAAGCCTTGGTCTCAACCTGGGAAAGGTAGGCGTCGGGATGTGCAGGCAAAAGAGACTGCCATGGAGCTGCAGGCTGCTTACGATGGCATGGTCAACCTGGAAGGCGAACTTACCTTCAACCAACAGCGTCATTCATTTGAATACATTTTCTGGCCACCCTTGCCAGGATGGTGCCTCATACCATTCAACATCTCGGAGAAGAGAATCCGCTCAGAGAATGGCGAATTGACTCCAATCCGTTACGGGCTCGGCCAGAAATACGGAGATCAGATGTGGAAAGTTGGTGTGCTCGGGTTCTTCCAGTCGTGGAGGCAATATGGCCAGATCTTTGACCATCTTCTCATCCCCGTTCACTTTCCGTGGCAGGACGACAGCACACCAGATGAGGAGGTCCCAATGTTTGGACTCGTCCATATGGAGAAGGGCTGCAAGACGGCCTACTTCCATGTGATGACCGAGTGGCAGCAGGAAACCTATGACAAGCCTGAGTGCACCAAGCTGTGGGCAGAAAATCTTGTGCAGCAGCTGACGTCTGAGCAGGGTGTTGATAAGGCCTTGTTCTTCGGAGACTCCTCTATCGAGATTAGGTACGTTCCCAATCGAGTCGGCCCCGAGTGGCAGAATCTTGGATGGCGAGGCCGGGACATGACGGAGCTCAGCAAGCTGAGCTTTTACTACATCGTGTATGCTGCCACACAGCTCGCAGTCCATGGGGTACAGGACGCAGAGATTCCTGAGTTTGGGCTTGAAGAGGTCTTCATCGGCCTGGCTCAGACGCTCTTGGGCGTGAGCACTGCTTTGGATAACGCGGACGAGGGGAGGAAGACTGTCGGAGGCGGGATCAAGCCTCGGGTGGACCGAAATGCTTCGGATACACTGCAAGCTCATCGAACATGGCTCGACCGTGTGCTTCCTTCTGTAGTGGAGGAGTACGACGCAGCTTTCTCGAGCAGCCTTCAACCGAATTCCAAACGAGGACAAAAGAAAAGGAGGCTCGCCATGTGAGGTGAGGCAGGATGTTAGAGTAGCTAGCCTCGAGAAGCAGGCCCAGTGCAAGAAAACACTGTAGCTTGATGAAACCACACTGCAGTGCATAAAATGGAATCCAACGAGCATACTTGGCAGATGACATGATTCCCCTGATTTCCTGGCAGTTTTACTCAGGGATTTGACGATGCTAACCACGAAAAAAAAAAAAAAAACAATGCTTATTACCGAGGTACATCCCAATGAAACAGAAGTGCATCTGGATAGCTACTTAGATATTTGCCTTCAATCCTTCTTGTTACACCGTCTCAGGGTTAGGTGTCTGTGGCTCACCCCTGAAGGCTGCAAGAGCGAGATCCAGAGCTGCAGCCTGCAGGTGTGCCCCTCTATGCTGACCCGCCGAAGCTCGAGCTCGAGCTCCATTGCGACATCGTCGTCATCTGGCCCGTCATTCCCTCAGCCTTCCACTCGCGACTAAACCGCGCATTTCCAGCCGCATAGCCAACAACGCATCGCCAATCCCGCCATTGCCTAGTATGGAGCTCTAGGGACGCTGGTCAACGGTGCTGGAGAGATGGGAGCAGAGCTGGCCACGGCAGAAACAACACCACCACTATGATATTACGATCCATCCTACTCCCGCGGGGAGGCCACTCGGCGCTTTGCTACTCGCGCGCCCACCATCATTACCAATTGCGCATGCACCTGCTGCCACCGACCTCAAGTACCTCAAGTATACGAGCGTTTTCGTCGACAAGCCCTCAACGGGAGTCTCCTCAGAATCCTATCCATCCGAACAAAGCAACCTCTGCTTCTACCTCAACCTCCCCTTCTGCTTCCACCAGCAAATCTACGAACCAGCCTGCGAAGAATGGCGAAGTCAAAGCCACCAAGGCGCCCTCTCCACCGAACCCATCGGTCGACCCGCTAGCACCAATAGAAAAGTCGGTCCAAGAACAACGCAAGGCAGACTGGGCCATCATCAAAGAGATGTCCCATTACCTCTGGCCGAAGGATAGTTTTGGGACCAAGCTGCGGGTCGGGCTGGCCGTGTCTCTGCTCGTAGGTGCCAAAGTTCTGAACGTCCAGGTGCCATTTTATTTCAAGAGCATTGTAGACGCGATGAACATTGACGTCGCTTCCACGGGCGGCACCGTCGTCACGGTTGCGAGCACCATGATCTTCGCATATGGCGCGACGAGGATAGGGGCCACCGTCTTCCAGGAGCTGCGGAACGCTGTCTTCGCGTCAGTCGCGCAGAAAGCCATTCGAAAGGTGGCGTGTGATGTCTTCGACCACTTGTTGCGGCTGGACTTGAGCTTTCATCTATCCAAGCAGACTGGTGGTTTGACGAGGGCCATCGACCGTGGAACGAAGGGTATCAGCTTCCTGCTGACCAGCATGGTCTTCCACGTTATCCCCACAGCTCTGGAGATCACAATGGTGTGCGGCATCCTGACATACCAGTACGGCGGTTCTTTTGCGGCCATCACGGCGATCACCATGGCGACATACAGTGCCTTCACAATCTGGACAACTGCTTGGAGGACTAAGTTCCGAAGGCAGACCAATGCAGCAGACAACAAGGCATCTACGGTGGCTGTCGACTCACTCATCAACTACGAGGCCGTCAAGTATTTCAACAACGAAAAGTTCGAGATTGCACGGTATGACAAGGCACTACAGCAGTACGAGAAGTCGTCGATCAAGGTCGCCACGTCTCTTGCTTTTCTCAACTCGGGACAGAACATCATCTTCTCTACCGCCCTGACAACTATGATGTACCTGGGCGCCAATGGCATAGCTACAGGCAGCCTGACAGTGGGTGACCTAGTCATGATCAACCAGCTTGTGTTCCAGCTTTCAGTCCCACTCAACTTTCTTGGGTCAGTGTACCGGGAGCTGAGGCAGAGTCTCTTGGATATGGAGACTCTCTTCAATCTTCAAAAGGTCAATGTCACTATTACTGAGCCGCATAATGCGCGCCCACTGGCACTGCCCAAGGGCGGTGAAATCCGCTTCGAGAATGTCACGTTCGGCTACCATGCGGACAGACCTATCCTTCGCAACCTCAACCTCGTGATTCCCGCCGGGAAGAAGGTCGCCATAGTCGGACCTTCGGGTTGTGGAAAGTCGACCCTGCTGAGACTACTGTTCCGATACTACGACGCGCAGGAAGGCCGCGTTCTGATAGACGATCAGGACATCCGACAGGTCCAACTTGACAGCTTGCGCCGATCTATCGGGGTTGTCCCGCAAGACACTCCGCTCTTCAATGACACGATCGAGCACAACATCCGCTACGGTGACATTAACGCGCCGGAGGAGCGTGTCATCGCTGCCGCTAAGCGAGCTCGGATCCATGACACCATTGAGTCCTTGAAGGATGGTTACAGCACCAAGGTTGGCGAGCGCGGTCTGATGATCTCAGGAGGCGAGAAGCAGCGTCTTGCGGTATCGCGGTTGCTTCTGAAGGACCCACCTCTGCTCTTCTTCGACGAGGCTACCAGCGCCCTCGACACGCACACAGAGCAGGGCTTGATGCAGAACATCAACTCCATCCTGAAGGAAAAGAACCGTACCAGTGTATTTGTGGCACATCGGCTGAGGACAATATATGATGCCGACTTGATTATTGTGTTACAAGGTGGGACAGTCGCGGAAAGCGGCACGCACCGGGAACTGGTGGACCAGGGTGGTGTGTACTCTGAACTTTGGAGTGGTAAGTGCACCTTTCTACATGACCGCGACAAAGGTATGTTACTGACGAGTAACAGCACAAGAAACACTGTTCCAGGAGAACGGCGAGGAAGCAGGGGAAGAGAAGGACGAATCTTCGCGATAAGATTACCCAATGTGTCACTAATCGGCTCCACGGCATTTTGAGCATCGCCACCCCGCCACACAACTGCAAGGACATTCATCGATGCGTGTCTTTGGCATCCCCTGTGAACATCTTCGAAAATGAGGGGAGGCGTCGGCCGATAGGTCTCTCGGCTCGCCTAAATCGTGCACGAGCATGCCTCTGCCAGCAGCGATAGAAAAGTGCAAATACAATATCCATAAATCAACCGCGAGCGAAGCGCCAAAAGCGCCCCACCTCGCCATACCTGGGCTGAATACGACAGACGGCGCCTGTCATCGTGTTGGCTTTTAAGTGCAAACAGACCATGTTTTTGTACGCACGAGGGCTTCCATTGCTGACCCCGCCGAGACACATTTTAACATAGCAAAGCCTCCAAATGATCGCGAGGAGCAAATGAATACCGAGTGAGGCATCGCGCAATTATCTCACAAGCGTCCGCTCCCTCTCCCACGCCTCGGCCTCCAGCCTCCCCAGCAATTCCAGCTGCTTGTCCTTGACTTTGCGCGCGCGGGTGCGACCGTGGTTCGAACTTTGAGGCCTCACAGCCGACTCGTCTTGTGATGGCTGACCCTTGCGCTTCTTGGAGGGCCGAGTCTTCGGCGTGACTGGGGCAGCGGACTTTTCTGCCTGGCCGCGGGCCATCTCAGTGGAAGCAGAGCATGGGTGCCTTGCCTTCGTGCTCCGGAGCTTCGATTCTTGCAAGGCGAGGCCAGACTTGGGCATGGGGAGTTTGAGCTCATTTGTAGGGACGACTTGTCCTGGCGCCTGAGAGACATTACCGATGCTCTGGCCGGTGCCGACATCCTCACACCCTGCTTTGGTCCTGGCTTCTCGCTTCCTCTTTTTCGACTCCTTCCTCGCCTTTTTAGCCGCTTTTTTGGCCCAAGTGCGCAACTCGGCATTTTCACCGACGGGAAGGAACGTACCGCAATTTCCAAATTTAACTTCAGATTCCACTCTGTCCAGTACGAATGATCTACTGAGCTGGTCCTTTGTTGTCTCTAGGGACTTGCTCAACTTGGCTGGCACACCTTCAACCACGACATCCGTGTAGACATCATGCTTCTCCGCTGAAAGTCCTTCGTACGGTGTTCGGACATGTAGCATTGGTGGTTCCTGGGCCTCTTCTTCCCCCTGGCCTTGCCCAGAGCTGTCCGCTGTCGAACATGCGGCACTTGAGTCGACGTGGTAGTCTTCACCCAACGAGACTGACCTCCGTGAAACCATCCAGCATCCTTCGAGCTCTGAGTTCGAGCTCGGTGATGCGATTCCACCGATCAGCTCCGAACGGGTGGGAGACTCGGAGTAACTTGGAGAGATTGAAGCCATGTTTTCGCGAGCCTTCGAACTGATACCAAACCTCTGATGAAGGGTGCGCATTTCGATTTCGTCGCTCAGGCTCCCGTCATTGGAAGGTGCATTGTAGCCTTTGGACGGGCCAGGAGCATCATGACCGGTACTGCACACCAGGCGAGCGTCTTCCAGCCGCCTTTGCAGATTCATCACACTCTGCGGTTCTTTGTGTCCGGTCTCCTCAGTCTTCCAGGCAGATTCAAATGAGCTGTTAGTAGCCTTGGCAGATGACTCTGCCACGCCGTTCTCGTCCTCGATCGAGTCAACCATCACAGTCTTATGGAGCAGATGCTCACTTCGATGGCTTGCTATGCTGGACGCAATATCTTTAAGGTCATCGCCTCGTTGAGCAGAGAGCGTAAAGGGATCGATCCAAGACGAGGGTTGTACCGTTTCGTCGAGCAACTCCACGATCGTGCCACCAAGCCAGTACCGCATGAGGCTATCCCCATCAACGCGAGAAATTATCTCTCCACTGTCCTCCCCGGCGATTTGCTTCTGGTCGGAACGGTGTCTATTTCGCATTAAGCCCAGGGATGTGCCCTTTTCGAACGTGCCGTTTTCGAACAACGGGAGGAAGCCCGATTGCCATGCCCGACAGGCAAGAAATGCTGGCGCGATAACAGTCACCGCCTGTTGGATGTCGGGACGTACCCGAGGACTCGAATGGGCCGCGTCATAGTCAATAAGTGATAGACCACTCCGGCTGACAAGTTGGATCTCCGCCATAGGGAGGTGATCATTCGGCACGTCCTGCTCCACCCCATCCGTGGCTGCCGAGTTGTCGATGAGGAATTCGACCTCAGACAGCCGCCCGTTTACTTTCATACACCGCAGCGCAGTGGGAACATTCATCTTGATCAGCTTCCCTTTTGATTGCCTAATCGTATGGCCCGTGTCGAAGAGGGGCAAGCTCTTCTTGATGTCGATGGTCATGCGCAAATTCACCACCATGCTCCTGGGACGGAGGGCGCGGTGTGAGGTTAGGAAGTCCATTGAGCTGCGACGATGTGCACAGAGATCCATGTGCACGGCGCGGTACAAGATGCGCACGCCATTGCAGTAGGCTGGCCATGAGCCAAGGGCAAGTAAGAGTGGCACTGCAACCTCTCCAAGATGGGTGCTGTGATCTGCGTTTCCAATGATGAGGGGGGTGCTGGGGCCGCCTGGGAGGATAGCATACGACAGAATCCGTTGCTGTATGTGCTGTGGGAGGTGTGTCCAAGAAAACCCCCTGAGCGTTCTTGGCTCCGTCACCACAGCTGGAAGACTATTTGAAGGACATACATCGTGAAGAGGCTCAGAAGGGTGAAGATGCAGCGGCGGTAAAGGGCCGCTTCGCTCGGGAATAGCAATGCGCGCTCCGGGATGCATTTCGAAGTTGAGCATGCTCCCAGTCTGGCTCTGACACGGGCTACAAGTCGGAGGCGAGAAAGGAGACGGACGGCCCATAAAAGAACGCGTTGAAACATCGTTCTTCTAGGAAGAGGCTGAAAACTCGAGAGCAGAAGGGTGAGCGATCGATGGGAGCAAAAGCAACACCAGGCTAACGGCCACAGGGGTGCTGAGACGATGAGGGCATCCTCCAGAATCGTCGTCGCCAATGGGTCTCACTGCATTCTTATTTTTTCTGGCCTAGATCTTGTCCAGTATGCTCGAGGTGTGGAAGTTTGGCGACTTGATTGTTTGAGAGAAACCGTCATCGGCCGGTGCACATTGCTTTTGCATGCACGTCCTCACCGGTAAGCTCATGTCTGCAACCTTCGGCTGGGCAACACAGCTGGAATTTCGCGAAGTCGAATCTTGCCAAAGCCATATCAGACGTATCACATGCTCTCTTCGCCCAAGAACGCGGAGGGGAACCGCAGCCGTCTTGCTGGTTACACGACTGCGCAAGCTGGCGAAAGAGGGCGTCTCCGGCCGCTGGGTTCGGGCCCCTGCTACCGCCCTGCAGACGCATCGGAGCTGCAGCAGCACGCATGGGTGATTGCAGGCGCTCTCGCTTGGAAGCATCGGGACTGAGCCGAGGCGTAATCGCCTTGGTTTTCCCCAAGTAGGGGCGAGAAAAAGAAACCACGTTCGCCTTGGCTGAACGATGCTTCGATGCAGCCAGCCATCGACGCGTAGGAGATCCGAGTCCGGCCACGCAGACGGAAGCGCATGCGCAATGCACGCAAGCTGCGCATAGACTATCACCAGCACTTGCACAGACCGAGAACTCAACAAGATGCACCCCAAGTATATTGTTCAGCGAGCATATCTGGTGCAGATGCGACTCCTTTTTACACTCTTCAATATACATATCTGAAGCCAGTCGTCCTCCTGTCCCCACTGCCGCCATCCCCGGCCCGGCCGCCACCTGCAAGCTCCCGCTCTTCCAATTTCTCCAGTTCCCTGTTCTCTTTCACGTGCACAAACCGCAAAACCAGCGCCAGGAGCGCGACCATGAGACAGATGACAGTGTTTGCTGTGCCTCCTGGTATGTATCGTGGGGCGGCTGTAGCCGGGTACATATATGAGCCGTAAATGGAGGCCGTATTGCCGATCATATTTGCGATGGCGATCGAGATGGAGCGCTTGACCAGGGGCCGCGGGAACGAGTTGGCTACCCAGGACACAATGATCTGGTCTGTTCACACATTGTGATATGTCAGATCTCATTACGGCTTCTGCCTACGGAGGTTATGGCTTGTTCCGGATGGACTTACAGGCGGAAACGGCGCCCATCGGCATTAGGAACATGGCGAAGAAGCGGGCTCCGATGTTGGTTGTGCCTGTTGCGATAGCGTTTCCGACTGCTGCAACAAGCATCAGGCAGACGATGTGGATCGATCGGTCCTTTGTCTGGGATGATGTCCAAGTCACGAAGACGGAGACGAGGAAGGTCGCGAACTTGCAAGCTCTGTCAGTTACAAAGTACAGGCCACCATGTTCCAAGCCAGAGAGTGCTTACCCAGACTGGAGCCGTCAGCCAAAGCGTTTCGATGCTTCCGTATCCCAGCGTTCCGACGATGGAAGGGAAGAAGTATTGGAAGGTCTGGCTGAGCAGGCTGACGTGTTGCAGAAGCACAAACAGGTACAGCCGGTAGTCTGCCAGCGCCAGTTTCAGCCCGGTCATGGTTGACGTCGCATGCCGCTCGTCCTCCTCGTTGATGTCGGCCAGGAGGCGCCAAGCTGCAAAGTGCTTCTCTTCGTCGGTCAGCCAGGGTGTTGTGGCTGGGTAGTTGGGAAGAAAGAAGCCGGACGCAATTGCTATGCCGATAGTGATTACCCCCTCCTACGAACAGGAACTCCAGTCAGTTCTCCGCCTCATCTCGCATGCCATGGGGACTCAAACTCACGATGATAAACAGCCATCTCCAGCTTGCCAATCCCAGATCTCCATCCAGGTTCCCTAGGATACCAGCCGCGAGTAGGCCACCAAACATGTTGGCAAGAGCATTGCCAGAGTAGAACCAAGCTATGCGCTGCACCAGCTCCGCTCGCGTATACCAAGAGCTCATCAGGAAGATGGCACCGGGGAAGAACGGCGCCTCGACGAAACCCAGGAAGAACCTGATGGCGATCAGAGCGCCGAACGAATGCGCTGCGGCGTTGCAGGTGCTGACCACCCCCCACAGGACCATGGCAGTGCTCAGGTACACCCGCGGCTGCACGCGCGTGATGAGCATGTTGGACGGCAGCTGCATGAGCAAATACCCCACGAAGAAGATGGACGTGGCGAGGTTGAAGTCCGTCCCCTTCATGCCCAGATCCGCCTCCAGTGAGCCCTGCCGCGCCTGAGCGAGGTTTGAGCGGTCCAGGATGTTGAGCAGGTACATGACGATCAGGAAGGGGAGGAGGTGCAGGTCGATCTTGCGCAAGAGCCGCGTCGTCCTGGCCTTGTGCTGCGATGCATCTTCATTTTCGAAGTGCTCGAGGTGTGCGACCCGTGCAGTGTCTTGGGAGGCTTTTCCTGGCTTTGCTGTTTCCAGCCCTTCCTTGTCTGGGAGCGGCTCCTCGGTTGAAGTACCGTTGGGATTCATCTTGGCAGGCGTTTCGCGTCGAGCGCGGTAGTGGTGGTGGTGGTGGTGATGGTGATGGCGGCACTGGTCTTGTCTACCAGAGTGACAGTGACACCCAAGGCGGCAGGTCAAAGCTTATATCCATCAAGCACCAACCATTTATCGATCCGAAAGCCTCCAGGTATCTACACCATCGGACGAGCTCTGTCCGAATCTCGCAGTCGCCCCCGGCCACCAGCCCACTGCCTCTACTTGGGGTTTATGGGGAAGACACTGCTCCCCCGCACACACGTCTACCATATTCCCCACAGAGTACCACAGGTCCCATATGCCGACGGCGAGCTCGGATTACTGCCTTGGGGTAAGACTCATTGTAGCCGTGGAGACCCCCGAGGCTTCCCCGCGCAATCACTTGTGGGGGTGGAGACAAGTGACGACCGACGATGGCAGATAGATCTATGTGGATGCGGAATAACACGCTTGGGTAGTGAGTTACGAAATTCCGGCTCTGATTTCCCATGTCATAATTATCTACTGACCAATGCAAGGTCGTGTTCTCCAGGACTCACGATACAAGATTTCATCATTCTGCTGTCTTCAGACCAGAACGCGTCTTGCACTTTATGTCCGAAACGGGCCGCGGTTTGATGCAAGTTACTAAATCTTAAGATGCCCTTACAAAGAATGGCCTCTGCTCCTTTACCTTGTCAACAACACATTTCCTGCTCAGCTGGTCCCCAACCGCACATCTCAGCGCCTCTGCAGTCGCCGGGCTGTCCAACACCAAGCCACTGTCACCAAGCCCGTTCTGCTTCCTCGCGGCCCTGACGGCCTCCCTCAAGGCAAAGAACACCGTCGAGCCTAGGAACAAGGGCGGTTCGCCGACCCCCTTGCTGCTCGCGATCGACCGCAGGTGCTTCCAGCTGATCGGGTTGCCCTCGGTATCATGCTTCAACATGCTTACGTTGAACTCACGAGGAATATCGCCGAACCCTGGGATCTTGTACGTCCCTGGGCCAGTTGTCGACAAGCAGCCTGTCTTGGAATTCCAGAGGGATTCTTCCAGTGTGAAGAGACCTTGGCCCTGGATGAATGCTCCTTCGATTTGACCATAGTCGAGGGCGGGATTGATTGAGTTTCCGACGTCCTACGTCTCTGGTCAGGATCACCTTCAAGAGAAGCCACAGAGTGGATTGGCCTTACCATCATGATATCTGTCCTCAGTACGTGGTGGTCACCGGTCAAGACATCCAACTCGACTTCGGTTACTGCGACACCCTGCGTCCAGTAGTAGTACATGGGCTTCGGGTCCAGGTTCTCAAATTCGTTCCAGACATATCCGATCCTCGGCATTTCTGCTCAGTTCGTCAGTATGGTAGCCTCCGGAAATTTTGGAAAGGCGACACCGCTTACTCCAGAACCCGCTCGCTATCAAGCTTACACGGTCACGATATGCCGCCATCGCAAGCTCCTTCATGGAGGCATGCTCCCCCAACTCCCGACGGTAGGGCTTCAGCCTCTCACTTAGCTTCTCGCAGGCCGCCTTGACCGCCATGCCGTTCAGGTCGCTCCCCGAGCTTGCCGCCGTCGGCGACGCGTTGGCGATGGAGTATGTTGAGCTGTCGTTTGTGTACACATCCCGGAGTGGCACTCCGAGCTCCGCCGATGCTACCTGGCACATCTTTGTGTACAAGCCCTGTCCCATTTCTGTGCCTCCGTGTGAGAGAAGTACCGTCCCGTCCGTGTAGATCTGCACGTATGCGGCGGCCTGGTTGAGATGCAACGCCGTGGCAAACGAGAGTCCGAATTTGGTGGGAATCATTGCTATCCCTTTCTTCCTCCAGCGATTTCTGGGATCGCTGTTGTATGCATCTATGGCCTTCTTCCGGGCGTCGAACTGTGCATTGCGGCGGACTTGCTCAAGCATAGTGGGTACATGCCAGTCCTCGTTGATATGCTGCAAGAAGGGTGTCCGTTGCCCTTCGACATAGAGGTTCCTGCGACGGATCTCATCGACAGGAATGTTGACTCCCTCGGCTACGGCAGATATTATGCTCTCCGTGATGAACATACCCTGCGGTCCGCCAAACCCACGAAACGCAGTGTTGCTGTGAGTATGCGTCTTGCAAACATGCCCACGAACCCACACATCCGGAATCTCATAACAGTTGTCGACATGTGTGAGAGCTCGATCCATGACGGCCGTGGACATGTCTACGCTGAAGCCAGCATTGTTGTACAGGTCGGCCTCAAGGACCATCAGCTTGCCTTCATTGGTGACGCCGATTCGCCACGTCGCCTTGAACGGGTGGCGCTGGCCCGTCGTCGCCATGTCCTCCTCGCGAGTGAGCATGATGCGCACGGGACGGTTGTGCTTGGCTGCCGCGAGGGCGCAGTAACAGGCGAGAGGCACGGGTCGCGATTCTTTGCCACCGAATCCACCACCCAGACGCTTGACCCGGACGTTGATCTTGTGGTTCGGCACCGTGAGAATCTGAGAGACAAATGTCTGTGTCTCCATACTGTTTCAAGTGTCAGAGAATGGGTGAAAAGAAATAGACGGGGCGCGCGACTTACGTGTTCTGAGTACTTGACCAGACGTCCATCTGCCCATCTTCACTCTTCGGGATGGCAAGCGCGGCATTCGTTTCCAGATAGAACTGTTCCTGTCCACCGAGCCTCGTCGTTCCCTCAAATATACGCTCGCATGCCGCAAACGGCCCGCTAAGATCCTGTTTCAAGGCCGATTCGCCCTTGCGCAGCTCTTTTCCGTACGCAAAGAAGCTTCCAGCCTGGACCGCGTGGTCAATGGTGATCAAAGCAGGCAGGTCCTCATACTCGATCTTCACCCTCCTCGCAGCTGCTCTGGCTCCGAGTTGCGTATCTGCAAGTACCACCCCGATAACCTGGCCGTGGCTGTCTACGGTGTCTGTTGCAAAGAACGGCTCATCGTGTTTGAGACTTCCCCACATGTTGAGGTCAGGTGAAGAGAGCGTGTGATGGTCCAAGTGGCCTACCACACCCGGCGACTCTAGCGCGGCAGACCAGTCGACAGACACGATCCGAGCATGTGAGCGAGTTGAGAGGACCAGCCCACAGAACAGCTCCTCGGACTGTGGTGGAATATCATCAACGTACTCGGCCTGGCCAGTGGTCTGGGCAAGGGATGACAGGTGTGGGACGGGCCTCCCCATCGTGGATGCATTACTCGTGCCAGCGTCAGCAGGAAGGGCTGGCATGTCTCGAATGCCGAAAGAAAGGCCGTGTTCGAGCTCAGACACATCCGCTGCTGATTCCATTGAGATTCCGACATCCCTCAGAGACTCGTGCCAGAAACGCAGGAATAGCGAACAGGCCAGTGTGGTCCTATATTGAGCCATCCCTCCCGGGACGTCGAAGGGCAGCCACAATTCTTTCTGTAGCGAATCGACAGCCTTTTCGAGTGTCGAGTGGTCGGGCCAGAGAAGCCCTTTCAACAAAATTTGTGTTTTCGGAGCCAGTCTCGTCGTTGGTGCCATTCCCCCATAGGAGAATACCGCATCCTCCACAAGCCCCGTGTCATCCAGCCGCACACGAAAGCATGCGGTCACGATAGCGATGTCATCCTCCTTGCGTTTGGCTTGCTTATAGGCTTTGATAGTCTCCTTGCCATCGCCGCCCAGAGGCGGCAAAGGGATCCGAACAGCAGTGAGAACTCCGTCCTGCATCTCTTCTGTCAAAGTCGTCCGTCGGTACCCTTTCACAAATTGCGACAGGGCCACTTCTTCCTCAAGTACACCTCCAGTGTCCTTGTCAAGTCTCCTGATCGTGACGCTGGCTCCTGAGGCCATCAGGACAGGGAGTGCATCCGATATGGGGCTTGCAGTGGCGATATTGCCAGCCAGCGTCGCAACATTCCGGATCTGTCTGCCCCCGAAGTACCGTAGCTGTTTGCGCAATGCATCCAGCACTTGTCCTCGCCTGCCGACCTGCGTCCGCACCTCTTTGCAGAGTCGTTCAACCTCGGTCAAGGGCACGTTGGCAGGTAGCACTACGTCATTCAAGCTCTGCCACTCTGTTTCTGAAGCATCGCTCGGGACCAGAGCCGAGCTCCGGAGCTCTTCTATGTCTCCGACGTAAACCGCGACGGGGTAGTCGACGAGCTTGAATCGCTGCTCGATCACTACCTCACTGGCCCCGCTGACAAGTTTTGCAGGTGGGTAGGCGGACTTGATCTCTAGCAGTTGGGCGAGCGTCGTTGGTCTGAACCAGAGCATTGAGCTGTCCCCATAGCAGATGGGTTTCCGTTCGTGCTTCCATAGCGAAGGTGGGAAAATGAGGTCTGTCCCAGGCTCATATGGCTGGAACTCGTAGTGGTGTGGCTCGGTGGTCACCGTGCCGCCGAGTTCTAGCACGGAGTTGGCTTTGAGGTTGTCTTGGCTCGAGACGGAAGTGCCGAGGGACGGTGCACTCTCGTCCGCCGATTCATTCTCTGAGGAGTGACTGTTGACCTTCTCGAGACTTTCTGAAGATAATGATCGGTCTTTGGGAGTACTGCTGCCACAAGAACTCGCTGGGTTGTCTCTGCAACATCCACCTGGTCGACCACAGGAGGGCAGTGATGCTGAAACTTGACTGACTGCCAGTGAGCTCATGTCTTCCTCAGTGTCGACTTTGAGGTCATCTTCCTTGTTATCAGCAACCCTTCCCTTGAGATCTTGGGTGACAAATGTCTTTGCCGCCTCTAATATCGTCTTGTAACCGGTGCATCGGCACAAATTCCCATCCAGTGCTCCCTCCAGCTCCACGTCTCTCTCACTCAGCTTGAACACGCCCTCATCCGGGTCCCAGGCATTCCTGACCAAGGCATACAGGCTCATCACAATCCCTGGCGTACAGAAGCCACACTGGCTCCCGTGCATCTTGGACATCCTCTCTTGCAGTGGATGAGGGCTCGCGACCGAGCCAATGCCCTCGACCGTGATGATGTGCTTTCCTTCGCATCCCAGCAGCGGGAACAAGCATGCATTGATGGATATATGCTTGATCCTTCTTCTAGGAGACTCCTCGCCGACTTGCACAACCACAGTACAGGCTCCACATCCGCCCTCGCCACAGCCGAGCTTGGTCCCTCTCAGCCCCGGTCGGGACCGGAGGTAGTCGAGGAGTGTCCATTGTGGGTTTGGGTTGGCGAGAACTGTCCGTCGTCCGTTCAGATAAAATACTATCTCCGAAGAGTTGTAAACAGACCCAACGAGGGGCCCGAGTTTCTGTGCATCGTGGGACAGCGTTGGTGCTGGTGCCGCTGAGGTCTGCGATGGTGCCGTTGGAAGGGTAAGAAGTGCCATATTGTCATAACAGAAACGCCATGAGGTCTGGTTGAACTTCAAAACACCGCTTCAACATTAAGATGTCGTTGAAGTCGAACTTAGGTCAGGTAGTAGATGTTTCCCCACCCCTGAAGGTTCGCCTCCCCAAGCAGTGCCGGATGCAAGGGAGACTTGATAGGCAGCTTCATCCCCTCACCTTCGCCCCAAAGCCCATGTCCCGATCTGCTCCTTCCAGTAAGGTTCTCAGTGTACTAACTACTACATGGTCCCGTGCCACTTGCACCTCAAACCGCCTGTCAGCCCCCATTCTCGCATTCCGGCATCCCGGGCGGCATGCTGCAGCTTATCGTCACTTGGACTCGCCCTTCCCCATCCTCAATGGCTCTTCCCCATTCCTGCCATCCTCGAGCTGATAGGTGAGCTTTTTGGGGAGCACAGCATGTTTAGTTCGTTGCTGCAAGCCGTGACGTTTCAAACATATTAGATCGTAGATCCAACGTCACTGCAGTTTGAATGAGGCTGCGTTCTTTAGAATGGGATTCTACGCAAAGTGCCTTGATCCGCAACAGAACAGGGCCAGAGTCAGAGCCACAAAAGGTATTTGTATGGATTAAATCACTATACGGCTCAACAGTGGGACGCTTCGTCTCTGGTCGACGTCCACCGTGGTCGTGGAATGGAGGGAGAGACGTGGTGATGCGGGAGCCCCTGTGCTTTACTCTTCATACCCAGTCGTAAGCCGATGTTGGCCTCCGTTAAGCCCACCTAGGCAAGACGGCTTCTACTAGTCATCGTCGATGATGACACCCTCTGTCTTGCGATACGCATAATCCAAGAGCTCCGCCGTCGATATGGCCTCTTCCTCGCCGAGCAGTAGCTTGACAAGATAGAGGCTTGCGTCAATCCCGCAGGAAATACCACCGGCGCTGATTACACGTATCTCCGAGTCGTTCAGCCCCGAGTCTACAAAACGGGCCTTGATCACTCTGCCGGGCTGGCCACCGCTCACCGATGCAGCGGACTTGACCCTCTCCTTTAGATCATCGTAAGCTGCCCAGTGCGTGGTGCAGAATTTTCCGTCAAAGATTCCGAGGCTCCCCAGGAACAGAGCACCAGTGCAAATAGACCTGACTGCGTCAGTTTATCAACTATTACGGCAAGAAGTATCGTGTCCAACTTACAGCAAGACTCTAGGACGCTTTGAGGGACGTTGTGGCAGCTGTGAAAAGGCAGTTATGAGTCGCATGAAGGCGGAATCACATTGACTGGCCTGTTTGGAAACAGCATCGACAGATCCTCCCGGTACAACGAGCACATCGTAGCGATGCAGAGACGCTATGAGAACATCATCGAGTTGAAAGTCATGCTGGGGAATTGTTAGTCTGGCAGCACCAATTACGTTTGAGAGAGCCATGCAACAGCTAGAGGATCTTTACCTGGACTTTGACCCCTTCTGTTGACTTTGTAATCCCACAACGGTCCTTCGATTCTGACGCGACCTGGATGTTGAATGATGTGCTGGTCCCCGATTTGCTGAGCACGTCGAATGGACCGTTCATGTCCAGCGTGTTGAAGCCGGGGAATAGCACAAGCAGCACCTCGAACCTCGTCGCGCCACCAGGGACTTCCTGGTGCAGAAGAGTCAACATTTTACTGGTGCAGCCGGACTGATGGCATGGGATTCGGCGGGGTTGGAGACTGTCAGCTTGTTTTTTTTTTTTTTTTTCTTTGAGGCTGGCGGGCATGTTCCACAGAAGTCACATCGCTCACTTGCTTACCAATCGATGCCAAGCTGGCGAGCTCCGAGCAGGGAGATGTGCACAACGTTTCGAGCAGAATGCCTGACTTAAACATGATTCCTAACGTAGACAACCTAATGGCGTCTCGCTAGATGTACTAATCTACCGCAAACATTCCTATGCCGTCTCACTGCAGATGCCTTACATTAAAAATTCAAAGTCAGGACCCATTTCTCATCCACCTGGCTTTTGTCAAAGTACCGTGTGCACAAGTACGCCCAATGCCCGGTACCCGTTGCGAGGCGGCGGCAGCCAGCGACGTACTCGCGGATATGCCCGTTGGTCACCTCATCGTCAGTCCAGGGCAGACGGGCCACAGCATCCTCACACGCTGCGTAATGCTTCTTGATCAGACCGACCATTTTAGACATGGCCTCGTGGGCAGAAGAGTTCTCGGCGTTCATGATCAAGAGGACCATGTTCTCCAGCTGACCGACGCGCTGTATTCTAGTTAGAAGACCTGCACATTCGGGAGTGCGTACAACGTGTATGGTGAAGCTGTCGACCTACAAATTCCTTCTGCACACTCAAGATTTCATTGACCAGGATGGCCAGCCTCGTACACTCCATGACTACTGTCTCCATGGCTTCATGGTACCTAATGGAGTCGGGCAGCTCGAAGTCCATGGCATACTCGTTGTGGGTGATGGAGGGAATGACGCCCACGTCTGCGCTGCGGATATCGAAATGGTACCTTCGTACCTTTTAGTCACCTGATACGGAACCTAAAGTGTTGTATTCTGGGATATTCCACAACATGAGAGACGGGGATCCGTAAAAGGAGAAGAATATGCTTACCACGGGTCGGGCAAGCGCTCGTCCTGCCTCACTGCCTGCTGGCGGGCGACGCCCTCGACGTACTCGTGGAACTCTATCCGCATGCGCTCAAGCGACGTTGGGCCCATCCCTCGTCTCAAGGCCGCGAGCACTTCGTAAAACACTTCGACCGTGCCCGGAGAGTTTGGCGGCGGGGTGAAGCAGGCTTGCGCGGCATCGGGGTTGAGACAATCGTCGAGACACTGGTGTGTCAGGTCACAAATGCGGCGCGTCCCAGCGGCATCGGTTGTGAGTTCGCCGCCCGTATCGATTTCGTCGTCGAACCAGAACACCTGAGCGTCCGTCTTGGTCAGCTTAACGCCTTGAACCGCATGGGAGAGGCGCATGGGAGAATTGACTGAGGTCTGTGACTCACCCAGTACTCATACTTGGACAACACCAGCAGCTTCTCCTTTTCGCATCTGGGATAAAATACACTAGCCAAGAGTGTGTAGTTACTCTTGGTGCGATGCTTCTTCTTCTTTTCTTCTGCCACATTCACACTGCTCACCCGAATGTTATTGAATCATTCTTCCAGGCGTCGCGGAGCTCAATAAATGCAGTCGATAAGCTGGACGGAGGGACTTCTGTCTCAAACCACTAGTCACTTACGTCTTCAGCCATTCGTCAATCTCTAGATTGACCTCATCCAGAATTTCCTGGCAGTGGATATCCTTCGGCCACGCGGGCATCAGGCTCATCAGATTTACCACATGGACCTTTCGCCCTGCACATTTCCGTACGAGCCTATCACGTTCGAGCTCCCGACGGTCTAAGCTTTTCTGAGTATCGGACTGGATTGTGACCGCCCTCGACTGGGTTGCAACAGGTGCCGGAGTACTATGCGTCGCAATCCTCACTGGGCCGCTATCGGGTGACCATGTTGGTGTACTCGGTGGGATAGTATCTAGGGCCATAGTTGCCTGATGTTGAGGTATGTATCGTGTAAAGAAATGGTTATTATCCAGTAGCGTCCGTGATAGGGCAGGATGGCACACGTGTGGTGGTAGAGGATGAGCTGTGCCCAGAGCGTTGAGTGACCTTCAACATGCTATTGAGGCGCCGGTATCCTGGAGACCAGCGGATAGATATATACCGACTGTGAACTCTGGAAAATTGATGTAATTATGTAAATTTATTTTTCTTCGGAACCATGGTACTATCTAAGCAACACCGTCATCCACTGCGAGGCCATATGACTGGGGAGCCTCCCCGATAACTGGGAAGCCTCGCGATAAGTGGCTTCTTTTAGTCGCTTCACGCTGTCTGTTATCGTGTTTGTCGAAAGGCTCCGAGGCACCCGAATGCATCTCTAGTAAGCATCCTTCACCATCTAGGCGCCTCTGCCCCCACAAAGAAGCTGTGATAATCATATCATCTAAGTCAGCTTACCCTGGCCCAGAATACGCCCCGCTGCCTGAATACGGTGAATACGCTCTATTACCTGGCGGGTCAGCATGTACGAGGGTTCATAATGGCAATGGATCAGCATCTCCTGTGCCAAGAAGGTCTCTTATCTTTTAGGGGGTGATCATGGCATGATTGAAAGCCGGAGCATTGTACAATTCTGGCCGAGGCGATGCTGCGTGAGTAACTGGTGGAGTTGAGTGACTAACCTGCTGGCAAGTACCGACATGACGAAAAGCGCACCCCCCGGGCGGACGGATGTGATGAGTCGGCCCAGAATAGCTAGCGTCCCCGCTCATTTCTTTCCTCCTCCAAAAAACATATCTTGCTCATTTTTAAGGAAGGTAAAGAGTACCGGGTTGGGACTTAAGTAGTGCTTGGGCAAGGCCTATCGGCCACTCGCTAACGCTTAACCCAGCGCCTTAATCATCCCTTTCTTAATTTAATTAGTAGCCTAGGAAAAGTGAATTTAATTGGGAGGTTTAGGAAGGGTTTAAGTTGTGATTTGGAGTATTGTTAATCTTAGCCGTTTTGGGCGGACTCATCACATCTGTCCGCCCGGGGGGGTGCGCTTTTCGTCATTCCGGGCAAGTACCGATGGAGACCTGCGTACTGGCGGAGCTTGAACCGTCGGGCTGTTTATGACAGGTCATTTAAAAGTGCAGTGTCTGCGATGCAGGTCGCTTTGGGTGGGCGGCGACAAGCAGCAGCAGCAGCAGCAGCAGCAACAGCAGGAGCACCACACACTTACGTCCTTGGATTGAATACGCCAAGATGTTTGGGGAAGGCGGCGGAAGCCGCGCTCTGTCCAATACGCCATAACTAATTTGGATGATCTTTCCGCGCTGTGGTCACTGCAGTAAGACGTTCACCGCAAAGGCGCTTACTCACGGTCAACACCCATCATTATACTCGTCTCGGAAGAAGGTGATTGCGCCATCTCGCTAAAGGTGTGACTACACTACAGCAGAGATTAACGGCAACCTATGAAGGCAAAGCGAGCTTGCTACACGTAGTCTATGCGTGTTAGTTCTGGGGGGACTCGGACGCGGCCCACCGGCCTTAGAAGATTCAAAAGGGCCGTCTGGGGCGATGGAGCGAGTGCCAAATACCAGCATATCCAGGCGATATTGATGTCATCGGGCATATAGCCCTCACGACTTTGTACTAGGGCATAGAAAGTTCAACCGGCGAGGCGTTGTCGTCCTCGAAGACCTCTCGCGCAGGGTGGCTCGTTCGGCGACCCCCTCCCCCTTCCGGGGGGAGACTTTGTCTGTGGACCGAAATTTATGCGCTATCGAGAAACCTGCTCCCCTCCATGCAAAGACTTGGGAGCAATGTCGGAAACCAAGTGAGAAGTAGCTGAATCCCAGTAATGGCGGCTTGCGCCACGTCATCCTGGAGTTGATAAAGCCTGGCCCTCTCACTTCGCGCCGTAGTGCCCCTAGATCTGGAGATCCTGGGTCTGAATTGACTGTTAACAGAATCCTCCTGAATGGCAGCCGTGTCGGTGTATGTTTCAAAGGTCTGGGGCAGTCTGATGCATCTGGAGATCTTGACTAGTTATTTCATGCACGGAGACCTTCACATCAACAATGCATATATGACGGGGTCAGGGAAGCCAGGTTTTCTCCATTGGTAAGCGGCTTCTATCAGGACCTGCTTTCACGGTGTGTTTTATTTCGTCACTAGCGATCTGATCGTGAACGGCGAGCGAGCAAGCGAGAAGACATAGCAAGGCAGGATTAAAAGAAGCTGTATTATCTCAGGGCATCGCCCGTTGGGTGGGAGAATAGCTGGTGCGAATACAAGAAGCACGACTTCCACAGACATGTTTCCGCTCTGACACAGCCCGGTATACCACCCCAAGAGCGCATTTGAGCTTTGAGGGAACAATATCCTTACAATCGCAGATCCTTCTCTCATGCATATTCTATATAAAATGCGAATAGGCATCTACTAATGCTGACTTGTGACACAACGCTTCCCTTGATTGAGTGGTGCCGAGCTGGCGACCATGTAACATGCTTATATGAGACGGCCATGTATTTTCGAATGCGATGGTCCGCAATCATACCACATATTCCTTCCGAGATACTCAGCGAGACCTATGTCTAGTCTAGATCCATTTCTAAAAGAATTTAGAGCTTTTCAACCTTCTGTCTTTGGCATCGTTGTTGGGAGGGTCGGTGATTCATTCTGCCCTTGCTGAGGTGGCTTCGCAGGTTCCCACCAAAACGACGGGTACCGCTTTTGAATGTTGTTTGTTATAAGTCCGACCACCACCATGAGGACCGACGAGAGGAGTACCACAGGTAGGAAGTACCACCCTAGCTTGTAAACTTTGGGGTCGAGAATGGGAATGAGAGCAGTCGCCCCTGCAGGAGGATGTGTCGTCTTGGTCACCATCATGCATACGATGGCGATAGAGGTCGCTAGAGAAGCAGCCAGCCAGCTCAAGCTGCTTTCGATTCCGTCGTTGCTATCGTTCCCGCGGCCACCTGCTCGGAAGATGGCAAGGATGATGAGGCCTACCAGCGCGCTTATAAAGTGGCCTCCAATGACAGCCCGTGGTTGGGCCAAAGGTACTTCAGGCACTCCATAAACGAGAACAGCGGAGGCACCCTATAGGGAAGTGTCATCATTAGCTATACTATTAATACGCGGTGCACGGTTCGCCCCTTTGCTGATATATTCTGCAAAAAGAAATGGTTCTATGACGTTATGTCAAGACAGGGACGGACGGGACGGCTGGGACCTACATATGAAGCAACCAGCTGTGGTACACCACGTTCAATAAAGTATGAAGCATGACCAAACACAGCCTGAAGAAGTGAAAGGCCACAAAATGCGCCGACAAAAGCCCAGATGAGTGAAATCCAAAGTGGCTTTGCCGGTGGCGGCTGGTCCCGCACACCAAACCAGTGAGTAACCTCTGGTGGAAGCTTAGATTGAGAGTTACGCATATTGTCGGGTTAATTCACGTAGTGGTTGGTCGCATGAGTGAGGGCCGAGTAACGAATTTAAGGTGGCAGAAGACGAATGAAATTTGGAGGTGTGAATGTAAATGTCCTCGTGCTCAAAACCCATGCAACCAACCATGTTCTTTCAACCTTTGGCAAGATTCGATTTAGTTGGCTCTCCTCAAGTCGGAACAGGCCATGGGCCCCGTGTTTTATAAGCTCGCAGAATTCTCGGAAAGGCTAGGATTTCATTACGTTAAAGAATGCACTAGCTCCGGCTGTAGACTTGGATCATGGAAATGTTAGGACGCCACTCATCTTGTGAGACATGTCAGACATGTCAGACGAGGGGTGATTCAACAGGATATTAGGAGCATGAGACATATCCTTTTGTGCACCATCTCGATAGTTGTGTTCGAGCGAAGGGGGCCTGTTTTGGCTTCTCATACCCAGCTCAGCTCATACATAGCCTTGGTGGAAGAATACACCTGGCTTCGCACCCTGGACACTTTAGGAAGCTTCAGCAACTGCCAAGATGCCCGGACATTCATAACCCCGGCTGGGCTGCGATGGTCACTGAACGTCTGCAGTGATGTAATCCTCAACCCTCAAAGTTGTGGTAGTGTCCGAGGTCAACGGACTATTTGATTCGAATAGCGCCGGCCCTGCGATGTAAGAGCGCCCCCGGAAGTGGGAAATATCTCGGGGCTGACCTGGACAAGTTGAATCCTGCGGCAGCAAAGTCTATTGGCCGCGATGTTACAACTTCCGATTTAGTCGGGGTTGATGAGCTTGCGAGGGATATAAAAGCAGGCTCTGCTCCTGGATAAATGTCAAGACTATCCAGAAATGAGAGCAAACAATTCCATTTTCAAAACCCTCCATTCCAACAGCTTGCAGACGTGGAGTTAAGGGACATGATTAAGTGTCTCTACAACGAAAGCCAATGAGGCAGAGCCGTTATTAGTCCTCAGACATTCGCGGGACGTTGTTCGCTAATGGCATGCTGAGCATTGCTTTAGCCACCAAGACTGGCTCTGTTCAGCACTTTCTTGCTGGATCGCTAAGGATCAGCCCCGAGTTCAGGAGCTTGTCAGGCCCAATGTCCAATCTTGTCGAATTCGTATCTCTCCCCAAGCATCTGCCCGCAATCCCGCCTGAAACGAGATTCAGGGACTCTACCACGCGCATCTCGACCATGTCGTCGGCAGAAATTGTCTTCCTTGAGGATGAGAACAGTCGACCATACTGCCACGCCATCGTGAAGGAGATTGAATGCTGTCCCAGCCCTTTCTGGCTCGAAACTACCTACGTGGCCTCTGACGACTTCACTAATCAAGCACATTTTCTACTTATTCCTTATACTTAGATACTATCAAATAGAAACGAGCTTTACGAGCAGCAGACTGATCAATTGAATAAAGGCAAATTCATACTAACGGGTGTGATCCTTGTCCCCAAAACCTGGACAGCACATCATGTTGAGAGGCGCAGGCAGAGAAGATCATATTGAATGAAAGTACTAGCAGATTTTTCGTGGGTGTAATTGTATACTTGCTAAATTTTTTGTCTGACCTGCTGCCTCGTCGCTATTGCATGATAGCCTGATCTTTGATGAAAGGTCTAATATAGCTGGACCCCGTGAACGAGGCTTCCAATAATCGAAAAGGAAACGTTTGGATCTGGTCGCCGTATTTCCGGAGTCAGCGTACGCCCACCCAGCTTCCACAGTACGCCCACCCAGCTTCCACAGTACGCCCACCCAGTATAAGGAAATTGGCTGCACGCGCTATAAAAGATTAATACTATAAGGTTATTAACAAAGCATAGCTATAGCTATTCCAAAGGGGTCCTATAGCTACCCCTCTATTCGCAACTTAAAAGTTACTTCTACCCTTTTGCCCTCTGCCCCCTCGGCACCCTCTGCCCCCTCGGCACCCTCTGCCCCCTCGGCCTCTGCCCCCTCGGCCTCTGCCCCCTCGGCGCCCTCTGCGGCCCTCGGCGCCCTCTGCGGCCCACAACGCCCTCGGGGCCTCTGGGCGCTCTGGGGGCTCTGAGCTTTTTAGGCTTGTATTTTTAAAGTATCGCTTAAATTGGAAAATAGCTACCCTAGCTTTTTATATGCAGGGTAAACTTAAAAAAGTACCTAATCTTATTAATATAATACTAAGAAAAGGAAGTACTGGGTGGGCCAACGCTGGAAGCTAGGTGGGCGTACTGTGGAAGCTGGGTGGGCGTACGCTGACTCGTATTTCCGCTAGCGTATGGGTGATTGAAAGAGAGACATGGCTAAGCATCCCACATCTTATATGGGTTTCCGACCTGCAGTCTGCCTAGGCACGAAAACGTGGAGAGTGTTTGGGGGAGGAGTATTATCGTACCCCATGTTCGGCTTATGCGGTTGTCGTTTTCGTCAGCAGCTGAAAACGAAGGGAGGAAATCACCAGAATATGTAGTTCCTGGATAGAGCACGTCTTAAATCAGGTTAAAGCCCTTCTTAGAATTCTACACTGGCGGCTAGGACGAAATTCAAGTGCAGAGTGTCTTACATTTGCCCATCCACTACAACAGTGAGCAGTATAGCTTTCTGGTGCAGCATTGCTTCTACGATCAACCACTTCGGAACAAGATAGAACTTGGCTCGACCAGACCCTCAAAACTGGCTCATGAGTGGTCGTGACAAATTAATCTATTTGCATGCAACTAGAGAACTAAGGCAGCTCCCCGTCGATATCTCCACCATGATCGTCGGGGTGTTACCGTGTGATTTGTTCTGTGGTGTATGCGGGGACAGGACTCCGGCTCGGCCACAATTGTAGGACCGGTCTAGGAGCCTCCTCAAAGCTCGGATCAACGGCTCCATGAACGCACGTCTACTTCCCCGTTGAAAATCCTCTTTCCACTTCGCCTGATTCGCAAGTCAATGGTTCCAGCCATTCGATCCCCGTTCCTCCGAGAGTCAGTCTGCCGTGCTTCTGGAAAGTAGCTCGAGGCCTCTGGCGAGCCAGTCTCTGCTCCGCTGGCACGCTCCGCTGGCATCTGCCGCTAAAACCTCCTCCTAGCATTTTGAATCCCCATGTCGTTGAATGGGCCTCTTCCATTCTACTTCCCAAGCGGTAACAGTGCAGGCCAGAGCACAATTTACCCGGACACGAGTGCCGAACATGGACGTTCTATGGTAGCGATATTGATATATTGGAGCTTGTCAAAATGCAACGGGACACAATTCTAATTTTGGAATGACATCGCTGCCAGAATCATCATTCGGATTCATGGCGGCGGCAGAACCTCCGATTGAATGTCAACCTGAGAGACTGGATTTAGCCAGCCGTCACATCTCTAGGGCATAGAGCCACTGATATAATGGAGATCTGTCCAGACAATTACATTTTACTCGCATTTGATTCGTCACCTTTTACCCTATCAGACGGCTTGGCGTTCTTCGAGGCCTGCTTAAGCAGGTTGGGGAAGGCCTAGAAGCAGGTGACCGAAGTCCGACACTACTGGCGACCTGTTCTCTGGAAGAAGTCTGAACATCTGCCGCTGATAGTTTGCATGTCAACTGACCATAGAGGCATGCTTCTGGTCCTGAGGGCAGGTGCATAATTGGCCAATACTGGATGTGCACACCGTAGGTATCCCGATTGCAGCTATGTATCTGGCAGGTGGGTGGCACCGATGTCTGCGCACGTGTAAAAGTAATTAATCCTATATTGTGAAGCATTTACCCTCCCTATCACGTCCTGGACGAGAATCTACATGCGGGTGGTTCATTAAATTCGAGATGAGCAAAGTGCTCTGGGGATCGCGCATCTGATCGTTTTTGTCTCCTGCAACCAAGCACGCCAGGGTGGCCAAATCACACATCAGATCTTTGGAAATCAATTTAATCCAGGAGTGCCTCCATCTATCGTTTAATGGTTCCTGAGACTGGCTCCTCATCCAAGTCGCTCTTCATCTAAAGGCCTGCGGCCCTTCTCGCGTCCTACAACTTCTGCAGCTTCTGCAGTCATCTCATAACCAGGAGAACCCTTGGACACGGCGCGTGACAATGTCTTGGTTGTCTGTCCTCCTTTACACCCTCTCAATACTGGGGACAGGTACGAACACCTTTGACTGTGCACCACCCTCAGAGGCGTCTCTAATCAGATTTCATCATCCCATGTAGCCTCGGCGGCCGACAGCATTGTTTTCAAAGACCCTGACACGGGCTTCACCTTTTCTCAGTACAATGCGCAATACCAGTATAACAGCCCCAGTACCATCAGTTTCCGAACCGCCGTCCCTAATCCGGCCGCGGCTCCATATGACGTCGTTCTACAGGTGACAGCCTTGAAGAACGTGGGCTGGCTTGGTCTCGCTTGGGGTGGGACCATGCTCAACAACCCCTTGACCATGGCATGGGCGAACGGAAACTCTGTCACAGTGTCAAGCCGGTGGACGAAGTGCGTTTTCCATATTCCGTCCTCGGGACTTCTCTCAATATACTGACTGGTTCTATAGGGGACGCTCTATGCCAACTGCGTACACCGGCGAGACGCTTCAAGTCCTCAAGACCGGGACCAAGGTCAACTCCACGCACTGGCAGGTGACGCTGAGGTGCAGCGGATGCACCTCTTGGGCCACCACCTCGGGCTCGACCACAACGCTCAACCCAGGCGGCTCCAACAGGCTGGCCTACGCGTACGCCACGGCCGCTCCGTCAACGCCGTCCTCTAACACATCTTCCTTTGGCGTTCATGATAATTTCGGCTACTGGAGTCAGGACTTTGCCCAAGGGCAGAATGCGGATTTCCAGGCTCTGGTCTCGAAAAACAGCTAGTGATATCTTATTATGTTGCTGTTCGTCATCGCAAGTCTGTGAAAGAGCTGCCTAGGGTTTGTGTGTCTTCGGAGGGACGTCTCTTCGCATTCCGGATGCCTCGTGACAGAGGGGGCCCGGGTACTTGCTACTTCCGGTAGCAGGTAATATCCATGTCATATCATCCCTATTGCTGTCTTGTATGATCATATTATAATTCCAATGGCCAGGTAAACATTCTTCCCATCGCATACATTTACTTCGGCAGGGCTATAATTAATAATTTTTGTGAATGCGCTGACCTCAATCTTGTCTCGGATTGTCTATAATTGGTATGCCTGGACCGCGTAAAACTACCCGACGACAGTGCCTATTACTGAATTGGAGGGCTAGATGACCTTGAAGTCCTGCCGTCGATTCCTGTCTACTTCTAGCATACACTTGGTATTTCGAGTTATCTGAAAGGTTGGAGATACGCGTGCGGCTCTGCGGCAAGAGAATGGGGCCGCATCCCGCCCCGGGGAGCGCAGGCAAAATCAGACTCGTACTAGTAAAGAAGCAGATGGACACGACCATCGCACTTTTGCCTCTCTTTCAACTCCGACGATCGAAATTTTCACGGCTCCACTTTCAGTCGGTTTCGCTCACCGGCATTCAAGCATCCCTACAGACTGCAGCACATACTACAACAGCGACAAGCACATCAAAAACACCCCAGCTCACAAAGAGACGCCTGTGGAGCCTCTGAGAACAACTAAGCACAACCCCACCAACGAAAAGTTCACAATAACGAACGTCCACACCGGAGTCTAAGTAGGCGTCGAAGTTAGAGATGGACGCACGTCCTAGTACACCAATGACGGAACAGAACCTCGGGCCGAACAAAGTGGATCAGGCGCCAGAGAGGGTGGAGGGACTCAGCCGGAATCAAGCCGGAACGCAACACGAAGACGACTCAACAGTAAACAAACAAGGCCCAGACGAGGTGAGGCCCAGGGTCCAAGTAGAGTTGAAAGGCCAGGATGCTTCCTTGGAAGCTATCGGCAAGACCAGCAAAAGCTTTGTTGTCCCAGGCCACGACTGGGCCGCATGGCCAAGGGAGCTTGAGAGAACATGTCCGGATTGGACGGAAGCGTTCAAGGGGATCCCACTCCGCTGCACTGTGGGCCAGCCATCAAGATTAGTCCGTGTATAGTCTGGACAGGTGGTGTGTCCAAAGCAGCTTGTACAATATGCCGCCGTGTCATATGCATGGGGCCAGTGGAAAGACATGAAGGAAATGTTGTGCAAAATAAGGAGTGTGATGGGGCGAGTTGGACTGACTTACGCCTGGATAGACCAAAAGTGTATAATCCAGGATTCGGAGGCTGACAAGAGGACCGAAATAAAAAGGATGAGGGAGTACTATGCACAGGCGGCGATCACTTACGTGATGGTTCCGGAGTGGTCAACAACGTTCACCTGGGAACTAGCTGGCTCTGTCATGGGCAAGGAGCAATCTGTAAGGACCGTCTCAGAAATCAGGGCATTGAAGGAAAAAGAATGGGCATCAAGGGTGTGGACAATGTAGGAGGCATCGCTCTCTGGCAGGACCGTGTTCGTGGGGAGGAGCGAAGTGAAGAGCGCAGTGGAGCTGGCGGTAGCCCGCTCGCTGAGCTTTCTCTCAGGATATGCGAGTGGACATGTGCATGCAGCGTGGCGTAGGAAAGCGGAAACCATAACCGTTGTGGTTGCGAAGGAGCCAACTTTTCAATGTCCAGCCCTCCCCAACCACATCTTGAGGAATTCGATAATACTGACGGCAACAGATTATGCCAAGACAAGTTATGACTATTTTGACGACTTGTGGAGGGTCACAGGGCAACGACAGTGCAGCCTAGAAGAAGACAGGGTGTACGGGATGCTTGGCCTGTTGCGAGGTGGCGACGCAATGGCTTTAGAGTACGGTATAGGATTTGAGGAGGCAGTAGGAAGAGCTGCAGATATGGGGCTAGTGTCATCTGACATACTCCTGGCAGAAACCAGCTTACAGCAAATGGGAAGATGCTGATGCCCCAGGCCAGGAACGGAAAGGAGGTACATGTCTACCAAAAGGAGGAGGTGGGATGGGACTACGGAGCTCCAACCCATACAGCTCACACCGGAGGGGCTGTGCAAGGTGCAAGCAGTCACGTTCCACATGCAGAGGAGACCAGACAGGTTCGAAGAAAGTGGCCGCAGATTCTTTTGTAAAAATCGGGAAGGCGGGAGAGATTTTGAACAGAAATTTGACAGTGGAGTGCCCGAAGGCGAGGAATGGAGGGGAGACTGGCTGGCGGTGGTTGAGATAAAAGAAGGGCGTTGGCCTAGTCGAGCCATTCTGGTCAAGTATGAGACCCAAGATGAGAGGAGGCTTCACAAATTGCAGACGCTGGAAGCAGACATATGGTACCTCGAGAACGAGTACGTGAGGGAGTTCCTGCTTGGCTAGTCCCTGGTGGAGTTTGTGGATCTGCTGCAGAGCAACGACAGGACGGCACAAGCAGCATTATTGATGGAAGAATAATATCCTCTGCCTGATCCCAACAGCGAATGCTAGGAGACTCCTGTTCTTCATAGTTTCCTCATCATGATTCGCTCCAGTCTCTGTGAGCCATTTTAAACGAGTTAAGGTCTAATACATTTTAATCTTGTGTAAGTTCCAAATATTAATATAATTAATTCTTATTGTGAAAATTTTACTTAGCAATAATTAGCAACTTAAATTAACCTTAAACTTTTTATTTAATATTTAAAGAAATATAGGGTTTATATAAGTTGCAGAGGTTGCATTCCTAAGAAATAAAAAGAGTGAAAAAGAGTGGCAGTTTTAAATATCTTAAAAGAGAAAGCATAAATCATTTGGGGAGAAGAAGATTATTTCTGCAAGGGGATCCAATATTAGGTAGTTAAGTAAAATCAGCATTATTTAACGTCCATCCATAACTTCGTTACTTGCTCTTCCAGTTTGGCTTGATGTTCTATATACTGACCAAAAGATATTTCCCTTCTTACTGCATACAACCTCCTCCACGACGGACCGAGCTTGCCCATTCAAGGAAGACCTTGTTGAGTGTCTACGTGTTCATTTAGACCCCACGCCTGACTGCTGTCATCGTGGACAGTAGCACGTCTCATGTCTCTCTTGTATTTGAAGGCAAATTCACCACCCACTGCCCTATGCATGGTGCAAGTGTTGTCCCAGATAACAAGGTCTCCAACATTTTCCCATTCAACCATAAGGCGATACTTCTCTTGCGTAGCATGTCTGAAGAGCTTATCGAAGAGTCTCTTGGAAGCCTCAGTGTCAAGATCCTCGATATGATGAATATGCATGGCAATGTACAGAGTCATACGGCCAGATCTCTCATGCTTCTGTGCTACCCTGTGACGGCCCATAGGGTAATCGGCGGGCTCAGTGTCTGCGAAGTGCTCAGCAGCAGCCAGTTTCTTCGAGTGCAGAATGGAATGACAACCGATGTAGTCATTTTCGAGGAATTCCTTCTTAGTCTCCTCATCAAGGTCGTCCCACGCCGTACTGCGTTGGATCCATCAGTGAATAGGGTCATGGAGTAATGGCTAGTATGCTTACTTTCTTCACCAACTCCTCTATCAAGCGACAGCTCTCCTTGGTTACGCCTTCAGCAAAGTCCAAGCCTTCAACGATAACACCGAAACCAGATTTCAATTCCTGGATCTGGGGAGCTATGGCGAGCGAGGTGACGGTTTCTGTGGTGTTAGCAGACAGGGTGGAGCTTGGCTTGAATTGTCTTGCGCTAAATGTTCCGTCCCCAGCAATATGGTTGGAAATTGTTGTTCTCGAAGTGAAGTACATCTTATATGAATCAGAGAAAGGGAATTTATATACTTGTTCAACTTTGGGTCAGAATAGGCGCACCCGCTAAACTGACATGAAGCCGAATCATGATGATCATGTTCCGTAGCCGCGTCACGAAGGTGCCCTGCCTGCATGGCATGCTAACATCCGTTGCCGAACAAAACTTTCTAGACTCGACTTGCAGCGAGATTCAATTCAGAATATCCTCATGATGGCTTCGTTGTTGGGCCGACTAGAGACAATGCGCATGGATCTATCCACACCAACCATACCGTCCATTACCGGGACCAGGGGCCCGTTACCGACCGTAACCGACAAAACGGCCACCGTCCGTAGCCGATGCCTTTATCGGATCCATAGGTCGATAACCTCGCAAGAGTCAATAGGACTGTAAGCCATTGCTGCTAGGACCAGACGGGAGTGTACAGCATTTCAAAGATGATCATTTCTTTTCTGTTCTGTTATGGCAAAACTTCTTTGTATGAAACTGAACCATTGTAGTATTGTATTAGAACAATCATGTCCCACAGGAGACCAAGACACAATAATAAGAATCCTAAACATCTTTGACCAGCTCAGCTAATTAATGAAAGAACAAGGACAAGATGAAATTTCTTTGTTAACAAGAATGCTAAATATTCGGTCCTTCCGCTTGTATCCCTACGCATTGCTGGACATCTGATCTGTCAGGTACAGCTTCCCATAAGCTTTCAAATCTCTCTGAAAATTTCGTTCCCAGCTAAGCGAGCTCGTTCCGAAGATGGCACCATTCCTACCCACAAACAGGTCTATACTGATCAGAAGCACCCTTGGGGAAGCAACTGCGCCAGCTCATTTACCTCTGTGGTTTTGGTGCCTCCTCGCAGTGGCTGGCACCGTCTGCTTTGTCTTATTCATTTACAAATCTGTCATGTTATGCCGAAACACTGGCAGAACCCAAAGTCGCGCAGACAATGCCTCAGTCGAAGCTGGCATATTTGAGGTGCAGGAGCCAATTTCGAAGCCGCCACGCGCATACAGCCCCCAAACTTAGAGCACAATTTATGTAAGAAGCATATCCCCGCGTTATTAATTCTGCGAAGCGGTTTTCTCCAAGAACGAGGAAAGTAGATTTGTTGTCGGGTAATGGTTTGTGACCTGAGGAGGTAAGTAATTCAGTTCTGGAGCAAGTGTTTCATCAGCGTCTTTGCATTTGATTCTTCCACTCTTTTTGCAAATATCAACTAAAACTCTGGGATCGCTGGGCGACAATAATCTTTTGCAATGTTGGTTTGATAACTTGCAAGTCCGAATGACTAAAATGAGAATGCATCAAAATTCTGTGTTCCTATACACTAGCTATGCTACCCAACTGGTGATCATGCTTATTTCAACCAGAATGTAGATCGACATAGGAGTTTGTATGCTGTTGAAATTGACGTCAGTTTCAAAACAACCAAGTCAACGCCGCAAAACTCCATTGCGATCGGCTCCGGCTTCCTGTCCCGCTGGACCGGCAACCAACCCCTGCACCAAAAAGAGTGGGAACTACCGATTGGGAATTTAATGGGGCTGCTTTCGTCAGAAAGTACCTGCAGTGAGTCGTGAAATAATTGGAGAGTTCCAGTGACTGTGACTGCGGATATATGGGGGGTTATAACATCGAAGGTCAGTTTAAGCCTCTTCGCGTTGTTAATCCTTGAGTTGATTGCCTTGAGCATTTCAACCTACTTAGAATAAACCTCATGCTTTTCAAGCATAATAACGAATATGTTAATCTAGTTTAATAGCTGTAATCTTTTGCTTTCACTAAAGTACTTATACTTACGTGCTACCCTTACTTTGAGATAAACTTGCTTATTATAGTTAAAGTTGATTTTCTATTTATAGCAGGGCTATTAAACTATTTATATTCATATATTAGATTAAAATTTAACTTATCGGGATCTCAGGCATATATACTTTTAACTTAACTTGTATCAGTTTCATAATAATTGCGATAAGTTTTAGGATTATTTTTAAAGAATTTTAAGGGACAAGATTACGCTGCTTAGTGTTGAGCCTGCATCTCCGGTTTTCGATTGTTCAAACTAAGCCTGGTCTTAATCTCCCGGTGCCTCAAAGACCAACCCTTTGTTATGCCTCTCTTGAAATCCCGCCTCAGAGTATGCAAAGTCTCTTACTCCAACATCAGAGTGCTGAGACCAGAACGTCGTCTGGTCAGGCTCCTTCATCCATACAAACTTCTCAATCTTACCCTTTGGATCCAACACAGACATAGCCTCCTTGTGTCCATAAAAGGCGGCTAGATCGGAAGGCGTCCAGCCTTGGTTATCCTTTGGCTCGCGGTCACTCACACGCTGCAGTACAAGAAGCAGCGGAGATACAACTCCTGCGAATGCGGCGGAGTGTAGAGCTGACCAGCCGTATCGATCTCTTGTGTCGACGGAGGCGCCACGTTCCAGAAGTAGCGTGGATACTTCCGTGTTCTCCGCTTCAAGCGCATGTTGTAATAGGGTGACGCCGCCCCGCGCGTACTCCATGCTCAAGCCGGCATCCAAGAGTTGCTCCATTGCTCTGCGCGTCTGACCGTCACTTATAGCATCCCAGACTGGGTGTGTCTTGTCATCCGGGAGATCCCCGAATTCAGCGCCGTGGTTTCGCAGGATCGATATGACAAGGGGGTCGCCCCAGCCAACGCTCAGTTCCACAAGGGAATGCCCCTGGGCATCCGAGACGTTAGGACTAGCCCCCTTGCCAAGAAGATAGGTCATCGTATCGGTGGCTCTCGCCTGGGCAGCTACCATGAGAGGTGTATAGCCAGCTGTGTTGCGGCAATCTTTGATGTCGATCGACTCGTCAACCAATACTTCGAGTGTCTTCGAACACCCGCAAGCAGCAGCACAATGTGCGGCGGTATTGCCAGATGCGCCTTTCGCCGCTAAGTCTGCACCATACTGCGAAAGCAGTTTGAGGATTGGTGTGCCCTCTTCGCCGGCACTCGCCGCCTTGTGCAAAGGTTGGTCGCCATGTTTGCATTCTGCTTCAACGATCGCGCCGTTCCCGACGAGGAGCGACAGCACAAGGTGTCCAGCTGCGTTGGTTATCATGTGTAATGGAGTCAAGTGGAGATTCGACCGCGCATTGACATTGGCGCCATGATCGATCAGAAGTCTGGCACTGTCCGCGTCACTCATATCTGCTGCAACGTGCAGCGCCGTGAGTCCTTCTTTGTCAACAGCTCCGACGTTGGCTCTGCCTTCCTCCAAGAGCCATTGAACAATTGCCAATTGTTTACCCTTGATCGCATGGAACAAGACAGTTTGACCTCGCGCGTCACGCATCTCCAAAGTTTTCGTCTTCTTGTATAGACTTTTGACCATGTCCAGGTCTCCCATCCGCGCACTGAAGTGGATGCTCTGCATATCGAGGGTGTCGACACGAGTGTATTGCTTCTCCCCTTTCAGCAAGAAATTGATAGTTGCGTCGTCGCCGCCCTCCATGGCCCAGTCTAGGGCCGTCTCTCTTGCAGCGTTTTCTTCGTTCAAAGGAACACCTAGCTGCAGAAGCTCCTGGCAGATTGAAACGTGGCCCCGTCTGGCGGCCCAATGAAGAGGCATAGCTCCTTGGTCGTCTCGATACTGAAGGCCTTCCTTGTTGTTGATGATGAGCTTCGCCGCTTCGACATGATTATTTTGGATTGCTGCAATCAAAGCCACACCAAACGCATCAGGTCCTGGTCTTTCCCTGCCAGACTCGCCGTGTATGATGTTTTTCAGTGCCTGGAGGTTATTGGAACTGGCTGCCCACTTCAACATTGTGGCAGTTTCCTCGGATGATGCTTCCTGTTGCTTCTCGACATCACGGTTTGTCTTGTTCTGTTTGCGGTAGGCCGGAGAGCATTGGATCATCAATGCAATGCAACCCAATGGGATTGCAACCAGTGAGAGGAAGATCGCTTTAGTGTAAAGCACCATGCGACGTCTTGATTTGAGCACACCATATCCAGAGAAGACCAGAAGCATCAGCACAAGTGACACATAAATGTAAAATTGCCAGGGTGAAGCAGTCGCGAAGACGTCAATCTGCATGCTAAAAAGGGCCTGATGATGATTAGAAGGTGTCACACAAGCAGAAGAGAGTAGACAAATCTCATACCGAAGTGAACAGAAGTGGAAGAAAAATGAACTTGATTGTGGCAACGTTAGATCATGATTCCATGAGAGGGCACTTTTTGAATGACTTGCCGTGATCCAAGTTAACCTTCTGATGCTGTCATTCTGGTCCCTTGATCGATACCCTTCATCAATGGAGATGAGATTTGTGACCCGCTGTATAAGTGCATCAGTTTCTTGCAGCAGTTCTGCTGAGATTCTGAGGTCGATCCTCTCAAATCTCTGAACATATCCGTTTGCGATCGCCATGGTTTCGAAGTTATTGATGCGGTCTTCTGCCCATCTTGGGTCGCCATACACATCTCTCAAGAATGCGATTCGTTGCAGCTGCGTCTTCAAGACCAAGCGGAATTCTTCCCAGTGCTGTGCAGCAAGAACCAGGGTCCGTACAATGCTGCGGTCGGTCTCAAGGCGTTCCTCTAGCACCTCCACACGCTGTCAAACCACGCCCTTGTCAGTCTGAGTGTCACACATCTTGAGAAGCCTTCCAACTTACGAATGAGCTCAGAAAACTTGAGGATGCCAAGAGAATAGCTTCCCAATTCTCGAGCATGTATTCGAGCTGCTGGAATATGTAATCGAGTGGAGATGCTCTGGCTTTCACTTCAATATCGTAGTTTTGATACACGAGTGCATCGTATGCGAAAAGGGTTGTTTCAAGAGTCCGACAGCGGAATCGGAATAATTGTAAGTTCCAGTCGGCATGGTAGAAGTTAACACAGCTAAGTAGAAGCAATAGCGTTAGCAAGCCTCCAAGTAACAACGGTAGCAAAGGAGTTGCAAGAGGTCGAAGAATTACCTTGTGCCAAAGCGAATGCTGGTCACTCCGTTGGTTGTCTCAATCTTAGGGGAGCTGTATACCTCATCCGAAGGTCGTGACTCGAGCTGGAGGTAGAACTTGAAGTTCTTATGGAGCATATAGTGGCCGCAAAGCTGACCGTCAACACAGCGCTTACAGGTACAAGAGCCACTACCCCAAGCATCAGACACGACGTTATTTCCTAGAAGGCCGTAGGGATACTGTGAGAATCTAGAGAAATCCAGATGCTCAAACAAGGGCATCAGCAGCCTCGTGGGACAATTTGGGCCATATCGAAATACCCGACATCCTTGGTCGTTGACAGCTTCGGGGTACATGCGGAGATATCTCGCGAGCGCATCCGCTGTGGAAAATGAGTTGCTTGTGCTGCCGTCTTGTACAATGACCCTGAACAAAGCGCTGTCTTTGAGGCTGGGCTGTTCCCCTGCACCTCCGTCGGGGAGATCCTCCGGCCTAACTTGGGTTGTCGGCCGTTGATATGCAGCTGTCGAGGGCTGTTGCTGCTGCTGTAGAGGTGGCTGCTGCAATCCGGCTTGGGGTAGTGGATAACTAGAGTACTCCTGTGCCGGTGCATCGTACCGACCTTGTTCTACACCTGGGGCCCCAGGCGGCGGTGCGTAAGGGTTTGCTTGTACCGGAGGTGGCTCGTAGCTGCCTCCATAGTAAGCATTGCCTGAGGAGGCTTGCGCATTTGGCGGGGCCGAGTATGGTGTGTAGTAGCTCTGTGGAAGTTGGTGCGGGCGATATGGGGCACTCTGGGTGCTTGTTCCATAATATGGCACAGACTGTGGAGGGAGATAGCCCTGGGCAGGCATAGGCGGCGGAGCAGATTGATAGGCATGGCCCTGCGATGTTGGATTAGGAGCATAAGGCTCTGCTGAGAATGCGCCAGGTGGCTTGTTCGCCGGATATGCCGCATAGTAGTCATATGGTTGAGCTGATATGGGTTGTTGGTATGGGAATCTGTTAAATGAAGCAGGCTGATATTGGGGGTAGCTGGAAGGCTGTTGGGCTGCTGTCACGCTTGGTCTTTCCGAAGTCTGAGCAGCCTTGACTGAAGACTCTTCTGCTGCATCGTACGGGTATGGTAGCGGCAATGGCGGCAGCGATGAGGTTGCTTCTTGGAACTGCGACTCCGATGAACCTCGTTGAGCTGATGGCGCATCCAAAATTACTGGCAGGTCTGGCAGTGGTAGCGCTGATAGTGTTGGTGCTGGTGCCAGTGATTGATTTCGCTCCTCGTTCTCACTTGGAGCTGGTGACGACGCCATCGCAACGCGTGCTGTTCATTCAGTAGCACCGGAATCGAGACAAGGCAGATGTCTTCTGTTGATGTGAACGACTTTGGGAAGAACAAACATAGCATTGCTTTTCTCATAGAACTTATAGGCAAGCACGGCTGCGACAACAAGTAAAGACAGCTAGACCCTTGCCGGTTGATCAGCTCGTGAGAAGCCATCAAATTCAGCTCGGGAGACGCCACCGAGTTCAGCTGTGCTGCAGCCATCACGGACTAGTAGATGGGGCGCAAGGTAATTGGCCCATTGCCAGGGGGTCCTTAAACTAATCAACAAACTACCCATGTAAGGTCTAGAACCAAGGATAGCTTCTTCATGCCTTTTCTCTTGAGGCGGCAAGCTGGCTGCATGCAGGATTATTGGATGGTTGTTGGCGAGGGTTTGGACCACAGTCGTCAGGGGATTCATACGTCAGTTGTACTGTATAGTGACATGGAAAAAGTCTCAGGACAGTCACGCAAATTCCCACCCAAATCCACCATTTTTAAATAGAGATTATGTTTTTACAGCACTTTATTTAATTTTTATATGATAAAGTCTTCTCTGAAAGAAGTGTTCATTGGATCTAGTTCTAGTAAGACTCGGGAGAAAGCACGTCAACTGAAAACTGCGAGCACAACAAGGAGAAGGCCGTGGCGTTGCAGCACAACACATTCTGGAAGTAATCCATCGTTGAGTCTCTGCTGGCTGTACATGCTTGTGACTTAAGGATTTAGTAGTCATCTATCTTCTACGTCAAGTGTACCCAAGTCTCAGCTCCTACTGCAGCATCGTCTCAGGGACGCTGTTCTCAAACGCTCAGTTTGTTTAAATAAATTTCCCTTCTGCAAGACTCTCCCCATCCTTTCAGTATATCGCTCGCCCCGTCTTTACCTCGCCTGGCAAGAACCCTAACTCTGCCATGCCAGCCACAAGGTCCACCAACATCTTGTCACATCCAGCGGCCGCCATGATGCCCACCGTTACCGGCAATGTCTCGTTGCGCCGCGTAACCCTCGAATAATAAGTTCGCTCACCAATGGGCACCGCGTAGTCAGGAGCCCCCGACAACACGCTCATGAAAGTCGCAGGATAGCTACCGCCGAATACGGCGCTGGGTGGTTCCGGGTAAATATCGCGGTATTCTTCCAGGCCGGCGCCGAGAGGATACATGAGAATGGCAGACTCGCAAGTTGGCAATACATGCGAGCTAAACCAATCACGATAAGTGTTCACTCGGGTAAGAGCATCGTCATACAGGTCTTGGGTGAGCGTTTCTCCACGCTCGATACGCGATGCGGGCACGGGACCTATGTAAGGTGATCGCCCGAATTTGGCTTGATACGCGGCGTTGAAAGGCTGCCACCAGAGTCTTACTTGGTCGAAGTTTGTTATGTTCGAGTATGCCGATTGGAGGTAGGGTTGTATGCCCTCGGAGTGATTCGCGTGTAACTTGAAAGAGCTGTTGGTGCTCACTTCGTCGATTGTGGCGTTAAGATACGTTGATAATTGAGACAGGAAGGACTCAAAAACAGGCATAGATGTCGCGTTCTCCGTCGGCCAGAACTCGGTTGGCAGAATGATTCGACGTGGGAGATGTGCATAAGGCTTGCTAGGGAACCAGTTTGTGTATGCGGTTTGCAAAAGCAAAGCCGAACGTGATAGAAGGCCCGGAACATCGAAGATAGGAGACTGCGGTAGAATGCGCATCGGTGGAAGACTTCCATTTGTCGGCCGTAGGCCGAAGAGGCCGTTGGCTTTTGATGGTAGTCGGATCGAGCCGCCTGTGTCGCTTGCCGTGCCGAAGTCGACCCAACCGTACGAGGCCACGCCGGCGCCAGTTCCACAGGAAGAGAAGGCAGGGCTTTGGTAGTTGTCGCCGCGGGGATTGAAAGGGGCAAGCTGGTCAACGAAGTCACTAGTGAGGTTAGAGCCATGGACTCAGGGGTACATGGATCCGTTGCATGAGCAGTCAAAACTTACGCGGGGACCTCGCCCAGCGCTACCTGAGTTGTCTTTACTTTTCCGATGACAACTGCGCCCAAGTCGATAAGCTTCTGTAAACTCGGTGCGTTTTCGCCTGCAGGGTCGTCCAACTCGCGAAGGGCGCGCGAACCGGCAACGGTGCGGATACCCTTGAGATCGTAGTTATCCTTGACTACTAGTCGCTTGCCAGATAGGGGTTTCTCCCTGGACGGAGGTGGATAGTACAGCCTCGAAGGAACAGCAATGCTCAGTGCTCCGTTGGCGTCGGTTTCAACCGCTCCGGTCACGGACACGTAAGAGCCATTCAGTCCCTCAGTCACGGGCGTCTCGAACGCAAAGTTGTGGTCCCTGTATAGCCGATAAACCCTGGTGATCTTTCCAGATGGGTGAAACAAGTAAGGTCCGGACGGAGGAGATGGGTTCGGACCAGAATAGTATAGGACCGCAGCTCTCATGGCATGAAGATACTGCTCTGCATCCTCTGATAATTGGTTGGATCTGTCACTGATAGCGACCATGGAGAGGAAATAAGACGAAAAAACGTCATCACTCTTTGCAAAGTCTGCTACCATCACTTCGAGTTGATCCGCGTTGATAGAAGTCCAGTTCGATGATAAGGAGAGAAGTGTTCCTGGTGTAGGATGATGAATAAACTGTGTCCATTCTGGCGCCAGATTCCCAACGGCTTCGTCCGGTGAGTAATACGACGTGCCATTGAGTTGGAATACAAAAGAAGCCTTTGCACAAACTAAGAGCGCCAAGGATAAAAGGCATTGCAGCAGCGTTGAACTCATCTTGACAAACGTTGGCGAAGACACACCCAGTATTTCGTGAAAGTGTTGTTCTGTTTCCTGTGAACTCACGGAGTCATTAAATAGCTCCTACAGTGGGGCCAAAAAATTATTTACCGGTTATGCATTCACACCCAACGGAAAAGGACTCGCCACTGAACTTAGACAACTTCCCTCTGCCTCCTACACTTTGATTCATCACCCACTTCGCTTTATCACCCACATTGCCGGCATTGGGACCAAAACAGGCTTCAGGCAGTTCCTATGACAAAAACAATGCATGCCGAGACGCGGAGAAGCGGAGACTAAACGCAGACTTTGTAATACGATAGGGTGTAAAACCAGTCACGGGGACTTTTATCTTCGGAAAAGTCAAATGATATCCGTCTGTTCGTTGAATAGCGGAAACTTCTTCCAATGACTCCATGTAGGTGCCGGCGCCCGGCACCGCAACCGGCATCCTACAGGGCATAAAGGTCTAGACTGGTGGTCTTCCCAGCCTATTCAAAGGCCATCGTAGAAAGTCGGGTCGCGCTAGGGGGCCGGGAAGTCTTCTCCAAGTCTCTATAGTAAGACCTCAGGCTTGCTTTCCGCAGCTGAGGAGCTTCCCTCCGCCTTCCTTGCGTCAAAGATTGCCTGGCGGACATGTACCCAGTTTCCAGAGAAGTCGTGGACCACGTAGGTTCCACCTTTCGAGGCGCCTTGACGGATGCACGTTAAACACTCTGCTTGCTCGAAGTTGTCTCAACAATTTAACCCGAAGCCGCACATGAATTATGGGACAATCTTGGTGTGCTATGTAAGAAATCTCTGGAATGCAGACATTTTTATCAATGAGCCCCTCTACACGACTCTCGCATTTCGTCTTCTACTAACATCCGCTGTCCTGTCTCCCTCTGGATAACCCCAGCTATCCTTGCCCCAGGTTCCCCACATCCGCCACCAGCGTCTACCATAGGACAGACCCTTCCTATACGTCCAGCGGTTGTTGGGCACACGACGGACGGGGGGCCGCCCATGTAAGCCTGGCGAGTTATTAGCATCAGTAAAGAACTCTGAATCAAAATGAGCATGTAGCATGTGAAACTCACATCTCCCCTTATATTTTCCTGAGCGCGGGCGTGTCGTAAACTGGCGGCAGTCATGGCAGAACCTCCGCTCACCCATCCAGCCACGCAGTCTCACGTGTAGCGGACAGGTGGTGCACGCACAGTGTGTGCATCGGGGTATCCGACATACCGCGTGGTCGGTGGGATACTTGCGACAGAACGAAAAGTCGTGGCACCTTAGATAAGTACGCGAGCTATACGGCTTGTTCAGGTCGACTCGGTTTTCGTAAGAGTGATGCCGTTTGCGGTGCGCCCGGGCGTTTTGGGCAACACCTGACATTGTCTTTTCGCCGCATGTGCACTCAATGGCCTCTTGGGGGAGTGTTTGGTCATATGATAACAGCCAGAGTCGTTCCGGAATCAAGGGGAGCGTCAGGGCGCGGAGAGCGTGTGACGAGAGGGAAAGGCAGACGAGGTCGTTCTGTTGGCAGTGGGACAGAATTTCCAGTTGAATTTCAGCGGGTAGTCTCATGAAAAGTGAGAATGAGAACTGCGACAGTGGCTGCGACTCTGGCGCCGATGTGATAGCGTTCCCCAGGTCGGACATGATTTGAGGAATTATCGATACGCTGCGAAGACGCTGGATGTCTGATCGTTAAGGAACGAAGCCGCCCGGAATTTGAAAAGATGATGTTAACTTTGCAGCTTTATTTGACAGCCAGGAAAAAGTGTTCGCCATCAAGATATTTAATGGTGATCCTTAGTGCTCAAGCATTTTAGGCACGTTCTTTCTCCTTCATCGCTGGCAGGGATTCACGAGCCACTACTGTCGGCTGCCTGCTGCGAAGCAGGGTGGCCCACATTCGTTGCCTAAAACCACATGATAGGATTCAAATGCCAGCCACAAACGGCATAAGCCAGTACAGCGAGATTAGGTCTTCTGTTTATTATAATCTATTACTACGGGCGGGAGAGCGCTCCGACCGTTTGATTTCCAAAGTCTACAGCATTGCCAACCGGCCTCCCCCGCGTACTGCTCCCTTTGACAAAGATGACGCTTTTTGCTTGTCTTATTCTGACATCCAGACCCGTCGACGTTCTGCGGTCAGAAAGCTCACTGAGAGTAACAACGTCTTGCATAAGATAAGATCGAAGACCTGGCTGTTCAGATCCTCGCAAAGCCACCCTCTTAACCGCGCCCAGACCTCAGTCTAGCCAGGCCGGGTCCAAACCCTGCAAGAAGTCCAGCTCGACATTCACAAAGCTCCTCCACAGGTCCACCTCCCTGGGCCACGGCTTAGTCTGCATCGCAAACGTCACGATCGTGCTCAACCGGAGAAGCTCCTCCTCAGACTCCGCCATGACCAGTACTGCATCGCCCCGGGACACAAAGTGCTTGCTAAGGTCCACCCCACTGTGCATGCGCGCCCTCTCGACGACAAGCTTCACCCTGCTCGACGTCGCGTGCATTGCGCTCAGCTCGCTGCCCTCGAGGTCCTTGGGGACAAACTTGAACTCCCAGCTGCGCCCGCGCGAGTCCATGAACACCACGTGGGACCGGTTCCAGTAGCCGACCATCAGCGGGTAAAAGTGCGGCGCCGACCAGAGGCGCAGCAGCGAGAACCTGGCGCTCCCCGGCTTGCCCCGTGCGAACGCCCGCGCGCTCGCCAGCAGGTCCGGCCAGTCCTCCACCGGCGCCCACTCGGGCGGGTGCCGGATCGGGTTGTCCGGGGGCAGCTCGAAGCGTACGAAGAAGTCTAGCTTGCCGGGGCGGTGGGGCTCCTCCGCTGCCAATGCGTACCCGGGACACACGTCGGGGTGTGGCTGCGTGTCGGACGGCTGGATGATGCCGGCTCGGTACACTAGGGTCATTGGTTGTGAGCGGATGGTGGTTTGGTTGGCAATGAAATTCAGGGTTGCAGATGACTTACACTTTGCAATAATGGGCCTCACAGCCTTGCTCCACTCGAAAGGATATGAATCTATCATCGACTCGCACTCTTCCAGCTCCTCCAGCTCCTCAAAGAAGCTTTCGGGCTTCCGAGACTGACTAGTTCTCGAACGCCGATCCAGCGCTTTCCGCGAGCGCGTAACAGGGTCAAAGATCTGAGAGTTCTTGAATTGCGAGCCTTGCTCGGAGCCAAGATACTCTCTGACCAGCTTGGTCACCTCTAGATCAGGGAAGAATAAGCCCATCGTGACGAATGCCTGCGTGACATCCTGGGCGAGATACCGGTGTGGCCAGGGCGAAAGGGGGTTCTGGTCGTAGTCATCATACCAGGCTCGCAGCTCAAGCGTGTCGAGGATGTCGAGGCAGTACCAGGCCCAGGCCGCGTCAGCAGTGTTGGCCGAAGAGAAGTTCTGAAGCCCTATGATCATATTCATCGACTCGAAATATTTTTCGCGGGCACCGGGTTCCAGGTCGCCCATATGGAAGGATTCTTTAAACCCTGTTTGAGCATATCCTCTCTATCCTTGCCGTGTTTTCCAAAATTCCGGTTTATTTCGAAGTAGGCTTGTCTCCAAATCGGGGGTACGGAGTGTATGAAATGCTGGGCTTCAGTGTCGTCGCTCGCAGAGAGCAAAGCCTTCTTCTTCCCAGCGTGGCCATCAAATTCATCCTCGTCCGAATCTTCCATGTCCGCCCCATCGATGAGGCTGGCACCATATCGTATCATTGACTCCGTCATTGGAGAGCTCTCCATAATGACCAAAGGGTTTTTGATCGGTGTGAACAGGCCTTGGTCACGCCCTCCATCGAAGAGAACCTTGTCCTCAACAACATCGGCCTCATTATACATGGCGTACGGCATTGAGGAGTCCTCGGGCAATTCGTCGTGGGCTATCGTCCTCATCTCGCCACCCCTGCTCCGCTGGACTGCGTATCTTGCTGTCGGGCCGGTAACAGAATCATAGATGCTCTGTGTCTGTTCGCCGGCGCGGATCTGTCGGACTCGCTTGGTATCCTCGTCCTGGGTCAGTTGTTCGAGGATATGTTTCTGGTGGAAGTACATGTCTCGGTACTCTCGCATCCTTCGAGCCCTTCGCAGCATCTTTAATATTTTAGTATCAGGTCTTGGTTCTCTGCCGAGGGCTGCTGACTTACATCTACCAAGTAATGGAATAGCTCCATTGGGTTCTCGCCAGGTACAAAGTCCCAGATGTAGAGTTCATAGTGGGAGTCGAAGTTGAATCGCCACTTCCGCTGGCGATCCAGCTCCAGCAACAGTTTCCTATCAACCGCTTGCAGCACCTCGAACTCGTTCTTCGATGCTCGGCCAAGACCCGATTTCACCCTATGGATCCACCGCCCGTTCTCTCCCTGAGGAGCGTACAGAGTCTGCCCAGTCTTGCCGTCTCGAACGAGGATTTGCAGATTGCCAGTCTGCATGATGCAATAGTCAATGAAGCGATTGGTGACCGGGTCTCCGCGCTTCATATGGGCACAGATAAGGTTGCGACACTCTTCAAAGTGGTGCTGCCGTCGAAGCCTTCCTTTCGAACCGACCTGGGTATACTTTGATCTTGTATCCGCTCCAAATTGGGTGTGAAATGGGATGAAGCCCTGCCCTTGGTCAACGAATCGCTCAGATAGGGTTGCGAAGGGAGACGCACCATGCGAAGTAGCTGCTCGGTTAGCGCATTCTGGGACCAGGACGCCCATTTGGCCGAAGGAAAGAAATGCCACAAGACGAGAGTTTGCAGCTCATAGAACTCGTCCCAGTTCCGACAGAGCAGGACGGCCTCCTCAAAGGTGCAGTCTTTAGCCATGATAGAGAACTGTAGCCATCCATCTCGAGCCATGGCAAGTTCGCTTGCGTGATTCCATATAGTCTTACCGCAGATCGTAATCTTCATTCTCTTCCCCACTGACTTCTTCTCCGAATCGCCTTTGAGATTGTTTGACTCTGCCGCCATGATTTTCTTGGTCTTCCCTGACATCAAGGCGGAGAAGAGACCCATGTCATTCATGTCACCATACATCAAATTCCGCCTAAATATTTCCTCTGTTGACAAGACCTCGAGCTCCTCCTCTGGCGGTGGAGGTTCAGGATTGTCGCCCCGGGCAAAGTCAGCGCAGGCGTCCCTCAACGCTTGGGAGTTGGGTTGCTCAACTTTCAGACACAAGTCTCTGAGGTCAGTATGAGCGATAGACGGGTCCTCAATAAACTCTTCTACGCTCTTGGCCTTCAGAGCTGCTGGGAGCAGTGTGGCGTGCGATAGAAGCGTTCGGCAGAGCAGGAGAGCCTTGATCTCAGCTATGTCCGAAAGAAGTTTGTCGATGTCCTCTTCTGGCAGGGGTGCCGTGCGACCATGTGTTTCCAATGGGTTCTGGATAGTGCCCACGAGCTGCGGCCCGTATAGCCCGGAGTGGTCTCTCTCCACGCCCTCTCGTAAACGCCTGCGGACTTCTTCTCGGAGGGAGATGCTGGATGCCTTCTCGGAATCAAAACTACCAATAGTACGATGTCTGATCCGTTGTGGTATCGTGCGCTGACTCCTGGCCAGTTGATTGCTAATGATACCGTCTCTGCCCTCCCTTGTGGACAAGCCTGGTATGTGCAAGACTCAGCCGAGCACACTTTACAGAACATCTCTTTACTATTTGGGTTCATGCTAATGGTGGACATCGCAGATCTGCGACAAATCATATTTACCACACTCCCTGGTACTATAGAGAAGTTTGATCTCCTTTGCCGGGTTGCCGGGCGGGATGGTGAACTCAGTACATGTGTTGTAGCATTCGACACAAGGCAAGATTTTCGAGACAGCAATCGAGCTCGAGCAATCCCGCCGTCCTTTGCAGCAGTCAAACAAATAGTACAGGAACTCTTCCACAGGTGAGCATTTAGACATCCTGCCGGCAACCTTTCGCTCATGGCTGGTGGCCGCCAAATTCTTTCCCAGGACATTGATATGTTGGACCTGTCCTTTGCCTACTCGCTCCTTGAGTCCAGCCTGGGATGTATCAAGTTACTGGGGCGCCAGTACGGTGCCTGTAGATTTGAGGTCGTACCTGGCCACGAGTCAGTCTTGAAAGCTGACAGGACCCGTACTGGAATCGCCATTGTGAAGCATTCAGTCCAGGTGCCAGAGACAGGTCTCTTCAATTTGGATACCGTCCGAGCGGCGCACAAAGAACACTTGCCCGGTTTTACGGAACTCACTGCGAAGATTAATAGCCTCCAAAACAACGGGCACATCAAGGTGTATCCACGCAAATCACTATTGATCTTTCGCCTTGAACGAGTTCCTGAGCCCGGCGCTGAAACGGAGGCGATCGCGAAATGGGTCTATGGGCAGCTCCTGAAGAAGCATGAAGCCAAGAGCCAGGAAAGACGACAGCTCCGAGATTTGCTGTTGGGCAACAGCTGTTTCTTAGCAACAATGGCCAAATACTTCGGCTCGCAGCTACCTGATGGCAAAGCCCGCTGCGGCCGCTGCTCAGTCTGCCTTGACGGCAGAGCGGCCAAGACCCGCACCTTTTCTCCGAAAACAGTCGATCTCAATGATGTCAAGGCAATCCTGGGAGAGATAACTGACCGGGAAAGTCCGAGATTCCTTGCACGTGTGGCAATCGGTATACACTCGCCCAGGGTCAGGGATCGGACCTCCATCGTCACCCATTGTTCGGGTCCATGGCTGATTGCAAATTTGAGGTAAGTCTCACATAAAGTGATACAAGCGACGTGGCATAACGGACTTCAGCTGACAAAATCGTTCTCTCGAAAAGGACGTCCTGGAAGTTTTCGCAGGGGTTTGTGGCGTACCTTTAGAAGAAGCCTAATCACAGGTCCATGCACTCCGCCTGTTGTCAAACATTGCTCTTGACAATGATTATATAGCTTATCTATCATTGTGACAGGCACAGATGCATCAGAGACAGCAAGCTAGAATTGATATAATTGAGAAGCGCCGAGGGTATCTTGCGTACAACATGCTATGCGTGAAAAATCCAATCTGCTCTCCAACAACAATGGGACTCGGTCAGTACACAACCCGCTTCCCCGCTCTTGTCCAACCCACACAACCGGCGGAACCTGTGCTCGTACCCAAATGCCTTCTACATCTGGGCAACATTATCCAGATGCCCCGTCCATCAGACACTGAGGGCTATTCCACCAGGGAAGACCCTGTAAGCCCAGAGATCTCCTCAGCCTTCCGCTCCCTCTTCAAAACAACCGCATGCCTCTTCGCATGGACCTTTACATCTTCAGGGTGGAACGGGTTGTACACCGTGTCGCACAGTTTGCACTCCCTCATCCCCGCACTGCTGCCGATCGCAAGACTCAGGGTCGTCTGGACGCCATCCTTGCGCTTCGGTTGGGTCTTGCGCTTCTTGTGGAAGGTCTGCCTCTCGTAGCTGCCGCCGTGGAGGGTGAGGCGTCGCTTCGTCTTGGGGGCCGCGGCTACTTTGTGTGGCTTGGTGGCATCGACCTGATTGTCGTTTGCTCTAGTGTCGGCCTTGGTCGTGGGTGAGGATGAAGGAGTTGCCAACTGGGTGCTTTCATCCGTGCTTGCCGGGGATGAAGAATGCCTCTTCGAAATCGGCGTCTTGTTCACCGAGTTCTGGTCACCCTCCTGCAGTCCAGGCGCCATGGCCAGCATAGAAGGGGCCGTAGATGGCTGTCTCGCCTCCGACACGGTTCTCCCAACAAGCCCATCGACCTCCAGGCTTTTCAAATCGCATGGGACGTAAGATGTCGGCTCTTTCTCGGCTTCGATCTTGTGCACCGTGATTTGAGGCGTCGGCTGCTCTCCCGAGTGTGGCAAGGTCCCAGGTCTCGTCTTTTCAAACGTGTCTCGCCGTAGTGCTGGGCTCGGGATGCGTTGCGTAGGACTGGGACGTGACCCTGTAAGTTGCTTTTGCGGAGTGGCATCTTGATCGAAGTCGCCAACTGTGGGAGACTGTTGTCGGCCGATCCGTGGTAAGTCACGCCTGGTCTTGTCGTCCCGCTGCTGCGACGCGACACAGTCGACGTCCTCCACTCTGCATGGGCATGCTGTGATGCAATCATGGTTGCTGATGGGAGGACATGATATGTGGCCCGTTGACTTTGGGGGCGACATGTTCAGCACGTCATTGAGTTCTGGAGAAAGAGGCGCGAGATATTTCGTCGCGGCTCGCGGAGGTGGTGACTCGGCCACGCGGCGCTTCTTGGCTGGCCGCACAGAGGATGTGTGAGTGCTGGGGGACGATGCTTGGTTTGGCTGTCTCAAGGATCCCGTCGATTTGGTGCGGGAGCCCTCGGATGCAGTTCTTGTGAGTTGGACGAGGCGACTCCATGCGGATGGCGGTGTTGTTGTCGTCGTCGAGGCAGAAGACGCGGATGCATTGGCCATGACCGACGAATCTGGGGTTGTGAGATCAATATGGAATGATGGTGAACACAGAATGCGCCTTTCTGGGATGGCGTTTCAGGCACTAGGAGACAAGGATTGCTTTGGACAGTCATTAATGTTGCACTAGAAAACAGTAGAAAAGTCGGGATGGGGGAACGCGTCTGCAGCACTCAGGAGACGCGTCGCACTTTAGCGTGTTGACGCGTGAAAAGGGCGTCGGGCAACGGATGACATAATCTCGTGTCAATGCCGCGTCGGGTCCGAAGCAGTATACCCGGATATCACTGCCATCGTGTGCAGATTGAGCGTGAGTAAATTCATACAGCATGTGTAAGTATGCCAGTTTTCAAATCGCCAAACAAGGTGAGGTGAAAATGGTGACAATAGATTCAGGCCTGACAGCTTGAACGCAGCGAACTTCGTGTCGTACCACTCACGCCCACCCGAGTGCTCCGAGGCACTGCCTGCACAGCGTGTGGCAAGTGAGCAATTGTCACCAGAGGCAGTCATGCGCTGGAATTTCCGCTTGTCAGTTTTTCATGGCGGTTTTTTTTGGGATATCCAAGCTGGGTGCGGTGTCTCTAGGGTCGGAAAGGAAAGGTCACCCGCAGGGTCAGTCTTGGTCTCAACTTCAGACGGCCAGAGCCATTCAAAGAGGTTCTCCGCCTCAAACACAGCAGCACATTTACCCTCACCAGTAAGACGAAGATATTGCAGTGTTTGAGTTCTTATATTTACCTAGGCCATCTCCCTCATGTGTCTCCTTTCCGTGGCTTTCTTTGCCGTGCTCCCGATGCGCTGGGATCCTTCTTTCCTGATGGCACTTCTTTAGCCTCCGCGTCTTTGCTCACCACCCAGGTGTCCACTATCTCCTTGACCTCCTTGATCTTGGAATCTTTCTTTCTCGCCTGCCCTATATGCCACACATATCCCGAGTATACCGCAACCTCGGCGATCGCCACAAGCAAAGTTCCTCCCATGGTCAAGAACAGCCGTGCCGGCGTGCTCCACCACCTGGCCACAATCCACAAGGTCGCAGCGCACCCAAGTATAGTGACGAGGAAGTTGATGACCAGCATGACCTGCCTGTGCACGTCGTTCATAGTCGCATCGTCGTCGCCAAGATCTGCCTTGTCTGCCGATCTGTTGACTTCGGCGAACTGTTGGGCGAAATTTGGGGCTGCATCGAGGGAGGAGGGCTGTGAGACCATTCGTTGGTATTTGCGCTCTTCTTCCTCTCGTCGAAGGCGGGCCATCAAGGCTTTGTACTCGTCTGACTGGAAAGGGGATGGGATGTCAGCATGAAGGTCGATCAAGGAGGAGCGGCAAGACTGGAAAGGTCGTACGGGCTCGGGCTTTGCAGGAGCTGGTGGCACGTAAACCATCGCACCCCAAAGAAGGTTCTCCAGGGTATAGCTCTGTGCATCGTGGCTCTTCAGCAGCTTCCACAGCTGGATGATCTGGCCGTGCGAGATGGGCTTGCCGATTGCTGGCTCCTGAAGTGATGGCTCGGCTTCAGAAGAGGCTTGTGACTGTTGGTGCACTTCTATTCCGACCTCCTTGCATTTGCTAATGGCCCCTACAACAAAGGGCGTCATGGTGAGGACAACCATTCTGATGCGGTGGTCAAGAGGCTCAACATGACCTTGGGTGATGATGCCGGTTGTCGCGGCGGGAATCGGACCTGCAATTGTGTTCAGTCCAGGTCCAGAACCCGAGCTCAAGCTGGCAACGGTTTGCTGCTGACACTTCAGGCACTGCATGCAACCTTGCAAGGGTGGGCCGGCTAGATCCGAAGACCCATGTCGATAAGCGCAGTGACTTTTTTTGCGGTAGCTCATTCTGGGGGGGCTGGACTTGGAGAAGCTCGATAGGCGATCCTGGGCGGGAAAAAGATCGAAGATTCATCATCAGATCACAAGTGACAACAGCCACACAGCTCCAACAACCCCACCGGCGGACACGGGACGACCTCACTACGGCTACATCGATAGTTTACACGATTTCTATCCCATCGAGTACATAAAAAGTTCCAATTGGTTTGTCGCGCAGGAAAGTAGCGACTGGAAATGCCGCTCCAGCTCCGGCCGGGAGCTCCGGTCTTACGCGACCCAAGAAGGCCAACAACTTCATTATCCCGACACGTACGATGTGCGCAAAGCATACGCAAAGACGAATTAGACGTGAGGATAAGATGGCAGCAACGAGCACTCTACCACTCTACGGACCTGAGATCCTCGGCCTTTGGCGCAGCCGTTGCCGTCGCCAAGAACGCCGTCAGTAATGCGATTTCACGAGGGAAGCCCAACGACATGAGCATCGACCCTCTGAGGATTGTGGCAAAGGAGATGAAGTTTTTGACTGGGAACATCCGCAACCTGCTGGGATCAGGACACCCCTCGCTCGACCGAGTTGCAAAATATTACACCCAGGCAGAAGGGAAACACATGCGCCCCTTGATCGTGCTGCTCATGTCGCGGGCCACATATCTGTGTCCCAAGGCCCCCATACCGCCACCCAACCAGCAAAATGCCTCTCCAATACAGTCAATACCCATCAACACGTCCATATCACCCATGTCCATCCTCCGCGACGTGAATCCATCCACCACAACGCCAACACCCACAGAGACCGACGCCACATCCGAGACAGACATCCTCCCTTCCCAGCGGCGGCTCGCAGAGATAACCGAGCTCATCCACACCGCGTCCCTCCTCCACGACGACGTCATCGACCACTCCGTCTCCCGCCGCGGCTCCCCGAGCGCAAACCTCGAGTTCGGCAACAAAATGGCCGTCCTCGCTGGCGACTTTCTTCTCGGGCGTGCGTCCGTCGCCCTCGCGCGCCTCCGGAACGCCGAGGTCGTCGAGCTGCTGGCCACCGTCATCGCGAATCTCGTAGAGGGCGAGTTCATGCAGCTCAAGAACACGGCGCAGGACGAGGCCCGGCCGCAGTGGAGCGAGGACACCCTGGGCTACTACCTCAACAAGACATACCTCAAGACGGCATCCCTGATCAGCAAGAGCTGTCGCGCCTCTGCCCTGCTTGGCGGGGCGAGTGCCGAGACCGTGGAGGCGGCGTACGCGTACGGCAAGAACCTTGGACTGGCGTTCCAGCTGGTTGACGACATGCTGGACTACACCTTGTCTGCCGCGGACCTGGGCAAGCCGGCAGGTGCGGATCTCGAGCTCGGTCTCGCGACTGCGCCATTACTCTTCGCATGGAAGACGAGGCCAGAGCTGGGAGAGCTGGTAGGGAGGAAGTTTGCTGGTGAGGGCGATGTTCTGAGAGTGAGTAGATCTATGCTACCCATCTGGAGCGCTGAAGGCCGTCCGCATACAGACTTACTGACATTTGCAAAAAGGCGCGACAACTCGTCCTCGAAACAGACGGTATCAACCAGACACGAGCGTTGGCGGAGGACTACGCTGAGAAGGCCATCCAGAACATCAGCGATTTCCCCGACAGCGAGGCCAAGGATGGGTTGGTGGAGATGGCTGTCAAGACCATCAAGAGGCGGAAGTAGACCAAAGAGATGAAAACTATGAGATGAAACATCACCAACACAACAATACTGGCAAGCACGTCAAACATCAAAAAGGAAATAGAGAAAACAAAAGATGGGACTTTGGCCCCCACTGTACAATGTCGCTACTGTACCATTATGGTATCATTTAGACTCCCCTCCGATACATGCTGCACGGACTGAGGATTCTGGAAGAAGCATGGAGGCGCATGTCCGGCACGGGTAGACGGTGAGGGACCGAGAGGGAGTGTATCATCACGCATCTATATCAGGAGCTTGTGGGCATCCAGAGCATTCATAGACTTGTACATTTCTGCTCAACAATGATCAGATCACCCTTCGATTTTGAAGATCGGGTTTCCCGGCGCATTCCACCACAAGCGGGAGTATGTCGCCTGCTTACTGCAGTGACCGACCGAATGCTTGAGCCACAGCAAGGAATGATCAACAGCCCATGCACCGGAAGACTGTGGAGTTTCAAGCAGAAGAAATGATGCCTTCGGGTTGTTGATCCTTGAGTCTCCCGTCACACTCATTGGCCAGGCCTAATTGCTCGCCTGACATAGATACTCCAACCGGCTGTGTTGAGCATTTCTCTCAGGATAACAGAGTCCATTGTCCTTGTTAAGCCTTCGGTCCCGAGTGAACAACCAAAGCTCGGCCAGACAATGTTTGCGAAGTTTATTTGAGCAAGTCAGACCGGAGATGCGAATATAGCGGCTTTCGTCTCGAGTCGGCCTTTCGGTCGATAAACATCAGATGTCTCCGCGGGACTATGATCAGCCGACACACCGGACTCGTTGGTTATATATCATCGTGTTCGATCGTGGACAGTGCTTCCGGGAGTCCTCCTAAGCATCAACACATTTCCGATTAGGAGGCTGAATAGCACTGCGGTCTGACACCGTATTTGAGTGCACCGACAATGTAAAATGTCCGCGCGTCTTGTCGAAACGGAGGATTCATAGTGATTGTCTGTACGTTGCGGCGTGATGTGGCCGTTCGCTATCCCACGGCTCAATATCCTTTCTGAACTTCGCTTTCGCTCATGCTAGGGATGGAAGAAGGGAGTGCAAGCTGGGTTACAAGTGTCCGAAAACTTTGAATCTTACGAATACTAGGTAAATCAGTGAAATTCCAGCGACATGTCACCGACATGAGTGATTCACAAGCTCAGGCAGGTCAGCGACTTGAGACGGTCGCTTTCTACTATGTGGGTAAGCTTGCCGAATAGAATCAAGTCAATGACAGAAAGAAGGCCCGTATGATGTCGCTGATATCTGTGGCGCGAAAACCACTGAAGGTTCTGGTGCAGCTGCATAGGGTACCCAATCGCCTCGGAAGGGGCTGTCGCCTTTCATACTCCTACTAGGCAGATTCACAGACACGTGGAGATGCTGTTGCCCATGCTGCAGTTCCATAATCAACATCACCGAGAAGACGAATTTAGCGCTGAGTGACGTTAGAAAGGGTTCGATACATGTATCTGAACAATTAAGATTTCTAATCCCGCCTCAATCGTCATCACTTCAATAAGTCACTCGGGAGCATCCCGAAGCCTACCAGTGGATATTCATCGGTAAATTCATCGCCGGAATGCTTTGAAAGCTTACGTATGGGTCAGAACCCAGACGCCGATGTTGGTGGCGCGAGGACTACTGAAGGGTCTGGCCCCAGAGGCGACAAAGTCGAAACCACCACGCTCGATATTCCTGTTTAGATGGGCTTCTTGAACGACGACGTGGCGGTCAGGGAAGTGATGGATACTGTGAATGGAGACAACCAGGGTGTTCTCTGCTACGAGTACGAGGATTCTCCTTCTCTAGCAGGCAAACCCGGATTTGAATAAACCGAGACGGCAAAATGAACTGCATCTGCATAGACAACAACTTGATGGTCTCCGTAAACTCTAAGCGGTTGCAATCGTGGACAATGCCAGCTGAGGAAGCTTAAGCAATACACTACGTGCGGCACAAATTCGGCCACGTGAAGATGGAGCACCGCTATATAACCTATACGGTACTACGGTTGGGGAAAGCACCCCAGCAATAGAAGTTCACTTATTCATATGCCGTGCCGCAAGGCATGAGGACAAAACGGCTTGTTCCCGTTTAGCCCGGACATCTGGGTGTCGAGAAATGTAGCACAGGCAAACATGAATGTCTTTCGAAGCTCGATGCTATTGATTTTCAAGAGATCCTGATGTGGTCTTATTCCAAAGGTCAACTCAGCCTGCGGCTATGTATAATATCAATCGTGAACTGAGCAAGCGGGAGCAGTGACATGCATGCAACAGGGAATCATGCGGCTATGAATCACCAAAACAGGTGGCCGGGGTGATCACTTGCCAAGCAACCCGACTCTCAGGCAGATCCTTGTTTCTTGGACGCACACTCGTTCCAATCGCATTCCAGGTTTTGTCACGCCTCGGAACTTTCCCAAAGCACTCAGAACATGTTCGTCCCGACTCTGTCCTCGGCCTGCATTGGAGGCTTGGAAACTCGAAAGCTCAGGCGAAAGCCAGCTCCCGTCCTTGCATTGACCTCGGCACATCGATATGTTGTCTGGACGGGACGTTTCGCATTTATGATACAGACTATTCTGTCGAATCGGATCCAAGGGCGGATGGTCTCGATTTACGGATGACGGCGATGCCCTGTCCGACGTAGCACGATGCCTATGTTAGACCCGTCGCTGGTGGACTATATAACAACCTCGGAAACATCTCAACTCGTTCCACACTGCGACCTTGAGCCAGATCGAGGCAATCCGTCCTGTCCACCAAAATGAAGTTGACCGTTCTATTCGCCGGGCTTGTCTCGGCCCAGATACCTGCATTCGCACCTCCCGGGCCTGACGATGGTAAGTGTCTACATTGAGCGGCAGAAGGGCAACACACGCAATACTCACGCTCCTGTAGTCCGAGGACCCTGCCCAGGCTTGAACATGTTGGCCAATCACGGTCTTCTACCACGAAGTGGGAAGAACATCACTCAGGCCGACCTCGTCACTGCGATGCGCCAGGGGATGAATCAAGACGAAAGCCTCTCTGTCCTGCTCTTCCGGGCAGCGGTGCAGACGAACCCGACCAAAGACAATGCCACTTTCTCCTTGCCTGACCTCGGCCGTCACAATATTTTGGAGCATGATGCTAGCTTGAGGCGAGTACCTCCATGAGCAGAAACGGTGCATCCGCTGACTTGACACAGCCGTCAAGATGCATTCTTCGGGGACCCGATTCCCTTCAACCAGACAATATTCGATGAGACGCTTGCTCAGTGGACAGAAGACACCATCAGCGTCAACGCATCCGCCAAAGGCCGTGCCGCTCGCATCCGTACCTCCAACGCGACGAACCCCGAGTTCAGCCTCTCTCGGCTCGCTCAAGCCTTCACCACCGGCGAGTCCGTGGCGTTCATCATGGTCTTCGGGGATGTGCAGACTGGCGTCGCGCCTAAAGCTCCCGTGCAATTCTTTTTTGGTAAGTCCCAGCTGGCGACTCTACATCCTTCAAACCTGAGAGGGTTGGGATAGAATATTGACATTCGTTCTCTAGAGAACGAGCAATTTCCTCCCGGGTACGCACCGCCGGCGAATGTGGTGACCAGTACAAATCTGCAGGACCTCTCCCAGAGACTTGGCCAAGCGCTGGTGGCGGAAGGCGTCGATATTAGTAACCTGACCGGACCAAGACGGCGGGATGTTCATGGGAGCTTGTGGTAGAAATCGCTGGCTGGGATCTTTTGAAGTGGAGTCCATAGACGCTTCACTGTAAATATCGTCGTTGGACTAGTTCAGGTACAAGCCTAAGCAACTACCCTAAGACATGCATGAGCCCTAGAATGGTGAGGTTTCACATCTTTTACTCTCGGTGAATGATCCCGCTGAAATTCAGTCATGTCCGAAAGCTTTACAGACGGCTTGTCATTGTCGCTCATTGCCCAATATGGCAGCATCAACGCTCGACGAATCCGGTCTCTAGATTCACATCACGATATGAAGCATTGTAACACCCGTATTGGCGAGAGTGATAGATATCTGGCGTGTTCTCTGAGCCAAGGCCGCTTTTATGCAACCTAGGTACTGGGATGAATCACAGCGACTGAGTTGGTACACGTTGTGACTGCAAGATCTGTGGTCTGTATTAATCGAGCTGAGTCACAAGTTTGGTTACATTGACGTGTAGGGATGACGATACGCTTCTGTCGTGAGGCTGTTGCTTGAGGATTTAGATAACTAGCAAGTCACACTTTTGACGTGACTGGCAGACAGCCTTGAAACCCCTTTTGAAAACAACGCTTTTAAGATTCCGTGGACACATTGGCAGCACTGATCTAAGCTTTGACAACCGCCACCTGGCTTCTCACCGGCACATTCTCCTTGCGGCCAGGCTCTGGGAAGCCCTCCACGTTCACGCCGTTCCTGAACAGCAGGCAGTGAGTCGAGCCACCAAAGTGGAACATGCCAGTCTGTTCACCCTTATTGATGTGCTGGCCCTCCTTGACCGTGATCTCACAGGTGCTGACCTCGTCCATACCAATGCCAATGAATGCCATTAGCCCAATCGCGGGATTGTCCGCCTCGATGAAGATGATCGCACGTGCAGCCAACGCTGACAGGTACCCCTGGGCGGCTGAGATGCCCTGCTTGATCTGAGCCTGCTCCTCGGCGCTGTTTATGTCGCCACCGGCGTACAGTGGCTCGCTGAAGTACGTCCCATCAACGAGGTACGCCTTCTTGACAGTTCCCGAGACGGGCGAGTGCCACCTGTGATACGAGAGGGCAGAGAGGAAGGCCTGGTACACTGTGCCGTTCTTGAACTGGCTCGATAAGGAATCATTGGCCAACATATCGGCGATGGAGTATGGCTGGCCCTTGATCCAGAACTTGTCGCGCAGCTTGACGTTGCGCTCCACCGCGTAGGGCCGCGACTCGCAGCAGTTTGCTATGACGTTGTCGTCGTTGGGGGAGGCCACTGGGCGGGCGCTCTCCTGAAGCTTTCGGGTGAAGAAGTCGTCCCAGGAGGTGAAGCCGTACTTGTCCTTGCTTGGGTCGCAGACGTACATATCTTCAAACTTGTGATCGGTTTTCAGAGGCGCGTTGGCAACCTGCATGAGGTCCTTTCTGCCGTGTTCTCCGAACCAGCCGAGGCGGTGGTCGCCGAGCACTCCGGCAGACTCGGGAGTCTGAAGGCGAGATCAGCATGATGGGATCTTGGCCGGGAGAAGTAGCATTGTTAACTTACCTTGAGGAACTTGCCCCATTCATTCAGCACCTTCTTCAGCATCTTGTTCACCTCGGTATCCAAGAAAGCGGCGTGGCCACTTGGAGTTGCCATGACATAGTCGAATATAGCACACATCGGCACGCCGACCATGCCCACGCTCTCCGCGGCGTCCGTCCACTCCGGAGCACGCGAGAAGACGTGGTTCAGCACTGCAAGCATGTGGCCATAGTCCCTGATGGCCTTGTGGCCTGTGGGGTCCTTATTGTAGGGCCTCTTCATTGGAACTTCATCCCACATCTGCGTGAAAAGCATGCGGATGCGAGGGCTGGTCTCGATGAAGGTCTTGAACTCCTGCAGCACCGGGATGAGCTCCTTGGGGTTCTTGTCGACATGCTCGACCTGCTTGTTCAGCCATTCCTTGTGGACACGGCTGTCTGCAGGCAACCACGCTCCAGGCCTGAGGAAGGTCAGCAGTCGAGTCCGTGAGACGGGGGATGGGAGGGGGAGAGAAGGGCTGACTTGTGGATCTTGTGGGCATCTGGGATTTGATGCTCGTCTCCGTGCTGCCAAACCATGGTTGCGGCGGTGGGGTGTGGGCAAAATTACAATGTAAGATGAGGGATATTCAGATGTGTGACTGTTTCTTTGTCTACAGTCAGAATCAACTGCGAGATGTAGATGAGGATAGGAGCACAAATGCCAAGCCTTCTGGGCTTAAATAGACCGATTCGTCCGGAGATGCGACGGGCGGGTGGGGTCGACGGTTCGTAGCACCAGGGACACATGTTCCTGGCCCGTGGGCGCCCTCTAGGTTAGCTGTGCATTAACCGGTGACGAGGAAGAGCATTGAATTGGCCCGACGTTGCCATGATGTCAGGCACCACGTCATTTTCCCCTAATCCAAGGGGCTGCCCTCGCCAATCAACCAACTTTATGAGGAAACTCGTAGTCAGCGAAACAGCTAGTTGCAAGCTAGTTGCAGCTCAAACCTGGGAACCAGGCCTGGAAACTCATCTGGATGGCGTCCCATGGAGGTCACATCGAAGCTGTCTGATTGCCGACACAATGTTCGAGATCCACCCGATTTCATCTTGGCAAATGCATATCAACGGCCTGGCCCGGCTTGGCAACTTTCCGCGGAGCATATGAAATGTTGCTCTGCGTTTTACCGGAAGGAACTGGACTACCACATCCAATTTCCAATGACCTGTACCGTGGTTGGTCACAATCTGTGTATTGCGATACCGACCTGAGGTTTTCACACAAAGACTCCCATTGCCTTCATGAGAGACACCCAACTTATGCTGGGGGCTGTTTACTGCGGGATGTCTGTTCCTGTCCCAGTGAACCGGGATGAGCCATCACGATGTTCTCCACCCGGGCCTTCCGGGGCTAACACCTACGTCATGGCTCAGTCCACGGCGCGGGCGTGTTGGATGCCGTCCAGTCTGGTCTGAGGTGCAAATCTTCTGACCAAATACCAGATGAAAGAGTCAGTAGGTAACTGCAGCAGTCGACTCACATCACAATGGGCGAGAAGCCAACAGCAGAGCGGCCACGATACGTCTTCTTCTTCACAGGCGCCACAGCTTGTGGCAAGTCGACGATCGCAAAATATGTGGCCGATAACTTGAACCTGACCTTCCTCGAGGGCGACGACGTACGACACGATATCTCCCGATCCACTCCCTTGGACTGAAGGACCCCAGCTGACCGTCTCCTGTTAGTTCCACCCCAAGGCCAATGTCGTGAAGATGCACCACGGCGAGGCCCTCACCGACGAGGACCGCCAGGGCTGGCTCGAGGCACTCCGCGACCACGAGACAGCGCACCCCCCAGGGGCGACGTCGCGGCACCTCGTCATGACATGCTCGGCGCTGAAGCGGCACTACCGCGACATCCTGCGCGAGGGTTCGGAGCAGGCTCGGAACCTGCGAGTCCGGTTCATTTATCTCGACGCCCCCGAGGAGGTCCTCACGAGGCGGGCCGCGGCCCGTCAGGGGCACTTCGCGGGGAGCAACCTGGTGCATTCCCAGTTTGAGAGCCTGGAGCCTCCGGAGCTGGATGAGGGGGATGTATTGACCCTCAACGTTGACCGGCCCGTCGAGGAGGTTGAGAAAGATGCGCTGGAGCACGTGAGGGATGTATTAACCGCTTGACTCTGGAAATTGCCATCTGTTTGTTCAACAGTTACACATCAGAGTCTTTGTGATAGGGTCAACTGTGCTATTGGCCAAAAGGGTGAACATGTTCAGAAACCTGAGAGCGAACAGAGGTCTACAGGGAAATCGAAGGAGAGAGCGAGTCGCCACAATTTGACTGTCGAATCGTTGGATGGTGACGCTGTTCGCAGACGATCCAGGGGAGGACTCGCATCACGAACGTGCACGCCCCTTTTTGTGACAGGCATTATCAAGTGATTGATCATTGGATCTCTTCTGGTCCATTCGAGCTGGATACATACGTGGTTAAGCACTCGGGTGATCATTCCCCAGTCAAGTCAATGACTTCCTCCGTCCGCTGCCTGGTAGATGCAGGCTGATCCGGGCTCTCATCTGCAGCCCTCTTGCTCGACACAGGGACAGTAGACACATCAGGAGGCCCGGTCTCCAACATTATCAGTGACTTGTAAGTTTCGTCGCCAAGGAGCCTCTGCACAACCGGCTGCCGGAACGACAAGAGCCTTTGCTCATATTGCCGCACTTCATCATCGAACTTCTTCATTTCCTCCTTGAACTCGGTCTCCTTACTGATCTTGGTCACGACCAGTGTCTGGCAGCGTCCCTGGCCCGCTGTCGTGTCTGTTGCGCACCTGTAGTGCTCCCTGGGAAGCACCATCTCGAGGTGCGACCGGATCTTCTTGGCATAGGTGAAGCGACCCTGTTTCTGGTCGGGTGCGAGGATGAAATCCTGCATGAGTCCGCATTCATAGCAGGTACCGTGGATTTTGTCACGGGAAGGGTTGTGCCGGTAGCAGAAACGTGGTTTGTGACTCCATCCAAGTGGGCGTTGCGGAGGGTTCTTCGGCTGGTCCGGCAGAATGTACCTCGTGAAGAGCAGTACGAACAAGTCCCCGACGAAAGGGGGCGGATCCAAGAGTTGATTCTCTTGCAATATAATGACCAGAGAGACGAGGAACTTTTCCGCTGGTGCACGGTCAATCGCCGCTGGGCTATGATGAGGCCACAATACCTGGGTATTGTTGCGTTCCGGGCCTTTTGGTGGCAGCCGGCTGATTGCATCTGCTAGATTCTCAAGACTAAGTCTTAGCAATGTCATGCCCTGCTCCTCCAGAAGGCACATGAAGCAGTTTTCAAGCAAGTGTTCAAATCCATCTACATTGCTCACGGTGTGAGCTGTACTGTTCGACGCCCCGCGGAGGTAGATTGAGCTCTGCGGTGGGTGTTGCGTTTTGGGCTCCAAATCATCAATTTCGAGATTCAGCTTTGGGAGTGTGGCATCGAGCAGACGTCGTGCTAGAGACTCGGTGTTCTTGAGCGCAAGGTGGCCGTTTTCGGCGCAGAGACGCTTGAGAAGCGCATAGAGGAGCTGCTTCTCGGCACGTTGACTTAGCTTTGGAAGGAGTCTGATGGGCTTGTGTCAGTCTTCTGTAGGTTGAGTATTCAGCCATGGTAGAACTCACCGAGTGGAAACCCACTCGTCATCTGCCGAATGTGATTGAATTAGGGACAATATAAAAGGGAGATCAAGGGCCGTCAAGGTTTCCTTAGTCTCAAATCTGGAAGTTTCGATGGAAGACCGCCAGCCCTTGAAAGACTGTTTTAGTTCCTCGGTCTTCAGTCGCTTTCCAATATCCTCGAATGCTGCATTGAGCGATGTTAGATTATCGAGGCTCTGAACAAGTTCGCCGAGACTATGTCACACGATGTCAGCACGCAAAAGGCTGCGCGGCTCAACTGAATTCCCATCAAACTTACCACTCGTTCCAGTCTTGATCCGTAGGATGCGAGAAAAATTCATTAGCAAATTCAGCAACTGCATCAGAAATTTCTGCAGTGGGAGATCGAGTTGAGCTGTTCATGAGCGTTTGGTAGGAGAAACGATGGCGAGTGCTGCCTAGAGCCTCACTTAAGGCTTTCCGCATAGCCTTGTTGTAGAGTGCCTGGCAAGACCAAAGTTTGGATGCTCTGAAAACCATGCTGAGCAGACGTCCTTCCCTGATTAGTGATCTGAAGCTGTTTAAGAGGCTGTCAAGGAAGCCGACCGCCTCACGCCTTGTAGGAAAATGGTTTGGCGACGCAGCGGCAGAGTCCAACACCATTCGGAACAAATTGGCCGCAGAGCACTGCGACGACTTAGCAAGGCCAATGAGACCACTGCTGGGGACAATCAACAAAGCCTGCTGTTGTGTCAGTAGCTGCGACAGTATCTTGGTACCCTCCCCAAAAGCACTCACAGAATCATGGTATCGATATTGCGACGGCATGCTCTCATTTCCAGTGAATTCACCTTCATCCTCACTGTCTGCCCTTCTGTCCTTGTAAGGGTCTGGGCCGAGGATTTCCTTCATCTCCACATCAACAGATCTTGTGATAAAGCTTCCGTCAAGACTCGTAACGTGGTCCAGTTCGAGACTGTCCTCGTCGTCGCCGCCATAATAATCGTCTTCGCAGCCCTCAGTCCTGGTCATGATGGCTAGGAGAATATAAAATCCAGCCTCCTGACAAGCTTGCTTCAAACATCGAATGCGCTGCGCATCGCGCCCCTTCATATTCTGGATCGAGAGAGATGATTGCGAATATTTATGGTCCAATCTGTAGATGACCCTTGTCTTCGACTGCAATGCAGATGCCCACTTCTGCAGAAGTGCTTGCAGCTGGGCTTGCTGCTCTATGAACACGCCGGCCGAGGGAGGAGAGCCGCGTTGCTGGAGGAGGTTGTAAGTGATGACAAGGCGATATCCAGATGAAAGCGGTTTGATCTCGTGCGTCACGTCAGAATACCAAGCGAGGCCTGTAAGATCGAAGGAAGAAAAGTTTGAGGTTGCAAAAATGTGACGCCTGTTGCCGTGGGACAGGTGAACTTGGCCGCCCTCGTGCTTTGAAGGAAGCGAAATCACGAGTGTGCCGATCATCCCTGGTGCCTTTTCAGAGTCCTTGTGAGGCCTGAAGAACGAGCCCTCTTCGTAGAGTAACAGTTTCCAAGGCACTGCTCGGGTGCCTTTCGGCCTGGGAGGGCATTAGATATGTTGGATTTGGGGAAGAGGAGACTCGAAATTGGTTTCCAATGTCCAGGACGTACATGCCAAGTTTTTGCACGGTCTCCTGAAGCACGGTGTCGAGGAAAGCTGACCAGGCTGGATTGGAGCAGCGAAAGAGACTGGAGTCAAGTTGCCAAGTCTTCCTCACAGACTCATCGACAACTGTGTCATCGCCGCGTCCAAATGGAGCCTGTTCACACTTGCTCTTGATCGTGTCCGCGTCGCGGGTCACCAGAGGGAGTGGTATGAGTGAGCCCGCAACTTCGAGGCCCGGATTTATGTGATGAGAGTATCGCGTCATGCAAGCGAAATCACCAAAGGTCTTGATCTCGCCAAGCCTGTTGAAGAATTCTTGCTTCCATGTCTTGAAGCTCATCTTCTGAGGGCTCTGAGCGTCGACGTCTCCGGGCCCAGATGTTGGTGTGCACTCGTCGTCGCTGCCGGATATACTGGATCCCGCCTCGGTGTCCGACTCCCATGGCGCCATGCTGAGGGGGATCAGATGGCGCGGACGAAGCAAAAGGAGACTTTCGCACAGAGAATGTTGCGACCAAGAGCTGCTGTATTGCACGACGACTTTTGACGGCACGCGTTCAAAAGCAGTTGGTGCAGTGGATCAAAGGGTGGGGTTTCTACGGTGATGTTAAAGTTTGTGAAGGTTGAGTCGCGACGCGTTTGAACGCGGCAAGTCCCCTGACGTGGGGAACGCCCCTGCCGATCTACACGACACACTTTCTGGGGAAGTCACCCTTCGTATTTTAATCGCCTGGTAAAGCAATGTTTCACAAATCAAATGCAAATAAGCAGCAGGCCTGATATATAAAATTGCATATGCAATGTCAGTCCTTATCACTTGCTGTGCTGAGATTTCTGAGCATCTAGGGCCTGTGTGAACACACTAGCAATGCTGGAGCTCCACTGGCACTGCAGTGGAGAAAATCCTGAAGCTATCCCTTGCAGGATGAAAGAAATGCAAATCCAGGCTTCTCTTGCTCTCTTTTCCTTTCCGTCGCGTCTATTCAGCGAGCTTGTCTCCCGTCTCTTTGTTCTCACTTGTATCATTGTGATCTATGAGGTATACCAATAATGGTATTCTCTTCCACAACTGCTTTATTTTTCCTTATTTGTTTGGCACCTTTATCATCGCAGTGCCTTCACACAATTTCATAATAGTGTTACTCTGGTCAGTTATAATGCCACAGTTCATCTAGAAATGAAATTCAACCATGGACTTCCCACCCTTTTTTGTGCGCATGAAGGCTAATAATGAGAATAACCACATGGTCAATGGTAAAAGCGGAGGGCGAATCCGATCTAGCGTTGGTAAGAGTGTTTTCAAAGGATCTTGTCCGGCTTCATATAAGTCGCAGTAAAATTGCGTTCCATGTACACCATATATTGTGTTCAAACGGCTCATAGCATAGCGAGCTAGCCAGTAAGAGAACCATCTAATCACATCCCGAATCTTCCTCAAAATGACTCAAATCGCCCACTGGGAACAAGCATGGAGCAATGCTAGTACGTGGAAGGACTTGCTAGACCTGAATCGGCTTTACCTCAAGGCGATATAGCTATATCTGCGAACTGCAACCACCCTCTTGACTCTGAATCAGATCAGATACCGCCCGGTCTGCTGCGACTAACAGACTTCGGCCTTCTCACCACCTCGTCACAGCCAGAAATAAGGTCCGGTGAGCCTAAGTACATCAATCCGGAACATTTTTACAGTAGGTTTGCAAGGCCCGGTAGTCCGCTGCCCAAGGAGCAGCTTGCATACCTCCAGGGGCAGCTGCGCAGAATCGAGACGGAATTCAGCCCTGAGCAGTTGAAGGACAATGATATGGCAGTCCTCCTCACTGTGAGAGCCAGAGAGCAGGAACACCTCGACATCCTCGGCACGTATAGAGGAAATGAGATTGTAGACTCAGGAAACCCCGGCACTCACAACATTGTGTATCTGTACGAGAGGGCAATCGAACAAGTCCAGGAGGACGTGGCAGCGTATGAAAGGCTCATAAGCATGTGCTGGAGACAGGACCGTCAGCGCCAATACGTTCACTTCCTCATCCCCACGATCCACCCAAGCATCCCTCTGGAGGCCGTCATCCGCTTCGTAGAGCGCCTCAGAAACCACAAGGACATCGTCGTGGCTTTCCAGTACGAGATGAACGGTGAGGGGCCGCAGCGACAGCCACCGGCGATTCGGAACCAAGACCCCGCCGCACTTGAGCTTTTTCGGAAGATTCACGACTACAGTTCCGCTACTTGTGGAGACGAGTCGTTCTGGTGGCCTGTGACTGAGTCCAGAGAGGCAACATCTGCCGACGCTCTCCTCAGTTCGGAGTGGTCTGACCATACTCACCTCGGCTTGGACAATGAAGAGCATATTCAAGGCATGTTGTCCGGCCACTTCAACAAGGAAGCGTACCCGGCTGGTGTTGCGGTCGACCCCGTGGCTGTATTAGTGGGGATGAAAGAGTGGGAGAGTAACATTGATCTGCTAGCTCTTGTAGAGGGGATTCTTCAGGAAGAGGGATTTGAGGATCTATTTTAACGACTTGTGTGAGATGATTGCGGAGGAGTGCGAGGGTCAGTTTTTAGCCTACTTTATATTATGTATTTCTTTACTGGTGAGAGTGTATACTGTTCTCAGAGTTTAGCATCGGCACAACCATCTCCTTCTCAATCTTTAATAGGCGTTTCTTGGTAACAGTTAGGGACTAATTTCGAGCAAAGAACTGTAACTCCTGGGTCTGAACTGACGGAGACGCTCGCCTGTGGGAATGAGAGACTGTTTCTTGGTTCTCACTAGCCACGGTCGCCCACCGTTACCTACTTACGCCATCATGCTGCTCGACGTTGCCTTGGGTCATGAGTACTAAGTACCTAGATACTAAGCATCATTATCCTCGCCGCTATTATCACGCTCCTTCGGGCTCTGAGTTCCTCGTGACTCTTCTTCTGATGGAGCCGAGACTTACAGCATGGAGCAAGCATGTCAATACGATGTTCTTGGTCAGATTCTCATATCATGCAGGACTAAATTTGCATCTGATCAGCTGTCATTATGATTGTGCCCTTGATCGCAAACCTCTATTCCGAGCCTTGCTAAGACGTGTTCGCCTGCTGCGATAGAAATGACTAGACTACTAAATAAGCAACAACAGGACCGATATTCAACGCTGTCAACGACCGAATTCTCATGACAATGCGAGGTCATAAGCTTCATGATACATGATCCATACTCGTAGAATCCATCAATGAGACCAGAATTTCTAAACTAAAACGTTCCAAATCAATCACACGTCCAAATTAATCACCCATTTTGCGCCCAACACCTAGCGCCGTCGTTCTGGCTCGAAGCCGGCCCTGAGGTAACCCGGACAGCTTTATCGTTGTTGAATCCGGGCAATGGGAAACGCCAGATGTCTCCGCCACCGTTTTCTGAACCGTAAAAGTAGCCGTATTCACCCGGGTAAAGTGCACCGAAGCCGGCTCCTACGGTCAAGCCGAGCAGAGTGCCGTAATTGGTCGATGCGAACCATGTTTTGCTGGAGAGATCGAAGCGATAGAGTTGGAAACCAAGAATGGTAATTCCACTTGCAACCGTCCACTATGAGAGGTACATTTGTTAGTGTCGACCATCGCGGGAAATTGCCACTGGGGGAGAGGAGGAGGACGGGGCGATCGATGAGACCTACCAAGTTTTGCTGTCCTTCTGGCAGATAGACCCAATCATACATGCCCAAGGTAGGAGGAAATGCTGCCTTGCCACTAGCGATCTGCTTGCCATAGTTGGCTGTGCCTGGGGCCAGATTGACTTGCGTCCAGTACGTGTTGCCGAGACTTTGGCCGAGTTGCACTGTAACTTGGACAACTGAAGATCCCCAGTAATTCCCTGCGCCGTCGAAATCAGCTACCCTAAGCGGATATGGCACATTCAATCCCGGTTGGAAGATCACAGTTGACGCCAAGGCGGAAATCTGCAATATGTTCTCGGTTAATTGGGGTCCCACAGCGCCGTAGATAAAGTTGTCAAAGTGATTATAGCCGATGGCGTTGATGGTCGCCCCGGGATACGCCAGGTCACTGGTGAGTGTCGTATATGTTCCAGAGGTGACGTTGACCTGTATAAAGTCGTTTCCGCCCTGGACAAGATAGCCATAGTTGTCGCAAGGAAATGTTGGGTATGGGGAAAAGACCGTCGCCGTTCCTGATGCCGTCTGAGTATATATATAATAAAAATATATTAAATTTTATAAATTATCTTTTTTTTATTAATTATTAAATTATTATAAATTATATTAAAAAATATTATATAAAGAATTTTTTATATAATTAAAAATTATTTTTATTTAAAATAAAAATATTTTTAAAATATTTAAAATAATATTTTTAAATTATAATAATTAATTAATAAAAATATTTTATTAATAAATAATTAAATAAATAAGTAATATTTTAAAACTTTTAAAATAATATAAATAAAATATTAAAAATAATATAAAATATATTAATTTATATATTAATTAATATAATAAATTTAATAATAAATTTAATAATTTATATATTATTAATTTTATATTAATTTAAATAAATAATAAATTTATTAAATTAAATTAATATTAATTAATATAAAATAAAAATATAATTTTATAATAATTAAAATTAATTAAATTTATAAATTATTTATTTATATATTAATTATAAAAAAGTTTATAAAAATTATTATTATATATTAAATAATAAAATATTTATTATAAAATAATTTTTTTTTTAATAAAATAAATATAAATAAAATATTAATTATATTTATTAAATAATATTTTAATTATTTTAAATAATAAATATAATTTAAAAAATATATAATTTATATTTAATAATATTATTAAATATAATTTAAAAAATATAATATATTATTATATAAAAAATTATTAATATTTTTTAATAATATTAATAATATAAAAATATTTTAAAAATTAAAAAATAATATTAATTATAAATTTATTTTATAAATAATTATAATAATAAATAAAAATTTTAAATTTATATAAAATAAAATAAAAAACATTATATTATTTATTTTAAATATATATTTTTTTATAAATTAATATTAATTAATATTAATTTATATATATAATTAATTAATTATATAAAATATAATAATAAAATATAATAATATTTAAATATTTATTATATTTTATATAAATTAAAAAACTTTATATTATTAAATTTATTATAAATATAAATAAAAAATAAATTTAAATTTTTATTTAATAATTAATAATATTTATTTTAAAATTAAATTATAAAATAAATTATAATAAAAAATATTTAATTTTAAAAAATATAAAAAAATATAATAATATAATTTATAATAATAAAAAAATTTAAATTATATTTTTAATATTATAATTAAAATTATAATTATAAATTATAAAAATTTTAATATTAATAATAATATTAATAATAAATTAAATATATTTATTTTTAAATATATTTAAATAAAATTATTAATTAATATAAATAAATAAAATAATTATTTTTTATATTTTATTTTATAAATATATTTAAAAAAATATTTTATTTAATATAATATTAAAATATATTAAAATATAAAAATAAATTAATTATTTAAATTTTAATTATATTATAATATATTTTAATATTATATTAAATAAAATTAAAATTATTATATTATTATTTAATTAATTTATTAAAAATATATTTTTAATATTATTATTTATTTTATTTATTTTAAAAAAATAAATTTTAAAATATTTTAATAATAAAAATATTTTTAAATTATATTTAAATTATTTAAATATTTTAATATTTAATAAATATTTAAATTTATTTATTTATTATAATAAATAAATATTTTCTTATTTAAATATTTTTTATTAATTATTTTTATAATTAATATAAAAAAACTTTAATAAATAAAAAATTAATAATTAATTTATAAAATATTTAATAATATTTAAAATATTTTTTTATATAAAATTAAAAAATTTATATTAAATTTTATATATAAATATTAAATTTAAAAATTTTAAAATTAAAATTTTAATAAATACTTAATTTTTTTAAATAAATAAATATAATATTTTTTATTATAAATATTTTATTATAAATTATTTTAAATAAAATAAATTAAATTTAAATAATATATTTATTAAAATTTAAATAAATAAATTAATTTTATTATTATATATATATTTTAAAAATAATTATTATATAATATTTAATAATTAAAATAATTAAAATAAATAAAATAAAAAAAAATAAATAAAATAAAAAAATAAATAAAATAAATAAAATAAATAAAATAAATAAATAAAATAAAATAAATAAAATAAATAAAATAAAAAATAAAATAAATAAAATAAATAAAATAAAATAAATAAAATAAATAAAAAATAAAATAAATAAAATAAATAAAATAAATAAAATAAATAAAATAAAATAAAATAAATAAAATAAATAAAATAAATAAAATAAATAAAATAAATAAAATAAATAAAATAAATAAAATAAATAAAATAAATAAAATAAAATAAATAAATAAATAAAAAATAAATAAAATAAATAAAATAAATAAAATAAATAAAAAATAAAATAAATAAATAAATAAAATAAAATAAAATAAATAAAATAAATAAAATAAATAAATAAATAAAATAAAAAATAAATAAAAAAATAAAATAAATAAAATAATATTATAAAAAAATAATAAATTTATATTATTAATATATTATTATATTTATTTTATTTATTTTAATTATTAAATATTTTATAATAATTTATATTTAATAATTAATATTATATTTCATTTTAATATATTAATAAAAATATTAAATATATTTTAAATTAAATTAATTTTTTATTTATTATTTAAAAATAAATTTAATAATATAAATATTATAAATAATTAATTATAAATTATTAATTAAATATTTTTTTTAAATATTTATTAATATATATAATAATTATAAATAATATTATTATATATATTATAAAATTAATTTTATTAAATTTTAAAAATTATTATATATATTATAAAATTAATTAATTTTATTAAATTTTAAAATTTATTATTAATAATTTAATATTTAATTATTATATTATAAAATAATTTTAATTAATTTTAATTTTTATAATTTAAATTTTATTTATTATAATTAATTAATAAATTTTAATTTTATAAAAATAAATTTATAATTTTAAAATTTTAAATATAAAAATTTATATAAAAATTTAAATTAAAAAATTATAAAAATATTATTAATTTAATTATTAATTTATTTTAATTAATATATTAAATTATAATATTTTTTATTTTTTATTATATAATTATATTTTTAAAATTTATTATAAAAATTTTAAAAAAAAATAAATTATAATTTAAATTTTATTTATTATAATTAATTAATAAATTTTAATTATATAAAAATAAATTTTATTATAAATATTTTATAATAAATAATTTAAAATTAATTTATAATATTAATTAATTTTTAAATTAAATTTATAATATTATAAAATATTAAAATTATTAATATATATTAATTTTAATATTTTATAATATTATAAATTTAATTTAAAAATTTTATATTAAAATATATATAAAATATTTTAAAAAATTTAATTAATAATATATTAAATAAATTTTTATATTATAATTAAATTAAATTTATAATTATTAATATATAATTTATTATAATAATATTTTTAATTTTTTAATATAAAATATATTTTAAAAATATTAAAAAATATATTATTTAAAAATATTAAAAATATTATATTAATTTTTTTAAAATTTATTAATTATTAAAATTATTTAAAAAAATATTTATTTTAAATAATATATATATATAATTATTAATTTTTAAAATATTAAATATTTATATAAATAAATAAAAATATAATTAATATAAAAAAATAAAATATAATTAATATTATTAATTAATTAATTTTAATATTTATTTTATATAAAAAATTAATAAAATTTATATTAATTATTTTATTAATTAATTATATTAAATAATAATTTTTTATTTTGAATTTTAATATAAATTATAAATTTTATAAATTTAATAAAAATAAAATAATTTATATTTTAAATAAATAAAATATAAAATATAATTTTAAACTTTAAAAATATTTTTTAAATATATTTGTAATATATTAATTAATTATTAATATCTTCCTTAGTAATAAACTTACTATTAATGCTTGATTGGGAATTCACGGTGAATTCACGGTGAATTCACGGTGAATTTACATATAATTCACCATGAATTTACGTAGAATTCCATGTGAATTCACGGTGAATTCACCGTGAATTCACCGTGAATTCACATGGAATTCTCGGTAAATTTACATAGAATTCACTTATAATAATAATAATTTATAAATTGTAACTTATTAATATTAATATGATATAAATACATTAAAACGGATTTTATGTAAATTGCCCATGAATTCACGGTAAATATTAGCATTTATTATACTTTTATTATATATATATAAGTAAAGTTCTTACGTATTTATCTTGAATTTACTGGGATTATTAAATTTTAACCCTTTATTTTTATGAAATATTATGCTTAACTGGGTTTATAGTGCTAGCTGTAAGTAGGTTATGAAGCGGGGTGTTATTATAGGTTAAGTAGGGGCCTTTTAATACTTATAGTTAACTTTATATCGGGAATTAAGCTTATGTTTAACGTTATTTACGTCTTTATTCTCTGTGGATGACGCCATTAATGAAGTTGATGATATTAGTGGAGAGCGCGAGGGGAGCTCGAGGCATAATAATCCGGAGGCCGTTACTGAGGTGTAGCTTGTTTTAAGAGAGGCATGGCCACTCTGGCTGCTATTTTTCACGGGTAAGAAATTTGTGCGGAGGAGCTTGATGTGGACTAGGGAGAGCACGAGGTTGGACTCTTTTTATGGACTCGCCTATGATTAAGATTAACTAGAGGGCCGATGATAGCACGATACCCGGTGGTGTGGAGAGCAGAGAAGGTGAACGTTGGGCTGGGAGCGGCGTTGATGTACCAACTTTCCAATGTGAGAGTTGCCCTCCAGGTTATTACCTTGGTCTTCAAGGCTCCGAGGCGGCAGACAACCTTGCCCCTGATTATGGGTCATTTCAAGCGGTTGGCTTTATTCCTCCTCTTTCACAGTGCCAGGGAAAGATATCTTCTCAACAGCGACGAACCGTGTGCATTTCTACCTTGGTTGTCATGTAGGAAAGTTGCGGGTAGGTTCATAGTAGCTCTGTGATCCCCGGAGATCTCGCCCTGTGGTTTGTCATTAAGTATGATACACCAGGCAGGGCCTGCCTGACGCGGCAGAGCTGAATCTTGTGGTGATTCACGGTGAATTCACTGTGCCAACCGCTATTCGACGGCAAAATCCAGGAGTGGAAACCAGTTAAACCCTCGCCCCGACCACGGATTTGGAACGGTTCTTCCCAGCCACACCGTTGGGGGCTCATATGGCCTGTGGGTCGGGTTCGAAATGGGTCATGAAGCGAATAGTTGCCGAGGTTAGTGCGAAATCCCCGTACATTCGCCATGCATTCGCTTCGAAGCTTAGTCGGCGGCCGCGTTGCTGTGGTTGGACGGCAGGTCCTCGGTCAGATGTTTCGGTGGCCTCATTATTGTTGACCGATATCCCCTTGTCCTGGCGGATATCGTCCTTGGGAGCCATGTTGTATTTGCAGTTGTGAGGCGTTTCTCGGTAGTGATCGTTTAAGATCGGGCCGTTTGAGTATGGGCTTGATGGGTTCTCGTGGCCGTCTAAGCCAGGGGCATCGTATACGTGCTCCTGTTCAGTTTCTCCTGTCAGTTCAAGTCCTCCAATTTTATGCTCCCTTCCACGTGGCGCCCCAGAGGCTTCAACAATGGTACAACGGGCTGTTACAGCCGAGCCAACAGGGAGTGGGATATGGACCGATAAGGGATTGGCCTTGCGCCTCGGTAATGGAACGCCCGATTTGAAAGTCGGGCAGGATATCATGAGGGACGAGTTCTACGCCATAGCCCTGGCCGGTTGGGTATGGGATCACATCGAAGTCCGGAATGGTGGGATCACTGACCTCGACGGGGTGGTGGCAGTAGCGAGGTTGGCTCGCGAGGAGTGGTGGCTGTCCGGGCGACCGGTGGGTGATGACGACTCTTGAGGCCGTAGGATGGTTGATCGATTGACTGCTGTGACGGCTTGGTCTGGCTCGCAGACGACGCAGGCAAATATCTGGAGAATGATCTGTCAATTCACGAGCGGACGGAGCGGAGTGGCAGCGCGGTTGGATGGGCGCGTATTTTCATCGCGAATTCACAGTGAATTGTTTACACCTTGGTCGCTGCCCTCCGGGTGGGTCGTGCGCTTCCGCCGAAGCAACGGAGCTGCAGCAACGGGGCCTACCGGGGGTGGGTGCCTTGGGCTTTACTAGCCCATCGGCCTGGTCGCCGTCCTCGCCTTGCCCCTGCGCCTGGATGGAGGATGTCTCCTGGCTCAGGCAGAGGAGGATGCACATCAGGTGATTCTTCTAGATACAAAATTGAATGTTTCACTGACAAGAACGCTGGACCTGTAAATTCCGACTGTATTGAGAGCATCATAAGCTACATAGACACACCGAAACACTGCTCCGTGCCTATCCTCTAATCATCGCCCAAATCCACAAATCGCTCGGCCGAGAAGTCCGCCGCGTCGTTCGTCAACCATGGAATATCCGACTGCTGAACCACACGTTGATGACGCACGAAGAACTGATGCCACGCCTTCAGCGCCCTATCATCCAAATGACCCCCACTAGACTCAACAATCCTTGCTGAGGGAGGCGAGTTGGCAACGGCGAGGTCACCGATGACGATGAAGAAATCAGATGCCCGCGTGCTGATGACATTCAGGCGATTTGAGTCATGGAGAAACCCAGCACCACTTTCCGCAGTATTTACTGCGAGAAAAACGACGACAGGTCGTTCGTTTCCCTGCACTCTGTCTGCTGTTGTGAGCAGAATCTTGTCTTCGGTGTCATTGATCGACACACTTGAGCCAATTGCTCTGAGGATTTCGTACTGTCGGGCCACATAAGGTGTGACGATAGCAACGTCGTGGAGTTGGAGGCCCCCGCCTGGCAGTAGTCGGTTGAGGAGACGGATGAGGACAGCTGTCATCATCGCATTCGACCGTGACTTGGCAACTTCTGCGTACTGGACTTGAGTCCCAGATACATTGATGAAGACAGGCAGGATTCGCCCGTCAATGGGCGGCCCAACACCGAGCACCCGGCTCGTCCAGTCCTCACAAGAGTTTCTGTTTTTGAGCGGCTCGACAGGGGATTGGCCGGGGCCGTGGCGGCCGCCGCCAGGCTGGCCGGGGAAGGCGTTGGGGAACTGGCCTTGACGACGAGCCTCAGCGCCAGGCATGGGCATGCCCATATGGTAGGGCATGCCACGTCCGCCAGCGCCGGGGAAGCCACCTTGCTAACCAGGGGCGTAGAAGACGGGTGGCTGCATGAAGTGGCCAGGCATGTTAGCGGCGGCCTGTTGCATTCTGATCTAGTTCCGGGTCTGGATGCTAGCCTCAATCTAAAATTCGCGAACGTCTCTGCGCTGCGCCAGGGCAACGTAGAGAGGCTTGCCGTCGATCATGCGCTGGTTCATGTCGGCAACGGCCTTGGTGGCATCGTCAGGGTTGCTGAAGCACATGAAACCGAAGCCCTTGCTCTTGCCGAACTTCTTCTCTGTCTTCTTGTCCTTCTTCTCGCCGGACTCGTCATCACCAGACGTCTCCTCGGTCTCCTTCTTGTTCTCCTTGTCCTTGCCCTCCGAGTCTTCCTGCTCGTCACCGGCCTCAATCGCATTGCGCATAACCTTGGCAGACGTGATTGGATCGAACTCAGAGAAGATGGAGCGGAGCTTGTCGTCGTCGACATCATCGCTCAGGTTCTTGACATACAAGTTGACACCCTGGTACTTGCTGGCCTTTTCCATGCAGGCGGCCTCATATGACTTGCGAAGCTCCTCCTTACGCTCGTGTTTCTTTTAAGCACATCCGACGTAAAGGTCCTGGCCCTTAAAGTCCTTGCCGTTTAGCTCCTCAACAGCCTTATATGCAGCTTTATGGGTGGTAAAGTTGACGAAACCGAAACCACGGTTTTTGCCGGTTTCCTGGTCACGGGCAAGCGAAGCCAAGGTAATGTCGCCGTACTTAGTGAATAATTCGCGGAACTCCTCATCAATGCAGTTGGTTTGGATGTTCTTGATGTAGACGTTTGTAGAGTTGGCCTTCATCTCCTCAAACTTGGTCTGGCGGTCCTTCTTAGGGATGTGGTGGCCGACGTAGACGTTCTTCTCGTTGAGCAGCATGCCGTTAACGTGCTTGATGGCCTGAGAGGCGGTCTCGTCGGTCTCGTAATGGACGAAACTATAGCCCTTGTAGTTTCTGTGCTCATCCTGGGCAACCTTGCAGCTGAGGATGTTGCCGAGGGCAGCAAAGGTGTCGTGCAGGGCCTTGTTGTTGATCGCGACGTTGATATTCTCGATAAAGACGTTGCCAGCACCGGTCTTGCGGCAAGGGCGGCCCTTGATGATGGTGTAGTTCAGCTCCTCGAGAGCCTTCTCGCCATCGATGGTGGTGTTGTAGTTCACGTAGGCGTATCCGAGAGAGCGACGGGTGACGGCATCACGGCAGACACGGATGGAGGCGACGGGGCCGATCTGGGAGAAGAGCTCGAAGAGCATGGCCTCGGTGACGGTGGGTTCGAGCTCGCCAACGTACAGCGAAACGGACGAGGCATGGTTGCCTGGGGCGGCGGAGCTTGGGGTGGGAGCGGCGGCAAAAGGAAACGTGCGGCGAAGTGTCCGCCGATACAACAGAAAGGGGACGAGACGATGAAAAGAAAAAAAGGAAGCGAGAGCTGCTCCTGCCGGCTTTTGCCGTCGATTGGTATTACGTAATAGCGGTTGGCACGGTGAATTCACGGTGAATTGACCTTGTCTCTGACACACAGACGACCTTGGCCGCGAAGCTAAGTGTGACCCTCGGGCTAGCGACCACGACAGCGATGCTGGTGAGAGCGATGCTGGCGAGGATGATGTTGGCGATAGATACTTATGGTGAGCCTGTGCATAACGCCGAGGCTTGTGCGAGATACATCACGGACTGGACTGGGAGTCCTTGATAATGATGCCCTTCTGGTGGTTGGGGTAGGATCCTGAGAATTTGACTTTCATGGGACATCGCGCCGTCTGAGATAGTACCTTGTGCTCTTTTCATTTGATATTTTGGTGGTGTGGCAACAAACTTGGGAGTTATAGCTAACTCCATGGGTTAGACGAGAACACATGCTCGCCGCCGCCCATTGCAATGGAAGAAACCACATATAGGATTGTTCTAGTTCCCTCCCTCTGTTCATGCCATATTGTGACTATCGTTATGCCCCTAGACTTGTCCACGGGGGGGGGGGGGGGGTATTGTGCCAGTTGTGCCTTCATGGCTTGCCGATCAATCCGAGGACATCTTCATCCGTCACCCCCCGCGCGTACTCATCATACACTCGCCCTTTGAACATCGTCACATGTACCAGCCCATGTCGGCACAAGAAATGGTGGCGGGCAATAAGCAACCGGGCCGCGTCCGCCAGGTCCGAGGCAGATACAGCACGCAGCCGTGTTTCTGCGAGATGAAGCACGTTCTGGGACACAACAGTCTTCGTCTTCACATCTCCCATACCTCATTTAGTCCTAATAGTACTCAAAGGGCATATAAGGAGCATCGTGTCATAGACTGAGATACCCAGACCCAGGCAATCGAGAAGGAATGGCCAGCTTTATCTCTGAATGCCAATGCATGGATGTAGCCGGATCTCTTGCACACACCATATAATAATCAAGAACATCCATTCAGGCATGATGACGATGGGAAGATTACGCCAATTTCGTAATGCCATGTAACAGAGGCTGAAAATTTGATCCCGGGTAGTAGACAGGGTGCTGGTAGGTTGCGAACAAATCCTTACTAGGCCACTGTGTCCATCCAGTCCTTAAGATATGATATCCAGGGCGGCTCTGCAGTTTCGGCAAACTGCAGTAAAGTCGTCGTTTCGCACGGGCTGGTTGAACATGGACGGGAATATAGACTTGATTCGTCCCTGAACTCCGGCATTCACCTGATCCAAGCCGTGATTCAAAGCCATAGCATAGAACCGTGCAGCGGAGGGTGTCTCGGGGTCGTCGGAAGTGGAAACGTGGTAACTCGGGGAATTGGATTGTTTCCAGGGCGAGCTCGAGGCATCAGGTTGCCCAGTGGGGTAATCCAATTCCATGCGAATGCTCTGCATGACCTGTATCCGCTGCTGGCGTTGATCAGTAGCCCACGAACTATCTGCAATCTGTGAACCTGCGTCCTCCGATGTGTGACCCACGGCAGCCGTCCCCTGAGCAAGGCCTTGGTCCGACTCACTGATTTCTTTCGTTAGCAGGGGCGGCAAGCAACCAATTGATTGTATGAATTCACCAGTTGGTAACACATGTCAAGCTATCCATGTTCATGTCGTCTCCGTTGAGCTCGCTATCACGGGGCCCGGGTCAGTGTCGTACTCGCGTGCGTCATGCCCGGGCGTCGTGACAAATCTGAGGTCTGGGGTTTTCATCGGGACCGGCTGCCCGTGCGAGCTCGCCAGCTAAGATGAGAGCCGAGGTCTGTCGTCTACAAATGCGTTGCTGGCGTGCGAGGCTCCTCATCCATCACTATGGGTGCAGATGGAAATCACACTTGGCAGTCGACGTTGCCCTTGATCTGGTGGAGTGTGGCAAGCGCCACCCGTCTCATTCACGACGGATTGGATTCACCAAAATGGTACCGTCTCAACAGTTTTCTCACGAAGATATCAACAACTTGTAGTAGGCTGTGTGGTTTGACTTCCGAGCATGAAGTGGTGATGGCACAGGGTTGGGTCTCACACAATCTTCTGGAGCAGAACTGCCTGCATTAACTTCGTGTATAGATGGCAGTGAGTACGCTCATTGTTGAAAGGTTGTTTTGCGAATAAAATAAGCAAAGGGATCTTATGGAAAGACTTGATAGAAAGTCATGAGAGCGGTGTTAACCGGGCCTAGTACCATTGGGATCTGGGAAATCCAAGCATAAATGGAAGGTCAAGGTGGCAGTCCAAGTTGGGGATTACCAAATGGTAGCCCAACAGCCTTATGCAATGAACCCAGCGTTACCAGGACGCATGTTCACCAAACTGGTGGTTTCAGTGGCTCGGAGCTTAGAGGTGCAGGTATGCTGGACCGTTTTGTAAGTTGGGTGCCTACTGAGCTCCCACCGCACCTTCCCACCAGACGGTGCTGGTTTTGTACAGCCAGCCGGATGAGCTTCCCTTCAGATCTTTCTGCACTAACAGCAATCACTTCTTCCCCAAAAGCCACCATCAGCAACCGCGCCCTCAACCTCCCAAGAACAACGCACAAGAACCGATCCTTCAGCCTCCCAAAAACCATCCACCATGCCGCCAGTTATCTTCGAGTACTTCCAGTCGTTCGCTCTCGACGAGAACCAGAGCACTGACCAGCGGCGACACATTACTGTCACCCTTTCCAACGGAAACGTCCTGAAAGCTATATGGCTCAAGGTTCCAACAACCGGGACGGCAGCTGAGGTGGATACTTTCATTGAGACCCTCCGCCGTGGAGATGCGCCCAACCCGCTTACTCGTGGCATCAATCTTGTTCATGAGATGGTGGCCGTTGTGGACCCAACCCTGTCCAAAGCACAGTCAGCTCTGCAGCATCTCGCGGTTAGCACTACACTTCTCTCTATCTTTATATGATTGTCTAACACTTAGAACTAGATCTACGAGGCTCGACAGGGCCTTCGAGCTGGCATATGGCACCTCCAGAGCGCTCTTTCTGCCATCACTGTAGACACAATCCTTCCTGCCATGACTGAACACTCAATCCAGGGCCTGGCCGTCCTTGGAGGTGCCATTCAGAATCGAAAGAACAGTTTGTCCGAGGCTGCTGCCGAGGTGACCACTGCTGCCAACACGATCATCGAGGCTCTCGTTCACCTCCACCATGATGGCGAAATCACTGAGGAGCAGTGTGATTCTGTACGTTATATGATATTCCAAGAGCATGTAATAATCACTAATCTGTATCCTAGGATATTCATGTCCTCTCTTTGAGCGCCTTCAAATTGCGTGTCTTGAAGCATGCCTTCAAGGAGGAGTGGTTTATCTAGGGATCCGCCATACCATGGTGTTACATGTGGGAGGACTTTGGGCAGAGGACGTGTCTTCGTATATTCGCTTGAACTTGCTCAATACACTGCGATGTATCTTGGAAGGTGCCTGACTATCAAAGGCATCCTGGTATGAGGTCTGTCTGTGTTGTCCTGGATGTCCTAGGAATGAACTTAGCAAACATGATGAATCTGTAGTGGAATGGGCATTACTATATCGTTAAGGCGATTATCATTATGAGCTAGAGGCGTTCCTAGCAAGAGAACATTGTGATAGTGAATAACATAAGAGACCTGATGATAGAGTGCAATATATAGAGAACTTATGGAAAGGCTGCGAGGGTGGCACGAGAGCGAAGGCAGCCAGGCCCTGTTAGCCCAACGCAAGAGGGTGGCCAATGGACGGCCGGCCAAACCAGCACGCGGGAGCTCCAGCGCTGCACCGGCCAAGCGGTTGGGAGCTCCAAGAAGGGGCAGGCCAACAGGGCCAAAGGCCACCAGGCCAGTGGTGGGCCAAGCACGGGGCCCAGCTGGCGAAGTACCGCAGCCTCGCCGCATTGCACGGCCCGCACCAGACGTGAGGCCCAAGTAAACAATTCACCGTGAACTCGCGGTGGATTCACCGCGCCCACTTGCTGCTGTCCACCCATTTCTGCGTGTCGTTATCCTCTCAAGCTCTCCACATCGCCAGCTCGTCGCTGAACTCACCTGCCATTCACCACGAACTCCCTCTCCGCAAGACGACACACACCACACGCGACCATTCACCTCGCCTCGCCGCCGCCGCGCACAAGTCTGCCAGAATCACGCGTCCGCCGAGGTCAGTGACGATACCATGCCTGACTTCTATGCCGTTCCCTACCCGACTGGCCAGGACCCAGGCCAGGTACACCCGCGGCGAAGCCGCACCGTTGAGTACCGCCGCCTCGTGTCAGATCCATGCAGAAGCGGCAAACTGTCGCTCGAGGGGTACCGTTGGGCCGCGTACCTCTACGGAGGAGAGACATGCGTGTCCTTGCGCACATACACCACCACCACCCGATACGACAGCCTGCTCGCTCGTCGCCAAGGCGATTGCGCCGCGTTCCGACAAGCACTAGGCGAGGAAGACTACAACGGCATGCCCGACCGCGACGTCGAGTACAACATCTACGTGCCGCACGACCTGCTCCCAGACTACCCCATCGGCCGTGCCATCACCGTGACCCAAGCACGGAACTACCTCGGCCAATTCCCAATCCCCCTCTGGATAGACCGTGACAGCCCGTTATACCGCGGGTGGCACCTCAATCCCGACACCTGGAAGGGCGAGCAGTCGCTTGACGACCTTGGACTAACCGCCGACTCGATACACAGACATATGCCAAGCACTCCGCCGTCGTTGACATCTTCCAATCCGCCGAGTCCCTTTTCACACGGTCCGCCCCCTAGCAATCTTCACCGCGGCACGCCACGCAATCGCAATCAGAAGATGCCGCCGAAGGAGCAGGCCCGCAACACTCGCGGACGATTCGTCCGCCAGGACAAGGACGTGATGGTCAACCCGAAGGAGGCCACCGCCATCGTCTTTGCCGCGGCGGCCCTTACTTACATGAGCGAGAACCTCGACCTGTACCCCGCTGAGTGGACCACCGGAGCTAAAACCAACAAAGCTGCTATCCTGTCGCTGGCCAACAAGGTTAACCAGACCGCCGACGGACTCAACGAGCCGGAGTCCCCCGCCGAGGTGCTTCGCCGCCTCCAACTCGACTCCGCCGCGGCGACTCCCAGCCGCAAGCGCACCGCGACAATCAGTCTCCTTGGAGACGAAGAGGAGGACCAGCGCGTATACAAGTCTGGCATCCTCTTCAAGAATGAGGATAGCCCGTTCGCGCTGCCTGCCAAGAAGACCGCCATTGCTACCCGCTCGGAGAAGTCCAACCCTTCTGCTATCGCCACTCTTCTTGAGAATAAGGAGTATTTCAAGTCCGTAGCCGTCTTTATGAGCAAGTTCGGCGAGGTTACCAACCTCTCCTTTGACCCCCGTTGCCCCGCCATTGAAGACCTCCGCGCCGGCCGTCCTATCGGCGGCGACTCCGTTATCACTATCGGTCTCGAGCGCGTCCACGCAGTCTTCATCCATGATCATTTCACCACCGGCAGCCTAATCCCAAGCACCCTACTCAAGGGACTCGACAAGGCCGCAAATTTGATCCAAAATGCCGACCCTGACAACCTGACCGACAAGGTACCGGTTAGCTTTGTCCTCCACGCAATGCTACGCATGAATCGAGACTTCGGCGTCGTTAAGCTTCGGTACACCGATGATAACCGCATTGATAAGGGAGCTACTATAAACGCATGGAAGACCAAGTACGATAGCACTCTTGACCATAACAGCAGGGAGACCATGTGTCGCCGAGTAGCTGGGCTTGTTGACTACGTTAAGCACCATGGAGTGGTCAAGTGCCACGCACTTACCGATCGAGAGGTCGACCTTATCACCGCCGGCGTTGCCGACGACACTGTGGACGCGCTCTGGGGCTCCGGTGTCAACAACGCGCGTGGCCGCGGTGCAGCCTGCGACATCGACTAGCTGCGCAACGCGTTCCTCGCCGCCTCGATGCGGGATGCTCAGCGCAGCATTCCTGCCGAACGACGCCGGCAGCCATTTGTCCTGCGGAGGAGTCCGGAATGTTTGTTTTCTTCCCTGGGTGGTTCGTGTTTTGCACCTTGCCGCGCCGGCTCGTCCTGGACACTCCAGCTTTTCTTTATGCCGCGCAGATTTCCATAGACTAACGACTTTGACCGGCGGCGTCCGTGTCCATACCTCTCCCACCTGACTGCATGATTCGTCAGGCCGCGCCGGCTCGGAGGCACGTCCTCGGACACTCCAACTTTCAGTTGTGCCGCGCAGATTTCCATAGACTAATGACTTTGACCGGCGGCGTCCGTGTCTATACCTCTCCCACCTGACTGCATGACTCGTCAGGCCGGTCCTTCCATTGTACTGGACCTTCTACTTCTGTTTGCCCGTGCCAGAATGATGTCTCCGACTGACCGCTCCAGAAACCCCGTCAAACACCATAATGCCGCGCCCTGCCGCAGTCGAATTCAGAGCCTTCGGCCGCCCTCTGAAAGCCCATGTGCAGGAAGTCAAGAGACCAGTGAACACCGAACAAATTGACGCGCCTTTCCGCCCGAAATTTCCGGTCTTGCCAGCGCAAGGAGTCAAGAATACACATTCGCCCACTGGAACGATCATCCAAGGCTGGAGCCCGTTCAAGATTTCATGGTTTTCATCGTTGTCCTCCACCAGGCTGATCGTGGCCTGGCGCTTGCGGCTGGGGGTGGCAGAGCCCGCGTCGAGGCTCTGCCCGACCGCGGCCCTGGGGTCTCCCCCTTTGCGCCTTGCAGCTTGGTGACCTGACAATGTTGTCGAGACGGACGGAATGATCTTGTCCGGCTCAGGGACAGATGGTTTAGATATTGTACCGCTGCAATGCCAGTGATAAATTACAAACAGCATGCCCTGTAGTAGAATCGCACGACGCGGTATTATGGCCTGTGGTTGGCCTAGGTGCCGAATGCGATGGACCTTGTCACCTAGTATACACTCATCTCGGCCTAGATTCCAAGCAGCTGCGCAAGCTCCGCCAGTGTATCTGGCTCCTCCTCCAATTCAACCTCCTCATACACAATCTCGACGTCATCGGACTCCTGGTCATCATCGCCACTCTTCAAGGTTTCCGTCGGAAGGTTTTGGTCATGGTGAGGAGATCCGACACTAGGTGAAATTGTCAGTGTACAGCCTCGTGAGAAATCCGGTAAGGCATACCCGCTGGTCTTCTCGTCAGGGAACTCCCTTGCAAGCCAGATCGACAGGTCTTCAACCACAGGTGGGATTGCGAGACTTTGGTTGATGTACCACTGCGGAATGGGTAGAGCATCGACATGGACCTCTTCCAGCTCGGTCACCCACGCGGCAGTGTTGGCCATGGGATCGACTTGGTTGTCGTTATTCAGGTCTTCGAGGCTGAAACCGACAGATGGGGTTTGATGCTGAAAGGACAGCCGCGGGGAGCCCGGTGGCGTGGATCTCGCGTCTTTTCCGGTGGATGACGTTGCGCTGGTGTATGCTACACTTCCACAAGTGGAAACGGTGTCAGAAGACATGATGGGCGTGGGTATTGGTCGGGTGAGAATGGTTTGAGGCGGCCGTTGGCGGCCGTTTGCTTTCTGACGCGTTCCTGTGGTTATTGGAGGTCAGCATGAGGTTCTTAAGCCGTTGTTCGTCTTGGGTAGTGGATCATTTGGCGTCACTGTGGTCCTGCATGGTCAAGGTACGCACCTTGGATGGTTTTGGACGATGGTAGACGATACCGATATGGTGAAAAGAGGCAGAAATGGTCGAGAGAAGAACGCGGTGCGGCGTGTCTGAGTGTGTATGTGTAATCAGGACGCGTTGCTTCCGTGTCAAGCTGCTGCGAATTCACCGTGGGGTCACCCCAGCACCCGTGCCTGCCTTCCAGAGAGAGAGACCCTCTGCACACCACTCTGCTGAAGCTCTGTCTGCCTGCTGAAGCTACCTTCCCAGCCCCTTCCCTACCTACTTCTCCATTTGTCTCCTCCTTCGTGTCTCTCTCATTCTTTCACCGTGTCCAACCAGCAAGTAGGCGCAAAGTCCCAAGTGCAGCGCGAACCGAGCCCATCTATAACCCGTTTACCCATCCCTTTCACCATGGACACCCATGAGGTTGTAGTGTTTGATCTCGTCCAATCCTTCTCGCTGGATACCGAGCGGAGTAACAACCAAAAGCGGGTGGTGACCATGACACTGAACACAGGCAAAACTCTCGACCCCGTTGCACTCAAGGTTCCAAGACACGCAGACTCTACGGACGTGGATGGTTTCATCGAGAAGTTGACCAAGTCGTCCCGCAACCCTCTCGTGCGCGCCACCAATCTCGTCAACTCCCTCAAAGCCTTGGCAAATATGATCCAGTTCATGGCGCAGACCACCGCTCAGACATCAGCGGTAAGTTCGCCATGCTCCTCCCCACCATAAGAAAGTCAGGATTCTCACGTATATTTGCAGGTGAATGAGGTCCAACAACGTCTAAACTCTGGTGCAAGTTCCCTTCAGACCGCCAGACGTGCCATTGCACTGGATACCATCACGGATGGCGCCTCCTTTGAGGCCGGCGTGGCCGCTCGGAAGAAGGGATTCTCAGAGACCGCCCAAGAAGCCAGGGTCGCCGACAACACGATGCAGCAGATTCTTGGTGAGCTCCGGGACACTGGTGTCATCAATGAAGACGAGTTCAGAAAGGTATGTCCTGTCCTCGGGGAGACATGGGCCCCTGCTGACCGTTTCATCAGGAGGTTCGCCTAAGCTCGCTGAACGCGTTCAATCTGCGCGTCCTGGACCACGGCTTCAAGGCCGAGTGGTTCATCTAGGCATGCCTTGGTGACCGAGCGGTCAACGTCAGGATGAGAAATTCGAATTTTTGGACGGGGCTCTGGCCTCGAATGGGATTCGCTGCAGGCTCATTCGTGAATTTGCCTGGTATTCACGCCGGGGCGGGCGGCAATGCGGTGGAGTACGGCGGTTACACAAAGGTTCACTGTTTCGGATGAGGCAGGCTGGAAGGGCAGCTTTGGAACGGGTGAATCAACGGGCGTGGCCGTGGGTACAGTCATGTGCAAGAAAGTGGACACGGACGCCGCCGGTCAAGGTCATTGCTCTATCAAAGTTCTCTGTAGCCACGATTATCTTGAGTTTCCGAGGACGCGTCTCTGACCGGTCTTGATAAGGGGCCGAGCACTATCATCAAATAAAAGAAAGGGAGCAAACAAACAATCCAAACGCCAAGACAGGAAGACTAGCTGCCATGGTGGCTAGCGGAGTGCCGCATAGAGCAGCCGTCCTGGCCGCGAGCGAAGGCCGTGATGTCACTGGGCTTCATCCTCCTCCGGAGACTATGCAACGTCCCTCGCATGATTGAGCTTCTCTCCGAATCTTACAACCCTCGCGTCCGATATGGCTCTGCGATGGCTCTGGACATCTCTTGTGCGGGTACCGGGTTAGATGAGGCCATCAATCTTCTGAAGCCCACGATGACGGGTCCCACTGATTTCGTCCGCCAGGGTGCCTTGATCTCCCTTGCCATGATCATGGTCCAGTGCTTAGTCGATGTCAGCGGCCGCGTTGCGACCGTGTCCCTGGCTGGCGCCGGCTCCCCAGAATGCGTCGACGGTATCATCGGCCAAGCCATCAATGACGAGGTCGACCTCGCGTTCGGTGAGCGCATGGCATTTGATCACGCCGTGGTTCTTGACGTAGTCCACGAGGCCGGCAATGCGGCGGCACATAGTCTCCCTGCACTCAGGGGCAAGGTTGCCTGAGTATTTGGCCTTCCAGGCCGCGATCGTTGCATTCTTGTTGAGGCTGTTATTATCGTACCGGAGCTTGACGACGCCAAAGTCCCGGTTCATGCGAAGCATAGCATGGAGAATGAAGCTGACAGGCACCTTGTCGGTTAAGTTATCGGGATCCGCGATGCGTAGCTCATGCATAGCCTTGACCAGGCCGTCAAGAAAGGCAGAGGGGAAAAGGCCGCCAGTGGTAAAACGGTCATATACAAACACAACGTGGATATGCTCTTGGCCAACGGCAAGGGTAGCGTCGCTGCCGATAGGTCGGCCCTCACGAAGGTTTTCCATGGCCGGGCAATGTGCATCAAACGTGAGGTTGGCGATATCACCAAAATTGCCCATGAAAGTAGCCACGTTCTGGAAATACTCCTTGTTCTCAAGGAGGGTGGCGATGGCTGCCGGGTCGGCCTTCTCGGAGCGGGTGGCCTCTGCAGTCTTCTTGGCAGGCGACGCAAAGGGGTTCTTGTTGGCGAAGATGTTCGCCGACTTGTAGACGCGCTGGTCCTCCTCTTCGTCTCCAAGGAGGCTAATGGTCATCTTGCGCTTGCGACTAGGGGTCGCGGAGTCAAGCTGGAGGCGGCGAAGCACCTCGGCTGGGGACTCCGGCTCGGTGGTTCCCTCGCCGATCTGGTTGACCTTGTTGGCCATAGTGAGGATGGCGGCCTTGTTGGTCTTTGCACCGGTGGTCCACTCAGCTGGGTACAGGTCGGGGTTCTCGCTCATGTGAGTGAGGGCTGCCGCGGCGAAGGTGACGGCTGTCGCCTCCTTGGAGGTGACCGAGACCTCCTTGTCCATGCGGGCGGACTTGCCACGAGTGTTGCGTGCCGGAGCCATCTTGTTACAGTTGCGTAGAGTGCAGCGGTGTCAATTGTTGGGAGCAGGGTTGTAGTACCACGGGCTGGGAGGGTTCGCGAAACGGTCTGAAGTGGGAGTGCTTGGTGTGAACTGCTGATCTGTCTCGGTCAGTCCCAGCTCCTCCAGTGTTTGTTCGCCCTTCCATGTGTAGGGGCAGAGGTTCCAGCCGCGATACAATGAGCTCTTGCGGCTGACCGCATGGCTCGGCCACTCGCTTGCTGTGCTCTGATGTGCGGCTGCGCCGCGGGTGTGTCACTCCAGGACCCTGAGCGGTCGGATACGGTACCGCATAGAAGTCGGGCATGTTTGGGGTGACTGACCTCGACAAGATTTAGGGTGACGGAGAGCAAGGGCGCCCGAGAAGGGTATGCCAGCGCGGGTGTGGAGGCAGCGGCGGGATTTGATGGAGCGAGGTAGGCGTCTGGTGTGACAGGACAGAGGGAGTGGGTGGTATCGATGGCGAACGTCAGGACGAGAGTCTTGGACAATTCGCCGTGGATTCACTAGTGGAGGAGGCAAAGTCGAGGTGGACAGACAGTTGCTTTGTGCGTGGGTGAGTTCACCGTTGATTCACGGTGGATTGTTTACTTGGGCCTGGCAGCTCCACGCGTAGTTTGTGCACCTACGTGGGCGACGCGACGGGGGTTACAGTTTGGGATTCTAGGTAGTCTCGATTTCCTATGCTCTGGAAGCTCCTTGTGCCTCGAGCTCCTCGACCAGGTTGTCGTCTACAGCAAGGACGTCCCCGCCGTCTACTTCACCGCAGCCGCTCTCAAATTCGCCGGGGACGCCGTCGCGGGATGCTCTGTTTACTTCAGCAACACGCTGCGCTGCGTTGTGAACCGTGCTGATTGATGCTTGCATACATACTCCAACCTTGACTCTGTTCACCACATAGGCCTGGGCTTTGGCTGTCCGGTTGGTCCTGTCTCTTTATAACCACCCAGTTTGCCTCTCCGTGAATCGCCCTCATCCATCAGCTTGTCCAGTTCAGTACTCCTGCCACTTCATCTCCCTTCACGAACGCCCGCCAGCATAAAGTCTTTAGACAACAGCGCTTTACTCCAACCTCCTGTACCAGAAAGTCCGCCTCGGTTTGTACCCTTTTGTACCCTGTGACCTGGCGCAAGGATTGAAAACGCACCAATACTGACATTCAAGAAGAACGTCGATTCCCCTCCATCTCCTTTCGAACGTGAACTGTCTATAAGAATGGCCGGAAGCATGACCAGCGACGACGAAGAGTTCAAGGACTTCATGGACCTCACCATGTCGGATGTGCGCTCTGCCCGCCGCGCGGACGCTTCTTCCCCAGGTCGTGATGACCTCGCTCCCTCGCCCCTCACGGGCAACAACGGCTCTCTACAGGCGAACGTCAGCAAGAAGCAGCAGCCTGCGGATGGTGTGCCCACCAGTTCATATACTTCGAGCGGCTATCGTCGATCTAGTGGCAACGAGAATGTGTCTGCCGCGGTGCAGACTAGCACTGGTCATGCCGCCGATACTGTCGAGAAACGAAAGCCAATCCTCTCCAAGGGCCACCAAGTCAAGATCGCGGACGTGTGCATCGGTCAGGTCGAAGTTACTGGCACTGATCGCAATGCTGTTATGGCAATCGACGGTTGTCTTGAGTACCTCGCGGAGCACGCGGGCCAGAGCATTCCCGAGTGGAAGGAAACCCTCAGTGGCAATGCTATCGAATACCCGCTGATGGCCAAGAGTGCAATCCCTTTCATCAAGGAGTTTCAAGCCAAGGTAGAGTCTCTGGTCACCAAGGGCACTCCAATGAATGACCGCAACGATTTGGTCCCCGTGGGGGTTCCCGCCAAACTGAGCGCCAACGTCCGTCCATCTGCCGGAGGTGCCGCCGCCGAACAGGAGCTGCTGGCCGTTGACCACCAACGCGCTATAGAGGAGCTCAGTATGATGAAGGCTCTTTGCAAACACCTCAGTCGCCGTCTGATCACGGCCCAGGGACAGGCCAACCACATTGAGTGGCCCATCAACATGGAGGATGACCACCTCGTGGCCGCCATCAGTCTCCCCAACATCTCTGACGAGGACACTGCCGTGTCTTTTACGTTCAGCATCGTATGGAGCACCGACTCAACGTGGATTCTTCCTATCGAATTTGTCCCTGTTATCTACGAGCTGTATACCAAGCACATCCTCCCCGACCAGCCGGACCCTTTCGAGCAGGCTAACCTGGTCTTCCTTGCCCGTATCCTAGGCCTCGACGTCTACCTCCCTGCGTACAGCCACAAGCTCAATGTGGATACCAAAGTTGTTGTCGAATTTTGGAATGAAAGGGAGGTGAACGATAAGTCCAAGCCTATGACTTATAGTCGCATCACCAAGGCCGCCATTCGCTTAGCTATCGCGCATGAGATCATCATCAAGAAGTCTTTCAACCACCTTTTCACAGTCGGTATGAAAACTCTTCGGAAATCCACCGCCATGACCGCCGACGAGGCCTGGAAGATCATCAGGTCATACAAGCGCCTCCGGCCCAATGACGCTTCGGATCCACGGGAGTCCTCCTCCCCTTCATCCGACCTGATCCGCAACGAGGAGGCTTTCCACATGGCCACCATGGACACCGAGCCTGATTCGACTAGTCCTGACCATCGTCTCACCGCCAGCAACGCTCCAGCACCGGTGACTTCATCAAAGCGACCTATATACATATCTTCCGACGAAGAAGGGGAAGCCAACTCTCATGGCAACCTGGATAGTGTGCCAAAAGCATACATGGCTCACGGCGACTCTGCCACTCTCAACAAGGACAGCTCGAAGGGTAAGGAGGAACACAAGCGCCGAAAGCTCAACACTGCCACCTAGGCAGTCAATACAGAGGTCGATCAAACGCAAAGCATTCAGCCGTGTAGAAAGATGTATTATTACCACCGCTCTATAGCCTTCCATCCTACGATGATAGCAATCAACAGACGTGGTTCACCATAAATACCACGCACGGAATTCACTGTGCATTCACGTAGAATTCACACGCAACACCAATCAATAGAATATTGCATCGAGGCGATTTCGCCGGTCGCTTTCCCATACACAACATCCCGCCATTATAGTTCCCTGGACGAACCAATGAGCTTTGAAACCGTTCCGAAGCACAATGGCAGCATTGAGATCAGCCTCCTCCTGCAGATGGTATTCGTTCACAGTTCGGATGGCGGCCTCGATCAGACTGTCGGCGGCCTCGGGCCACGGACACGGAGGAGCGCTGGCCAGTGGTCCACATGTGTTTAAGGTTACACCTCCAAGGCACTTGGGGTTAGGCTTGGGGTTAGGCTTGGGGTTGGGGGGGTTTGGATGGCAGAGCGCTCCTTCCCAAGCTGCTGTGGAAGTGTGGAACTGTGGAACTGTGGAACTGTGGAACTGGTGGAACTAGATCCTGACGGTCGACTGCGAAAAGTCACCGGGGCATTGGATTACTCATAGCATGTAAATCGCGCACGGGTTAAATTTCTGTAGTGTATGCTATGAGAGCGGAAATTCGACGATCGCCAGCCAGCTGATACGGGCAGTTCCCACCTAACTACATAGGTCTGTGATCAACAATAAACTTAAGCAAATCCACGTTCTTCCTGGAATATTAATTGGCGAAAGTAAGGCTGCTTGCATTATATAATAAATCCTTCATTGAACTCGGCGGGTGCCGGATTGAATGCTCGATAATATCACGGGGAATCGGTGAATCATGTGCCACTGTCTTACTCAAGTTTATGAGGCTCTGGCGGAAAGCCTACTCGGTCATTAGTCCTGTACTTCTGCTGCTGACAGCCAGCCGGTGGGCCTCGATCGCGTGGCTTGCCCTCCCACTGGACTCTCCCACAGCTATAGGTGCGGCGGGTCGTCAAGACTCAGGCTCCGGTATGCTAGCCTGGATTGCCCCATGATCCATATCGACCGCCGTTCTCTTGCCGAAAAGGTTGCGGATCACGGGCTCATCGCCTAATAGGGGTTGCTGAAGGGGTATTATCTTGGATAGCATCCGCCTGGGAGCCCTGACTTGGCTTTCTGGATGTGCGAACGGCCTGGTTATTGGACCTTGGTCGTGCCCAGGTTGTGAGGGGGTCACAGGCTGGCTAGTCTGGATGCCGTGGTCTTGCTCGAGTTGGGAGGGTGTTAAAGGCTAGCTAGTCATGGGACCTTTGCCTCGCCTAGGCTGCGACGAGACTATGACTCAAGATGGGAAGACAGATAAATCAACGCCTATTGCTAGGTATATGGACCACAGGGTACCCTCCGACTGCTCCATGATGCTCAGTTCTGGGATATTATAGGTATCATCAATGTCTGTCCAAATTGTGCTCATCTCTCTAATAAGCATATATAGTTCGCTATCATACTCCATATCTTACCAGCCGATAGACAATAACTTATCACTTCTGAGTATTCTAAGCGCAAAGGCGTGGGCGAGCAGCTTCTCGCTTGTTACTTATAGTTGTTCGATCAAGTCCAGGTATGCAATCTCTTCATTGATCTCGATAACGCGCGAGAGGACGAGGCGAACCCTTTGGGTGAGTGCAATCATGCTTATGTAGAACGGTCCGTACAGCTGCCGATGGTTCATTGGGACTTCTCCCAGGCATCCAGCATGGGCGGTAATGTCCGGCTCCATGCCCAATATATGCCTGCTCATAGGTTCGGGGGCGTGGTCATGTAGGAACTTCAGATGCTGCAGCAACAGCACATCTTGTGCCTATATCTCCATAACCCATATCTCGCGGAACCATTGGCGCAGCGCAACGGCTCGGAGGGCTTCTCGCGCTAACATGTACTCCACCATATCTATTAAGACTCCAACATGGCAATAATCAAGGGCCTTACGCTTAACCTCTTTCCCAAGGTTAGCAAACTCTTTCTGCATAGCCAAACGTCAATCCTGCATACTAATACCAAAGGTATAGCAGCATGAGCCTTTCGTGAATGCTATACGCACCACGAAAGGGAGGTGGACGGGTTTTAAAGGCAATGATTGGGCAATAAAGAGACACACCAAGAGTACCAATGCAAAGAAAGCACTAGGGCTATCAACGAAACTTTCTATTGGCAACCCTATCTTATGATCTGGCTTTTCAACAAGCTTCATGCAATGCGCAAAGTCTACATTACGGCTCAGGGGAGAGGGACGTGGTTTGGTTATTGAACCTATGGTGAACATATCTAGCAGGAAACTTAATTCAAAGGGCAGGCTGGGCCTAATGACGAGACTCAATTCGAGGGGCAGGCTTGGCTGGGAGATGAGAATGAACTTAATGAAAGGCCCTATTCCTTGCGCGGAACTCCTACTATATATTAATCACCTGCCACAAGGCTTAACATAATTTATGCTAAAGCATTTAAAGACAAGCCAAATAAGTAAATGGTAAAGGGGCTAATGCTTACCCTCTCACAGCCGAGCTGCGTTGCATGGGATTTAATGCTCCACTTAAGAATGGGGTGGCCATGAGGCTTAAAAGCCCAAATAAGCTCCCGGTAGCCTTCCAGAGCCTTGCCTCGATCGAATAACCATAATCGTGCTCGCCGAAGTCTTCATTCTCTGCCATGATGCTGAGCCGATCTGCTCGCGAAGCGTGTTGGTTTATAATGCGCCCGTGTTTCATTAAAGACGGGAGCAGAGGAACGCCTAACCTTAACTAACTCATTCTCGCCGGAAAAGGTGGTCCGGCATCTCTGCAATTAAGATGGAACGGAAGGTGCGGGTGAGCAGGAGTGTGGATATACACACATCAGCAGGAACAGCCGCATAGTGTCTTATATTTTCTCGATGTGATGTGCGGGAAGGAGCCAGGTGCCTGGACCTCCTGCCTCTCCCCAAATCACCCCTGTCTGTCTCTTCTCCCCCAGAAAGTCCCTTCAAACCATCCCCTTCAATGTAGCCTTCACCATATGCAATTGGCATATTCGCAAGCCCCCCCCCGCCCTGTTCGAAGAATCATTCACATTTGCACTGGCTCAACACAAGAACAGACCATTTCCTACTCAGCTTAATTCGTGCAGCCGCCCGTGTTAGCGGTGGCCGAAGGCCCCTGCCTACCATTAGACGACATCCCAGGCCCAAAGTAAGGAGAACCGTCCCGTGCAAAACGCCTACGTCCCAGTTGTCGCTGCCTCTTCGTCATATCCGAAACACTACTTCTTAGGCGAGCTAATTGACTTACCGACGCCTTCCCAGTTTCTCGCACGATGGCGTTCGTGACGCTATTCGCAGGCGCCGCCGCCGCCGGTCTCATGTGGTGGAAAAGGTCCAATGACAGGGCCGATGAGATTTACCAATGGCTGGCCTCCACTGATTACATTCGGAAACGGGACCATGTGAACGAGGAGAGCCGGCATTCCATGGATGCCATCCTTGTCCACCTACGCTCTGGCAATCAGTACGCAGCCATGGATATTTACAAAAACCTCTGTGGGCAGATCTCGGAGACCACGTATCGCCAGTCCGAGCTCGTACAACGCTTCAAGATCGAGTTCCCTCGAGAAATTGTCCCGTACGAGTTGGCCAAGACCATCTTCTTACCAAAATTCCCTGCCACTATTGAGGTAGGCCCAACGGCCAGCGAAGTAGGCCTAATGTCCGTCGCCGCAGCAAACGCATCGATCATTGCCGATGCTCCCATGTCAGTACGCGCTCAGCCTCCCTTCGAATCACAGCGGCTCCATATGAGCGGTAATTACTTGAACCAACCCGAACCTGCCGCCAGGTATGGTGTTTCGAACGCGCCGAGCCGTGCTGAGCCGCAAGGCTCGGCTGGTGGCGTCCAGCCTGACGCAAGGCCAACGGGAGATCCACGACACGGCATGACCGGTGGTAAACCCAGGAGTCGTCGTCGAAGCATGTCACCGCCCCCCGCCAGGAGGTCCGCTCGGGCGATGGGAGACACTGTCGATATTTTCGACCACCGCGTTAGATATCGTTCCCGGAGTCCAATCAGAGGTACCCAAGCCGACGGGCCATCCAGATCCAATACAACGGCCGTGGATCCGAAGCGTCACACGAGAAACGCCATAGACATCGCCAATGTCGATAGTGACCGGTGGTCGGAGTGGAGCGGATTCACACAATGGAGCCGGCGTCCAATGACCGCATCATCAGACTCGAACGACCGCTCTTTGGCAGATGACGTCTCGAGAAGTCTCACGTTCAACTCCGATTCCCAAAGCGTCGAAAGCGTGGTGCCACCTGCATCTCAAGAGCCCGACGATACGCTGACCAGGATAGAGAGATACGTTGGGGGTCTCAGAAAGACAGAGGTGCTTGGTTACGTTACCCCTTTGCAGATTACCGCCCGGGAATGTCAGATTTCCGTCGAACGGATGATTAGAGATGTGATGAGACTACCCGTGAAGAGGAAAGTTATCATGTATTACTCCGGCAGACCCCGCCTGACCCATGATTCGGCCCACATCGCCAGACACATCAGCGACGAGAGGGCCGACGGCGGTTCCGATCGACCATATCGTCCACATAGATGGTTCTCTGCCATGATCATGGCTACCGGTGATGAACAGGAAGAAGAGTGCCTTCACTGTCGGAAGATGAACAAAGAAGGCAAAGTTATGACATGGGGTCCCAAATGTACGAAGACCAATGTCAATGGTCTGGACCGGTGCGCGAACTGTGAGTGGCACCGGGATAAAGGTTGTCATTCGCAGTGAGAGTATGGCTTCTTCTGGGTCCAATCGCGTCCTTTTCAAAAGGAACTTGGGCTTGAAGACTGCGGATATATATTGTCGCTTCACTCCATCTCTGTATTCTACCCCGATTTCTTTTCTCTTTTGTCTTGAGAACATGCCCAATGGCCATGCACCTCATGGAATCCTAGCTATATATTTGGCAACGCTGGCTATCTCTTCTTTAATGTTACTGCACTTAAGAATTTAAGGTTTGATCCCTGTTTGTTGTCTATGGATTACACCGCTGTGCTCGTGTATGTATGTGCACCATAGAATTGTAACATGCATCCGCAGTCGACCTTGCCATCGACCTTGCCCACCATGTTTCTTGCAAATGTCGACAGTGAAACGGTCGCTGACATTAGGGATGGCTGCGCGAGGGAAACAGCGCGAGTCGGGAGAGCCCCCCAGCCCCTTGGTAAGAAGCCGGGTCTCCAACCCCTCGAGACCAAGAAGCTAAGTCCCAGCCCTTAGAGGGTACCAATCTGTGTCAACCCCATCATTTTCAACGTCAATATCGGGTATTGCCCAGGGCGAAACGTCCATAACGGACCGTCGTCTCCATATCCGTCTTCCACCACCACTCCCTTCCAAGGCTCGTCTAAAGTCCCACGAAATGGTAACGACGCAAGCACCGATTTAACCCAGCTATACTTAGGAAAATTGCATATCAGCCTCGAACACCGCCCAATATAAATGCTTCTATCCACACACACTTCGTCTCCGTTTCCACCTTTGGGTCACTCAGCCAAATACAGTACTCCATGGTGAATTCACTATAAATTCATATAGGATTTACTTACAATAACAATAAACTATAGATTACAGTTTATCAATACTGGGTTGTATCAGAAAAGCTTTTGGTCCAGGAGTTTGGGTAAGATTAGTGCACGTAATAACTCACCTCTTTATAGCTGGAATGTATTCAATCCCATGGCTACATAATCCCGAGACTAAATATTGCCCAAAGGAGTCGGCTGGGTGTCCATAGCTAGGGCCTAAAGAGCAGCAGCTCGTTTAAAGTATGCAGTGGATGGATTTAGCTTAAGAGTACTGCCCTGGGTGGAGCCTACGAGCTTCTCTAGGGTCAAGCTAAACTTAGCTCTCTAGACATCCAAGTGAAGACCGTAGGGCCCATCATCATTAGATTTAAATTGCCACTAAAAAGATGGCTAGCGGCACGCGGATTTATGTGTTGGATCGTCCAGGTCGCACCAACTTCCCCGCCACGGTTTCCATGGAGGAAGCAAAGGAACCAGCGGTATCGGGTAACAAGCTGTGAATTAACCGTCAACAATCGCAAAGCGCAAGTGCAATATAAAATAGCTCTTTTAAATCCATAGTGCTAGATTAAAGGGAAAGTGCGCGACGACGAGGACAGGATTTATAAAATAAACGAAAGCCAATGTTTTAACAGGAAAAACGATTCTGCAATCAAGTATTTGCTAACGATCGCGGAGCTTTCTGCCCACAAAAGGGTCCATTCAACTTTAAGTCGATATAAGACCAAAGCTATGTCATAAGAAAGGTAGGCACATACGCACTTACCTAGGTACCTAGGTATGATAAACTACCCTGGGATAGGGCTGCTCCTGCGTAGGAGGATAAAGCTGCCGCCGGGGACTGCTCCCCCCGCCATTTCCATACCCTCCCAGCTTAGGGTACTTCTTCCTTCCCTTCTTTAAGCGATAACCTGCACCTCCCTCCCACAAGCACCTGCTGCTAAACACATAAGTAAATAATGCCTTTCGTGCTGGCTAGACCTTTATGTCAGAACTTTTAATAAGCTCACCAATCGCTTCATCTCCGGTCAACATTCATCACGCAACACAATCCACATTAGCGATCCTATCTCTCTTGCATACACCCTCTTCATAAATAACAACCACTTACAACCAACCCAGATGACGGCCTCTCACTCATCACGAAATAACGGTGCCAGCTCCACATTCCACTATAAACCCCAACGATCCAACTCATCTTACCCAACATGCCACGGCCGGCCGAATACTCATCCCCGCGCCATTTTCATCAAACACAGCTAATGCTGCCCACAGGACGACCCATAAAGACAAGTACATTCCCGTCCAGCGTCCCACGCAACCAAGTCAACCATTGGTAACTAAGCGCTTGCCCTTGCATAGCAGTCCCAAAACCCTACCAACCGCCATCTCCCACGAGAACATGCACTATCACCAAACTTTCAACGAAGGCCCAATAGCTATAAGATCTACAGCGTCTCACCAAAATAAAATCACTCGTCTAAATCTAGTATAAATAACATCGCCCAATATATTGTGAACATAATACTAATCTCATAGGCAGTCTTCAACATACAAATGAAAACATTCAGGCACATATATACCCAGGCGGTACCCCCAAATATTAGCGAGTACATTAGCTATGCAAGCTCATCTCGCCAGCCGCCATACCTCAGCATCATCACGGGAGAAAGACAATATGCTGGAATCTCAACTACATCGGACATACACCGGCAACCATTCCACCCCAGGTCCAATAACCCCCAAGCCCAAACGCTCTACAGACACCCTCGCAAAGCCCATCTCTCAAGGCTTAAGTCCAATTACCCCCAAGCCAAAAACTCGTAATATAACCGCGAGACATATAAAATATAGCACGGCATATACCATCCCTAAAAGATACAATACCCTAGGCTAAAGCCGAACGCAGTCTCAGCTACGCAGCCCCTGCAACTTCTGCAAAGGCAAAAAGTCAATCGCATCATGCATCTATGCTACATTGGTAGACACCACAGGGCCATGGCGGACTATATTCAAATCATTGCATTCATGCATGCGCGAACAGAAAGTCAACATATGCCTATCTTTTCTACCTTTAAACAAACCTAACGCCTCCATCACCACTCTCATTCAATGTCAACAAGCAAACGCAACTCTAGCGACCCAACATCCGCATCTCCTAAGACAGTGCCTACACTGTATCACTCAACCAAGGAGACTTCGCATACAACGAATCCCGCTCGCGAAGATGTTGTTAATTAAATCCAAGGACGACCTTATTCAAAGCATAACGAAACGCATAACATTATCCCACACATGCAACAATAGGCGATGATGTGATTGGGTGCTCTATTGCCTATTGGAGATCGGGATGATCAACTCTAAAGAGCGATCAAGGTGCTTTCACAAAGCATATACTGCTCATCGCGACGAGAAGCCCATACCCAAATTATGCTCAGCACATCCAAACCGACCGTGTAATCTATAGAAGGCCATCAAGGCAAACTTTTATCCTGGTAGCATAATTATCAAGGAAAAGACTTTCTTCCTGCGGAAAGAGAGCCCATTTGATTTATCCAAGAGGGAGATCGGTAAGATCCGCCCTATTATGTCGGCAAATAGCAGCGTCATACCATGCACAAACCTTGCCGAGCTAAACCTTACCTGGATCGACTGGGATGAGGATCACCCAGATACACCTCAACATGCCTCCCAGCGCGCAAATGTACTGCGGGCTCGGGTCGGCGATATCATACATGAAAGCCAGGCATCAATGGATTTATGCACGGACCCACACCATAACCGGACGAGAGTTGAGCGTGCACTCATCAAGTTTCTTGATATTGATGTTTAACGGCAATGATGCATGTGAACGGGGCGGAGTTTTGTAACATGTCTTTCGTGGCAGGTCCAATGGCCAACAGGACAGACGTCGCATGTTACATAAACGGTTAATATTACGGTGGTTGCTTATGCCCCAAAGCCAAGTATTAACGTAATAATATATGCTCTGGCACTAATAACTAAATCACTTAAGCTTCCGGGAAACCCATAATGATAGGCGAGAAGCACTTATTACTCGATAACACGCTTTAGCGGCCACGTCCTTGCATCTTACTCGCTATTAAAAGCATATCGATGCCCTACCACGACATACCAGCCAGTTCCCACTCCCATATAATTCACATCCAGGCATAATCCGTCAAAAAAAAATCGCGCGCAGGGTGCCGCGCTGCGGCGGCTGAGGCTGGTGTCATGACCGTAGACGCGCGGGGATGTGCTGGCCACGGACACGGAGGCCCTAGTAGTGTCGCAGATCATGGTGGGCCCGGATCTTCTTCAGGCACTTGAGGTCATCACGGAGCTTAAAGTCGACACCATTGGCGGGGACCTGCGAGTCCTTGCCGTCAACAATATCGCGCTGTTGATTAAGGAACCCTGGATTGCTACTAGTCAGCATGATAGTTCTTTCTCTCTTTCCGTCTCTCTCTATCTCTCCCTGTGCTATGTCATACTCTTGCATGATTCCACCATCTGGGGTGCAACGTGGGTTCGGGGTTTGATTTCGACGTATAGGCGGGAATCTTGTACTGGGTGAGGTTCTGGATGATGGTGACGATACGCTTGAGCTCCTTGGCTGTGTGGATGATGTTAGCGATTTGGTTTGATTCCGTTTCAGGCTGGCCTTCAAGGCCTCGTGTGGATATGAATCGTACAGGTGAGCTCTCCGGCGCGCTTGTTTAGGTCGACATCGCCCTTCTTGCAGACGAGGTTGGAGTAACGGCGACCGACACCCTTGATCTTGGTGAGGGCGTAGACAACCTTCTGCTTGCCGTCAAGATTGGTGTTGGGCAGACGCGAGGTGAACTCGAAGTTCGACTTCTCGCCCGGCGCTGCCGTGGTGGCGTTGGGCGACAGGCGACGTGAACTAAGGGCGAGCTGCCATTCATGCGGCTGCGCCGTGTGTGGTGACGTCCAGGGATGTTGTACCAGAAGGGTCGAAGAGGGCCAAGTTACGGAATGTATGGTGAGTTCACGGTGAAAGGCGGCGCGGACGCGGGGAATACGGGAAGGACGCACAAGGAAAGCGGGAGGTGCCTGCCGCGAGTGTTGAGCCACGCCCTTTCGCCAATCAACTTCTTGCCACGATTTTCACATGCACACGAGCTCTTCGTTCAAAATAACCGTTATTGATCTATCTGGGTTCGCCTCATGGTCAACTTGACTGTGGCCCGACGGTGTCATCCACTGCGGTGGGACCACTCGACCAAAACTAAAACAAATACAAAAGAAAGCAGGGACGGCGAAAGCTCGTCAATCTTGCCGCGATTGTCCACCAAGATAGAGAAACGAAGGTCGCCCGTGGTCGCACCAGTGTGAGGTTGCGGTTGCTGTCTAGTCGATATCCGCCGCATTTCCGCCGGGGCGGCCACCGCTGGCGTTTCCCCAAAGGTCGGCCACCGCGTCGTCGGATACACCGGCCGCGATGAGGTCAACCTCGCGATCGGTTAGAGCGTGGCATTTGACCACGCCGTGGTCCTTGACGTAGCCGACTAGGCCTGCCACGCGGCGACGCATCTCCTCGATGCTGGTGGCGTCGAGAGACGCGGCGTACTTGTTCTTCCATGCCGCGATGGTGACCAGCTTGTCAATGCGATCATCCTCGGTGTATCGGATCTTCACGACGCCGAAGTCCCGGTCCAGGCGCAGCAAGGCGTGGAGGACGAAGCAGACCGGTACCTGGTCGGTCTTGTTCTCGGGGTCGGCGGCACGAAGGGTGGTTACAGCCTTCATCAGACCGTCGATACAACCGGCAGGAAACAAACACGCGGTGGTGTACTTGTCGTGCAAAAACACGACGGCAACATGGGCGCCGGCGACGGCGAGCATATCATCGCGCTGGGCAGGGCGACCGGCCAGGAAGTCTTCAACAGCGGGGCAGCGAGGATCGAACTCCAGGTTGGCAATTCTACCGAAGCGACTCATGAAGGTGGTCATGTCACGGTAGAACTCCTTGGTCTCAAGGAGGGTGGCCACGGCAGCCGGGTTGGCCTTCTCGGACCGGGAGTTGTTAGCCTGCTTCTTCGCGGGCGACTCAAACGGGTTGGTGCCGCCAAACTTGGGCGCGGTATTGTAGACGAGTCGGTCCTCGTCATCGTCGACCAGGTTGATGGTTGCGTGGCGCTTGCGGCTTGGAGTGGTTGGGCCAGGCCTGAGGTTAAGGCGGCGAAGCACCTCGGCAGGGGATTGGGGCTCATTGGTTCCCTCGGCGCCCTGGTTAACCTTGGTGGCCAGCGACAGGATGGCGGCCTTGTTGGTCTTTGCTCCGGCGTTCCACTCGGCAGGGTACAGGCCGGGGTTCTCAGCCATGTGGGTAAGGGCCGCCGCGGCGAAGGTGACGGCCGTTGCCTCCTTGGAGGTGACCGAGACCTCATTGTCCTGACGCGCGAACTGGCCGCGGTAGTTGCGGGCTTGGTCCTTGGGAGCCATGATGAAGGGGCGGTTACGGAGAGTTCCGCGTTCGTGAGTGTTTGGTGGCGGGCCGTGTGAATACGGGCTCGGCGGGTTCGTGGTGCCGATCGGGGAAGGAGTGCGTGTCATATGCTCCTGTTCAGGCTCCGCGGTCAGTCCCAGCTCTCCCAGTGTTTGTTCCCCTTCCCAAGTGTTGTCAAAGAGCTCCCAGCCACGGTACAGTGGGCTGTCACGGTTGATCCAGGTGGGAACGGGGTACTGCCGGATGTACGCGCGGGCTTGCGTTTCCATGATAGCTCGACCGATGGGACTGGCTGGTCGTGTAGGGGGTCGCATAGAGGTCAGGCATCATGTGTTGACTGACCTTGGGAGTGAAGCGAACGGCGGGTGATGGTTCGGCGTGCCGGCGACGGAAGGGCAGACTTGACGTCGGCAACAGATGGGATGGGACGGCGACTTGTGTCGCAAGCAAGTTGCGGGATGGTTCGTGGCGCAGTGGAACTTGAGGCCACGAAAGATTGAGAGGCACGGTGGTGTGGTTGAGGGAGCTGGACACGCGCGGTTTCACCGTGGATTCGCGGTGAATTTTTACTTGGGCCTCACACGCGTGGCTTCACCGTGAATCCACAGTGACTTGTTTCCTTGGGCATCACGCCCAGTCAATTGATCCGTGCGCTACGGCGTAATGGCTCGCTGTCACGGCCCTGGCCACTCGGCCCTGGGGGGGCTTCCTCTCCACGCCCTCGGGGCGCGGAGAGCTTGCGGCTCTTCCGCCATAGGCGGGAGGGCTTCGCCTGGATCTGTAAGATGGGGCTCCTCCTGGGCTGCGCCCTTGGCCTGCTTGCGGAGAATGTACATCCTTCGAGCCTCAGAGTCCTTAATCAACTCGTTAGCATGCATATGGCTGGCCGGCATGCACACGTTATACTGATGCGGGTACCTGGCCAATTTAATAAGATACTCTGTTATGGATGGACCTAATGTCAAGTAGGAGCACCTTGAGGTGGGACCTGTGCCCGGACGGTGGAAGCTGGCGGGACGGTACGGCAGGTGCCAGCACCTGCTGTATTTGTCTGCCCAGTGCCCCTTCCATCTCACCAACCACCTGGGATCCTTCTCGCACCCTCTCTTCAGGCGGTATCCCATTCAGCCCATGTCACCAGGTGTGAACTCTTCTTCGCCTCCTAACAAGCAATCAAACGCAACCTGCCCATGATGCCGGTCCCAATACTGAATTACCTCCAACATTTCACCGCTGACGAGCAGCGTAGCACACACGACACACGCGTGTTCGTTGTGACCCTTTCTAACGGCGCTACTCTCGATCCTGTGACGCTCGGAGTTCCGGCCTATGCGACTGTCATGGATGTGGACGCGTTCATCGAGGAAGTTTGCCGTGGTACTGCACCCGATCCTCTCGCACGTGCAGCCACGCTTGTCCAGGACCTCCTGGCCCTCACATTCCCAATTCTTTGCCACGCTCATACAGCTGTTCGTTTTTCTCAGGTTAGCTTCTAGTCGATCCCCCCCGCGCGGCTGGAAATGTTATCTAACATGAAGCTAGATCGTTAACGCCAATCAGGGCTTCGAGGCCGCCGAGAGTCTGATCGAGGCCGCCGTCCGAACTGTGGACGAATGTCACTTGCATGAGGAGGCTGATCTCAATGCTGCCATTCTGCTTCGGAATGATATCTTCGCCGCAGCTGCCACGGTGGTTACCGTGTCTGCCAATATCATGATCAATGTCCTCGGAGAACTTCGAGACGCTGGCGAAATCAGCGAGGAGCAGTTCAATACTGTACGCCATTCCGGGTCGCAGGTGGTACACACAGCAGCTGACCCGTCTTCCAGGATGTCCTCACCGTCTCGCTGAATGGCTTCAAGCTGCGTGTCTTGAGACTTGGTTTCAGGTCTCATTGGTTCGTCTAGGGAACCCGCATGGCTGGCATTCTATGTACGGGAAAGTGACCGGCGAAAGCGCGCACCCGAATCACTGCCTCTCTCGACCCACCTCAGGACTCCAAGTTGTCTCACCACGCGGACGGGGTCCCTTTACCGGCATATGGTACCTCATCTCGTACCGCGCAAGCGTAGCTTCGGCAACCATTCAGTGTGGTGCCTGGACCGGGGAGAGGCTGGGAGGCAGCAGCTTACTGTCATGGTCATGGAGTATATGCGTACAATAACTTTGGTGTTGTGTTCTCGTTCTTGCCTTTGGTCCGCTCGCGTGCGGCTTTTTGGCCCGAGTAGCTTGCTTGGTGTCTAGTCACAGCCCTTCATTTGCATGATGGCAGTGCGGGAGAATACAGTATGGTGGACCACGTATATTCACGGTCAATATTTGCCGGGAGGGACGTTGCGAGAAAAGGGATATGTGGCCATTTGGCCCCTAAATGAATTCAACATGAATACACCGTACAAGTGAAATCACGGGGTATTCACGACTGCACTGTCAACTGCGACAAGCAAGGTAAGAATGTTTTGAAGAACAACTATGCCGACATCCGACCTGTCTGGCTCCAATGCTCAACCAGATGCCATTGACCGCTGCAGCCGCTGTGTTGCGAAGGGCACGCACCAATGCCGCCGCGTGAGCAACCCCAATCTCTAAGTCTGAAATATATGAGAAACTGACAGTGTGAACAGTTCAGTGAGGAGACCTATTGCTTCTAAATCGGACGTGTCCAGGTGGTCACTGGGGAACAGATGATACGGTGGGATGAAATTGTTCGGTCACAGGCGTAATTAGAATCGAGAGACTGCTTACAAAATGCACTCTCATTTGATGTTGATCAATATTGCCACCATCGTTGAAGACGTTAATAAAGTCTAGCCAACCTGCAAACGAGTGGGATTCTTGTGCCGCGGTGCAAACGTGGTTGTACAGTGGTGCAAAGACATTGGTGTTTCGGTACCATTTTCTCCTGCTACAGTTCCCCGATCTTTATGCTTTGGAATGTTCCAGAATGTATCACTTTGGGATCCATAGCAGGTAACTCACGGGTAGTAGCCGCATACCTCGCCGTCGACTACCAGCGCTTCATGAAGGAGATCGGCCTGCGAGGAGAATGTCTAAATCACGGTTGTTACAGTTCCCGGTGAATTCACTGTGAATCCATCGTGGATTTACCGTGAATGCACGAACCATGCTTCCTTAGCGGTGAATTCACCCACAACAACACTATAGATTGCAATCGATCAACGGTGAATCCACGGTGAATTGCCCAGGATAATTAAAGTGGCCTTGGGGGCTACCCATAACCGTTGCAAAATAACCAAGGAACGGCGCCGCCGGATTTCCCATGGTGTATGAGTTACCATGGAGTCCACTGTTATGGTGTAAAAGTCAACTGACTGCGTGAGTCTACTTAACATTAACATTATCGAAGATGGCTAGGAATGTATAATGGTATACCTTCCATAGCGTGCATAGTGCCAGAGACTCTGTTCCCGTTCCTCTCGTAATGCTCAACAATGGAGGCAATACTGCCGTGCTATTGTACCTTTGTTGTGAGAGAACTGTTGATACGATACCCTTTTGGTGAATTCATTGTAAATAAGATTAGTGGCGGGAATAAGAATTATAGATTAACGGCGTTAAGGGTAAATCAAGCTTGCATATCCTATGTGAGAATTAGGTGGTAAAAGATTATTCCTCCAAAGGTAGCGTAGGCTAAGCTTAAGGATGGTTTCGCAGGGAACAGCAACGTGCTTGTGATAAAGAGAGATTTGTTGTGATGTGACTCGATACTCGGATGTATTTGTGATGACTATTTTCAGTCGAGAGGTCGGTTGATATCACACAGGAGGGCCCAGGGTCTGATATCGTGATAATTATTGGAAAAAACCATTCATAGCGCATCCACGGTGGATTCACGCGGGATCGACCGGCTTTTCATAGCATCTAATTAGCGGCATATTTACCATAAACACCGCGCAGGGGACTCACATAGAATTCTCTCAGGCCTAACTAACGGTGAGCGTACCGTGGTTGGGCGGTCCCATAGTGAATCCACCGTAAATCTGCTTTAACCCATTCATACTGCATCGAATCCCCCCCCCCCCAAAGCTGATGATTTGCTTTCCATGTATAATCTTCTCGACGTCTGGGTGGTCGATATGGGTTGATGGGATTCTTGAAGTGTGCGGTGGATAAGCCGTGGAGGAGCGGTAGACGCTTTGGTGCTGCCCGCGCGGTCGCATGTTGATCGTGATCTGCCAGTGACTACCATTATGAATCCGCAGATTCAAGGTGCATCATCGGCGCGAGTGCGCTTCGTGGTTCAGTCGGCGTGTTAGACATGATGAAAGCAACAAATGGCGATGCCAGAGGGTATTCTCCCGTAGACGGTGCTATGAGCTGATTATCGTTCCCAAGTGGACGGCGGTGTTTACTCTGACCCTGGCGTGCCGGCGGAACCCAATCCATTTTTGCCGTATTGGGCGGGTGGCGGGGCGGACTGCGCTGCGCGGGATCTCGAGGGCGGTTGACCGCGGACCAGTCTGTTTTGGCGACGCGTGCAAGTCGCGCCCCGGTGCAATGAGTTGTCGGCAGGAAACGGCAGGGCTGCGGGTTCGAGTCATGCGAGTGGTAAACGGCTGTGAATTTATGTATTGTCGTGAACGCCGTGAAGTCGCCGAGTATGGTTCATGGGATTGGACTGATGGCGTGGCGGGTCGGGCCGCGTGCATGGACGTCACGGCCGTTATTAGGGCCAAGATCATGAATTCTCGACGCCGCAGTGTTCTGAAGTACAAAGTGACTTCCGTGCCAAGGCGCTACCGAAGCTTGCCGAGAAGTTACTCATGGGGGAGGACCCACCTCGGAGCCTCAAAAAATTAGAACACTAGCCAGTGTTATGCAGAACGCTGTGAATTGGGCGTTTTGAAAAACGACGTTCTTATAGAATTCCAGCGTTCTGAAGAGGAAAAACAATGGAGATTATTGCCGAAAAAGGTTGCGGCGCGGACGGAGATTGCGGTGGGTCTCGAGATACTTCCCAAGCCGCGTTTAAAGACCGAGCGCACCCCGTGCTTAAAGTTTAATTCCAGATTGAGTATAGCGCCGCGGTGTGCTTTAGAACACTGCGGCGTTTTGGAATCCGTGATCTGGGCATTATTAGCATACCTGGTCCGTACGACATTCCTCCGCGTTAGCACCAAATCACTGGTATATGAACTGGTCGGCACGCCGGCCGCCAAAGGGAAAACTTAGACTACTTTTGTCCATGATGGACCTGCATGACCAAAGCAAAACCAAACACCTCCGTCTTCCCCGTCCCTCGTCATGGCAAAACATTAGTGCAACCACATGGCCGCATGTGCTCCAGCGTATCGTCCTGCTCGGTGGATGTCGGCGGCGTTGCCACTGACGCGAGAGTTACCGGCGCTCCCCGGACTACATCTATCGCGTCGCCAGCAACGCCAGTGGCAACCAGATCGACCTCGCCGTCGGTCAACGCGTGGCACTTCACCACACCGTGGGTCTTGACGTAGTCGATCAAGCCGGCCACGCGGTTGCGTATGGCGTCTTGGCTGGCGGCGGTCCGGGAGTCGCCAAACTTGGCCTTCCACGCGCAGGTGGTGCTCGGGCGGTCGATGTGGTCGTCGTCGTTGTAGCTACCATAATGATGGAAACAAAGGTATGAAATTCAATGGTCCCTGTGGATTCAAGGTGAATCCCTGGTGAATTTCGGGATACTTATAAATTCACGGTACTTTCACGGTGAACTTCCCATGAATTCACCGTGAACTCGCCGTGAATTTATAAGTATCTATAAATTTATAGAGAATTTACTTAAAATCTACTTAAATTTATTAATATTATATTTATTTTAATGAAATTAAAATGTTATTATTAATTATTCTAAAAATATATGATTAAATTATAATAAATATAATATGATGGGAACCAACGTATGAAATTCGATCTCCCCCGGGGATTCAAAGCGAATTCGCGGGGAATCACTCTATCTATATACATACACGGTGAATTCACCGTGAAACCATGAATTCACAAGTGCCCGTGAATTCACGGCGAATTCACCGTAGATTCACCGTGACCCATCCGTACTGCATCATAATTATAATATTAATTTTTTTAAAAAATAAAATTTATTAAATATAATATATTTTTAAAAGATTTAATTTATATAATAAATAAAGATTTTAAATTAAATAAAATAAACTTTTTAATAATTTTATTTATTAAAAATAATATATTTTTTAATAATTTTATTTATTAAATAAAAATAAAAAAATAAATTAAATTTAATATTAATATAATTTATTAATAAATAATATATATTAATAAATAATATATTTTTATAATTTTAATTAATTTTAATTAATTTTAATTAATTTTAATTAATTTTAATTAATTTTAATTTTTATTTAATATAAATAATTTAATTATATTTAATTTTTTATTTTTAATTAATTTTATTAATTTAAAAATATTAATATAATTATAATATTAATTTAAATTAATTAATTTTTAAAAAAAATATATATTTAATATTAAATAATATTAATTATATTTTTAAAAAAAATTAATTTATTATAAATTATTAATATATATATATATTTATATTAATTAATATTAATTAAATTAAATTTATTATAATATAATTAAAATTTAATTAAATAATTTTTTTTTTATTTTTTTATAAAATTTTTATATTATATTTAATTTTATTATAATTATTATATTATTTTTTAATTAATTTATTATAAATTAATTTTTTAATATTATTATTTATTTTATTAATTAATTATTTTTTTTTTAATTTTTTTTAAATAAAAATTTAAAATTTTTTAATTATAAATATTTTTTTAAATTATATTTAAATTTTTTTAATTTTTTAATATTTAATAAATATTATATTAATTTTTTTAAAAATATAAATTTAATTTTTTAAAATAATAAATTTATATATTATTATTTATATATTTTTTATTATTTAATTAATAATTTTTATAATTAATATAAAAATTTTTTTTAATAAATAAAAATTTTATTTTTAATAAAACTTAATTATTAAATAATTTATTAAATATTTAATAATATTTAAAATTTTTATTTTTAAAAAAAAAATAAAGAAAAATTATATTAAAATTTATAAATAAATATTAAATTTAAAAATTATAAAATTAAAATTTTTAAAAAAAATTTTAATTTTTTTAAATATAAATTTAATATTTTTTATTATAAAAATTTTATTATAAATTTTTTTAAATATAAAAAAAAACTTAAATTTAATAATATAATTAATAAAAACTTAAATATAAAAATTAATTTAATTATTATATATATATTTTAAAAATAAATATAATATAATATTTAATAATTAAAATAAATAAAATAAATATAATAATATATTAATAATAATAATTTTATTATTTTTATAATATTAATTAAATTTAATTAATATATAATTTTTATAATTATTTATAATTAATATTTAATAATTAATATTTTTTTTTAATTTAATATATTTATTAAAATATTAAATTTATTTTAAATTAATTTTATTATTTATTTATTTATTAAAAATAAACTTAATAATTTAATTATTTAATTTATAAAATAATAAATATTTTAAATAATTATAAATAAAAAAAATTTATAATTTATTTATATTAATATATTTAATAATAATTATTTATTTTTAATTATTAAATTAAATTAATTTAATTTTTTTATATTTATTAATATATATAATTATTATTAATATAATAATTATATTTATTATAAAATTAATTTTATTAAAATTATAAAAATTATTATTTATAATTTTATATTTAATTATTATATTATAAAATAATTTAAATTAATTTTTAATAATTTTTAAATTTTTATAAAAAGTTTTTTAATAATTATAAAAATAATTAAATTTAATTTTAAAAATAAATTATAAATTTATAAAATATTAAGCTTAATATTTATTAATATATTTAATATTATATAATATTAATAAAAAATTAATTATATTTTTTATATTAAAAAATTATAAAAAAAATTTTTAAATATTTTATTTAATAATATATTAAATAAATATTTATTTTTTAATTTAATTAAATTTATATATATTAATATATAATTTTTATAAAAATATTATTAATTTATTTTATAATAAAATATAATTTTAAAAATATAAAAAACTTTAATAATTTAAGTTATAAATAAAGATTTTATATTATTTTTTTAAAATTTTTAAATAATTTAAATAATTAAAAGAATTTTATTTTTTTTAAATAAAAAATATATTAATAATTATTAATTTTTAATATATTAAATATTTAAGTAAATAAATTAAAGTAAAATTAATATAAAAAATTAAAATATAATTAATATTAAAATAAAACTTTTTTATTAAAAATTAATTATTTTAAATTAATTAAATTAATTAAAAATAAAAAATTAAAAATAATTAATATTAATTAATATTAACTTTTTATTTATTTATTAACTTTAAAATAATATTAATATTAATTAAAGTTAAATAAAATTATAAAAATTTATTATTTATTAATATTTATTATTTATTAATAAATTATATTAATATTTTAATTTAAATATAAATAAATATATAAATAAAAAACCTTATTAATTATATATATTTATTAAGGCTTTAAGCCTTATACCCTTTAAATATAAAACCCTTGCCTTATAATTTTTATAAAACTTCTTCCTTATAAAAAAGTAGCGCCGTCTTAATTTAAATTAATATATTAAGGATAGCTGCCTTATCTTTATATTCCCTCTTATGATATTAAAAACGTAACTTATTAGCGGCTTAGCTATGGTGCATATTAAAACACTAATAATTATAGGTTTCGGCGCAAATAATGCGAGGGAAGGTGTCCCTCTCCCTTTTGGCACAGTGGAAAGATTGCAGCGTCTGTATTATTAAATATTGGCAGCATTAATACATCTTGCCCCATCATTGCCACTAGCTGCTGGCCCATTTGATATCTTTACTGGAGACCCCATGGGTGGGCCATTAGCATTCACCGGGAATCTCCAGATCTCACCACTGAAATTCTCAGAACCATACAAGTACCCGTCATCCGAAGCATAGACTGCACCCCAGGCGTTCCGCTGTGTATCACCACTACCCGCAATATCCCCGAACTTGGCCACCGTGGTCCAGGACTTGGCAGCACGGTCAAATTTGAGCAGGTAAGTATTCGAGCCCCCAAGTGCCGTCCTGGTGAGGCTGTCAAATCCCAGGGTCCAGAGGTAGTTGCCACCACGCGGTACGTAAGCCCAATCCACAATGGTGTAAGCCGGCGCTGCAGTGCCTTTGGCCACTGTTTTGCCATATGTTGACGAGCTTGGTTTCAGGTCGACCTGTACCCAGTCCTTACCGCCTGCGGAAGCCCAGTACTGGGAGTATTCATCAACATCTCCACTGTTGACGACGTACGAGGTACCCAGGCTCCCCATGTTGACAACGTCACCCGACGCAGATATCCTGAGAAGACTATTGGGGATCTTTGCAGTAGCAGCGGCATACAGGAAATTGTCGCCAATGTTGTAGCCCATTGCATTTATAGACGTGCCGTCTCCCATGGACGCCTTGACGGTGACATATGACCCAGTGGTGATGTTAACCCTGTATAGCGTAGAGCCCTGGACCAAGTATCCACTGGGGTCACATTTCAAGGCTGGTTGTACCGACGGGCTCTGGACTATCGAAGTACTGAGGCTTGTACCAACCTGGGGAGTAGTGGATGTGACAGCAGTGGATGTACTCCCCGATGTAGACGTCAGTACCGATGTCGAAAAGGATGTGAGGCCAGAACTCGTATAAAGTGTAGACCCTGACTGAGAACTGAGGCCGACGGAGGAACTGTTGGCGGCCCGAGATGAGGCCGCAGTGGATGAGGAGCTGAGCAGAGAAACGAGGGTCGTGAATTGGGTATTTGGAGACAGTTGAGAACTCAGGCTAGTGGATACAGTCCGAGAGGAAAGTGTAGTGGGCACGCTGGACACGCCGGACACGCGAGCCGACTGGGTTTCCGAGCTGACGGACGACACACTGGAGGCTGAAGACGAGGATAAACTCTGAGAGGACGTCTGTGAGATCAGATTAACAGAGAAACTGGTCGACGGCTGGGCCAGAAACGAAGTCAAAAAAGTGGCTGGTTGAGATGACAGGCTCGTTGACGTCGAGCTGAATGTCCGTGTTGGGATTTCCATGCCTGATGAAACTGGCTGAGATGATGAGTTCGTTGGCGTTGAGTTTGACGTTCGTGTCGGGATTTGCGTAGGCGGCAAAGATGACTGGAACGATAGACTTGGAGACGTCGAGCTCAATGTCCGGGATACAAAACCCGTGAACGGCAGAGATGGCTGCGAGGATAAACTTGTCGACATCGGGCTCGAGGTTCTTGTCGATAGTTCCGTAGACAGCGAAGATGGCTGGTGGCTTGAAACCTGAGTGCTTGACGGGAGGCTCAATATGACGGTAGACGACAGAATCGACTCGGATCTCGACCCAGTAGACAAGATACTGGACTGAGTGCCTGGGAAAAAGGACGACAAAAATCCAGGGCCAACTGTGCTCATACCAGTCTGAGAGACAGTGGAGTAACTTGGTCCAGTTGGATGCGAGGTGATACTCGTGGACAGTAGGCTCGGGAAAGGGGCAGACGTGGGATCCACGGACAACACCGAACGAGGACCCAGATCCGAAGGCGAAGAGCTCGATTGTACACTGGGACGCAGCGTAGACGACGACGATATAGCCTTGGACGTGGCTCCTGTGCTCGTACCTGTGCTGAGGATCGGCGGCTGGGAGCAACCCCTGTCATAGAAAATGTTACTGGCCCTGATATCCAGAACAACGTGGATGTCCAGACTGAATCCATAGAGGGCACATGCAGGGCCAGTAAGAATGCCGAAACTAAGACAAGCGGGATTAGAATTACAAAGCGCACGGCAGCGACTAAAGGTTGCCGAAGCTGCATCGGCATAGAAACCTATACCAAGGGCAGTTAGCTTTAACATTCTTCCAGAGTCATTATATAACTAGAGTACTTACCGATATTTAAACCATCTTTATCATAACCACGAACCCCATTGCATATTGGTGTAAAGGTGGGTAATGCAGCTGTCGAAGACTCGTCATCACCATCGTCATCTTCGCCACTCGTCGATGTAGCGCTGCTGGTCGGTGATGTTGATCCAGAGGACGTAGCCTCGGTGGACGTTGGTTCGATCGACGTTGATTCGGAAGATGGAGGTTCGGTCGAACTTTGCTCCGAAGATGTGATTGTGGGCTCACTGGAAGTCTGTCCGGCAGACGAAGACTCGGAAGATGTTGCCTCGGTTGATGTAGACTCGACAGACGTAGACTCGGTGGACGTTTGGCTGGGGAAGGTGGACTCAGAGCCACTTGACGCCGTCGACGTTGGCTCAAAGGATGTGGACTCGGATGATGTAAAACCGGAAGAAGTTGGTTCACTCGACGTCTGCCCAGACGTAGATTCGGAGGAAATCTGCTCGGTGGACGTTGACTCAAGCTGTGTGGATTCAGTTGACGTCTGCTCCGTCGATGTCGGTTCCAAGCTTGAGAATGAGCTGCTCGGCTCTGTGGAGCTTGCTTCAGTTGAGGTTGCTTGAGAAGAGCTGGATTCCGTTGAGAACTGCTCGGTCGTGCTCTCCCCAGACGAGCTTGAGCCAAGAGTGCTTTCCCCAGTGGTGCTTGGTGCTATTGAACTTGATTCCGTCGTACTTCCGCCACTTGAGGTGGACTCCGTCGAACTTTGGCCGACCGTGCTTTCCTCACTCGTACTGGCACCCGAAGTCTGTTCGGATGAGCTTGGCTCGGTCGACGTTGGCTCGGAAGACGTGGATTTCGACGAAATCGGCCCGGTGGAGCTTGGACCACCGCTGCTGGGTTCTGTCGAGCTCGATTCGATGGACGTGGATTCAGATGCCTCAGAAGATGCTGATGTGGTTGGCTCAGACGAGCTCGACAATTCAGTTTTAGAGGCCGTGGAGCTGAAGGAGCTCGAAGATGACTCTTGGTCCGAAGCGCTTGTCAGGGATGAGGCCTCAGAGCTGGCAGGTATGGAACTAGTTGCGCCGGGAGAGCTCGACTGCGTCTCGCTTGTCCCGGGCGGGCTTGAAGTTGTGAGGAGGTCGCTCGTCGAAGTACTGACAACTTGCTCCATGGAGGACGACTCCAAGCTGCTCTCTAGGCTGGAGCTCGGGTTTAGGCTACCAGACTCGCTGCTCCCACTGCTCGTCTGTTCCTCAGAAGAGGCAGACGACACCAGGCTGCTCAGTTCAGACGTGCTCGCCTCTGTAGTGGTGCTCTCTAGGCCTGACGAAGAACTCGACTCTGCACCACTAGATTGAGAGGAAGCCAACTCAGTAGAAGCGGTGCTAAGCTCCTCACTCGACAATGAGCTCGGCGGTGTGATACTCGGCTCAGAGGTTATGAGTTCGGTAGAGATGGTGCTCGATTCTCCGGTCGAGAAAGATGTCGACGGCACACCACTCTCTTGAGAGGTGCTTGAGAAGGATGTGGAGCCCACTATTGTGTTACTGGCCTCAGTGGAGCTTTCGCCCACAGTGGAGGACGTCACATCGAGGCCGCTGGTCGGAGTGCTGAACGGTTCACTGGTGGACAGAGACGATTCCGTGCTTTCTTGGCTGCTTAAACTTGAAGTTTCAAGAGCGCTGGTCGAAAATCCCGATCCGGTGGGTGTTGAAGACGTCTCTTCGTTACTGCTTGTGCCAGAAATTCTGGCCGAGGTCTCGGTTGCGCTCTCCAAGCTGGTTGGCTGGGATCCTGTGAAAGACGAGGAAGCTCCAGATTCACCTGTGGAAGTCTCTATCGGGCTCTGGGACTCTGTTGACGTTCCAGCAGAGGTTTCCGAGCTCTCGAAAGATGTGGGTTCGCCACTTGTCGCAGTTATACTGCCAGACTCGGTCGACAATGTACTGCTATCTGGCTGTGAACTCGTTGGCTCTGTCGAGAACAACGATGTACCACTACTAGGCAGCGTACTCTCAGCCTCGCTCGACGGCAAAGAAGTCGAAATGCCTGTAGGCTGACTCTGCGACGAGGATTGTGCCTCCGTGGATAACGAGGTTCCTGTTGAAGCATCGTTGCTAGTGCTCACTTCCGTCGAAGAAGGACCCGGGGTAGGACCTGACGGCGACGTCACTTGTGTAGAAATGCTACCCTGCGAAGTCTCGATAGTTGACACAAAACTACTGGTGCCGGTCGAGAGATCCCCGGGACTTTGTGAGCTCAACGCCTGAGAGCCGGTGGACAAACCCGTCTCACTTGACAGGCTCGAGAAACCTGACTCAGTTGGTGACGGAGAGGTGGTGGCCTGGCTTGACTCAACAGACGAGTCGAATGGAGTGCTCGATACCACCGTTTGGCTCGCCTCAGTAGATGACTCTCCTGGGCTTGATGTGGATTGCTCGGCCTCAGTAGACAAGCTCGGCGGCGTCGATATGCTTGTTGCACCCGAGATCGACAAGCTAGTCGGCGTCGGGCTCTCTGCTGTAAATGAACTCCCTGAGCTTGAGACGGACTGCTCTGATGAGCTCGGGCCTGGCTCGCTCGTTGATTGACTCTCCAGGCTTTCGCTAGACAGAGCAGTTGACAGCAATGGAGTGGAAAATTGCGTTGTAGACTGGGCTCCGGACGACTGGCTGCTCGCTTCAGAGGACGGAAATGGAGTCGTGGAAATCGAATTGCTTCCCGCAGACGTCGACAAACTTCCCGAGGTTTGCGAAACTGTACTGGAGAAGCCAGAAAGCGAGGTTGAGGTGAATCCACTCGAGATCCCAGACGAAAGCCTTGACGTTGATAGGATAGACGAGCTTGACGAGCTTCCTGGGACAACAATCACGTAGAATATCTGGATGTAAGGGATGCTCAGCTGGCCCGTGACACTGAGAGATATAGCAAAAGATCCCTCAATGGCCGTGGTCGGGACAACACCGGCAATCTGCCTTTGAGCAATGTCCAGATCATCCTGGAGGAAGGTTAGCAGGGCTGGAATGGAGACGAGGCCATTGATGGTGTCCGCAGGGTTAACCAAGTACTGGGTCAACGTAATGACGAAAGACTGTCCGATGGTTATGATGTTCGATGGGACAACCAGAACGTAGAGTAGCTTGGTATATAGACCATTTGGCCCTACTGCGCTCATAGCCACCTCAACGAGACCCGCAGCTGTACTGAGAGGAACAGTGCCGACGATTTGCTGGTTAGCAGCGTTCAAGGCGGAGTCGAGGAAGGAGGCGGCAGGGTCGGTGCTGATGCCCCTAATCGTATCTGACGGGCCATCCAGGTAACCGCCCAGCGTTATGGTGAAAGGCTGCCCAGGGAAGACCCTCTGCAGTGGAGCAACCACTATGGAGACCAATCTGGTGTAATCTCCAACCTGCCCTGTGACGGTGAGGGTGGCGGTGATGGTTTCTGGGATGGCACTGATCGGGACCGTCCCGGTTATGGCCCGCCCAGTTGCGTCGAAGCCGTCCTCCAAAAAGCCAATGAGCGGACTGGTTTCAAAGTTCGTGATCGAGTCCGCGGGATCATCCAGGAAATCTTTCAGGTCAACGTTAAAAGGCTGGCCGGGAATTATGGTCAGAGATTCGAGGACCAGTACCAAGAAACTCCTGACATATTCGCCGGTCTGGCCAACAGCTGTGAAAGTCACAGTGATGGCATCTCCGACGGCTGATGCCGGGACAGTACCAGATATGGTTTTGTCCAAAGTGTCGAGTGCATTGAGAAACGCTGTGTTAGGGAGCGTGGAGACGCCAAGGATAGTATCTTGTGCGAATTGCATGTACTGGGTCAGGAAGATATCAAATCGCTGCCCAGCAAAGACTCGTTCGACTTCGAGGACAACCACGTCAAAAGTCTTCGTATAGGTATCACCAAGTAGGCCTGCGACTGAAAGAGTCACAGTAATAGTTTCCGCAGTGGCTTTGACCGGAACCGTACCAGCAAGGACGTTTAGCGCTTGGTTGAGGTTATTCAGGAACGCAGTATCGGGGCTCGTGGTGATGCCTTTAACCTGGTCAACCGCGTTATTCAGGTACTGCACCAGATTGATGTTGAAAGCCTGGCCCGCAATGACCGTCTGAACCGGGTTTGCGCCAGAGCCGGATGGTGACGGCGTCGCACTCGGCAAACCCGAGGCTCGAGATCCTGACTCGGAAGGCGGCAGCACATTCGAGGTAGGGATGACAGGCTGCGATGCAGGTGACGTGCCAGACTCGCCGGCCGGTGGAGAAAGGGGCGGGAGAGACGGTGACGCTGTTGGGAAGCCAGCCGAGGGGGTTGTAGGCTCAGGTATGGGCTCTCCACTGGTAGATCCGGGTCCTGATGGCACCACCGGCGGTGAAATACTAGGCAGCCCGCCTGTAGAAGACTCCCCTGGTGGACTTGGTGCTGACGATTCAGAATTAGGCAGTCCACTCGTAGGGTTGACCGGTGGTGGCGAGCCTGAGGTCGGGAACGGAGGCACACCAGTTGTTGAATCTCCCGGAGGTGGGCTCGGTGCCGATGCTTGGGGACTGGATGACCCACCCGTAAGTCCACCTGTAGAACCAGCCGGTGGCGATGGAGCTGTAGGTATCCCGGTTGACCTCGGTGAGACAGGCACTGAAGAATCTACAGCTGGTGACGACGCCTGAGACGCGCGACTTGTGGAGACCACGTTTGGGGTGGTGGCCGCTCGCGAAGTCGAGCTCGTGCGTATCGAGGCAGTGGATGGCAGCTGGGTGACTGCAGGCAGTTCGTTGATATAACCATCCACGCATTGGTTGGCTGCGCGAATGTTTATGTTCTTTAGCATATTTGAGCGTCAAACGGAAGGACTTCATGGATGACTGACCTCTGAAGAGAAGCAGTTGAACAGTGACACAATCAGCTGGCCGGCCGAACGATGCGAACGTCGCGAAAATAGCGCTGCCCACAACACAGAATGTAGCCTCTCCATTGTAGAACTGTGGATTAAACCAGCGCAAAATGCCGTCGACGATCTCAAATCTGGTTGAGATGGAACCTTGGGCGGCGATCGTGAAGTTGATAAATGGCACTCCGAAGTTGACAGACAACGCCAACCCTGTGGCTACCTCGAACAACTGGCCATTGAACGTGTAGTATGGAGCAGCTCTTGAACAAGTGAAGGTTACATTAGTATTGGAAATGAATCCAAGGTTGGTAGTCAGTGTAGGGTCGACAGCCCGTGGATCTATGTCCCTTCGCTTCCCTGGAGCCGGCTGTGGCACAACTTGAGGTACGAGAGCCTCTACGTTGACTATATATATGTCTGGAGCTGGAGCCGGAGAAGGTGAGCCTTCTGGTGGAGAAGATGCAGAAACTCCGCCGCTCGGTGGGATGACGGGACCTGTTGTGCCAGGAATCGGGGGGGGCGGCGAGTAGGGCGGCGGCACAGGCGGTCCACCGTAACCGGGAGGCGGCGGCGGAGGCTGGGGCCCATATCCGTTAGGCGGAGGCTGTGGACCATACGGATTGGGCGGAAGTTGAGGATCATACGGATTAGGCGGTGGTTGTGGACCATATGGATTAAACGGCGGTTGAGGACCATACGGATTGGTCGGAGGACCATATGGATTGGTCGGGGGTTGCTGGGGGCCATATGGATTGGTCCGGGGTTGCTGCGGACCATATGGTTGGGGTGGAGGCTGTGTGTACTGTGGTGGAGGTTCATTTCCATCAAAGGATCTTGGTGGAAGCGCACCAGGCGGTAGGTTCGGCAATCCTGTTTTTCATCACGTCAACCGTCACGACGACCTCTGTACATCGCACAACTTGGTTTCACGTACCTGTGTTGGTGCTGCCTCTGGGCTCTAGAGTGGCCAGGTAAGTGGTGACATAGGTGATGCAAATGGATTCGGATGTATCTTGAGAGCCATCATGTTGACGTGGGTCTATTGGGCCTTCGATGATCTTGCTTAGGCAGAGCCCAATCGCAGGGACGAGCGCAACCAAGGAGGACCTCATGGCTACGCGCATATGCCCAGGCGTCGTGAGAGGATGAGTGACAGCAGGATCGCGAGTGGAGGGTGAACACGTTCTTCTACGGTGCGCCAGGGTCGAGAGGATTCATAAGTCTACCTTGTCCAGTTTTCGGTACACATTTCACCGGGAAACCAGGTATGACACAGAGTTGTCGATCACTATCAATTGAAAAAGCTGTAGCCATGTGTATACTCATCAGGCCTTACATAGCAATGATCGGGGACACGGTGAACTCGCGAATCAGTCCATCCATCTTTCGGCATGGCTTGCCGGCCCGTCGAGCCACTTCTACGCGAGGTATACATGGGAGCAATCCTCCCGCCATGGTTCATTGGAAACGGCTGGTGGCGAAGAGAATTCTATCCGTGATGGGACTGGATGAGGCTCACTGCTTGTGGAGACTTCGGCCACACCCGCTCCTAGCGAGGCATGGGCTTACGTCGAAGGAATGTTGGATGGATTGAATAGGAAAGGTAGTCCCCGTTGAGTTTCAGCTAACTCAACGGGTAAACCTTCCACGGGAAGACCACGGTCTCGACACCGTATCTGCCAAGGCAACGTCCCTTCAAGTGTAAGACATCATTGCCCACTTTGTAACAATTGAAGTGGCCCCTTGCTTCGAGCTCTCAAGGGGACCCGCCACTCAACACTTGACCTTGGTAAAGCGGGAGCACCCGTCTACTAATTGGGCCTCACAATCATTGAAGATGCAGAGAGAATTGACGGGCGTAGGCCTCCTTCAGTTGGCTTGCTGAGATGTCTTCCCTCAAATTGCCCGTGGACACAACAGACAATATTGGAGTTTCTCACAGGGACTACTAGTAGTGCCCGGCGGCTGTCTTACTTGGGACTTTTAGAATGCCACTATCCAATCTGGCTCTCCTTGTCAATTCGCTAGCGTCGTAGATCAGGGGCAGTCAACATTGACCATTTTGCCTGTTGAGTCTCGACGAGACTGTCACAGCATTCCAGCAGCATGCCTTGCCAGTGAACTCTTACGATCGTAGCTTGAGGTCCCGCGGGGGGCCGGGCAATCGTCTGCACGAGTGACGGGAAGCAGAAATGAGTTGCAATTCTGAAACAGCGCCATTGCAGAAGCTGCATTTCATACTCAGCTCCAGTTCCACTGTCACAATGGGTTTGTGGGATGGCACCATGACATAGCTGCCTATGTGCGGATGTGCTGCCTCATCATGGAATGACGTTGTTCATAACTATCATCGCGTGGTTATGGTCAGAGTAACAGGGTAAACTCAAAACGGAGATGTCATGTCGGACAGTGATACTTGATGGGCTGGTGTCACTCACTTTTATGTTCAATCCAGCACTGCTTGGCAGCAGGTTTTGTGTTTACAGAGTGTTCTGGTCTCCATTCCATAAGATGTCGGTATTGCACATGGTAATTCTAAGAATAGAAAATACTGCCTTTGACGGCTGGAATGTAGGTACAAATTTTTGATGACGAAAGGCAATGACTTTCAACCCCTGCACTTATTTGGAGGTACTGCACTACGCATGTCTACGCTCCGGCTCGGTGAATACCGCCCGGACCTGAGCGCAAGTAACCCTTTATGCTGAAATTTACACGTTATTGAAGCTAGAATAGACGTTTTGGTTTGTAGCATGTAGGGTTGAATGATGAGATAGTTTCAACGGCGCACTTCGTAGTTACTCCACGGCTGCTCAACATCAACTATATGTGAGCTATGCTTTTTGAGTTTCTCTCTTAGGCTAGCAGTCAGCTATGGGCACTTATGTTTACAGCTCTTCATATTCAGGCCACAAGGAAAATAGGAACTGAGCTGTCAACGTGGAAGGTCCGCAGGTCCTTGGACGAACAGGAGAGTGGTGTAAGTACCTTCATGCACTGAAAAGGCGGTCACTTGTCACATGGAATGACAGACGTGGGGGTACCACCGTGTTCAGCGTGTTGCAGACTTTCCTAGAGCGAGAGAACAGTATCGAGATCGGAAGGCGCGCGTGAAATCGGTAGCTGGTCTAACTGGTAAACAAACAACCCGGATGGTAGACGGGGTGACACTGGCATGGGACAAGGAAATGAATTTAGATTTGACCACTAGCCTCGTCGAGGGGGTTTTCTCCCGGCACAAACGTTCTTCATTTATAGCACGACTCTTGTCTCGGGTTGAAACGCGCTTGGCGTAGATATTGCACTTGAGAAAGCACCAAAGGCATGTCACTTCAGTTCAGTTTCCCAAGCCTAGGCGTACTATACGCTGAAATCAGCAAGAGTTCTAGACCTTCTAGACCTCGGACATACTGGGCGAAACGATTCAAGATAATTTGATAATGTCTTTAGCTGTGTTGTGTATTGCTGAATCAATCTCGCAGAAAGCCTCTGGTGCACACAAAGCTTAGATCATTTTTTCAAATTAATGATATCGTCTATGACAAGCGCACTGCATACTCTAGGAAGGCCAATTTCTTGACAAAAGCAATCCAGGTTTCTACAATGTCGCATATACCCCATGGAATGCTAACGGGTATTTCGGGGCACTACAGACTCAAAATATGGGGATGGCATTCAGATAACCAGATCGTAGTCTTGTGCACATAATCAGCCTTGGGAATCTATGAGTGGAAAGACCAAGAGAGCTGTCGGCCGGCTTAGTCGAGGATATACACATCGCCAATTCTTAGTAGTAGACAGTATCATACCGGCCGGGTGCACCTGCAACACCGTGCCAGAGTCTTGGAATCCCAAATACAGATGTGCATTCCTACTAAAAGTATCCAAAAGCCTTCGTAGTTATCGGCTTCGCCTCGCCATGCCTTAACTGCAGCGGGCGGACACGGCGAGCAGAGTACAAAGAATACATCACAAAAACCTTATACATCCGATGCACATTGTGGGAAGTTCAATCCAACGTAGTTAAACTGTCCGCAGACCTTATCTTGTATACCCTATGTTTCCTCTTATAATTTCGGACTATGCACACTCACATCTTAGAATGGATATGGGCCATATACACAACCGGCACGGTCCGCAACGAGCATCAGAAAACTCCTACTGACTCGGTTGACTTCATTATCAACCAGATGGCAGTCGGCACGATTGATAGGACATGCCGACCTGGGTTAATACGGAGCCCCGACTCCCGAGGCATTGCTCGAAGCTGACTAGCCTGTCTTATCTCCACCGGGACGGTGATCACCGGTGGCCCCGGCTATCTCGTCGCAGCGGCACGGTCGTTGGGGTAGTTAGCGGACGGTTTGCCGGGCCTGGAAATCACACATGCAATCGGTAATCCTGGATATCGGGCTCGTGACTGCTTTCTGTCGCGTGCCCGAACGTTGGCAGGCCTGGCCCCCACGCCCCATTTTATCACTCAGGGCATCGTGCATGTGCTGTGGGCCTCGCGTGCCTATCTCGTCTGAATCGTCTCGGATGGATGGACCCCCATGTGTAAGACGAATCACGCCTCCTGCAATGGTAATAAAGCCCACCCCAGCATTGGCTGTCAACCTTCTGACTCCACGTTCGAGGTAACATCTCGTTTTTCAGCAGGCTCCCTTCCAAGTTGTTGACCTAAGATATTGATTTCACGAGGCCCATCAGGCAACTTTCATTACATAGGAGGGCAGTCTGCCCCTCTGGCCTGCCCGTCTTTTGTCTCGGTTGCCCACCCGTCCTCCTTCTTCCTCGCGCCTCTGCCCTCTCTTCACCATGGCTGCATCAGATTCCAAGAGCGACACAGCAAAAGTCGCAACCATGCCCGAAAATGCGACCGACGTCGCCCGCGTCAGCTCGAACCAGGAGACTCAGGTCATCGATGTCGACACGGCGTATCTCACCAGCAGCCGTACCACCAAGTTCTTCCGAAGCGTCTTGTTCCAGATGATCATGTTCGGAGCGCTTTCCTTCGTTGGCCCAGCTATGCAGGATGCCATCTCAAACCTCGGTGGCGGTGGCCTGTCATCTCCTTACCTCGGCAACTTGGCCAACGCTCTTAACTATGCTGCTGGCTGCCTGATCACTCTCTTGGGCGGACCCTTGATTAACAAGATCGGCATCAAATGGAGCTGTATGATCGCTGCTGTGACGTTCCCTCTGGCCGGGTCCGGATACTACACAGCCGCGAGATATGGGACGCAGTGGTACCTACTGTTCGAAACGATCCTGGGTGGCTTCACCGGCGGCTTTCTGTATGTGGGAGAGACTACCGCAATGCTGTCGTACCCACCTCAGAACGACCGCGGCTTCTACCTCGGCGTCTGGTCCGCCATGAGGAGCTCAGGCTCTGTCATCGGTGGCGCCATCAACTTCTCTACGAACTATAGCCAGGACTCGGCTGGTGGAATCGCCTGGTCAACATACCTGGTCTTTGTCGGGCTCGAATGCACCGGTGTCATTTGGGCATTCTTGTTATCACCTACTAAGCAGGTCCGGAGGAAGGATGGAACCAAAGTGCCCACTACTGGGACCGTCACCTGGAAGGGCGAGTTCGCGGCCCTCTGGCAGCACGCGCAGCGGAAGAAGACCTGGCTGGTCTTCCTGCCCGCATTTTACAGCTTCTTCTATGGAGGCACGATGGGGACCTACCTGTCCTTGCATTTCTCCGTGCGGGCCCGCGCCCTCTCCACACTGATCGTACCCATCATCACGATCGTCATGGTCCTCCTGTATGGAAAGATGCTGGACATGAAGCGCTGGTCCCAGGCTGGACGCGCATGGACGGCGTTTGCGTTGTGGCTGGTGCCGCAGATCGGCTGCTTCATCTGGATCGGGATTGAATACGCGAAATTCGGAAAAACCTCCGGTACTGGACTTGATTACGGCCTACACGGCAAACGATGGGCCGAGGCATACCTCCCTTATTTGATCATCTTCACGACCGGGTACTGGACGCAGTTGTCCCTGTATTGGATCTTGGGCACATTCTCAACAGATGTCAAGTCAAGTGCCAGGACGGGTGGCCTCTTCCGTGCCTTTGAGACTGCAGGTCAGGCCGTTTCATACGCCATCAACTCGAACTACGGCAGTGACCCGCGCACGCCTTTCTACGTCAACTGCGCGGTGTTGGCCTTGACCATCCCGTGCATGGTCTTCCTCATCAGGATGGTTCCCGAGGCTCCAGCTGAGATCGACATTGACGCTATTGATATACCCCGGGACGATAAGGACAGCAAGGCGGTCGAGACGTGAGGTGGGGAGGAAATTATCGTCATCTTTGAGGACCGGTAAATTGTTGATCGAGTTATTTTCGCCGAGCCTTAGGCCTAATGCATTTTTTTTTTCATTACAGCACACCTTCCCGGCATGACTCTCGATTTGTAACAATCATCGTGAATGAGTCAGTGGGGCCAGCGAGTCGGGTCAGAGCAGCTAGCCGGTGTCAGTCGGTGTCAGTCAGGGCGGACTATTTAACAAACCCGGCATAGCCGATGTGCCGTCATGGGCCGCGCAGACATTGATTGCCCGAAGTGCTGCGAGCGTGCCTATCACCTGGTATCTCGGCAAGCACTGATGGAATGAATGCCATCACGATTTGAGACGGATCACTATTACAACGGGACGGTGGCTTATCAGATCCGGGGTAGTTTTGGTGGTGGAGGCGGCCCGGGTGACCGGTGCTATCTGATCGTTTCCGGTCAGGGGTAGACCCACAGGGCTCCACACCGAGGCTGATACTGCCGGGGAACAGCTCATCGGGGCTACGCGTCTGCACTTCCGGATCCGATCTCGCCAGCGTGTCGAACAGCCTGTTCCTGGGGATCCGGATCGAGGCGAGAGTGAGTGAGTCCACCCTCGTCCCACCTGACACTTGGCCCTCCATAGAAAAACATGGTACGTCCGCAAGGCGGAAGAATCTCTGGGCAGAGGCAGAATTGTCTGACCGCCACATCTCAACCTGCCCTCAGCCGGCCTTCAATTTCGTCACTCTTCTTCACACACAGACAGAGTCAACGCGAGCAAGAAAGAGCAAACTCATCGTCCAGGCCGACTGCCGACTTCGACTCCTGTTGACAGGCCTGATCCCAGCCGGCAGACCGCTCTATAAAGTCAACACCCTCCGTCTCAAGCTGGCTCCGGCCAATCCATGGTCTCTGCAACGCAGTGCTCTTCTCAGTCAACACCATGGTCCTCCCCATCACTAACCCTTCCAAGTCCTACTGGATCGAGGCCGCGGAGTCTCCCCTGAGGAACTTCCAGTCCACCCCAGACCTCCCCCAGGAAACGGATGTTGTGATTGTTGGGAGCGGTTACACAGGCACCACGACGGCATATTGGTTGCACAAGGTGAGCACCTGAAACATCAATAGCCGTCAATGAGATTCTGACAATGGAAAAAGCACACCGCCAAAGATGGGACCACTCCACGCATGCTTATGCTCGAGGCAAGAGACGTATGTGGCGGCGCGACAGGGCGGAACGGTAAGTGCCGAGATGAATTTTTCAGAGTCATGCCAGCGCGGGGGAAAAAGCAACGAATGCAGGGCTGACATGATTCCACCTCGCCAGGTGGCCAGCTCCGGCCACATGCCTATTCTCGATACCCGAGCTGGTCCAGCAGGTTTGGCCCCGATGGGGCATTGAAGTTGATCAAGCATGAGATGGCCCACCTCGACGCCTTCAAGGCCCTCCTGGCCGAGGAGGGTGTCGCGGAGGAAGTTTGCTTCAAGCTGGGTGAGACATTTGACGCAGCCATGACGCAGGAAGCATGGACGCGCCTCAAGGGAGCATTTGATATGTTTGTCAAGGATCACGGCAGGGACGGCGAGGTGATCCGAGAGTGCCGGCTCGTCGAGGATCCTAAGGAAGCAGAGGCCATCACCCAGATGAAGGGGTGCATCGCAGCTATTCTGCATCCTACTGGCCAGGTGTGAGTGATCTAGCACCACATTTCACATGGTTTCCTCGGACTGACCTAGTGCACAAATAGATGGCCGTATAAGTTTGTTCACGCTATACTCCGCATTGTGTTGGGTACAGGCAAGCTCAACCTGCAATCCAACACTCCAGTTCTGAAGGTTTCCGAGAGAGATCAAGACGGATACATCACTGTATCTACTCCACGCGGCGACGTTCGCACCAAGACCGTTGTCCACGCCACGGTATGTCCAGACCTATCACTCAATTCAATTTTGAACATTAAGAGCTGACAATTGCCAATGACAAGAACCGATGGGCTTCACACCTACTGCCCGAATTTTCTAATCTCATCTTCCCTTGCGTCTGTACCATCGGTGCCATCAAGGCCCCTGAAGGCTTCATGAAGCGCACCGGCGCCCAACACTGGGACAGCTGCGTCAACAACTACCACGTGCAGCTTCCACCACCCCATAACACGCTCATCATCGGCGGAGCAAAGGCTGTCGTCGCTCACTACCCTCACGTTTGGATCCGGACCGATTCAGAGGACAAACTGCAGCCCGGAGTCGCCGAATTCTACAAGACGTGGCCGAAGAGCGACATCGTGGACTGGCCAGGCAAGGAAGACGAGGCGGAGCTTTCCCTCGAGACAACCGAGGGCGGCAACTGGACGGGCGTCGAGTCAACCAGCATCGACGCGTTCCCATTTGTCGGTTCTGCCCCCGGTCACAGCGGCCACTTCGTCGCGGCCGGCTTCAACGGCCACGGCATGCCGAGGATCCTCCTCTCGACAGCCCACATCACACCCCTCATCCTCAAGGAGCTCGGGGTCAAGTGGACCGCCCCTGACCTGGTCGCTGCGTACCCTCCGCTGCCAGAGCCGTTCGTTGCCACAGAGGAGCGCGTCAAGGCGTATACCGAAGCAGACGCCAAGAAGAATTATGAGGACAACGTGCGTAACCACGAGGCGAGCGCCGCAAAGCCGTTCTGCAACGAGCCTCGGTGCCTGTTCTGGAAGACGGACGGCGCGACGAAGGAGGTGGACGCTTCCGTTGCGGCCCAGGGGCCGGTCCCCTCCGAGCATGAGATACTAGACGAGAAGACATACTTGAAGCACACTCTGAGCGGGAATGGGAATATCGGAGTGATGGGCCAGGCGTGACAGCGTCCAAGTGGACCGCCATGTGTGGAGTTATTAGGCGTCAACTGCTGCGTTACTGCACTTATTTTCTTGCAACATGTCGGCGCAATCTGGGAAAAAGGGCCCACTGAAAAGCGTGTAAACAGTTCAGAGCATAGAACACCCGGGTCCATACCCATATAATACAAGTACCATGCCAGCTGATAATCTACTGCTTAATGACAAAAACCCAATCTTGTATCGCCGCGTGTGAAGTCCCCAGTTTTGACTTGAGCCAACACACATTTGACCCCGCCACACTCGTGTCCGGCTGGTAAAAGCCCCAGCCGGCACCCACGCAGCTGTCGTTCGCGGCACACAGGTTGATGCAGTCCTCGGCTATGTCTGCCTCCATGTGGACCAGGTCCCGGGTGTTGGCGTCCGCGTTGCTGTTGTAATCGATCGCGCAGTATACGTCAAACTTGGCTGGGTCTGTTGTCGATGTGAAGGTTGTTCCGTTCGATGTTGGGCATGATATTGATGATTCTGGGGTCGCTGTTGATGAGGGGCTTGGTGTTGATGAAGCAGGTGCGTTGCTAGGTGAAACCAATATAGTCAGTACTGATGAGCATTCCGCCATGGTGAACCGTCCAAAGCCTTGGCAACTCACCTGCTCGACCCATCACCGCTCTTACTCAGACCCAGGCCGAGGCCGAGACCAAGTGATAATCCCAATACCAGTACGGCAGCGAGAGACCCTAAGATCAACCAGAGCTTCTTCCTCCCTATCTTGAGGTGCACTGAGTCTCCCGGCGGTTTCTCCATCGCCGCCGGTGGCGGCCCATCAAACGGTATCTTGCCATCGGGGGTCAAGGCGGAAAAGGCCGGCGATGAGCCCGTACCGGTATATGTTGACTGTCGATAGGGGTCGAATGGAGGCGGCTGACCATATTGCTGTGGATTGTAGTTTGCGAAGTGCTGTGCGTGGTTCAACTCCAGGCCTTCGTGGTAAGCCACCCTGTTGTGTTGCACTGTCAGATACCCCTCTATGTAATTGAGAACCAGATAGTATAGCAACGTATAACAGGGCGCGCTTGATGCCGCCTGAAACTGAAATTTCAAACCCGGCGGGGACGACCGGAGGTCGGAGCGACATACTGGGGAGCTTCAGCTTCGCGGGCAACCTCCAGCCCGGGCTGCTCTTCGTGGGCTCGGTATTGAGCCATCACCCTGTCACGCACCTTGGGCAAAGCCCTCGAGTCAGGTCGGCAGTCTCCGTGGAGGTGTCTATGTGAATACTGGCGTGTGTCGTTGGCAATGAGCAGGCTTATGTGACACCAGTGAATGGAGTTTGTTTCTGACGTGGATCAGAACAAGAAATGGTGGATTAGTTTCCGGATCGCTGAGTCTTGACCGTTTCTCCCAGATTCCCAGGTCTGAGGCGAAGGATCCGAGATCTGCGCACGATAACGCCCAGTATCCTTGCCAGCTGGGTAATGGAGCTCCTAGAAAAGGACTAGACGAGCCACAAGCGCTTATTTACTAGCTCCGCAATTAGAAAATAGGCTCAAGCTGTTGCCTATCCAGTGGGTCTGGATCGTTCCGCCCCTGCCTAACGTGGCGTATTGGAATATTCGTTTGGGGTATGATATAATCAGGCTGCCGTCACTGTCCAAAACATCTAGAGTCTGGATTGTGCTTTTTGTGCGACGCTCCAGCTGCACGGGACAGTTCACCGTGTAACACTCCAATTCTCAAAGCCTCACCACAACGCCCCCAAAGATGCACAACGCAATGTTTCGAGTTTGAAATATTCGAGGGCCCCATGCAGGTCACAGCGACGCCACTCAATTATTCTTGCTTACTGTTTACCTATCCACACGCGGGCGGCCGCCTTTGGCGGTCCTGACTTCAGCCCTCAGCCAAGCGACCTCCATCTGGCCCCAATCCGGCTCCTGGCCGGTGAAACTCAAAGCTCGGATATCCGAAGTGTTTGGCCGCTTTCTAGCAGTAGATTACAAGCGGTCATAAAATGGGCTTTCTGCGGCGTCCTGGGTTACCAAATCAGTATACTGGACCAAGAAGTTGCGCAAGAGCGACACAACTTACCTACTAGTAGGTGCTCATGAAAGTTCCCACAGCTGACACCCTACAACTAGAAAAAGAGAACGTTTGCAAATATACAAAATCTGTTGTATGAATGGTAATGAAGCTCTCTCGAGTTCATGTCGAATATATACATCAAAGAAACTCTCTTCTATATACAGACCCCCAGATCACTACCCACGTACTTGCTCGTTCCCGTCGTCCGCACGACCCGCAACAACCGACCTTTCTTAGGGCTTGTATGTCTTGAGCAGCGAATCGTAGTACTTGTACCCGATTCCACTTGGCGGCTCATATCCATAGATGTAGTCGCCCCACCACGGGCCACCTCCCCACCAGAGCGCGCCCAGCCAGACATCGCTGTTGGACTTGAGGGTGTTGAGCAGGCCCGTGACGGCCGACTTGCACTGGTCGTTCGCCCCGCCCGCAAACTCCCCGATAATACCAATCTTGCCGTTGGTCTTGAGCCACTGCGTCGCGCTGGCGACGCGCTCCGCGCCGATGGTGCCCGAGACGCAGGTGGCCGAGGTCCCCGAGCCGTCCGAGTCGAGGTACTGGTGCATCTCGTAGACGATCTTGTTCTGCGGGTCGGTCAGGGCCTTGAGGTTGTCGTTGACCGTCGCCCAGGTCCAGGCGCCCGAGTACGAGTTGCCCTCGACGAAGATGTACTGGGAGCTGGCCCCCGCGGCGCGGATGCCGTTGATGGCGGCCTGGTTCAGGTTCAGGACGAGGGTCTGGTCCATGTCGTGGTACTCGTTGTTGGTGTCGAAGATGACCTTGGAGTTGCCCTTGTACACGGTGGCCAGGTTCTTCCAGAAGGTCTGGAAGCCGGCGGTGTCGGTGATGATGTTGCCGTAGAACCGCCCAAAGTTGTGCGGGTCGACAATGGCATAGGCACCGGCGTTGGTGATGAAGTTGACCGTCGCGGTCAAGTTGTTGAGATATGCGGTTGCCAGCGAGGACGAAACCGTGGTACCGGTAACGATCCGCTCCATAGAGAAGGGGATCCGGAAGCTGTTGTAGCCCGAGCTGATGAGGGTCTGGTGCCAGGTTAGTTCTCATCTGCAGGTCACACTCACATATGAACACGGACGGTAGAACATGGGGAGCCAGTAACCTACCTGGAGAGCGGTGTTGTCAGGGAAGATGAAGTCCTTGCCCCAAAGCCCAGGGTAAGAGTTCGAGCCAAACTCAGCACCAGACTCATCCACCCCGAGGAACTTGAAGCCCGTCGCAGAGGGAGCCTTCGATGTCGTGGCGCTCGGCTGGGGCGCTGAAGTCGAGCTGGGCTTGGTGGTTGAAGTTGACAGCGTAGTAGCCGCAGAGCCCGGAAGACACTGGGAGTAATACTGGTTGGAGTAGGTGCAGGTGTATCCAGACACACATGTCGTCGTGCCAGTCCATCCCTGGCCACCGCATTGTGCGTAGGCAGCGCCCTGCGCGAGAGCGCCGGCAATGAAGGCGGTCGAGGCGATCAAGGACTTCATGATGAAGGCTGAGATCTGCGATCCTTGGTGGTCCACGAGTCACACAGGCTCTGTCTGCCCAAGAGCTTCGGCGCGGGATGCCAATGCCATTTATACCAAGGTGGGAGCATCCGTGCCACCTGGATGGTGTGAGGCCGAGCTAGGCCGATGCAGTCTCCAATGCGATGGTAATCTTGCTCAAGACGTAAGAGCGCGGGAGCAGGGACGCCGACGCCCACATTAAGACGGGTGTCTTAAGGAGAGAAGCTTCGTTCTAATTAGCTTGTTCGCCTTCGGGACATCTAGCCGACAGTAGTGACATCCAGATGCGCCCCGGGCTTCCTCTTAGTGGCGGGCTCTCGTGAGCCGCATACCGCGATGAGCTTGGACCTGGGCTCTAGGTCCTTGCAGCGTTGCTATAGAAGGCGCCCCAAGGAACGCAGAAACGGCTGAGACTCTGTCTGAGTCCGTGGGCCGGTGGCACAACGCCACGGGTGACATGATGATTGAGGACTGGGGTAGCTCTGGAGTCCGGTCCCGTGATACTGCGTTGCATGTCAGTTGGCAGCAGAACGCGGTGGGTCATCTGGGACGATGGGCGGTTTCCTCCGTGAAATGCGGATGCAGAATCTCCGTCGACGGTTTTGGGCATCACGTACCCTCATCTTAGCCTTTACCCTTCCAATCATCCGCATCCTTGGCGGGAGTCCTGCCTTACATAATCAGCCCAATGCCGAACAACGGCTGCGTTTCCTCCAGACAGGTCAAAGATCAAAGATGGATAGTGACCTATCATGGCTTTGGGGTTGTCTGAGCAGGTAAGTGGTGAAAAACGGGAAGCGTTTCCGGTTAACGCCTGATCAACTACGCTCTTGTTCCCTGTAACACAACGACGACCGATGGCGTCTATTGCTGGGGCGGGATGCGCTTCCGGGCTTTGTCCATCACATCATCTGGGAAGTTGTCGAAATCCAGCAAACGGAGGCAATGGATTCGAAGCCTTCGTTGCATCCAGTCACTCAAGCTCACCGTGACGTGCTCAGACATGTGCGCGTACGGCCTGTAGGACCTCGGGAGTGTTGATACGCTGAAGAGAATGCGTTTGTTCTGGTAATTTCAGCAGAAATATGTCTGGCACCCTCTGCGGCGTTCCCGTAAATTCTCATAACAGTCAGATATTTTTTTTTCCTGGACTCTAATGTCGATTGTGGCTGCTCAAGGGGTAGTGCAAATTGTTCAGTCTCGCTACTCACGCGATGAGTTGACCATTGTCTGGTGGTAGACACGCCATGCCGCCCGCTTTTCCCATTTTCAACACTTGGCAAGAAGAAAACATGTTCTTCAATTTCAAGCAATTTCAAAACAATTTAGCTGCTCGCCCTTTACGATTTGTATCGCATGGTAAGACAAAGACTAAGTTTTGCACACGGTTGCCGGGCAAAGGGGAATCGAGCCATCCGTCAGCAACGACGGGGTGACTCTTCTTAGGCAAGGCAACTGTTTCACTCCACACACTAACGGGTGTAGATTTCAAGGTCACACCATGTTTGGAGAATCTGATTCCTTCAACAATTGCTCAGCCTCAATGTTGCTTGCTAGTGCGATCAAAACCCGGGCAGATGCCCTGGTCACGCAAAATACTGCGGTCGGATCAGTAATATGAAATTCGTGAGAACGTGCCTACCCATGCACCTTCAACCCCTCAGAGCTTCTCCCGTCCAATTAAAATGCAGCTGTTCTCTAGATTACAAAGATTTTGGATCCAACACAGCGCCCGCGGAGGGGTTGCGATCCTAAGCCGTGGAACACTCTCCAGCACCGCGCTGTCCAACCACCTGTCCCAAAGTGCCAGTGCAACTATCGGTGTCAGCTGAGGGTCAAAATTGGCGTCAAATATGTGGTGTTAGAACCTCGGCTGAAGGATAAATTGTAATCACAATGAGCATTTAGTGAGCTGTCACTATTGTTTCTGTACTTGCATCGCTTAGTACATGGCTCGAACACCAAAGTCACTTGTTTTGCATGATTTTATGTTTCTGTGACTGGTGGCATCGCCGGAGTATGAGTAACCAAGAGTTGATTGTTGGAATTGAATTCCCGATTGGATTGTTCGGACTTCAATGCAGAAGATTCACATCCAGCCTTTATCGAATGGGACCCGAGAGACGGTGCTGGGCAAGAATTCATGTGCGGTGAGATTTGTCGTCGAACCCGATCAGCAAACAGGCTCAGAGGGCAAGAAACTCATACAAAGTGAATCAAATTATACGCGTCTCTCTGTTGTTTTCACCAAATCAATCATCCTTGATTTACCTATTGCCCATCCCGAAACAAGTGTCAACGCTCATCCGCCTCTCGCTATGGCCTTTGCAGACCCAGGGACAGCCGCTTCAGCTGAGGAACTTCTACAGCGGAACAGGTGAGAATAGCCGGAAATCCAGTAAATCATTCTTGAGTTTCTTTTAAGTCCGGTACAGAGACAATGCCAAAGTTCACCGTCCTGAACTCCTCCTAGAAGAGAGACGTGCAGCAGGTTCTCCAAGGCCTAGAACGTTTATATGTAGGAACAGGAACATACCTGTCTGATGGAATGATATTAAAGAAGACTGATTTTCCGATGACTAGTCTGCTGCTTTGATCCACGGGTCGACCCGACAACCTTTCTTGGACTCAAACCTTGGGGTGAGACGCCCTGCGTTACCGTTCTTAGCAGATGCGCAGGCGGTGACCCGGATGTCTCAAACAACAACATTCCGATTACTCGTCCAGCGGAGTTGCATTGTGGGTGCAATGGCTAACGCGGGATATAGACGCGCTCGTCGTCAGAAACGGAGGCGGTGCTGTAGGCCCGCAGCTTCAAATTCTCCTCGCCATGGACCACTTCCTCGGCACACTGGAAGATGTATTCGTCATCCAACACACAGGCGAGTCTTCGTTTACAAAGAAATGAACGCGGTATGGTCGCCTGCTTACATGGCACAGACTGCGGAGCATTGCACATGACTGAAGACGGCATCAAGGGGTACCTGAGGGATCGGCACCTGGGCGATGACGAGCAAATTGACAAGCTTCAGTTCGGAGTTGGGAACAAGTACGTGCCAACGCACCTTATTGGTCAGGCCTTAGTTGCTCGTAGGTTTCTAACCAGCATCACAGACTCGAGCAGCGTGTTTGCGATAATGTCAAACTCGTCAAGGATTCGCCTTTCGTGCGTGAGGAGCTCAAGGCTCGCACGAAGGGACTGATTTACGACATCAAGACGGGTGTGCTTACGGAGCTCCAGTAAAGGCAATGCCTTCTACAAGTAAATTCTACTTGAATCAGTGGGCAAGGACAACTTGACACGACAACTTTCTTTCCTATGCGCACACTTGGTTGTATTGTCGATCTCTTATCCCGTGGCCAATTACCATCATCCCTTCTTTATTAGAGGCAGAATACGGACGCGGAGGTTTTGCGAAGAATTAAGCTTAAAATCATTTCGATCTCCATGCCGTAGTCTGATCCAAATCCAGAATAGTGATCTAGGCCCCAATCGAGCGTTCTTGTCATGCATCATTTTCCACCAAAATCATGACTGCAGGAACACCGAGGGTTTTAGGTAAGAGTCGCATCTCAGCGGACAATCCTGGCGTCGACGACAGGATCTTTGCGACCTGATACATACACAGGTCCTGCGGTACCCACGTCTGCGAATCATCTCCGTGCAGATAGAATGCATACCCGATCCTACGCGCAGGGAATAGGCTTACCCTTGTCGCATGCCACGTCTGATGGATTTATGTGAGACACACCGGTCACGTTCTGGATCCCTACATCTTTCTATACCCCAGCACCGTAGGACCGGGTCCGAGCGACTAGAAGGGATTCTCGGCTTTCATGTGGAAGATCAGGGGGCTACGATACATGTGTGAACGAAGCCCCAGATGAAAATGTCACCTTGGTCACGTTGGTCATCTTGAGGGTCGCATAGCGAGATGACCACGTCAGATTCGATCTGGTGATGAAGTCCAGACCTGCTAACGTCCAGTATTGGAAGTGCTCATGGCTTTAGATTATGTGCTGTCGCGAGCTCGGGGGTGGGAGCACGGTGAGCAAGGTCGATGTGCTAGTAACGATCTCATCATGTCATAGAAGCTCGTTGAGCAGAGGACATTTACTACTGCTCATGTTTGTTGAGGATAATAGGGCAAGGATCAAACCTTGAGATGGGAGGCCAAAGCACGTGAGCAATACACTGACGTTTGCTTCAATCTCCGTCCTCACCATGCTTGATCTCCAGCAAGGACACGACCGCACCCGTTTAATTTGTCGCTTCGGACACCTTCCTAGAGAACATGTTGCTCTGTGTGCGTTTTTTCGGCCCAAGATTGAGGTGAAATGAAACGGAGCAGCCGCGAGCATGGGACAGTTCGCTCGCTCGGAGGGCAATATATTCCATGAAATTGGCACATTACCAGCCCTCACATATTATCCTCCTCCGAGCCTCGGCTTTTTTATGAGCACGGGAGCGACGCGGCATGCTGATCAGAGGGTGATGATTGAGGAGGCTCGCGCAAGGTCTAGAACGCACGTAATAACCCATGTTCTGGCTGGACAACGGGAGTGATGGGGTTCGCAGGTAGGGCTGACCATGCACGTCCTCGAGGTGGACCCCAGTGAGGAGCCGAGCGTTGAGTGTGATACATGAGTCGTGAGAAAAGCTACTGGCAGATTGCAGCTGAGCTGGCTGCGTTGGCCCGGGTGCTGAAGTCATCGAGTGCTTGTTTATTGCGGTGGTAGCAGCGAGCTTGGGTAAGGATGGCTGGTCCCTTGCAGGAACAGTTCATCTCATGTTGGGCTCAGGTGGAGGCGATCTCAGGTCGTGGACCCTGTCAGACTGCTTGGATCGGCGCCTGGGCGGGTGGGATACCCCTGAGTTTGCTCATTTGACACCACCACCTGGTGAAACGAGTGCGGAAATGAGCCCCAGATTGTGGTCAAAATAAACTCATGTCGATTCGTCTCACCCACCACTCTTCCGTCGGCTGCAAGCTAGTCGATTCCCTCGCGTAGAGATTATTTTCTCCACCGCAGCTGATGAACAACAAATTCCAACCTCTACCCATGGTTCCACCAGCGGAAGCCCGGCCTTGCCAGGATTTCTCCGTCTTCTATCTTCAGCCATCATCAGCCATCGGCGCCAGCATCGGCGCCCCCCGTTGGCCCCCAGGCACGGTCAGGATCCGTCCTCAGGATCCCCCCCCCCCCGCCGACAGGGACACATCACGCTGTGTCCCGGCGGCGCGGCACACACCTGCCATGTCCCGGGCGGATGCCGATCCGCCAATCCAAGATGACCCAAGATTCGTGGCGTGCGCCAATCGATGAGACTCGGAAGAGCTAGAACCCATGAGAACAGGCGAAGATACTAGGCCTCAATTTGCGTGAAACGAGCAGCCGCCCCAGTCTCGTTAAATGAGTGCGCGGAAAATCCTCCCACCCTTGCTTCGGCACGCTGAGCTGCCCAGGCCTGCCAGGCCCTCGCTCGGCGGGCGAGCACTGCGAAGAAGCAAGAAACCGGCAGATTGATATTTGTTCCTGCACGATGTGATGACGTGCCCCGCCTTGCCCCAGATAATCCAGGTGCCTGGATGCCGGGCGCCATCACCACCCACACGCAGGTACAAATCTACCGCGCAGCCCACGATGCTTCCACTCTTGGAAATCCTTTCTGGCCTCACCCACTGAGCAAGCCTCACAGCGTCTGTCTCTCATTCAGCCCATCGGCATTCCGACGTCACGACACTCTTTTGGAAAAACACCCCACCCGCGGCAGAGCCAGCTTGAACCAAAGTACTCAGACCTCACCGTCGAGCCACCGCATCAACGCTATCACGAGCCTCCCGCAGAATTCACATTCAGCCACAATGCAGTTCTCAACTCGCTCAGCCCTAGCGGCCCTCCTCATGGCCACCGACGCCCTGGCCTGCGGCAAGGGTTACCACCACCGCCCCAGGCCCACGACGCTGCAGACCTCGACCCTGATCGCGACGCCCGTGCCCTCATCCACCCCCATCGCCGAGGCCCCAGCGGTTCCCACCATCCTCCCCACAGTCGTCGAGAGCTCCTCCTCTGCCTCGTCGTCCTCGTCCTCCGTCGTCATCGAGCCGAGCACGACTTCGTCGTCCTCCTCGGCCGCGTCGACGCCCACCACCCCTGCCACGTCCGGCCTCACCGCCGACGAGCAGGCCGCCCTGGACAGCCAGAACAGCGCCCGTGCCGACGTTGGCGCCACCGCCCTCACCTGGGACGCCGGCCTCGCCAGCGACGCCCTCGAGTGGGCCCAGCACCTCGCCTCCTCCGGGTCCTCGGGAACCCTGACCCACTCCACCACCACCTCCGATGGTGAGAACCTGTACTGGCAGAGCAGCTCCGGCTCGCCCTACGCCAACGCGGCCAACGCCTGGGTCGGCGAGAAGGACCTCTACAACGGCGAGGCTATCACCGGCACCGGCAACTTCGAGGAGTACGGCCACTACAGTATGTTTTTCACTAATTCTTTACATCTCCTCTGAATGCTGTATACTGACTACTTCCACAGCTCAAGTCATCTGGGCCTCTACCTCCAAGGTTGGCATGGCTGTTGCATCTGACGGAAGCGGTGGATACTACGTCGTCGCCCGCTACAACCCTGCAGGTAACATGTAAGCGCCTCCCTCCCCCTAATTTCCTCCCGGCAATCAAACCATAAAATGCTGACATAATGAACTAGGATTGGCGAGACTCCCTCTTCTGGTTAAATTTAAACATCTTGCATTTGCCAGCGATTCGCTCGGGCTTTAAGCGACGCGGCATCTGGGAGGCGAAAGCGTTTGACGGTGTAGACCTCCAAGGGTTTCTTGGATCTTGCTTCTGGTCAAGACTAAACAAACCACCAAAAAACCACATCAAAGATGACCTTCATCATTTCTGGGATGGCTGAGGAAAAAGAAAAACTCGCCCATCCATGTGCGCATGGTCCGGTCCTTCACAGGACGGTCCCCGCAATTCCTTGTTTCGTTCACTTTGTACATATTCTGCATACCACGATCATCACGAACGAGATCACGTTGACATCATGAGCTCGGAAATTGTGTGCCTGACACTGAGTGTGATTCTGAATGTGATACTGAGGAAAGGTGACGTCCTATTGTGGATGATAGACGTGTTGTGGTCACTCCCGCATGAATGTAATTCCACCCATGTTGTTGCAGTCTGCAAGGTACGCTGGTAAGGTCCACATCAATTTCGGGATGACATTGAATACATTCATGCACACATGATTTAAGCCGCAACAACCTCCCTCTATCAAGTAAACGTGTTTGAAAGATGGGACGTGCGAGTGAGTGGGTTGAGTCCAGAATGTGGGTAAGTGTTTTGGGAGGGGGGGTGGTTGCCGTGTGGGTTCATCTGCAGGAGTTTTGATGTAACATGATAAGCCTCGACTTGGTTCGGTCGGCGAACAACCACTTCCAGGATGCAAATGCAGCAACGTCCACAACGTGTTTTACGCTCTTGACGCAAATAAGTATGTACAAGATTAATATTTGGTTGAGTGTGACTTCGAGGAATAGGCCTATTGCAGGTCCAAATTGCACTGAGGAGTCCAAGTTTGAATAGCTTCTGCTTGACCATGAACTAAGAGGGCCAGGTTTGGCAAGCACAGAGTCTTTGCAGCCCCCATTACTGGTATTGTGTCGAAAACTGTTAAACTTGCTACATATCTAATTACTATTGATTCATCGGTCCCTAGAGGTTTCATTATTTGGCTACGTGCCCTGTGAACTGTCGTTGCCACCCGGCCGGGGTCCGCGTACGATGGGACAGCCAACAGTCTGGCGGTGCCTCAAGACGCTCTGATCGGCGCCAGTCCGGAACCGAAGGCATGCAGGTCCGACGGGCAAGACAGGCCCCTCTTTGAGTCATGGGCTTCAGGAGACAGCCGTGGCGTTGATGTCCATTGCATCCGGACGCACGTCCAGAGCCCCGAGGACCAATTGCTACACCGACACATACTTGAATGTCATGTTCCGCCCCGACCCGTACGCGAGGCCACTGTGAGGGCATCACCCGACGCCCCATAGTAGGTAGGGTATGCGTCTCTAGTTCCCGGGTGATACACTGGCGTTTGGCCTTCGCCACCGGGGAAGACACATGGACTCGCCTGTCGTGCTTGCCTGAGTAGCACGTATAAAGTAAATCTCCTCACGTTCTCAGCAAGTGAGCTTGTGCGCAGATGGGTGTATCTGTCTCTGAGCTGCTCTCGACGCTCGGACATTGAGCAGTCTCTGCCTTTCAGCTCCGGCACGGAAACGCCTGTGCCTCAAAGTAGTGCCTTTTCTAAATCCGTCCATCATATCGATAGATATGGGAAGAGATCCGAGTCAGTATCTCAGTACCGATTTCTTAAAGGTCCAATGGCTATTGCCACCTGCTATTTAATGGTGATCTGTGTTTCGTTGCAGGCCAAGGCACAATCAAGCGATGGGCAGCTTCACAAAGCCGGATACTTATCCGACATCTGGACACGCGGAAGCACACAAAGCATGTTGCAGCTCGTATACGGGCCCCTGTATCTATCTGGTCCCCTTCAACGCCACTGGCTGGCACGGCTGGATGGACATCTTGATCCGAGGATGTTTGCTGGGAAGTTAAGCTGACTTCCACAGCATTGGTTTCTCCCCCCTGCAGGACCAGATCCTATCAGAGCTCCGCCGACGATCACTGTGGCGACTTGTACAGCTCTACGCAGCATGCGGGCGACTGCGCCATAAACAGACACGACTACCACCCTCCTACAGATCAATAATCCGTCGCCAATGATAGGGGCCGATCGTCGATACCGCCTGTCAACCAGTCTGTCGTAAAACGTGGGACAGCAGCCCACCCAGTACTGATTATTGCACTACGCCCAGGAACTGCAACTGTCCCAGGAGTGGGAGCGACTTCATGGGAGGAATACGGGGAGGCTCAGGCTATGGACGCATCACTGAGAGCTTGTTCTGGCTCACTGCTCGTCGATCTTGGCGCCCGCGCTGGACAGACCCATGCATGCCATGGTTCGGAACAATTGGCCATATGGGTCTATGTTGTTCAACATCTCCACATTGGTCTTAGTGGGAGCTGTAAGCGACGCTTACTCGGCACTTAGCAACATGTCAAATGTCTTTGGCTAGCTCGACTCGGTTTATTCAACCGAAGACAATGTGCAGGCACGGCTTGGCGCAGGGCGAAGGTTGCGTGCGTTGGGATGGACATGTGCATGGGTTGGTTCCTCTGTGATCTTGATGCCCAGTCCTTCCGCGGATTACACCATCGCCTGCAGAAACCTCAACACATGGCTCGAATATGGACATGGCCCATCCCCACCCCGAGCTCCTCTGCAGCTCCCAGCTTTGCAACTTCAATCTTGGTTGCTGCCTGCGCCATCAGCATCGGAGACCGGCACAGGCTACTGACGCCACGTCTTATGATGCCAGCGCGTTGGCAATGAGACGCAGAGTTCGATCAACAGCAAGCATTGCTGACCTTTCAGTCGTCGCAGCTTCAACCAATTGTCTCGACCCGCTGCTCCTCTATTAGGTACTTTTGTGGCCACACCCACCGATAACGCGGCTCGGTTTGTCTCAGCCACATTCGGAGCACCCTCCGACTAAGACCAGAGGTTGCTCGTCCAATCTCAGGCTGCCATTTACGGAGGATGGGGGGGGGGCCCTCTAACCCGCAAGAAGAAGCGAAGGGACGACAGTGGGGGATGATCCAGCCACTTCTTGACGGGATCTGCAAGTGATAAATGATCCAGGCGGTAACTGGAGAAGCAGGTCGAATCAGGCATTGCATACGGTTCCCCTCTGAATGCTTGGTATTTCTCGTGGTTCTCTGCACTCGCATATAAGGCGCATGATGCTCAAAGGTGGGCGACAGTGAATTTGAAAGCTTGGTGTTTGTCTTTTTCAAGAGCACATGTAATTCATCCCACCGATTTCATCCAGTGTTCGGGATCGTTTGCTTCATTTGGACATGATCGACTCGAAATTCAGAGACAACGGTGCGTCCCTCCACGTTCCTTGGGTATTCGTGTTGCCACAATCATGTTTGGCTTGAGTCGCCGATACAGCAACGGTTTGCTGAGTCTGAAAGACATTCAAGGTCGATGATGCGCGTCTGATGCGCTTCCCTTCCCCCGTCCACAGTAGCAGTCTATCCCGTAATTCGGCTCCCGTGCCGTTCATCGGCGACTCTTGCTTTCGTGTCCCAGATGGGCGTTGATAGGGCGACCTGGGAGAAGCAAAACGCAGAGACGCCATTGCACCCAAAGGCAAGCGATGGTTGGAGCGCATATAGACCGCCCTGTACATAGCTGCAAAGGACATTGAACGTCCAGCTCCGCAATATATTGCTCCATCGAGCATGGCTTTCGTTTGTCAAGGACGTTGAGCCTCAACGGTTACGCCCGGCAGGCATTGCGGGCCAGGTCTGGGTGATCTCTGTTGGCACCCGGTCACGCAAAGCCACACGTCCTACCATAACTGCATGAATGGAGGGGCAAAAGGGGCAGATGGAAGGGGGGCCTCTTGGCTATCCAAAGCAGAGACACTTGCATATGTGTGGCGAGTCGACAACCCGATCAGCAGTTACTAGTAGGGCCTAGAACCTCCCGGGTTGACCACTCCCGTGGCCAGTTTTGCTTATGGTTAGGCCGTGTGCAGATCCAACGAGGACAGTCTGCACAGAGGCAGCGCACCCGACCATCAGTTGATCCTGGAGCCCTCAACGGATGGCATTCCATCGATGGCATTCCAGAATCCCATGTAAAAAGATCTAGGTGACATCGACAGGGCATGTGATGAAATCCCGATCTACATAATCATGGTCAGTACTCGTAGAAGCGTGGGCCTACTGCCTGTCATGGTGAGACAGATCGGCTGCAGCAAGGAAGGGGGTGTCTTTAGTTGAGTGCTTATCCAGGCTGACATCGTACTTCACTCGTCCAGCGTATGCAGACCGACGGCAACTTCCATACTCTCGATTCAGAGCAGTCAAGCTCAGATTAACTCACCTTCTGATCTTCATAATGGTAAGAGCCTTTCTGTTCCCTCGTCCTCTCTTTTCGGCCCTCCTATGCCCCATGCACGACTTTCCCAAATTGCCTTTTACGATCTTCTCGCTAAAAAACAGAGCCAAAACTTGTGTACCTTCAATTCCACGATATCTTCGGGCAATCTCTGACTCCTTTGGAGCTGTTTTTCTTTGTTCAGTCTGAATTGAATATCACAGTCACAAGTGCCTTTGGCCTATGTTGATCTTTCTGATTGAACAGGATCTAAACGACTCGCATCGGGCACTCACTGCTCACCCTCGTTGGCACTACATCCAACGCACCGCTCTAGTCCTGCATATTTGCTCAGAGCTAGCCTAGACCTTTGCAGATCCACGTCTTGTCTTGTTGCTATGGCTTCAATGGTCGAACCACCTTGGCGACCGGTCAGTGGGTCCTCATCCCCAAAGAATGTCCACTGTCTCTCCGGAGGAGTAGAAAATGTCGACAACAAGCGGCAAAACATTGGCAACCCTCTGTCCCCTCCTCGGAGTTCGAGTCCTACAGCACCACCAGCGACTGACGTCGACTCGGACTCCTCCGAAGGATCTATACCCAACACTCCACCGCGACCAACGTCGTCAAGTACAACTGGGTCCAGCGTGGGTTTGAACACAACGAAAAGCCGGCCCGGAAGCTTCGCAAATTCTCTTACTTCCACTGTTCTTCCAACAATCGGAGATACTGAGGGGCCGGAGGCACAGGCCAAACAACGTCAGGGCGCTGAACTAAAGCTACAATGCGATTGGAACGGAGCGCCTGGCAGCCTTCACGGCGTGTTTTCCAAACCATCATCTCCCCAACAGTCTGAAAAGAGCAAGGAGCATGGCGCCACTGGCAATGAAAGAACACAAATCAGACTACCGTCTCTCAATATTCCAAACCATAGGATCAATTCGGACACCCAAGCAATGGGTCAACATGCTCACCATCTGGACACAACACCATCACTGAGAACAGCCCCAAACAATAACCCCGATGGCGTACGAAGGGCGTCTTCTGCCTCGGAAAGATCGGGCTGGTCAACCTCTCCGCCTACATCAATGCCGCCCCCGCCATTGCCGTCACAGTCCTGCGCACCACAGCTGGAATCATTCCCTCGGATCGTCGAGAGAGCACCAGGGATGCCTCGAACCAACCCGCTCTCTGTTTCCGAGTTAATTCACCGGGAAGCCACAGGCACAGAAGCCCCACCCACGCCACGCCCCCATGCCCCCACAGCTGCTGGTGACCGTGTCCCCTCACTCGCGAGCGAGTTCATGGACACCCTGAAGCTGCGCGAGAGGGTCTCAGACGCCAACATGCCCACGTTCCTCCGCGAGCTGAACCACCAGCTGTCCCTTACCGGCCTCCTCCGCGAGGCCCGCGAGCACATCTGCGGCACCCTCGACCAGACGGAGCACCAGCGCGACGTCTTCGCCACGCAGACAACGAGCATGCTCAAGATGGACGGCGCCGCCCGCGACATGCGCGAGGTCGTCGCGCGGGCCGTCGTCGGCATGGGCCGGCGCGACCTCGCCGGGTTCGAGTACGAGCTCGTCCACATGCTCGACGGCGGCCTGCACGCGCCCACGAGCCCCTACCGCGAGGCCCTCTGCTGCGCGGCCTACGCGGCGCGGTTCCCCGAGGACCAGCAGGCCGAGCTGAGGAGGCAGCTGAAGAGGATGCCCCCGGCCGCGTTCCAGGGCCGTCAGCCGCACACGGGCACGAAGGGCGGCGGAGCCGGCGCGCAGCCGAGGGCCCACAACCTGCCGCCGCTGAGGGAGTGTGAGAAGCTCGGTGACATCCGGCGAGCCGGGACGACGAACGTCAAAGTCCGGAAAGAGCAGGTCAGGCCTGCAAGTTATAGCTTGAGGGAGTTCCCAATATTCCCAAGTCACTAAGAAGGGCTAAATCGGGAGGCTTGGTTTGACCTGGTTTGAGAGCTGCAACGTTTTCTCGTCCGACTTCACCGGGGTATAGCGACCAGCAGTACTCTCAACCACCTGATAGACATGCTTGGAAGTTAGCCACGCGACATATGTCAGCCATGGTTGAGGGCATGATGGTGACTAGCAAAAGTTTTACGAATGATGAACATTTCTGGGTTAGAGAACATGAGCCGCGGAGCAACAAGAGGCTGCCCTTGGTCTAAAATAGTCACAGGTACTTCCTGTGCTTTGTCGTCTTGGGATTAAATCGGTCGGCAGGACTGCCATAGTCGCCCTAGAAATACGATACGCAGGGCCAATACCTATAATCCGATCAATAGAGAGCTTGATCGTCGAATTGCATATTGAGGTGTGGAAAACAGAGAACGGCTACAACGAGAGCAAACCTGGAAAACAAGGTCTTTCCCAAAGTTCTTGAAATTGCCGCGAACATTCTGGGTGGCCATCCAAGCAACTTCGAACCGCTTACGTGCGTATTACCAATATGCGGGCTGAACAGAAAATTGCTGTGTTCATCGAGAACCAGAGTTCCGTGTATTGCAGCACGTAGAAAACAGAATATCCGTCCGAAAGGCTGAACGTCAACATTCAAGGTCTTGCATCCATAAAAGGGGCGGCTCCGCAACACGATCGACGGATAACCAGATAACGACGCACAAGGTACGAGACTTGGCGCCATCTCTCCACTACATAGTCTATAAGTTGCAAGGACGTTGCTTTCGAAGATCACCTGATTAGGTGAAGGAGATACGAGTACCTCGAGATGTCCCCATTGTAGGCTCACTAGTGAGTCCAATAGTCTAGCTCGGCCGTTTGGAGTGTGGCCGATCCAAACGAGCCTTGCGCCTCCAATGTTTGGTACAACACAGAGCATATGCAGATCGCATACCGCTAGAATCACTATTGATGGGCTGGTGGGCTACATAGTGCCAAGCCTCTGGAGTTGACGTCGTTGACCTCGTCGCTTTTACGAGGTCAAGCAGGGATTCTGGCGAAGAACGCCGCTGAAATGAATCATCTACTAGACTCGAGGCAGTACCAAACTGATATCTTCTGAAGAGCAGCTAATTGCTCTAAAATTCCAAGACAAACTTGAGGATTGGACGAGGGCAAACCAGAAATGGGTTGGGTGTTTTGGGCCTGGGGAGCGGGTGGGTGGGAGGCACTCGGGTCGGGAGAGGACGATGATGACATAAGCCATACAAATGGCAGGCGCCAATTGAAAGGCTCCTTCGGAAAAGATCCTCAGCGGCCTTGTGTGGTGCAGCAGAGGCTGAATGAAGCTGACAATCCCAGATCTTAGCCTGGCCATCCTGCCAGCTGCCAGCGCATCTAGATCCAGGCCAGACAGGCCGACGAGTGGTTGAAAACAGGGTCACAGGTGCAGATGCAGGAACAGGCGGCAGATGCAGGTACAGCAGGCCTGGCCCACAGTTTTCGAGGCCGGATAGCCAAACAATGGCGCGGTGGGCGCGAGTGGGTGCTCAGGCAGCCAGGCACAGGTCGCATGAAGGGCAATCAAATCCGCTATCCCACATGGAATGCCACATCGACAACCCCATCGTCCCCCCACTCATCCGCCGACAGCGACCCTACGGCCTGACAGCTCAGCAGCTCTAGCAGCTGCGCCCCCCTTCTCGAGGTCCACCCTCAAGGCGAGGACGGGCCGACAGAGTGGAAATTCCCCGAGGTCATTTCCTCCCCTCAAGCCCAGCTCCACTAACAGGCTCATCAGCAGGATTGATCACCTTGGAGCCCTCCTTGCCTCCGTCCCACTGGTCCTACCATTCCGCCAAACCGCCAAACCACCAAACCACGAGCAGCCAGGCAGTCCGTGCAGCCTGAAATCATGGCAGCTCTGCAACTTAGGCCCATGCAGCACTTTGCTTAGTGATGAGGACCGGCTTCAGCGCGGATACAAGCGCAGGCTCACGGCTGCCTCTGCCAGAGATTTTCCAAGCCGCGGCACGAGATGACGAAAGGGCCCGGCGTGGAACAGACGCATGCAAATCGATAGCACAGCACGACCCTCGCGAACCCACCGACATTTCTCCCTCACGAGCGCAGGACTGATAACTGTTTAAAAAAAAACAAAAAAACAATGGGACTCACAGTCCCAATAACAACAAGCTTCTGGTTGAGTGGTTCCCAACGGCAGCTGCATTAATGTTATCCCAAAAAGTGGGCTGCGGTGGCCTTCGCCGATGCCGCTAGATTTGGGGACAACATCGGCTGCGTTCCACCTCGGGGGCACCTATTTTTGTCACTGGATTTCGCCGTCTTTGGGTTGGCTGACTTGGCGCGAGCCTGGATGCGACTCATTCGCCACCGCGCTGTTTGGTTCTCGCCAGAATTGTTCAATTAAAGTTACGACACGAGGCCCTGGCCGACGGGGTCTCGGTTGACCCGGCAAAAGAACGGTGCGGCCTGCCAACGTGCAAGGTTCAACGGCCATTCCCTTGCCAGTCGGCTGATGCGTCCAGTTTCTATTGGATGCGAGGCAATGTGAACGGTGTTTGTTGGCAGAGGCTTGCCTGGGGAGAACTGACGAGTCCTGTTTGCAGTCCTCGCTCACAAAATCCAGTGTCTGTTCTCACCAAGCGAGAGCTGTCATCTGATCGCAGGATGTCCATCTAAACTGTGGGATAAGCTTATTCAACACATGCGCGACGATCACTGTGTCGACAGGCGCAGACACAGGGACGTGCACGGGCCCAACAGGACCACGACAGCCTTGAAAAACTTACTCAGCACAGGACTCCCGGTACATTGGTCGAGGCCGCGCTGGCTACGCTGGCTGTTGACCGCCCAGCCCGTCTCAAGGCGTGATTTGCCAGCCATCTGCCATCTTGTGGTTCATCCGCCGCCTGTGTTTACTACATCATTCAACCAGATTGGTCAATATGATGGGCCAGCAGGGGAAATTGCGACGTTAAGCCTGGCAGAACCAGGCGGCGGACGGGGAGGGTCCTACTCTTCCAATTTGCCCCTGAATCTTATTAGTGCAATAGGCCCGGGCTGTGCCTGGGCCGAGTCATTTCTCACCAACGCTATGGATGACCCCTGAACACCCCCGCATAAGCAGATGCAGGTCCCTCCTGCGCTGGCGGGCGCGATACGACGATGGCATCCACCTGGGACGAGGCGCCGGCTGAGGCGCAAGATCCAAATAAAACTCTCGCCCCAACGACGCCGGCCATCTTCCACGTTCCTCCTCTCCTCTTCACCCCCGAAGTAGAAACCGGTCCTGTATAATCGGAATCATTCACCAGTCACTCTTTTAACCCGAATTATTATAATTCAGCCATTCTTTAATCACCTGCTACCTTGCGCACTGCTCAACCCGTCTTCAATATCCAACAAAAATAATTCATAAATCAGCCAAAATGCGTGTCACCATCACCGCCGCTACCCTCCTCGCCTGGGTCTCCGCTGCCCTCGCTCAGACTGCTGGCTTCGATGCCATCACTGTCCCCGCCAAGGACGAGTCCGTCCCGGCTGGCTCTACCTACACCGTCAAGTGGGACTACTCTCCCACCTACGCTGGAACCGTTTCCATCCAGCTGCTCCAGGGCGCTGACCCCACCACCCTCCAGCTTGGACCTGTCGTTGCCAGTATGTCTTCCTCATCCAAAGTAAACAGTACTGCGTGAAACCAGTCACTAACAACATCACTAGGCGGTCTTGACAACGCTGCCGGTTCTTACTCATGGGCCGTCGACTCCTCCCTCGGAGCTGACGCCACCTACGGCCTGAAGATCATCTACGACTCCAACCCCGAGGTGTTCCAGTACTCCTTCCCCTTCCACATCTCCAAGGGCGCCGCCTCCAGCTCCGCTGAGGCCCCGGCGACCACCGCCCCCGCCGCTCAGGTCCCCGCCAACCAGGCCAACGTCGAGTCCACCATCTACTCGACCGAGATGGTCACCATCACCTCGTGCGCCGCCACCGTCACCGACTGCCCGGCCCGCTCCACCGTCGTGAGCTCCACCCTGAAGCCCATCACCACCGGCGGCGCCCCGGCCCCCTCGGGCGCGTCTTCCCCCAGCGGCGTGCCCGTCCCTCCCCAGCCCCAGACCACCCTGACACCCGCCTACCCCGTCGGTAACGGCACGACCCCCGGCGGCGCCATCGGAACCGTCACCCTCAAGACCTCCTCCTCCGTCGCCGCCGGCACTGGCTCCATCCCCGCCCCCACCACCACCGGCTCCGTCCCCGTCACCGTCAACGGTGCCGGCCGCGTTGCCGCTGGCTCCGTTGGCCTGATTGCCGGTGTCATGGCCGCTGTCTTTGCTCTGTAAGATGGGGCACAGTGGATATGGATTTTTCTAGAGAGACATTTGGTTATTGGATGAATGGAGGATACGTGGAACATAATGTTTGGATACCCACCCTAGATGCCCCCGCCAGGCAGCCAGGTCAATTTTGAATGAAGACGATTTTCGGTGTGATTTGATTTTGTACCCGAAATGTGCATGACGATACTGCTTGAAGTGACATGTTTGGCTGCTATTGGAAACCTGCTGCGGTAAGCCAGCTCCTGAGTCTCACTAGAGGCCTAGGGTTTGGTGAGTTACTTGGGTAACCTGTTGTTTCTGGCAAGGCCTCCAAGCGGTGCTGTTTGAAAAAGAAAGAAAAAGAAGGTGCTGATCACGTAGACCTGCCCGGGTGGCTCGCATAGAGGAGGTGAGCAACGACAAGTGGCAGCATTAATTAGATTTCATCTTGTGAGGATACAATCCTCTGAGGCTCAGTATCAAGCCAAATATGTACACTGCAGTAACAAATCTGAGTAGACTGTTCTACAAACATGACGTCCGTGAACGTGCAGCCCCCTTAACTAAAAGAACGGATATTCGCACCGGTCAAAACGGATGGCACACCGGGCACGGACCACCCATAATCACGTGACCTCCCCTAACGTTACCGCACCACGCTTTATAGCTACAACTATTAGCGCCTTGCAAAGCCGTTATTATTATTAATTAATTTAATATTAAAAATAATATTTAATAATTTAAATTTAAAATTATAAATTATAAATATATAAAATATAAATATAAATATAAATATAAATATAAATATAAATATAAATATAATTATAATTATAATTATAACTTTATTTAAATTTTATTTTTTTAATATTATAAAAATATTTTAAGTTTAAAATTACTTTAATTTTAAAATAATAATAATAATAATAATAATAATAATAATAATAATAATAATAATAATAATAATAATAATATTTAAAATAATAATATATTATTTAAAATAATAATAATATTTAAAATAATAATAATATTTAAAATAATAATAATATTTAAAATAATAATAATATTTAAAATAATAATAATATTTAAAATAATAATAATATTTAAAATAATAATAATATTTAAAATAAAATAATAATTTATATAAATTAAATAAGCATTAAAATATTATATAATTAAGTGTAATTAAGCGATTTGCGTCCTTAGAAAGTATAAAAAAAAGCTGCTTATAATGAAGATAATGATAAGTCCATTTTTAAGGGTAACTTAATACTGCACCATACTAATTTGGTGGCAGGGCGTTAATTGTGCGTTAGGGCTGGAATGGGGAGGGGTCCGCGCCCGGTGCGCCATCCGTTTTGACCGGTGCGAATATCCATTCTCTTGACTAAAGGCCTCTGCACCAGGTTCAGACTTTTGAAGCCCCCTTAAACAAAGTTCTTGCGGTCTCCTCAGCCGACGTTTGCATTCGCGAATTAGAAGAATCAGAAGATCAGGTACCCGTCAAACCGTAGCGGTGCCATACATCCACCTCAGCCAGGATCAAGACCACCAAGAGGTTACCTATTGATCATGGCTTCCAAGAGAGACTTGATTGACGAAAAGGCGCAGTCGTTGCACCATTTCCGAGTTCCCAGTGGGAATGGATCAAGTGTCATATCCCGTACTTCGCCGCGTGAGGACGTTGCTTTGCCCATCTCCGGGCTTTGTTCGCCACATTTAGAGCATCTGAAGCCGCTACCGTCTCCAGTTGACCAAACGGAGTCGGCTTTCCAGGCCTCGGAGAGACAGAGGTTTTTCAACCCACCACTCAAAAGTTCGTCGCCAGCCTTGGGGAAGTGGAGTGTAACAAGCGCGTTAGACACGTCCTTTTGGAACTCGGGGACTCGCTTCATGAGATCCCAGATGACATGTTCCGACATGTGCTCGCGCAAGCCACAGGCGAAAGCAGCAAACAACTTGTGAATTTGTCGTGCACCATAACTTTTGTAAATCTCCGCAACCGCTTGACTAAAATCGACGTAGAAATTGGCCAGGGCGTCCTTTTGATCGACGGACTTGTTGTGGAGAGCCTCGCGGGTGACTAGGTAGAACCTGAAATTGTGGAAGAACCATAGCACGGCGGCGAGCCTCGAAATGAGGTACTCCTGGATCGCCTCCTTTAGATCTGGCAGCAAGAAAAAATCGGCGGGGCGCCACAGAGACACGGTCTTCGCCAGAACGGCGATTGAAATACATCCCTTTCTAGGCTCTGCAGCTGGTATGTATCCTGACATCGTGTTAATGGCTTTCTTCAGCATACACATAAAGGAAATTTCACTCACGGCCTATGTAGATGAATTTCAGGAGCTCATTGACCTGCTCTGGCTGTTCGTCTTGTAGGTAAATTCGGCCAGTCTGTGCCTCCTGCTATGAATCAGCCAGGCATCAACCAGATTATGCGGTAGTCTGAAGCCTACCTGCCAGTTGTTCTCAAAAGCCTTCTCAAACCAGCGACATCGACTTTGCAGGATGACTTTGTGCACCTTCCATGTTCTTCCTTGGCAAATGATTTCAACATCGGCAAAATTGCCGGATTCTAACAGGCTGTTGTTCAAATTAGCATCGTAGCTTTGATTAAGATCTATATCATTTGAGTGGAGAGCAAAGGTGCTTACTCAAGATTTTGCTTGGCCAGTCTGTCAAGGTCAGTTGCCATCTTGTCAGGCCGTTGGCAACGCGAGATTTCGACGGCGGAATTGTGCTACCCAAGGTGGAGGCGCAAAACGAATTGGGCGTGCTTTTCATTGCTAGGTGCAGCTGGTTTCCTTTGTCGAGAGTTTTTGGGATGCTGCCGGGTGGGTGAGTGGTTGCACCACACTGTTGCGTATTTGGCAGGCGAGGCACTCGAAAGGGGTGGTGGAGGCGAAAGGAAAGTTCGAGGTTGGCGCAGGGAAGAAAAGCAGCGGGGTTTGCGACCTCATGCGCTTGAAAAGTGTTGCCTCGACACTCCTAGGTGGTGGCTAACCCACTTGCACTCGCTCAAAGACAAAACGCACATGTGTAGTTGACGTTGGTGGGTGTGAGGTACCCTGGCTGTACGAAGAGAGAACCAAGTAAGGAGTGACCCATCCCAATGTTTCTCTTCGACACAAACACCCAGATACCTTCTGACGGCACGCACCCTGGGGAGATTGTATCCTACGCAAGAAATAGCTCATCTCTTGGCCACATTTGCCATGTTCTCTGCAACTCGATTGTCACTCTCCCGGTCTCTGATGGGCGGTCGCAAGTTGACGTCATCGGCCCAGACGTACAAAAACACTGCCCACAAGATCTCAGTCCTGCCGTCGTCACCATTGAGTTCGCAACGGTCCCCAATCAGCTCGAAGCCACGGACAATCATGACTTCCTCGCCGACCGACCCAGGAGTGAGAAGCACCGTGCACGGAGAAGAAACCATAAAGAAGGAAGACATCGCCTGGAGAACCGCGCACCCATACGTGAAGCCCTCAAACGCCGATGACTTCAAGGCAGAATGGGAGGGATCGTGCCACTGCGGAAGCATCAAGTACCTACTGGGTAGGGAGAAGCCACTATCCTCAAAATACTGTCACTGCGTCGACTGCCAGAGGATGCACGCGGTGAGTGAGGCTCCGAGAAGCTGGGGCTCAGGGAACCTCGAGACCGAGGGGACTCTCACATGTCGTCACAGGCTCCGTTCCAGTGGGCAGCAATCTTCCACAAGTCCGACTTCCGCTTTCTCAACGGCGCCCAGGGACTGAACTTCTATTCACCTTCGCTCCGACGGCCTCTCCACGATCTGCCCTGCAAGGTCTACTGCGGGACGTGCCACACACCCATCATGGACGAAGGCAGGCGGATGATTATGCTGTTCCCGGAGCTTCTCAAGGGCATTCACTCTCAAAGGGGAAAGCAGGCGTTCAAAATCGGAGACCACATCTGCTGGGGTGGTCGGGTTGTGGATGAAGGGGTGTTCGATGGCGACGGGGTGAGGAAATGGAAGGGAGTTGACAAGCAGAGTGAGTTGCTTGATGACGGCAAGAATGGGAAGTTATAGAGGAACATACAAACTGTGATCTTTGATGGAAAGGTGGCACATCTCATTACGATATAACCATTATACGTTACAATGCCACCCCCACAGGCAGCGCCACGACCTGTTCGTTCGTCAGGTACCCGCAACTCGCCACCGTTGCAGTCGAGCTCCCACCAGCGGCGGCCTGGTTCTCAGTGAGACACAGCCCCGATGCGCCATTGATCAGGTTGCCCGAGACGAAGTAGTCCCATCTGTTCTCCTTCCCGACGGCACATCCTGACTCCTGAGACGCAAGCTGACCATTCGTGCCGACAGTCAAACATTTCTTGGTGCTGAGCAGGCTGCTGACATGCCCATCCGGCTTGACCCTCCAGACCTGGGCGTCCGTGCCGCTACAATTGGACCACGTGACAGCTCCAGAGCTCGAGTCGGTCAGGCAATGGAGCGAGTAGGTGTTGAAGATGAGCCCGGTTGGGATGGTGCGAATGCCGTTTCCGGCCGAGGGATTCGAAAGACGGAAGACGGCCGTGCCGCGAGATGGCACAGCCGATGCCTTGATGCCGTCTGCCTCGAGGGATACCGAGGTCGTTTGGTTCGTCCAAAGGTCCTTGACGTTGATCGAAGACGGCGTGGGCAGTTCATCAGGGAAGATGCCAATCCGAGCCCACGACACTTCTGTATCCCCGGAGCCGTTGCCGCGATTCAACACCGTGACCAACCGATCCCCGTTGTACAAGCTCTTCGTGAGCACGTCCCAGGTCCTATCCTGGCTGACCAAAGTCGCCTGCTGCACCAGGGGGTCCTGATCCACGGCGATCAGGTCCCTGTTCGTGAGATATTCGACCTCGGCGTGCGTGATGTTCAGCAAGTCCGTGCTGAGTATCAACGGCGCCGAGAGGCTGCACCACAGGGCAAAGTGGCTCTTCTTCTCGGTCAAGGTGTAGTCGAAATGGTCCACGTTGAGGAAGTCTGGGTCGTTGAAGTAGCCGGGCCGCTGAAACCTCGCCAGCCTGACCTCCTGCCCGTAATTGAACAAGACCGAGTCCCAGCCCGTGATATCCGGCCAATAATTCGTACTGTTCCACACCAGCGAGTCCCTCGAGTGCCTTGCGAGCTCGCCGTACTGTGGCACCCACTCCATCACTGCGTACCAGCTGCTGAGGTTGCTGGCCTCGGCGAAGTATGCTGGGGCAGATTCCGAGAAGATCATCTGTTTTGGCCACATCGAGGCCAGGATGTCGTGCCATTTCCCGTACACCCTTCGGTACGTCCCTTCCGTGGTGTCTGGCATGTTGCAACCATCCAGCTTCAGGTACTCGAAGCCCCAGTTCACGAAGTCGTACGCATCGATCTCCTCGTACCCATAGGCCCCAGGGTAGCCAGCACAGGACTTGAGCCCCGCATCGGTGTAGATGCCTGGGATAAACCCCTTGGATTTAATGAAGTCGGTGAGCCACGGCAGGCCGCGGGGAAACTTGGCCTCGTCCCACGCCATTGAGCCGTTCGGTAGGCGCTCCATGAGGGACCAATCGTCGTCGAGGTTCAGGCGGTTGTAGCCGGCCGTCAGCAGGCCTCTGGAGATCATTGCCTCTGCCGTATCGACGAAGAGGGACTCGTTCAGCCCTCCCATATACCTGGCCCAGTTGTTGAACCCCATCGGCGGCAAGGGAGAGAGCAAGCCAGGTGGATTGAAGCCTGCTGCAGCAGGACTTGCGAGTAGGAGCTGGGCCATCGCGAGGAGCATTATGGACTTGCTTGGATCTTCTGGGGCTGGTGCTGTCCGAGTCTATGGCGTGCTGACAGAGTCATGAGCGAGAGACAGTCGACAGGACCAAGAGCTCCCTTGGAAGCACTTGAGTGGGAGGGCAGTAGTGGCCCGGCCTCCATCTCACACAAAGCCACAGATGCAGCGTGTTGAGATTATCCCCGTTCTTCTGGTCTAGCCATATTGTTCATCTCGCGCCAAACTAGCTGCTCACTTTTGGAGCCGTAGTGTGCATATATTGAATGCACACATGCACCCCATCGGAGTTCAGTGGTCTCCAGGCTGCAATGGAGGGTAGAGGGGGTCCGAATTGGCCTGCAGAGCGGGGTCGACATCGTATCCGGCCGCACCGGCCTGACAGTTCCCGGTGTATCGGGCCACCGGCGCGTCTGACGGTTAGCAGCAGCAACGTGCACCGAGGAAAGTTTGTAACGTTTCATGCATTTCGCTGGATACGTGATGCGAGGCTGTCGTGATGACTGACTGCAGTGGTTGTAGTCCAACGTTGCTGGCTGAGCCGCGTCGAGTTCCCAGAGCGAGGGTTCCCATTTCAAAAACCCCGACAACAGGTGCGGGTCAAACCCGGCTTTGTTTCTCAGAAGGGGGGGTTCCCTGTCTCGACTCTATGTCAACCTCACTCCAGCTGACCTCACTCGACGACCAACGCCAAGGCATATTTAAATCCTCAGTCTCACCCACGTCGACTCAAGAGCAGCCTTGGAATCACAACCACAACAAAGACTGGATATTTCTCACAATGGCTGCCGATTCCCTTCTCGAGCGTCTCAACCGCGACGGCTTCGTCGTCATCCCATCCGCCATCACACCCGACCAGCTCACCAAGCTGCGCGAGGCCACCGCCGAAGTGGCATCACTAGCCCGGGAGGGAAAGTGGCCCTCCGTCCGCACACTCCCCAAGCAGTTCCCGCCCTGGCCCAAGAACAGCCCAGAGGTAGCGAAGGGCGGCATATGGGGCGTCCAGGGCATGATGCACCCGGACCTGCCCAACAGCTCCACGTTCGTGCAGGTCTACTTCAGCGACGCCATCGTCAACCCGACCAAGGAGCTGCTCCAGTGCGGCGACGACGAGCTGGTCATGGAGCTGTTCAACCTGCTGGTGCGGCCGGACAGTGACTTCGAGCTGCGGTGGCACCGCGACGACATCCCCGCCACCGCCACGCCCGGGGAGGAGCTGGACAGGCTGAACAAGCCCGCCTTCTCGGCGCAGTGGAACCTCGCGCTGTACGACGACGCCAGCCTGATCGCGGTGCCGGGCAGCCACACGAGGGCGAGGACGGAGTTTGAGAGGAACGCCGACCCGTTCGAGCAGGAGATCCCCGGGCAAATGAGTGTCGAGCTCAAGGCTGGTGATGTGGTGTTTTACAATAACAACATCCTGCATCGAGGGATGTACAGCTCCAAGAAGGAGAGAATGACGCTGCATGGGAGTGCTGGTCACGTCGACGGCTCGGCGTTGAGGGCGAGGAATGTGCTCCAGCATGGGCTGAGGGACTGGATAGATAGGGTGGATTTCAGTGGGCTGGATGGAAAGACGCTCAAGCGTGCTCAGAAGATGAAGGCCAGTCTTGTCAAGCTGGGGAATGAGGCTGGGGATGTTGGGTATTCGCTAGACGGGTGAACAGGTAGCTTCTGGGCAGAAATAGGCACTGACGCAGGCGGTCAGAAGCATCGATGTGGGAAATCTGGCTCTCCTTCACCTCTCTCCCCCTTTTGTGTCAAGGCAGCAGCAGTTTGAGCCCGAGCCACGCAGGCTTTGACAATGAGAAAATCATTTTAGCTGGTAACTCCAAGCAGTGCCTCACTCATGGCATTCCAGCGTACGCCGAACTATCTTTCCAGCTCGCATCTGCAATCAGGGCCTGTTTGCAGCTACACACATGCTGTGAGTCGTTCCCAGTTTACGACCCCGAAGCTGGCTTTGGCCCCACCCAAGACATAGTGTGAATCCCCAGCTAATCGTCAATGTTGTGTCTGCTCAAGACTCCAGAGCTCCTTGGATTGGACTTCCCATTCTCAAATCATTCCCCATGCCCACCCAGGTCTTCTGACACCCTGGTTGCTTCCCGATCGAAATTTGACTAGAAGCCTGGTCGTGGCCCAGTCAGCGATGATGGCTACACCTTCGCAAACGTCAGAGACGCCTGCAGCGTCTACGACGTCTAAGAAGTCGTCGATTACCTCAGATCCAGAGCTCTCAACAGCCGACAAGACCGATGTCAAGATCGTTGGGGCTTGGGTCAACAAAGCTCATCTGGTCTCCGACCTCAGGTAAGTCAACGGCAGTCATCCGCATCAGCCGACCAAATGCTGAATCAAGATCAAAAGTATGCTAGAGAGTGGCTCGTTTTCCGATTTCACTGTGATCTGCGGAAAACAAGAGTGGAAGGCGCATAGACTTGTTCTGAGCCGCTGCTCTTACTTCAAGCCGATTGTTTCTGAGCAAAGCGGCTTCAAGGTGCGTCACTCTGTCGATAGAGATTGTTCGCGCGAAGCACTTGCTAACCGCTCACCGCTTCATTTTAGGAGACAGTCGAGTCCAGCATCACAATCAATGGTTTCGAGCCATTCGAGATCGATTGGCTGCTCCATTACATCTACAGCCTGCGTAAGTTTGTATCCGTGGAGGCCGGCATGGAGGCGGGAAAGCCGAGGCAGCGTGATTCATGGCTATGTATGTACGCTTGCTAGCATTCGCCACTTTCGTTAGAAATCGATTGCGACCAAGCTCAGGCGAGCAGCCCACGCAATTCGTACCTTGAAACCTGCGTCCTTCTCTGGAGTCTCGGAAACCTTTTCTGCCTTGCAGCGATCTGTCAGCAGACCCTGAACCTGTTGACCGCCCGATGTAAGAAGCTATACATCGAATCTCGATCAATCTCTGTCACAATCAATAAAATCAGCTTCTTGCCTGATATCGAAGCCGGCATCCGCGCAGCATGGCGCGCTGACCGGGTCGCGGGGCCGGCGCGCAAACAGCTCTTGACTGTATGCTGCGGTCTTCACCCAGTTCTAGGAGATCAAGAATCATTTATCAGTCTTCTAGAAGAAGTTCCTGAGTTCGCTACCGAATTTTTGAAAGCTCTTCTGGGATATCCTGGGATGCAGGCAGGCAGCTCGGCGCTTCTAAAACCCGTTTGTCACCAATGCAAATCCCCCGTACTCGATCCAAAGCAGGGAGATGGTAAGAAATTCCTCCAGGGCACCTTCATTTCGACACCGTTCTCAGTGAGCATATACAGTGGAGGTTGTGCTTTCTACTGCTCCAAGAAATGCTACAACAAAGGCCGTCTCAGCTCCTGGAAGTACCCAGACAAGCCTGAGGAGGTGCAAGCTGAGGACACAAGTGGCGGTGTGCTTTAATCCTCCAGAGCTTGGTATGTAAAGAGCTTTCAGATTCATGAATCGCGGACGAAAATTCTTGGGCGATGTCTTTGTCCGTTTCCTCAAAGGTCACAGGTAAAGCGAGGTGGGCCACGCTTGTGAGCGTCAGACTGAAGGATCAAGTGGAAGTTGAATCAAAGAGAAGCACAAGACGAAGATCAGTCACATACTCTTAGAGCCACAATGTTGTATAATAAGTTTCTTGAAGACAGCACAGATCGTTGCCTACAATGAACGCTCAGAGTATCAATTTCCCCAGACCCGACTACAGAATCCTCAGGAATTGGCTGACTGCCATGGCGCCGATTTCATCGAGACCCGGGCGTGCTAGCCAGGCGTGGTAACTGTACACGCCTCACACTACGCCGAATCGTTTTCCATCACATCTGAACAGTCTCTTGGTCAGCTTCCTTCGGTGCAGTTGCATTACTTTGAACGTAACACGTCTCGATATGATGCCGTGACAGTCCGCTCCAAGGAAATTGAGGTTCACACTTCAAGCACATATTCCCGTGCGACTACGTATTCCACTTGAGATCGACATTAATGGTCAAGCTTGTAAGATGGCCTGAAGTAGGATACCAGAAACTTCCGAGTAACTGCAAGTTCCAACTTGTATTGGTTGGTCATTCAAGCACGCTTTCATTCTAAGGATCAAAACAAGTAGAGCTTTCTCTATGAAACATGTTGAAGCCAGACACACTGCCCTTTATTGGCTTTCATAGCGACCGACGCTTTTATTGTAAATACAAACATTCGCACCCGCGAAAACGAAAGGTACACCGCTACATCACTTGTACCATAAGTACCTAAGTAGCTACAGTAAATAAAGCGCATTACCCAGGCCAAAAGGCTTTAGCTATACTTTTTTTTTAACTATTTATTAGTTTATTTATTTTTTACTTAACTTTATAATTATTCCTTAATAACCTTAAGCTTAATTCTATAAAAATTACATATAACTTAATAAATATCCTTATTTTTATAATAAATGCCATAAGGGCAATGCATTACATGCACTGCCAACAGGGTGCACGGGCCCCACGGGTCACGTGTTAATTAAATAAGGCGCGCAATGCCCTTTAATAACTCCCTTTAAAAACCCTTTAAATTAAAGTTAATTAAGCCCCGTACTTATTATTTAATTACACCTTAAAGTAATTATTATAATTTTCTCTTTTTAAAGAAATATTATAATATTTCTTTTTACCTTTATTTTTTGCTTTCCTTTTAATTTTTTTAAAAATAATTTTATTATATATATTATTTTTATTTCTTTAAATAATTTTTTATTAATATAAAAAATATTTAAATATTTTAAAATAAAGTATTATTATATTTTAACTTTTATTAAAGTTAATTTTAAGATTTAAAAATTAATTATAATAAAAGTTAAAATAAAAGTTTTTTTAAAGGTTATATATAATCTTATAAAGGGATTAAATGCATATTGCTTAAGAAGTATATATATATAAATTAAAAATGGGACCACTTACCCAGGCCAAATCCATACATGCATACCCAACAAACCCACACACACAACACCCACACACCCAATACCTATACACCCACACACCCATACACCTAACACCCATACACCTAACACCTACACACATAGATGTGTGAGCTAGGTATGGGTGTTGGGTGTGGATGTTTGATGTGTGCATTCTGACATGGTTTAGTGCTAGCGATGTACCGGTGTACCCTCCGTTTTCCCAGGTGCAAATCTCTGATTTCTTTATTGTAGCTGCCTACAAGTCTCATCCAGACTACACTTTTGTTCATCTGTAAACGCGGTGAGTTAGGCCCCAAACACGGGCCACTTTGCCTCCATGTATCCGTGGTAGCAGGCTCACATGGACATGCCAAATAATATATAAGGAAGAGGCTCCGGCTCGTTTGAGATCGAATTGTCCGAACATCCCGTGTCACTGCTCGCCATAGAGCCCGTATCCTACATCTGCCTCCTTTGGAAACGCGTGACTCAAGATGCCGACATCTGACCCATGGGGAAGAGCTTTTTGGCTGATCCCAGACGACATGAGGGAGATTGAGAAACCTGTCCAACAATCAGGGAGCCCCACAATTTCGGCCTCCAAATTTAAGGATGATATCAAGTTTGCACCGGACCTGGCTGACCTCTCCAAATAAACATTTGACTGAAATCTGTGAACAGGATGCTTGAGACCGGATTCTTTGCCGACTGTACTGTGACCTGTAGAGATCAGTCATGGACGACACACAAAGTCATTCTCAGCCGATGCCCCTACTTCGCCCGCGCCTTCTCATCCAGGAACGGCTTCAGGGTACGTACGGGACAGAAGAAGTCAACCGAAGTGTCTCTGAGCTTTCAAGCTAATAGTGGACCATCCATGTCTTGCTAAAGGAAGCAGTTGAGTCAAAGGTCACTATTGAGAACTTCGAACCGTTCGAGGTTTCCTGGTTGCTCCAGTACATATATGGATTGCGTAAGGACATGCTTGACCATCAGTATCGGTCATAGTTCTTTAACTAAACCAAAGGGCTCTAATTTGTGCTAATAAATGGTGCATGCCTAGGAATTGACGTCGAGAGTGCCAAAAAGACCAGCCCGAGCAAATCATTCCTAGAAACCTGCACACTTCTTTGGAGCATTGGCGACTTCTTCCGCCTCACAGATCTGAGCCAGTCTGTTCTCACTCAGCTGCAGCGACGTTGCAGGACCCTACTCCTCCAAACTCGCTGCGCGTCTACAATGCTCAAGAAAATTGAGTTTCCTGACCTGGAGGCGGGCATCCGAGCGGCTTGGCGCCCTGACAGAGTCGCCAGCCCGTTGCAACAGGATATCATGGGCCTCTGTGTCGGCATCCATCCGTTTGTCAAGGACCATAACTCCTTCATTGGCCTCCTTGACGACATGCCCCATTTTACTTCGCAGTATGTGAAGGCGCTCCTGGGCTGTCCCCGAATGCAAAGGGTCGAATCGCACGTGCCGTATGAAACCAACTGCTCGAATTGCCGAAACCCCATTTTCGACCACAACGGGGAGAGCACTAGCAGTGAGGCCTTCGTTTGGACTCCGACATCTTTAAATTTCTGGGACAATTGCCCTTACTGGTTCTGTTCGAGGGCTTGCTATAATGCACAAGTCCTCAAGAGAATTCTGTGAAGATCTGTGGGGCTGACCAGTTGACGGCTCAGAATTGTACCTAGGTGATCATCCTGGAGTCTGTGGGTTTACAAGCCATGCACTTGGGAGGCTAGTGGGAACACTTTGCTGTGGAATCTAAGAAGGGAAAGAGGTAACGAGAAAACTTGGTATTGGATTCCAATAGACTCGCTTGCTTCTCAGATCCGCCAGAAGTTCTTGCTCAATATCACGTTCCCTTTTGCTCCTGACCCGACGAGGAAGCGTCCAAGATCAAGAGGCGCTCAGTCGAGGTCCTTAGCAAGACTAGGGGTAGTTTCTGAAGCCGAACAAAGCATCCTTTTGGTGGCATTTTAATCCATATTCTGGCTGGTCTGAAGCCTCATAATTGAATGCGACTTACATTTCAAGTCCTCCAAAAATGTGCCATTGAGAGTGTCACTACAACAAGACCCCCTAGAGAATCCGAATCAACTGACAATTCCACCACACAACCAGTCGAATATGAACAAGGGCATGGGCTAACGAGATACGTTGACAGTATGCTTCGCAGACTACTGCGCATCCAAATCCAACAAGTCAGACTCAGGTGCACCGCGTCGAACGTAGCACACCTCGATGTCGTCGTCCAAGTTGGCTTGCACGCGATACGTAGTGGTGCCCTGGCCCTCCCTGATCTCATCCTCCATCTCAAGGTAGTGATCAATCACCTCGCCCTCGATCATCCGGTTCACGCCGTTGATGACGCTCCGTGCTCCCAGCTGCTCCACATACTCGTCGTGGGCGATGATCCGGCAGACGGTGTAGTCCTTGGGGACCTGCAGGTCGATGTCGCCGACGAACCGCTGCTTCTCCTCCTCGCGCGAGACCACGACCGGTTTCGCGAGCTCCTTGCCCAACTCAGTCAGGTACTTGTGGGCAACGGCAGCCTGCTCTGTTTGAGAAAAGATCAGGAAGGGAACAAACTCAGTGATCCTTCCTGTCAGCGGCGCGCCGAACTGCGAGATGGATTCTGTGCGAAGGGTCTTGCAGAGACCCTTGACGAGTTTCTCTGAGGTAGCTGGGCCCCCGGATTGAAAGAGAGCTGCTTCGTTGTTCTTGCAGAACTCATGGATGGTGTCGTCAAAGGCGTTGGTGGCTAGGATCCAGATTGCTCTGGAGCAGTCCACTGTCTGCTTGGCCTTCCTGTCTTCGTATTCACCTGGTCATGCCGTTAGTCAGATCAATATCCAAGGCAGCTGGGACTCAACCTCCCGAAGTCTGGGATCTTACCGTTCTGAAATGGGAGCAGCAGCGTCTGGTGAACACCCTTGCTAGTCTTCTCAAACTCGTCCAGAAATACGATGCATCTCTGTCCAGCGTTGCGAGCTAGGAAGCTGTTCAGCGGCGAGCTGTTCTCCCAGCCCTGGTAGGGAGCCCGAGCTCCAAACATCTCCTTCTCATCGCTCTTGTTCGTACAATCCACAATCTCCATCTCGAGGGAGATAAGCTCTCCGAGCCTCCGGGCAAGCTCCGTCTTGCCGTGGCCAGACGGACCAGCGAAGACCATGACGAGGGGTGACTTGGAAGGCTTCGCGAGATGGCGGAGGAGTCGCTTGATGAGGAACTGTCCCGCTGGTGTCTGTCCGATGAGGAAATACGGAACTCCCAGGAGGTTGTCGGCGTCCTTGTACCACGTCACCTGCTTTGCCCGGGGCCCGTGAGTCCTGAGGATGCTGGCCATGTGCATGTAGTACCGCTGCCTGAAGTTGAGACGGGCAGCGATCATAGCCCGCACAGGAGGAGTACACCATGACATGCTGGCCTGCGACAGCTCAGGCATCTCCTGGGTTGGCGGTCCCTCGGCAGCCAGGTCCCGCGTGAGCGGGAAGTAGAAAGCCCCCGGAAGGACTGCTGGGTTGGCACCAACGCTGAGGAGTGTGGCGACTAGATCAGTGGTGTCATTTCTGAACGAGCCGCCCAAGGCCATGGCATAGGCGAGCAAAGGAACACCCTCAGACAGCCCGGAGGAAGCTGTCATGTTGACATCTCCGCCGTACTTGCACCAGAGCCTGATAAGCTCGGGATTGCGCGTCTCTGCCACGTAGAAGACAGCCGGAAAACCCGCAACAGTTGCATTTATATGGGCTTGAACGATGTCAGGGCTGTAGAAAGCCAGGTAGTTGCGGACCCTGTCGCAGCTCTCGCCATGTTGGATGGCACCGACGAGCTCGTCAAGGATGAATTCACCGCTTCCATCCTTGCCTCCGTTTGTGAGGGGCTTGGGAGGTGGGATTCGCGGAAGGATGAAGTCCCACTCCTCAGCGTCGTCTCCGTGGTCCGATGATGACGACTCCGATGGAGGTGTAGGGCTTGCCGTGGTGCTTCCCGACCGAGGCTGCTCGTCCGCTAGTACCACAGGCTTCGAAGGCGGTCCAGGCAAGGCGACGATGATCTTGTGGTACGATTGAATTGCCTTGTCGGGGTCGTTGTCGTTGCTTCGGAGGAGCGCTCGAGCTCGGCCATTGCTCACGCCGAGGGTGTCCGCGACAAGCTGCTCATTGTCTGGAGGATCCATACTGATCCGACACATACTCTTTCGTGTACCTAGATATGGGAAGGGGGCGATGTGGTCGCCGGACTTGCAGTGTTGTCAACAGTCAGAAAGTTTGGAGGGTTGGGCCAGGTCGTCTGGCGTCTCGGCCAAGAATTGACAAGAAAAGAGCAGCCTCAAAACGGTGAGAACATTCGCCCGTTGATCACAGTGAATGGAATGGTTCTCTTATCTGACATCATGGAAGCGCGCAGTGCAACCAGCACTGGCGGTCGGCCTCCTGCATCTACCCCCGCCAGCTCGTTGCAACACACAGGAAGACAAGTAATTCCCTGCCGTTCATTCACCGCAAAATTCACCGATGCTGATCATTGCGAATCTAACATGGGCTCCAAATCCTCATGGGTCTCATAATGCCACTTCACGATGACCTTGCGATTCAATCAGCTTCGTAGGAAGGTGCCACTCAGCCAATTGCCAAATTGCACCGCATGACCACTCAGTTCTGCATACCTCCCCGATACCTGCCCACATTTCTGACAACTCACACCAACTCGCCTCTTGATTCATCAACATGCCGCCGAAAGCTGACGCTTGGCGCGATCGCCCATCCGCTGGCCAGAGTGGCAGCACGTCTGCGGTCTTTGCCTTCACAACAGAGACTCCTCAGCCTCCTCAGCAAACGGGGCCCACACACGGAGCAACTCTTCAAATCGAATCTGACCCCAACTCCGCCGTACCGCAGCCAGGCAACCAATCCCCTACAACAAGTGTACCCACAAAGGATGAGGATGTGAAAGACGCCCCTACCGCGGCAGTAGTAGTCGCAGACCAGATCGACCAGCTGGAGAACGAGGTGGTCCACTTCATGAACCTGTCATTGGAAGAGAAAGAGAAGTCAGACGTTCTGTCTGTGCGCCTTGCGTCTGTGACACAGGAGAAGGAGGATATAGAGCGCCAGGTCGACGAGCTTGATCATGAACTCAGCCAAATTGAATGGCAGAGCCAAGAGGGCCAAGACGATGGAGCGTCTGCCACAGACACAAAAGACACGATCTCAAGAGTGCATGCCAAGATCACCAACCTGAGGACCACGGCTCAGAGACTGGAGAGCGACTTGAACACTCTCGCTATAACCGGCGAGCAACACACCAAGACCATCGCTGAGCTGGAAGAGCAACTCCGCATCGCTAGAGAGCAGCTCACCCAGAAGACGCAAGAGGAAGAGCGCTTGCGCAAGGAACTGGAGCAGGCTACGAAGACCGTCCGACCAGAGAAACAAATCAATGAAGAGCTCCGGGGCAAGATACAGACACTTGAGCATGAGTGCAACACCCTCCGCATCTCGAACGCCTGGACCAACAAGAAATTGACAGAGGCTGAGCAGACTACAGATACTCTCAGTGATCTGGTCAAGCGAAAGGCATCGGAGCTGGAAGGTGTGCGAAAGGCTGGGGCTTCCCAGGGTGGCACTATGCGTCAGGAGCTAGATCTCAAGCAGAAAATGATCGAGAGCCTGACCGCCACACAGAGCGCTCTTGAGGCCAGGTGTAAGGAGGCCGAGTCTGCTCTTCGAGAGCGGCCGAGAGTCAAGCACATACCGGTACAATACCAGCCAAGCGGCGCAGTTGAGGCCGCCCGAACCCAGCGCGAGAAGATTAAGGAAACCAGGGTCAAGCAGCCGAGCCACAAGCACCAAAACATAGAGCCAAGTGGAACAGTCGAAGCCGCCGTCTCCCAGCGCGAGAAGGAGAAGGACGCCTGGATAAATAAGCTCACCCAGGAGCTCCGGGGCAACCAACAACGCCGCGTCCGTGCAGTCGCCATCGGCATCGACCTCAGCGGAAGCGCGGCCGGCAGCCTCACGGAGGGGATCAAGCGCCTCTATCGGCACCTCCTCGGCGAGCTGCGGCGTTCCCCCTGCCAGACCTACGTCATGACGGTCGTCCACGGGCCGGGGGACACCGTGGCCGTCAATTCCAACTTCGGCGACACCTGGTCCACCCACGAGAGGGTGCTGGTGGCTCAGAAGGCCGATGGCATGGAGCAGCACGTCGCGTGCCTCCGGAAGATCAAGGAGGTCGCGGTCAACACGGGACTGGTCCTGGACCTGCAGGTCGTCTTGCTCGGGGACAGCAACACCAGCCCCGCTTCGCATGTCGGCTCGGAGGAGGTTTGTCATGACTTTTCCTGCAGCAACCCGACTGTTCATATCCACTCGGTCGCGGTGAAGACGGGCAGCGCAGAGGAGACGGAGAAGTACTGGAACAACATGGAGGCCTGGCAGCCGTGGAACTACGCGAGTTCCACAGGAGGCAACATGATGGTGTGGTGGCAGAATAGTCCGCTTCCCGACCTGAGCAGCCTTGTGTACTGAGCGAGAGTCTGGATCCTGGTCAGACTGGGCACTTGGAGTTGCCGGAATGAGGACTCACACCTGGGCATCTATGATGCATACCTGGGCATCATAGGACCCTGTCGACACCGGCTCGTGGCCACCGATAAGACGGGGTACAACTATGAGGGGGCTGTCCAAATGTCTTTTGATACTTCAAGCCTGGCTTGCAATTATGCATAACCCAGACACCGCTAGGCAAATGGGGTTTCAGGTAACTACTTACTTTGCTTGGTAAAAAGATCTGTACTGCTTTTTGAGATTCAATAATGCAGCGGTAGACATGAGAGACTGAAGTTTGGACCTCCATGAATGTTCAGCAAGGCGCGTAGCTGACGCGAGCCTTGACAAGGCAAAGCACCAGGGGCGCGACCCCTAATTGAACTTTTTCTCGGTGAGGATTTGTTTTCTGACGAGCCTAACCTGCCTAGTCAAAAGGCCACTAGGCTCGTCTGAACCTTGTACTCCTCGTCCAGAAAGGGACCAAGTGCCGGATAAGCATGGCCGGATACGCTCGTTTCTGCTCAGCTTAATTTAAAAGAACAACCTTAAAAGGGCAGGTCCTGCACAGAGCAGTCAAACACCCCTAATACTCAGAACTCGCCTGCATAAGCTTTCATCTCATACCGACCGCCCGAACTAGTCACATACGAGCAGCTGATGTCACCCCGAGGAGATTTCTGACCCACAGGACTATTGTGACGCTATCGATTCCGACATCGAGACGGGAGAAGATCGTCCAAGGACAAGACGAAAAACAAAATGTAACACCTTGTCTTTGGTGAGACGGACCGCCGTCCTCTTGACACAGACATCCCACGATCTCGGTGTCATTCGATCGCCTATCCACTCTGCCTCGCAGCTCCTTGGTCCAGAGGAGGGGGCCCAAGCCGTGTGGGGCCGCCCCGGCTCGCCACGAGCTGACGGAGCACTCGACACGACGGAGCTCCCTCGATGCCCTCACGCATCCACTGCTCAATGACCAGTGCCAAGACCGCGTGGCATGCATGTGCGTGCCGTCTTATCATTCGACATCACATCCCCCGGCGCCTGGGACGCACCACCCTGCCCGGTTGCTCTGGTGCTATCACTCGCCTCGGGCGGGCACGGTGACATAGTTCGCGCTATGACACTCTGTTCCTTGTATTATACTGATTTTGAGACTTAAGAGGGGGCGTTTTCCAGCGTCGGAACGGGCGGCGATTGAGTCCACGTGCTGTGCCGCCAGGGTCAAGGTTCGAAAGCATCCTTTCTCCTCTTCTTTCCTCTCGTCCGCAAGCCACGGGAGCCACGCACGCCACGATTTCATCGCCAGTTTCTGCATGTTGGTTTGTTTCGTCGTGTGGGGAAGGGTGGGAGGGGAGAAAAAGGTGTGATAACGGCATCCCGAGAGGCGGCGATCTGCAAAGTCGGTCTATAAAACCACCCAATTATGGTCCCTCCCCTGACTGCAACCCTTCCAAACGTAGCTCGCTTCTGCAAGCCACATCCCCACACACATGTCGTTTCCCAGTACGGAAGGGCATTGGCAGTTTGCCAGCTCCCGCCCAATCACCACGGCTGCCGCTTCCGCGGGGGGGGATCACAGAGTTTGGAGCCTCTCCTGTCACCGGTGGCCCAAAACGAGGGCTAGGCTCTGCAGGCTAGGCGGGCCCCACTGCTTTTGGTCTTCCTCCACGCGAGGAGGAGCCGGGTTTAAGCTGTGCCAACGGCCGCGCTACACTATTTTGGGATTTTACGCCGCACGGCATATATGAGGATCGGCTCCACATCCAGCAGTCCTCGCTTCCTTCACACGCCTGACCGTGCGGCCCAGGAGGGCGGCGCAGAGGAAGGAATGACGAACAAGACCTCGTTGGGGGAGAGAAGGAAGGGAAGAGAGGTGCTGTGCCGGGCATGTCATGTGGGCCGACCGGGGGACGAACGACAATGTTGCATCGGTTATCCACCCTCGTCGATTTGCTCCTCTTGGGTCGCCGTTGGGAATCTGGGCCCTGATCTGAGCTGGCCCTAGTGTGCCTTTGCGGATCGATCTGCATAGATTCCCAATTGATCTGTACGATGAATAAAAGCGAGCACGGCCGGCTTTCTCGCCCGTCCGCCTTGTGGAACTTGAGATCTGCTCTGTCTTTTCTCTTTCCCTTCTCTGATCTACACTTACTGCGTTTCATTTTGGAGCGCACCCCATTTTTATCATGGCCTCGTCGGGCCAGTTGTCGCCAGAGATGGCGGCCGAGAACAAAGGCCCTGGGATCCTGGCTGCGTGCTACACTGTCGAGGCCATCGCCAGCTTCTTCGTTGCTGCCCGCCTGTTTGTGCGCGGCCGGATGATGGGCAAGTGGCAGCTCGACGACTGGCTTATAATTGTCTCTATGGTTTGTGGCCCTAAGGTGCCGTCGTGCTAAGCTCGCCCGGATCACATTGACTGATACCTATATCTGATTTAGCTATTCGGCTGGATCGCCGTCGCCTTCACAACTGCTGCCGTCGCCACCGGGAGTGGTAAGCACTTCGAGGTGCTGACGGAGAGCCAACATTCTAAAGCAGTATTTTGGACCGTCATGGGCTTCGGCCCTGGTGTCATGTCGTTCGGCATACCGAAGCTCGCTGTCGTCGCCTTTCTTACACATATAATGAACCCGAGCAGGATCCACCGTATTGTCATGTGGGGGATGGCATCGCTATGCGTTTTTAACTTGTTCCTTTGTGTTGTCTTTCATTTTGCCCAATGCACACCGGCAGCGTCGCAATGGGACTTCTCACTCGAGAGAAAGTGTTGGAGTCCATGGATCTTGATATGGTGGGCCACGTGGTCTGGCTGTGAGTCGCCGTGCCATCCTGGGGCCGTCCTCAACTTCTCGGTTACTTACTCATTGAGACAGATTTCTCTGCTTTCCTCGATTTATACCTGGCCGTGTACCCGTCGATCGTTCTTTACAAGCTCCAGATGAACCGCAAGAAGAAGGTCGCCCTTTGCGGTGCCCTGGGGATCGGTTCAATGTACGTGTCCCGGATCGATGGACTCAGTTGCGTCGATGAAGCTAACTCACTGCCCAGAGCCACCGTCGTCGCGGTATACAAAACAACTAGACTACCCTCATTAGCAAGCGGGGACTTCACCTATTCAACATCCGACCTCGTCGTCTTCACCATCGCCGAGGGCGGCACCATCATAATAGCAGCCTGCATCCCGGTCCTGCAGCCCCTCCTCGAGATGCTCACAGGCAAGCGCGGCTGGATGAGCAGCGACAGGACGTCCGGAGGCCGGCCCTACCACCAGCAGCAGTACGGCGGCCGCGGCGGCCAGAGCTACATGGCGGAGAAGTCGGTGCGGTCCGACTTCGAGCCGCGGCGCAAGCAGCGGCGCCTGGACGACGACGACGACGACGACCTCCTCATGACGAGCTTGGAGATCGAGAGGGCCCAGGGGAAGGACGGGTTCTGGACGGCGGGCCAGCCGCCCGTGCCGCGGAGGGCGGCCCTGCCGAGCACGCCCTCGCGGGCGTCCTCGAGGACGAGCATCCGGGCCCATCCGAAGGCGGCGTGTCCTGCACGTGGAATTTTCAGCCGGCCTCGCAGGAGTGAGGATACGACGGCTATCCCGCCGGTCATCACGAAGACGCACAGTATCAGGGTCGAGTATGAGCCCTACACGGGCAAGTCAGGGTCGTGGCCTCTTCCACAGGATTCGTTTCCGATTGGCGATGATGCAGGCCGTGATGGTTCGAATGCTGGTCTTGTCAATCAGCGCTCATTCTCTTTAAGCAGCGTCCAATCGCAGAGTGCGTTGCGAGGTTCATAGTCCTTGGGGTAGGAATGAACTCATCAGCCCCGAGTAGCTGCAGCGATTAACTGTACAACATATCACCAATCGTCTTGTTGATCGTTGGGGTTGTCATTTCTATTGCCCAGAAATGGGCCCTTTGGATGTGCCCTGATGTCAAGTCGGATTATCACCGGGTATGAACGCCTGTCTGGGCTCTGTGTCACTCCCAGACCTGGGCGTAGTTGGATGGCCATTCACCAATAACCATTAGGTCAAAGCCTTTCATTTAGACATTAGAGTATGTTGGGTGTCCACACCGGACACCATCACGTTTCATACTTCTCATCAGCCGGGTATCAATATGCCAACTCAAGAATCCAAACAACCTGTTCCAAGCCGAAACGCCTGTTGCAACCACCATGCGCTCTCAAACATCTGCATTGCTGCTCAAGCATGGATAGCCTGCTGAACATGCGGGTAGACCTGGACCATCTGGTGATAGAGGTCTCCATGGTCACGTATCATGACCTCGGGGTCCCAGGCCGACGCCACAAATATCGTGTCGATGCCGCTGGACAGCGGGGTGGTAAAGATGTTGCAGATCTGCAGACCGATGAGGAATGCAAAGGCAACGATGACCACCGTATATTGGCCATTTGAGTTGTAGGCCGGGTCTGTGAACTCCAGATACAAGAAAGCGAGCAGGGCGGTGGCGAAACCGATGAATGTGGCACCAAAGGAGAAGACAGGCCCAATAAGGCATTCGTTGACGAGTGCATCAATACCGCGATCCTTGATCATCCTAAAAAACCAAAAGGATTAGTGATCTGGCAACAGTCAGAGTGTCATGAGGGTTAAGACATACTTCCAGGTATCCTTGGCTGACTGGAAGTAAGAACGGCCGTAAAGGGCAATGTGCGAGAAAGCGTATCGGTTGACGAATTCGATGACCCATTGGAGGATGGAGATGAGACAGCTGAGGACACAGAAGAAGATGTAGGCGATCATGTCTCCTGACTGCCCGCTCTGGTCACGCGCTGTCTGGGCCAACATCCTGAGGAAATTAACAATGGCAACAATGAGGCTGCCTAGGCTGATGGATCCAAAGCTGTAGGTCAAAGACCGCCTCAGTGCGCCGCGTGTGACTCCAGTGGGGTACGCGCGCGAGTTAAAGTACCACGATCCGTAGACACCGGAGACAGTGGTGTGGATCGTATTCTTCAGCCACTCAGAGAACCAGTATGAGCAGAATGTGATGAACACTATGAGGCCAGTGACTTTGGCATAACTGCAGCCACCTGCACCAGTGTTACAGGCCGGGTTATCGTTGCTGGGCGAAAATTTGACATAAACGGCCGTGAAAGTAACAGCGAACCAGGCCGCGAAGGCGGCACCGATGAGACCCCCCACAAAACTGACCATGTAGACGTGGCCGTGGTGGTTGGCGACGTTGATGGCGGTACGCAGCATGAGCGCACTGAAGGGTATGCGCGGGATCCACGAGATGAAGGCGAAGATGAGGAAGGCCACAAAGATGAGGAACACGATGCCTCCCGCGTAGTACTTTCGATAAAGCATATAAATGGCCGTTCCCAGGCCCCAGATAATGTTCAAGATGCCGGTCGCCCAGATCAGCTGCTTGGGGAAGGTTCGGGCGAGGAGAACGTAGCCGTAGCTGAAGACGATGGCGATGCAGAGGCAGAAGACGAACAGCAACAAAGTGTTGGTGTTGATGCTGATGTCGCGGCTGTTGCCATTGTAGATTCCGGTGCCGTTGGAGCTTCGAGTGGCAGCTATGGTGGGGGAGAGATCACACGTCAGTCGGTTGTGAGGCTCTGGGGAGACTGTGCAGGACGTGAAGAGATATTACCGTAGCCCTGAATCGCGATGCCAGACACGGCAACGTAGCCAGCCATGGTGAGCACGAAGAGGATGCCGGCCCAGATGTCATTGTACTTGGGCTGCTCGATCTTGAAGGCCTGTTCGAAGGGGATCTTCTCGTTGCCATAGCCGCCGTTGTTGGGCGGAGGAGGTGGCGCCTGCGAGTAGCCATACTGCTGCTCTTGAGGGGGAGGCGGGCCGTATCCCTGGGGAGGGTATTGCTGCTGTTGACCATACTCCTGAGGCGGATATCCCTGGGGAGGGGGATACCCTTGAGGAGGATACCCTTGCTGCTGTTGCATGATGATAATGCTGTTGATCAACTGATGGACCGATGTGGTTGATGAGATGCTGTGGGATTAATTCTCCCAAGCGCGTGCGTCGTGATGATGCCTTGAGGTCGTGAATGGACCGATGGTGTTGTGGAAATGGATGGTTTCCTGGGTGGAATGTGTTTGTTTTGTCTGGCGCGGGCGGCTACGGTGGGGAGATTTGGTGTGACCTCATCTAAAACAGCTGAGAGGGAACTACAGCTCACGAGTGCAAGAGCGAGCGAACAGAGCAGAAGGCCTCAGACTCATGGATAAACGGCAGGTGGGATGTGATGAGAATCGACAGGGATAAGCTGCCGGGAGTCCACTGAACTTTGTTTCTAGCGACTCGCTAAGGCTGAAACGGGTCTGGCGGGGAGTGGCCCTAGCTTCTGATACAACCTTCGACCTCGCCGGCCAACCAACTTGTCTCTGCCAGCTGGACTTTGATTGTTGGCAATGGCAGGATGGCAGACTGGAAGAGAAGTGGGCTGTGGACACCAAGCTGACAGAACGATGGCACTCGGAAGAAGGTGCCGTCTTGGTGACATGTTTTGTGGGCGGCTGAGGCTGGGCATTTCGACGTGCCACGCCTGCCAATGTCCATCGGTGGGCCTCCAGACCTTCCCAAGCAGGGAGGCGAGCTCAGGGGGTGGGCTCCGGAAAGGAGGGGTCGGTGTAGGCACAGAGAAAGCTTGAGTCCCAGGCACAAAAAGCACTAGACTCCCGAAGTCTTATCAGAGTTTGATCATGGCCTGGCTCGTGGTTGCCATTGGGCAATGGCCGCATGGCCTAGGCCTGGTGTTGTCTCTAGTCGGCCTAGATGAAAGATTCCTCCATACCGAATCCATGCAGGCCAAAGCTTTTGGGCTCATGCATTCCATGACCATCCTTGCTAGCAGGACCCTGACAAGCTGAGCCAGTTTGTGCCGCATGGCTCCCTCGTTTATCCTATGTCCAACAACAGAGCCCATGTCGACAAACCCTTCCGCCCATGATTGGCTAGTACCGACTCACTTCCGTCCTGCAATGTGGTCTGGCGGCCTCTTCAGAAGCGGCCACAAGAGGCTTCAGTTTCTGCCCACAGGAGGCCGCAGACTTTTCCACGGCCCAGGAACCACACCTGGGGATTACGGTGCTGATGTCATTGTTTAAGTCCTCAAGTGGTATAAACCGTGCCACTCAAAAATATCGGCTGTATTATAGCGATGCTCAAGACAATTCATATGCCGTGTGTCCAAATTCTACGGCAGACCAACTTCAGATAGAGTCATATGCCATGCTGCCCATCACTGAAATCAATTGCTTCGGCTGAGGACATCACACCCGTTGCGCGACTTCTCGCCGAGTTCATCCGCTTATGGCAAGTTGAAAATTCACTTTTCCAATGCAAGATACCTCCCCAACTTGTGCAATAGCAACGCCGCCTGGCACGTCACTCGTCCTTGGGCGACTACAGTTTACTCTTCTCTTCAGGAGACTTCACCTCGACAAGCAGTTTTCCTACTCGAGTTAGTTTCCAATCAGGACTGCAAAAGGAAGAAGGACGACGCCTTACCTGTGTTTCCACCCTTGAAGAGGTCCACCAACGCTTGCTCAGCCACCTTCAGGCCTCCCTTCACGACAGTCTCTTGTCTCTTGAGCTTGCCCTCGGCGAGCCACTGCGCCAGCTGCTTCCGAGCTGCTGGGTATTCCTTGACAAAGTCGAACACGATGAACCCCTCCATGCGTATTCTTTGTGTAATGACTTTGGATATTTGCTGAGCCGCATGTTAGTGCGAGAACGGGATGTAGGATCAATGCTTTTACATACCCGTGGTCCCTTTGGGTCTTTCGAGTTGTACTGTGAGATGGCACCACACATGACAAACCGCGCATTCTTGTTCGCCCTGCTCAGGGCCATGTCCAGAATGTCTCCACCAACTGCAAGTTCAACCATCAGCCAAGCTCAGCCGAACCGACCAGATCAAGTTGCCAAAACCGCCTGCCAGGCAAAGACTCACCATTGTCGAAGTAGACATCAATATACTTCGGCGTTGCCTCCTTGAACTTCTTCCTGAAGTCAGGGTCCTTATAGTTCAGACACACGTCAAACCCGAGCTCCTTCTCCAGCCACGCGCACTTCTCATCGGATCCCGCCAGGCCAACGACCCTCGCCCCAGCAATCTTAGCCATCTGCGCAGCAACACTGCCCGTCGCCCCCGCCGCGCCGGAGACAACCACCGTCTCCCCAGGCTTAGCCTTCCCGATCGTAGTCATGCCGAAATAAGCCGTAAGGCCCGTCATACCCAGCACGCCCTGGAGGTCCGTGACCTTGCCGTTCGCGGGGAGCGGGATATCTGAGGCCGTCTCGAACTCCTTGGGCCCGGCGATGGCAACCTCGCGCCACCCCGTGGATGCCGTGACGAGGCCGCCCTCGGCCACGCGCGGCGACCGGGACGCGAGCACGCGCGCGACCGACGACCCGCGCATCACCTCGCCGATCTGCACGGGGGGCACGTAGCTGCGCACATCGTCGAGCCAGCCGCGCATCGCCGGGTCGAGCGACAGGTACAGCGTCTCGACGAGGATCTCGCCGTCCTTCAGGTCCTCTGCCCGCGGCGCCGGGCCCTGCTTCTGGTGGAAGGTCTTGCCTGGCACGATGTCGCCCTTGGGGCGCTCGGCCAGGACTACTGAGGTGTTTGTGCGGCTCATGGTGGCGGGAATTGCTGTGAATGAGGAATTGCGACTTGAGCTGGACGGATCGACGGGCTGGCGATAGGTAGGTAGTTGCTGTGTAACTCGACGTTGACCTCGGGACAGCCAAAGGGGCAGAGGGCAAACGTGTGGCAGCCCGCAGCCAAGACTCCGGGAGCCGAGGTACTCGGTGGATCGCCCCTCCGGGATCCGACCTCTAATCGGTGATGATGATTAATCGCGGGGATCATTAACTATCAACTCAATCTTCGGCATCTGCTGTCCTGTCTCGAACTCAAGGCCTTGACGACCTGCCTTGGCTTCATAGAGTCGCTTCCGTCAGCTCTGGGCTTCTCAACTGCGGCCATTTTGATCATAGTGTCTCGAGCGAGCAGTTCCGCCTACCTCAGGGCAAGACTTTCCTGCAGCCGCTCCTTCGATTCTTCGTTAAAATACATGTCTAATATTATACAGAAGCAGCGCCTACCTCGATGGTGAGTATTTCTGTGCACAAGGTTAATCCAGACCATGATAAAAGGGAGCGTCGTAGCATTGATCCCGGGCAGCAACTGATGTTTTGAAAGCAAGCCCGTTACAATAGCCATTGAGGACGGGAAAGGGTTGTCTTTGTCATCGCACAAATCACTAGGGGCAGAACACGGAACACACATGACATTGAATTTATCCTGTTAGGCGTCAGCCCTCATGTGATATCTGATGTCGATGATGGACGGCTGTTATCAGTGAAGCTCGACTAACCTGATGCTGGGTATCCTTGAAAATGTCAATGTGGGTGACATACACAACCCTCCCATCCACGCCATTTCCCTAGAATTTCGTCTTGTCGGCGAGTAGCCTCTTTCCCTCTTTGGTATCTTCAAAACGCTTTCGGAATCGGGCAGCGACTTTTCTTCCGATGGGTGGGATGCTTGTGGTGATCCTCAGTTCCTTGCCCTCACCATCAAGGACGTTAGTCCCATGGATGTTAGACCAGTCGAAATCGTAGTCTGCGACCGCCTCAATGCCCATACTCAGAAGTGATTCGTAGAAGAAGCTGTAGGCGCCGTTCTCGCCCGCCTTCCAGTGCGTATGTGCCAGGCCCTGGACAACATCCACCAGAGACACCTTGTCCTCCTTTGTCTTCGAGGCCTTTTTGATTCGATTCATAAAGGGCAGGCCAGACGGTCTTTTTCGGAGGTCGGCCTGCTTGATTTGGCCGATGATGGTCTCTCGCAGGGTATGCCTAATGGTTTGCGGGAGCTGAGCAATCATGCCCGAGATAGCTAAAACCCTCGCGGGCTCAGAGAGATTGGCGCGCTCCCGGGCGGACGGACAGACCAAGAACTTCGGGAAGGGTCGGTCTCCATCTGGGAAACGGAGTAGAAGCTGGGGGCCGTTTACGCCAGGGTTTTCTCGCGAGGTGTCATCTCGTCTGTTCTCGGTGTTGAAGAGTCCCAGAGAGCTGTTTGTGACTGTGGTGTTCTTCTTGCGACCGGCATCGGCATTGGCCGGCGCGTCGGCTTCTATGTTTCCTCGCGTACCGGCGCTCTGTTGAACGATATCCTTTTATATCATCAAATTAAGCCCCTCGAGCATGAATCCAACCCTCTCTGACCAGGCGTCAGCCTCTAGGTGTTTGGGGTTTCCGACAATTTTAACCATGTAGGGTTTCTCGATAAGCGAATGATGTAGACCGAACTGCGGCAACTTCTTGATGACAATGCACGCCCGCGTCAGGTCGCGCATTGTCCACTTTCCGCCACGGAGCTTGTTGTTGATCCACTTCCAGTGATCCCCGAATCTTGCCTCGCTCAAATCTTCGGCCCGTAAGATGCGCGAAATCTCCTTTCGGTGACGAATCTCGTTCTGGAAATTACTCTTGTACTCTTGGCGAAGACGCTGCGCGTGATCACGGAGAGCACGCGGCATTGGCTGCAAGTGGGGTGGGGTATCGTAGTGAGACATCTTGGTGGTTGAGCGTTGGCGATGGTCGGCGATGGTCGACGATCATGGCAGAGGAGGGATGTGAAGGGTATCTCAACTGTTGCAAAGTGTCAGTGAAAACCCTGTCTTGGTGAGAACGAAGCTGAAGTACCTGTTTACTGAACGAGCCGAAGGGTGGAGTCCTGGTTGACGGGACGTTGGAGGAGCAGAAGAGGCATGCGCATTGGAAAGAGGGACAGCTGAAAGAAGCTACAGGATGCCTACCCAAGGGGGTGGAGAAATCGTGATGTGGTGTGTAAGAAGTTGAAAGTGGCAAAGGAATGGTGGGTTTAAATAGTGGAAAGAAACAGACGCCAAAAAGTAAGGACACGTCCGTTTGCACCTTTTTGCACGTTCGGAATGGCCTATGAAAAGTCAAAACGAGTCTCAGGATGTTGCCAACATGAGATGAAAAGTGTAGTCTCATACCCAATCTCATAGGCAGCTTATCTGGTAAAAATGGCTTCCTATACGAGTTTGAGCCCCTTAATTGGACAATACCATCTGCTGTCATTTGGCGCACCTTTCTATTGTCTCTACCATTCTCGCGTCTGGCAAACATACCCAATGTACGTAGGTGAACACTCGTCAAGAAATGTTCTGGGCAGCCATAGATGATTCCTCAGACTCAGCCAAGTCAACCAGCTCACATCTTCATGTCTTACATTGACCTGCACCCCCTCATCTGCTCACGCAGTGGACCATCACGACGGCCCCCTTTAGCTTCCAGTGATATCCATCAATTGATTTTCTGGTCTGTTAGGTATCAAAATAGGTGCGAGGCGACAAACAATGGCTGCGTGCCGCACCTGGCCATCAGCTCGGAATTGCCTCTTCTGCCTTCTACCTTAGCTACCCAGAAACCCTGGAAACTTTTGATCTCAACTTCGACAACTCTGCCTTTTTCCGCATCAAAGCCCATACCTCCAACCTTCTATTCTGAACATCGACTTTTTTATTGGCGGTCTCTGTATTGAGCGGGTGAGGACCTGGGCAGCTTCACCAGCAATCCTTTTCAGCACTTCGCAACTCAGCTACTGACAGTGTAATCAAGAATTTCGCGCATCATGGCAAACAAGTTTTACCAAGCCCGCTTCAGACATGGCAAGATTCCCCCTACACCCTGTCCGGTCGAGAACGGCGCGTTTTTTTTTGGGGGGGGGGGCCTTTGCTGACCATCACGAACGCGTAGCTGATGGGTACCTGGCGCCCTGTAGCGACGAGGACGTTGCCGGCGATGGCATACTTGACGACATCCGAAACAACAACAAGACCAACTTTGTCAATGCAGTCCACGCTTGCGTTCTCACCCGGCCGGGTATCACATATGCTGACCTCCAAAACTTCCTCGTGGACCATGGCGTCAATTGCACTCAGCCTGTGGTTGATGCAAGCGAAGTAGATATCAATGTACAGCAAACCCTCACGGACCTACAAGGCAGCATCGAAAAGATCTACCCTATTCACTTGGACTTCCTCCCATCCACCACTGACGTGGGCACACGCCGGCGACTCCATGCCATAGTCCCGAGCAAGCATCTAGTGGCAGCAGGCCACGTCATTTCGCGCAACCAACTTCCCGCAGGCACAGGGACTGAATCCCAATCTACTGTCCCAACAGATGACTGCGATGCATTCACTGGCTGGCTCGTTGAGGGTGACCCCGTCACCCCAGGCTCTCCAAACGCTAATGGCCAGCCACCGTTGGCGGTGGCTGCTCCTAAGGAGAACACCATCTCGGTCGGTTCTGGAGCCGACCAAAGCTGTGCCTCGTCAGAGCTTCACGCTCCCTCGCCGACAGCACCGAGCCCGCTTATCCTCCCAGCACAACCCGCGGTGCCGACCCAATCATTGGCTCTGAGAAACAACACCGCTGTCTTCACGATGTCGGCGAGCTTCAACGTCAATGCATACAGCTCAGTTAGCGCCAATGCCCACTCCGAGTCCGTCGTCAAGGACGCAGGTGGTCTGGTAAGTTTACCCTGTACACATGCGATTTAGGTCTTGGAAGTGGTCTGTCCACCTAGCGCACGTCAGGCATAAGCTAATGATAGGGCACCAGGTCCTCCCGGAGATCATCTCGAGCGACAGTGAGCTCTGGGCGCAGGCGAAGCGTGCGGTAAGTCGATCCGATCCCCCCCCCCCCCCCCCTTGGACATATTTCCTCATATTCAGCCATGCCGGCAACGGCCTTTTATCTTTTCTGGGTTGTACACTGAACCGTGTTAAAGATCATTCAAAGACTCCGGTTGACAAACGTCGGCTACGGAGCGTCGGCGGGGATACGATGCATACTCGACCCACCACCACTGATGGGTTGGATGGGAGGCTACACCTTGGGACGCTTCCGCAACTGCTGCAGCCGCATAGTCAAGGCGGCGAACCCAGCTGGCGCACAACATAGGCTCGACGCACACCAGATCATGGCAAAGATGGGGCTAAGGCCGAACGAAGGAGGCTTCGACCCAGCCGCTTCCACGAAGATCGCGAATTCCCTCAACCACATGATCAAGCACATGATGTGGGCATTCGACCTCGTCAAGATGCAGAAGAACAACTACGAACACTTTGTTCCGGCGGACCGATACCGATTCACGAGAATGCTGGGGCTCATGCCAGACGGCAAAATTCCTATCGAATTTGATATCATCTCGACCGATGGCCCGAACAAGGGTCAGAAAATCGGGCTGTGGAAAGGAACCCTGGATCAGCTCTCATGGGACAAAGGCGATCAACGCAAGATCCCGAACAATATACAATGTGAGCTGCTTGTGAAGGAGATCTTCGGCGAGGTGGAGGCCGACGACAGAGCGAACCTTGTGAGACTGGGCAGCGTGGAAGTGAGAGAGTGCTTCGCAGATGAGAACGTCGACCTGAGGGCTTGTTACGAGAAAGTACTAGCATTGAGGGGTTAGGGACCTCGTAGCCGATGAAAACTTGAGACAAGCTGATTGCATTTTCACTTAGCGCAGACTTGCTTACATGGTACTTACGTCAAGAGAGCCTTCTACCTCAGAAGCATAATGTCCCTACTGTGTTATCTCGAGGATCCAAGTACTGTCAATGAAAGAAAGAATTGCCTTACATAACCAAGGGGTCTTGCCAAGTATTTTCCTAAGGCATATTGCTTTGACTGTGTCATGCCGATGGTCCACAAGTATGTAGTTCATGAGCCCCGTTTCCCTTGGTTTCAACGTCGTAAGCACTATGTAGAGTGTGCGAAGATCAAAACCGAGAAAAGTCATTGGCAATGTCATCTTTCTTCGTTTTAGTCAGCCTCGAAGGGACCTGAAAGATGCAAGAGCTCAAATTGGCTTTATCCGTTCAGGTCTGGATTAAAGTATGAATCTACTGCACATGAGAAAAGACTACCTACAAACGGTTGCACCCTACTCTCAAACGATGCTCAAAGTCGGTACCCGGGCCATTGGACCTCAAGTACTAACTGATGCTCCACAACGATACCACGTAGGAGCGAGATCAAACGCGATACTCGCAAGCCTGCAACATTCGTTGCTGAGCAGGGGTCAATTTCAGCTCCGGCAAATCAGAAAAGATGTCCGACACATCATCGACTTCGACATGCATGTTCTCGAAGTCGAACATGCCAGCGTGCTTGTAGTCCATTCCATGTCCTCCACACTCCTTCACCAGGTCGAAGGCTTCGCTCTCAGAGTCCTGTAAATAGACTGCGTCAGCGTATGTTTTTGATGGAGACAGATGTGCTTTGGGTCCAGGCTATGGGATGCATGGGCAAAAGGTCGGCTTTGGCTTCATATCAGCAATGGATTGGTCTGTCTGGCTGTCATGTGGGCCTTCCTTGGCCTCTTTACAGCATACCGCCACGACGTTTTGACCAAAGCTGGCAGCGCGAACGAGGATAACGAGTGGACGTTCGGTCAGGTCCTCTCACTGACCACATGGATACCAATCGGCATTGAACTGTTGGCCGTGTATATATGTAAGTACCCGATTCGACTCCATTGATCGGTTTATCACATAGGTAGATCGACGTGAAACTGACTCCGTCTAGATGACTCGAACAAGTCTTTCCAGATCATTTCCAACCAGTCTCTGGGGATGGAGAGGACTAACACCGAAGGAATTAAGAATGGCATGGCTTACGAGAAGACGTCAGAGGAAGAAGCGATTCCACTAAAAGGAATATAAGGTCAAATGCTGAGAAACGATGACGGCGGGTGGATCGCTAGACGCGAGTGACCTTTCATACGTCGGGGGGTCAAGCGTCTTGACATTGGGACCTCGTACTTGGCCTTGCTCATATGTACAAGGTTGAGACAGCATGAGTCTTTGATAGCGTCGTAGCATAGTAGCATATACGCCATCCCCAAGGGCAACTCATGCAACATTTGGTTGCCCTTTCATTGGATACTTAGATATTCGACGTGTCACATCTTACGCACACGTACAACGAGGTTGAGCATGCCCCTCGACTTGATACATCAGCATCAGGTCAAAGTGCTGACAACAAGCAGTGCTTGGATAAATTTGGATTGGATCTCAAGCGGATAGACCTTGACTAAAAGAGGAAAAGAACCTACGTGGAACCATGCGGCTTTGCATCTGCCGCGAGGGACATTCAGAACACGAAGGTCTTCCGAGATATCCTAGGCTATGAGAAGAAGGAAGAGCGCAACACGGTGGCTTGCCCATCAAGGTCATTGGTCTGAAAATGGTTCATCCCAAGTCTGACTTAGGCTTTTACTCCACTTCTCAACTTGCTCAACGTGATCCAGGAGTGAATCACGACAGGCCGCTCCAGTTAACATTCGAGGACCTGGCTGGCCATTTGGCTGTAGAATAAAGTTTTGAGCTCATGCACTAATCCCCCGGGATAGTTCTTGTCATGACGAGTACACTTTTCAGCCTCTCCGGGCTTCACTGCGACATCCTGCGAGGAATCAGCTCACATCAGGATTCGAGAGCGCTCACGGCATGCGGTCATTCCAAGCCCTCTTAATACTGAAAATAATATACCCGCACCTGTGTAAGTGGAGGTGTGGAAATAAATAGAACTCGGGGTCTAATGGCCCGTATCTAGCCTGCCTTCGAGAAGCAGCTCCCGCCATCCCGGCTTGGCATATTTCCAGATCAGCGAGATGGGGAAACACCATTGAACAATTGATCGCACTGAGGCTGCGGAGAATGCTGGTCTCGACAGGAACACACTCCGAAATTCAGGGATGACCCAAGACAAGGTGGCTGAATCATATCAGGGCAATGAAATGAGATGCTTCACTCCTTTCCCATGGGTAACATCGCGGGCAGGCGCAGCTTTGCATGCTAACGGAAGCCTCTGTGAGATTGATTGTCAGCAGTCTATGACGGCTCCAACGAACTTGCGATCACGGATCGCTGTATGTGTTCAGACACAGTGAGACTGAGTGGAAATGATGCAGGATACGATCAAGAGACACTCCTTGTTGGGACGTGTATTTATGCCGTCGAGTTCCTGCAAACGAGATATAAGAAAGTCGATATGAGCAGGAGAGCTCGCTCCCCCAACGCCACCAGTTGACTCTGTATCACATTTTGTAACTGCCCTTCACAAAGCAAAAATGAGATATCTCTCTGCAGCCACCGTTCTGGCGCTTGCCGCCCAAGCCAGTGCCCAAGATTTGGTCGCAGCCCTGCAGGCGGACCCCGACCTGAGCACCCTCCTGGGCGCCATCTCTGCGGTCCCAGGCCTTGCGGACCAGCTCGACGCCGCCGAAGGCATCACGATATTTGCTCCAGTCAACGCTGCCTTCGAGGCTGTCGACCCGGCCAGTGCTGCCGGGCAGGCAATCGGGAACAACGACGTGGATGGCATCGCCTCGGTGCTGTCATACCATGTGGTCCCGCAGACAATCCCTAGCTCTGCCATCACGGCTACGCCTCAGTTCGTGCCAACTCTCCTCACCCCTGAGAATGTGATTGGCGGTGCTGCAGCGACACTCGTCACCCCTGCTCAGAACCTGGGTGCCCAACTCAACGGGTCGAGTGTCATCCTCCGCTCTGGAAACCTCGCGACATCAACCGTGACCCAAGCTGTAAGTCTATTTTGGAAACTCATAACTCGTAGGTCTTAGCCCGTGGAAATTAACACACGACGTAGGATGTTGTCGTTGGAGGGGCAACAATCCACAAGATTGACTCGGTTCTCACCATCCCAACAAACGCCTCGACCACCGCTACTGCTGCAGGGCTAACCGGCATTGTGGGTGCTCTCACAAGCGCGGGTTTGGTCGAAACCATCGATTCTGAGCCCGATATCACCGTCTTCATCCCTTCCAACGAGGCCTTTGAAGCCATCGCCGATACCGTAGCCGGCCTGACCACGGAGCAGCTCCAGCAAGTGCTCCTCAAGCATATTGTTCAGGGTGCGGTGATATACTCTCCCAGTATTCCTGCTGGCGAGACAGTTGTTGAGAGCGCTCTCGGCGAGCACCTTACTATCACCAACAAGGATGGCGCAATCACTGTCAACGACGCGACGGTGATCTCAGCTGACATCCTCTTGTCGAACGGGGTCGGACACTTGATCGACAGGTAAGAGTTTGAACGCACTTTTGCCTCTACACCTGCTAATAGTTTATTTAGCGTCCTCATTCCAAATGACCTGAGCTCCGGCAGGGGTAAGGAGAATTGCGACTAAGGAGCTGAGATGGGCTTCTGGGCTCTTTCTGCTTGACAAAGCTTGAAGCAAAACAGAAAGCCCTTGGAGCAAGGGCTCGCGACGCAAGTCTTCGTGACGGGAAATTTATTTTTGATCACAAAAGTTCAATTCATCTACCCGAGAATGCCTCTTGGGGACATAGCCCGTATTAAGGACGTGGTCAAATAGTAAAAGACCAATTGGTCGTCTTCACTACCACAGATGCCAAATTTGAGTATTCGGTGCATGAAATGAGTGCAGATGTAACCGACCGATTTGACAGCATCGCGGGGATTGTAAGACAACGGCGCAGTCTGAGACCTCGGAACCTGTTAGCAACCTAGGTGTATGGGCATGAGGTGGATTATCTCGGTCCCGCACCCGGGAATCAGACAGCATTACCGGGCCACGGGTGATCATCCGGGTATTCTTGATTCCCCCTCACGTGTGATTGTACCACATCTGACCCAGAGCTTCGGTTCGCGGGGTACGTGACCTGCTCCGACAGCCAGAGCGGAGGGGCGTCATCAATAACGGGCGTGGCCATATATTCATCGCAAATTATAGTCCGCCGTACGAAGTGTTTCTTGACACAGCTTCTAATTGATCTTGCCTTGTCTCGAGCATTCTGCAAAGCCCTCTAATCGAGATGGCTGTCACTGATGAAGGACCCACCGGCATCAAGGGTGAGTAATCTCGGAAACTCAAATATGTCCACGAACATACTCACATAGTGTAGTGATCGTTATTGGGGCCGGTCTTGGCGGGTGTGCCGCGGCACTCGCCATGAAGCATCACGGGCACGATGTAGTCGTGTATGAGAAGCTCGCAAACTTCCGCCGGTTAGGCGACTCCCTGGGCCTGGGCGAGAACGCACTCAAACTGCTACGACGCTGGGGCGGCGATGCCTTGTATCACTCGCTCACGTCCATTGGAAATCAATCGCCGGATATGCAGATTCGCAGGTGGCACGATGGGAAGATCCTGGCCCAGCAGCCGTTGATGGACATGGCTGGGCACATAGGCCACCGTGGGGATTACCACGAAGCTTTCTTGCGTGGCGTGCGCGATGCCGGCATAGAGATCAAAATGGGATACGAGGTTGTTGGATTTGGTGAGGGCGACGATGAGGATTCCAGACCAAGCGTTGCCTTCCAGGATGGGACAGTGGTCAGAGCTGATGTTGTTGTCGGCGCGGATGGGATCAAGAGCCGCGCACGAGAGCTTGTCCTAGGGTTTACAGACGCCCCGAAAAGCAGCGGGTACTCGTGTTGGAGGGCATATTTCCCTGGTGAGCATCTGAAGGGCGACACATTATGTCAGGACTTCGTTGATCACGATTGCGTGAATATCTGGTGTGTGATCCTTTTCACCTTTTGCATCCACGTTTTCCTATCTACGCTTGTCACCAAATCTGATTTTCGAAGGATCGGACTAGATACGCATCTCGTCCAAAATACCTTGCGTGACGGGGAAGAATTCAATTGGATAATAACACGCAAGCTCTCTCATGAGGCAGACATGGAGATCAAAGAGTCTTGGTTCCAGGAAGGAGACATGGCCGACGTGCGAGAGCATATCCAGGGCTTGGATCCCAGGATCGCCGCGGCAGTCGAGAAAACACCCGCGCTCTTGGACTGGAAGATCTGCTATCGAGATCCATTGCCAACCTGGATTTCCAAACAGCACAATATTGCCCTCCTCGGTGACAGCTGCCATCCACATCTTCCCACCAGTGCGCAGGGTGCGAGTCAAGCAACAGAAGGCGCTGCGGTCCTGGCAGTGTGTTTAAAGCTGGCGGGACGCGATCAGATTCCACTAGCCGTAAGTTTCACCTAATAGCTCAATACTCGCGCCAGTAAGGTGCCATCAAGTTCAACCTCGCACTGACACCATCGGCAACAGACGAGGTCCTACGAGAAAATCAGGTTCGCTCGGACCAGACAGAGTCAGACTGCGGGAGAGGACCTTCGTGATCGATGGCACAACGCTCTTAAAGGGTTAGAAGAGGGAGTAGAGATCGACCCGGAGTCGGTAAAGATGCGCAATAGATGGTTATACGCTTATGATGCTGAGGAAGACACTGTGGCCCGGTGGGAAGAGGTGTCGTCCAGGGTTGCAGAGGAATTGAGGTCGGGCAAGATCGAACCACTTTGCACCGTTCTACCAAAGAGTACGAGTTTGAAAGATACCTAGGTAGCTACCAAGATCTCCGGTATTTGACTGTAGCGGCGCTCGATCACGGCGGCAGGCGCCTACAAACTGCGCTGCGGGGCGGGGCGAGTTCTCTTCACCTGGACATTGAAAAGAAGGACAGGTTCAAAGTAGACTTGCCTATTCCTTGCCCGTGCGTCACACACCACCCAAGGTGCTACTTCCTACTGATATCCTCGGTAATGCTGAGCTCAAGCTCGACTCCATAGCTACAACCGGGCTCGATTGCCGGGGTATTAACATAAAGGAAGCAGCTGTTCCTCCAACGTAATGAGTCCACTGATGCCTTCCATGCTCAACAATTCGCCATTTCTAAGCAGTCACAAACATGGTTTCGAGCTTCCACGTACTCATAATCGCCGGCCTGATGATGGGCCGCGGTGCATTGTGCCTGCCACAGCACGCAGAGGCTTTGGGGACCCGCCCACAGCTGCGACCCAGCCCTACCTGCCAAAAATCACTTGTGAGTTTTTAGCCCAAAGGTTTCAACTGTATTATGCCTGTTTTGACAATCAATCTCAGCGGCGTCGTCCCTTGTCACTCGTATACTAGATCCGAACACCACCACGACCCCTCCAGTCGACAGCACAGATGCCAATACCCAGACGATGACAACCATCACCAGGAGCGACGGCCGTATCCAAACCCTGCCCATCCCGTACCCCATGCCAACCATCATTGACCCTGGCCCTCCAGAAGATAAAGGTCACTAGGGAATGGGCCCCCGATGGCTTGATCTACACCAAATGGTGTATTCTTGATGGCCTCGCCTAGAATCGGGGGGGGGGGGGGTTGCAGTTATTCGTACATGCAAATGTCTTAACAGACTGTCCTGCTGGGTTTGAGCAGTTATCAACGCGATACAGGGGTATTTATTTAATTTATAAAAGTTTAACCCCATTCACTCACTAAGTGACCCATTCCATATAAAGCAATTGTCCATAGGACCGAGCAAGGACTGCACAGATCGACAGCATCTGCTGTTGAGTGATGTGCCCCTGATGATGAATTTATCCCGGAGGGGTTTATCCCAAGGGGGGTTATCGTACAAAATGTACAGCAGAAACATGCCCACTGCAATTTGAGTGGGACGGACGGGATTTTGTACGAGCCATGCTTAGCACGAGTCTGGTTTGATGAACTAAGTAGAGACCCAAGTACCCCGGGAGCCACAAACGCCAGGAGACTGATCTTCCCGACACAACTGCAGTACAGCAATCTGGACAAGAGATAAAATCACCCATGCTGCTGCATTTTGCAGCATCGTTGTCCCGGCCTCCCCACCGGAAAGACGGCATCTCAAGTCCGCTCGTCTACGAGCAAGCCACGCCAGACGGAACGTTTGCGCAACTTGCGTACTTCTTGCCTCCCGTCACCGTGACGCTCTTCCAGGTCCACCCGGTGCAAGCACCTGTCCCACAGACGACCACAACGTCATACCCGCTGCTGGAGACAGCGCCTGACCCGGAGATGGTGTCGAGGGTTAGGCCCGTGATGGGAATGCCCGAGGTAGGAGTGCCGCCGTCGAGGTCTCCTCCGTCGTAGTCCTGCTCGATCAGGATGCCGTACCTGGGAGGTGAAAGAGGTTTTGTCAGGGACAGGGTCCTCCGTCCACGATACTACGGCCCTGTGATAGGGCGACTTACTTCGAGATGCTTGACAAGGTGATCTTCTGGTAGGTAACCCCCTTGATCGTGCCAGTGTCGCCCTCGATTGCCTTGACTCGGATCCCTGATTGGTTGTTAGACTGCACACTTGACATGAATGTGAAAGTCCATTTGTCCACTCACCATTTACTGAGTTCTTGACCTCGTTGTTGTAGAAGGTCACCGTGTCAACCACGTTGTCGGAACGGCCTCCCACCGAGCCAATTGACAGGCCATGACCGCCGGAGCAAACCGAGTTTTCAAAAGTGATTCCCTGGTCATGACATCAGTCCATGGTCAAAGAGAGGCAAACATCAGGCGCTATACTCACGGTTCCGGAATTAACAGCAACACAGTCATCCTGATTATAACAATTCGCACCGGTGATAACAACATTAGACGAACTCCCAATGTCGAAGCAGTCGGTGTTCTTCCCCTTGCTGGTCCCGGCCGAGTTGTCGATGGTCATGCCGGTGATGGTGAGCCCGTCCGCGCCGTTGATGCTGACGGCCTGGATGGGCGTGTTCTGGATGTGCAGGTTGGTGATGGTCGAGGAGGTGAGGCCATGCGCGTAGAAGAACTTGGGCTTCGTCACGCCGCCCGAGCCGCCCTTGCCGTCCCAGTACTTGGACCCGCCGCCATCGAGGACTGCACCGGATGCGCCCTGGATGGTGATGGACTTGCCCTCGATCTGCAGGAGGGGGCCGGCCCACTCTTTGTAGCCCCAGGTTGTCGTGCCCTCGAAAATGACCTGTCATGGTTGGTTTAGATTCTTGTGTGCGCTTTAAGGATGTGGAAAGGAGCCTGCACTCACGGTGGTATCATCCGCGAGGCTGGAGAGGTCTAGAGTGGTACCAGACGGGACGACGAGCGAGGACAGCACGAGAGTGGCGCATGACTTCTGGCTGACACTGGCGAGCGAGGCGCCAGATGAGCCGGAGAAGGTGCAGCTGGTGGCCCTCTTGATCTTGTCGGCGCCGGGGGCAGGGGTGATGGCCGGCCCGGGCTCGGCAACGGGTGAGGCCGACACGCAGGCGGCAAAGGCTGCCACGAGCAGGGAGTAGCAGACGTAGAGCTTCATTGTCGATCTTGACGGCGGCTAGAGACGAATCACGGCAGTGTCTGATGCCAAGGCAGATGCTCAAGAGATGATGTTTGTCTTGGCATCTTGGCAGCCTTATATACACACGAACGCCTCCATCGTGAAGGCGCACCGATCCAAGGAACGCGTCACCGGTGGCCTGTGTAGTCTGCGGAGCATGGCAGCCAACATCCTCCATTTGGTCTTGTCTCCACCACACGAGGGGAAGATCTTCATCCTCCAATAGCAAGACTATCATATAGCCCCCGGGTCGTGTGGTGTCGACGTTGTCTGCGCTTGGAGCCTCGGCTGCCGGACGGGAAATCCCCCCAATCGGGAGGGATGGCCAGGCCAGCACGACCAGCGCCCAATCGCGGCAATCGTTCCGCGGAATGTGAACTTGGCTGACAGCGTCCACATGACTGTTGTTTTCAGCGCGACACGAACATGATTCGTGGCAAATCGTACCTCTAAAGTCCGTCATAACGACTGGTAGACTTGGAGACGTCGCTTTCTATTACGCTGGGGTGCTTGATGGTGGACGACGCCCGTCAACTGGTGTTGGGCAGGTAGCTGCTGCTGTTGAACTCGCAACTGACGGGTGGAATTAATAAAACAGGATGATTAGAGACAGCAATTCTTCACACTATTCTGCTCGCTGGGCAACTGCTCGAAACATTCCCTAGAGCGCTGAACGCTCGTTAGGTCCGCACAATACAATACATTAACTTTTGAATCGGTCAACTCCGCTCTTTGTGTTCCAAAGGATCGAGCCGAAGAGCTGCACTGGAACTGGGTTTCGTCAAAAACAAATTTTTCAACTGTCCAAGCCTTTAGCGATGCTTTGCTCGCATAAGCGGCACCTTCGTAGCATGTGAGCCAAAGTTCATCGCACACATGTCCATTACCAGCCAGACTTAAGCACACTCGAGATAAATCCTGCTCCCCGGAGACTAGAAGACACCAATTTGTGGTTGGCCGAAATTCCTGATACCAACTCTCTCACTTCTTCTTGGGGATGAACATGCCGCCAGTCCAGCCAAATGCCCGATTCAGCCTGCGGCCATATCTTCTGGCGGTGGTGAAAGGCAGTTTGCTTCGTGGATGAGGTTCGTGGAATTGAATGCTTTGACCTAGGCTATTCGTCGCCGGGCAAAAGATCCAGACCGAACCATAAAGCTTCTCAACACTGAAACCCATAGCAGCCATGGCCCGGAGGAAATCGATCCATTGGATCTCTGCCGGCATCGAAGTGGATTCCGCATTGAAGAATAGCGTGCGAAAGACTTTATAGGTGCGCTGGTCCACTTCCACTTGTGTCTGAGAATCTGCGTCGACTGATGATTGGTCTGTGGTATGAACCTCAGGAATGCCAGCCGAGGCGGCTTTCCTGGTCTTCAACTTCGACTTCCGCGGCAGAGAACTGTTCCCATTAGGATGAGACGATCCATGGCTGGGTTGTTCAACATGAATTGCAGAAAATGACATGGCCGCCATGGCGTGGTAATCATCTTGCTGGCGAGGATGGCCAGAACTGGCCGAGCGCATCTGCATTGGCCGTTCGTCAACCCACTCAGATGTTCGCTGGAGTGCTCGGGGTTGTGTAAGCAGTCGATGCAGAGCTGTGGTCTCTATGTTTCCTGCCTTGAGAGACATCTCTTCATCGAATCGAGCCCAAAAGCTATCCAGGTTCGACTCAGCTCGTCGGAGGGTTTCGACTCTCTCTTTCGTGCGGCGCTTCTCAATGGGATAGGTGAACTTGCCCCTCGTTGGCATCCCATGACTCAACACTTCGCGCATGGTTTTGGAGTAGAAAGCTTTGCCAATCTTTTGCCAGGCGCGACTCTGCTCGTCAAAATCCTCATCGATCTGGTTCTTGTGCACGCGCATCTTTTGACTGAAGCCCCTTGCCCATGGCTGATACAGTTCAAGCTGGCGCATGCACTGAGAGATGATCGAAAGCTCACCCACACAACAGGCAATGTATGGAGATAACAACTCTTTCGCACGAGGCTCCGACTCTACAAGTCTCTCAAGCTCGTCCGTCATCAGCGTCCATCGTAGTGCTTCCAGCGGTTTTCCCGACTCCCACAGTGTCTTTAGCAGCAGCATAAGCTGACCGCCAATCTTGTCTATCTTCTTTCCCGGCCGTGGGATGATCCAAAGACCCTTTTCCGAAGAGCTGGGACGCTCGCGTACAACAAATTGCCGCATTGGCGGAGAAGCAAATGACCGTTGCAACTGATAGCAAGCTCCCCACGCCGCCTCGTTCAGATGGAAGTGGAAATTCAGCATCGCACGCTGATATTCCTCGGGCAGATCTTTGTCTGGACAAATACGCGATGCATATTTATCCTGAAGCGACTGCAATTGCCGGGACTCTTGGTGGAGCTGCGAATACATCTCGTAGTGTTTGTAGGCCTCGAATAGGAGTGTCATAACCGCTCTCCCCCAGAATTGCTGCGACTCCTTGTGGTCGTCAAAAGGAGTGTGACCATGGAAATCCTTGATGATTTCTGGATCGTGCTCTTTCATGTCATGAACATGCTCAGAGAAGTAACCAGGGTCCTCGCGCAATGCCCACATGTGGTCCTCGGCGGCTGATGCTCTGGCTGAGAGAAGTGATATGAGTCGATCAAAGTCGAGCTTCGCAGGCACTCGATAGGGTGCCTCGGCGGCAATTATGGCGAGTGAATCGAAACCGTTGACTTCGGTGTCCATCCTGAGACAGGGTTCACTCAAAACTGGAAACCGGTCGCTGAGTATTTCTGTCTCCGTGAGATCATGGAGAATTTGATGACAGCAGTCGACAAGGAAAGCTAACAGCTTCTCTTGTGCTTCGAGGATGAGCAGACCTTCTCCAGGACTGATCTGTTTCTGGTCCCCATCCATCCAATCGGATTGATAGTCACGGGGCACGAGGCTTCCGTACTCATTTTCACCGAGGGCACCATCCATGATCATGATGTATTCACGCAGGAAGTCAGGTTTCAAAGCCTCCAATTTCCTGCCCAGATGCATCGCATCTATATCGCCGGCGGCAAACTGGCCTGGAAGATTTCGGCCCCTGGAGTTGAGAAGCAGTAGCATCAGCTTCGGCTTGCAGAGATCCTCTTGATTGATGTATGGCCATATGTAGTGGTCGCGAAATCTCGTTTGCGTCTTCCGCTCTTCGATCGCTTCTGTTCGAAAGGCGTGGAAGTCGGGGCGATGGACTGCAGCCATGTCGGGCCAGGCGTGAAGCAGGAACTTGAGTCTTTGTGTGCGGGTCTTCTTCATCCAACGCTTTTGGATGGTGGCTTCATGTCGGGCCAGGATTTGATTGAGGGTGTCGTAGTCTTTGAAGATGCTTCGGGTCCTTGTGTTGATTTCCTGACGGACTTCTTGAGGCTCCCGGCGCTTGGTCAAGACCACTTCATGCAATTTCTGCAGGACCACGATCATCCTGAATCGCTCCAAGGCGTTCTTCCAGGAGAAAGCATTGTCCACCTTGTCATCCCAGTAGTTGGCTTCTTCGTTGAAATGATCGTACTCTTGGTATATGTCCTCGACCTCCATCATCGCTGTGGGTCAGGAAGCATGCGTGGTTTTGGGGGACAAATTTGCGGCCGGGTGCGACTCTGCCTGCGGTAGTATCCGTGGTGTGGCAATGGTCGGTGAGACGTACAGCACTTGATTAAATGAGTCGGCGTGTCTTTCCAAGAGGATGAAGCATGATCACTCACGACAGAATAAAAATCAGGTCGCACCTAAGGTTCTGCTACGTAACAGGGTCTCTGTTTTCGTTTGTCCGCGTTGAGTCAGGGCTAGATTTGGGAGACTGCAGTCCACAAGGTAGGTATGCTGCAGAGCTGTCTTTGCAGGAGGGGTTCGGGATGATCGACCTTCTGCCAACCAGATTGTATGGAAGATGGTTTCTTTTGGTAAATTTCAGTGAAGACCACAGTGGTGAGAGATGTGAAGGAAGTCGACTTGCAAGACAGGTTGCGTCCTGGGAACCTTTGAAGTAAGGTGCCAGTGCGTTTGCGTGGCGTTGGTTGTGCGGGAAGGTGCAGGCTCCGTATCAAAACGCGCGCCTGAGTTGAGACTGCAATCAGGTCAAACGGAACAGACTACCGTCTTGTCCGTGCCATTTCATCAAAACGACCACTGTTTAACACACATTGACATTCCAGGTCGTGTGCATTGGAGAAATTCGCTTCTTTTTCGTTCCTGGTATTAATAAACCCAATGGCCAGATAGCAACAGACGCCGTCCCTCCTACGGCATATGTGGAGCCAGGATTTCCAGCGATTGATACCCGATTCTTCTTCCAGAACTGAGCCGCCTCCTCTCCGTTCTTGAACACAAACCGTTCAACAGCCCGTAAACTCGTGCCATGAACCTCCCCAGAATTGCGTCCCCTTGAAAAAAAGAATCTGTGTCCTTAGGCGTTACGTCCTTCCAAACACTGTACTGCTGCATCAAACCCCCTTCCCTAGCGAGCCCTCTGACCAGCTCAAGCCGCCCGTCCACCCAGTCCTGACCAAGCTCGTCGCCCACCTGCGCCCGCCGGTGAGACACATGCACAGCAAACTCACCATCTCCAACAAACCTCTCCGTCACGGCGCCCACCTCGCCCACCTTCCTCGCCAGCACGCCCTTCTGATACAGCCGGCAGAAGACGTGCTTGCCAGCTGTCTCCTGGTACGCGGGGCTCTGGAACCCCTTCCAGACGACGAACGTGCTCGGCCAGTACAGGCACGTCACGAAGTCCCACGCGTCGGTCGAGTTGGCCTCGTCCGGAAGCTTCCGGGCGCCTACCTGCACGTAGTTCAGGGGCAACTTGGTGTGCTTGTGGCCCTCGCGGGCCAAGTCCACATGCACCTTTTGGTACTCGTGAAGGAAGCGGTCCTGCTCCCACGAGGGCTCCTTCTGCACTGCGATGAACCACATCACCTCGTCTTTGGTGTCGTACTGGGGCTGGCTCGGGCCTGATATTGTGAAAACTGGCACTTTGGGTTTTGGAGGGAGCTCTGGAGACCGTTGGTCTATAGACGGGAGAAACAAGTATTTTCTGGACCGCGCAGGCAACGCGACAATTTCGATTGGTAGCCAAGCTCTTGAGGATTATTGGGGAAAGTAGTAATGTATTGGGAAGGGTTGTTTGTCACACATTCTCGGAATCTTCCTCGCGCATATGTGCTGCTTCTGTCCCCGGCAAGTGGGGGGACGCAAGTGTCGTTGGTCGGCACCGGGTCGGGGTCGGAATTACAAGCCAATGCGGGCATTGAGACATGTAAATCCGGGGAAGTGCTTTACACTTCATCCCATCTGTATCAGACGTAGCTTGAAGTCGTCATTGACTGCACGCGAGCGGCCTTTAGGAACCTCCCCCCTTGTGAAGCAAACGTTCAAATCAGATATGTACGCCGTCTGTCTAGTCTAGGTGCTCATGCTACATCCAACAAACCAACCCAATGATACAATAGGCAAAGTTTGACATACAGAAACTCAACTAGCAAACACAACACAGCCCTCACACTGCTGTTTAAATGAAAAGATGGTCGCCGCGGTACTTGACAGTCTGCGCATACTTGTTCGTCTCGACACTGTTCGCCCGTAGGGTATCTGGGTCTCGCTTCGGGAAGCCCTCGAACGAGGCCGCATAGGTAGCCACGCTGTGTGCGACCAGCTTAGTATTGAGCTCCCAGGCGGTCACGTTGACGTTGCCCGTGTCGTCGCAGAGCAGGTGGTAGCACTCGTCGAACGCCTCACCCGCATTGCCGCCAAATAACTCGCGCTCCTCCTCCGTCTTGATTACCTCGGCGCCCGTGGCGATCCCGCCAGCGGGGATTCCGGCACGGATGAACCCGTCGTAGTCGCTGCGGCCGTCGAATGGGATGAAGGTGTAGTTGAGATCGTGGGCCTCGTACCAGTCGACGTAGAGGTCACGGAGCTCTTCTGACCCGGTAGGGTGCGCGTCGTTGGTGGCATTGTAGACTTGATAGGCGAAGTTGGGGCTCGCAAGCATGTCGTAGTCCATGAATAGGCGGACCTTGAGGTTTTCGTCAGAGGACAGGTTGGAAGCGTAGTAGCTGGACCCGACCAGGCCCTCCTCCTCGGCCGACCACCAGGCGAAGCGCACGCAGTTGTTAACACGGAATTTGGTAAGCTGCCTCGCCACTTCTAGGAGAGACAGCGTCCCAGATCCGTCATCGTTAATGCCCGGGCCTGCCTCGACGCTGTCAGAATGTGCGCCGAGAGCGACGCAGTTGTTTGGGTCACCCTCGACGGTCTGAATCACGATGTTCTTCGTGATAGCACTATTGACCCATGAACTGATATAAGCAATCGCATCAACCGTCTCATTGCCCTCCAGCTTCTTGAGGAGAGGCTCGGCATCCGCCAGAGGAATGCCGAAAGTGGCAACGTGGTTGTCATCTGGGGTACCAAGCGTTCCGGAGAGCTCGCCCTTCTCGTTATTGTATATCACAGCGGCGATGGCTCCTGCTTTGCCTGCCTGGGCGGATTTGTCACCAAAGGAGCAAGTCCCACGGCTGATGAAGGCGATGTTCCCTTTGACACTGGATGGGTAATCCTCCGACGAGCATCCAGTATTGTCGACAAGGGCCAGATCACCACGGACGGGCTCCCTGTGCTCCGTTGGGGGAGTTAGACTCATGGGTTGGGCGGCTTCATAGAAATCGTTGCCGATCACGAGACGGAACTCTTGAACCCAGCCAACGTATGCAGGGAAAGGCTGCTCCAAGATCTCGTAATAGTCTCCCAGTTCCGAGATAGATTTTCGGATGTAGTCCAACGTTCCCAGATGCCCTAAAAAGGTGTCAGAAATTGAAATGCCGTTGCAGACGCTGACAGCGCCTCTTCTAAGGGGGCTCAGACGGGTGCGGCATTACCTTCACTGCCGATTACTCGTGTTGGGCGGTTGTACTCATGCGAGCTGAGGTTCGCTATATCATACAAGTCCTGGGCGCCCTTGAGAAGTCTGTCGATGGAAATACTGTCCTGCAGGGCCTCGCTATCAACCAGAGGCTTCTTCGCCTCGGTCAGAGCTGCTTGATGGGCATCGTCAAACAACGGCTGTTGTAGCTGGGCGGAGGACGCAGAGACGGCATGAAGTGAGCTTGTGGCAAGCGAAGCCAGGCCGAAGAGTCGGGACACAGCCATCGTGGTGCCAGCGTCGTGGACCCTCAAGAAGCAGTGATGTGTGTGTTGCTTCTGAGAGACCAGAAATAAAGGCGCGTGCAGCTAGATTGACTTTTGAAGCTGATAAGGCGTGATACTTTGACGTTGCGGCGGTGGATCCCGGCAGGCAAGGGGCGAGAGGCTGGGGAAGCGCAGGGGTCATGCAGGGGCTTGCAGGGGTGGTCGCGGCTCAGATGACCACTGATGATAGTGGGAATCCAGCCAGCAGCAAGTCCCATGGTGCTTGGATGATATCAGCGATATCAAGACATTAGGTTCTCGATCCATAGAGAATATTTCGAGATCTCTTGGGCCCTACAGTTCAACGATCGTACCATACACCGCATGTGCTCCAACCGCCAGAATGTCCAGGACCTCGAACCAAGCTTCTCAGGTCTGTGGGTGCCTCAGTGCCTGCAGTCCAGGGGCAGGCAATGTGCGCTAACCCCTTTCTGTTGGCTGGCTGGCTGTGGGCATTTCCCCAACTGCATCACTCAGCATGTCGACTTGCTTTTCCCTTCGTTTGATTCAGATTTGATCGCCATCTCGTCAAAGTTGTTCGACCTGTCCTTACCTTGATAGCGTTTCTGTTTGCATGGGATCTTCAGCGCAGCTTCGTTCAGATTGACACCGTAGCACCTTACCACGTGCCTCGCTCCATTACGACCCAAGGTCCTTGCGCAATCGAGGCCACCTTTCCACCCTTGTTTCATCACGAAGACAGCTCCGAATCAGGTATATCCTCACGTGCCACCTTCATCCGAGACGGAATTGCTAAGTTCTTGGCAGGCTTTCAGCTGAATTTGAAGCAAGAAGCCAGACAAGGTCTACGACGCGGCTGCAGCGCACTGCAGCATGGCATCTCAGTCGGCTGATGCCACAGACCAACCACGAACCATCACACTGCTCCGTCATGGCCATGCCTGGAACAACATGGTCTCAGGCTTCCCATGCAGAGACCCAATCCTGACGGAACGAGGACGGCGTCAGGCCGCAGCCGTCCAGCTCTCCCAGCCGCCCGACCTCATCGTCGTCTCGCCCCTGACCCGCACCCTCGAGACGGCCATCATCGCCTTCGGGCCCCTAATCCGCGGCGCCGGCGGCCCCAACGCCTCCGTGCCCGTTCAGGTCTGGCCCTCTCTGCGCGAGTGCGGCGACAGGCCCTTCAACCACTGCCGCACCCGCTCGCAGCTCGAGAGGCGGTACCCCTTCCTGGACTTCTCCGAGTGCAGCCGGTCCGGCGTCTACGACAACAGCAGCGAGCGAAGGGGCCACCGCCGGGCCCGGCGCGTGCGCAGGCGCTTGATGGAGCTGTCGCGGACGTACAGCCACATCGTTGTCGTCAGCCACCAGGGCTTCATTCATAGGCTGAACGGGGGCTCGGGGAGGTATCGCAACTGCGAGTGCTGGAGCTATAGGGTTGGCGTCGACTTTAGCATCACGGAGGATGGGGAACTTGCTGCTCCATCGGGATCCAATGGCCCGACGCAGGTGGCGGCCGGTGAGGAGAGCGAGGTCAATGAGGCGGACTGAATGGTGATATAGCCATCAGGTCATCGTTGTACAGCCGTGGGCATGGGAGGAGGGAGTTGTACTTTTTATGCTGATTAGCACATAGTATTTGCAGACAGCTTTTGGGGGAGCGCGCAAGTCTTCTTGCAGGAAAGTCCTCTGGTGTTGCTCGGAATATGATTCGAGAGACCCTCCTCGTTGGGAAAAGTAGAAGGTTCGGGTCATTAGTGACACGCTCATGAGGAAGACAGAAATCCAGGCCACAGTGATTTTCGATGAGAAGACAGGGCGCTTGACGGTAAAGACCATGCTAGATATTGGCACAGCGTTTGACGTATGTCGCATGGAGGGTAGAAAGCAGATCCCATTCTCGAACAGGTACACGTCTCGTCCCTGGCACTTTTTAGACTTGTCTCCCCCCCCCCCCCCCAATAAGACGTTACTTGGATCAGCCCGTGCCAGCTTCCACATCGTATCCTTGAAGCATAAGAGATCCATTGGTCCACTACGCGCAACAGAGGGTCGATCCTACCCACAACGTTCTCGGTCAAACGATCCATAGCAGACGACTGAGTCACGTTGCGTTTACAAAGTCCACAGTTCAGATCTGTGGCAGGTCCATGAATTACCCTATGGGACACGTTGGGTGGCTATGACTTGACTTTGACCACCTCCTTGTCGGCGGATCCTTCGTGCTCCTACTGCTCCTCCTGACTGTTTCCTCCTTGGCCTCCTTCTTCGCGCCAACCCCTAGAATAGAAGCGAAACAGCCTGATCATAGTGACCTTAAGACACTACTTGTCAGAAGTAAACCAGCTTCCCATGTTCCTGTTGGCGACCATGGCTCACATGGGCTGGCACAGACCAAGAGATGTGGCAACCCGCGTTCTGTCAAGGTGTTTGCAGGTCTGCCCGACCTTGCCGTTGGTCAGTTGACATTCGAGGCGTAGGGCTTGTCAGGATGAAAATTGTTGTATCGGGTCCCTTGTCGCTGAACAGCTCTCGAGGAATTTCAAGGAAACTGGTTCTTGTGCCGGGCTACATTGGGATGCCGCCTCGGAGGAGGCCATCTTGGGCGCCGTCTCGGAGTCGATTTTGAGGTGGCCTCGGAAATGGGAGAACAACGAGGAGAGCTCGGTGGGTGGAAAGTCTCGAGGTCTGGGTCCTTGCCGAAGACAGACTCTCAAGCGGGAAACCTGGCGTACGCTGATGGAGATTGACTTCGGGCTGTTTGCTGCCAGATGATCAAAGCCGTGGTCGACTGGAGAGGAATCAGTCTGTGTCACGTAAACGGTGTAGACAGTAACAACCCAGTACCTAGGTAGATCAGACATCAAAGCCAGCATGCTCAGCAGTGACCGCGTCGGCACGATGAACCTTGAATCGGACGCGACGGCATGGTCGAAGAAGGGTTGGGAACTTGAATGATTCAACCAGTACTATATATGATGGCGTCAGCACCTCGATCCAGGACAGATAATGGCAGTTAATTTCAGGTCTCAGGAAAGAAACCCGGTTCAGACTAATCCGGTTAGCAGGGCACCCTTTTCTAAGGGCCAACCTTCAAGAGGGTACGAAGGTGGGCTCTGCTCGACCCCCTGCACCGGATGTGCTGTTGGGGCACTGGAAAGTCCTGAGGAATTCCATAGCTGCACTCACCGAGAGAATGAGGCTACCGAGGATTTCTTTGGCGATGAATTAGACGTCGGACTTGCCGATGACGAGAACGGCTGCTCCTGAGTCGGTCTCAACCTTTGACCGGTGCATCGCGGTACTTGTCGTTTTGGCTTTTGGCCATGGAACCTGTCTTCGTTCGGGACACGGTTCTTGTCGCGGAGGGTGTTGTTTTGTGACGATCCAGTCAAGTCGGCAACCTGTGATATGTTAGTAGATGTCAGTCAACGCGTCCAGGCACATACCTGAACCGATCTCTACCGAAGTAGAGAAAGAAAGAAAGAGCGGACTGTCACAAGGGAAGCCGCGGGTTGCTGGAATAATGCTGGCTGGTATCACACAACAGTCATGACCGGTCACTCTCTCCACTTCTTCCCGCAACACGACTGAAAGTCGACCAGACCACCAGATCACCGAACAACCCAAATCATGTCACCCTAAAAGGGGACATGAAATAATTGCGGACTGTCACGTAGGACAGCCGCGAGCGGGTATCCTCAGTTCACCAGCGGGAATGGAATGGTCTGCAATCAGTCGTGCGCGAAAAGAGTGGATCGAGTGGCGGCGAAGAAGAAAGAAGGAAAGCGACAAAAATCTGGTAGTCGGCCCCCAGGGAAGGTGTAAGCCAGAATTCCATATCGCTTTTATCTCTTATCCACCTCTTATCGCTCAACTGCACCAAGGCACTGGCTGCAGCTTGCAACCTTTTCAAAACATGAGCCATGTTTTTTGCAAGTAGAATTGCGGCCATGTCAAGCCACACAAACCTCGACGTTTCCGAAGAGTAAACTCGGGGCACTTTATTTGGTGTAAACAAGTCTGCAGGTACACGGGCAAGTCAAATTGGGAATTTAGTATGGGTAGCAGTTTCAAGAATTAAATTTGCTACTTGCTCGAAGTTATCATTTGATTGTGCTGATGATGGAGACGTCCACAAGTTGTCACGTTGATGCTCAATTTTTAGCCAACATGTTTGCCATTAGATAATTTGACAGTGTCTTGGAACTGTTGACACAACTGGCATATGGTAGTGCTGTACGGCCTTTTGTTATTAAACATGTGCTGTGTTGTTATGAGCGCGTGCGTCGAGCTGAAAAGGCGTCCGCCCTTGCAGGAGGTGCGAGCGGACACTGAGCGCTGCCAAGACAACAACATGCATTTCGGGATGCGCCGTCGCATACGACCACCACGAATGCGAGCAGCCTAGTGGTCTCCAACGGCGCCTTCTACGTCATGATGTAACCTCTCATCAAAGGAATCACATTTGGGAAAGTCCATGCGTCTGCGGGCCTAGCTGCGGGCATCCCAATCTTGCATCATCCTTCACAAACCCAAGCTTCACGTTGCCACCGTTAGCACCTCAGCCGACCCAGCTCGGGCGGCCACGTTTTTCAGCTTCCGACAGCCAGAGAAAGTGCGAAAGCCGGAAACTTTTCACCATGAAGCTCCTGAGCCATATTTTGGTGGCGTCGATTGTCGCGTAAGTTTTGACCGCCAGATGTCGCCAAACAGGCGCGACCAGCAAAACATCACTGACACTCAAAGCAGCATCCCGGCTCACGGCCAGACTGCGTCGTCAACCTCATCCCGAGAGCCGACGACCACCGTCTCCGCTTCCGGGCTCACGGCCACCCTCACGTCGTCGGCCTCCCTCTCCTCGTCAACCTCCCAGGAAGGCTGCCCCACGGTCACCCTCACGAGCAATGTTTGCCACTCGTGCGCGACGCCGGACTGCGTCGAGCTGGAGCCCCTGACCAATTCCTGCGACTGCCCGTCGGCCATCCCCACCGTCTTCGTCGACTACCCCTGCGAGTCCGGCTGCCGCGGCATCGGGTGCGCTGCCAACTACGTCTTCTTCACGGCCAACTGCACGAGCGAGACATCGAGCTCGTCGTCCGGCTCGTCCGGCGCGGCCTCCGCCAACTCGACCGCGTCGGCGACCGGCACCGGGCTCGGGGGGCTGAACTCTACTGCAAGTGGGATTACCTCGGCCGGCACATCAACGAGGAGCGAGTCTGCCACCGGTACAGGCACAGCGGCGGAGAGCTCGTCCAGTATTGCGGCGGCTGGGAGGATGAGGCCGTTCTGGATGGGTCTTCTGTAGGCCCAACGCGTCTGCGGCGGACCATGTGAGAATACATGCACTGCGGTAATTTTTAATGGGTCACAATCTGGATATCGGTAGGGTCTGAAGTTTCAGCTTTATCCGACCATGACTCGTGGAAAGAAGGATGAGTAACAAGGTGGAGGACTGTGGACAAGGCTCACATTCTTGAGAATACGCTCCGAGCTTCGATTCAAACTGTGCAACAGACTATCTATTTACTGTAATTCTACCTTTTTTCACTTCGGCTCAGGCCTCTGAGTGATACCTCAGTTGGTTCCCCGGTAGACACGATGCCCGGTCAATGTGACGATCCAGCAATTTGGGGTGCAAAATATCGAGATGGTACCACGCGGGATTCTATGGGCACTCCAGTGATTGATTCAGGAAGAAGCCAGCGGTCTGGAAGTTTGAGTGAGGCCCAGTGACCGGATACCGTACCGAGCCATCATGCCGGTCTGCGCCTGGAAGAGGTCAGCTCAAATGTTCTTACTGTAATACACGAAGAATTTGCTTAGCTGCTGCCAGTGGGATATGGTGAACCTAGTTCTCAGGACAACTTCGCAATGCCGTTGAGGCTGTCCAGTGAAACAGGATAAGGAGACAAGTGTTGCAACGACCCCTGTCTGTCCAGTGTCACCTAACACGTTCGCCAGCTCATATCGCATACTGGCTAGACTCTTGCCCTGATTTGAGAAAGGGACAATAGAGAACATGGCAATTCGCAAGATCCGCATATCTTCTTCAACCTTTCCATCCAATGAATTCAGACCGTGTCAGTAATGCAATGCGACGTCGATTCTTAAATATATGTGTGTAACCTGCGTATTTTGGCTATGCTTTGCGGCCGTTTCCCTTGTGTGTTCTCTTGCAGACCTTTTACTCGTTCAATGCTGAAACTTGATCCTTTCACTGAGTATAGCCGTCTCAAATTAATTTGGTGAGAGACACATGTTGGTTGGTTCTCATTGTCCTTGCTGAACTAACCTTCTGCCCGTTCAAATGATGGGGCCAACTGGAATGCAAGAACGCGCCCCAGCCTAATACCATGACAGTGTATGTGCGTTCCTAGTCGTCCCACGTTCTGTGACATTCCAGCACGTATCTGTAAGCTGCTCATTCTCGCATACTTCACGAAAGTCGGCCGTAAATAGAGAACAGGAAAGCATCCAAGCATTACTCTTCTTCAACTCCTTGCCCATCGTTCTTGAATTCAATCATTAATACTCGTCATTGAATATGCGATCCGTGAGACTCTTTGCAATTTTAGCCATTTGGCTGGGCTATTCTATCGCGGCTCCGCTTACAAGCAGCATCGGGGAAGATGACGACGATATTGTTCTCAATATTTTCGGAAATCACCGAATTGTCATCAACGAGGTCGTTGCAACTGTGACGGTGACTGCGTTTCCTGGGAGTGCTACTTCCGGTCCCTACCGCCTCGAGGCTGGACCCGGAGCTACACCACCTGGGTCTTTCCAGCCCAATTCAGCAGTCGGCTCAGGGGCCGGCCCTCCGGGTGATCCCGTCTTGGGCAATACTGATCCTGCAGCTCCTCCTCTCACAAACAAGCCATCACCACCAGCTTCTCAACCTACCGTCCTGGTCCCGGCCTGCGACCCTACTCTGGACCGTTCTTCTTTCGACCATCTTTTATTAAGCCCCAGACAGGATTTCTACTATGTTCAACGGGGTATTGGGTCTGGTAGTGGATCTGTTGCCGTTGTGAAAGTCCCACAACTGATCTATCCTGCCGTCCAGCTGCAGGTCTCCTCGGCCATCCGGCGCGTCACTTGCACCACGGACTCGGCTCAGATTCAGTTTGCCAACCAAGCTGCTTATGATACCGCAATATCTAACTGGAGCAAAGCCGGTACATTCATACTTGTGGCGTACGGTGAAGGTTGCGGGTCTGGCCACGCTGCCGGAGAACAGGATTACCTGGTCGTCACCAGTGTAACCGGAGACGGTTCCAGTATCATCACAGCCGTAATCCGTGTCACTGATTTCGAGGGTGCTGTTGGGCGAGAGACTGTTGTCACCATCGACATCGGCACTTTCAACCCTACAAACGGTACTGGTGGTTTCACTGTCATTCCTGGAGCTGGCGACAATCCGGTCAATTTTACCGTGGGCGGTAATTCGGGCGGAAACGGAGGCGCAAGCGGACCTTCTCCGCCCTCTCCGCCCTCTGCCGACAATCCGGTCAATTTTCCCGTGGCCGGTAGTTCGGGCGGCAACGGAGGCGCTGGCGGACCTTTTCTACCCTCTGGCATGGACAATTTTGACCGGCAGCTTGATAACTTAATCGGATTCGTAAGCATTGATAATCCCAAGTTCGATGCTCAATTCTTCCCAACTCCTGCGAACCCCATTATTCGTCACAGGAGCGCCGCGGATCGTGACTCCAAACTCAACATCGAGAAACGTGGCTTCAGTTCCTTCATATCAACAATAGGCGATAAACTCAAATCAGTAAGTGCTAGTGAACTTGATTGTAGGCAAGATACTGACAACTATCGTCACAGGGGGCACGAGAAGCGGAAAGAAAGGCCACAGAGAATTTGAGTTCAGCTCTTAATTTCTTTAGGGACGCGAGAGACAGTCTTGAAGGAGCAGCTTTGAAAGCCCTGGGTGCCTTGTCTCGCTTCACAAGCATTTCCAAAACGTTGAGCGGAAAATACGGTCTTGACTACTACCCATCGAACACTGATACCAAATGGGGCAGGGCTTACAAGCTGTACGAGGCCAATTCTGTCAGTGCTTACTGTGTTGGGTGCGGTGCGAATGGCCAGGTCATTCTCTCGGGCTCCGTATCTTTCTCAATCGCCAACGGTTTTACTTCCGGCACCATTTCAGCAAACGGCAACCTTCAAGGTGTCGCTCAACTAGGTGTAACCGCGGACGTTGTTAAGCAATTCGATCTCACGGAGCAAGTGATCGCACAAGCAGCATTGAGCGACCTTGTTCTCGGTGGGGTCCTAACAATCGGCCCAGCAGTCAAGCTATCCGCGGGTGCCAATCTCGGCTTCGAGGCCAGTGGTAGTCTTCTTGCAGGAGTCACACTCGACTGGCCTGCCGTCAGCGCGACCGTCGATATTATCAAGCCTGATAACACAAAGATCGACGGATTCAGGCCAGACGTTACCCCTGCCTTCCAAGCCGAGGGGTCTGTCACCGCAAGTGTTACGCCCTATGTGAAAGTGGCACTAGAGTTTACCATCGGTCTCCTCCGGGGCCGGTTCAGCAAATCCGTGGCTCTAGTCGACCAGCCCAGCATCAGGGCGACGGCGAACGTCGCAGGCCAGGCTGGGTCGAGCGATGGTCAAGTTACGGGCTCCTTCACCAACGGGTGCAAAGGCGTTCTCTTGGGTGGCACCTTCAGAAATCAAGTTTATGTCGATATTCTTGGCTTCACGAGGAAATCACTCCTCGATTACACGACCGATCCCGTCTCGCGGTGCTTAGGGTTAGTCTGGACAGCCCTCCCGACTTGAGTCGTACTGACGCTCCATAGAGCCCCTGTTCCTCGAGCTCTTCATGCACGCCAACTACCTGCAAATGGCACCGATGCGCTCACGATTTCTATCATGCAGTCTACAGATGGTAATTTCAACCTGCATGCGGCAGATAACGGAAACATCTACTCGATCTCGTCCGATGATTATACGGACCCTGCCGGCGATGACTCCACGGTCGCAAGCTCTCAGTTCCAAGCTCTCGGCACGACCATCGTTGCGGACTCTAAGGATCGCGTCTTGCATGGCTACGCGGATACCCTTGCCAAGTTTGGCGTGAGCCGCCTTCGATTCTCGCCACCCAGTGCTATTCCTCAAACTGCAAGACTCATGTAAGGCAAACACCAAGCGCTGTGATAAATATGTCGTGCATCATAGAAACTAACGCTACATGTTCCTCAGGGCGATCGATCCTTCTGCGAACCCCGAGGGCGGTGACAGTCTGGGAATCCAAGTAGCTCGTGACACCGCTACGAACGTTTTCCATCTTGTCACCTGTGTCTACGACATGCTCTATCCCAAGGTCTTCCTTGTTGCTGCGGACAGCGTGTATGCGGGTTTGGAAAAGCTTGAAAGCAACGACGCGGACATGACGAAATCAGTAACGGGGGGCCGTGTCCGCCAATGTGGTCTTCTGGCGTATGCAAACGGCTACAGCAAGTCCTAGGCCCGGATGTCCAAATGTTTGATACTAACGCAGTGCACTCATCTAAAGGAAGGCTTTCCTCTTGATGTACTCAGGTGCTTTTTCAGCACACTGATGATGATTGTACTTGTAATGTTTCACTTCGATACTATTTAATACGGCTAAAGAAAATGGAAGGGCTGATTGTGGGAGAATGAGCTGATACAGCGCTGTTCAATCTACTCTTGCAGCGTTGTGCCCAAACCCCAATGCGCCATCTCCTGTCCCACGTTCCTTGACGGTTTGGGTGTCTGTGCGACAGAGGCTTTGTACAATGAGGTACCGGTATACAACTCGCCAGAGGAGTCGCGTGTTTCCAAGTATGTAAATACGGAAGCCTTCTTTCTAATACTAGGTATTTGTGTTCAGTTGAAAACTGAAGGGCATAATTACCCTTATTTGCATATTATCGATCTTCTAGCCCGCCTCCTTAATAAGATCAGTCGGCTATAATAAACGACTCTGTCTCGGACTTCCACTCTAAGCCTGTGATGAAAATCAGAACGGGTCATGGGACATTTCACAATACGAAGCTTTCAACAAGGTCTGTTGGCCCAATGGCAAGGCGTCTGACTACGACTCATGATCAATCGTGAGACACCCGAAATCAGGAGATTGCAGGTTCGACCCCTGCACAGATCAATAACTTACTTTTAGCCGGCGTTGCAAGGTCTTCGCGTTCCATTTTGCCACCACGATCTTCCTACTATTCTGTTCATTCAATTTCAAAGTTTCCTTCTGTGTAGACTGAATACATCCGTTTAGATCTTCTACTAAGCTAGAATAATCCGGAGTGTACCGGGACAGTGCAGCGCAACCATAAGCTTGTACACCGGGCCACAGGTTTCCCCACTAGCGGCCCACATTCCTTCTTCCTGAAAGCGATGCAGCTCAGTGTGTCAATTCTGCGTTCAGCCAGGGGCCCTTCGTCTGTGACAACTTACTTATAATTACAGGTCAACACACTTTGCTATAAATAGCTCAAGATTCACAGCTTTGCACATACATATTCGGGATTTAGCAGTGCAGTGAGGGTCTTCCTGTCAACGGATGGACTAGCTCCCAATGAGTGCAGAGCTCTTCACCACTTGCGTGTGTTATACTTCAATATTACACAAGTTCTCCGAAGCGGTACAGTGGAGATGCGCCTCTATCATATCCGACCAACTCTACGTAAGTACAGGCTCAAAGAGACCTATGATGCATATACTTTCCGTGTCTCAAAGGTTTGACTTGCCGAATAGCAGAAGTACGCAGCAGAAGGCTTGAAACAAAGCCAGCACGCTCTGCACTAAGACATGAAGCACGGTACCTTAGTACATAACGTAAAACATCAGCAAAGTATGTAGCGTACTGACTAGGTACACACTTTGTGGAACTCCTCATACTAAAGCTGGAACAGTACTCAAGAAGAGAAAAGACACGAGAATAAACTGCTGCGTCAGCTCTATATAATTCCTGACAATTCAAATTGTTCTTGCTCTGGATACACACACGCACTGTCTTGTGTTTGCATAGAAGTCTCCAGCAAGCGGAGTCATCAGATCCTTACAACCAAGACGCCGCAATGTACCTACAGTACCTTCTTCACACGACGTTATTCGTCGTTGCGCAAGGCATGATTCCACCGTCCAAGCTGAACGTCACTGCTATTGGAGCACATAACAATAATTCGAGATTCGAGTGTTGGCAGCTCGAAGACTCTGGGTTCACTCCTGCAGTTGTCAAAGGAACAACCGGAACTGCCATTGCATCTTTAGGCGAAGTAGACCGACTCTCAGTGTCAATTGGGCCTGCTGGATTACACGGCGGCCTCCATGTGGCACCACAGCCTCAGTAAGTAACTTTTGATGGACCCAATAGGAGAACCTCTCATTGTCGCCACTGGTACCAATTCCTAACATTGAATAGGTGGGTTGTGATTACCTCCGGAGTCGCACTCCTTACCGTCCCCGAAAAGGATCAGTATCCTGAGCATTTGTTTTCGGCTGGATCGGAATTCGGTCTGCTGTTTGCGGCTGACACAGCAAATGTCAGCCGACTTGGCCATGGTTCATGGTATATTACGGATGTGACATTTCTCCAGGTCCCGACAAAGAATGGAGAAATCCCAATGCATAAGACTTTGCACATGGGATCTTGCTATGCGAATGAGACAGTTGGACTGTCTACCGAACCAATCGATAGTATGGGTCTTCCTTAAGGGATGAATTCTGGACTCATCAAACCGATCCCATGAGGATTCTAAACGTCGACCACATGCTAGGTTTCATGAGAGAAGTGTCCATCTGGTCGAATAATAAGTGCGAGAGGTACCTCAGATACCAGACACTGCTTGCCTTTTATCACCTGGCTTTTTCTAGGTCAGATTTCAACGTACATCTTAATGACACACATCTAGGACACTCAATTTCTGCATGCAACGTGCATTTGGGGCTCGGTTGACAATTATATTTTCATAGGTCCCCAATGGTGAATATCTACAGCACTCATATACTGTCCAGGCAGCCAGTCCGAAAATACAGATCATCCGAGTCTGATTCGATTCCAGTGGTTGAAAAACGCTTGAGCAACAAGGGTTGTACAGTTTGCCTCCCAAAGGACTTTCCCGGGATACATGTACTCAGAGAAGCGAAATCATCGTGGGGCCGGACTGAAGCGCTTGATGCAGTCTGTCCGTCCCCCCCCCCCCCCCCCCCGAGCAAGACACCAAGTGAACTATCCACAGGAGTTGGTGTCGTTTGACGGATACGTTGTCATGACGAACGATGTAGCCTCGTCGCAGTACTGTGTGCAGCCGTTCAGACCGTAGTTGTCGTTGTCGAGCTTCAGGATCCGGCTGATTCCAGTACTGCTTGCTTGGGAGGTACAGTAGGCTGTGATATCAGCCTCACTGGTTGCGGCGGCGCATCCACCCTCAGATCCATCGGCCACACTTTCACCATCTTGTCGCTTCTCGCTGCCGCCGCCGGCCGCCAGGCTTGAAGGGTACTCGATGTCAAAGGCCGGCTTGCCGTTATCGGCATAATCTTGACAAGTCAGAATTAATGATGAGAACAGAAGGTGAGAGAAAGACACTTACACTTTTGGAAGACGGTGCAGAACTCGTCAGGCGCTCCCCTGTTGGAGCCGACGTTCACCGATCCGACGCAATTCTCGGAAATAGCGAAGTCCATGAATGTGTGCACGCTTTCCGTAATGCTCCACGCATTCTTCTGTCCGATCATAAGGGAGTGACCAAGTGTTGTTGTCTTGGAGTGTGCGTATTCCGCGAGAGTCGAGAGGAAGTTGATCATGTCTTCTTGTGTGATCTGCTTGCCGATGGACTCATCCGCCGACAGCTCCTATTCCACCAGTCAGCTTCATCAAACGGAAGACACTCTGATGCACGTACAAATGTATCAATATTATCGGGATCCAGGCCATCGCAACCGATTTGATGAGCGAGGTCGATACGGGATTTGTGGAGCTCGAGGACGGTCGCATCCGTGACGTCGACGTATTTCTCCTGGGCGTAATTTTCTACGGTTTGGCTCGTCTTCATGAGCCCATCGTTCTCCCAGCTTGACCAGTCACAGTCCGTTGTCTTCCAGGGGAAAATAAGTCAGCAGAGTATACAAAATTCGCGGCACTTGCACCTTTACTCACCTGAACTGCGCCCAAGTTGAAGTAGCACAACACAGTGGCCCCGGCCGCCTACTCTCTGTTAGTACACACAATTTGTATCCGAGTAAGTTAATTGCGAGTTGGGTGTACTCACATGAAGTGCGGGTATCACGGTGGGGTCTTTGCTCGCGTGAAAGAGATCGATGTCAATGACCTTGGCATCAGCCGGCTGCAAACCGGCCCGAGGGTCAACTGGGTTTTGAATGTTGATCTGCCACTTGACGCCTGGCTTAAATTCATCTGGGATCTTGGAACCAGAAGTGGCGTTCTGGCCTGCAACGGGCACTGATGAGCCCTCGTTGGCGGCTGCGGGAGAAGTGACGGCTGGGGAAGAGGCGACGGCTGTGGGAGAAGTGACGTCTTGCGGCACCTTGGCAGGGAGGCATTTGGCACTGCAAAGCCCGAGAAGGGGGAGGAACAACACAGTTGCTGCGAATGAAGGCATCCTGATGCTTGGGGGTGTCTAAGGAGCGACTGAAAAGAACGACAAAAAAGGAGCGTAATGGCGTGAAGTGACACCTGGCGGGCACAGGAGGGTTCCCGCCGACCGGGTAACCGTCCTTGATGTTATATTATATATGCTTCCATTTCCGGCTCCTTCACGACCAGGTCGAGTGTAAGCCACAAAACCCTATGCCGAAAATATGCAGGGTGCCGTGACGAAAAGGCTAGTCCGTTTCAATTAAGGATCTACCCGTGCGTGCCCCTTAGACGCGCTTTTTGCCGCCGTCCAATGGGAAAATCTTCCCCAACTCTACTGGCAAAACGAAACAGCCATCACTTTTTAGTCTCCAATAGTGGCCCGAACCGCCGGAACTAATTCTGAGATGACAATCTTGGCAGGACTGTCACGTCTCAATAGCAGAAAAAACGCCGCACAGGCTGTGAGTGATGCTTTTCAGTTATTTTCTCGTGGCGTCAGCCGCTACGAGACGCCGCAAGACCAAAAGGGGATGCAGACGCCAACCAGAGCGGAGCCAAAGCAAGCCAAGAGTCAAAGCATCCCGATCCAAGGGAAGTTTTTTTCCAGTCCTGGCCGGTGTGTCAGCTGCTGTGCCACCCTGCGGCGGCGGCGGGTGTGGCCCAGACCTCCTCTAATTTTCCATCGCAGAATCCTCTGCTGCGTCGAACATTCTCGAGATGACGCGCTGACGGTTCAAAATTCAACATCCAGCCCCTGATTTGGAATTCCTTCCTCACAAATTCACAGCTCCCTTAAAATACACGACCTCACTCTAAAGCATCCCAAGTCTGCACAGACACTCCAGGCGCGATGGTTTAGGCTATTGAAATTTGAGCTTGAAGAGGACTGGCTTACTCAAAGTTCCAGCTCGAGGACAGATTTCATCACGCGGATCTGTCTTGGCGTTTGTGGCGTCTGTTGAAGTCTGAGTTGGTCTCGGGTAGTTGTCAGCGTTGGAAAACGACACGTCTCATACATAAAGGTAACACGTCCAGATCTCGGTACCTACATTGAAGACGACTTCTACGACTCATTAACTCAGCCACAGCAACGGGCGTAAAACATTCCCCCTCGGAGGTACATGTTCAACATCACAAGAAGAACATTCCACACTTTCGATACCGCGAGACGTCAAGAAAAAAAGATTTACTATTATTATTCTAAATGAATGTGGCTACTTTCAGTGTGATAGCTCCAACCGTGAACCCCCGAGTACCATGTATGCAAAAGTCAAGAGTGAGTGACAGGAAAGCAATTGCAATTTCTCCCAGACTGATAACCACACCCTGCAAACTTGTCCCGATCCCGGCATGAGCGCCACCAGGGAGGTCAAAGAAATTCGTGCGTGAGCCGTTAATAAAGCCCAACAATGATATCACCGCGGACGCGGGCAGTAAGGTGGACCTCTGCTTCCTAAATGGCTCATCAGTGTCCCGAGTCAACCTCTTGTGGAATCGGCCAACATACCAAGTCCAGTTTGATCCCAACCTGGAGGGCGGCATCTTTCAAATCACCCTTGGAATCCACAGCCCCACGAAGTAAGTTGCCTGGATGATACATCAGTAAAAGCTTTGGCGTTTCGAGACACGGGTGAACCAGGAGCTCCAATCTGTTGCCAAAGGTCTGGGGCGAGGTTTCTTACCCACTGCCCCGTTCGGGTTACCGCTGAGGCCCGGCATGGGAAGATGATGGTGGCTAGTGAGCTTGTTGTCCCGGTCCCTGTCATCGTTTTGTCCAGCAAAGCGCGGGACGTTGTTGAGGGCGCCTGAGGAGGAGGTCGACGAGGGAGCTGTGGGAGGAGCCGGCGTGGTCTTGGTTCTGTGAATCGATGTAGGTCAGACGGAGGCGATGTCTTGCTTGAACCGGAAAAAGTACATCCGTGGCGATACTCACGGGGAAGACATTGCTTCTCTAAACGGCCTGCCTTGGACGCTTTGGAAAGAAATGGTTTCGATTGGCGGATGCGGAGGAAAACGGGGAGATGTTGGAATGGAGATGTTGCGATGGCGATGCAAGGCTCAAATGAATCCGACTGCTTGTGCTGTGAAGCCTGGTCGATAGCTTAACCTCGAATGCTGAGGGAGGAGGCATTTGGTCTTTATACTTGTCCTCCATCGCATCTTGGTCGAGTCTTGCACCTCGCCTTGGAGAGATGTTAGCACTTGAGAGGTCTGGAGCCCGCCACCTGCATCCCTTCCCGGGTCGCACCCGTGCACCTCGTCGGGCAGCCGCGAGAATTGATCCTACGCTCCGGCCGACGGGATGGGCCGCCGAAGGTGCGGTTTACTCTTTCGAGTCAGCCACATCTAACACATCGAATGTTTTTCATGCGAGGGCTGATGGGAAGCACCGTCGGCACCAAGCTACACGCAAGTGCTAGAGTAGTCTCGATTGCCGAGTCAGCCAACAAAAGCAACTACGGTGCTGCAGCCCGGTGCCAAGCCTGATACACAGCAGCGATCTGCCCGGTTCATCCCCGTCGGGACGTAATTTGGCGCCTGGGATGCACACCCTGCGGGGATCTGCCTTTATGCTTCACATTCCACGTTCAACGTACCGATTGGGCTAAACACGTCACACAAGGGCGCCTCGGACGGAGACATCGAACGATGGCTTGTGCTGTGTCACTCTGGTGGCTCGAGTCAATCTGGGCTCCGGCAGTCCAGGCGGACGCACTTCACATAAGACGCGCCCTCGAGCTGCGACGTCCTCCACGCCCAGAAGGAACACCCGCTAGTGTGGGGTGCTTCCGCTCGCTAAAGCAGCATGTCGCAGCAGGTGTCGTTTATTGTCGCCTTTGCCTCGGTCTTCGGGGCAGCGGAAGCCATCAGGCAGACCCAGGCGAGGGCGCGGAGGCAGGAGCATCGCAGCAGGAAGAACAACCTCGTTGTCCATTGTACAAAGTCTTCGCGGTACAGTCCCTTGCTTGAAGGAAAACATGTGATTCTCTCAGGGGACAAGGTTTGTACCCCTTCTCCCAGCTTTTGTGGTCGCCTGAGGTGCCCAGCTTCGGCCGGCAGTTGACCCAGATATTACTTCCAGCTCTATATCGATACAGGAACAGAGTACGACATTCCTTTCGGTCATCGCTTTGCGGGATATTTCCTCCCGTTCCCAGAGACTCAGCATGAAGGTCTTGTCTCCACAATAATGGATGACCCCCCTATCATGTAAGCAATCCTGACTACATGGAATTGTGGCTCACATCTTCCCAAAACGGTCACTTTAGCATAGATAGACATCGCTGACTGCCTCCGTCAGGAACTGGATCTACATAGATCGCCAGACTTACGAGGTCAAGTTTGGTACACGAGACTGGGCTGAGCCAAACTTCAAAGCCCCGTTCGACTGCACAAGGCAGGACCGAAGACTGACACTCGGTGGATGGGAGGGGTTTATTGCTGTCGAAGAAGGGAATTTTTGGGCCCTGTACTTTGATGTCGAGAATAACCGGCTGCAGTCAAAGATTCCTGAAGGCACTCCTCTACTGGAAGTTGAGCTGCAGCGGATTGAGACGAGGGTACCCAAACCTTTAATGCCCGAGCCCGAGCCCGAGCCCGAGCCCGAGGCCAATGGGGACTGTAAGAAGGAAGATGAGCAAGAGGATATAGAGACACCTCTGAAGTCGGTGAAGCTGGAATCGCCAGAGGTTGATTGAAAGTGCCCCAACTCCTCCATCCAGGCACTCTGAATTCCCAGGTCCACCTTCGATGGGCACAGGATGCTGCGAACTGCATGTGAAGGACACGGTGTCTTCGCCAAAGGACTGGCACGTGGCAGAGGCCGCCCCACGTCGATCCTGCAGCAATTTTAAGCCACAATGTAACCTTCTGGAATGTATGTATAGGCATATTTGGCGTTTGATCGTCTTGCGGAATGTTCTGCAAGCCTAATTCGTTCTCACCCTTCGTATCACTTTCGCCGAACCGGCCCCATGAGGAGGGGCAATGTACGATGTGTATAGACTCAAGCCTCGGATAAGAAGGTCTAGGCCAGAGGCTGCCTGGGACCAACAATGGGGGTCCAGTAAGGCCATGGCTCGCATGGCTCCCACAAGAGCCTTCTCGTGACAATCCTTCAGGAAGAAGCAAGTAGCAGTGGCTGCATGGAATGCGGCCGAGGCCCCTGCGCCAAGAGCAAGGGACGAGACCGCTTCATGAACAGTAGTGATATTGTGGGGAAATAAATTAAACATCGGCAAGAAATGCGGTTTACATCGTGTGCCAACATATTTGCGGCTCGGCTTACTTCGTGCATATTAAGACTCTAACGGTTCCGCTCATCGGGTGTACGGAAGTTGTGGCGGATTGAATTTCTCAGTCACCGTTTCTTTGACCGATGCCGACCCTCGTTGCCTTCTGCGGCTCAATGTTGTCTCTTTCATGCCACAACTGTTTGGGCATCAATTTACTCGCCTCACGTCTCTCAACTTCAGATATTTCTCCGTCAAGACTTGCAACAATAACCTGTCCATCAATCCTTTCGGTGCTTTGCGGACGCCACGGTCGGATCCGCATACGACACGGCCTATTGCCGTATGTACGCATCAGCAATACGTCTCAAGTCCCACGGCATTCTCGTTCCACAACAGTGACCCCACAAGGGCCGCGCGGGTGTCCTAATTACCGCTGCAACGGCTTTTTCACCGCCGGTTCTATGAGCTGATCATTCCCGTCATCAGGTACTCAGGCCGGACCGCTTGTTCAACGGCCGGGCGAGAATGTCCGGCCAAGTGTGTCAGACTCGCACAGGGCAGAGGTCATGGGATGATTGCTCCGCGAGAGAGGTTTCTGTGAAAATCCCTCATACATCATGACTACTAGCTACCCTGGTCCGCTGAGACAATGAAGGCTTCCACTTGTTTTGTTCAATCTACCGCATCCGGTACAATGATGTGCGGATGAGGCGAGATTTCCCATCGACGCTCCTGGTGGACAACACTAATTAGATGTCGAATGGCCCTGACCAGGTATTGACGCCTTCGATCGAAGCTGTGTACTTGCACGAAGCCTGGAGATGTTTTCGACCTCGTAGCGGTGCCGTCTATGAGCGAATTGCAACATTTCAACCATCAGTCTGTGGTTCAGTTCAAGGTAATGCGTCGCAACTTTAGATTATAACTCAGGTATGAGCCCTTGATTTAAGAACTTTGAGCTAAGAGAATTCCAGGCGACAGTCCCCATCAAGTGCATATGTCGTGGCCAAGAATATCAGACGCGTGATATTTGCAAGCGATTCAATCGTTTGAGATCTGGTTTGGATCCGTTGGATCTGCATATTGTTTTATGTGTGCAGTGCTTGTATTATGAGGAAATCTGCCACGCAAGATTGGAAACGGATGCATGCCCAAAATTTGCAGCTGAGCCAGCACAATGATGTTGTTCACGAAACGCTCACCCATCAGAAATTCATCGGGATGCGAGACATCAGCTGGTCAGGAGCCCCATCGAAGTCAAAGACAGGCTGTTCGTGGACCGGCCTAGGCGGCAACCTTCCATTCCAATCTCCGCATAATGTGGGCAATTAGCTTTTGATATATTTCAAGACCTGGTCTGAGCTGGGAACCCCGAGACGAGGTGTGGTCCTTGCAGCTACGTACATGGAGTCAAGATATTGGCCACTCCCTTTATCTTGGGTCCCGTAGCAGCCTGATCCATTGAGTGCGGTGAATACATCGACTTCTCTCATTTCTTGGACGCCTCCATGATCTTCTCTGCCATCTCAACCAAGCTGTCTGAAACCACGTCGACCGCACCAAATACCTCCGGCACCGGCTCGATCTCCCAGACGGAGCACCAGGCAGCCTTGAATCTGATAGGCGAGTCTGTCAGCTTCCTAGAACACTTCGTAGGGCTTCGTCACGGGTTGGACGTTACTCACCCATTCGCCTTTGCTCCTGACGCGTCCCACATGTGCGCGGCGGCAAACCACGTCTCCTCAGCGCCCTTGAACTGGTTCAACACGAACTGGTAAGCCTGGGGCACGGGCTTCCTGACATCCAGCCCATCGCACGTGAAGAAATTCTCGTCGGGACAGTGCAGGCCCGCGCCAGCCAGGTAGCCCTTCACCCTCGCCTTGTCGCCCGTCGTAAGGGCCCAGACGGTAAACCCCGCGTCCCTCAGCTTCTGCCAAGCCTCCTGCACGCCGGGCCTCGCCTTGAGCGCCTTGTACCCCTCGGCGCACACCTCGGCGTCCTCCTCGCTGAAGAGCTCCCTCGGCCTGGGGATGCCCACCTGGCCCAGCACGCGGAAGAAGAGCGGCCTGAAGATGGGGAAGAAGGGCTTGTAGCGGCCCGAGAGGTCGAGGAAGGTGAACTCGCGCTCCGCGCACTCCATCCACGAGAAGCCGAAGATCTTGGCGCTGATGCCGTGGGCGCGGAGGCGGTCGCCGATGCGGGCGTCCAGGATGTCGAAGAAGGCCTCGTACCCGACGCATGTCCCGACAATGTCGAAGACGACGTGCTTGCCGCCACTCGCCATAGTTATTGCGGATCGGCCGTTTGAGAAAAGTTAAAGGCTGGAGAGTAGTGTGGATGAGTGTGGCGATCTTTTCCCTTGGTCTCAATGTGGTCGTTGTGCTGATATTGCTGAGACAGATGTTGAGTGTGGGGTTTGTATGTAGAGGATTTCAAGCTTCTGAGCTGTCCGAAATAAGGTTGCAAACATGTGCGCCGGATGTCGTCGTGACTCGCCGGCCCAGTTCCCGGTCCGTCTCCACTGCACGGGCCGGCCCCGGCAACTTTGCAGTGCGAGATAGGATGTCCATTGGCATCCCTTGATAGGCGATACAGGCCGCTTGTAAACTGCATTACTTTTCGATTGATGACTTAATCTCGGAGGTTTCGAAGCGGGCTACCCATTTCATTTTCAAATGCTGGCGCAAGCGCCAGGGCAAGGAGTATCAGCTTCAAGTTCTAGGCGTGGAGGTACCACACAAATATGCACGCAACATCAAAATCACACTAACTAGAGTGAGGGTCCATGATTAGGCGTCTTTCACGATGTCCCTCGCAATGTGATTTCGATCAGCTTAAATGAGGACCAAGACACAGCGAGTTCTAGCTAAATATAAAGCGCTTGGTCTTAATATACCAGGGAATTACCCTCTTCTCCAAGTCGACATCACTGCTTTCCACAGTCCTTGGGATCTGCCTCCTGCCGGTTGTCAGGTCCATTTCCATGAGTGGCACGACTTTCGTCCGCTTCAGGATCTTCCAACCGCAGAATAAGACGACAAAGACCGCAATGACAATGTAGTTGATGACGAAGCCGACGGCATCGAAATGCCCAATGAAAACACTGTAGCCTGCAATAAAAACAAGCAGAGTGTTAATCGCGATGACAAAAATGGTGCCGTAGGGATACCACAGGGCGCGAAACGGCAGATCCTCAACCCGGTTTCCCTGCGCGATCCAGCCTTTGCGAAACCGCACGTGGGTCACGCCTATGACGGCCCATGCGATGTAAGTAGCCGATCCGCTGATACTCGTGAGGTAGCTGAAGACTTTGCCCGGGCCTGCCTTGTAGTTGAGCATGGAGACGAGGCCGAGAACATTTGAAAAGATGAGGGCGTTTGCTGGCGTCCCATTCTTCGTGGTCTTGGCGAAGAACTTTGGTGCGCGGCCTGCTTTGGCTAGAGAGACCAAACTTCGAGATGCTACGTAAAGCGCTGAGTTCATCGAAGATAGTTGAGCGGTGATCCTGAACAGTGGCAACGTTAGAGGAGGACTGTGGCCTATGAAGAGGAAGGAAGTTGCGTACATTACAACATTAACCACATTCCCCACTTGAGGCGCTCCGGCATTTGCAAAAGCGATGGTCCAAGGTGACTTCCCGGATCTGGTGGCAGCTGTGAGGAGGTCAGGGCTGTCCGACGGCACGATAATACCTGCGAAAAAGACCAGGCCCCTGTGACAGTCAGTGAGTTACAAGACTCCAGAGAAACCATTTGATGAGTTGACTGACATGAATATGATCAAGACTCTCCAGAACGTCTGCTTGATAGCCTTTGGTAAGTCTCTCGTCGGGTTTTTAGACTCCGCGGCCGTGAGTGCCAGCATCTCCGTTCCGCAATAGTAGACCGCTGCAAGCAGGAAACACTGTCCAAACCCATCGATACCGTTGGCAATAGGACCCGGGTCTCTCCAGAACCGGAATCCTATATACTCGCCGCCAATGGCGCCAGTGTTCAGCAGAATGGCGCAGAGGAACCCTCCCAGGATGCAAAAAAGCTTCCAGCATGCGAAATAGAACTCCATCTCTCCCCACACAACAACCCCGAGCAGTGAAGTCACCTGATAAAACGCAAACCATATAAGAATCCAGCCATAGGTTGGTACCTTGTCGGTCCAATATCCCATTATTATCGAGCTTGCGTTGAAGTCGCCGGCGACGTTAGTGACCCACAGGTAAAAGTAATTCCAGCCCAGAGAAAATGCAAGTGAAGGGTCGACAAATCTCCCGGCCAGCTCGATGAAGGCGCCTTGGATGGGAAACAGAGTGCTCATTTCTCCCAGGGACTGCATCACGAAATAGACGTCGACGCCGATTATGAAGAAACATATCAGAGCCCCGACTGGGCCACTGTAGGCTATTGCATAGCCCGTGCCATACCAGATGCTGGCACCAACTACGCCGCCAAAAGATATCATGATGAGATGGCGGTTTTTCAGGCCTCGCTGCAGACCATCATCTAGGCTGGACATCAGCGAGTCTGCTCTTGGCTGTAGAAAGCCATCTTAAACTTACCAATAATGTTCCCACTGTGCAGCACGGCATCGGGGCTCTCCTCCGCAGAATCCTGCGCCGAGGACACATCTGCAGCAGCCCTCTTTCGGTCGTCGGCCGCCATCATGACTATCACTTTCACTCCAATATGGCGGCGCGGCTGAGTTGGACGAAACAATCTCGGAGACAATCCTCAAGCCGAGCCAAGCCAAGCAATGATGCAACACGACGCTCGGCACGTGGATTTTGTTGTACCAGAGCGTAGCTCATGGATTGAGAAATTGTCGTTCGTCCACTAGTTCGCCCACAAGCGCAGAGCCGGCGGTGAAGGAGGTCGGGAGAGCCCTGAGCCCACGAAATAACCCCTCAATCGCTCGCAATAGTTTTTTTTTTTTTTTTTAACCTTCCGGCAATCAGCACGCTGATCTGGGCATGCCGCTCTTATCTCCACCCATGCTAGCAGCGTTGTTGGGGCTTGTTATCGCCTGCGCTTGGACGGGGGCGGAACTGGCGGAGATGAACGCTTGATAAGGTTCAGGCTTTCCTGGCTAACTAGGATCCCCCAGAATTCCCAGCGCCACGGGAGTTGGCTGTCAGGGTTCGTTTTGGAGAGACATAGCGTCATGTCGTGTTACGTGTAAATTGAGTTGCATGCAAACTGTCAAACATTCAAACATCCCGATATTGTTGGAAGAAGGAAATTGACAAGATAGACAACCACATATGCTGTCTTTTAACGCAACGGATACTCCACAGGGACACAAAATATAAGAAATGCTGGGCATCGCTGTTTGAGGACGTTCTCGCCTTGCCTTATCACACCTTAATATTACTTCCTGCCGTCTTGCCACCTGATCTGGATTAATGGCCGCACCAGCGCATGATCATCTGACCATACCATTCGTAACATTCCTAGTTCTCCTCTCGGACTGCTTCAAGCAGGCATCAAAAGCCGTTCTATCCCTCACCTCAAAGTACGCTTCAAAAGCTTTAGGTACGGCGGCCTGAGCGGTAGTATTTTCGTTGTCTTCACTATGTCAGCCATTCTCCGAGTCCATGATACGTAATGTGAAACTTGCGGGTAATACTGTACATACAATCTATATAATGCAAACAAGGAGGCTTGGTCTCGCTTTGCTTGGTTTTGAATGATAAAATCAGGCGTGCGAAAATGGCATAAAGGATTCGATTCGAAAAGGCGATTGCTGTGCAGCCCCGTGATCCAGCTCCGTATGAGAAATGGTACGGTGCAGGCACTTTATCAGCCAGCTCCGGATCAGTCCATCTCTCCGGCCGGAAGATGTGGGCGTCTGGGCCATAGATTGCCGGGTCTGCGAATGTCAGCACCGAGGAGAGCCAGTGGGAGGCATACAGGATTGCGCGTACCGTGGTTTATTGCCTGCGCGTTCGCGAGAATCATGACACCCTTCGGTATTTTTGCACCCTCCCATTCGAATTCCTGGTATGTTTGTCGAGGTGGTAGGATGTGAAGTGGAGGATAGTACCGGAGGGTCTCGCGTACAAATGCCGCCAAGTACGGGGACTTTTCCCCCTCTACAGCTTCCTTGAATGCGGCTTCAGCATCACCTGAGGCATCAATCAACTCCAAATAAGCTTTCTCTTGTGCGGCTTGGCCTGCAGGGCTGGCCAGGTAGGCGATGCCAGCAATCGCTGTGGCTAGTATTGTCTCGAAGCCACCGGACATCAGACCGCCTAGGATTGTGCGAACGTCATCTGGAAGGGCGCCTGTCAGCATTTGCAATACCTTACTTGCAGCAAGATACTTGCCTTTTGTCAGATTCTCCTGTGTATCCGTGAGCAAGCCTGAGGCGACACAATTCTTGTTGCCTTCTGCCGCAATGCTTTCTTTAACTTCCTCGAGCAGTGTGGCAAGCCACTGGTCTCTGCGGCCTCGAACTTGATTCGCAACGGAGGAGCGGGCCTCGTCTCGGAAGAAATAAGATCTGAGATATGGGATGTAATCCTGTGCATTGGAATTCGTAGATCGGAAACTGCACATGCGTGAATGCACTATGTCAGCGCTCGGCCAAGAAGTGGTTTGAAGTGGACCTGCACACCTTGATATGATTTTGGCATCACCCAGGATACGGTGTAGGAGCGGGTCAGCAATGTCTTCGAAGCGTCTCCCGTAACAGAACATCAGAACGAAATTGAGCGCCAGCCGCTTCTGGTAAATGTGGGGCGATACTGATTTGCCTCCTTTGCTCGCCTCGAAGAGTCCCTCGACCATTCGTGAGGTCTCCAGATCCAGCATTCCGGCAAGTCTTTTGATTGCCGGAGACGTTGTCAACGAGCCTACAACACGACGTTGTTTTCTGGTGCGCTCATTCCAAGGATTGCTGCCAATGGTGGAGGCTAGATCTGAGTTAGCTCCGGAGCCCATTACATGAACTTCTCTCAGGCCTACCGGACGTCTTGGAAACAAGATTGTGGAAGGTGTACAAAGAAGGCCTGTCGATGGTGTGGCTCTGCCGGGTGACCAACCACTCTCTCGCGACCTCGAAACCGTTGAGGAAAATCACCCGCCTGTTGCCGAGCCTGGCCTGATAAATTGGCCAGCCATAGTCCTGCGACCATTTCTCCGCTGTGGTCGCATGGTCCTGTCCTAGCATATAGAGGTGCCCGTGCAAGAGAGAGGCGCCTGGGATTTCCGGAACACTCGAAAAGGGAGCAAAGTCGGCATAGAAGAAACGCAAGTAGATGAATGCTGATGTGAGAAGTATCACAGAAATATATACCATTATCGGCGTCACGGCCGGGGCAGGGAAATCTGCCATGGTGATGGTGGCGATGGCGCGTGGACAGGACGAAGCCGAGAGTCTTGAGCACTAGGCTTTAATATCCGCGCTGCAACACACAAGCTGATCTTTCTCAACTCATAAGCTCTCCCCCTGCAGTAAAGTAAAGGGAACTGGATGTGCTAAGATGATTGGGAGGCACACCATTTCGCCTCCTAAACCTGGCTTCGGCATTGCCCGCCGGATCCATTGCCCCAACCGCCGGAACCCGAGACCCGCAGTTTCGCGGTAACAAGGAAGTAACGCTGACACTCCCTTCCTCAGTATGAGCTCGGTGTTTGGTTTAAGACCGTGGAAGCGGGCAGAATATGGTGTAATGTGATTGATCGACTGCAGCAACTTCGGCTCATCACCCAGAGCTGCCGACCCATGTCTGTCAGACTGCCCGCGATATCTGGCGCCAGACATCGTAATAATCCTTGCCGCCCCTCCACAACGGCAAGGTGAAAGCGAGCACTTCCGAGCACTTCAGAAGATATGTCGAATACATCTCTGCTGTAGGCCAGAGGCAGGAAAGCCCCGTCACAAGCACGCACCCGCCGGCAAAAGCTCGACAAGTGGCGAAGATTGGAGGGATGAAAACGTCCCGAGACACCACGACTGAGTGTGCTGCATCGACCAGACACGCTGCCTCTGACAAGATTCTTGCCTGAAGAGATGGGAAATTCTTTGACCGAGCTGTTGTTGCAAACGAGGAGCAGATTCCACATGGTGGGTGATTCACAAGAGCCGGCTGCAGAAGGATCCAGCCCAAGTGGGTCAATATTTCTGACGACGGCATCAACTGGAGAGTCTCGACAGCGTGGGGCAGTGAGGCACGCAGCGGGCAATGCGATGATGATACACTGACAGAGGCCGAGGGCCCGAACAGCTGCTGCATGATCTTGATGCAGTAATTGTACGCCACGTCGCTCTCGGTTTGATTCCAGGGAATGCTACCGCTAAGCACGCTTGTTCGATGAACCAAAATATTCATCATTCTGAGGCAGTTCTGTCAGCATATACACGCCTCAAAATAACAGGGGCTTGGGCGAAAGTCTCACCTTTCAATATAGATCAGCACAGACAACGTCCGCTTCTTGGTTTCTAGCGGCAGTCGCCTTAATTGAGGTGTGGCCGGTATTGTGGGCCCCGGCAATGGGTGGACGGAGGCCTGCTCATCCATGCGATGCCAGCCGAGCTCCAGGCAGGACCTGGTTGCAAAGCTTAAAAGCTCCCATATAAGACCTCTCTCCGGATCCGCGAGCTCGTATATGATGAGCAGCAGCAAGATGACGACGGTATGATCATTCGGCCCCGTCACAGACTGAGCGGCCAGCTCGCCGCCCCACTCACGGCAGGTGGTGGCCACGATCTTCCACGCCGGCGCGTAGTAGCTCTTGTGAGTTGCAGCAATTGCGCAGGCTAGGAGGACGCAGCACCTGTCTGCTTCTCCCATCTGCTTGAGACTCGCCTCGTTCTCATCAGGTAGGGTGACGCTGGCGGGTAGGGCTGGCTCGATGCAGCGCACATAGTGGGCCAGTAACAGACGGACCGTGCTTGGTGACACTGACGCCCTGTCGAGCCTGGACGCTGCGACAACGTTGATGCCCTCTTCTTCGGGATTGATATTCCCGGGGGGCAGGAGCGGTGACTCGATCTTGACACCCTGGTCGAGCAGCTTGCGCACCGTGGCATCGCCGATGATAACTGGAGGGGACTGTTCCAGGAAAAGGGTGCCATTCCGGGAGCGCAAGACGAATTGGAATGCAGCACCCGGATCCGCCGGGTCTGAAGTGGTGTTGTCTGCCTGCTGAGCGTGCGTGTGGTGGACGGCAACGACGGCCTTCAGCTCTTCGATGCGGTCATAGAGGCTCTTGATGTGGCTCCTCGGAACATCTTGCTGCAGCACGTCGTCGTAGAAGGAGCATGAGAGGCCGGATTTATGACAATTTTGGCATGCTGGTAGGCGGGCATCACACTGGGTATGTCAAGTCAACACACCGACCGGGTATGGCACGGCATCCACGCCTCAAGTCACAGCCGCATCTGCGGCCCGAACGGGGTAACAACCAGAGGACTTGCCTTGATACGCCTGGTCCGGCATCGGGTACATGTCTTAAGCATGATCTGTGACTAAGGGACCCGGGGAACGGCAGATGCGATCAGATCCCGAACCTTGGGCGCCAGTGTGTGATCCAGGTGCAGAGGAGAGGACATCGCCGTTCAAATCTGCATGTTTTGTGCGGTGATGCCCGTACGAGCTGCCCCCTTGCCCCTGCCAGCCTACCCGGCTGGTACAGTAAGGTTGGTCCTGGAGGTTACATAGCCAAGGCCAGGCCGGCTGCTAGGTTTGGCGTTGAGAATGACTCGAGGCCGTGCCAGGGCAAACCCTGTCCAAGCTCCAATACGACGACAGCCCAGGGGCGTCTGCGGGCGGGAGGAACCTGGGGGATCGGATCGTCCAACGGCTCCGTCCTCAATCACTGCATGTGATCCTCAAGCTCGTCGTCTCCGGCTCATCTGCGACAGAGGCTGGCACGGTCCAGAAAGTCAGCTTCCTAGACAGGAGTGATAGGATGGACAGCATACCAGACATCCAGCTGGCAGCCTCGGGTCGGCATTCTTCCAAGGTTTGCGCGAGATGCAAGAAGAGGAAGACAAAGGTATGCGCAGCTACACGAGAGACCCCCTTCCTGCCATCGTGGCCCATAGCCACGTGAGATCTGAGTCGCCACCTCAGCTCCACATGCGGCTCTTCGAGTCCCCCGGATCATAATCCGACTTCATCTGAGCTGCATCCTATCCTATCCAAGACATGCGCTGACACCACCCACCATGACCATAGTGTGATTCCGCATGGCCGTCCTGTGGAGCTTGTACCAAAGCTGGCGCTCTATGCAGAGGGTATGGTTCAGGGGGTGAAGAGCTACCCAGGAGGTGAGTTTCCCCTCGGTCCAGGTCGTCATATCCAGACTGCTGACTTGGGATTCAAGTCTTGTACGGGCTCTTGAAACCCACGTCGCTCAGCTGGAGCGTGAGGCAGCGGGTCTTCAGCACTCACCCAACAGCGTGGCCGTTGCATTGGTCTCGAGGCTTGCCCATGCTACGCTGGCAGCAGACAGCCCATCGGCCACGCCATTTTTTCTCTCCTCCCTCTCACCAGCCTTCTTCCTTCGTCCCAGCTGTCCTCCGCTGTTAATATCAAGGATAAAGCCCGACGTGTCACAACCACCTTCACATGCCCGTCAGGTTCGCACGCCGCCTCGCGATGGACCATCGATATCTACAAATCTTGGACAAATCCCACCGGCTGCCCTGGATCAGATGATTTGGAACTATACGAACATCCACCTGCCACAATACCCGTGCGTGCAAGAACAGTGGCTGCGCCAGGTCTTCTCGCGTGTGTTTGCCGTCCACGGAGGAGACACAGATGCCGCCCTGACTTTGGGAATACCCCCTGAGTCTGGCCTGTCCCACTTCGACTACTTCGTTGCCTTCGTTTCGCTCGCCATTTCATCCATCACACTGACCTGGAAGAACGAGACCCAAGCCCGAACGGCCTCTGACGCCTTTTTTGCCATCTCACTGCAGCACCTCCGGCTCGTCCTTGGGGCCACCGAAGTCCAAAAGCTTCAAATCTCACTTCTCCTTGCTCACTATGCCCACATGAGTCCAGGGAAGGTCGATAATTGGGCCTGCATCTCGAATGGTGTCAGACTGGCCCTCGAACTCGGCCTTCACAAGCGGTCTCCAGACTTGGCCTCACACGGTCAGCTCTTCTGGGTTCTTTACGGCATGGAGAGGTCGCTTTGCACTCTGCTCAGGCTGCCTCTCACCTTCCCTGAGGAGTGTGTCACTGCTTCTCTACATATCCCAAATTTTAATGCCATCAACAACGATGACACCAAAAGGCAGTCGTCCGCGACTCACCTCTACCGCCTACGAGCGATGGAAACGGAGATATACCGCGTCTTGTACCTCCAGGACCCCAAAGCTCTGGTCGAGCATGCAGACCTCGATGTTTGGATCAGGAGTATCACAAACCGTCTAGACGAGTGGCTCGAGACGGCAGAGGGCTTCTCGAAGTACCAGATGTTCGAGTTCAGGATGGTCCAGCACTCGTCTGTCAAGTCCCGCGTCTACCGCCCCACGCCGCGCCTGGAGGTCAGGACGCCTGAAGACCGCCGCACCTGCTTCGCTGCCTGCTCAGCGCTGGTGGATGACTATCAGCAGCAGACGAGGCGCCGGCGTCTGTTCTATCCCTGGCACGCCGTACACATCCTCTACGAGGCAGCAATCGTGATGCTGGAGGCTTGTTGGGCCTTACGAGACTACGTACCAGCCAGGCAAGAAGCCCGACAGATCCTCGCGGTCACCATACCGGACTGCTTGGTGCTCCTGACCAAGGTCGGAGAGTCGTGGGATGACGCTGCCCTCTGCTCGAAATATCTCATGCCGATAGTGGATGAGGTTACCGTTGCGTTCAGGGTCAGGATCATGGCCGGCATTGTGTCTCCGCACAAGGTCTCGGAGGCCGAGACGACAGAGAAGCTGCGGAAGCTCCTCTTTCCTGAGGGTCCTCCGTCTTGGAGTGCAGCGGAGTCATCGGAGTCGCTGGCGGCCGAGCCTGAGGTACCTGCTCCCTTGCTGGATAGCAGTGCTCTCGGTGGGCTTGAGGAGTTTAACTGGGATGCGGATTGGAATTTCCTGCAGGACGTGTCACCTGTGTTTACGAAGGATACTCCGTGGGCATCGACTTAGATTGGCTCCCTGATTCACAGCCAGGAATCTACTCTGCTGGCAATGGTCCAGCGCTTTCCACGTCTCTCAGCGCTCCAATCAGGATATCCGCACCTCTGAGCATCTCTTCCACCGATATCGTGAGAGGGGGGCATATCCGAATTCTGTCTGGTCCCGCCGCCCCGGTGAGAAGACCTCTCTGTCCTGCCAAAGATGCCAGTCTCCTTGGTGTGACTCTGGTTGATTTGTCCAGGATCAAAGCCCAAAATAAGCCAGCACCCATATACCCGGCCACGTGTGGTGGGTTCGCTGTTTTCAATGTCGATATGAGCAGCTCCCCCATGCGGTTCGCTTTTCCGGCCAGGTCTTCATCGACGAGCACATCGAGAGCCGCCAACGCCGATGAACATGCTATTGGGGTTGCTGCCATGGTTGATCCAATCCTAGTTGGACTGTTAGCCGTGTTTCGACTCCCGAGTGCCTACTTACGTACTCATAAGGGTCCAGCAGGTCCATAATGCGCTTATCCCCTATCACTCCTGAAAGTGGATACATGCCTAGATAAATTAGAGAGAGTCATCCAGAATGGGTCGAAGGGCGTCATACCTCCTGCCAAAGCTTTCGCCACGACTACCAGATCAGGACGGACACCGTATCTGTGATGTGCCAGGTTCGCACCGGACCTTCCAAGGCCGCACTGTACCTCATCAGCAATGAAAAGAACGTTGTGCTTCCTACACAGCTGCTCAATTTCCTTCAGGTAACCGGAGGGTGGCACGATGACGCTGCTCCAGTCAGCCAAGCCTCCACCTATTTTTATTCGGATATCTCACCCCGCCGAGCCCTGAATAGGTTCCACCATGAAACCGGCGATCCTCTCACCATCCACCTCGAAGGCGTCTCGGACGTCGTCAATGTTACCAAAGCGTATTTCTCTTCCAGCTGGCGATATCGGACCGACTTTTGGCATCAATGGCCCAAAGACTGGTGGCAATCGTCAGACACCTTCCTCCCAAGGTCACCCAAGCCTTCACCGGACTCACGAGGACTTTTCTGATGCTCACTCCTCATCGCCACCGTGCTCAGGGTCACGCCGTGGTAACAACGGCCAGCCGTCAGCACCCAGGCCTCACCCTCGGGAATCCGCTTTCGCAAATATCCCCACTTCCTAGCAATCTTGACAGCAGCATCTGCGGCCTCTGCGCCGCTTGTCAGAGCCACGAACTTGTCGTAACCGAACAGATCATGGAGTCGCTTTGCCAGCTGTCCATAGTATGGGTTGTGGAAAGGCTTCCATGTCAGTCATCGATCAGCAGGTTTCCGTTGGAACTTGATTCGACGAATTCAACAAGCACGGTCCAATGAGAGTGGTGTGATGGACGAGATTCAAGGGCTGCTGGGTATCAAAGGTACGGATAGGGGCGGGAGTGCTACTTACCATGTTCACCACCGCGCATCCGAACGCGGCCTCTGTAGCGGCGGCGACGATCTTGGGATGGCTATGGCCGAAATTCGTAACTGAGTACATGGAGAGAAAGTCAATGTACTCCTTCCCGTCGACGTCCCATGCTTTGGACCCTTGGGCCCTGACGAGGGCTATCTGACCAGTGTATCGGCGTTAGTTTGGCAAGGTGTGGCCTCGGGGAAGACATACCGGGTATGGGGCAAAGCCCCCGGCTACATAATTGTCGTAGAGGTCTACGACCTCCTGGTTCTTCTGGGACACAGAGCTCTGCGTTACCCGAGCTGTGTCCATATTTGGCACCGGCGGGGAGTCTCCTCCTGTTATCTAGAGTAAGCTTCTTACAGTCATCACACCTGCTCGAAGGACGCGCCCAAAGTATCAAGAGGACAGCTCCCTCCTTCGACCAATCACGATACCCTTTCCTGCATGTTCCGCATTTTACGCATTGGCCCGACCGGAGCGCATCTCTCGGCAGCAAGCTAGCAAACCTTACCGCGGGATCGACCCCCTCATGCGCTCGGCTAATCACGCCTCGGGCGGCCCCCAATGCGGGACACTGAATCACACTTGATGCCCAGTGTGCCGCGTGCCGGCCACGAAAAAAAAACGGCATGAATCTGGCGAGATGAGTTGGCTTTGATGCTAGTCCGTGAGCAGCTGGCAACAGCTACGAAATCGGCCTAGCAGGTCCATTTGAGGCGTAGGGGTTGTACCGAGCCACGATGTCCTCAGTGGCACCTAGCGTGCGAGCTTATCAACGAACATCATCTGGTTTCAAATGGGCTAGGAACGTGGAAATCTGCTGTGCAGTAAGATGATCTAAAGTTGATAGGACTCTATCAGCTTTACTACTACCATTATGGCAGGCTATGGACCCTCGAACATGCTTTGAAGACTACGCTTGGTCATGGTCTATATGCCAAGAATGTCGTTCTTGGTGCTCTGCAGCCTCTCTATTGTGGCCTTGAAGACCGCCGGCAATTCCGTCTCCTCAAACGTCTTTTCTTCCCTGATAATCTCAGCTAAGAATTTCGAAGCTAAGTGTATCAGAGGCATTCCATGGCCGTTGAAGCCCGCTGCAATATACTGGCCCTTCTTGCCGGGCACCTCGCCGATATACGGCATGGAGTCGGACGTCCACCCCATGATGCCAGTCCACACATTGTCCGTGTATGCACCAGAATCTTCCCAGCCGCTGAAGTGGCGTTGCATCAGCCCGTCAAAGTATGTGGCGGCGGGCTCGATGAGTTTGCTATCGTCCGTAACGCCGTACCAGTGTGACTTGTCGTGCCAGAAAGGTTGTTTTGCGCCGCCGATAACGATCGACTTGTCGAGGCGCGGGATCATATAGTCGTATAATGCAGGGCCGTAGCGAAGAGAGTAGGTGTGGACTAGGCGAGAGGTGTTCTCTGGCTTTGTGGGGACGATGCGGCTGCATATTCCCCGGACAGGAATGACCTTTTGCTCGAACTGTGGGGCTATAGCTGCAGTGTAGCCATTTGTCGCGAACATGATCTTCTTCGCCAGTATGGGGCCGCGTGGAGTGGTGACTGTCCAGCGTCCAGCTGGGTCTGGCTTGGGCGAGACGGTAGTGACAGGTGTGCCGGTTTGTAGGTTGATACCTTTGGCCACAATCTTGGAGAGCAGGCTCATGACGAGCTTGTAGGGCCATAGCTGCGCCGCAGTGAAAGAGAAACAGCACTTGGCATCTCTTACTCCCGACATCTTAGGCTGTGTTAGAATAATGACCTGAAACTTGGACGGTACAGTCAGGTCTAATCAACTCACAGCTTCAGCATCCGGACCTTCCATGTAATGAACATCACCCAGGTCGGCGACCCCGATTCTTCGTAGCTCCTGATACGCAGCATACGTTGATCTGGCGTGTGCCTCGTCCAGGTACACATCAAGAGCCCTCGTTAGGACGAAGTCACAATCGATCCTCTCCCGGTCTACTAACTCCTTTACCGCAAGCACATTCGCCGCCTCGAAGCGAGCAAAAGCGGCTGCATGGGCCGCTCCATATTTCTCGGTGTACTTCAGGATATTGTAATACACATCAGGCTTGATATGACCGCCTGAAACAGTCAGATTTTACCAAGGTGAACACGGAGGGAAGGGACCACTTCCTCACCATTGCGCCCAGACGCCCCGGAACATGCTTCTCGTGCTTCGAGCATGACTATCTTGGACGGATCCGGGGCATTGTCGGAAGCCAGAAGATGGTAAAGGGTGCTGACTCCGGCGTAGCCAGCACCTATCACGAGTATGTCGCATTCTGAAGGGAGCGCTTCGGTTGATCTGAAGGAGTCAAGTCCGTGGAGTTCGGTTCTCCAATATGGCAGTGTTGCATTGGCCACAGGTAGGCCCGTCTTGGTGCCTGTATTAGTGCTGGAGATCATGTTCATCACGCCGCAAGGAGTTCACGGCTCGATCCTGACCCAGGAGATAGTGGGCTGTCATGTTGTCAAGTCTCTGTTCCCAAGACCACAGCTGCCTACCAAAAGTTGCCGGGCTTAACCGCGAGATTAGCTCCAAACTCAAATCAGGAAGCTCGGCATGTTCCGGCGGACCACGTGGAGGCACCGGCCCGGATCCTTCAATTGTAGGCAACGACGGCATGCTACGTTTGATTCGGTGGTAGGCACCGGTATAGAGTCCTCCGGTAAGAGGTAAGCGTACATAATTCTTAGCCAAAGCTGGGTGGGCTAAAATTGACAAAAACGCCCTTAGTTTTACTCTTCCTGAGCAGGCACCAGGGACCTACACATCGAAACTATGCAACTCTGCCCCTTCATAGGGAAATGGTATTTTCAATATACCACTATCTTTTCGCATTGGAATAATTCGTTGCATCCAGGTTTCGACTTCAATTTGGATGCTGAGCAGCAACTAGAGTGCCACGACCGATCAAGACCACCAGCCAGAGTGCGCATCAAGACTCAAGAATATTAGCCACCGCGAGGGGCAGGTCGACTCTTACAGGGCAGTATCATCGGTGCACGATGTCCTGTTTGTACTGCGGTCTCGCCAGTTCGCAAGACCGTTACTGTTTCGGGCCGCGGCTGCGGAGCGTGGCGGCCCATTTGACGGCCGCATGTCGGCAATGCAACGCCGCTCTGTCAAATCGATTGGCAGATGCTGTTTCAACACTGGGGTGGTCGGCCGACAAAGCGGCCACCCCAACAATGTTCATTGAAGCAAACCAGGGGCCATAGTTTGTGCCACCGGCTCGCCGGTGATGACACAGGTCACCTACCCACGGCCACTTTTCGATGGTTGAGAAGTGACCGACGTTGACCGGCCTTGGCCCACCACTTCTTTGTTCTCTGTCACCAACAGGCTGGCTCTTGACTCGGTAACCCGTCTTAAAATCTGCCTGGACCTTTGAGACCTTTGTCCACGTCCATTCAAAATGGGCTTATCAGATGTCGACATTGTAACGACTCCCATGGCTGACGCAGGGCGGCCATCAGCAGACGCCCAAACCTGACACGATTTCGATCTTGTGTCTCCCATAGGGCCACATTGGAAACAATGACTGTCGAACTTGCAAAGTGGCAAGTTTCGACATTGTCTTTTCAGCTGCCTATGATGGGCTCTCTGATATTTATCTAAGCGTCAAGCCGCAGATCTCCCATCCGGACAGTTTTGGCAACCCGCATTCCTTTCGGTTCTTTCATTTCATAATCCTTCATTATTATAGTACCTTAGATCTCAATCTTATTTCATCTCACGAGCAGGTACTCGACAACACAACCAGTCAGGATGTATCCCATCGCAGGAGTCTCGGTACTCCTTACCATCGTCAGCTTCGTGCTGGTGATGTTGACGATCTTCGCCGGCAACAAGCCCGGATACATGGAAGATTATCACATTCTTTACGTTAGTAGCCTCTTAGTTTGGGCTGCCTGAGACATAGTCACTTCTAACACTGGCCGCAGTTTAATACTTCGACATTGGGCGAGAACCTTATTTCAAATCTGAAGGCCCGGGCCCCCGTCCCTATGCCAGAGCCCACGGCACCTCCAACTCTCCTGGATCGCTTCCACGCCGCCCCAGAGAAGCGCATCGACGTCGGCGGTGTCGTCAATGACGTTGGTAACGGTATCGGAGACGTGGCCGGCCAAGCTGGCTCTGCCGTAGGAGGTGTTGCCACCGCAGCCGGAGCAGCCGCCACCGAAGCGGTCGGCAAAGGTCTTGACGCCCTCCAAGACATCCAGAACAACCTCGCAGACGAGCTGGCGAAGAAGCTTGGTATCAAGGAGTTCTACTCGATCCACCTGGTCGATCTTTGCCAAGGTGACTTCTCGCCCAAAGCCACTGATCCCGAGGCGACCTTCGACGTGAAAGAATGCACCGAGGCGTTCAACTACAGTAAGTGGATGTTTAATACCCCTCTGCGTGAACAGATCGGTGCTGACAAGTACCTGCAGAACTGCTCAACATAACTGCGTTGCTTGACAAGCAGCTCAGCGTTGGCCCCTTGAAGCTGAATATAGCCGACCTGGGCCTCACAGATGACATCCAGGACAAGCTCGACGATGTCCCGAAGATCATCCAGTCCATCGTGGCCATGTACATCATCGCAGCCATATTCATCATCCTAGCCCTGTTCGGATCCTGCGGCGCTATCGCCCTCATCCCCAACTCAGCCGGACGCAATATCGTGATGGGCAACCTGGGCCTCGCCGGCGTAGCGGTCTTCTTCCTCCTGATAGGCAACCTCATCACCACCATCGGCAGCGGCGTGGTGGTCGACAAGGTTACCGACCTCGGCGACAAGTTTGGGCTGTCGGCGGTGCGCGGCGGCAAGTTCATGGCGCTGTCGTGGGGGGCCTTCGCGGTGATGCTGCTGGTGGTGTTCTACTGGGTGTACGAGTTCTTCGCCGAGAAGAAGCGCGGCAGCGACGAGCACAACCGGGCCATCGGCGGGTTCAGCTTTGGCCATGCCAAGTCCGAGGCCGGGTGGAGCGAGACCGACTCGGGCCTTGCGTCCCGGGAGAACTCGTTCCCCCGGGAGCAACAGCAAGACCAGGGCGAATACCCACCGACGCATGACCCCTATGCCCACCGTGCCCCCCGCGGGATGGACCCTGTGAGCCCCCTGGATGAAGTCTCCCTGGGCGGGTATAACAACGACCGGGGCACACACGAGCGCGAGCCTGTCTCGCCGCTTAACTACCGCAACGGGTACTAATGGGTCGGCGGTAAGTTCCAGCTTGAGCATTGAGCCCATTCTGTTCCTGTGGAGCCAGTTGTCGCTGACTTGTCTCAAGCTCGTTTTCTTGAACTTGTTCTGCCTCTGAGGACGGCAGCTCCATGGCCATTAGCCTGAATCCGTGGCAAAACCACCCTTGTGAATGGGTCGATTTAGATGACAGGTTGAGGCGTTGGGGGAAGCTGTCTTTTGTCTGAGTGGCATTGTTTCAAGTTATCTGTTGCTTTTCTGTCTTGGGTATATCACACCTGCGATCCTACACCACCCATGTCCACGTTACATGAGGCTCGTGTGCCAATGCTCCTCGTCTCTTGTACCTGGAAACCGCCTGTCTTTATCAGCTCGAATACCCAATTCTATCCGTTTGTGAATACCTGAGTCCTCAGGCTTGCTCCGAGTGTCTAATCCGGCGACGGGGACCATGCAGTAAAACACGCGTGCGAAGGCTTGTCTTTCCTGCTAATTCCCGAATTTTTGGAATGCTTCCATGGTCACTGTTCAGCAAGCTGGCAGGCTGAGATTATGCCTGATGCACCTTTTGATTACTGCATCTGCAAAAGCAGGTACACAACACAGCTGCCGAGACTCTTGGGATGGTAAGCAGGTAACCTTGGGAGACCCAGGGGCTTGTCGGCTCGGTGCGTGGTCAGTCAATGACGGCAAGCACAATTGTCATGTACCTAGGTAGGTAGGTAGTGTAAACTTTGGGCATTGGTTACCGTGTGTGTCATGTCGTGCCAACACAGCTACTTGTCAGGTAGTGCATTGCTGTGCCCAGACCGTGACCAAAACGGTGGAAGATGGGCGTGGTCCAAGTGGGCTTCCAACGATTTTTAGGTTGCAGCATGGAGGAGCTTGGAGCTTGGAGCTCGGGTCGTGGAGCTTGCCCAGCTGCAGCTGCAGCAGGCGGGTGGGGACGTGTGCTCTCCACCAGCCCACCCGCGTCAGTGTCCGTGCACCGCACTCCACGTCTGATCTGGATTGGAACCACTTTTTGCAACGTCAGTCGCGTACCCGAACATCAACCGGACATAGACCGCACTTCTACCGGTCATCACCCCCCTTCTTCCACCCCCCTGTCTGCGCTGTCTGCGCCTAATGTGATTCCTCGTGATGTCTGGATATCATGAGAATCATCTGGTGTCTGGTACATCAGCCGTACACTCCCTCACAAGCCCACACCCGCTCCCGCACCAACTCCCGCACCAGCACCAGCCCAAGCCGACCACCAGCGTGCCTCCCTACCTGTCACCACCCAATCCAGCCGCTGCACACACACCGCACGCCCTCGCCCACAATGGACGGGCACCCGGCTCGGCCGCTGCATATACTGCCAGTGCCCACGACAGCCTGACCACTGCCCTGCAGGTCCCCATCACTCCCCGCGGCATCGTAAACACCCCGTCGCAGCATCAGCATCAGCATCAACAAGGCCACCAATCGCCGCCGCAGTCACAACACGTCAGGTCCCAGACAGGCCAGTACTCTTCACCCGGAAACCATGCCGCCTCTGCCAGTCCCCAGAGCCAGCAGGCGCCGACGCCCGCTGCTTCCACCTCCTCCGCACATGGCAAGAAGAATACCAGGATACCAAGGGCTTGTGATCTGTGCAGCACGCGAAAGGTTAAGGTGAGCTGCTTTCTGGTCCTGGATTCCCAATGCTGCAGTGAATTCTTCCAGTGGCAGCAACATCAACTTACCCTGCCCGGTACAGTGCGAAGGAGGAACGCCTCCGTGCGCGCCTTGCAGGGACCTCGGCGTCCCATGCACATACGACCGTGTCAAGAAGCGGCGCGGCCCTCCCAATCGAGCTGCCGAGGCTGCGAGGCAGGCTGAGAAACGCCAGAAACTCGAAATCGATGCTCTGAGCGACTCAACGCCACCCCATCAGAATGCCGCCCAGGCCCTGGTCTCTCTGGGCACCCCCGGAACGCCAACAGTCATGGACGCGGAGCAGTGCATCGCGCCTCTCGGCATCCTCAAGCTCTTTGTCGACGATTTCTACACGTACATATTTCCCCTTGTGCCGTTCCCTCACGAACCTACCTTCCGTGCGCAGTTCGAGAGACGCGAGGACCGTACAAATCCCGACTTTCTGGCCTTGTTGGCAGGCATGGTCGCCGCCCTGGTGGCGTCTTTCCCGAGGTCGGCACGCCTCCATCTGAAGGCTTCACACAGCTACGAGAAATTCCCTCGATCTATAATGCTGGTCGACCGTTGTGTCAAGGTGGCCCTAGACATGCGAAATTCCGAGACGATGCTCAAAGATACGGTGACCGTGAATGATGCCGCCGTTAGTTATTTTGTTTGCCTCGGAATGGGCTACACCATGCGTTGGAATCAGTGCCGTCGCTTCATGGGAGAGTGCCTACGCTTTTTACGCGAGATGGGATTCCACAGGAGGAGACCCCCGCCAACTTCTCTTTCCCTGGATGAGCGCAATGACGACCAGCCTAATGATTTTATCACGGAAGAAATTGGAAAACGCATCTACTGGACGCTCTTCTTTGGTGTTCGGTAAGTCATATGGTATTGAACGCAGCTATGGGCTCTCCGTCTAACAGCTTCCTAGGTCCATGACCCAGTTAGGTGCTTCTTCTCGTGACTTGATCGTCCCACCTGCCACACCGAACACGTCATACCCTGACTGGCCTCGAGAGGTCGACGATGCGTACATTTTACCAGACAGGATCCTGCCTCAGCCCGAGGGTACCGTTTCTATCTTGACTGGGTTTGTGAGGTGCATCCAGAATTATCAGACCATGGATGACCTTGTGCGCATAGAGCTCGCACACGGCACGTCGGCATACACCTGGGAGCAGCAGAAGCACTATTTGCATGAATCTCTGATCAAGGTCAAGGCTGTTGAGGCGCAGCTTCCACCAGCTCTGAAGCTTGACCTGAGGGCCCACACGCCCACGAAAACCTATGCAAAACTTGTGCAGAAGACCTCGAGCGATGCCTCGACTTACCAATACGTTCCTCCTGCCTACCCAAATACTCAGCCGACCAACGATGTCCGCCACCTGTTTGCGGCCGATGAGAACAAAAAACGCTACCTGCAGTACGAGATACAAAAGGCCAACCTGTATGCCTCAATTGTGGCTACGCGGTCCCATTATGTCGAGCGGTATATGACTCTTCGCGACATTTATCTCGTGAACAGGCGTGCTGAACAAGCCCGTCTGAACGGCCCCGGGGGCAGTGTTATCTACAGGACAGCCCCCGACATGTCTTCCTCGTCACTAGCCGCAGCGGCTGTACAGGCTGTCAGCGGGCAGATCAACGACAGCATCGACGACATGTTCTTTGCGGAACGTGATGAGGTCGTGCACAACTTCTTCACAGTGTTAATGTCGATCGATCAGCACAACATGGAGCCCAATGGGGCCTCGCTCATCACAAAGATCCGGCAAGTTGCAAGCACGCTACTTGGTGATCCAGATGATCGCAAGCGCTCGTATGAGCTCCAGAACGAGGAGTATTTGAGAGTATTTCTGGAGATTTTGACACGGCTAGAAAAGACGGGCACCGGCACGGGTCCCAGCCCTGGCGGGCACACGGGCGGCACGATGACCAGTGAGGATGAGGAGCAAGAGCTTCGCAGCTGGGCTGATCTACGTGAACAGCAGCAACAGATGGCTCGGATAGCTTTCATCTGAGGGCCGCTGTTGACGCTTCAAGATCAATTCGCACGGAGCTTTCAAAAGGGAAAATGTATAACGGCGCGCTGGTTTGACCGGGAAAAAGTCATTTTTGAAAAAGTATTGATGACATGATGAAAGAGACGAGAGCTTTTACCATGTCTCGCAAAGTATGGTGGATTGGCCCGGCACGATTCGGACATGTCGATCGAGTGCGTCTTTAATTGTGTCAAGGGCCTCGTATTTGTTGGCTACAAGTTGACTGTCATTACTGGGAAAGAATGGGCGCCACCTGACGACAAGATGCAGCCAATCTTGCAGCGAGCATAGCTAAACTGTGCAAGGGCTATGAAAATGGCAGCGATAGCTCCGCGGTTCCAGACCCTGCCCCAAAGGATGTTCTTCTCCACTGAAATGCAGGTTCGTTTCGAGTGCCTCGGGATCGACAGAGTTTGGCCAAGCTTTGCAGTCACGCTGGGCTTCAGGAGCCAAGTTGATCTTGGCTTCAACAGGGGTGCTGCATTGCCGGTCTGCCTCTTGAGCTCGAAGAAAACGATCCACCTCTTCGGCCTAACAAATGAATTAGGAAGATAGCAATAAAGGCCCCATTCAAATTCCACCAACCCGATCGCTTCGGCGCGTCAAGCTGAAGTGCCGTCCGGGGTAGTGCCCGCCTCCATGCTATTGCCAAGACAAAACAGATTCCGTGCGATCCTGAAAGAGGCTTAGTCGAGAGCAGCTTCCATATCCGTCAGTAATATTCGTTGTATTAAGACAAATCCATCGTGACTGACCACCAAGACAGACTATCTAACCGGCCTCCGTCGAGGTAGACTACTTTCGACCAGGCGCACCCACACGCTCGAACTCTTACGGGCGACTTTGGACTAGACTGGCTTGTTGGTCCCTGCTTTGGCCAGTCCCTCCCCTTCAGTCATGGTCTTTTGTTGAAATCTGGTCGAGGCTCTAATCGAGGCTCCTACATGATGTGATTATTGGTGGGACTTCTAGGTCATTCAATTGCTCCTATGCGCATCGTCCTCGATGCTTCTACGGGCCAAGATGGAAGTGTTCCCACCGGATGTTACGTTGTCTCTCGGTCATTTCTCCGAGCTTGTCTAAAGCTTGATGTTGACTCTAGCATGGGCGGGAGGTGTTGAACGCCATTGTTTCATGTATGGTCAGCATAATTGGTGAACCCCGGACGAGGAAGGGGCTGGGTGCGCTGGTGATATGCCTCCTTAGTGGAGGGAGAATAGCCACCAGATGGGGTCAATGCAAGGGCAAAAAGTACGAACGTATAGGTTCCTCGAGCGCGTAGAGATTTTGCACATATAATAAGGATGTCCACCGTGGGTGTCTGTCCATTGCGTGCTCTCCGTCCAGCAGCACGGTCCCAATCCAACCATTACCAGACCAATTATCACATCTCATTCTCACTGACATCTCCTGTCCACCTTCAATATGGTCTCAAAGCTCCTCACCCTGCTGTCCGCCGCCCCTGCGGCGCTCGGTGCGGCTCTCGCAGCGACCAACACCAACCTCCAGACCGCGTTCCCCGCGTCGTCTGGCACCACTGCCCTGGCTGCCGTCAAGACCATCGCCGCCGGCCAGAGCTTCGACGGAGGCCTGAAGCAGTGGGACCGCAGCCCCTCGACATGCAAGGACCAGGCTGAGGGCGGTGACGCCGACGCCGTCTTCCTGCTCGAGGACGGAGCCGTGCTGAGCAACGTCATCATTGGGCCCAACAACGGCGAGGGTGTCCACTGCAAGGGCACATGCACCCTGAACAACGTGTAGGTCTATCCACGCACCAACTCCTTCTTTCCCATACAGACTGCACGCAACCGCGCGATGGATATATACACGCAGTTTAGCTGACAACACACCCCCAACAACAGCTGGTGGACCGACGTCTGCGAGGACGCAGCGACCTTCAAGCAGACCTCGGGGACGTCCTACGTCAACGGCGGCGGCGCGCGCGGCGCCGAGGACAAGGTGCTGCAGCACAACGGGGGCGGCACGGTGGCGGTCAAGAACTTCCTCGCCAGCAGCATCGGCAAGCTGTACCGCTCGTGCGGCAACTGCGACAAGCAGTACGCGCGCAAGAGCACCTTCAGCAACGTCAAAGTCAGCGGCGGCAAGGTCGTCGCGGGCGTCAACGTCAACTATGGAGACGCCACCACCATCTCCGGCTCGTGCGTCGTCGGCGGTGCGCTCTGCTGGCTGTATGAGGGGAACAACAACGGCAAGGAGCCGACCAAGGTTGGGTCTGGTCCTAGTGGCACTGCTTGCGCGACTTCTGCTATCAAGACCAGTGGGTGCTAGGCTTTTCGATGACGGACTGGTGCGAGGAGCTTTTTGGGAGCCGGGCTCGCCTGCGTGACTTCCTTTCTCTTGATATTATTTGAGATGGATGGTGGTGTATATAATCTTCTTCCTATAGTTCGACGCATTGAACACTGAGGTATCTGTACGCATATACGAACTCCTGAAGTCTGTGGGCTAGAAGAAGGTCAGAGAAACATTCGTTGATTCGAAACTTGTGTTCAAGTTTGCGCTCCTCCGTCACACAACTCACGAAAATGCTGCATGCGCCTCGACTTGGAGCGAGGTCGCAATAGATGCATGACTACAGACACGCAGTTACTAACAAAGGACCTGGCCACCTTTGTGCCCATTCGCCAGATAATCGGTAAGATTAGCTCCCGGAAGACCATTGGCCGCAACTCAATCGTGGCCACTTGCAGGGTGACGAATTACCCTGAGATGCTCATCAGGCTAGACTCCTTGGCTGGGCCTGCGGCCAACAGTTTCGCTCAGACACAGCCCCTGCTCTCACTCTTCCTTGCACTTCTTAGCCGCAGCTGCCAAGCACCTTCACTGATGTAGTCAAATGTTGCAGGGACTTGGGAAAGCATCAAAGACTGCTTTTCGCACGTGAGGCTTCCGAGGTGGTCGCGCTGGCGTGCCAGGAGGGTGTATCCATCCTCGTCAGAATTACTGATCTCGCTCATACCTTAGATGTCGACAGGCACGGAGCCCTGCGCCGGACAGATCCGCGTATCCTCTGACGCAGCCTCGTAGAGGTGCTGGCTTCTTGATGATCATTGCGTAGTTGGCCCTGATCTACTACGGTGGCTCTTTATGTATTTCTTCATTCAACATTTTCTCAAAATTTCATATTGTTTGCTGTAATCAAAAGATGTGCTCTACCACATGCTCTACCTGAAATCCTAAAAACGACTTCTTCTCTACTGGCTAAGCCACCGGCGTCTCCTCATTCTCTGGAGACTGTTTCTCGACCTTCGGCGGGCTGGCCTCGCCCTTCGCTCGTATAGGAATGCCCGAAAATGGACAAGTCTTTGGCGTCGTCGGGCTCTTAGGAGCACCATTCGAGGACACAGAGCCCTCGGACTTGTCCTCCTCGATATCGTCCAACACCTTCTGCCCGTCGAGGTAGCCCTCCTTCTCGTACTGGTGCACCTCCATCTCCTCGCGGAACTCATCCCCGTCCCGGACATACCACTTCGCAAACAGGTCGTTCTGTATCCAGATGACCTTGTTGAGCGCCTTGACAAGGGCGATCTTCCTGTCCATCCTGATGCGGGGGTGTGACAGCAGGGCCTCTGTCAGTGTGTCTTGGATGAAGCCTAGGCAGGCGCCGATGTGGACGTACTCCACATGCAGTGGGTGCTCTCTTCCGCGGCCGACATGCATCATGCTAGTAGAATGATACGGTCAGTATTTGTAATTTTTGCGTAATCATAGCCACCATCAAGACTTACCCAACCTTGTCCAAATAGTACCAGAATTCCATTGTGCTGGGATCAGAACACAGTTTGTTCAGGTAGGCCCGCAGGAACATTTTTCTGTGCATGATCTTGAAAAGTTTCTAGTTAGCAATTTGAGGCATATCGCCGTTGAGCACTGTTGACCAACAATCTCCCCATATAAAGGCCGCGCCTCAAACGTTCTGGGTCGACGATGTGGCATTAAAGCGCAAAGAATATCGAGTGCTAACCTGTGGACTGTTCTCAGTCAGAGTCGGGTCGACCGGGCCCTCATAGCTTGTACTCCTCGTCTCGAAAGCACGCGCTGTGATGTCGTATTGTAAGAGCTTGTGGTAGACAATCTATTCATCAATCTGTCAGCAGACTGGCAGTCTAAATCTTCGTGGAGCCTTTTGAAATAGCCTCTCGACCTTGAATCAGGAGTCAAGGATGATGGCAGATTGTGCAGTCAAAGGTGACGTACGTTTACGATGGCGGGTATCAGCTGTTTGATGTATTTTGAACCGGTGATAAGAGCCTCGATATCATCTGTGGCGATGTTAGTATCAATTATGGACGTCCGAAAAGGATTGCAGCACTCACTTGAACCGAAATCTAAGAATGTGTGCAGGTACTGAACCCTGGCCTCGAGATTCGTGTACCTTTCTAAAGTTAGCTACCAAAGAACTGTTGAAGACGTTCCATTTTGCCTATAGACTGTCTCAAAAGCTGCAGCCTAGCAAATGACTCTGGGCATGCAGTGAACCAGACCAAAATTACTACAGCCTGTCCCCTTTAGAGGTGTAATTTCATATCTGGAAGCTACTTACAGATCTTTGCGGTCGACATGGCGCATCGGCCTGAATCCCATAAATGGCCCCATATTCCGCGATTTGGATTATGTGATTTGGGGGTATGAAAGGCTGTGTTTGGCAAAACTGAGGCTGCAACGCAGTGTTGAAAGGGCTGGGCGTGAGATGTGGAGTGATGGATGGCTTGGGTTTTGAGGGGTCCTTTGTCAACTGGGAAATTTATTTCAGAGTTGCACTTGATATCTTTATAAGATGCGCCTATTCACGATGTTTCGTAACGCGCGGGCTCTAATTGAGTCGCCAAAATAAATTGACATCATGTGTTTCTGGGCTCTCTGCTGACAATCGAGGCAGTCTCCTTGGATGGAGTGATTGTGGTCTGACATGTGGGGCCGATTTGGGTGCTGTCGAACCACCACTTCTGTGGAGGCGGGTCCCGAAACGAATCTCCCAGCGCAAACGGCCCTCTCTCAGCCAGGATATAATGGCGCTTTCCAGCCCGATCGCTCCCGCGCACGAAAACGGATTGCCAGGAAGATGACTACTACTTAGTACATATCAAGAATTGCCCGACCTGGCAAGGACTGAAACCCGAGGATTTGGAAGTTGGTAACGCCCGGACCCCTGCACATGGTAAGCTGAGTGAACCAACATCCTCATCTACTCATCGCAGATCCCGCCCGAGTGCCGCCCGAATTTGCCAACAGCAGATGCGCCAGACAAGCCTCAATAGGTCGACGGGATGATTGCTGCACGGCCGCCATCGTTCAGAATGGCATTCCCGTTGGTGAACGAACCGGCGCGACTCGCCAGGTACAAGATCGCCCCAGCCATTTCCTGAGGGCCGCCGAACTTCTGCGTGGGAATCCAGATAGGGTTATCCTGTGTCTCCTGATCCGGGTTGCGGCCGTTCAACAATGTGGTTGTCATTTCCGACGGGAAGACTATTGTTCACCCGTCAGTCTCTCCATTGGGAATACCATAATTGCCTGCTCAGGCGAAAGTTATGGTGGGATGTACTCACGTCCCGGTGCGAGAGCATTGGCTCGAATTGCGTACGGAGCCAGGTTCGTGGAGGCCTGCTTCATGAGGTGCAGGATGGCGACTTTGCTAGCCCCATACGCAGGGGCCGTGAACCAGCTCCTTGAGAAAGACGCCAGGCTCGCTGTGAAGACGACCTGGCTCTGAATGCTTGGGTGCTTGGCCCCCTCGACCGGCGCACCGAAGGCCCCGGCCGCACCAGACACGGCGTGCTTGTTGCCCGCGTCCAGCAGCTCGAGGAAACTGGCCATGGTGAACCACGCCCCGGTGACGTTCACATGGAGCGTCTGGGTGAAGTCTTCCATGGAGGGGCCGAGAAGCTTCGCGCGCAGGTCGGACACGGACAGGGACAAATCGTAGTTGTTCTTCGGTCCGCCGATGCCGCTGTTGGCGATCAGGAGGTTTATGTATCCGGTCTCCTTGGAAACCTGGTCTACGGCAGACTGGAGGGATTCTTTCGAAATCACATCGCACACGATGGGGACCATGACATCTGGGTATTTGGCGGCGGCCTGCTTGATCACATCGGGGCGACGACCGAGGATGTACACCTTGCGAGCACCGTTGACGGCAAGAGCTTCGGCCATGTTCCAGCCGATGCCTATGAGATGGTCAGCGGAGAGTTCAAAATAGAATGCATGGAGGGGAAAGCTTGAGTAGGACGGGTGTGATCTGACCTGTGCCTCCGCCGGTCACGACGGCGACGATGCCGTCAACTCCGAAGATACTCTTGGTATCCAGCATTTTGCTTTTGGTCAATTACGTCGAGAATTATTTGACAAACGGTTGTTATCTCTAGATCTGGCCAGACGTCGACAGTATCTTGGTATCTTGTGGGCGATTCGTGCTTGATGTTGTTCGTCAAGTTCACCAAGCTATCTCGGTAAGATTAGGATCCGCGCCCTCCCAAGCTCGAGGGGAGAGGGGCTAAGCTTAAGCTCGGGGTCCGAACTACAGAAGCTCGCTCAGCAAAGGTCCCGTAGCGCTGAGCCATCTGATTCACAGCTACTCCGCCGTTTGCTCCAGTGCAACGGGAGATGACGTGGGGACTTCCGTGAGTTCGGGGACTGGTAGGCAAGCAGACCTACGTTTGCGCAGTGGCGCAGACATAGACCCGAGCTCAGCCGAACTCCCCTAGCTTTCCGCCAGTCCCGAAACTCACACCAACAGAACTGTGCCCAAAGCATTTGTACCGGCATTGTGTGTACTTCAGGGGCATCTGCAGGTGAATAGAGAGCGGAAGTCTATTGTACGAAGCCAATCGGAAGACCAGGGTTGCCTTCTATTCTCAAGAATTGTACATACAATCAAACATGTTCGAGCCGACAACCGATGACCCGTCGAAGCGATCAAGTCGACCAAGGATATCCACCTGGCTGCATTGTCCCATTGATGAAACCAAGCTTGATGAGCTTCTTCTCAGCAATCTCTTCCTTGTGTGCCTCAAGCTCCTCCACATCCCAGTTGGCATGGATATATCCTCCCCTCAGGAAGTCGGCCTTGTCCGTCGTGAGATAGACCGCAAGAGCCCCAGTCAGACCAGCCTTGTCCTTTGAGAACGGGAGCAGGGCCTCAACGACCATCCCGCGGCCATTCTCAGCCTCGACCATTCCAGGATGGACAGAAAATACGCGAAGCTTGGGGTGCTCTAGATCGAGGAACTCCCCGAGCTTGATAGTAGCCAACTGAGAAGCACTGTAGCCCGACATTCCGGGCATCAGGAAAGATGCACCCAGGCTGACAAGATTGATAATGGTGCCCTGCCCGCCGGTGGCATCGATGAATCCATGGGACATATTGTAAACACCATGCACATTGACCTCCTGTTACACAAGCCACATCGTCAGTCTCGTCATTTAGCCACCAGATGAATGAAGCGAGACTCACAAAGTTCTGCCACCAGTCCGATGACGAAAGCGTGCCAATTGGCCCAACGCCCATGGTGCCAGCGGCGTTGATGAGAACGTCGACGCGGCCGAAGTGCTCTCGAGCCTGGGTGAAGATGGCATCGACCTCATCCTGCACGAGACCATTCGCAGAAATGGGGAGCACCCTGGAGCCTCCGTCGAGCTCTTTAGACACGGAGGTCAACTTGTCCAGGTTGCGACCAGCAAGTACAACTCCCTTGGCGCCAGCAGTCAGCAAAGATCGAGCAACGGCCTGCGTAATGTCAGGTTAGCCTACATGAATCTCCTGACGCTGCTATAGGCGGACGATGGTTATGAGCGTGAACTTACAAATCCGAGCCCTCCAGTCGCTCCTGTCACAACGGCAACCTTTCCCTCGGCCCTGACACCTGGTTTCTGGGCTGGATCGATGGCTGGATATACGTCTCGGTGCATGGTCTTGGTGAGCATGAAGGGCGCCGTGTCTATTATCATTTCGCCAGTCAATAATCCTCCATCGGCTTTCCTGATGCTCATATTCTCCCATGAACAGGAAGGAGGGGGGGGGGGTTTCTGCGCCATGGTATTTGACTTGGATGTGAGATCAGGCAGGGAAAAGGGCTCGCAGGAGGTGACATACAGGCGTTGGCGTCGATGTCTCCTTTAGAAGCCATGTCGAAAAGTTTAATTATTGGAATGTTTGTAGTGATCAAGTCGGATGGGGCCTGACTGAATGAAGCAAAGAGCCAGACGTGTTGAGGACATCTGGAACAGGGCAGCCTTATTTATGCTGGTGGTCGTTGGAAGTCGTAGATACATCTTTTGCTCCTTCCCATAATCAACTGCTAGATCATTAGCAAGCAAGCGGAATCGCGGAATGGCTGACAATAAAAGCACAGATGTTAAAAATCACCAAGAAGATTGGTGTTATTGCAGTGCCAAACACTTAACACTCACTCGCTCAATAAGCAGCGCGGAATAGGGCCGCGACTGCTGATGAAATCACCGTTTCGGCACCGACTGGCCGAATGTCATCACCTAACCCTGGCATTGACATCCTCCCTGACCTGGTCAGTTTCGTTGTTAGCGTGCCGGTCACCGCTTGAGTCAAATGTCATCATCCGAAGATTTGCCAAACCTCAAACTCCCAATCAATAGACTGTATCGAGGCATTTGAAGCTGGCTAACTTTTGCTGCTACTATCTGCAGAGGTGCAACACTCCTGCGGCTGCTTTTGTTTCCTTTGATCTCTCCCTGGCCCTCGACCGGCTTCTCAAGCCAGTCAGTTATCGCAAAGTGCACTCAACACCTTGCCCAGACGCCAGCCACAGTTGGCAAGTCGTCATGTCCATTGTCAAGGTAACCCTTGTTGGGGCGACGGGCAGCCTTGGAGAACCTATTCTTGACGCTCTGGTTAGTGAAGGCAGCTTTGAGATCACCGTCCTACAGCGTGCCTCCTCCAAATCCAAGCCCGGACACCTCGACAAGATCCGCGTTGAGACTATATCCGACAGTCTCCCGATAGACGAGCTCACAGAGAAGCTACGCGACCAAGATGCAGTGGTCGTCTGCTACCGGGCGAAGGACACCTCAGAGCAGATCAAGTTCGGCGAGGCAGCGGCAGCTGCCGGTGTGAAGAGGCTCATCCCGGCCGACTTCGGAAGCTGCGACAGCAGCGGCAAGAGGGAGAGGGAGCTTGTCAAGCTCTTCGACCTTAAGATGCAGATCCGCGGGAGCCTGCAGAAGCTGGTCGAGCAGCACGAGGGTTTCAGCTGGACGAGCCTGGTCAACGGGCACTTCTTCGACTGGGGGCTGCGCGAGAGCTTCCTCCACTTCGACCTGGACACCAGGAAGGCGGAGATCGTCGACGACGGGAACACGAAAAGCTCCCAGGCTACGCTGGCGCAGATCGCCAGGGCGACGGTGAGGATCCTGCAGCGGCCCGAGGAGACGAAGAACAGGATGCTGTTCATCCAGAGTTTCTGCGTCAGCCAGAACGAGGTCCTGCGGTCGTTGGAGAAGGCGATGGGTGTCAAGTGGGAGGTCGAACACGTCGATTCCGAGAAGTTCATCCGCGAGAAGAAGGCTTTGGCGGATCAGGGCAACAAAGATGCCATCGAGGATTTGGTCTTCGTCTTAGGGGCAATCAACGGGAACTGGGAGCAGAAGCCGGACTTTGCTATGGACCTTCTCGGCCTGCAGAACGAGGATCTGGATACCATCGTCCAGCAGGTAGTGTGCGAGAGGACTCCAAATTAAGGCATCTAGACGTGCATCCTGATTGACAAAATGGACATTAAGCTGGAGCAGCTACAACACATCTCCTGCCCTGAACTTGAGACGGGACTGTGCGGGGGTCTTTCACATTGTCATGGTGCCAATCTTGTCATATGGGCGTCCACCAGATGTGCGCCGGGATACATCTCCGTTTTCTCGTGTCACTCATCAGCACACTCTATATGTGTTCCGGCCTCCTAAATCCGGCGATTCGGGCTTTGAAGGATCCAGAAACACGTGTCGTGCCTGAAAGTCACCGAAAAGGCTGGTCTCTCGATGACATATGTTGGACCGAGGAGATACACAATGTAGTTGCCGGAGGAGAATACAATACATTATGTGGGGTGTTGCCATCGTCTAGATTGAACGGCCCGCACGTAACCCACATTTACCAAGCAGATACTCTCACGACAACTGCACCATGTCTTCTCCGACTGGTCTATCCAACACCATTGTGGTACAAGATGTCCTAATTTTCGATGGCAAGGAGTTCACTGAGAATGGCTTTGTTGTTGTGACGAACGGGAGAATTGAAAGGCTGGGCCCAGGAAAGGCAGCCGTTCCGAAAAACACTCCTACACACAGCAAACCCGGATGCACTATTGTACCTGGGCTCATCGATGCGCATGTTCATGCGCTTGGTGGGAATGTTCACTCCATCGAGCAGTCTATCATGTTCGGAGTCACCACTATTCTCGATATGCACAATGAGGCCGAGAACAACAATAGCTTGAAGAAGGTTGGGATTCAAGCACATTCTACTACTCACCATTTGTAACTGAGGCTAATGTATTCATGATACCTGGTGTAGGCTCGCGGACGACCCCTTCGCTAGAGGAAAGTATGCAGATTTCAAGTGCGCCGGACTGGAGCAATGGTCAAAGGTGGCTGGCCAGAGCCTGTCGTCCGGAGAGTCTTCGAGCAGGCCGGCAAGCCAGAAATCGTATGCTGCCCCCCCCCCCCAACATCAGCTGACCCATGGGTTACAATTATAATATTGAAACTGATGCCATACTAGGCCGAGACCCTGATTTCCGCATGGCCCAGGCTCGCGTCTGCCGACGAAGCATCCGCCTTCGTCCAGTCACAGATCGACGAGAGCGGCGCATCGCACATAAAGCTCATGCACGAGCTGGGCGACACCCTCTCCATGCCGGACCTCCCGCGCCCCCGGCTGGACATCCAGAAGGCAGTCGTCGACGCCGCCCACGAGCGCGGGATCATCGCGGTAGGGCACGCCCTCAGCCACGAAGGCGCCTTCGACCTGCTCGCCGCCGGCGTCGACGGGCTCGCTCACTGCTTCCTCGACAAGCCACCGAACGACGAGTGGATCAAGACCATGAAGGAGAAGGGGACTCACTGCAACCCGACCTTGTCGCTGTGCGCGTCGCAGACCGGGCAGGGCGCCGAGCTGCAGCGGCGCTTCGCGGACGGCCCGCTGGCCCGCCGGATGCTGCTTGGCCCGCGGCCGGAGGAGGCCCTCAGGAGCGCAACTTCTTTGACTGCGGAGAGGTTTGGCTTTACTGACAGAGGAACGATTGAAAGCGGAAGGCTTGCGGATCTTGTCTTGCTCGAGGGCGATGGTAGGACGGTTCTGGCGGATGAGGATGTATTGTGCTTGCCTGTTAGCTTGGTCTGGAGGGAAGGAATCCTGGCCGACGTCTTCAGTACCTTGGTGTGAAGTGCCACTTGTTTGGGTATAATTATAGTGCCTCCGCAGGGGAATGAGAATCACTTGCTTGATGACGATTGTGGAGTGTGTCCTATCGACAACTGACAGGCTCTGAAAGGTCGTAAAACCGTCGGATATGGAGCAGTGTGCAAGCCATTTGAGAGCAAGATGCCTAATGGTCATGCAGTCATAAGGCCCGCGTGCTGTTATTCCGTGATCTCGTTTGAGTTGGGTGCTGGCCGCAGCTGGCGGTGATACTGTCACATGCGTCAAGCTGTCCTTGACTCGTTTCCCCCCATCATTTTCTGTGTGCTTTACTACACAAATGTGTTTTCTTTTTTTACATATTATGTTTCCGATGATCCGCTTTCATCAATACTGGATGCGACGTAGCCATGGTTGATCTCGGCCTAGTGCTGCATGTTAGTGGATGGATCCAAGCCAAAAGCATCCCCATGTCGCAGTGAACGAACAGCGATTGCCTCCCATATTATAGTAGCCTAATGCATAAGTTGTGACGCCACTGACACTGAGGCCTCGGGCCCCCAATGTGTACTTAGGCCGGGCTAGGCACTCCCTGCCGCTAGTCGCCTCCCGGGGCTGATCATTTGCACCGCCGAATGACAAAGTCGGATGAGTCGAACTGGCTTGGGGGCTGTGCCACACGGGCACATGATTGCGACCTTTGGGTAACCACACGAACGCCACTAGATATCGCGAACTCGTCCGTTGAGCTGAGAAAACTCATATCAGGCGTCGTCCCGGCTGACAGGCGATTGATGCTCCTCAGAGATCTTGCACAATTCCTGTCGCGCGCGGAAGATCTGTGCTTGTGCACTTCCACCAAAGTCCGGCGCTGACATTTTGAAACCACGAGAAGGAGTCAAAGCGCTAAATGCAAATGTCGCCCGCCATACTTCAGGCCTCACCCCGCCGCTGCCCAAGCTTACCTGGCCCGATCAGAACCCGGACGCTGCCTGCTAGAGCTCATACTTTCATGGGCGCATCAATCGCATGCCTGAGGGCTGTCGGGAGACCGCGATCAAAGACCCACGCGGATGAGATCGACGACAAGCACAAGGCGATCATCATCTCTGGATTCTGTGCCATCGGAAAGACCCATTTCTCATCCAACATAGACGAACAGCGGCAAGGTCGCGGAATGGAGGTCTACGATCTAGACTCGAGCGCATACAGCTCCAAGCCTGGGTTTCCGGAGAACTATATCGCAGAGATCCGGAGGCTGGCAGAGAAGCCGTGCACCATTCTAATCTCAACCCATAGGGGCCTGCCTACGCAGCTAGCGAAAGAGGGTTATTATGTCGCGCTGGTCTACCCTGAGGATGGCCCGGAAGCAAAGAGAGAGTGGCTGCGCAGGCTCGAAGAACGCGAGGAAGCGGGTAAAGACTCGCGACTCTACAAAATCACCGACGAGAACTGGGACCTGTGGTATGAGAGGACCGCTGGTGAACAGATCACCAGTAAATGGACTCTCTCCAACGACCAGTACTTGAGTACTATCTTTGAGGACATACATGCCGACTTCCGAGAGTTCAAAGACCGCGAACGCCAGCAAGACAGGCGATGAAGCCGCGATATCTATCAAGATGGAGATCATTGGATCCGTATCCGACAAAAGATGAAAATGGCCGCGGCATAGCACCCAGCGCTTACGAAGTACGGCATTCCCAACGCAGCGCCGCCTAGGCCGATGCCCCGAACCCAGAGGAACGCCATCAACGGCGCGCCCAGAAGCGAGCCAAGCGTCTTCACCAGCATCACAATTGAGAAAATAGGTGTTTCCGCATCTGCGCCAGGCAATGATGCCTCGCGGTCCCCTTCTAACCGGTCGTCCGCGCTGGAGGAACAGATAGCCGGCGACTTGAGCAGCGAGAGCGTGAAGATCGGGAGGGCGGAACCAAGCGCATAGACAAGCAGCGCCGGCACGAGCAGCCAGATGGTCGCCGATACCGCGATGGCCGCGGCGCCCAGGACCGAGACGCCGAAGCACAGCTTGGCGAACCGGAAGTTGATGCGGCCCGACGCGCCCGGGGACGACCCGTTGGCGCCTGCGACCGCCGAGCGTAGGACGCGAGGGACGATGATGGTCAGCAGCACGAAGTTGACGACCGCCTTCCCCGAGAGGAGGTATCCCGCCGACGCGAACGTCCACCGGTACCGCTTGGAGATGTACTGGACGAGGAGTTTCGTGTCGGAGCTGGCGAGCGATGCGAGGAGGAAGCAGGCGAGCAGGAGGGAGAAGTTGCGGGGGGGTGGCTGGCTAGTACTGCTCGCAGCGCGTGGAAGCGGTCGACGACTGATCGCAGGACCGTCGGCCCCGAGTCCTGGGCTTTGAGAAGCGGGGAGGATAATAGAGGCTGCGACTGTTCGTCTCGCTGGTCTTTTGCTGTATTATGATCGGGAAGCATGGAAATGGTCGGGATAGCGATCGCGAGGAGTGTGATGCCTATCCAGAATGGGAGCCAGAGAAGTAATGTCATCGAGGCAGAGGCAAGCGCTGGTCCCAACAAATTGACAACATATGTAATGGAGCTCATGTACCCGAAATAGGACGCACGAAGTACGTAGTCATCCGTGATTCCAGCGGCGAGTGAGTATGTGATAGAGTTAAAGACGCAATCGCCTCCTAGAAAAGATAGTGCCGGACCTGCTGCGATGGCTTTTGTCGGGAGTATCTGATCGAAGTAGCCGACGATAACGGCCCAAGCCAGCATGAACACCCTGGGAACGAGATTCAGCCACAGGAGGGCCCTTCGGCCGTATCTCTCGGCCACGAACCCAAGAGGTATTGTCATTACGAAGTCTACGTGGGATCAGTACATGTTATCAAAAGCTGGACTGTGTCATTGCTCACCACCAACAATCCACGTTGTGTCCATGAAACCCTGAATCCGGCCCAGCCCAGCTTGTATCGGATCTGCCTTGCAAAGCTTTTCGTCGATATTTCCATCAGGTCCAATGACAGATGGGTCATGCTGGCTGTAGTACTCCTGGCAGAGGCGCTTTTCCACGACCCTGTTCAACGGCAACTGGTACAGGCTCGCCGAGAGGTTGACAAGAAGGAGCAGACCGAGCAGTGCGGCAATGGCGGAGCGCGGCGGCCGTTGGCGGCGGTGCGGCCCGGACTCGGCTCCGTCGTCCATGGTCTTGATATCAAGCGGTAATTCCGCTACTGCCGGCACTGCTTAGAACCATGCGTTGCTCAACGTGGCTCGGCTTCTGTGGCAAAAGTCTTGGCCGAGATATGTCAAGCGGGTCAACCAGAGTGGCTTTGGAAATCAATGTGAAGGCGAGGTGGCGCAAGGTTTGCTTTCCATGCCCTTGAATGAGTGGGTGACACGTGTGTAGGAGATATGGTTGGCGTAGCGTGTACCGCGATACGTTTTCATGGGACCAAGGTAAAGTCAGGTCAAGTGCGGCTCTGGCTGTCCACCTGCTAGGGTCAGATGTGGCCGTTTCATCCAGACCCCCCGGCTAATGGGGGTCGCCCCGAAAGCTGCATATCTGTTAAATGCATCCTCACAACCACCATGGAACCTGCACACAGTTAGGAACACAGAAGAGTCCTAAGTGTGTCGTAATACAGATGACATGCCCGAACCATGATGGCATTTATTAGCTTGCGCTTAGGTAGAAAGCCCTGCTTGGGTTCAGCTTGACAAGGCCAGCGCTCAGCATGGTTGGAAGGTGTCTTGAGCACACTTATTCCAGAATGGTTGGCGCACAGACTTGTAGAAAGGGTCTAAATGAACCAATGACTACATGCTCAGAAGTCACTAATATCTCTGATGGTAGAAACTTGGTATCCGAACAACAATACTATAGCATATATAGATACTCGATCAACAGCCAGTCATAGGAAAACACGCTATATGAAGAGCTACGAAGTGTTCAAATAAAGATACATAAACCGGGAGGGACCTGAATCAGCACTATTACAAGCAGAGTTCAGAGGCGAAGGGGTTGTACTCCAAAAATCAACCAAGGAGAAGTGGGTGCTGCTGTCCATCATACAAAACACATTTCAGAGATTCAAGTTATCAGAGTACCTTACCACGGGACACGATAGCGCTTATGTAAGCAGATTTCATAAGCTTCACGGCCGGCTAGGCCGGCATACACATGCACCTCCAGAGACTATCTTTATATCCAGGAGTTTCTTATCAAGCTTTTTCAACTGCTCTATATAATTTGCTATGTTTTCCACTTCGTACTCCGTGGTCCTTTGGCGCAATGGTAGCGCGGTAAGGAAATATTCCTCCTTTAAATCACGTTAAATAAAATTCTAACTCCAAAATAGTTACTTTCCGGTGGTAAAGGTTCACGGTTCGAGTCCGTGGAGGATCGTTTTTTGCTTCAAAGTCTTCCATCTTTCTCAGTCAAGCCTATTATCCAATCATACCACTATCCAAAGGTGTGAGAGACATATTGAAAGTCGAAACTTGAGTAGCGTTGTTTCGTTTGCTGATGTGTTCAGGTAGATGTTGGTGGATTGATGTGGAACTTTTGCCCTCTGGACGTCGCTCTAGGCCTACCACACGGAGCACTAGGATAACGGGAAAGCTCTCATGTAACATTCCAAGATCTAATGGCTTTGAAAATTTCGGAACTCGTGTAGGGAAAATTTGGTACTTCCGCTGATGGCCTCTGGTGTAAATTAAGTTGATGATTTCTTTACTTGCACCTTCTATTGAGACATACTGTGAGATAATAGCAAGTTGTTCAACATCAAAGAACAACTGAGTAAAATTCTAGAGTCTGTACCAACGGCGCATGCCTTACTGACAGCTTAGTTATTCCACAAGACTGTCGAATGAGCTACATGGCAACCCAACGCATAGTGATGCTATGGAAGATGATCCCCACAACAGCTGTGTGATAGAAAATCATCCCACAGAATTTATTCCACAGCAAATTTTGCTTCAGAATTATCCCACGTAAATTGGTCCCACATAGGATACCCTGAGGGAGGTCACCCTAAAGGGAAATCTCCCATAAAAGATTATCCCATAGAAGGTTATCCTATGGACGGTTGTGCCATGGACGGTTATCCTATGGAAGGTTATCCTATGGAAGATTATCCCATGCAAGTTTGCCCGTGCCAACTCATCCTATGGAAGACTATTCCACAGGAAGAAAGCCCATGGAAGGCTGCGCCATGGAGGTTTATTCTAAAGACTATTCCGCCAGTCGGTGTGTCATTCTCACGGGCCTATCTATCGAAATTTGCCGCCAGGGCGTGAGAGTCATGGCAATCATAGTGTACGCAAATTTGCCCGGGATGGCTGAGTCTGGGCCGAATGATCTGCATTTAGATATCCCTGAGGCCACGACGGCTGCAGCTGTCAACTGAATCATGTCGCTCTTTGGATATGGAGTCGTGTAATCCACCGACAACCTCCATATGCTTGTCAAAGTCGGACATTACTTCTGAGTTCCTATTGTGTCTTGTAGGACAAGAAATCCCGTTTGACTTCAATTTTTCCTTGGTAAAAATGATCAGACGCCTGAGGGCTTTTTGGAATCCTGCAATTGGTAGAATTTATTCTTCTGAAGTACTAGAAATTGATTCAGAGGGGGTATGCGGTTGTACCATAACATTCATATCTGTTTCCAGAGAATATGACAGAAAAGATGGATTTACTTCCCTGGGAACGGATTCTTACAAAGGATGTCCAAGGCTCCATATATGTACCCAGAATTATTGTCGGAATGCACGTCCCAATGACCCGTAAAAAGGTCCACTCATCCTGACAACGTCGAGCAATTGACTTGTGAGCTTTACTGGAGTCGCGTCAGTACATGTACGATAGCTATGCTGAAAACAAAATTCAATGACTGTTGTAGGCATGATCATTTCCACGGTCTACCAAATCCTCACTGTCGCTTAATTGGTCAACATCTTCTGGCATCCCATGTTGCTTGGCGTTATCAATTGAAACTGAGAGTAGCTACAAAGAATGCCCTATGGCATTTCTCATTATCTGTAAGCGCCCAATAGAAGTCATCGGTGGTCCATACGAGGTTTCCAGTGTTGATGAGTTAGGTTCTGTGAAACAAACTATGGTTGCAATTACGTCCGGCGATTACACAGCAATCATGTGTTGTACAAGATGGCATGATGTACACGCAAGCAACTCGATTCCTTCTACACAGCCATCTGTATCATTTTATCACATTGCATTATTCATTACGGAGTCTATTACTGATAAGTTCACTTCGCTACAATTAGCTAAGAACCCCCTTACAGATTTCGATTCTCTTCTAGCTATGAAGTATTCAACAGTGGTATAAGCTGCAAGGCTCACATTCCAAGAGAAACCCATGGTCCGACTGATGCCAGACACTCGGTGAATGACGCGAGTCTTCCCATCAGTGCGGATGGCGTGACGCGTTTTGCCAGAAGCTGCTCACAAGCACCGCCCACAATCATTGCATGGTGTTGGGATCTGGCCCACATACTGCTGTGGCCCACTGTCTGATGCCAGCTGAGTATCAAACGCCGCTCGGAGTTAACAGATCAGTGCCTTGTCCCCGTTGTAAGCTGACGAGAAGTGGATCGGCAAAAGCGGCTCACTGTCCATTCAGAACACTTTGGTCCGAGGAAAGGCACCTCGACCACTCAGCAGAGATGAGTACTGGGAAAACTGGTTCATCTTTGGAATAAATTCCAAAACGCTGGAATTTGAAAACAGGTTTTACTGGTCGAGCAGTCCAACACGCATTCCAGGGAGCTTGCCCATCAGCGGTTTTCCTTCAGGAATGATCCACCAGTCTGCTGGTCAGATTTCTCGCTGAAATTTGGCCATGTAATCGGACTCCCAGCGAGGCTATCTTTGACACGGAAACCACGACAGCCGCGTAGAGGCCACAGACGTACTGTGTAACGTGAAGGCTGGCCGGCTGGCCGCGATGCATACTTAGCCCTGAAGGATTGCGCAAGAGATAAAGAAAAGTGCATGCGGCGGGTCCTCGTAGAGCGATGGAAAGCGAGGTGAGAATCCTGCTAATCAGAGGGCGTGAGGGTCAGACCAGCGTCCAGGCTTTTGACTCGTGTAGGCCGTGCTCTTGATCAATGGGTGTAGGGAGCCAAGTGTTGGGTCATTTATACACCAAACTCAATGTAATCCTCGGCGCAAACGAGGGAGAGATAACGATAGGAACTGCTTGCCTATCTCAGATCTGACAGGATCGACAGGTCGTGTGAGCCCAAAGAGGACAAGATTTGCGTTGCGTTGACTAACAGTTTGCTGCGTCTCCACACCCGTATCTGGTTCCCCGCAAGCCTAAATGCTTTGATATCTGGGGTCGGCTACAAGCGGGTCTCGACCTTGGCCTTCAGTCTCGGTGCACACAATCTAGACTTCAGGCACAACTGGGTCACCTATGCTTAAGAATGGGTCACCTATGCTTAAGAATGGGTCACCTATGCTTAAGAATGGGTCACCTATGCTTAAGAATGGGTCGATCTGCTTCGCAATGGACGGGACAGGAGATGATGAGCACCAATTCACTGACGACTTGCGCCGTCACCAAAGGACCCGTCGTCACACAAGGCTTAGCTAGCTGACATCTGGCGCCCTTCGAGTCGAACCTAGCTGCGACTTGGCGCAATTTTCTCCCACGCCAAGCAGCCGAGCAAAGGCCGCAGGAATAAAAAGGCAGAGCAGACTGCCGGCCGTTGCAGTTTTTTCTCTGACAACATTCGACTTCACATACACGCATTATCCCGAGGCTCCAGCCAGACGCAACCGCAGCTGCAGCCGCGATCATGAAGCGCGACAGCACGACGGATGTTCCGGAGCAATGGCCGGCCTCTAGAGAGGGGAAGGACGAGGAGATTGGCGAGATCAGAGTCCTAGACGATGGCACCCGCAACCTGGTTGGTGCCCAGGACCAGCTTGAGCGAGGCCTCAAGAGCCGGCATATCCAGTTCCTGGCCCTTGGTGGAGCGTGAGCATCCATACCGCTTCCAACCAACAACAACGACGACGACGATGTACTGACCTCTGGTGTAGTATCGGGACTGGTCTTTTTATCGGATCTGGAGCAATTCTTCAGATGACCGGTCCGCTCTCCCTGCTACTTGGATGTAAGTACTCTTCGTCCATCCAACCGAAGGCATCTGCTGGTTGCTAATTACACACCGTCGCTAGATTTGGCTATGATGGCAATGGTGTGGAACATCATGAACAACCTTGGTGAAATTGCTGTCTACCTTCCCCTGAAGGGCGCAACCATTCCCTATTTCGTTGAGCGTTTTGTCGAGCCCAGCCTTGCGTTTGCTGCAGGATGGAATTACTGGTATGCATACGCAATTTTGGTGGCCGGTATGTTGATTTTCTTCCATCTCATTTCACTCTCACGGGTTTCATTTGCCACTTCGTTGCTCTTCAGCATGCTTCAACGAGCTTCCAAATTGTTGGACTGCAGCTCTGAATACTGCTCAGATGCGCATGACCTTGTGTTCCTGCCCTTTCTTCCTCGGCGTGTTTCTGTGTTACCCGATAGCTAACTTGAAATAAAACACAGCCGAGGCTAGTGCAGGTTCCATCATATTGGACTACTGGAAGACGGCCGTCCCTTCAGCGGTGTGGATCGCCATCATCCTTGGTGTCAACCTTGGACTCAACATCTTTGCAGTCAAGATCTTCGGAGAGGCAGAATTTTGGTTCGCTAGCATCAAGCTTATCACCATCATTGGCCTCATCCTCACCGGCCTTGTGATTATGTGTGGAGGAGCCCCAGATGGTGAAGCTATCGGCTTCTGGTACTGGCAGAAGGATGGGCCGATGAAGGAGTATCTTGTCTCAGGAGACACCGGCCGCTTCCTCGCCTTCTGGGCGGCGTTTGCCAAGGCAGGCTTCGCCTTCATCACCTCGCCTGAGCTGATTGCGCTCGCCGCGGGAGAGACGCAGGCACCACGAAGAAACATCCCCAAGGCAGCCCGCCGGTTCATTTGGCGACTGGCCATCTTCTACGGGCTGGGCGCTTTCATGATCGGGACCATCTGCCCCGCGGACGACCCGCGCCTGCTCAGCGACACGTCCAACGCCACAGCCAGCCCCTGGGTGATCGGAATCACCCTCAGGGGTATCCCGGTGCTCAATCACATCATCAACGCAGCTGTCCTTACGTCCGCGTGGTCCGCCGGCAACGCGTTCCTCTACTCGGGCTCACGAATACTGTACAGTCTTGCGCTGAACGGGCAGGCGCCCAAGATCTTCGCCAGGACGGGCAAGCTCAAAACACCCTTCATGGCCATCCTAGCCACCTGGGCCGTCGGGCTGCTCTCCTTCCTGAGCGTGAGCCGCACCAGCGCCGTGGTCTTCGACTGGTTCGTCAACATATCCACCATCAGCGGCTTCATCGCCTGGGTCGTTTGCATAATTACGTACATCCGCTTCAGGAAGGCCATGGTCTTCCGCGGCCTGCTGCACACGCTGCCGTACAAGACGCCACTCCAGCCCTATGCGACCTACTTCGTGCTATTTGTCCTGGTCGTCTTGACGCTCACCAACGGTTTCGCTGTCTTCTTCCCCAGCCAGTGGGACGTCGCTAGTTTCCTGGCTGCATACATCACCTTGCCTATTTTCTTGGCTTTGTACGTTGGTCACAAGATTTGGTTCAGGACGCCGTTCGCCAAGAAGACGGAAGATATCGACGTGATCACAGGTGTGCGGGAGATGGACGCCTTGGAGGCTGAGGATGTTCCACCAGTCCCGAAGAACTGGCTGGAAAAGGCTTGGTTCTGGTTGGCATAAAGAGTTGGCAACACTGCGAGCATCAGAAATAAATTATATTACAAGTGCCCAAATACATTACACACTTTTATACTATTCATCATCATACCCTTTTGTTTGCGCCTCGAGTACATGCTTTCATCCTGTCCAACCTTTTCCATTCATACCAAGGTCGAATCACAGCTGGCAATGTGCCATCCCAATATACAGCATCCGGCATCGTCATACAGAATTCAGTGTAATCCAATGTGGAAGAGCACCCATAGGTCCAGCGGACAAAATGGTTCCACAAAAATGCAGTCCCCTGCGCTCCCCAGCGAGTGTCAACCGCATCTCGTGGCTCTCTGACACGACACCATCTTGGGTTCAGCTGCTCGCTATTTTGCTGAAGAACTGGATCCTCTGCTGAATACTGCTTGGCTTGGCAATCGCTGGTCGCTTCGGCGTGACATCCACCGGCTTGGGCGGTTCGCTTCTTGGTTCGCTTTTTGGCTCGCTCTTTGGCTCACTCCTTGGCTCACTCTTTGGCTCGCTACTTGGTTCGCTCCTGAGCTCACTACTTGGTACACTTCTTGGCCCGCTTCTTGGTTCCTCTCCCTTCGCAGGATTCGCACCCAGCTGCATCTTCTCCTGTAGGAGTCCAAGTTCGACCTGGAGGCCCTCAAGCTCCAGTCTGACTTCGGCTGCTGAACCGTGTATTTGGTCAAGCTGGTTTGAGCAGCGATCGAGTTGCGACGTGGTCCGGTTTACATTGTCCTCTAGCCAGAAACATTCCTGGAGATCGCCGAGTCCCCTTGCAGATTGAGTTGGTAGAGGCGGTGGACGTTGGGTGTTATATTGCAGCGACTGTAATGTCCCCAGCAACGCTCCGCTTGACTTGACATGACGGACTGTCTTCCGGGGAAAGTTAGTGTGCTGAATAGGGTTGAGTGTCACTCCCGGATGTGATGCCCCGGCCTGCACATTGTCGGCAGCAGCCTGAGCCACTCTATCTTGACTGTTTTGACGGAAGAAAAGAGAGCTGAATCTTCGGACCATAGTTTTCTTTTTGTTTGAGAGGTTAATGACGAGATTAGAGACCAACGACACACCTGTGGCCACTGTGTGCTTTAAGGTCTTGAAGTAGTGCTCCATTAGCACAGACCTGTGTTTTATGCGCGCTGGTATGCGGGTGATTAAGGTTTGTCTCTAACGTGGATCAACCCTTGCCTTACAGACTTATTCGCCCGTCACCTGTTTCAAAACAGTTTAGTCTGGGTGTTAGACAAAATCACCCACGTATTGTAGTTCATCCAAGCCTTGCCCATTGTGCATCCTCCCGACGTCCCAAACATTACCTGTCGATCATGCCTTCGGAGCTTAGACTGGTCAGCGCGCAGCGTCTCTTGGCCGCTAGGCGTCTGCTGGTACGTGGATGCATATTGGTGAAAAAGCACAGAAATGATTACATCATCCCATGTCGTAGGTAGTAGGGCATATCTAGAGCTCACTTTCGAATTTCTCCAGGCCGGTTGAATGTGCATTCAAGTCAGAGCATCCAAAGTCTGTGGCCAACTATCCGCATGATACTGGTAAGACTTGCACTGAACACGAAAGAGTAAAGTCATTATCGATCATTTAAGTGCCTTCTTCCGTCCAACGACATAAATTTCCATGTCGCGATGCCGGTAGTTGTGCTACCTTGACATGCCGTTTGGGCAACTGTGGTGGCGTTTTTGACGAGCCCAAGGAAAAGTTTCAAGATAAGATGTGTCTCATGCTTTGAAGCCAGTCCAGCGCTGAGTCGAAATGCTGCCACGTTATTGACACCTCAGCTGCTGCAAGACACGAGGCAGTGGGGACAATGCCGAAAAGATCATGTTATGGACTATCAGAACAATTTTCTCGTGTCAGCCTTGCCATGATGGCTGTGCCTGCGGCTGCATTCAAAACACCCTGGGTGCTTGTCTACCGCCGGGTCTGTAACAGATCGCTTGCACCAGAAGCAAGCACAACGGGTCTTTTACCAGAGCCAGCTGTACAATGACAAGACCTGAAACTTCTCAGGGGCCTGTGCCCTCAAGTAGAAGACAGTCCAAGAGAAAGATGCATGCCTGCTGAAAAGGGCAAGCTCGTGAAAAGGAGCTCGGATGATAGCTTTTCGACTTGCCAGTGCATGAATTGTCGTTGTGTGACTTACACCGTGGGATACATATGTCCAGGCAGCCCACGTCGATGAGGATCCATCCCCAACCCCGGCGCAGCGTAAGGTGTGTGTGTGTTAAACACCATGAATTAAATACCTGCCTGGTCTGCTCCGGCATTTGTCTATGGAGGGAAATGGAAGCACCTGTTTGATTATGGAAGGAGATGTGAGCTGGGATCCAGATTCCAGCGGTGCATATACCCATCCACCCATTATAACTGCTAGAAAGTGGACTGGCTCATCAAAAGGTATTGGAAATATACGTCTGCTTGGCTTGAAGTCGAGAAAAAGAGCTCAACACCGAAGAGCTTTCACACCAGTAGGCAGTGGAAGGATCTCCTGGTAAATACTTACCTCTACTTGCTGACGGAGGCGTACGTTTGCAGCACTTGAGCAGTTTCCTAGTGAATTTGTCCTGGTCGCGTACAGGTGCAACCCAAGTGAAAAGCCTGGGCTTCATAACATAGTGGTGAATACAGACTTAGTCGCCTAGGTATTCAATGGATACACGCCACTTCACCAGGTCGCGAGGTCGCGTACAAAGTGGCAGCTTCGCCCAGGGGTCGCGTTCTCGACCGCGTTCCAACACACCAACATCATCTGGACTTGACCTGACCAGATTGGAATCTGAGACTTGACGACAAATTCCAAGTGCAATTCCATTGTCGTGAAGACATCTGCATCACCACAAACACCTTCCCAAGACAGCTGACGTGACGCGACCGGCGTTGCACTCACCATGGACGGCCAGATCGATGGAGCCGTGGTCGCTCCTCCCCGTTCAGAGCGCGACATGCGTGCCATTCGAAGAGGCATGGGCATACCCGTACCCAACTCACCCGATCAAGAATTCCTTACTGAGGGAATGCGCCGTTCCAAGAGGAGGATGGAATCCGACACCGAGTTTGACGAGGTTTGTAGGGCCGGGAAACCCTTTCTGAAGTAGACTTTACTGACACAAACGCCAAACCAGTACTCAAGCAGCGACCCAAATGCGACTTCCGATGATGAGTATCACACGTCCAAGAAACACCGAGTCGCCGGCCAAAGCAATAGCACCGGCAGAGCAAACACTGGCCGTGTGCACAACATGGTTCTACTTCAGGACAGCAAGTTCTCTGCTGACCGCACTGACATGCGACTCTGGCACGAGCTTCGCTATGTCAGGTCGCTGTGGTCACGAGAGAAGGAGGACAAGCTGCGCCAGGACTGTGCCGCCATCACCGATGGAGACGACATCCAGTCCACCAGCAATGCTGTTCTCTGGACTGCGGCCTTCGATCGATATGGTGTCCCCCTCAGCGACATCTTTACCTACGGAATCCGACCACACCCCAGCAACCTCCGATTCGCCAGGAAGAAGCTCTTGAGCCCCCAGTTCTGCGACCACCTGACCAGCGTCATGGTCCACCCCATCTTCCAGGGCGATGCTGCTCTCCTTCGCTACGTCCTGCAGCTGATCGTTCGCATGCGCGTCGGCATGCATGTGCCGCCAATCGGTACCATGCCAGACATGGACAACGCCACCTTGTGCCAGGTGGATTTACTGGCCGATACGCTTCTGTTGGAGGAGGACACCCCAGAGGAGCGGCTACTCGTCCACGCCGATGCGTACCTGTTGATCTCACAGAAGCAGGGAGCTAGATTCCACCCTGACATTGTCATGCTCGAGGACCTACTCATCGTCCACTTCTCCAACGAGGGATACGAACACACTGCACCCCGGGACGACGCACCCTACTCTCGATGTCTTTTCTACTTGCAGCTGTGGGACCTACAATTCCTTCTCAATGTCCTGGATGGCCTTTCATTCCGCACTTGCTACCTTCCCGTGGATAGGTACAAGGCGATGTGGATCACCGACACCCCCAAGATCCAAGAGTACATTGCCAAGAAGCTGGACGGCCTGGTTCAGCAGTGGTTCCTCAGCGACGAGAGAAACTACAGGATCCGCCAGAATCTGAAGCATGAAAACCGGGGGACGCGTCTGTACGACATTGCCGAAGAGGACTTCAACCCTACCTACGCACGGTCCCAGTATGTGACTCACAAGATGCGGGCGGTGCTGGAGGGTGAGTACCTCGAGGCTCTTTGCCCTCCTCGTCCACTGGGAATCCCCTTCACCCAGAGTCCTGTCACTGCCAGCTCCGCCGCCGAGAGCCCTGCCGTCCAGAGCCCCGTCATCCAGAGCTCCATCGCGCAGAGCCCCATCGCGCAGGATTCCATCGCCGGAACCCCCGTCACTGAGACCCCCGTCGCGAAGAGTGATGCTACCGGAATCCCTGTGGAGATAGAGGAAGAGCCTGGAAGTGGCTTCGAAGCAGTTCAGTTTCCGGTTAACCTGACTAGTTCGCCTCGGGACATACCCATTCGGAGAGTGGAGGAGAACACATGCACGAACACCGCAGGCGCTGCTCTTGATGACCAGCGGACCTCTCCAGAAGCCGAGGTCAAGTTGGAGGCTGAGAGCAGCCTTGAAGACAAGGTCGATGGCAAGAACGGCGACGACGATGGAGCCTACGACGGGGATGCCGATGATTCTGAAGATGATGACGACCAAGTGCGCTCTCGTCGGAAGACCAGTCTTGTCTCGATTCAATCCATCACAAGCTCCCAGTCAGAGGACGACCAGCGTGACAGCCCTTACAGACCTGGTCAGGGACGCTTTCCCCGTCGAGGCCTGCCTCCCTCTGATCCCAAGTGAAGTCGGCTTCGATTCTCCAAGGGCCTCTGAACGGGTCTTGGACATTGTGGTACAGTCCCGGCTCAGCAATATCACCGCACACATAGCACTGATAATGGGCTGAGAACGGTTTCGTGAGCATTACAGGGAGATGGAAGAATGACATCCAGGAAAACTTTACGAAACACTAAAAAACAACGGGGTGAGGCTTGAGGTTCAGGCCTGAGATGCGGACAAGCAAGAGAAGTGCTGGGGGGGGGGGATACCCGAGGCTTTTGTGAAGCCCTTCCAAGCGACCAGGACCGCCACAGGAACATCAACTATCTGGTCAGGGAGGAAGGGGAGAGACATGAGCAGCTCTGTAGTCACTTCTGGAGGGTCAAGTCCGTTTCGAGACTTTGGGGCCTGGCGTTGATAGCGTTGATTTGCATTTCGAGGGGTACCTAGGTGGGTAGCCTCTCATTTATCTGCAGAAAGCACCGACCCCATTCACATAGAAAACTAGTTTTGGTAAACCAGAACTTAGCAAGCATTGCTGCTACCTGTGACCCCACCAACTGTCAGTTTCCATGCCATTACTTCTTGCTGCAGCATTCTGTAAGCTTGCAGCTCGTGTTGACACAATCAACCCTCTCTCCTGGCCAGCACAACAACACCCAGGCGCGACTGCGAGGCAACACTTGCAACACCACCCGTGATAGGTAAGCAACACTCTGTCCTCGAAATAGATAGAACTCCCTAGGGCACATCTACTCATCGCTCAGCTGGGCACTTCTTGACCGTTTTCCCAGGTACTGTTGTCCTGTGCCTCCACCGTCACTGCCCCACCAGCTAGCAACCAGCCTGTGATCGTCTAAGTGTAAATCCCCACCAACAACGGGTCCGACACCAGTGACGAAGTCTCACGCGACAGCGACAACCATGGACCCCAACATGGATCCGAACATGAATCGGACCATGGATCCGTCTAGCGGAGCCGACAACTCTGCTGGTGGCCAGGCCCAGCAACCTCTGGATGCACTTTGGAATGCCTTTCAACAATTCGTTGCCAACCGCGAAACTCCTGTACAAGTTATGCCCCATCAAGTTCAGATGTTCACCAGATTTGACGACCAAGGCCGTCGGTACATGGTCTTGGAAAACTTGCCCCTCGACAAGAATTATGTTGCCAACTGGATCAATAGCGGAGGAGAATTTGCGTAAGTCAATCTCCACAAGACACCCTCCGCCGTGGCCAAGTGGGGTTGGGAAAAGGTTGTTGTTAAAGATATCACGATGCATTGGCATGTCTCGATATCCACGACGGGTCTCTGCTTAGACTTGATATTTCGCTGACTGGTCTCACCAATGCAGCATCGGTGGCGACCCTTGGTTCATCCGCGAAGCTCTTAACAACGAACTTACCGCCAGAGCAGTTGAAGACTCAGTAAGCCAGTACGGAAAGTCAGTGTGGCATGTTGTTGTCTTTCCCGACTCAAACATGTCAAATGCACCGAGGTTCAACTTCTACCGTGACTCTCCAGTGACCCAAGGATATCCCGTGGCCACAACTTTGCGGCCCACTCAGCAGAATCCTCAAAACAACCAGCCGGCTACGGTCTCCCAGAGTATCCCTTACACCAACCAGCAGCCTGTGCTTGCCCGGAACAACCCCATGGGTGGCTTTGGACAGGCCAATTCGTCTGCTGGACCATCTCAGCAGTCCCAATTCACTACTCCCGTGCCTGGCACGTTCAGCAGCCGCGGCGCATCGACAGTGGCGTTCCCTCCGGAGCAGTTTTACTCCCAGGCTCCCCAGCAGGGCAGCTTTCACAGATTCGACCAGAACAACAGACCAGCGCAGGCCAACTACCAACGCCAGAGCAACATCGGCATGTTCAATCAAAGCAGTGGAGCCCCGATGGGATTCCTTCCCCGGGTCCACCGGCCAATATTTGATAGACATGGCTACATCGTTGGTGAGCAAGGCAACATAAATGCCGACAACATGTATGGTGGCAACATGTACGACAGAAATCCGTACAGCAGCAACATGTTCAGTAACATGCACGGCAGCAACATGGGTGGTCCTCACCAACCTATGCCATCTCAAGGACCTCAGCAACAACGCAATCCAGCCCAGCCGGCACGGAATGCAGAGACAAGCAACCCGCAACTTGCGGCTGACGCCCAGTCCTTTTTCTCTTTTGTCAAACATAAGATGGATCAAGACGAGGATTATCAAGACGAGGGCGGCCAAGACGAGGGTAACCAAGACGAGGATGGCCAGGAAGAGGGTAGCCAGGAGAGCAACCGAGCTGAGGTTGATCAAGATGAGAGAGACCGGGACGAGGGCATCGCGTTGGGAAACACCAGCAGCAACAACGCACACAGCATCAACCGCCAGCGAACAGCTCCCCCCAAGCCGGTGCTCGTCTACCCGCCCGACAGCTCAGTCATGAATCTCCTGTCGGCCAGCGAGAGGGAGCCCCACCGCTTCGCCGACAACACGGGGACGAACCTCTGCGACTACTGCGGCCGCGACGGCCACGAGGCCGACGCCTGCATCAAGTGGGACCCGGTCCACTTCGACAAGCCCGTGTGCACGGCGTGCAACAACGACCAGCACTCCCTGGACGAGTGCCCCAAGTTCCGCGCGATGCCATCATCGCAGAGGGAGGCCCTGCTCCTCGGCAAGGGTGGACGCAGACCCGGCGTGCGCAGCGAGTACCACGCGTGGACGCACTACGTCCACCGCGGAGGCAAGTACAACATGGAGGGCGGCGGCGGGCTCCCCCTGACGCGGCTGTTCCTGCGGAACCTCACGCTCGACAGGGACAGCGGCGCAATGATGCAGGACGTGTGGAAGGTCTGGGACTACGAACGCGGCGTGCCGGAGCGGTTCCGGGATCCCAGGGCCGAGTCTCTGGCGGGCGACCCGGCGGCTGACGTGGACGAGAGGTTCAAGGCTGGTCAACACAAGCTGGGTTGGAAGATGCCTGTTCCGCAAAGCGTTTCCCGTGCGGCGCCGAGCCAGGGTCTGACGCCGCCGTACAAGCCGGTGCCTCAGTTTAGGAACGACAATGCGGAGGAGGGAGATGAGACGGAGCTCTGAACAACCGAACCCGCAACTTTACAAAGAGGGGAGACAGTATAAGGTCGACTTGACCTGGTGGTGTAGAAATCCCGGGCATTTTCCGCGGTGTCTTTTGGGGTCTGCGGCCTGCTCGTAGGCATGGAGGCCGATGAGAGGCATGTAAGACACGACACACAAAAGAGTTTTGGCAAGGATGAAAAAGAACGTGCGGCGAGTTGGCCCTGTCTATGGTGTGAAAAAGGAAAGGAGGCCGACTGAGGCATCAATGTCATGAAGCAGACGGGAAAGGGCCAACCGTCACTCCGCGTAAGATAGGATAGAGCCGTCGCAGCTCTTTGCGATACCTGATCAGGATTCTGTGGCATCAGGCTGCAGAAAGAGGCAAATGACGAGACCAATGTGCCAGAATAGGGCTGCTCTCCTAGACTTGGGGCAAAGAATGGTAAAAGCCAGGTGCTCAGCATGACGACTATACCGTAAGTGATGAGCATCAGATTGGGCTAAATAAGAAGTCGCACCAATCTGCCCTAGCCGGCCATGAGCGACCGTACAAAAAGTGTCACTTCTCTCATGAAAGAGACCCTCCGAATTCTGGAGGCTATTTGTGGCACCTCTGGCCTCCGATAGTTGTATGTGAGGCAGGAAAGTCTATTGTAGTTGGTCACTCGTTCAGCCGCCTGACACACGGGTGGAAAGGTGCTTGTGGCGGTGCATAAACTACGAGATTCTACTTTAGCTGGAGCACCGGGGATGGAGGGCGAGCCTGTGTCCACTGACCGAAGCCGGAGGTTGCTCAACAGCGTTGCACGCCGTGTCCCACATTCAGGCCAAGCTCGACATGACGGCGGGGGCGGGGAGCTCTTGTATCGCATGTGAGCCATGGCTATCCAAGGGCCCCAGCAGGACGGCGAACGAAGATCATACCCAATTAGCTGTCTATCTCAAACGAAGTAATGCCCCCCCCCTATCGTTTTAATTAGCTATCCCCCCCCGCACCAAAATTTGGCTATAAACGCGGAATACGCACTAAGATTTTCATAAATACCCTTATTAACATTACTATGCACTTAATTTAGCAAAAAAGAGGTTATTATAACTTTATTTTATATATATTTTTAAAATAATTAAAAATAGCAAAATTAACTTAAGCTTATAATATTAAGGGATATATGCTTTATTAACCCTAGCTTAAGGTAATTATAGCCTACTTAAATTAGCTAATAACTTATTTTAATAATTTTTAAAAAGCAAAAGCTTAATTATTATAACTATATATTTATTTATAACGCTAAGTTATTTACTTTATTAATAAAGTACTTATTAATTAATTAATAACATTATTATATATAAAAAAGCTAATAATAAAAGTAAAAGCTGTTATTATTATAAAATAAAAGCTAGCAGCTTAATTAAAGCCCTTTTAAAATAAGTAAATAACTACTTAATATACTGCTTAACATGCTATTAAAAATGCTAAAAAGGTTGCCCTTAAAGCTATCCTTAATAAGAATAATGCTTTAAGCAGCCTAAATAAAGCTAAAGATACTTATATTAATTAAAAAATATTAAGTATATTTAAACCACTGCTATTAACTAGTAATGCTAAGAATAGCAATATTAAGAAGCTAAAAAGCCATTCCTTGCTAAGGAAATCATTAAACAAAGCATTCTTAATATTATATATAAAAGTTATTAATATAAAGGCTTTTTTAATACTGCTAATAAAGCAATAAAGCTTTAAGTTTAATAATAATAAATATAAGGCTTTTAATATTAATTTATTATTTAATAAGCTTTTCTTTAAAATAAAGAATTAAGTTAAGGCTAAGCTTATTAATATAAAGAATATAATAATTAAGCTATTATAAGTCTTATTTAAGGCAAATTATTAGCTATAAATAAGAACATTCTTAATTTAATTAAATATAATAAAGAGGTTTAAAAGGCATTTAAAGAAAAAACTTCTTAATAATAAAATTATAAAAATACTTTTATTAAGTAAAAGTTTTTATTATTTTATAATTATATATACCTATAAAATAATACTTTTAGCAATATAAATAATGCTTTATAGCATTATAATACTAAGGTAATTAAATATTAAAATCTTTTAACCTTTTTTATTAATAAGGTTAATGCTTAACTTAGCAAATAATTTATTAATAGCTAAGTGCTTATAAAGTATTTCTTTAATAAGAAAGTTATTATTACCTTAAGGCCCTTAAAAAAGTTAATTATTGCTTATATAATAATTATAATAAATAATAATTAATTACTTATTTTTAAGGCTTATAAAAAGCTAATATAAATATAATAATATTTTAAGGGTCCTTATTATAAGGTTAATTATTATTATTATAATAAGGAAAACTTTTTATAATAATAATATTATATTAAAAAGAATAATATATATATAAATATTATTAATATTAATTTAAACTTATAAGCATAAGCAATAATTAATTATAAGGCTGCTATTTAAGGGCCTTTTAAGAAGCTTTTTATTAAGTAAATAAATGCTGCTAAAGTTAATAAAAATAATAAGGAACTTAATAATAATAATATTAACCTTATATATAAATAAAAAAAGCTTAAGAAAAGCAATAAGCAAAGGGAAAGTAGCATTAATATAATAATTAACTTATTAATTAATCTTTATGCTCTTAGCTTTATATATAAGTACTTAGCAATATTACCATTAGTGCCGTTAACACCTTTATTAATATACTTATTAAAAGGCTTTAAAGAGCTATTAATATTACTGGCATTAATAGCTTTTTGCTTAAGCAGCCTTATATGCCATTATTAACTATTTATGCTTTTATTATCGCCATTATAAGTACTTAATAATTAAAAGGCTTTTAGCAAAGACTTTATATTTAAGGCCTTATAAAAGCATTTTTATATATTAATAAAGAAAAGGTAATTAATAAAATTATAAAAAGTTATAAAGCATAAAGGCATTAATTTTTAAGCCTTATATTTAAAGAAAGATATTTAATTTAATAAAAAGAGCTTAAATAATATTAAATTAATTAAAAGGCTTATAAAGCTATATTTAAAAGAAAGGGAGGACTTTTTTAAGCTTTTTAAGAGTAATAAGGAGGAAAAAGACTTGTTATTGCCATTAGCGTTAATATAAAATAAGAATTATAATTTTTAATAAATAAAAAGCCCCTTAATATTAATTAATAATGCATTAATATTAAAAAGTAACTTTAAAGCATTTTTTAATAAATTTTAAGTATTTAATTAATATTATTTGCAAGAAAAAAAATAGTATAATTAGCAAAATAATTAATGAAGTAATTATATATAAAAAAAGAGTATTTATTTAAGTATTTAAAAAGTTAATTAAGAAAATTAAGTATATTCCTTATAATAAATTATTAATTATCTCTTTTTAATTATTTTAATAATACTTTTTTTTTATTAACTTACTTATCATTAAAAAACTTATTATAAATAATCTTTATTGCAATATTCTTTCCTTTTTATTAACGCTACTTTTTTTACCCTTTTTTTAATTATATAATATTTTTATTACCCTTTATCATTATTACTACCCTTAAATTTCTTTTTTAGCATATATATATAGTGGAAATATCCCTTAATTGCCTTTATATGCCAGCCAACCTTTAAAGCGCTTAAATATAAAAAACTTGCAAATTTCTTATTGCTATTATAGTTATTTATCTTATATTAATATTAAAAATAAATATGCTTTTTTAAATTTTTAAAATATATCTTAATTAAGTTAAAATTAAGAAAATATAATAATAAATATATTAATTAAATACTTTTTACCTTAATGGTTATATAAATAACGTAATTATAATGTTATAAGGCATTATTTATTATAAGGATTAATTAAGGGCTTAAATAAATATTTATTTAAGGGAAAACCTTTTTAAGAAGCCATATTAAAAAGAACTTCTTTATTATATGCCCCTTATATATTATAATATTAAAAAAATCATTAATTATAATTATTAGCAATAAAAAAAATAAGCGCCTTGCTTAAGAAAACTCTTAACTTAAGGAGTATAACTTAATAATACCTAGCTTATTCTTTTTATATTATTACGCTTATTAAATCTTAATTTATTATAAAAGATAAATATTTTAATAATATATAATAGCTTAAAGATCTTAAAGAAATAATAGCTTTAAAGATCCTTATTATATTGCTAAGCTAATATATATACCTATTTATTAATTTAATTATATGCCTTAAAAGCCCTTGCAATAATCTTTATTAAGCAATTAATTTAATATACCTTAATAAGAAAGCATTGCATTTTATTAAGGTATATATTTAGCTTATTAAAAAGAAAATCTTTAAGCTTTTATATAGTAATAAAAGGGTATTAATAATGCTTAAAGGGCTTATTATATTAAAAAACGCTATATATCTTTAAAGCTTATTGCTTTAATTTAATAATATTTAATAATAATAATAAGGGTATGCTTAACGTTATAATATTTATAATTATAACTCTCCTTTAATATTATTAAATTATCGCTTTATTACATTAAAATTTAGCTTATAGCTATTTATTTAACGGCAATAAGTTTAAGCATAAATAAAATTGCAATATTTATAATTTATGCTTAATAAGTAGTAGCTACTTATTATAATAACCTCTTTTTTGCTAAATTAAGTATATAGTGATATTAATAAGGGTGTTTATGAGAATCTTGGTGCGTATTTTACGTTTATAGCTAAATTTTGGTGCGGGGGGGGACAGCTAACCAAAACGACAGGGGGGGGCATCACTTCGTTTGAGACAGACAGAGGTTGGGATGCTTGAAGCATATCCCGCAAGGTGGAGCCCTTCACACGAGCGATACTTCAGGCTCTAGCTGAGAGCTCGATTGTAATGAGGGCCTGCCTTATTGGATGCCCAGCTCATGGCGTAGGCTACCCGACTGACCCGCGTCCTCTTTTCAGGTCATAGAGAGGCACGCTTGGTTTGATAAGTTGATCAATTATAGCGCCCGCCAGGTAAGGTTCGACCATGATGAGCCTACCCACAGGTAGCTTCAGCTGGCACGGCTCGCCACCCGATAATGGGCAACCCCAATGTGTTTATTTTGATTCTTTGAACATGCTCGCCTCCGCAGAGCCGAGCCTCGTCAAATATTCAATCGTGCATCCATGAACCGTTTTGTGTAGGACGGACGTCAGAATCGCAGGCTCGCGTGGCTGCTCTGAATCGTGGCTCGTCTTTCCAATTCGGTTCTCGCATCCATCATGCATGCGTACACCCGCGAGCAGGTTGCGTGGCAGCTAGTGAGGCCTGCACAGGGACGCGACAGAGAATAAACCTATGATCTGCATGGGAGTAAAACATTGCAGGTGGCAGGGGCATGGGGCGGGTTTTTTTCTCACTGTCCCGCGCTGCAGGTAACAGCACTTTTCTTTTTGCTCCCGCCCCATCTGCTCCTTGCCCCATACCTGCTCCATGTTCCGTGCTCCGCGCTCCGAGCTTCTTGCCCCGTACCTGGCTTTTAGCCTGTACCTAAGTACCTGCCCATTGCTCCATGCCTGCATCTGCCAGTGTCCGCCGTCATCCAATTCTGCTCATTTTGTCTTGTCCGCTCGACTCACTGTCAAACTTACGCGATGTGCCATGGAACATCCTTAAGCTTGCGGTATTGCAAAGATAAGGTCTAAAGGCAGAATGGCAGTAGTGAGAACTAAAGGAAGAAAAACAGGAGAAGGAAAGATGAGCTACATGTACATGCTCTGACTGGCCGTGGCAGGAAAACAAGACTGAACTCGAGCCTGCCCTCCGCGCAAAGGTCCCGATACCACACCAGCGGAAGGACACATCACTCACTAGTCTCACTAACCATGAAGAAGTCTGATACATCAGGTATAGCCACATTTGTTCCTCGAACATGCACAGCTCTAGAAAGCCTTGTTTTGACAATGTCGCAAGTAGGCATGCCAAAAGAGAGTTCGAGGGTACCAGCAGGTGGTTTGGAAGCCGGTGGTGCTGTACATCGCAGATATTACTCAAAATACGCCTCAAGAGACCAGAGTACAAGAGTCGGTGATAAGCAATATCAGAGTTGCGCTGATAGTGTTCACTATGTGCATCAGCACATATCTTTAACATTCATTTTGGCATCTCATCCCCGTCAGCAGTGCTGACCTAACATTTACTATCTCCGGCCACTGACCAAATTGTGAGATCTGCTTGTCGGTATCCCCCCTCCATCTCCCAAGCCACCATGCACGCTAGGGGGAAGGATCCATACTCCATGCTCCTTTCTTCCTGCACCCTGGCTCCGTGCCCCATACCTTCATCCCTGTTGTGTAACTTCTGCTCGTCTTGTCTCGTCTTGTCTGCCCTACTCGTTGCCCGATATTTCTAGTCCAACCACGCCGAGGACAATGCAGAGCATTTCATTCTCACTTCCACCGTCCGCGCCTTGGAAGACATATAAAGGTGGCCGTCCCCATCCTGAATTGGGCCTCTCTTGTCTCTGTCTACATGTTGATAAATCTAGCTTTTTAATCATTCCTATTACCACGGTCAGGGCCACCTGCTCGTGAATACGTTCGGAAAAGCACGACTTCAGTTGCCTTGGGGCTCGCTGCAATCTCTCGCACCCTCATGTCCTCATTCAAAGTCGTCCCTCTTCCTTAACGTTGTCCTTCTTCCACTCTGCTCAGTGCCCAACCTCGGTACTTGACCCTTAGGAATCCCGACCTCGTCTCCTGCCACGATGTCTACCCAAGCTCATCAGGGCTCTACAACGAGGCATGTTAATAATACTTCCCTATATCACTAAGTGTCTCGTATACCTTCCACTTCCTTTCCCACTCATGAACTCTGGTCTTTCATGCTCGTCTTGGCGTGTCTTCTTCATCTCTGGTTGGTATCTCGCAGCTCTTGATGCAAGTGACAATTTCCCATGAAAATCATCACCTACCCAGCACACTCGATCGTTATCTTTCATGCGCGTCATAAATACAGACCAGAATGGTCGTACATCTCCGTCGCTGTCTCCATCGTCGCAACGGCAGAGACCCGTTCTCCTGTGGACTGGGTCAGCTTCACTGGCCCATTCGGCTGCTTTACCTCCGCTTGCCTTGACCGTTCTGGGCACGCAACTCGAGTGCGAGAGCTTCCCCCTGCCCTTTCTGTCCCCATTTTCATTTCTTTGAATCCACGAATCGTCTCGCCTCCTGTCACCACGACTTGCTGCCCGGGTCCTATGTATTGTCATCCCAACCTGGACCCTCAATCATGTGACCACCGTACAGGACCACACGTGTTGCAACATGGACCTGCATGCAGCTGACAGCAATGCAGCGATCAAGTGTCCCACAGTACACGAACCGCTGGTAATGGCGTCCGCGCTTCAGCTTTTGATTTTGATAACGTTGCCGCGCGCGCTGCCGTCTCGAACCTGACGGCCGCTCAGGTGGCCCAGCGGCAGCGGGACATGATGTCGTCTCAGATCCAGAGTTTCGACGTGGCGTTCAGTGGGAGCACCAAAGCCACCTCGGCAGGAGCCTCTGGCTCTGGCACCACTCATCCTGCCTGGCTCATTGGCATCGGGGCACAGTTCGCAGGCCACTCAAGTGGGCTTACCGGCGAGCAACGCCGAATCATTAATGAGAAGGTATGTTCCGATGCTTCAGATCGCAATGGAAGGCTGCTAAGACTCAACAGAAGTGAGCTCGTCTGAGCTTGGGGTGCTCGCCCACAGCATCTAGGCTTGCAGTAAGCTGGTGTGCATTGGGCTCCCGCGTGAAGCCCTAAGACATGTGGTACCTGACAGCTGCCAAGGATGTCAGAGACAGAGCGTGGTGTTTGCCTCCTCGGTCCACAGTGTATCGTCGTATGCTCGACCTTGATGTGGAGGGCATTTAAGACGGTATGGTTGTAGCCGTGTGGTCATAGCTTGCCGTCGTTATTTTTAAGTTTGTTTGCTGCCGGCTAGGCGGGCCCTTGTTCGGGCGGGTAGGGGAGTGGGACTCGGGACATTCGGTTATCTTATCGATCTTATCAATACCGCGGGGTCCTTCCCTGCAATGATATCATCCTCAACCCCACCTCATCTCTCGTTTTATCTTGCCGTCTTAGGATGTAGATGTTTGTTATTGGACAACACATCCAACACATCTGGTATTACTCGGTATCTTTTGATTTGTTCAAGAGCGAGCTCAAGTCTCGTTGCAACCTGGTCAAGTTCATGCACATCATGCTGCAATGTCTGGATGACAGTGGCCAAGTGTGCGGGGAACAGGTTCCGTGGGGGCATCAGTCACATTCCGCGAGATTCTCGAAGGCAGGAAGGAGTAGTTCTCTGCAGGTCTCTGCAGGACTGAAATTGAGCGAGGCCTCACAAAGGGCCGTTTCACCAATTACCTGCGTGGATTGACCAGGGGCCAGGCACGAAACCTTCCACATACAATCAACGACTGGCTGCACTTCATACCCCACAAACTGGTCCCAGAAGCCTGCCTCCCAGGCCGCCAAAGCAGACTGGCTCACAAATGGCTCGGCCGAATCTGCGGCTCTATTGAATTGGAGAACCCTCAACATACAGGCTGCACCGCCACACCTACTCGCTCACGCGTTTCTCCTTAGGTCTTGGTCATATCTCAAATGGACGAGCTCGGCACTTTCAAGAGGCATCCCATCGTATTGTCGCCTCAGTGGAGCGAGATATTGTTCAACAATCGTTTAGAAGCCATACAGAGGCTCTCTTTTTCCAGACCACCCCAAGAGGCTCGGTCGGACGAACCGGTTGGAGCCTGGTTGGCAGTATCAGGTGTGGCGCGAGACCAGCGACGAGTGGCTGGTGCGAACAGGAGCATCCTGCAGCCCAGAGATCTTTGGGCTGGTGCGCCCGAGACTGGACCTCGGCCCAGGAGCGTACTTGCATATACTGGGCGATATTTGCAGCTCAAATGCAGGCCTGGAATGAGCTGCTGTACGACGTTCACCACTCATCGTCAAGCACCAAGCAAGGCACACTGGTGTCGCGGGAAATTGTTCCACTCAAATTGACTCACAAGCCACAATTGTGCCGACAAGGCTCCGTTTCCTCGCGGGTGGCGTCTGTGATTTGTGGCTTGTGAGCCGGAAGCCTCCGGACAGCCGGTGCTGATGCTGCAGGAGGGCGGCCGGTGGGGCTGGTGGACGTCGTGAACGAACCCAACCCCAAGTCTCCAACCAGTGCTTTGCTCAAACATGCCGCATTGCCAAGGAGAAACCAAAGTGACCCGTTGAGCGCACAAGCCTTTTGACAGTCGCGAATTAAAAGACCACTGTACCAATTAGGGATCTCAAGAGTCCTAGGGGGTACCAAACCTGAGCACGCTTCCAGAAACAGCGCGGGGCAATACAGCGAATAGTGTGGGTCAGCAGTGCAGCCGTGGAGGCTCAAGAATTCCATCCTTCCTACGCCTCCTCGTGCATACGATAGCTTGCTGCATGTATCTTTCCCGGTACATGATGACGATCGCTTCCATGATATGGGGTCGGACCGCATCTACCAGCACAGTTGTTTGACGACAAACACGCTACATCGAAGCCATGTATCCAGGAAGCGAGTGGTCTGGCACTTTTGGCCCCTGGTCTTTTGGCTGACAACCAGCAAGACACCTTCGCGCGGATTAGCCGTCTTTCTCACCAACCTCGTCTTGCGCCTGCATAGACAATTCTCCATGTGCCTTGATCATTCTCACCACTCCGGAAGCCATTCCGAGAGCTGCACGTGCAACCGCACGATCCCCTCTTATTTTCCTTGTCAGACGAGATGGCCAGTGGATGTGGCTTCGGTTCCCGGTCCAGGGCAGCCCCTGCGCTCGCCGGGCCCTCCTTGTTAGCCAGTCTGGTCTAGTTGGATTGGATGTCTTACCTGGCTAGGCTTACTACCTCTCGTGGCTGCCATAAATCTTTGCTGCAGACTGCCGAACCAGAAACATGCTGTTCAAAATTCAGGGGCAGTCTTGCAGCCTCTAGGGGGTGCCCAAGCCGGGCTAGAAGCGGTGGAAGACGGAATGGGGCGTCATCTCCCCAACCTGTTGGCATGGTTCTAGATCGTGTAATCGTTGTTTTAGCAAGCTTTACAACTTGATGGCATCCATAGACATTTTCATAGTAGATCGTGTGTTGCGACTGGGTAGTTGATTTCGGCAGGAGACATGGGCAGCGTACGCTCCCTCGCCCTTGAAGCCGAAAAATTAGTTCTGCAGACTTGCCGAAGCACAAAGACGAGCCGAATCGAGCATGATGAGGTCTTCCAATTAGACTCATCAGAAAATGACATGTCGAAGCTTGGAAGAGTGCGTCAACTACGCGAACGAGGGAGAAGAGTACCGGTACGGATGAGGGTGAGGTCGAGGCAGGGAGGGTGCGCTTAGGAGAGTGGAGGGGTATAGTTTCCAAGTTCGGCCCTGCCAGAGGTAAGAGCAGGGCTCGATCGAGCTGGCAGGGGCCGGGGCAGGAGCAATAAGTGCAGGTGCGGGGGAGAAGAGAGTGAATGGAGAGAGGAGATCTGACAAGGCTCCGGTCCAAACGCCTTGGCGGCATGGAGTTTCTTCGAGAGACCTTGACAAGGGACGCCGCGGGCAGATCGCTGCTCAAACGGCTGGTGTACAAAAGGGCTGACATGGCCGACGCCGACCCATCAGAACCTGCCACCCACGTTTGTTGGCCACTGATGCGTGGGCTGTCACCCAGGGCAGGACTTAAAGGGACGCCGACGGGTACAAGACCCCAGCCAGAGCTTACTACGTCGAGTTCGAACCCTGGTCCCCCCGACGGTGGGTCTGTTGGTAGCAGAGTCCTGCGTCAAATTGTCGTCGAGGTACGCATTTGCCTTGGCACCCTCTTTTCAACGGCCCTTTCATGTTCTTCCAGTGCCCAGCTAAGACCACCGCCGCTTTATTCAACCAAGGCACACCATCCATCCTAACCCTCTGCTTCTTCAAGCCCGAGCACCAGGTTCCTGAATCTGAGTTTGAAATGTGGTCAGCCTCGACAGAGTACGTCGCAGGCGAGGCGGCTAAGAGAGCTACATCTGGACTGGGCTGTCGCTTCAGAGGACAATCACTGCACTTTCAGAGTTTTGGGGGGAGTGGGCAGGCTCCCCTGGGCTTTTGGACCTCCCAATGTACTGTCGCAGTGGGTACCTAGGGGTGTGAGAGAGGGAGCGAGTCCTGGGGGGTGCAACGAGCAGTGGGAAGAGAGGTACGGTATCGTAGTACCTGGACTGGGAGACTTGGACTTGGACTCGGCCAGGAAATCGTCAAGGCCAGGCTCTCTTGTCCATCGCAGGGTGGCAGGGGTGGAGGGATGACGCCTGTGGACCGGCTCCTCTCCATACTGCATCAAACCGTTCGGTGATGCCTGGCGGTGAATGCCACGGCCGGCCGTTTCGAGGTACCTGCCACTGGCAACTGGGGTACTTGGTTCCGTGCTGGATAAAGGGCGTCGTTTCAGAGTTTCCATGGTCCGTGCGTTTGTAACTTTCCCGCTGCTCTGCTCTAGCAGACACTGCTATGCCACAGTGGGCCGCCGTGCCCTTTTCCACCCCTGCCACCATGATTGGAAGAGACGCCTCGACCCGGCGGAGCGGGGGACAACGAGGATGGGCTGTGGGGACCGGTGGATGGCGCGGGGAGGGGTCTGCGCGCATTGGTGGCGCGTCAAAACAGCCCTGACAGTTTGCCTCCAAAGAGTTGCTGATCGCACGCCTTCACTCCTCGTCCCAACCTACTGACCTTGTCAGGCTGCTGCCTTCTTGGTGTCAACTCGTCGCTTCCGTGGCCGTGGGCGCCCGCTACTCCGCCAAATACCCCAGGCGCGCATGAGAGGTGCCACGAAGGTGCTACGCAATGGGAGGGGGAAACACAGGCAGGGGCTTGGCCGTCTATGGTGTTTTCCCTGTCTCTAGTCTGTACCTTGAAGCTTTCGTGCATTCCTTTTCCTATGGCTAGATCGCTCCTCCCCTCAAATACGCAGGTCCCTTTCCCTCCTCGCACCGTACGTCCACTGCGCACACCATTGTTTCTGCGTCCCGTGCTGTGCGGAGTGAAGTCGAGCTTCCTCCGATTTCTTATTCGCAGGGAGCCAAAGAAACAAAATGGATAGCAAGGTTGTTAGTCTGGTGCGAGACGATGTGAGGTGAAGAAGCGGTCGCTATGCAGACTCGGGACGGAGCCATGGACTGCCAGCAGGAATCCTGTGAGGCTGAAGGATGCGGATGGGAATCGATATGTGCAGTCACCCTTCGAAACCTGATGACCGAATAACAGGAATATCAATCTCGACCGTCGCAAAAAAAGATTGGGTCTCATGCGTCGTCTTTCCTTTTCCTGCCGGCGTATGGCAGAATCCAATTTAGGCAACCTGTACTAGGCCGCGGCCATCGCAATGTGTGTTGGCTTGATTTCTTGACGCCCCCACCCCACCAATCCACCTAATCCAGGCCGTCTGCTGCTCCACCCGACCTTTATTCTGCTGCTCCACCCGACCTTTACTCTCCTGCCACCCAAACAGTGAACCTTGGATCGGCTCCCATGAGCCAGGAGTGGATGCCACCTTCCACCTCCTAGCTCCCTACCGTTTCCCAGTCCAACTCTCTATTGATATCGCAGGAGATCGATTCATCTGGACAAAGCTCGCCTTCCTTGCTAGTCGCGTTTCCACCGGAACGATATAATTTCTGGTGCAGGTGTGAGTGCATGAGGAATATCGCCGTCGGTGACTTGTATGCTAAGACCTAAGACCGCTCTTGGTAGAAGCGTGATTGTATTTGCTGTGTAGCACCATTTTCCGTCGTGGACACCTGGAGTGGAGGGGTGATGCGATGCCTTGTGCATTCCCCCAAAAGTCTAAAAGTGCAGTGGTTGTCCTCCCAAGACCGACCCGAGACCGCGACCAGGGACGGAACCGTGGACCGACGTTGGTAGACAGGGAACACCCATGGCGGACAGCTATGGCAGACAGGGGACAGTAGTGCCAGGCAAGGCTTATTAAGTACATTGACTGTGGCCCTGACAGAACTCCTGGCTGATTGCCAGGCAGGTACCTTGAGATACATGGACTGCACGCCAGACAGGCAGGGGCAGAATGTCAGGCTGGGTACAAAAGGGTCTGGACAAAACAGCATGCCAGTCGGGGTACATTGGGATACACAAGTTGTGGCCCAGACAGCCTCCAAAACCCACGCCATGGAGTCTTCTCATCTACGGGGTTTTCTTCCCGTCTACGACTCGGAGGTTTCCCAGCACATCAGTCTTTGCCCGTACTCATCTCCTGCCTCTCTTCTCTCCCACCGTCGTCGAATTTAAAAGAGCCGCCTTTCCCACAGAAAAAGCAGACAAGATGCTGAAGGATTCTTTCTCATATGATCATCGACAGTCCTATATATTGGATACTACAAGTCTACTTCTGACACTGATGTCCTCATCCTCCATTGATCTTTCGCGGACTAGGACACTGTCCATCTCGCTTTCCCATCCTCACATACACCCACCCCATAGATCACCTTGATCACCCACGCCTCGCCTTCAAGCTGTTGCTGCCCTCTGATCACTCACGGTCTCGACAGCTTCGCCCCAGAACCATGTCGTCCACACGAGCCAACGCTGGTTCATTTGCATCAAGGTATGCCAGAACTCCCATCTTGTCTTTTATTCCCTCATGTCTTCCCTTCCTCCTCTTTCCTTCGTCTTTGATGTTCCTTCGCGCCCTTGTCGTGTTCCGTTATCAGGATTGCTCTTGGAGTCGGTGGTTAGCTGCCGCCCTCCTGGTGCAAGCCTTGGCCGTATCCATCGCAGCACACAGCGCCATGCGCGATAAAGGACCGACTCACGGCTGCTCCTCACCGTCTCCCGGTCATGTTCACACGTTAATCCCTTGATTTTCTGGGAGGTGCCAACCAGCGCATCTTGAATTTTGGCTTGGCTCGTCCAGCACTTGGTCCAACACTGGGGCATGTTTCGGCTGCCAGTAGCTTTCATGGTGCTGGTAGTGGTAGTGCCACTGCTGTACAGGAGGTACTTGGATCGAGTGCCTCGGCGACCTCGGCCGCTACTGCATGACCATCGAGGATGAAGACATACGCGACAGGGACTTTTGGTTAGAAGTGTCGAGGTATTGGTATTCCAAGGCTATGGACAAGGCGCCCACTACCGGGAGGCTTTACCATCACCTGGCGATTCTTGCGAGGCTACCGTACCGGTATGGATATGGGTGCTGACGGCGACACTGGCATTCCCACTGGTGCTGTACACCTGATCCTTCTCCTTCCTGTTATTGTCCGGGCCCGATGAGCCTTGTTCGTACCGATTGCAACTCGTCAAATTCTCAGGTTCGGGATGAGCTGACACAAGCAGCACTCGTGGCAGTGCAACCGCTGCCGGTGCCACGTCGACTGGCGGCCACGGACAGCAAGCCCGGCTCGACGAGCCGGGCTACGCCGCGGCCCACGGGTCCCAACAGCAGCACGCTGCTGCTTCTTCGCATGGACAGCAAGGCCGTTCATTCGGAGCCACTGAACCTAAGCCGCCTGTGGACGATGTTCTTCTGGGCATCGGTGCACAGTTCGATGCGTACCGTGGCGGATGTTATTAATCGCCGCTGGATCTTTGCCCCAAGGGTCAGATCAGGGAAATGACGGGAACAACGTCGCATGGCGGCCACTCGGGCGGTAAGTTATCAACCATCTCGGTGCACAGAGACAAGCCCTGATCGTGGTGGCAGCCATCCTCGCCTGGTCGAAAGACCATCTTGTGACGTATCCGACCGGCTGGGTTTCCTTGTGGAGTCGTCAACTTTAGCTTCGGGACGGACCGAGCACTGAACCGTCCGTTCGTGACAAGCCGGGGGCCTTCCCTGCCCATGTCGCATCCCAGGTTGCCCCGTCGCTGACAGGACCGCCTTTGGGCTCAGCAACAAGGGCATTCAAGGTTGTATAAAGAGTCTGGGGCTCATTTCTTTTGTCTGTTTTCGCACGATACGTTCGATCGATGGTAGCGCCGGCGTTGTCTTGTCATGTCATCGATTGGGCGCGTTGGTGGGTCGAATCCCTTTCTTGGACATGTATTATCAGCACCGGCGCTCAAATAGAAATCTTTCCTCATTTGTTTTGACGTTGAAAGAGTTGCAGCGCAAAGAGGTTGTGTCATGACCAAAAGATAAGCAGGAAGACGTTGAGGAGAACGCGCACTTCGTAGTTGAGGGGCGGAGCTCCCTTGCCGGCTTGTCTAATTGATTGGTCCCTGATAATTCCTCCGGCACGACATCGGATCTCACCCCGACCCTAGCCGCCGTTTGTCTCGGCCGGGGTTAGCAATCATTAAACGCAACGGCGAAGGGCGCAGTAGACATTCTTCTGTCTCCTTCTGCTATATGTGCAAATTAATGGGTGTTATGCGTGCAAACAATCTACTGGACATCTAGGCACCTTGTGAGCTCCTCTACCCTGACATTACTTCAAGCGTGTCGTCTCTGCACTACCACCAAGATGAGCAAGATTGAGAGCGTCCTTACAGACAAGGCCCCCAAGCCACTCCCACAGTTTTCGCAGGCGATCAAGTACAATGGCCTGGTCTACTGCTCAGGCAACATCGGGCTCGACCCGGCAACCTTTACAGCCGTCGCGGGTACTGTTAAGGACAGGACGGCATGTCTACCATTACCCGTACAATGCCAGCACGGGCCAAAAGCTAATGATCACTACAGAGGCAAGCCCTGAAGAACCTCGAGGCCGTCCTCGAAGCATCCGGCAGCAGCAAGAGGAATGTGCTCAAGGTCAACATCTTCATCACCACCATGGACGACTTCGCCACGATGAATGAGGCGTACGATGAGTTCTTCTCTTTCGAGCCGAAACCTGTAAGTCAGCTCACCGTGGGCAGAGTGAGCGTCGCGCTAAAATGATTCTGCTGCAGGCCCGGACTTGTGTTGCTGTCAAGCAGCTCCCCTTCAACACTGACGTTGAGATTGAGTGCACAGCGTATTTGAACTAGCCAGGCCTGGGATTTGTTGTGGTATCGGAAGCTGAGACTGTGACAGGGTACTTCCGGGATCATCAGCCAAGCTGTAAATGGGCGTTGAGCATAAGTAATAAACGAGTGCTAGGAGGAAGAACGAAAAAGGAATGGACGCCAATTGGTGGGAGCTGGGGAAAAACCACGAGGAGGAGGATTGACAGGGGTGTTGGCAGATCTCAGGGGTCCCGCATGGCCTAGTAGGCCTTTTCGATCCAAGATCTGGTAGCTCAAAAATGTGATTGACGTAATGCGTCGCATGAAATACCATCCCGCTGGCTTAAATTTCCATCCGTCTTACAATCGCATTTTTTTTCACCTTCACAACTGAGCCCGAACAACCTCACCAGCCAGCGATGAGATGACCTCAACTACCCAATTGCGCATTCTGCGCACCTCATTACAATCCTTCCCATCTCCACTGCTGCTACGCCGAGGCTACCACTACCTGCACACGCCGCCCAGCCAGCGAGCCCAGTCTCCCTCGCATCGACAACCATGCCGATCGCGACAATTCTCAACGTCGCCATGCACCCGCCAGCGGTTCCAAAAGGCCACGGCACAGCTTACAGCAGAGAAATCTGACCGAGACTCCCTGCAGCCGACGCAGACCACCTCCCCAACAGCAGCGAGCCCACCCGCCTCGACGCGCCCTCCCCCACTGAGCCTGCCCGCTCGCGACCCGGCAGCCAGCACCTTCTCCCACCTCTTCGCGACAGGCAAGGCCTACCTGACATTCTACAAGACGGGCTTGAAGCAAATCTACATCAACACCCGACTAGTATGGTCCCTCAGCTCAGCCTCGGGCATCCCAACCGACACACCAGCGCCCGCAGGCCAGCCCGCCGAGCCCCCGACGCTCCGACCGGCCGCGACGACGCGCTCCACGGAGCTCCTCAAGAGGCGCTGGCGCCACGACATAAGGCGCCTTCCGCTATTCGCGCTGATGTTCATCGTCTGCGGCGAATTCACCCCCCTCGTCGTCCTCGCCCTCCCCAGCGTCGTGCCCCTGACGTGCCGGATCCCGCGGCAGATCGAGAAGCTGCGCCAGGCGGCTGAGTCGCGGCGGCGGGCCTCGTCCGCGCGGATACAAGACAAGATGCAAAGTGCCAGTAGAGGCAGTAATAGCACTGATGGCTCCGCCCTCTCCCACGCCGAGGTCACCGCCCACGTCGCGCGCTCGCTGAACCTCATCTCGCCCCTGTGGGACCGCCTGCCCCTTCCGGACAGCGCCGTCGCGGTTCTCGCCTCGCGCAGGGTGCGCGCCCACGTCGCGTACCTGGACCGCGACGGGCACCTCCTCTCCCAGGCGGGGGGCGTGCCCGCGCTCGAGGACGACGAGGTCGCGCTGGCCTGCGAGGACCGCGGCCTGCCCGTCGTGGGCAGGTCGGCCGCGGAGCTGCGGAAGTCGCTGGGGCGGTGGGTGGCCCTGGCCGGCGGGGAGGTCGGTGATGGTGATGCCGGGGGCCCTTGGAGCCCTGCGGCGGTGGCCCGGAGGGAGGCGCTTGTGGTGTCGTTGCTCGCGGCGCAGAAGTGGCCGCTGAAGAAGCATGAGCTTGAGGCACTGGCCAGCAAGATACAATGGTAGGCAGCCCGGGCGAGCAGGCGTCAGGTCGCGTCTCGAATGCTTCCCCGGACAGTGTTCTGTGTATAGATAGATGTATCTGTTTGTAGAGCATCATTGTATATATTCCGCTGCATCTCCCCACTCACACGAGCTGCAGAGATGATAGGTCACGGCACAAATTCAAATGTACAGGGTCTTGATTATCTATTTTCACACTCGCAACGCTCTTGTCTGGTTCTAACTTTCCCCGTTCGTAGAGCTCTTTGATCAAACTTTGTTCCAGACTCCTTCCCATGAGGAACCCCTGGTCCAGCGAGTCTTCGCAAACGCAAAAATCCGGCCTGCTATGGCTGTTCATCATCACCGTACCTTCTAAAACATCATACTCATAGTAGAACAACAGCAATCAGCCTGGTCATCTCGGTCATCAGAGTGTTCCCACCCGGGCCCAGACCGTTCATTGCCTTATCCTGGCAAGCGTGTCCATGATGTTCTGGACATCACGGGCAGGATCCGACGATCCTGCGGCAGGCGGAACAGCTGGACCGCGAGGAGCCTGTGGATAAGCAGGCGCAGGATACCCTGACATGCCAGGGACTCCCATTGCAGCCGGCGTACTATTGGCGGAGGCTGCGGTGAGATTACCGATCAACGCGTTGAGATCGACCCCTGCACTCGGGGCAGCTGGGGCACCCATGGAATGAGCAGGATGCATGGCTGGAGCGGGTGTTTGCGGCTGAGACTGCTGTAGGGAGGCAATGATGGTCTGTAGAGTCGCGGCGTCGACATTGCCCACTTGATTGAGCTGGGCGATGATGGTCGTCAGGTCTGGCACGGCAGCAGGATACTGCTGCGCCGGTGCTGGCGGCTGCTGGTAAGCACCATACGGTGCCGGCGTCCCGTATGGCTGAGGCGGGTAGCTGGCTTGCGGCGGATAGGCTGGCTGTGAGGCAACGGAGCCCTTGGCCCGCAGAACCAGCTGGGCCGCGATCGGTGGGTCCAACTCTTGGTACTGGTCGAAACGAACATTGCTCCCGGCAGAGCGATCAAACACTTGAAGTGGGATCTTCGCAGTCGTTTGGGCGCGCATGTCCAGCTCGACAACAGCATGGACGCCTTCGAGAACCTGTCGCTGGATGACGGCATCTCGAGGGAAACGAGGGTTCAGGAACATGGCGGTTACCCTAAGACGCGCGTCCATAAACGCTCGCTGCACCCATTCGACGAAGTCCTTGTGGACATCCTGCATCAGGAGAATCTGAACGTCGGGCACGTCGTTTCCGTATCGGCGAGGTATGTCAAGATTATCGCTCCCTTGGCGGGAACGACCGTAGGGGCTTGGGCTCCGACGCCTGTATGCATCGTGTCCGTGTCTCCCATATGCGTCTGGAGAACGTGACCGTTTTCGGTTGAACGAGTCGTGATGACCACCACCACGCTCGCGGTTGTAAGAGTCCTGCCTCCCGCGGTGATCACCACGTCTGGGCGGAGATGGTGACCGACCAGGGCGATAATCGTCCCCACCACGAGGACGACGGCTGTCACGTCCGTCATACCGGTCGGCACCCTTACCACCTCGGTCACGATTTTTGCGGTCAGGAGAGTGGTCGCGGTCCTTTTTGGACTTCTGGGTCTTGGAGACCTCAAGATCTAGATAACATTAGTGAGGACTCATCTCAAGGAGCGGGGACAAACAACGTACTGATCTTGCGACCCTTGACCTCGGCTCCCTGGAGAGCATTCATGGCCGCCTGGGCATCGGTATTTGTGTGATACTGGACGAAGCCATAGGCAGACTTGAGTGAAATCTGAGCCAGCCGACCGTACTGGTGGAACAGCTCAAAAACATCGCGCTTGGAGACCCTCTCCTGGGAAAGATTGCCTGCTCGCTTTGTTAACAACCCACACTTACTGCCTTGGCCTGGTGGAGTTACTCACCGATGAAGATTCGAGACCCATCAGGAAAGCGTTCCCACTTGGCTTCAGACATGTGCTTTCGCTCGTCTGCCAGGAACTCGTCATAGGTCTGCTGCAGACCAGCTCCGTTGTTTGCAGGGGCTTGGGAGGGCGCGGTGCCAGGTGGATAAGCATTAGGGTATGAGGCAAAGGGGGGAGTGGGATTGTAAGTGGGTGGCTGCGACATGTGGGCGCCTGGCGCACCGTTGGTGACGCCGAAGGAGGGCTGAGAGGGACTGGCAGCGGGTGCAGATGAATAAGGAGTGGCATTGGGCAGAGAACCATGGTGATAGGTAGCCTGGGAGTATGTTTGCTGGGATTGCTCTTGGGTCAGGGCAGGCTTGGGAGGGAGGGAAGGCTGGTCTACATCCATAGAGGGAGGTGACTGGGGCTGGAGGGATGCGGACGCGGATGGCTTGGCAGCTGGCTGCTCGGATGAAGCCTCGGCCTCGGCTTTTGCAGTGATCTCATCGACAAGTTTCTGGATATCAATGGCAGTGGCATCGGAATCACCTCCCGTGTTCATGTCGACGTCCTCGGGCTGGACGCCGGGCTGCTCTTCGCTGGGGGCAGCCTTGTCTAGCTTATCGGGGTCTACCTTGTCCGGATCGGGAGATGCCACCGACTGCTGGGACTGCTGGGACTGCTGGGGTAGGCTGGGAGGATCGCTGGCGGAGGCATGTGGGAGCGCCTCTTGGACGGCTGGGGAAGGTGCAGGCTGGTGACCGCTCTCTGGGGGGACGAGGGCGTCTTGGGCCGGGTCTGCGGTGTGGGATGGTTGGGAGGCTTCTTGGGCGGGCACGCCGGGGGCGGTGGGATCAGCAGAGACAATTTGGGCGGCAGACTGCTCTGGTACACCTGCAAGCTGCTCGGAAATGTTCATGGATTCTGGCGTCTTTGTTACATCTTCATGTTGTGGTTGTTGAGCCTCTCCTTCCTCATCTGCGACTTCGGCCTGTTCCTTGGGAGAATCAAAGGTTCTCGCATAGTCATCGCTCTCCGGCTCAAGGCCGGCTGTGCCCTCCTGCTGCTGGTGTTCCTGCTCTTGACCACTCCCGTCCTCGTCGTATGCATCGAAGCTGTCGTCGTCGGCTATGCTGACGTCTTGCGACTGGGCATCGTTGCCGTCCGAGTCGGGTGACCCCTCGACAGCAGCAGCGTCGAGGCCCTGCTGGGGCGGGTCTGGGTTTGGAGCCATGGCTGCAGCAGCCGTGCGGAAGATGGACGGTTCGAGGGGGACTACGTCTGGATCTTCGGCCTGATCCTGGAGCTCTGGGAGGACCTGTGGGAGAGTATATGTGTTATGCAGAGGCCGCGGCGAAACGGGGCTGAGGTTGGCAACAGCCTCGAGCTTGGGGCTCTCGTTGTCTGTCATCAAGGGAGCGCGAGGCGCAAGCGAGGTAGATGGCCGGGAAGGGCGTCAAGGAATCTCAGGAAGCAGTTATAAGCCGCAGGGTGTAGAGACATTCATGGTGATGGGGACTGGCGGTGGGCTCAGAGCGGCGACTGGTGTTGATTGGAAATGGAAGTGAAGTGGAAGGCCCGACAGGAAGAAGGAAGCTGCAGACGGGGAGACAGATGCTGCGCGCGTCTGCTCTGCTGAGTGCTAGGCAGTAGAGTTTGCGCTAAAGTGGGGGAGGGGAACCTTGAAAGCTTGCAGGACTTCACGCCAGCATGCCGGGCGCCCGGCGGACGGTCGCCTTGTTCAACCTTGGTGCCTAAACCGTCACTTTCGCCTGCTATGAGGTGAGGCAAACAATTGGGAATAATTGCCAATTGGCTCAATATTACTTTTGGGGGAATCCAGACTGATCGGCTGACCGCAAGAAGCACGACGCGCACGGAGGAGTGCGGATTTGGAATGAGCAACGGATTTAACGAGTCGAAAGCGTCGTCGCTGAAGAGGACGGGGCTGGACCCTTTGTCAAGCTAAACTGAAACGGTTCATCATCTTTTTCTGTTTTTTTCTCGGCTTGTAGACCGAGCTTTGTTCCGCACGAATGACTAAGCCCAAGCAACCCGCATCTCTGTTGATCGATTCGGATGGAGTAAAAAGGACTGGAGTGTATTGCATGCATGCATTCGTACTGTCTGCGGTGATCTGGTCTGGACTTCCGATCTCAACCTCGACAACCCGGATGGCCTTCATTCGGCCTTTGTACAATGATTCCACGATGATGACAAGATCCCTGGTGAGGCTTCCTGGTCTCATCTCTCAGCCTCTGCCCCTCCCCTCAGCCATAGAACTGGCACCGTGGAAGAGATTCGCAAGATACCAGGCTTTCGATGCCTCGTTCGACCCGGATGAGTTGGCAGAAGCCAGGAGATGGCGTCAGGCCTTCAGCGAGGACGCCCTGCCCAAGGGCACCACCACCTTTGCCAGGTCGAGCGGGCCAGGTGGGCAACACGTGAACAAGTCTGTCTCAACCCAGCGGCAACTCGAACCCAAACAGTCAGTCCTTGTTCCATTCACTGACATGCCGCACATGTCCCAGGACTGAGACCAAGGCAATCACCACCTGGGCCGTATCGGAACTGAGCCAGGTCGTGCCGAAACTCATGCGTCCTCTGTTGCGCTCCTCCAAGAACTACGTCAAGGGGAGAGACTGCATCTCGTTTCAGGCGCAGACAAAGCGTGACAGGAATGCGAATGCCGACGAGAACCGGACCAAGCTGCTGGAAGAGCTGCAGAGGATGTACAGTGACGCTGTGCCCGGCGACACAAGCGTCGAGAAAGTGCAAAAGCACAAGGCATTGTAAGCCATCCTCGTCGGACCAGAAGCCATCACAGACTGCTAAATGCCGAACAGGGAGAAGTCATTCCGGGAGTCCAGACTCAAGACGAAGAAGTACCAGAGCTCCAAGAAGCAATCCAGGAAGGGGGGAGGCTCCGAGTAGGAGACAGCCTCGGCTTCAGATTAGTGAATCACCGGCGACTATTGAGTAGATAGGTCGATCTGGCTCCTCCAATGCATGAGACGGTCGTTAGTTCAGACCAAGACGCTAGGATGGGAGCTCTCGATCGGGTCCAGGGGTCCAGCTTTGGCCGTTGGTCGACCTGGGCAGACAGCTCCTGGGATGAAAGACATGATGGCTGGTTTTCCAATCAACAAGACACGCGGAACCAATGTTAAAGAAGTCGGCAAGCATACTTCAACTAGAAGGTAGTCTACTCCATGCGGACCGATGGATTGAATTGTGGACGTTGGACGCGGTCAGGCCGATTCCTTCATCGCACCGCAGCTGAGAGACAGTTGCTTTGTCTCGTTGATTGGCTCGTGATAGTGAGGGGCAGCAGTGCTACAGATACGTAGATAGATGGTCTGCTCTGCGGCTGATGGCGATCTCACAGTAAGGCAATTGTTAACACAAACACAACACGACCGACAAGAACCCCCTTTTGGCGATCCTCGCTCCAACTCAACGCCTCTTGCGATCCACTGCTGGTATATGAGTCTAGTAAATGCGGGCAAGGAAAATCAATCCTTTTTTTTCTTCTCTTCGTATAACCAACGAACCGCCCAGCCCAGGCTCCCAGGCCATCCCAGCCAGCCCGACTCGATCGCCTTCTCCCGGGATAAGATAATACGGAGACGCTGACCCACAGCCTCCTGGGGCCTGGCCACTTGTTTCTGCAGGACCCTGAGACTGCGCAATCTCTCCGTCTCAGGAGATATCGACGACGACAACGACCACGACCCGACGACTGAAAGAGACAATTGCGAACAGAACCATCACCAGTGAACTGCAAAACATTTGTCATCAACGCACCGATCCCAGCGACCAGCCGACAGCCTCGCCCATCGCCTGACGACGACCTCGATTGCGGGGCACGACCCAGACCGGTCTCTTCCAGTCCGCCTCTGCCGCGTCCGCGGAGCTCACACCGACAGTCCGGTAGAGCGACACACACAAACACGCACCCACGCGTGCGCACCACACACGCACACACATACGCACAATGGCGGCAGCGGTCCAACAAGCCGGCGCCAATGCCGGGCAACAACCTCAGGTCCAACCGTGCAGATACAAGGTCGGCAAGACATTAGGCGCCGGGTCATACTCGGTGGTCAAGGAGTGCGTGCACATCGACACAGGGCGGTACTATGCCGCCAAGGTCATCAACAAGAGGTTGATGTCAGGGAGGGAACACATGGTGCGCAGGAAACCCCTCTGACCAGCTCCTCCCCCTCCCCCTCCCCGTCCGCCCGCCTCAGCGTTCGGATGATACTAATACGCCCCGCGCCGCGTACAGGTCCGCAATGAGATCGCCGTGCTCAAGAAGGTGTCGATGGGCCACCAGAACATCCTGACGCTGGTCGACTACTTCGAGACGATGAACAACCTGTACCTGGTGACGGACCTGGCGCTGGGCGGCGAGCTGTTCGACCGCATCTGCCGCAAGGGGTCGTACTACGAGGCGGACGCGGCGGACCTGGTGCGCGCGACCCTGTCGGCGGTGGCCTACCTGCACGACCACGGCATCGTGCACCGCGACCTCAAGCCCGAGAACCTGCTGTTCCGCACCCCCGAGGACAACGCGGACCTGCTCATCGCCGACTTTGGGCTCAGCCGCGTCATGGACGAGGAGCAGTTCCACGTCCTGACCACCACGTGCGGCACCCCGGGCTACATGGCGCCCGAGATCTTCAAGAAGTCGGGCCACGGGAAACCCGTCGACCTGTGGGCGCTGGGCGTCATCACCTACTTCCTGCTGTGCGGCTACACCCCCTTCGACCGCGACAGCGACTTCGAGGAGATGCAGGCCATCCTCAACGCCGACTACAGCTTCACCCCCGTCGACTACTGGCGCGGCGTGTCCGACGGCGCCAAGGACTTCATCCGCCGCTGCCTGACCATAGACCCGGCCCGCCGCATGACCGCCCACGAGGCCCTGCAGCACCCCTTCGTCGTCGGCTACATGACCGGCGACGGCACCGACAAGGGCGCCAACCTGCTGCCCACCGTCAAGAAGAACTTCAACGCCCGCCGCACCCTGCACGCCATCGACACCGTCAGGGCCATCAACAAGCTGCGCGAGGGCCAGGCCGCCGCCGGCCTCATGGATGGCGCCAAGAGCCAGGAGCCCGCGAGGGGCCAGGCCAGCCCCGGGGCCGCTGCCGCCGGCGGTGCCAAGAAGGAGGACAGCGGCGTCAGCATGGTCAGCAGCCGGAACAACGACTCGGGCTACGCCACGCAGCCGGACGGGGACGTCGCCATGGGCGAGGCGCCGCCGTTGGCGGCGAACCAGGTGCCGGTGAGTCTGAGGCCGGGCATGGAGGTGAACAAGGTGGTCGAGACATCTAAGGGGCTGTGGACGCCGCCCAGGAGATGAAAAGGGGAATCACGACGGAGGCCGGGGGTCAAGCCGGAGCTGGTGGTCTGGCGGGCGGTAGGTGATGGAGCAGCGGCAAAGAGAGGGGTCGTGGGGAGGAGGAGAGCCTCAGCGTATTCATTTCATGATATCCGAATGTATCAAGCCTATACGATGCATTTATTTTGGTATATATCTGGGTAGACGGGACAACCCGACGCGTGAACATGTTCAAACTACGGGGCAGGAGTTATGCAGCACAGTCAATATGGCAGCTGGTAGAGACACGCAGCCTTTGTCGAATATCAATCATTAGGGCAAACGGCTGCAGCGGGCAGGTGCAACATCTCCATCTTGTTTGTCATTGGAATACGGCCAAGTTTTGCGGTCACGATAAAACCATGTCAGCTACTCGCAGACATTTGGCAGTCAGGGTAAAGTGCCTTCCGTCCCCTACGACCCATATTCGACAGCTGTTCCACATGGACAAGGCTTAACAGCGCGTGCATGCTTTTTTCGATCAGGGTTGGATGTAGCGTTAAATCAAATCGTCAATTGTACCTAGGTAGCCAACATATCAGTCTGGGCTTGTTCCTCTGGGAGCACATGCCCTGATTCCAGCTATTCGAAGCACAGACCTTGGATTGGAAATCGTCATAATTCAACAATCAAGTAGGCCAGTTAAGAATGCGTCGTGAGCTCAGACTGGACCAAACCAGCTTAAACAGTGCTCAAGCCACAGGCTCGGCTATCACAAAAACCAAGCCCTGGCGGTAGTCCCGCCATTCTGGTCGATGCCATGAGGCCAAGGCAGACAACGGCTGTTAACCCCAGACTTGCCCTCAGCATTTATCTAGAATATCAGGAACCCGTTCATACCCGTGTCGCATAAATCACGAAATAAAACAGGGCGGCGGGAGGAAGGCCCCACCAGTCATTAAAAAACACACACCGGGGGCCAGGGCTGCCAGGATGCCGGTTCCCCAGATGAAGAACCAGATGAAGAACCAGATGAAGAACCAGATGAAGAACCAGATGAAGAACCAGATGAAGAACCAGATGAACGGGCTGTCCGGGCCCCGGGACACACGGCAAGCCCGCCCGTTGGGCTGAACTGAACTCGACACCCGCCCTGCGCCGCCCGAGGAAGCTCGCCGAGACCCGCCACGCCCAAGGGCCTTGGGAGCCCACAAAAGTGACGTACAAAGTACGCCGAGGTTTTGCTCTTTGTTTTCCGGAGCGGCAAGCAATTTTGAGGGATGCAAATCACCCTCGGTCCCTCGGCCTCTGGCTCGTCCCTGGGCACCGATCGCGCGGTCCCTCGCAGCGCCGCAGGGAGGAAGGCCGGAGCCGAAATGGAAGACTTCCGGGCGGTCCCACAGCCAGGAGGGTGAGGGAGGGGCTCGAAAGGCAGAAGTTTATCGCGCCCGGCGGTGATCCGACGAATCCGAGCAGCGAGGTGACCAGACCCTCGCACAACAAGCTTGAGTCTCTGGCGCGATGTTAGCTCACCTTGGCTTGCCTGCCTGCCCCTAGCCAGCAATTGCAGCTAATAAGCTTCTCGTGTGAGGATCTACGGTGATAATTGACCTGTTGCTACACAGCACGCATGTGATCCCGGCCCGTCAGGCTGGCAGAGCACAAGCCCGGGGCTGCCGACCAGCCTCTCGGGCCATCGGGGCGACGCCAGTCATCCCAGTCAGCCAGTCAATGAGTCAGCCAGTCAATATAAGTCAGCCCTTGCCTGGTCGGGCGCGTGTGCGAAGTGGGATTTTGTGACTGCGTCTCTAGGTGCATCTCTGGATGTAGGCTTGACTCGACGTCGACCTTGAGTCGGTCCAGCGCATCATGCTTCCGCTGCATGCAGTGTTGTTCTGAAGCCCGCTGGAGCCCATAGCTAGGGGTTCAGACTAGGGCTGCCAGGCAAAAGTCTGGTTGTCCGTTCATCCCCCTGCTATCCATTACGCGAGCACTACGGGATTGACGGGTCCTGGTCGAAGCCGACCGCGTGGTGTCTGGTATGGGCATCCCGACCTGATATGGTGATAGTGGATAAGAAAATGTCAATATTAAATTGCCATGTACGTGACGGGAAAGCTTGAAGAAGCAGTCGTGTACTACTGAGTAGACTGGTCCACGGAAATCTTCGCGGTTCGGACTCTGTACCGAGGTGGCCGGCGTGTCGGTCCATTCTTAAGGCCCGCCTGCCAGATAATCTTTTCACGCTGCACGCACACTGGCGCTAATGTGGAGAATCTCGTCCGACGACCAGGCGAGATCGAGATCGAGGGTTTTCTCTTACACGTGCCCGCCCGGCACAGCACGAAGCAGAATGGATGGATGGATGGATGGATGGAGGTCCTTTTACCAGACTTATTTGACCCATATGTTTTCGTCAGCAAGCATTTTGGGCGTCGACAAGTTGATTCGCGATGTTGGTGTAGCGTATTCACCGTATCACCGTACATCGTATTAGCACCATGCCGTCCCAGCCGGCACATGGAGATCTGCAGGGCTTGGCTGGTGTCCCAACACCGCCTTCCTCACTCAGTCCCAAGGGATTAGCCGCAGGCGGTATCTCTTTGAACGCTGCAGCCAAGAGCTGACACATACCGTACAAGCTACGATGCTATACGCTTGCGAGCCGGTGCACTGCAACGCCGCGCTGCCTGCTGCAGAGGCGAATACGTTAACGAATTCGCGACCGGCGTGGGTCACATAGGCCGAGTGGAGGAGCCCGCTCGAACGTCGCAAATTGACCGATCCGCAGCCACTTGCAAGAATCATCCGACCGACTTGATCGGGGTTAGATCGGTTGGGCCTGGGACCCTTGCACTGTTTCCGTGCGAAATGTGGGCATGATTTGACTGGTGGTGATGGCAGCTCGACGTCTGCAGGGCCAAGAACCAAAGCCCCAACCTAGGCTCTCTGTCCATCCTCTGTCCAAGGCGAGCTAACAAGCAACAAGCTGAGGAGAAGACAGCAAGCCGTCATGGCATCAACGAGGCGTTGGTGATTGTAAAGCAGAAGGTTAGGTTATTCCATCCTACAGTTCAAATTTAGGTTGTCGAGTTGTGCTAGGTGATCACCAAGTCCAATTGCCTGGCCGTGTGGGGCTTACCGTCGTGCCACCCTCAAACCGCAGGATGGGCTGGCTGGTTGGTGGTGTGCAGAAGTATCGGTACCTTGACCCACCCGCAGGGCGACAAGACCAAGCGCTGGAGTTTCTTGGGGCGGTCCCCAGGGCGGTCAATCGAATTGGGAATCGGGCATGGGACCGGGATTCGGAGGACAGTAAGCTTCGATCCCATCCAGTCCGCCGTCGCCAGAAAGGTTTCAGCTTTGTCGTGGGCCGGTGGTGATTAGGTTCTGAGGCTTGGGTCGAGGCACGCCGCAAAGCTGGGATGAATGTTGCAACAGCCGCGCATGTTGGTGATTGCTTCTTTTTCTGATCGGCAGCAGGGTCCTTTTGGTCGTACGACCCCGACACAAGGTGCGAGTGCGACGGCGCTGCAGTGCGGAAACTGTGGGAATCCCAGTGGTGGCTGTTTTCTCTTGATCCCGGCGAAAGGATGCGAGTGTTGGAAATCCCATGTCTTAGACATATAACATGTGGGAATGTGGGAAATGAGATGCAGCGAGGAAGTGGCTCCTCCGTGCTGTCTGCGCCGTATGTGCTGTGTCCTGACTGGGCTGACAACCGACGACACCAACCTCGGGGGCGGCTCTGCTGACAAGTGCGGCGGTGGTGATCCTGCCGGACTCTCGGGGTTTCTGGCGGATTTCATGCACGACGGTTTTGTCCGGGTTCGTGCAAAAATCAGCCCAACGCGGAACGACGAGCTAGCGTTTGCCTAGGGCAGTAAGATGAGTGATTGATTGACCGACGGGCCTAGAAGTCACAGAGTTTGCTTTTGTCAGCAGAGGCAATAGTAGTAGCTGCTGCTGCTAGCAAGATTACCGTTACTGTGCTACCCTCGAAGACTGGACTGGCAGGTCGGTCACTTTCCGGGAGACTCGGGGCCCGTCCAGAGGCCCCCCGCCCGGTCTGCGGCAGCCCTGGGAGGCAGCTCTTCGAGTGTGTCACCACTGCGGTAGTATGGCGTGGAAGCGAAGTGCTAGAGGGCTTGGCAGAGTCAATGAGTGTTTGACGTCAGGACAGCTGGGCAACAGATAAAGTGTCTTTGTGCTTGCTCGTGCGTGGTGTGGGGGGAAGAAAACGGACGAGTGGGCTGGGGATTGTCTGGTGTAGTTGTCAGACGAAACAAACATCCTCATTGTTGTGTTTTGTTTTGCTGATGTGCTATGCTGCTGATTGCCGCGTGCTGGGTGAGAGACACAGACGGCAAGAGGCTGGCGAATGTTGGGATCAGGATGTCAGGATGCGGTCAAGTGTCAAGCCCGACCCAGTCTCGCCAGACACACACACAGAGGGAGAGAGCTCGCGTGCCCATCGGGTTCGGAAGGCACGGATGGGCCCTCGACACGCTGCACCGCTGATCCCCGCCCACACCCGGCAGACGACAGCTTGGGGGGGGGGGCGCCATGGGGGAAGGAGAGGCAGAGAGGCAGAGGCAAGGACCCCAAGGGTGACATCAAGGGCCAAGAGCTCACCTGGGTCCAGGGTACAGGCTCTGCAAGATTTGCGCGCCATGGTACCCCATCTGACCCATCCTGAACCGCCCAAAAATGTATCTGCGCAGGGAGCCCCTGCGAGATCGCCCGCCCAAGTACCGATACCACCGCCGCCAACAGGAGCCAACATGTGCCAACCCGCCTGCAGCAGCAGAGCGGGAGGCGTGAGTGAGTGAAGCGCTCGCGACATTCGGGCACTTGGGTCCGCCCGACCTCTGCTTCTGATTAGTACACAAGTGCCTCCGTCCCATCTGTTCTGGACCATATCTGCCTTTTTCTGCCCTGCTCTGCTTTGGTTGCTTACTCTTGGGTTGCTGGTTTATTTTCATAATAAAGGATTGCCCTGCCGTCGAATCTTCTCTTCGACCGCCCTTCTGTGCTTTCTTACCCTTTCTGCGACCCGCTTACACACACTTGGACACACGAGAAGCTGCCTCCTTGTGTGCCTGGTGCTGCCTGCTTGCTGTGCCGCGCGGGAGTCTCGGGACGACAGGGACGACAGGAACCGGCCTCATCCTCGCCCCCGACCATATCCACAACCACACGCTCACATATTATCCTGCCCTCCCCGGCTTCGACTCATCCTGTGTCGAGTGTGTTCTCGCCGTTGCTCCGTATTGCGTTTGCGTTTGCGCCCCCGAGTGTCACAGCCTCTAGACCATCTTCGACCATGATATATATGAGCAGGCAATAGCGTCATCCGTCTCCAAAACTGTTGTCGACCTCCTCGCTCACTCTCCAACCACCCTCCCAAAGTACCGATTCCGCCACCGGCCGGGTCGCTGCTAGTCCGCTCCTCGCCCACACCCTCAGCTCGGAACAGGCCGCCGCTGCAACAGCAACAATGCAGGACATCAACTCGTTCCTGAGCCAGGCCAAGCCCAAGCTGCACATCCCACACCTGCAATGGCCTGGCGCACTCAGCATCGCCATCCCCGAGCAGTTCCGTCCCGCCAGTAGCAGGAGCAAGAGGAGTCGTTCCAAGAAGCCATGGAGGCAACCATACCGCGACTCGACCAGCATCACGAAGCTGCAGCGCTCCTTCAACCCCCTCGACGGCGTGCGCGCCATCCAGCGCCATAGGTTTGGCTGGCTGGACATCCAGTACCCCGCCCTGGCTGGCTTCATGATCTTCTCCCTGGCTATCGCGCCCATGCCCATACTCGTCAAGATCGTCGTGCCCATCCTGTCGCTTCTCGTGTGCTTGATGCCCGCAACAAGACAGTTCTTCCTGCCGTCCATGCCCATCTGGATATACCTGCTGTACTTCTTTTGCAGTCGGTGAGTTCGCCCCTTGCCCCGCCTCGTTTGCATTCTCGTGGCGCCCCATCAGCTAACATCGGAACCCCGACAGCTTCATCCCTGTCGAATACCGGCCGCACATCTGGGTCAAGGTCCTGCCCGCCCTCGAGAACGTGCTCTACGGCGCCAACTTGTCCAATATCCTCTCCTCGCATACCCACCCCGTCCTCGACCTGCTCGCCTGGCTACCCTACGGAATCGGCCACTTCGGCGGTCCTGCGGTCTGCTCCCTGGCAATCTTCATCTTCGCCGCTCCCTCGACGACTCCGGTGTTCGCCAAATCCTTCGGCTGGCTCGCCCTGATCGGAGTCACCCTGTCGCTGACGTTTCCCTGCACGCCGCCGTGGTACGAGAAGGAGCACGGTCTGGAGCCCGCCCGTTACGGCATGCCGGGCAGCCCGGCTGGCCTGGCCCGCGTTGACCAGCTTTTCGGCGTCGACATGTACACCACCAGCTTCACCACCGCGCCCGTGCCATTCGGCGCCTTCCCCAGCCTGCACGCTGCTAACGCCACGCTCGAGGCCCTGTTCATGAGCTTCTGCTTCCCCCGCGGCCGCGCCTTCTTCATCATGTATGTCGGCTGGCTGTGGTGGGCCACAATGTACCTGAACCATCATTACGCCGTGGACCTGGTCGGTGGTAGCCTGATCGCGACGGCCATCTACTACATTGCCCGCACGCGCTACCTCCCCCGCCAGCAGCCCGAGAAGCGCAACCGCTGGGAGTACGAGCACGTCGAGATCGGCGAGAAACCCAAGACCCTGGATGAGGAGTACGGCTACGTAGGCCTAGGCGGCGAGTATGGCATGGGCCTGCTCGAGAGGAGGAGCACGCACCTGAGCGAAGATGACGAGTGGACCCTGGGCAGCAGCTCCAGCTTCTCGACCTCATCTTCGCCCCGCACCAGCACCACCAGCCCGACCTTAATGTCCCCGACAACGCCCACCGAGGCTGACTTCAACCACGTCACCATCCCGATGAATCTGAACGGCCAGCTGATGTGGGGTGCTGGCGAGCGCGGCCCTGCGAGGGACGACGAGGTCGCCGAGGTTGTGGTTATGAGGTAGTTGAAGTGCGGGTTCCGATGGTCGCATCTGGGGTTTGGAGGTGCCGCGCACCACCAGAATCAGATCTTAATGACTAGACGCCTGTCTTCACCTTCTCTTGGTCAATTGCGGACCCTGGCTAGCCGGTTTCCGAGCAGGCGCCCATCGCGCCGCTTGGCGGCCGCCTTGGCTTAATGGCGCCCCTTCAGCCCTGCAACGATCCCTCGGCAGCAACCGAGGAGTCGTCTGCGGTGATGGTCGCGCACTGGCGCAAAACCACTCACGCCGATCTGAACGTTTCCACCAGCGCCCTGGTGTTGGATCAGAACGACATGAGCAGAGAGCCCGGTCCGGTTCTTTCGCTATCGACCGCGACCAGCAGTGGACCCCCACTTGGGTCCACGGGGTTCCGAACCCCAACAGCTCTGTTTCTGCAACTCTCGCTTCAGAATACCTTGATACCCCCCCGCCACCTCCGGGTTGTTTGTGTACGGACGACGTCCTCGAGTGTGTCGATGATGCCCGGCAAACCTCCCGAACATGCCCTTTTGGACAACAGCAAGCAGCATTTGCAGCGGCGTTTTGTAAAGCAGCGCAACATGGCTTTGAAAATATTATGGGAAATGAATTAGATGAATGAGTAATGGCACAGGGCCACGAGAAGCGGGAGAGGCGCCCCCCGAGGTGTCAGGAATGGCCCTGGGACGCGTGGCAGGAAGGAGGAGATGAGAGTCCACTTGCTCCGGCATGGCTTCCCCGCTGGAAGGCCCCCGTGTGGCAGTATTATGTAGAAGTAATAGGTGCAGTAATGTAATGAGAGAGAAGAGAGGAATGAATACAAGAAATCTCTGCTGCTACAAGTGTTTTTATCAGTGTCGAGCAGTGGGCGACCCCGCGGGCCATGAAGGTGTGTCTGAATCAGTCCGAGTGGCGCAAAGGGCGGGAGCGGAATCTCAGCCGCGGCAGAGCCGGGCAGGAAAATGGAAGAAAGAGAGGGAAAATGCCGAGACAATCCAAGGGAAGAGGAACCAAGCCAGGAGAAGTCGAAAAGAAAGGAGAGAAGGCCGGCCCAAGACCAGATATACACGGCGGCCAGTCTCGTCTTTTTACCCGCAAGCACATATAACGCACCAAGTCACCCTCCTCCGGCGGAGCACGAGTCCGCTGGCCCTCGACCGGCCCCTTGTCCGCGGCATCCCGTGTCCGATCCTCCTCCTCCGGGGGCGGTAAGAAGTGTGGATGTTGCGCAGCCACAGTCGTGACGTTCCCTGTGCCTATCACCCCGTGGGTGGGGGTCCGCGGAATTTTTCTCTTTATATTTAAGCTTTTGCGTGGAGATGGGCTAGAGATCTGCCGCATGTTGGAATGAAGGAATGCAGGGGATCTGTGTGTCGATCGGGTGCCCACCGAAGGAGGCTGTTGTCGGTCACGACATGCGGCTGAGTGGGTGGGTCCAGTCCGATGCGATGGGCCCGGTTGCTTACGGAGTAGATTACAATTGACCGGGCCTGGGGCTGATTCGTGTGCTGTCCCTATCAGCGTTGATAGAGACTACATTATGACTTTCACTGCTTCACATTGGCTCAAGATCTCTTCGAGGTTGTGGACCAGGAAAATCTATGTTTTGAAACATTCAAATTACCAATGTGAGTCCCTCTTTCATGGCCCAGTGGTGTTGCGATACGAACGACAAACAGTTGCTGAACAATAGAGGGAAGTGGGTGCACCCATCACCCCTGAAGTAAAGGCTAAATTATGTGGGCCGAGACAATTATTAGCCACCCCCCTCCCTCCCATAAATTCCTTATTCCCTAAAAGTCGAGCTGAAGAGAAAGAGTCAGTTCTCAAAACAGGTTTCCCTTGTGGCTCCGAGCGTGATCTGGTCATCTCGGCTCTCGCTGCTCTCACTCTTCCGAGGCTGTAGGCATTGCTCTGACAAGACCTGGCCCCGAACATTCTGCTCCTCAAGACGGAAGTTCACTCCCACACGAGGAGAGGCTCTACCGGGCAGGCCTCCAATAAATCGCGATACACATCAATAATCTTCGTCCTTTCCTCTCTCGCCCTGACGTCAAAACTGTCCAGGGTCCGAAAAGCCTTTTTGGACCCGGGCTTGGGCCTGCAGAGAATCACGTCGACGCGCTCAGAACCAGATGTCCGTCCTCCGTAGGCATAGTCCCCACAGGCGACGAAATTCAGCGAGGGGATCCCGTCTGGTCCAAACGCCCACTCGGCGAGATGCCGCTGACACCAATCTGCTTTCGAGGCACTCACCAGATCTTCGGGGTTGGTGGACAGTCCCATGGCCTCAAGTTGGAAATCTGTCAAAGGTTTGCAGAAAAGCGTCGCCAGGGTCCAACAACAGGTCCGCGTCAACCTCCTGCGTGAGATGCGGATGAACACCTTCACCCCTCTGGTGATGCACAAATCTCTTGAGAGTTGCACGGTGGGCGATGACTCCCGGCCAGAGTTCATTAAGTAGCAGGGGGCCTTCGATTCCCACATAGAGGCCTTCGAGTCCGCCGAATGCTTCCAGGAATCTCAACAAGACCTCATCTGCGCCACAGCTCAATAAGCCGGGCTTTGCAGTGATTTCGAGAGTCTTTAAGCCTATCGGCAGGTGCAGACCAACAGCGTGCTCCAGAAAGCTATCCCAACTCTCGCAGTTACGGAGCCTGAGAGTCCGAAGCACACTGAAATCAAACACCCCGACAGACTTTCTGCTAAGAGCCACCTCAGTGAGACATAGGGTCTGCAGAGCCGCGTGCGTTGGGTCCCAAAACTTCCCTTCTGGCACCCGCCAAAACCGCATCCAATGTTCGAGGCCGCGTGGCCCATCATCGTATGGGTTCCGATGACAGTAGTACCCAAACCTTTCCCAGTTTACGAGATCGATTTCAAGGTACTTCAGGGTCTTGGCGTTGGTATGGATCATGTCGCTGAGGGTGTGTATATCATCACAGTCTGGGGCTCTCCAGCGCAACCGCTTCAAGTTGGTCAGTGTTTCCAGGCCCCCTTTGACGAAATCTGGAGTTTCGTAACATGTACAGTCTGTTGTTATCGAAAGCGATTCGATCCGCTGCTGCTTCTTCCTTTCAATAATGCCCTCCCCTCCGAAAATTCGAATTGGAAGACAAGTCCCTGTATCCCAGCTGATCCAGAAATTAGTAGGATGTCATCGGTCAGAAAACGGTCTGAGTAGTACAGGGAGAGCAGTACCTCAAGCTGCGGAGTGTCCCGGGCTGTAGCTGGTTAAGCACGGATGTTGCCCCCTTCCCCAGGATATCGAAACACCCGTCGGCGCTACTGCCCACATCGTCTTCACTATGGTCATTATCATCTTCGCCTTGGTCAATGTCGCCCTCGCCGCTGTCATTGCCGTGCTGATGAAAATGAGGACACCGTTCTTCAATATTCCTCACAAACTCCGAAGAAAAATGTACGTCTCTAGTATAATTCAGAAAAGCGCTATTGGGGGCGAAACATGGGAAGCTGTCCAGACGGCCTTCGCAGATCTCGAGAGAAACTGATCTCCAGAGATATGCCTGCAAGAAGACGTCATGGACGGCTTTCGATACCAGTGAAAGCGATAGCAAATCTCTCTTCTTTTGCACCTGTTCAAGCTGGTCAGTCTTTGCCATGCAATTAGGCGGGCAATGTTTTGCAGCTTACTTGACACGCTATAACCTGAAGCATCTCAGCCGGCAGAGTGGTAAATTTCAGGGTGCTATTGTTCGCCATCATGTTGCACTTGGGGACTTCGGAATACGTTGTGGAGGATATGATGCTGGCATTTGGGCATCTGTAAAGATACTCAAAGCTTGGTATAGGTCAACCAGACTACCTCACTTGGTGAGCCAGCCAGCCAACTAACCTAACCATGGGTGAAGCAATTGTTCGTTTACGGATAGGGGAAATCTGCTTAGGCTTTGGAGAGGAGGTGTCTCAAAGCAGGGGGTCAACCCCAACCCCTGAAAGTCCCACGAGTCCTTTGCCGGCAGAGAAGATAGCGCCTGTAGTTTATGATGAGATAGCTTCTCTACTTGAAAATCCGAATAAATGTGAGGCATAAAGAAAGAGGGTATACTTGACAAAGACGATAATATGGAGCCTTAGACGGAGTTTGTACAAGAACTCAGGCATCAGCAGTACCAGCACTTCCGCTGGCAGTCAAGTCTATTCGGAGGAAAAACCATGGTGCTTCTTGATTTACCGTCAGAAATGTTTACGGAGTGCCAGGTAGAACTGTACCGTTTTACGACCCGCCTCAGTTTGATGCTCCGGTCCATGTTGCTCAACCTTCTGCGAAGCGTGCGCAAAGCCAGAGGACGCTCCGCATCCTTTCCGGCGTTGGTGAATCGCAAGGGACCAAGTCGAGGCTCAGCAACCATAATTTTTCTCATCATACCAGCAAACAACTCCGGAAGCGGTTTCCTCAATTCTTCTAATCGCAATCACCCCGCTTTGCTTGTCTCATTTCTCAAGGAGTGCACCGTCCCATGAAGCGCGGATACAAACAAGCCTCCCTGACCGTCCGAAGCCCCATGAGCCACGCGAGGAACCTCTCCTCTCCCAAGCCGTAGCCGCCGTGAGGTGACGGCCCATACTTGCGCTGGTCAATGTACCAGGAGTACCCCGCAGGATCGATACCCTCACGCTCGTAAGCAGCAAGCAGCGCGTCGTGATCCCATATGCGCATGCTGCCTCCGACGACCTCGCCGACGCCCGGCATGAGGAGATCTACGGATTCGGTCACGCGCGGGTCCTCAGGGTCGGGCTGCATGTAGAAGGACTTGAGGGCCACTGGGAAGTGTGTCAAGAGGGTAGACCGGTTGATATCATCCGTCATCTTGCGCTCGGCGGCTTCCGCGCTGTTGTGTCTTGATTAGTTCCCCACTGGACATGTCAAATGAGAGTGGATGGAACTCACATATCGTCCCCAAAAACATGGTCCTTGCCCTCAGCGGTCTTGATGTCTCTGGCTCGTAACCAGTCTATCGCGTCTGAGTACCGCATTCTCATAAAGGGACGAGTAGGCTTGATGAACTCCGGGTTGCACTTTTTAATACACTCAGTCGCAGACGGATCCTCAAGAACAGAATCAAGAACACGACAGATAATGTGCTCAAGATGGCTGAGGAGGTCGTCGAATGTTATGAAGTCCAGCTCGGCCTCGATGTGGGTATACTCGGCGAGCTTATGGGAAATGGTCAGGAAGAAGCCCGAAAGTTGAGCAATTTGTGAAAGCATGCGAGGGAAATGGCCATAAATCCTCCTTCTCATGGCCAAGTCGATCCGATCGGAAAACGAGATAACCTCGAACCGGGGTGACTTACATGACGACGAGTAAGTGACTTCTCGGCCCTGAATGACTGCTCAATACAATACACATCACCCAGAGACGGGAGCACAGTCTCCAAGTACAGCTGGCTTGATTGCGTCAAGTACGCCTTCTCACCATAGTAGTCGAACGAGAAAAGCGTGGCGCCACCCTCAACCTGCGTCTGCACGAGCGCAGGCGGGCTGACCTTCGTGATGCTCCGCTCCTTGTACGCGGCATGGAACGCACTCTCCAGCGCATCCCGCACAAACATCACAGCCGCAGCCTTGTCATGGCGCAATGCCAAGTGACGCAGGTTGAGCAAGGTGCTGGGGTCACCGTCCTCGGGCACCCTGTTGGTGAAGGACTCGTCCCCGCCCGGCGCCTTCGCGATGATGCGAAAGAAGTCGGCGTGCAACTCCCGGTCGAGTGGCGCGTGGAGACCGGCTGGCACCCCCCACAGTTCTCCTGAGATCTCCATGGAAGTCTCGCGTGCCAGGGTGAGCGCGTCGTGCGTCTTGGCTAGTTGTCCGGATAGGAGGCACTGCATCAGGCTGAGGCCGCGCCGCAGGGTCACAAATATGAGGCCGCCCTGTTTGGCCACCCGGTGCACTCGGCCCTATACGCGCACACGCCGCACTGGGTCCTCTTGGGGTGGCTCGTCTTGAGCTTTTCGTAGCCGGCCGATGATCTTGGGGTCGGTCTCTCCGATGTTAATCAAGATCGCTTTTGGCAAGGCAGGATCTTCTGCGATGTGTATGCCCCGTGCCGCTACTAGTGCTGCCTCGACATCGGCCGCCTTTTGCTCCTCCCCCTCCGCTCGTTTGGCCGCGGCCTCTTGTTTCTTGCGTTGTGCCTCCACGTAGTTGGCAGCTTTCTTCAAAGCTGCTTTAGCGGCGGGTTTATACTCCTCGTCGCCCTTCTTCTTAACCCGGTACTCGTTATGGGACTCATGCTTGAGGTACGCTTGGGGTAGGCTTTGAAAGGGGCTGGCCTCAGTTCCTAAGGGCCATCGCTGCATCAACCCCCTGCTCTTCGTCGATGAATATGATCGTCATGGTCCCCCACGGTTGAGTAGCTTGGGGCATGTTTGGTGTGTGAAAGATGAAAGCTACGCCCCTGAACGTCTTTGCCGTCCAGTCGGAAGCGTAGTGCATGTGGGAAGGCACGGCGGGTGAGTCACAACAGAAATCCTTCGAAGTCACTGCAAACCATCAGTACTTATCTGCATGTCTGGATATCAGACTCCCGACGTTAATAGCTGGACTTTTTCGCTTGGTTTCGAAAATGAGACCGATGTTGTATAATCAAGGCGGACGTGCAAGTATAGTATCACAAAGAGTGCACATTTATTTGGTTCTAGTCATTAATGTACTGACTCACTGTGGGGTAGCGATTAATTCGAATGTAATCGGCCTCTCCTGCGAAGTCGACTGAAGTGGGCAAGCTACCCTAAAACGCCGTGCTGTCCAGGGAAAACACAGGCCTATGCGACCCCTTCTTGTCAAATTGCGAAGATCAAGCATCGAGAAGCGCATTCAGACGGGCCTTCGTATCCAGGTCTCAATTGCGAGAACCATCAATGCAACCCATCTGCAGAGAAATGGCCATGTCCATCGCGAGCTGCGTTCTCATGTATCCACCCTTGAGAATCAGTTTAGCTTCTCTTGTCTTTGCAACCTCGATGCCTCCAGCTGGGATTTTCTAGCCAGTGCGCAATACGACAGGTTGCAAACCTTGTCCGTGGACGGTGGCTTGCCGTCTCGGTAAGGAGCTGGTAGATTCGAAAAAGGCGAGCGACTCAACGGCTCTGTGAAGGCAACCAGGCATATGGAGCTTCCATTCTAAACATCCTTTTACTGCCGACGTGGTCTTCAAGTTGACTTCCCCCTGCTGTCGTGACGTGGAGGTAAGATAGGTGTGTTCTTCTTGGGCGTACTTGCGCTCTTCTCGGGGGACTTTGCAGACTTCTCAGGCGATTTCGCCGTGGCCGTCTCGCTGGATCGCTCAGCTTCCTTGTCGACACTGGCCAAGTGCGACTTGCTCCTCTTCTTCTCTTTCCGCTCTTTGCCGTCCCGCGCCTTCGCATCAGGAGTGCTCACAGCGCTGCTCACCTTGACTGGCACCGGGATTGGGATAGGCGTCCGCTTGGATGGGAGCTGTGTAGATGGTAGTCGACCTCCGGGGGAGTCAGATCGCCTGTGAACAGGGGTAGGTTGGGTTGCCGGCGGTACTGCTGAGGCGGCTTTCGGGCGGGAGGAATTGGTACCGGAGCTGGATCCGACGCTGAGGTGGGGAGGCAGAGGTACCGGGGTCTCCTTCCGGCCAGCTTGTCCATCGGCGGTATGCTCATGGTCTCTGATGATTTTCTGTTTCTTTACGGACTTCTCAGCGCTGGCACTCTTGCTGGAGTCCTTGGTGGCGGGGGTTTCCACAGGCCCGTTCTCACCGTCATGCTTGCGCTTTTTCTTGGAGCTGGATTTGGGAGTGCTGATCGCTGTTGCCTCTTGAGCTGCAACATTTGCAACATTTGTGTCCTCCGTGCCCGCGATGGGGGCCAGTGGTTTCTTGGAGGCCGGCACGCCCAGAGGAGTGTATCTAGCACGAAGTCCTTCTGGTTGAGGCCGAGCTGGTCTCGTGGTCTTGGAAACTGTCTGGGTTGTAGTAACGCTAGCGGGGCCCTCAGGTAGGAAGGTCTCGCTGCGAGTGAAATGCATGGTCTGATCGACAGGCCGGCCAACTAATACATGGTCAGTCATGCACACATGTTTCACAGAAGCTGGTGCTTACGCTCTGAGTACTCCTGTCCCTTCTTGTTAGGGATGAGGAGTCTGAATGACGAAGCAGCCGAAGGGTCATCAAAAGCAAGACGATAGTCATCTCCATTGTGGGTGAGGACGGGCAGGCCCTTGTGGGCTGAATCCATCGGAATGGTCAAGTCTTGTACGACGGTGACAGGAAGGGAAGCTGGCGCGGTGATGTACCAGACTTGCTTGCCTTCCATCTTGGCCTTCTCAAAGAAGCCAGCGACCTCAGACGCGCCGATGCTGCCGTCGAGCTTGCGCAGATGGAAATCGGGTGCTACAAACTCGGGAACAGAGCCACTGTAATTCTTGTTAGCATTCTGGCTGTGCCTTGCTGGCGATGAGAACTTACACCCTGGTGGGAGCGCCGCCATTCGTCAGGGCAGTCGATTGGTCCGTCATCTCGATGTCGCCATCAACATCTTTGAGAGCAGGTGGGTTAGAGGTCTTGATCTTCTTGTTGCTGGCCTCGGCCTTGGAGGAAGAAGTGGGCTCTCGAGCCTTCGTGGCCTTTGCAGACTTGACATCGTCTCTGATTTGCTGCTGTATTTGAGCCTCGGGATCCTCGCTTCCCTCGCTGTCCTCATCACTCTCACTTCCGCTCTCACTCTCACTCCCACTCCCACTCTCACTCTCAGCCGAGCTTGCTTGCAAGCTGGACTCGGAATCGGATTCAGACTCGGACGGGGTGACCTGCTTGACAGCCTTCGCCTTGGATTTTGCTGGCGCTTCCTTCTTGTCGGCTTTGGTCGCGGGTCTCTTCGCCTTCTCATTCGCGCTGGAGCTGGCGCTGGAGCTGTCGGAATCGTCGGCCGCAGCAGTCTTGGTCTTGGTCTCGGGCTTGTGCTTGGTGCTCTTCTTGACTTCCTCGCCTTTTGCAGGGGCCTTTGTTGGTTTCTCGTCGCTGCTAGACGCGCTGTCGCTCTCACTGTCGCTTTCGCTTTCGCTTCCGCTGCCACTCTCAGATGATTCTGAAGAGCTAGTGGCTTCCTTCTTTATGTTCTTGCTGGGCTGTTCCTTCTTGACTGACGCCTTCAGGCCGTTGACCGTCGGGCTCTTTGCAGGTGTCGCCTTTGCGACATCCGCCTTCTGCTTGGGCAGAGGGGTCTTCTTGACTTGCTTCTTTTCGCTGCCATCTGAATCGGAGCTGCTGCTAGAGCTATCGCTGTCGCTGTCACTGTCGCCGCTGCCAACGAACGTGTTCGCCTTCAGCTTGGGCGCTGACGGCTGAGTGCCGAACACGCTGCCCTTGGAGGCCTTGCTGGCCGTCGAGGCATGGTTGCGCAAGCTGCCAGAGGGAGCCCTGACGCCAGCCATGGTGCGTCGGACTGATTCAACGAGCTGTGGGTAGAATTGCGATTGTTGAGCGACGGAGCGCAGGATCTGGCTTCGTCGCCTCGCGTGGGGCGGGCTGGAAAGTTGAAGGTATTCAGCACGGGTTACAGGCGGTGGAAAGCTGAATATGAGTGGCAATGTGGGCCAATTGTGTAGTAAAGCGCGCTGTGGAGGAGAGAAGGCACGCAAACGGTCGCGTGTTTGGCGCGGGAGCGTGATGTGTGATCGTTGAAGTTTTTGCAAAGTTTCTTCTGGGGACGCCCAAAAAGTCGCGTCTCCAAATGGAAACCTCCAAGACGAACTTTGGCAGGGTCAAAGTGGGCGTGGTGGGGTACAGCTGGTGCTAGCGATTGGGCCAAGTGCTGACTTACAGGGAGCTTGCAAGTGCGATGCTAGCTGGGTAGGCGGGCTGGGGCCACTCACTCCACTGTGGTCGACTTAGGCTAGAAATACCACTCACACCCACTCACACTTGAAGATCAATCTCGCTGTGGTTGGTGAGACGACGGTCGTTTAAACGATTCCCACGAGATGAGGGAGGCATTGGCATAAATTCCCTGCAGTATCAGCGTCGTCAGGATGTCGTCGAGTAAAAAGAGAAAGCTCGAGGTTGGCCAGGGCACCCAGAGTAGGTCATATCTATTCCGGAGTGGAAGATTGCACGTCTCACAAAGTGCGGAAATGTAGCTGACATGGCCTGATCGTCCTGCAGTGCTGAGCGCCGCTGCCCTGAAGAAGAGACTGCTCGAGAGGCAGGCAGCTTCTTTGGCATCATCTGCTTCTCCTGAGGACAACGGGAAGACCATTGACGACGGCAACAAAGCTTCCAGTGCAAGTCCCGGGCCAGGAGATAAAGTCTCCGGTGCTTTCGAGAGGCTGCTGCTAGAGGGTGCCGAGATACCTGCTGGAGGTGATGGGTATGTGTAACATCCTGTTATCCCTCGGGTCAGGGACAAAAACCCGGATATTGACTGTGAGCAAAGTCTGCAGACCCCGGAGCCTGCTGAGGATCCTCCCAAGCGAAAGGTGGTCCAGCTCTCATCCTTTAAGCCTACAAAAAGCAACCTCCAGGTCAAGAAGAACGGCGTTTCTGTGCTGAACTTCCCAGATGGAGAGGTATGATGATCCCGGAAGTAAACCATCCTGAAGATCAGCTTGCTGACCAGAAGACAGCGTCTGGTGATTTTGGGCAGTTATGGCATCAGGGTCAAGAATGGTGAGGCAGCCATCGCCGGCGCTACTCTGCTCCCTTCTCAGACAATACACTGGGTCCATGCACCTCACTGTCATGCCCTGCCTGTCTTGAGATGCACGGAGCAGTCTGTGATTGAGCTTCACAATCACCAAGGCGCCCCTGGGCTCAGGAACTTGGAAAAGCTATCACCTCTATTCGGTGTCCTTTGGAATGAAGTCGGCCAAACAGAGAACACCACAAAACAAACATATCAGATCCTCTCAAGCTCAGCAGATGGCCCTAAGAAGGCCATACTGCAGGATCTCAGATCACCCGCAGAATGGAATAAGAAGGTTGCCGATTTATGCAAAGAGAGGCGAACCAAGCCCCCGGTTGTCCTTGTGTGTGGTCCAAAATCGTCGGGCAAGTCTACCTTCTCCAGGCTCCTGGCCAACAGATTGGTGACCAGTATAGGCAGCAACAAGCAGCGAGTTTGGCCCGGTGTTGCCATTCTGGATATCGATCCTGGCCAGCCTGAGTTTTCACCACCAGGCCTGATCTCTCTTGTCCAGCTCGAGGAGCCAAATCTAGTCCCTCCTTTTGGGCATCCAACTCTAGTCGACACGAAATCCATGCCTAGATCACACGCATTAGCATCCGTCACTCCGGCATCAGATATAGAGCACTATCAGGAATGCATTATGGACCTCTACAACTCTTACCAGTCGTCTCACAAGGACTGTCCCTTACTCATCAACACTCCTGGCTGGGTACAGGGCACCGGCCTCGGTCTGTTAATGGATCTCATATCCAACGTTCATCCAACTGAAGTCATGTATATGTCTGAGGACGGCCCGGAAGACACAGTCGAAGGCTTGAAATCTGTATGTGACGGCAACACCTTCACGTCACTTCCCTCCCAGTCCAGCGAGTATACCTCCAGAACGGCATTGCACCTACGACACATGCAAGCAATGTCTTATTTCCACATGGCCCCCGAATTGAGCCGAGGCACTGCCATTCGATGGGATTCCAAACCGCTAACGTCTAAACCACCGTTGCTGCTGCATTACGCGGGGACGAACGGCGGGATTCTCGGCGTGGTGTGTTACGGATATCAGCCAGGACTAGACCTACTGGCCGACTCCATCAACGGCACTATCGTCGCAATTGTCGAGATCGAAGACCGCAAGGCATTCTGCAACATCACGGAAGCCGGCAATGGGGTGCAACCAGACGAAAAGTCAGAGGAGCCAAACAACGGGCAACACCCAGGTGTACAACGCTACATACGGCGAACACCAGAGAAGATCCCCTATATACGACATGGAACAACTCTTCGGCCCCAATTTTCCCGTTGTTTAGGTCTGGCCCTTGTTCGCGGCGTTGATGTTCAGCGTGCCATCATTGCTCTGGTTTCACCAGTATCCTCAAGTGAGCTTGAAGAGAGGGCGATAGTCCTTATCTCGGGGAAATTCGACGTTCCGACGTGGTCATATACTGAAGACCACTACAATCATGCCTCTCAACGGGGTGAGGACCAGCACGACAACGGAGCTCTGACAGATGAGGTCGGTCAGGCGCAAGATGGGCTCACAGGAGAAATCCCTTGGGTCGAGAGCCTCCATGGCGGTCAGAAAAGGGTGGTTGGATCTAAGGCATGGAGGGTCAGAAGAGATCTTGGGCGGGGTGCAGGAGCTGGTGATTAGATGTGGTGGACTGAAAGGCACCCAGAGACTACAAGACCGAAGATGGCAGGCCCAACATCGCTGGATGCTAAAGGCTTTACGTTACCGGCATCACAGACACTTGATCATTGCCGGCGACAAACGGCCCACACTTGGTGAAAATATCACAGCCACGTTTGTCCCTGGGGATTGATCCCGTGATCATCTATCCATTTCGATTGCAAGTTGTCTTCAGCAGCAACGCCTCCACGAAATCACAACACTTTCTCCTACTTCACCCACCATCCATCCATTCACCTCGATTCAAAGCTGCCTTAAGTAACACTTCGACGATATCACAATTGTTTCTGTTACCCCGCTGACCTTTGACTGTGCATCAATTAACAACACATCCCACGTGTTTGACAACCTCTGCCCTTTCACATTGTTGTCAACAGTCAGTCACTGTCAATACATCTACACTATCGCCCTCTTTCTCGATTGTCTGCACTCGCCTATCACTTTCTGCCTATTCACCAGCTTTGATCATGGACCACCAGTTCCTCACGCGCCTCGCCCAGCACGCGAGCTTCCAGGTGCTGAACTATCATCTCTTGTGGGCCGACAGCAATCGCGGACTATTTGCACTTGACAAAGAGTCGGAGCTCAAGATCAGCGAGAAAATCAAGATGTTCCTTCCCCTGGCCCACAAGTCTCCTAATAAGCAAGAGGCATTCGTCGAGGTCGTCTGCGACGCTGCGCTCGTCGTCGCGGAGAAGTATAATCTTAACAAGCGCGCATTCTACGCTGCTGTTCAGAATCTGGCCACCGTGACGCTTGTTCCAAGCATATACGAGAACGCAGGAGACCCGGTCCCCCTCAGCGCTCACCATCTGCGCTTGTATGGGGACAGCGACGCCGAGGAGGGCGAGAAGGGCAACCACGAGAAGGAGGATCACGAGGAGGAGGACCACGAGAAGGAGGAGGACGAGAAGGAGGAGGTGAAGCCGCACTCGGCGGCCACAAAGGGCGGAGCTCCCTCGAAAAACGGGGTGTTCTGGACCGAGTCACAGATCCGGGAGGTCATTGACCTGAAGACCGCGGGCAAGCCTTATCCGGCCATAGCGGAACGGATGGGCCGCACTGTCGCCGCCATCAAACAGAGGTGGCGACTTGTGGACAAACCTTATTCTGGCTGGAAGGACTACATCGAGAAGAAGACAAGTGAGGCCCGGGATGCGCTGGATAGGCAAGGTGAGCTGTCAGACGGTAGCAACGAGAGCGACGAGAGTGACGAGAGCAGCGAGGACGAGGACGCGGATGGGAGCGAGGATGAGGAGGCCGACCAGGAAGTATGGCCGCCTGTTCCTACTGCGGACACCATCGCTGTCACCAAGACCCCGGCTGCCCTTGAACCAGCCCGCAACTGGACTGATGCCGACATCCGGAAGTTGATCAGATACAAGATCAACGGCCTGAAAGCCCAGCAAATAATGGAGCGCATGCGTCGCCCTAACCGCTCAATTCATTGCCAGTGGCTGAACTTGTCAACCAACATCAATGGCAGGTGGTTCCACTACATCCACAAGAAGTTCAGAGCGAAGAGAAAGAGGGAGAAGCAGGCAAAGGCCTTGCAGGGTGGCACGGGAGGTGATGCGGATGTGACTGGCCAGCCCAAATGGGTAAGTTTATCTCTGTTCACGTAGAATTTGCCATGGCAGCCTCGCGGTTGATATGTGAGGCTAATTCGCGATATATATATACACACAGACTCAGGTTCTCGCCAAGCGAAAGCGTGCTCCTAGCTCCGTCGATCAAGACGCCACCGAGGCCGACGCCATCGAGGCCTCTGACACTGAGGCCACTGAGGCCACCAAGGGTAGCGATGAGGGCCACTCAGCCTAGCCGTCTGCAGCAGAGGTTTCATGTGAATCTTCCTGGAAACATACTAGCTCCCGGGTGTGGCTGCATATGTGGATGCAAAAGGCGAGTAGTATTTGGAGATCAGAAGTTGGTCCATTTACACAGCCAGCCTCATCTGAGTCTGGCGAAACCAATACTACACTTGTTTGAGTATTGGGGCTGTCTGGTATCCGGAAACATACTGTGGAGCTTGGCCATGCGAAAGCCCTGCAAAAGGCCTGGCCGTTGTTGTTCTCCGGCATCTGCTGGGGAAGGGCTCCATTGAGATTGGATTGACTATTCCCACATCTGGCGTGCTCCATCCTGAAGACGAAGCCAAAAGTAGGGGATAGAGATGAAGGGAAATTACTTGTACACTATTTGTGGATCCAGATTGATCCTTTACACTTTGATGGCATTGATATCTATCTTGTACATGAGGACCATCAGGATTCTCTCTAGTAATCAGTCTCAACCATGCAAAACCAACACGCAGAAAGTTACGTCCCAGATGAAATACCCCATAGATTGTCATCTTTTATGTGACCAAAAGCAACGAGGTATTGCAATCCGTGGAGGATAGTCTCGTGAATTTCACACGTCTCTTTGAGACTTTAGTCCCAAGTATTAGCAGCGCCTTTCAAATCTTGAACCTATTGAGAAAGCATCACATGTAAAATACCTTATCCCCTCACCATACTCAGAACCTTGAGAACCTCTTCCTCAGTTGTCAGCGGAACCGGATTCGTCGCAAGCCATGTGTCTTTCAGACTCATCCGGGCCAATTCGTGCACCTTCTCCCCGGTGATCCCCTTCTCTTTGAGTGTCCTGGGCATCCCCAGCGCTCGAACCACCACGTCTAGCAAGTCTCCCAGGTCAGCTTGATCCTCGCGCAGGCCTTTGCTGGAGAAAAGCTGCCGGCACAGAGTGATGTCCCAGAGGACCTCTCTTATCCTGGCCTGCTTCTCCCCGGTGACTCTGGCATTGTACTTGCACACCGCCGGCAGGAGTATGCAGCTAGTCTCGCCATGCCCAACGCCCATCGGGCCCATCATGTGGCCAATACCATGGCTCGCCCCAGCAGGCACGCCCCATGCGATCGGGAGAATCACCAGAGACGCCCCGAGCTGGCAGTTGAGGCGAGCCTCGGCGCTGTCCCTGCCCCCGTGGCTATCGAGGAGTCCCGGCACGAGTAGCCGCAGCCCCTTGAGGCAGGCATCATACACCTCCGGGAACGCATGACCCGACAGTATCGACTCGACGGCGTGGTCGATGCCCCTCACGCCGGACTGCAGCCAGACCGACTCGGGTGTCGTCTGCGCCAGCCACGGGTCGTAGATGGTCACGCTCGCCTGTGCCGCCACGATCTGGTACTTCTGCTTAGTGTCGCCGTCGGTGACCCCGCTGCAGGGCGTGTGCTCGCCTGCCGAGAGCGAGGTCGGGATGAAGACGAGGTTGGCGGTGGGCGGGTTGTGACCCTGGGGCCCTGTCCATTTGCCGTCTTTGACGTTCACCGTGTGCTTTTCGAGCTGGGCGATTGTGCTGATGTCGTTGGTGAGGGCCTTACGCACGAACCTGGCCGCATCGGACAGTGACCCAGCCCCGAGGGTGACGATGGTATCAGCTCCGACTGTTTTGGCTTCGCCTGTCACCTCTAAGCACTCTTGGAAGATTGTATGAGGCGTCATCCCGACCCTTGTGCCCTTCACACGCGTGCCAAGAGCTGTCTTCAGGCGGTCGAGGCTGTTGGTTTTCTCTGAAAGTGTCTTGCTGGCGAGCACATACACTTTGGCATCCGGTCCCACATGGTTGACGATAGCTTTGTCGAATGGCAGACCGTAGCTTATATTTGGGATGACCGGGTCCTTTCGGTGAGCTTTGATAGTAGAACCGAAGACCTCCTGGCTTGGAACTGGAGCCTGAGGGTCCCGGCCAGAGGCGGCTGCTTTGGAAGACATGATAGTAACTCATGTAGGTATCAGGTTCGGAATAGACCCGACGGTCTCATGTGTATAAACAGGTTCTCCAGCAAGCCGTGGGAAAGCGTGGTCAGTAAATAGCATTGACCACAATCTACAACTTGAGATGACAGGCTAAGCTTTTGAAGCGGAGGGCAGGATGCCAGAGGCAGTCTGCGCAATGGAGAGGTTCTTTTTTTGTTTCCTCCCCCCCCCCCCAAAAAAAAAAAAAAAAAAAAAAAAAAAAAAAAAAAACTACGAAATGCCTAGGTGGCTGTCATTTCACGGCGTGACTATGAAAGCCATTCATCTTGACGTCACGATGGGCCTCAGTGCAATGGGTTTCACTACGATCCAGCTTCCGGCCATACCGAGACCCGCAACAGCGAGGATCGACGAGTGCGATCAGCCTCGAAGACGCATGACACGGGTTGTGAGGCACACTGGAGGGCAAGCAGCCAGCCCTGGAGGCTTAGGTGGGTTGTTAGAGCATAGCCGAGGTGCCTTCATGGACAAACACCACTTGCACATTAATTTACAGCAGTCAAAACTGGGAAGTGCTCTCCTGGGACGTCACGGCTGTGAATTGCTGTCAGGAGGCTGGAAGCCAGGCGGTCACGTCGACGAGGCTATCGAGGCAAGAAGCTCAGGTATTTGATGGTATCTACTACGTATCTGCCTTCCCACCAGCAGCCACAGACCCATCAGAGCCACATCCGTCGTCGACCATACGCCATATATCATTGCCCAGCGTACCGATCCCGCCCCAAAGGCGCGTATCACGAGGCCCTGCCCAATCCGTTCATAACATAGCCCATCTTTCGAAGCTGGAACCAATCAAAAGAAGCCTCTCGCCAGACAAAAGCAGCCCATAGGAAGGTATACCAACAGTCGAGCCAGTAATCAACCGGACCAGGAGTGCACCCAGGACGAGGAGGCGCAAAGATAGAGCCCACCGCATAGACCCCCGCATCGCAATGCGGCCCCTGCCACCAAATACATCGCCGTCTAAAACTCTTAAGTACAGATAACGTTCAAGGCCGGTGGCGAGCCTGAGTGAGAAGCGCAAAAAATATCAATCGAGGTAGGTATCTCTTTTTGAAGGTGGGCATTGAGGCGTGGGAGAAGGTGGCACAACAACCAAAACAAGCCATCAATCTGTTCCCGTTTCGTTTCATCCTGCAAAGGATACTGTGACCTGCCCAACCCTTTTATTTCCCTTGGTTTCGATGCAGTGTATCTCCCGAACGCCTATTGGAAAGCAGAAAAGAGAGCCAAAGTTGTTTGAGGTGAAGTGTTGCTGATTGTGGATGTCATCGTGATTATGTTTAAAGCTTAGGACGCTGATGGGCGGGAATCAAGGCCAGACATGGTATGGTAGTGAGGCTCTGTCAAGCCCCTATGGTGGTGTTGTTTTGTGCGAGGCTTTCAGACCAGATCTGCCCACCGACCTGGTCCGGTTCTCCTGAGGCATTGACAAGCTTGGAAAGGTCTGAAACCCGCTCTGGTTTTCTTTTGGCGTGAGTCGGCGAAGTACCCAGACATTGGAGGTCAGTCGCGCGGATGCTGACCAGTAGCATGTGTGAACGAGCATAGACCACGGAGAATGGCTATTCGATTGGGAGTAGCATCATCACAGACGCCAGCATCCGAGACCTGGGTGCGGATGATTCTCTGTGCACAGCGTCCTGGTTGTGCGTGGGGGGAACCATGTCGTTAAGTCGCAAGTAAAGGAAGTGAACGAGTGAGTGTATATAAGATAAGGCTGCTGTCAAGAGGCTTGTCGTTGTCAAGTCATGATGAGCCTCGATGTCGCAAATTGTACCATAATTCTTTGGATTCCGGATATTCGCACGCCTACTGCTCATTACTCTCCGGACTCAGCATACCGACAGCCTCATCCTTGATATCGCCAGGCGGGCTGCTCGCAACACCCTGGCTTTGCAAGCTGTCAACACGTTCCATCGACGGGGCCTGAATGGAGTTGGGGGCTCCGTTGGGCAGCGCAGGAATGTTTTTGCCCAGCTTCTTGCCCTTTTCTGGCGTCGAGTTGGGACCGCCGGGCTTGGGATCGGTGACCTGGGCTTTGCCAGCCTCGAGCTTCTTCTTCTTCTTGGCCAGTGCGATTTGCTCCTTTGGCGGCCGTTTCTGAGGGGACACAATTTTACCAGTTGCGCCAAGGCGAGGGCGAGGCCTCTTCTGCTTGACCGGGAGATCCTCATCCTCTACCAAAGGTTGATCGCCATTAGCATGCAACTTGGCGAGGAAGAAGTTCTTGACAAGCCCGATCTGGTCTTGAATGTTGTCCTTTGTGACCGGGTCCGCAGGAGGAAGCTGCTCAAAGACGTCGTGGATCTCAGCGTCAACGGTTTGTGCCTGGGACTGGAAAGTGTTCCGGACACGAGTCTGGAGTAGATGCAGAGGCACCGACATCATCTCCAAACCGAGCTCTCTGTCAAGACCAAGGGCTTTGAAGCCAAAGAAGTCTTCACCAAGCTCCTCAGCAAAGTCACCACCAACGAACTGCTCACTGCCATCCTTGAAAGCCCCAGCGCCGTCCGGCCCGACGTCGTTGAGTGCTGGCCGAAGCAAGTCCGCGAGGTGGGACTTCATGCGCTCGTGCATTGTTCCGAGCTTGGTGCCTAATCTGTCAACATCATCCTTGGCGTAACCCTCTAATGTCTCCAGGCTGAGGCCGCTCTCGTTCAGGGTGTGTAGGATAACCTCCTCTTGTGTGAAGCGCGGTTGAAATTTGGCCCCACGCTCGGCGTACACACCCGTGGCGTTCTTCTTCTCGGCTTCCTGGTAGACGTTGAAGGTGCGAATAAGCTTTTCGAAATAATCCCCAGCGATGTCTGCAACCACATCGAGCGCAGACGGCTGCAGCTCCTCAAACCCAGCGTGATAGAATATTTTGGCCACCGAACGCTGCAAAGCCGATTTGCAAACGCCAGGCGCCAGAACGGGCGCGTCGCCGGCAACGAAATGAGGTTCGATGTCAGCCTCCACGAAGGGCTCTGGTTCGTATTTGGGAAACTGGTTCGCGTAGACCTGTGACTGTATCTGCATCTGCTTGATGACGCCAATTTTGGAGACAACTTTCCTGGTCTCCTGCAGCTGCCGGAGATTCGCATCGAACTTCTTTGTGAGAATGCTCGGAGGGGCGACGAAAAAGCCTCGCGGTACCATACGCAAGACATCCTCGTGCTGGTTTATTACCTGGCCCTCGTCGTCCTCGACCCATTGCAGCTTGGGTGGAACGTCAGGCACGAGATGGTTGGTCTCGTAGTAATCGGGAATGGCTCGCTCTACTTCATCTTCCATGCCCTCGGCCAGGGTTTCGATCGGCTTCGCTGAGTCCTTTGCAGCGATGGCTGATGAGCCGCCGCCAGACGCAGCGAGAAGACCAGCCGACTCTGCTTGCTTGTGGCTTCGAAGCACGCGTCGCATGCCGGCCTTGGTCCTCACGAGTGCTGGCTCGTCGATGTTGAGCTTGTTGCCCTTGAACAGTTTGTAGCGCTCACGGGCGGCCAAGGCACGATCCTTTTTCGTCACTTGCTTCCAAATCTTGTACTCTTCATCCTCAATCTCCTGCTCGGCAGCTTCACCCAGCGCATGGTCGAGAACCATGCCGCTCAAAGACGGGCCGTCGGTCTCCATGGCGTCGGCATTGCTGCCAATGCCGGACTGGCCGTGCTGGCCCAAGGGCGTGAAGGAGCCGACTGGTGGGGTCCCGAATCCATTGCTGCCCTCGCCCATCTCGGAGCCTTCTCGGCCGGTCTTGGCCAGGATCCCGTTGAGCTGCAGTATGGGCTTGGTGTCATTGTTTGGCGTTCCCTCCTTCTGGTCCGAAGGGGCCTTCCTCGATTTCGTGGCGCCTTTTGTGGCACTGCTACGACCGCGCGAGGATATGATGGGCTCATCGTCACTATCGTCGCCCGCGTCGTCCTCGCCACCGTTCTGCTTGCGCCGCTCTTCGGCCTCAACCTCGGCGCGGGGCCTGATGACCAGGTCAGGGATCAATGGAGTGAGCTTGTCGGCCTCCCTGCGCATACCATTAGCCATGCGAGGGAGATGGTTGTTCAAGTTCTGATTGTATCGGAGACAATTATCCCAGATCAGGCTGAGGTCGGCCACAAAGTCGGCCTTGGATTTATACTGAAGCTGCTTGAGCTTCTTCGTCATGGTACCTAGATCCATAGGCTGCTTGATGACTGTGGAAGTGATCAGTGCTTGCGCAAGTCTTTTCGGGCGGGTAAAATGCTGCCTACCGCTGTAGTAGTCTGGCGCATCCCTCTTGCTAACTTTTTGCAAGAATGGTGTCGAGTACTCCGTGTGCGCCTTCAATTCGCTGAGGACCTTCTCCAACGCCTCATAAAGCTCCTCCTGACCCACGTTGTCTTCGCTCGCCCATTTTGACCGATTCTTCCTAACCTCATTCATCAGACTGCGCAGTTCCTGGTCAGTTGCTTGGACCTGACTGCGCTTCATATCTATCCTGGCGATGAGATGCTTCAGCGTCAGGCTTGAGGCGCCGAGGTTGGCGCTGCTGAGGGATCCGTGGGCCTGGCCGGAGCCTTCGTTGGATGAGCTGCCGCCGTTCTTATCCATCTCCGCCTGAATCTGTTTCTCAGATTCCTCCAGTTGCTGTTGCTCCAACATGGCGGTACGATCATTCTCAAGAGTATAAAAGAGTGTGTGGAAGCTGCGCTTGGCCGCCTCTTCGGTTGCGTTGCGAGCCTCTTCCAGTTCCTTTCGCGCATCTTCGGATGATCTCGCATGGTCTTGCGACGCGCCATCTTCTTTGGATTTATCGCCGTTCTTGCCGGGAGAGGAGACAGAGTGGACAGGAGAGCTCCCGGACTTGGAGGGAGAAAGGTATGTCTTGGCTGCGGCGGCATTTGCAGCAGTCTGTGATTTTGGCGGCGCGGAGCCACCGTCGGCGTTATTGTCCTCTTCCTCGTCATCTTCATCATCGTCGCCATAGTCGTCCTCATCAATTACCCGTTTCGCCTTTTTCAGGGGGGGTGGCTGGATGGGTGCATGGTCGGTGGTAGGGGGCGGCAGGTTGAACGAGTCGTCAGCGGTGGGAGGGCGCTTCAGGGACTCGATTGCAGCGACATCGATGTCGCCGTCATCGGCAAAGAGGGCGGCGATCCTGGCGTCTGTTTTGCGAAAGAGACTGGCGAAATGGGCGCGTCGTTGGTCCTCGTCGTGGTTGTCTGATGCCTCAGGCATCAACAAAGTCGCATCGTTCTGGGATCGCGACGAGCCATCGGAAGGGGGCTGATTCATCCTGATTCCATTTCCCTGGCTGCCAGCGGGCGTTGGCCAGCCATTCTGGGATTGATGCAATGACATATTGGCCCCTGGGGGATGGACAGGACTGATGCACGGCCGCACACCCCATGCGCCGGGGGTCGAGGTGAATTCCACCGCCTTCCGGTCGGAGTCGGTTGACTAGATGGGCACCGGGTGATAGCGCGTCATTGACATAGATGGGGAGGAGGGAGTGCAGGATGATTCGGGGTGTTGTGGTGGAGGAGGTGATGGAATTGCGACGGGCGATGGTCGTGGACGTGATGGATTGACGTTGTGTCTGGAGAGCGCATGTCCCGTTTTGGGTGGAGCAAGTACCGTCGCGCGACGGGACTGTGGGCCTCGGCGCCCAAGGAGCGTCACCGGGTACCTCTGTCTCTGCTCGACGAGGCTACGGGGCACGCTGCGCAATTGTGGGCAGCTGTGGGCTTGTGCAAATATGCTATCTAGTCCAGGCCCCTCTGTTTGCAGCATTCCCATGGCTTACTTTTGCATCTCCTGCCTCGGGGCACTCGATATCCCATCCTGCATTATTTCAGGTGTACCTCACCTTCTGGCTGCCTTACATAATCGCCCGCGCTTATGTGATCCTACCCGGAAGCAGTTGGTATTGGGAGAGCGGGAACATAGTGCCACGATGGTTCGATTCAATATCGAGGCAATGAGTCTGATCACCTCTGAAAATTCATCTGTGCCATTCCATGTTAACTGATCACTGTATTTGGAATTAATGGTAGGAGAGATACAGCGAAGTCATCCTCCACCACTATAACATTGGCGGCGCATCGCTACGCGTCGCCAGAACATGCACGCCCACACACACATATTACTGGATAGTTGATGCGAATGGGCATCAGAGATGCAAAGAAAAGCTCGTTGAAAATGAGTGTAGATGATGGGTGATGATGATCAACATACGTTTTGTACGACAAGGAGGCATAAACAGAGAGTATCTGATGTGCTACTTGAGGCTGCATCATACCTACAGGAGAAACCCCCCTCCCCTCCCCTTCAAAAAGCTCCCTTGGACGATTTGCTGCGAACCGCGTCCACATGGCGTCCGGGTGAGTGGGGATGGCCCGACAGAGCGGTCGCACCTGGCCGTGTGGGGCTCGGCTGCCCAGGGCTGCCAGGTGGCCTGGGAGCTGTGTGGGCGGGCAGCAGGCAAGCAAGCTCCAGGCCACCTCATCCTGGAACTCGTTGCGTATCGCAAACCTCCCAGTGCTCAAACCTCCCAACCGAGTGACACGGCATAACGACTGGACTCCCCACCCCACTCCCCCAGTCTCAGATCCAAGCGGAATTCTTTTAAAAGCCATGGTTATCACCGCAGATCATTTATGATTCGTCCATCTACATAAAACCTTCCCAGAGATGAGGATACGACTTCCATTCGCAGGTTCGTAAGCTGCCGGAGCTGAGCTCAGAAGCTCCCCTCCCCACTCCACCTCCACCTGGCGCTCCAATGCTCCCCAGGCAAGCTCTGGCCCTGCTACCTTTAAGGAGACACTGACAACTCGACAGGAGTCTTCTTCCTGCTGCTCCTCCTCGCAGGCTACGCTGGCCTGACCTCCCTCCAAGTCGGAGCCTACGTCAACGACAAAGTCCTCCACACCGTCACCTTCTTCCTCCTCACCGTAGTCTTCTACTGGATCGTCGACACAAACCGCCGCCGGACCCTTCACTTCACGCTGGTGGTGTGCACACTATGCCTGGGCGTCGGCTCCGAGTTCCTGCAGGGCTTCCTGCCCAACGGCCGCGACTTTGACTTCTACGACATCGTCGCCAACCTGGTGGGCAGCCTGGCGGGGCTGGGCCTGTGCTCCATGTACCACAAGCGCATGTTGGAGAGGAAGAGGAGCCGCAAATCCTACACGGCCGTCCCCGACGGAGCGGAAGAAGAGGGCGACATCGAGCTCGGGGAAGGCGTTGTTGGCGCACAGGAGAGCGGCATCATGGAGGCGTCCGGCGCAGCAGGCGAGGGCCCGTCTAGCAAGACAATGTCCTTGGAGGAGCAGGTTGACAACTGGGACGAGAACGCACCGGATGACTGGGACGGCGTTGATGATGTGCACGATGAAGAGCCGAAGAAACGTGCCGACTGAGTCCCGGCGTCTTTGGGCAATGGACTTTGAAAATGATGGCGCTGGACACAAGAGCGACGGTCTGTTCTGATACCTTCACGGCGATTTGGCTGGCTATTGGCGTTGGGCAGGATTTGTACGACTTGAACGAGGGATTTTGACGTCTATCATTACTTGAGCATTAAAGAAAAGGATATCTCGAAGGGGTGGGCTATCATCTCTCTCTACACAGGGACCAAGCTTATCAAACACCGGCATGAAAATGGCCCCAAGGCTACAGTCATTCCACCTCGCAATGACACTTCTATGTCCCACCAAAGCGTGCAACATCTGGACGAAAACCCCAAGCCTCTCACTAGTCCCTGAGTCGTGGTGGCTGTCCAGCTTCTTGTCCAAAATCAAGATTGACTAACAACTCTGGTAAACACCATGGGAGCTTGCACACTTCAACTGCACTCGCTCAACTGGACAACTTACGGATCGTCAAGGGGCGACCGACTGAAGAATTCCCACAGCACCACCGGACTGACGTTACATCCAGCTCGATTTCATTCTGGTCGTTCTGAATCGCCGTCCTAGATGCGATACGCCAAAAAGTGCAGGAATTTGGACACCAGGCAGTGGGAAGCGCTATGGCAAAGCAACCTACCGGACCTCGTCACGCTGAAGTCACAGGTCTCAGCTCGTGCGGCATCGTCGTCGTTGACGCCGAGCCGTGGAACATGCGCGGCCCCACCGAATGTCGTGAGTTTGGCATCGCGTACATACCTCCCATACAATCGTTCCACGGCGATGATATATGTCTGCCCCAGACTTTGGTGTCATACCAACAACACTATGGATTTCAGAGCCGCTGCTGTCACATTTGGGGCAGGGAAAGGGAAAAGAGCGGCCAGGCTTTCGCGTTCGGCGAAGTTGACGTCGTAGACGCGGAGTTGGTCGAGGAGAGGCTGCTCAGGGTCATGAAGTCCTTCAACAACACCAGCTCTAAACCCGTACTCGTCGGATTCGATCTGAGCTTCGAGCTTCAGGTTATCGCGGCGCACTACCCACGGCTGACGGGGCTGTTCTTGAGCTGGGTGGACGTGCAGGAGCTCGCCGCCGGCGCCTCTGGCCGCCATCCGACGAAAATGCCCAGCCTCCGCGACACTCTGATCGCGCTGGGGTTCGGCGACGACCCGCGTGCGGTGTGCGCCCACAGGAACTGGAGGCACTGCGCTGGAAACAACGTGGTGCGCCTTGCTGCTGGCTTGATTGAGCTACTCAGGCGGCCGGAATCCTGTCCACCTCCAGAGATTGGCCAGTCACAAAAGAAGTCAAGCAAGCAGAAGAGGCACGACACGCCCTCCCTGACACAAAAGCAGTGGAGAGCCAGGCCAAGACCCTACGACTTTTACCCTTTTGTTGCGAGGATATACGAGACCAGTGAGCATCAGGCTTTACGAAGATTCTCGCTGTACAGGTTTTTCGACTACTTCTCAGGCTATAGCCCAACCGCTGCTGGAATTAATCCCAGCAAAAAGTATGGTTGGGTCTGTCTACCCACGCACGAGGAACTAATGACATTTGTCCGACACTTTGACGGTACACAAGAAAGTGAAGAGGGATACATATGGAAGGCCGTTGCGGATCCTACGGACTCAACTACATCGGCTGCCACATCAACCACGCCAAAGAAAAATAGAGTCCACGAGAGAGATTTTAGTCATTCGGATGGTGAGATTGGGGATATCTCGGACATGTTCAGAGGGATGGAACTATTCCTAGAAGTAGACAGCACAATGTAAGATAAGTTTTGTTGTACAAACCAAACGAGCCTTTTCGAGGCTTGGTTGGACGCCGCTACCAGATCACTTCGGTTTTAGCAAGGGAATGAAACGGAACTCCGGCTGCTGACATTTGATAAGCACTTTGGCGCAACGTGATAACTCTTTCCTAACCCTGATGAGTCGAGCTCAGTAATGCTGGACCCTACCACCCGAAGCTCTCGCTGTGCCAAAATACCACCCTCCCCTTCCGCACCCAAGCCCCAACATGATTCCTCAAGTCGCGGCCCATCACCGCCGGCCCACAGAAAAAGACCGCCACCCTCTCATCCTGACCATGCTGGAATAAATCATCCACGATCTTCTTGAGATTGGGCCGCATGAGCTGGTGCCTCATCTCGCCGCCGTGGTGCAACGAGGTCAGCTCCACGTCCTCGCCTTCTGCTCCCTCCGGGCTGCCCAGCTTGTCCTCGCTGGCCGTGACGAATATCTGCACGCCCTCGTCCTCTGTGAATCCCTTGTCGTCTTTTCCGGATGTTACCCACGAGGCATCGCCGACGACGCGCACGGCCCAGACAAGCTGGACCTGGGCGGCCGGGTTGTCTTTGACCAAGGCGCGGTAGAGAGGGACTGTGTAGGTGGCGCCAACGCCCCCTGACACAAGCAGTATGCGGTCGAACTCGCCCTCGGCCAGCGTGGAGAAGTGGCCGGCCACGCCGTATGGCCCCTCGATCGAGAGTGGGATCTTGGTGGCATCGTGGCGGCTGTTGTTGCTCGCGATCTGGTTCAGAGTGGTGGTCATTGGTCCACTGAGGTGCCGCGCCACCAGTGTCAGGGTCCCAGCTTTCGCGTCGACATCGGCTACCGTGAAAGGGTTGTACAGGAACTCGTGGACAAGATAGTCTGCCGAAGCCGGGCTGTCCGAAGGCCGCGCTTCGGCGGGGATCTGGAGGTAGACGTGAGAGCCGGGATGAGTCTGGAAACGGTGAATCTTCTTCTTGGGAATCGGCGCTGTGATTTTGACGAGGGTCGTCCCCGGCACCGTCTCCAGCTTCGCGACAGCGGTGACGGTGTCAAATTTGCGGGTGATAATGTCGGCGAGGAAGACCACGAGTGCCTCGACAAGGAACACTCTCGACGAGTGGGCATGGAACCAGATCAAGGGCGGTATCAGCATCGCCACCATGAGATGGACTATGAAGAATACCCTGTAAGAGTAGTTCCGGACCACTCTCAGGGTTGTTGTGTTCAGAAAGGTCATGCTCCAAATCCCTACCATGCCAGTGATAACTGCGCGGGACGTCTTGAGCTTCTCAGCCAGTATTCCCGAGGCGACAAAGAAGTTGAGGTAAAGGCACGCGTGGGCGAAAAGCCAGGTATAGACAATGCGGCCAAGCACGCGGTGATAGCGGTTGACTTGCTCATGTGACGAGTTGAATATGTAGGCAACCGGGTTGAGGCTCTTGAGTGCCAAGAGGTACTGAAGAGGCAATTGAGATATTGCGATGGCACCAGCTCGCTTTGTGAGATGAAGGTAGTCTGCTTCTTGTCAGTACTCTTGTAATCTAATTCAGACATGTTTGCTACCTTACCATCGGCAGTCTCCGTCACAGTTAGGATCAACATCCAGAAACCCCAGCCGAGTCCAAAGACCCACTCGTCTCTCTGGCCCCAAGTCCGGCCCAGGAAGACAACATCATCTCCAAGCCACCACTGCAGATGGCGGTATCGTGATTCCCAGGTTCCTAGGGGGCCCTGCCTCCTCACTTTCCGCAGTGGTGACTCCGGGATGGCATTGTATGCGCCCTTCTTGGCCTCGACTGCCCTGAAGGCCCAACTTGCCAGTCTCCAGACGAGGAACAACAGGACTGGAAGAAAGGCCGACAGCTGGGCAACTCCGGCATATCTGTTCAATATTTGCCTTCTCAGCCTCACCTGGTCTTCATCCAACGACAAAAATTTCCATGGCCATCCCATTTTATGACGACTGGTTGGTTTGGAATCCGAATGAGTACGGCGGGACTTTAGCTTGTGTCTTCAAACGTCAAGCGCGGAAGGGAGGCAAAGGGAGGGTTAAGGCGACCCGGATGAGTAACTTTGAACAGGCTATGATGTACTACTCTAAACAGAGCATCAGCCGCAAAAAGAGTGAGCACTAGGGGTAGATTTCCAATGATTGGAAATGGCGAAGAGGTCGCTGGCAAAGTCGCAGGGTCCATTCAAGTACTAATAATGTGCTCCGCCTAGTGCCCGGGGGTGTAACAATAAGCTCGGATATCCGCCCTGCGGGGGTCGGACCGCCTGGAAATTCGACGCCTGGAACGTGGGATCCCCCGAGCAGAATCAAACGGCATTTGGATTGATGGTGACAACATTTATGCCTTCGTGTCTGTTGCCAGGGAACACGTTGGGGCCACGTTGGCCATCTTGTAGACTGGGCGTAAATCATTTTCCATTTGTCAGCCAAGCTCATGAGCAGCTCGAAGAGGACAAAACGGACAGCAAGCAAATTAGGACCTCGGGCTTCCTCTTTCGGCGGCGTTGATGGCCATGAGAGACTTCTCAGAACCTTGGAAGCCAGACACAGTGCAGGCCGGCATCTCCGTGCCCAAGGACAAGCTCCCAGGTACTCCGTAAAGATAGATCATCGGCTAGATTCCTTGCGCTGACTCGGTCGATCCAGCTGAGTCGGGGAGTGGATTTCTATCTAGGCTTTGCTGAAAAATGCTTTCAATTGAAGACTCGGTTCCTCACCCAGCACACTTTGTCCCCCAGGTACTGGGAGCTCTACTACCCCTTGCAGCTGGTGGGCCCCGGAATTAGGTGGGGCGCGGAACCGAGGGGCAGCTCCGACCTGGAACCGAAGCTGCAAGTTGGAGACAGCTGTCGGCCGCAAGAGGTGCGATTACCTTGTCTACAGCTTATTGCATACAGGAAGGAGACAAGTGGATTTCACCAACATCAGCCAAAAACACATCATCCATACCACAGCCGGTGCACCTCTTTGACCTCAAAGACTTCCTCGGGTAAAGACACCTGCCGTACGCCATGGCTGTCCAGCTACGGTCCTTTCCCTCGCAGTCTTCGGACGACATGCGATTAGACGACTACCTGGACGACAAGCTCCAGTCCACCATGGACCTGGACAACCTCGACGAGCTGCTCGCCAGTGTCGAGGAGCAGCACGTCCAGCTCCAGTCCCAGCTCGACGACGCATCCCACGCCCTCGAGGTCGCGCGCCAGTCTGCCGACCAGAGCCAGGCCTCGCTGCAGAAGCAGATCGACGACTTCCAGTCCCTACAGCGCAGCATCGACGTCCGCCTGCAGATCGTCTCGAGCTCCGACGCCCCGGACGAGGCCATCCGCAGGCTCGAGGGCCCCATGCACAGGCTGCAGAAGGTCGATCTGGCGCACAAGTACCTGCTGTTGCTGCAGGATGTCGAAAACCTGCGGACAGAGGCCCGGAGCCACCTGCCGAAGAGCCCAAAGGCCGCGCTGGAGCCCTATACCAGGTTGAAGCAGCTGGGGCAGTACCTGCACGAGCTGCAGCCCCAGGCAGACTATGCTGCAACGCATCTGGTGGCGCATGTTGCTAAAATCGCCGAGAATCTCTGGGACGAGATGAAGAGAACCATGTGGGCGGAGATGGATGGGATCCTCATCAAGAGGGGCTGGCCGAAGAAGGTGGATGCCCGGTCAGAGATCGACGAGGAGTGGAAGGAGTGCTTCGAGAAGCTGGTGGACCTGCAGGTCCCAGAGGTTCTCTATTCGGACGGCGTGGTGACGCTGCTGCCTGTCGATGTCATGGCGCAGAACTGGACCAAGGAATTCCGATACCACTTCATGAGCGACAAGCCCACGAGCAAGCCGCAGATCATTGGGGCGCAGTGTTTTCCATGGATTACGACCCTCCTGGAGGAGTGGGACGACTTCATGCGTGACAACTTTGGGTTCATACTCGCGACAAAGTTCAGCGACACGGCAGCGGCCAACAAGATGGTATACATGGACCCGACGTGCGCCCTTATCACCTCGTTGCTGCCCGTCATCAGGGAGAAGGTCAATTCGGCTGTGGAGGTGGCCCTGAAGGACCCGGTGTTTTTGAGCAGCCTGATGTCACAGCTGATGACCTTTGACGATACTTTGCGATCCAGGTTCAACTATGACGGAGGCGACCTCGAGCGAGGCTGGGGTGGTCTCACCTCTGAGGTGCTGGACAAACACTTTGACAAGTGGCTCGAGGCGGAGAAGACTTTTGCCCTGGACAGGTATAAAGGAATCATGGCCACACCAGACGCTGGCCAGATTGACCACGAGTATAACGGCCCGGGAAAGACCAAACCGACTTACGGTGCTGTCCGCGTCACAGACCTCCTTCGCTCTGTGACGACTCAATACGAGCGGGTCAGAAGGTTCTCCCACAAGTTGCGCTTCCTGATCGAGATCCAGCTGGAGATCTTGGACTCGTACCATGACCGGCTAAACGGTTCTTTGGGGGCTTACAAGGCTATGACTTCCACTGCCGGCAAGATGGTGTATGGGGCCACCAAAGAGCAATTAGCAGCCCTCGAGGGGACCGGGGCATTCGAGACGCTTTGCAAGGTCTTTGGTAGCACCGATCACGTTGTCAACGCCCTGAAGGACTGGAGCAACGAGGAGTTCTTTGTGGACCTGTGGGACCGGCTGCAGGCGAGGGCCACCAAGTCCGACGACCAGGGCAACCTCGCGGGCGGAATGAGCCACGACGAGGTCAAGGGCCGGACGTCGCAGACGGTCGGCACAGGCGAGGACGGCGGGATCCTTTTCGACGAGACCATCAAGGCGTACACGGAGCGGCGGACGGCGGCCCAGGACCTGCTGACCGAGGCGGTCATCAGGTCGCACGCGGACGCGTTCCGCGCCTACATCCAGCGGGCGCAGTGGACCGTCGTCAGCGAGGACACGGCCGCCGTCGACCCGTACCAGCTGGCCATCACGGCGGAGCTCGACGAGCCGCTGCGCATCATCAAGCGCAACTTTGACTTCCTCGCGCGCGCCATCGGCGCCGCCGTCGTGCGCCGCGTCGTCCGTGGGGCCCTCGACAGCCTACAGGACACGCTGTGGGGCGACGTCCTGCGAAAGAACAAGTTCACCGCCCTTGGTGCCGCTCAGTTCATGCGCGACCTGCACGCCGTGTTCGCCATGGTCGACCGCTACGTGCCCAACGCATCCGAGGCCATGGCCACGCTCGCGGACGCCGTGAAGCTGCTCAACCTGCCTCTCGAGGCCGAGGACGGCTTCATGTCGCTCAAGAAGGCCAGTGACCGCGTGTTCACTGATAATGCCGAGGCGAGAAAGGTGATAGAGGAGCTCGGCATTGATACGCTTGAGCCCGGAAATGCGAGGATGATCCTGCAGAGGCGCGTTGAGAACAGTGATTAGGCCCTGATCTAGCCCCAAATGTATAAAGCAATGAGGAATTGCCCTCGTCCTGCCAAGTCTATTGCTGTCCCTCTCAATGTGTATAGTGTTGAACCACTTGAGCTTTCCTGATGCAGTAAAATGGTCCCAATGTCCGGGGTCTTGCTTCCTTGCCAGCCATGGATCTTTCTTGCCAAACCCCAGCGCCTAGAGTTTTGTCACACAGCCCCGCCTAGTTGATCGCCCTCATCGTGAGCTCCACCACCGCAAACGTTCCCGCAGAAACAGGCATGGCCCTCAGCAGCGTCGGGCCCAGGCCCCTCCAGAACCCGCCCATGCCCTCCTTCCTCCACGTCTGCGCGAAGCAGTCCCGCATGTTCCTGTACACCTTGTCCTTGCCGAACCCGTCCGTCTGCATCTTGGACTTGACGACGTCAAAGGGGTAGCTGGACAGCCACAGCGCCTCGCCGGCCAGGCCGCCGTAGAAGGCGACCTTGTAGGCGGGAATGTCCTTGCGGTCGACGCCGTTGCGCGCCGCGTCGCGCGCCATGAGCCACTCGAAGGACAGGAACCACACCCCGTACGCCTGCGCCTCCCGCAGGATCGTGACGGCGCTGCCGCGGTAGACGCCCCCCAGGACCCCGCCCCCGGGGGCGGCGGTCAGCTTGCGCACGCAGTCCAGGGGCCCCGAGTACAGCCTCCCCGCGCCGTGGGGCTGCGTCTGCAGCCTGATGCGCACGTGCTCGATCGGGCTCGACAGGACGGTGTTGGCCACGCCTGCAAACGCGCCTGACGCGTAGTACTGCCCGTACCCGAGGGCGGCACCCGGGGCGGCGCCGTGGTTGGCCGTGTTCTGCTCCTCGAAGTAGCGCCGCGCCGCGTGGAAGCCGCCGAACTGGACCGACACGCAGGCGCCGATGCCGATCAGCGGTGTTAGGGTGCCCTTGTAGAAGGCTGCTGGGCCCTCGTTCTTGAGGATCGAGGTTGCTGTTGCCAGGGCTGATGTGTTTGTGGTGGATGTTTGCAGGCGGACCTTCACTATGTCGAAGGGTTGGCCTGAAGGGTGTTTTGTTAGTCAATTGATCGGTGTGTACAGAATATTGACGTGGTTTAAGACAGATAGCCATGATCTCGAATGCCTCAAGTCGGGTTGAAAGCTGGGCACTGGCCCGATCCCCTCCCTCCCTGTGCTTCTCTCATCTAGGCGAGGTGCAGCTGCAGCTGCAGCTGCAGGTACATGCGCAATGTGACGGACGCCATTGAGCCTCGTCTCCCAGCTTCATCGTCCAGGGAACCTTACCCAGTAGTACCTGTGCAACACCACCAGCCGCTCCGGAGAACAGGTCCTTCGCCGTCTGCTTCGCGCCGCCCTGTTGGTGAGGATGAGCCTCCAGGTCCGCGGCAGAGTCAGCCATCTTGAGTTGAGCGCCCGCCTGCGGCTTGCTGCTGTCCCACCCCCACGCTATCGGCAATCTTGTCGGCCTGGGGTGCTGTAGATGGGCTCTCCCGTAACGTTCGGACAAGGCAGGCGTCGGGCGTCAGGCGACGGAGGTGGCAAGGTTAAAATTGGCGATTGGTAGAAGAGGCAGTATGTGAGAGCAGAAAGATCAGTGCAAGATAAGTAGAGTGAGTAGGTCGTCCAAATAATTCGGGTCAGCCACACACACAGCTGAACGCCGACACCGGTGCCGGGGGACCCCCCGGCACCTGCAAGTAGGGACCTGAGTGCTTGTCCCCACTGCACATGGCCGCCGAGTATGGCGTGCTTACGGAATTCCATTGCAGCAGCCTTCATTGGCACCGAGACTGCGCCCCAGGAGCCTTGATTCAGCTGCCTGTGGAAACCTCAAACGAGGTCTAACCTCTACATTTTCATTTTGAGAATGGAGAAGATATGAATTGCGCTCTCCACGATCAGAGATTGTCATCTCTCTCCGGCATGGGAATCCACAAACGACTTGCTTCCACAACTGCATGCTCTCGTCCCACAGGTACAAGTCAGCCCTGCTTGACCCAGAAAGTGAGCGCTGCTAGAGCCATTGCATCAGTCCCCGCCTGCAAAGCAGATTGGAATCCCGGGGCAATGAATGGTGAATGATTTGCCGGCCCAGCACCCTCCTCCGTATCATCGCTGCCACCGAAGTTCCAGTATGAACAAGGCACCCCCGTGTGTCGCGCCCAGCGTGGCGAAGTCCTCGCACGTCCGCGTGAACCTCATCTCAACGGCACGCGCTCCGAAATGAGCCCAAAAGCCTGGCCAATGGCCCCTGCTATACACCGGTCATCCTCGATGAGCGGCGTGCGGGTGGAAAACTTGGTGACCGGTGGCTGCGGTGTGCTCGCTGCCTCGCACTCGTTCCGGATGCGCTTCTCGATGACGGCCAGGGTCCACTCCCGAATGCTCGGCTTAATCGTCTTGGTGTCAAGCATCAAGTCCGCGTAGGCGACGTAGTCGTTGCCTAGGATACTCGCATGGAAACCTCAGCAAGCGACGGTGGCCTCCTCGTCTAGGCCTACGTCGTCGTGCGGCGTCCTCGAGACGGGGGATGGCCTGTGTGGCAACGGCCATCGGGTCGACGCATGCGTGTGGGTTGAGACCGGGGCAAGGCCCGCCTGTTATGCGAACGTTCGCTCAGTCCGCGGCAACGAGGAATAGCCTCCGGCGTATAGCCACCTTCCCGGCTGCCAAGGGGACGAGGTGCTGCCCGAGCATGATATCCGGGACGGGAAACTTGCTGTGCGGTCCGTTAATATGACCTGTGTTTATTAAGCTATCTCTACTCTCATATCTGAGTGTTCCGGACCAGTGTCAACATCAGCCTGCGGCAGTCATCCAGCCTCATACACATCGTCTTGTAGGTTCCAGCGAAATAGTCGAAATTTCAACGCGGTCACCTTGGTGAGTCGAAGATTGAGCATTTGCAACACAATGCCTCTTGCGACTGGCAGCGGACTGCGCCCTGTTCTCGTCACCAGATTCCCCTGCATGCCTGGGTTTCTCGGCCGCCGAGATCTCCGTACCTCCTTCCATAGGCAAACCTCGATCTGGTTTGGAGCTTGCTTATAGTTGGCACATCTGCGATCAGGTCGGCCAGATGACAATCATGTCAATGGGCGCGCACCGTCTACAGTGTATGAATACTCTGCCAGCGGCCTGACGCGAGAAGTGGCCCACAAACCTGACCGAGCCTTGAGCTTCTTTTGGTATTTGAGATCTTGACCAGGTAGCAGGAGTAGCGCAGAGGTATCTGAGCTGCAATGGCAGCCAGAGGAAGCCGGAAGCGGCCAGGCGCCAAAGATTATCGTCCTTGTCGCGTGTCCACGCGCGGTTGACCTGACGGGATTCTCACGAAGTGTCTTCGGCTGTCGCAGACCGGACAAGAAGATTGTTCTGCGAACTGCTTCTGGCCTTCTTGGAAAGTTTGCGAGAGCCAGAGTTGCTGCTGGCTTCTGTTCCTCTCTTCTTGGCCTTCGTGGGAGGGTTAGAAGGGCCAAGGTTGCTGGAAATCGGGACTTTGACCGGTGCTTCGTCGTCACGTGTCGGACCTTTGTCTGCAATGGCTCAGTAACTCCCTTACCATTTGTGCTAGTATGTGGGCATGGCACTTGCCCGGGATGAAAAATTATGAACCCTACCTTTTCTAATTTGGGTGAAGGGGGAGGCGGTGGTGTCATTGTTGGATAGCATACCTTTAGACGGTCGGCATGATTCGACTCGTCTGACCCAGAAGGACTTGCAGGCCTTTTCCGAGCGCCTGAAAGGGTCGGGCAGCTGAGCCGCAATATATTTGAAGTCAATGTCCTCCAATTTATTGAAGCCCTTGGTTAGGTTGGTAAGTATCTCAATCTCTCGGGGAGACCACAACTGTGTACGATGCTCTTTCGCGGGCCGAATCTTGCGTCGCGACACTGATGCCCCGGCCACCTCCGACTGTCCTGGCCGTTCGGAATATGGAAGCCGCGAAGACGATGTTGGAGTCTGCTCTTCTTGCTGAAGCGCAGATTTGGTCAGGACGGGAACCATATTCCTCTTCTTCCATTTCTTCAACCCATTCGAGCCCGGTCTGCTTTCATTGTCGCTGGACTCGTCTTCATCGTCATCATATTCCATGAATGAGCCTGAATGCTTTTCATCATGTGTCTCGAGATCCGGATCTTCCATGAGATCTTTAACTTTGGCGTCACCGACTTGTGTTTGTCCCCTTGTCCCTTTCCACTCGTCCCATATGTCTCTCGTCCTCATGTTCAACCACTTGGCCTTAATAGCTGCGGTAGTCCGGCGGGGAAAGAATTCCTTTAGATTCATGGTGGCTTGGCGGCTGTATCTGAGATGTCCATCGATCTGCAGCTGCGTCGCCATCGTCTCTCGGATCACGGCCTCTTCCTCTTCTGACCAAGGTCCATTTGGTGGCCTACCTGATCCTGGCCTCTTTGAAACGTCTCGTTCATCCTGCTTCGATGGCCGACCCGGCCCTTGTTCCTCCCGTGAGTCCGAGCTTCCGGCTTGGTCTTCTTCAGCCCAGTCCGGCGACGGTGAGAAGCTGTTTCGACCTCTCTCCCTCTCTCTTACCTGGAAAGCCCCAGTTGAGTCGCCACATGACAGAGAGCCTCCGTTCAAAGACGACAGCTCGCTCTCCTTAGAGGAGCTACGTGAGCTGCTTTTCCATGGTCCCAATCCATTTTTCTCATCATCAGAGTGAGTCTGTAGAGCTCGAGATGGTCGACGTTCCTCGGGAGCGTTGGCCAATAGCGAATTGGAATCATCTTTGACGAAGACCTCGTGCACTGGAGAAAGTAGTGGGTATGGTGTCAGTCGCGTCTCACATAAAAGTGACAGCTCCTCGTGGTTTTCATGGTAGCATTCAACTGTCATTTCTGTTGGTGGCGCGCAGGAGGGAGGCGGGCATGATTCTCACAGTCTTTCCACGCATGATGCGACAGGGAATTGAACACCTTAACGCTCTCAGCTTTGTAACTGAAGCTTATCCCACCATGCGAAAATTTACAATTTCCAAATTCCATGTTGGAGCAAACGTCTTCGTCTTTCGCCAGTGTCTCACACACTTTAGCGCGATCCTTGGCCGGCAACTCCTCCAGTCGTTCCCGATACCGTTGGATGGCACCCTCTCTCAGCTGTCCAGCAGTGGCGATAAACGCCTCAAAATACCGGCAAATGAGTGTATCGGCCTTCACACGCGTCTGTTGTATCTCGGCTTTCGTTTCTTGGATGATGGTATCGATATCTGGAAGCACCTGGGTTTGTCCCGGTGCCTCGTCTTGTGGGTCCGGGGTTGCATCCTCACGCTCGGGGTGCCCATCGGAATCGTAGTCAACCAGTGATCTCATGGCTTGTCGCGAGGAATTCGAATCGCCAGATTGCAGGAGCTTGAGCTTGAGCTTGCTTGAACGCTCGAGATCTGAAGCCATGGGTCTGTTCTTCCTTGGAAACCCCCAGGAAGCTACCAGTACGGTGCCATTAGAATCTAGTGAAGTTTCCCGGAGCCAGAGAAGCGGAGTGAGCGGAAAGCAGTGTTGTGGTGCGGCGTGCAGGAACGATGTCGGGGCACTTGAGTCTGCACAATGCACACACGTGGCACATGCGGAGTAAACTTGCTTTTTTCCTTCTGAAAAATGACAGGTGAATTACTGCACAATTCTTATCAGAGAAGCACGAAAGTAGGCTAGACATTTGTTAGAACCCGTGAAATACTGAGTGTCATTGGGTTTTCCTCTCTGTAAACAAAAGCATGCCTTTGTCCTGACGCGACGCGAACTCTCGCGTCTTGTAACCCCTATGCTGACCTTTCTAACGTTGCCACAGAAAGTACAGTCAAAACCAGGTCTAAGGACAACATTGAAAACATCGTGATTTGATCCAGCTAGGCCTCGTTCAGGTGCAGGCTCCCAAGATCATGGCGCAAGCAACCTCATCCCAGGGTCATTCTGGAACTTCCCGCCCGCGGCTAGACACTAGGGATGGGTATGAGACACTGAATCACTTAGTTACCGCGGCTGCCTACAAGACTGACTAATAATATCTGGTGCATTAGGTTTGCTGCCATCGACTTTGGTAGCACGTCGACTCGAGCATATCTGATGACGGTCAACAAGAAGAATAAGGAGCAGAGAAATGGCTACCGCGTGCAGAATACAGGCGTGGATGACTACAAAACCAAGCGTTTTCTGCGAGGGGAGTGGCCTTCCAAGGGCTGTCCCTTCGATGCCCCTTATCCCGTCGGTCACGATGCAACGGACAAAGAGCACGCTGACAAGCGCGACCGCTCGCTAAAGAGCTTCGTGTGGTTCCTAGCTGACGACGACGACCAGCATCCCTACACAAGAGACCTGAAGACCTACTATGACTTGCTTCCCGAGGATCAGAAGGCCAAATTCCGGAAAAGGCTGATCAACATGCTCGTGAGACATCTCGCCATAGTGGCGGAGCAGATCTTCCGGGAAGCTGGGCTGCGCAGGACAACTATGCGGAGGCTGGTGTTCTGCGTCCCCAATGCTTGGGACAAGTCGAATTTCCAGAATGTCCTGCGGCCTGTAATGGACAAGGTCGCGGGAGTCGTCGAGACGTACTGCGTGTTTGAATCGGAAGCGCTTGCGCAGTTTATCCTACATCAACATCCTTATCTATTGCCGAATTACGAATTCGTTCTTGTCTGTGACTTTGGTGGTCACTTCATGGTGAGTCCTAAATGGATGCAAGGGAGGTCAAACAGAATAATAAACAAGGCTGACGTCGAGTCCGTGTCAGGGCGGGAGTCTCTTCCAGTTCTGCAGGGACAGTGATGACGACGCCCATCCCGCCTTCTTCTCCCTACCTCAAGGCAACTTTGGCATTCGTGGGGGCTCTCAACTCTGGGAAGACCATATTCGCCCGTACATTGATGACCATCTGGCCACATTGAGTCTCCCTGCGGATAGGGAAAGTGTACTTCGAGCCAAGTTCCTGGATGCCTTCTTCATTGGCAAGGCCGAGGTGGACGCATCTGTATGTCCTTGCCTACAGGTTTCAAGAAAGAGCAAGGATCCACCCCTGGGATGAGCGATTTTAGTCCTTTCGAGACGTACTGACTGCATTCCTAGTTCTACGAAAGCAACATGCCCATGCGTCTGGTTGTCTCCATTACAGACGTGTTCCCTGATGATACCAACTTGTATCCCTTATCCCTCAAGCCAGCAGATATATCGCAAGCATGGCAGTCCGGGTTCAGGACTGCCGTCGATCTGGCACTCGGAAAGATCCGGTTGCTTCCGGCATCTTCCCGGGGCAGAACTGTTGTCATCCTCTCCGGGGGAAGCATGTTGAACTATCAAGCCAGAACCGAGATTCAGCAAGCGTGCAAAGGGTACGGAATAGATTGCCGGATCATGGGCGTGGACTTCAATCCTGAGTCATGGTAAGCACATCCGTTGAGCCGAGTGTCTGCCCGTCAATTAATAGTATATGGGCCAGCAAGTGGATGGTCTGTGAAGGTGCCGCCACGGCCGAGGCCTGCGCCGCGAGCCCCCGGGAGTTCTTCAAGCGGGGCGCAGCTCTTGCAGTCCAGTCGTACACTATAAATGGCATCTACGAAAGCAAGGCGAAGGTCCTTTTCCGCGGGGGTCGACAAGCGCCTGCATACTCGAAGGACTCCCACTCGCCAGGTCAGCTGGGGCAGGTCGAGGACGACCGCTGCAGCCCTGTCGAGATTGAAATGAGAGAGTACGCACACGAAACTGCCAGGCTTGTCTGCGATCCGCTTTATTGGCGGCACTGCCACCGGTATCCACGAGACTACATCAGCATCTACTCGGACGATGCCGCCGCCGCGGAAAACAACTGCTACGACGTCTGGGATATCAGCCGGCATTTCGAGGTAACGCGGATGGACGGCACGCATCACAGAATGCTGATACGTCCCGGCAAATACGTCCTTGAAGTTGGAGGCATTGAGTACTATCAAAGCGGCGTTGACGCCACTCTCAACCTGCGCATGACACGGCAGGCCACCACGGCGGCTAGGGCGAGGAAGAGCGTCCGGGCCTGCACCATGTCAACAGGCCAAGATATCTACACGTTCGAGGTACCGCTCACGGCCTGTGGGCCGAGCAACCTCGTCCAACTGGACCTCGACAAGGTCAAAACTAGGTTGTGGAAGCCCCTACAAGTGCGCACCGAACTCCCACAGTCAGTCGCGGAGCCGGAGTCAGAGTCAGCAGGTGAGCTCCGACCGGCCGGCAAGCGACAGCGGACTGTGGGCCCTTCCGTTGAGGAGCTGTACAATTTCGGCCGGGTTGTTGTCCCCGCGGATCTCTTCGCAAAGTCTCGCCAGCAGGGGAGCGAGGGCGTCGCCGGCGACTCTCTCGAAGCTTCGGATCCGAACATGTCCTTCGACATACCCGGAAGATCCCCATCCGTGACTGGAACTCCGATCCGGACTGCTCGATCGCACCGTCATAACGGCCGCCCTAGGTCTGGTGGCAGACGGCATTTGCCCGTCAGGCCACCAAAAGGAGAGACGCGTGGTCGTCTTTCCGAGATGAACAACGCGTATGGTTCTACCGACTCGGACTCGGATTCAGACTCAAATTCAGACTCATCTGACATTCCTGACAATTCGGTCAACTTCTAGGCGTTTCAAGTAGGAACTCGGAAGTAATCTGTCTTTGGCCCTGGTTTCACATTGGGGCAAGAATATCAGCGTCTAGGCCAGCCAAACCAACCCCACCCCCGGTCGAGGCACTTTTGTACAAATTGACCGTGGTCCACAGGAGGGTTAAAAAGAGGTCATATTATATCATCTCGCCTGAGACTAGCTAGCTGAAATCAGTCTGGCCACCTTGATATGGCCTTGATCTGATATCGCACAGGAACACTCGGTAGAGGGTTTTGTTCTTTTCTTTTCTTTTTTCCTTCAATCCAATCACAAGAGCGGACAGCATTGAGCACTGAAATTATGGTTGAACAAAAGAAAAATTTGCCCAGCACTTCGCCGCTGGCAGTGAAAGTCTGGAAAAAAATCAAGGGATCCATTTTGTTTCTTACTGGTTGTACCAAGTCTGTTCTTGCTTTGATTGTGTGTTTAAGTACCGCTAGCTAAGCCCCCATTCAAAACGCTGCCATTACAGGCATCCTGGCCTTACGAGGTTGGCCATTAGGCTGCGTTACTCCTGGCTAGGTGGTTGAGGCTTACACTATTAAATGTACTGTGGCCCACGTTCCTACTTGGGAAGTCTCAGCTCGAGGACCGGACCCTATTAATTTGCATTTTCGCCTATCCTGTGCCAGGATTCTCACCAATTTCGTATGTATTTTGGTGAGAAGTTTGGCCCCGGATAATTGGACAGCCACTGGAGAACACCCAAGACGAGTTGCTAGCGTACCAGCTGGTATTATTGAGACACAGATTTAGCCACAGGAGCATGTTGGAAAGTCCCTGTGCTTTAAACCTTCCTGGAGGATTGACAGCGGGTGCTCGGGGCCAACAGAGCGCTATTCTAAGAGCCGTCGAGTCAAGCGAGCCTGGCTGAGGTTACGGGTTGCCGGCCTCACCTCTAGTCAAGGAGATGAGAATAAGGAGCAGGCAAGGGTAGCAGACGACACCAATTATTCCCACAGCCATGCGCCCAGTGGCCAGAGACCAACATCTCTACTCTTGAGAAGGCATTTGAAGAAAACTCGCTGAAGCGTGGTTCCAATCAGGCACCAAAACCCCTGAGACCGCTCTTCTTGGAGCGTGAGAGCCATTCTGCACTCATCAATTCGTATAGTCAGGTGATTGTGGTGACGAGAAACGGCCTGTGGAATTTTGGCTACGACCGCACCCATCCTCAGGGACATTCTGATATTTGCTGGCCGATTCAGAGATAGTGGAGGCCCAGCTCGTGTGGAGTGGCTCGGAGCTCTCTGAGTCAAACAAAGCCCAGATATAAGCCACCACACCGCCATTTCAAGCACATACGGCCATAGATATAGGAAAATACGGGATCCCGTCCGCTCTCCCATAGTCAAGTCTATAATCGATAGACTTGTCGTCGTCGCCGTCTGGGCCCCCGTCCCGCCGTCTACGGAGGACAGCCGGCCGCGCCACGCCCGGCCTCCTGGGTCTGCCCACCGTTTTCCAACCGTACGCAGTGACGCCAGTCCTGCCCGTCTACTCAGGTCTGGCTGCGCCTACCTGGCTGTTCCTGTGCTATTCGAACGCCCCCTCCATTGCGGCGGCCTCGCCTTCTGGTCTGCTTCTGCCCTCGTGTGTCCATCGCGGCCTTTGCGCCCGGGCTGCCCGCGGCCCATGTTGTTGGATTGCCGGCCCCTCCTCGTCAGCTCAAGGGGCGCAGCAGGTCCAACAGCTGACGTCCAACTAGCTCGGCTCCGTTTTCTTTTCGTTTCCTTATTTTTGCTTGTTAAGACTGCGGTTTTCTACATGTTGTAAATAAACTTACCTGCTATCTATCCATGTTCACACATATCCTAGTGCTCACCAGAATGGTTTAACAGAGCCTCCAGCACTGAAAAGGAGATAGGAATACTAAAAGCTCCATCCCAATCGCAAGTCCGTGACATGAACGCCTTCGCCTGTGAGCAAGTTGTGGCCTTCCAAGCTCGGATACGGCGGCTGCGTCGTCGCGCACCTTCGGGGGTCCCTCACACCTCGCCAGGTAATAGAAGTAGACATAGTCATCCGCACTCGGCACAGGACATCCATCTCAAGGCACAAGTGCTAGGGTTCACAACTCGGGTTGGCTCTGCCATGCAACCCACGCCATTTCAGACACACCATGCTCACATCATGGGACAATCTACGTCGAGGCGTCCTTGCCTATGCGTTCTCGTCACTGCCTTGACCTCTGGCAAACCCTGTCAACTCAGCGCGTATGCACAAATGGCACGATGACCTCGCGATGGTGCCTAGATTCACTCTTTGACCCTGTCATGTAACCCGCACCATATAGGACACCCTGCATTCACCTATCATGAGGCACTTGATGTTGGGTCGTTTGGCCATGTGGCCTTGTACTGTGGTCTACCCTGGAAATAAAATCCCCCTACCAAGTTGAAGTGGAGCCAGAGTGGAGGAAAAAGTTGCTTGCAATGATTGAGAGGGAAAAGGTACTTGCTGAATAAGCGTGCTGCAAGAAGCATGGACCATAGGTACAAAGCAGGGGGGTAATAATTACGCTTGGTACCACAGTAAATGCCTCGCCCTCCGGCAAACCTTGTCGATCCAGCGCGTATACACGAACGGCACGATGGTGCCTTCATTCAGCCGTTGACCTTGTGGGTGGCCCAGGCTAATCGTCGCATCGCGGCGCAGTATACACTCGGCCCAAAATTATAGGCTGGTATTTCCGGAAATTACGCCTTGCTAGACTTATGGTACTGATTCTGCCTCATGGTAGCCTGCTTTCGTCGCGTCCAACGGAAGGATGCCTAGAACTATCCCCGAGGACTGCTCGTCAGTGGCTGTGGATGGCCCTTACGCGGCCTCCTGACGTCTCACACAATGATATAGTGTGAAATGTAGATGGCGGCTACTACAACAACATGAGTGGCTGCTGGTGCTCTGTCAAGACGGCCAAGAACTATGCATATCTGCCTGCCAAGCCGCAGGGGTATCCTAGATTGGTGATCTCAATGGTAAACAGTGACTCGACGACGCCACTGCACCAGTGGCAGGATCTCTGTCGCTATTATGAAAAGGACCAACCCCCCCCCCCCCAACTTACCAGTCTGGCTGTGATAATTTCATAGCTCCTCTCTACTGCCTGAATTTACTACCTAACCTATTCTCAGACCGAACCAATCTTTTTGCAACCCGTCATGCCTAGCAAGACTCTCCAAGACAGTCTATATGAGTCCTTGGGGAAACCATTTTGGAAGAACCCTGAAGACACCCCAGATTCTTCAAATGTTCGGCAGGTACACACTATCAATACCATTCATAGCTGGATTAAAGAACCAAAAGAACATTACAGCCATTTCATAGAACAACACAATCGAGAGACGAAAAACTTCCATCTACCGGACAATTATGTTAACAAGAGATTCACAGATATCTGCATATACTTCAGTATCTCGATGCTATGGACCCCCCTATCTTCCGAGTGCATTAGAGGATGGAACACATAAGGAGCACCTTAAAGAGGTCACTAGACAGTTTACGGATAGGCTTTGGAGCAGCAACCTCGATTGGCTGGACTTCTTTTCAGAGCTAATCAGTAAGGTGCTTTCGAGTGAAGACGGACGGCTTATCGAATTTATTCGGCCAGTTTGTAAACTCACCTACTCTGCAACACTTGACCAGCACAGACGCTGCGAGCCTGGAAATCTAGTTCCGGTGGCTGGAAGAAGTCTCTATGGCGACGGTTTCTGTTATAATGGTTTCTATGGGTACTCATCTTGATCATTGTCTTTGTATACTTCAAGGGTAAATAGTTCCTCTTCATCAATATGACAGTTTTCGTTCTTAATCCATATGGATCCTGAAGACGTACAGGGCCCCTTCATATAGCAGTAAATGCTCTAAGACGCAGCTCTTTTTTTTTGGGGGGGGGGGGTGTTCAATCAGGTCACGGGTGCTGGGTGATCTTTCGAGTAGAATCAACCTGTTTACTATCGCACCTTCAGCGGCGCCGTCGGGAGCGATTCTTCCTAGCCTTGTCTGTGCGGCACGAGGCTGAGGCCACGTGCCAGGACAGACGTACTGTATTCTCTCCGTACTGTTATTGGCAATTCTTTTTTGAAACAAGAACGCTGGGTCTTGAGTGTTTACCACTGTATGAAGGCGCTGTGTATGGCTTCTCATTATCACTCTTACTGCTAAAATCTAGCTCCAAGGCCACAAAAGCGCTATCAACAATGAACTTGTAATAGCTGTGGTGTGTAAAGGCGGTGCCCTTGATGTTGACCCCGGAGCGATCCACTCAGTATGCCGTCATACTGGCTCATAACCGCCAGCGCGCGTACCGCGCGCTTGCTAGCAAAATTCAAGACAAGATATCCTTGTCGCATGACCTTCGCGTTAATCAGACAGACCGTGACTTCTTGGCCATGTCTATCTCGGCAGCGTGAGGTTCCCCGCGGCTCAAAGGCACTGGGTTTCACCACTCGCCCAATCGGCATGTTAAGGCGCCGCCGCAATGATCCGAGCAGGTGCGTTGGAATCAGCGTGCTCGCAAAAGGTTGTGATGTGTACTAGTAGACGAAACTTGTGTGATTGCTGGTAGCCAGTGATCTTAAGAAGTATTCCCGAGAGTATGTGATTACTGGCAATTAGCTATGTCCATTATTGCAAATTCCATGAAACCTTCGTTTGCTGGTAGGTGGGTACCTCAAATGCCGCCATGCTTGTAAGCCACGGCCACGACCAGCTCCAATTGAGGGAGGTTGCCACTCCAAAAGCCTGATCTGCCAGCAGACCAGTTTGTGCATCTTCTGTTGTCCAGATGGACGAAGCCAGATTACTAGTAACAGTGTTTTCCACCCAGGTTATTTCAGAGCGGGTGGACACAAGCCATCTCTGTCTTCTTAAGTCTTAGTGGTTCAAGTCATTTTCGTTTTAGAAGTTGTGTTCGAGATGTAAGGCGCTTGCCGTATTCGTACCTAAGGTAGGCGGTTACTGAGAGGGGGATCAAGCGCGAGTGGAGCGTCTGCTCATGATCAGATGGCAGAAAGCACTGCTGTAATCGGGAGTTGCGAAGGCCAGAGTCTTGCCCTGCCCCCCAGCATGGTTCTTCTGAAGGAGCTGCCTAGGAACTCCGGAGCAAAGCCTCCTCTCCGAGCCACTGTGACTTCTCAGGAGGCACTCAAAGTGCCTTCTCAGTTAACCAGGTAGAGAGTATCATGACCTCACAGGAATGGCAACTGGGTATCTCGTGCACAACTTGTTCCCGACGACATTGCTCCAGCACAGCCCATTAGTTCCTCTTGGCATATGTATCAGCAAGAGAACATACGTGTAAATATATATTTACAACTTCATGGAGCGTAGTTCTCGAATAGGTTGGACAATATTGAGTGGTAGACAAGTACATCGATCGGATTCCTGCATGTCCCTCCCCAGTGTGCCTTCCACCACTGGCACACTTGCCTTGCTCCACCCCGAACACAACGCCTTCCTGAACGTTCAACACCCACGTTCCTTCCTTAGAGGTAGATGGAAGCAAGTGTTCAGTGCAATGGAGAACAACACTGAGATCTGGCGTCCGGATCCCGAGAACCCCCTTTTTTCCTTTCCTCTTCACCGCGAACACCTAGAACCCCCTTTTCTTTTCGTTTTTTGGATAGCGATGGAGCCCTCTTTTGGACAGCGCTTCATCATTATCAGCATAAAATATGCCCTCCGCCCATTCACTGTCAGTATACAACTGCTGCACTCTCTCGATTCGCTCCGAACCCATGTGCTGACCACTTTGTTCCAGGCCGGCGTCGCGGCGGCACTGGACTTGCTGTTAGATCGGATTATTGCGCGGACGTTCGACAACCTCCTGCAAGATATTGCGGGAGAGTTTGTCGGAGCTGCAAGCAGGAGGCTCCTCAGAGCCTTCGTGGATGATGCGCAATTTTCCCGACTTCAGCAACGTTTGGCCGATCCTGTTATAGATTGGTTCCGACGGGTATTCTCCGATCCTTCGCAAGAAGGTGACGGGAATGTCCCCGAGTAGCCTCTCTATTTCAGACTAAGATCGGGTGATTGGGTCGCCTTTCGACAACTCAGGGATCCGAGTGAGGGCACGGCTCTCCCTGACGACAATCCGGGGCACTGCGGTGCTGGCCAGCCCGCCCCGGGCCCCACTTCCGGCGGATTTGGTCTTGCTTCCGCCTCTGTTGTTGCGTTGAAGTATACACGGCCATCCAGATGCCTGGCAGCAACGGCTTGAGTCAGTCTTTCATCGCCATCATCTTCTCCGCCAGCATCTCTGCCAGCAGCACTCTCTGCCAGCAGCACTCTCTGCCAGAATCACTCTCTGCCAGCAGCACTCTCTGCCAGCCAGTGTCTCTCAACCGGTACCGGCATCTCGCATAGCCACAGCTACTCAGAGCCAGCACCTCTGAGTTGGCGCCAGCATCCCCCAGCTAGCAACTTGGCCATCATCACTCTTGGGTCATCACCACTCTCGGCCATCATATCTTCCGGTCAGTTTCTTAGAGCCAGCATCTCAGAGTTAGCCAGCACCTCTCGGCCAGCACCACTGTCGGCAAGCACATATCTCAGCTAGCATTGCGCTCGGCCAGCATTGCTTTTACGGCCAGCACCGGTCAGCCTCTCTTGTTCCCGACTAGCATCTCAGCATCTATAAGCCAGCATCTCTGAGCTAGCATCTCTGAGCCAGCATCTTTCGCGGCTAGCATACTCTTTGCCAGCATCTCTGAGCAAGCATCTCTCGCGGCCAGCATCTCTCGCCGTGCTCCTCCGCGGGATTCGGCTCTCGCCCGTGGCTTGAAGGGCCAAGGATCGGGCATCTGTACATGTCAACAACGTCGTCATGTGAATGACTGCAAGAGCTTTCAAGAGAGACAGCGAAGGGATACGTGGTGCGAAGACGGGGAGGACGACATGCGTTGACGGTCGGAAGGTCTGACTCAGGTCCCTTCATGACCATGATCTCAGTGGTGACATGCTCTGCCACGGTGAGACCACGCCGACTCGTCCGTGGCTCGCCAGGTCCAATGCGGGCACGGGTGAGCCAGGAAGGATTCCCGATGAGAACGAGCCGATGAGCAGCACGGACCAGTGCATGGTGGACTCGCCAGCTCAAGCGCCTACGAGCTTGGATCCGGAGATGTGAGGAAAGGAGAATTTTTGGGGCGGAGGACTAGGGTTGTCTGATTGGTGTATGGGCATGAGCCTGCTTGACTTGGGACTGCTTGTCACGGCAAGGATGATGGTCATCGTAGGAATAGGTGAAAACGGACACCGCATATGAGCCATGAGGAGCTTCACCCGGGTACCCAACACGAGGCCGTTGGATGTCTTCTGAAGAAAGACACCTGGTATAACTGGGTGGCCAGTGGGGTGGGCAAAGGGGCCCCACTTCCGGCGGATGTGTTGTGTGGGCAGATTGTTTTTTTGAGAAGCAGTAGGCCTTGCTTGGGATGAAGCTTTTGAGTACTAAGCGAATTTTACTTCAGCTTTGGAATCACTCAGCAAAGGACACCATCGGCCATACGAGTGCGCAGATGGTGCATGCAAAATGTGGCGGTTTGTAGCTGATTGGAGGCGTGCAGAATAAAGCCAAGCACTCAGGCCCCTACCCGCGTTCTGTTTCGCTCAGGTCTGCCTTGCCTAGTCGTTTGATTTGCCATTTCTTTGATCAGTTCCAAGCCCAGCCCGCAAGGTCTTCGAAGCCATCTGTTGCGACTTTCCCTGCCTCATGCAGTGAGTCGCAAGATGGCATACAAGCCTCGAAAGTGTTTCTTCCCTTGGCCAGCCTTTGAGACCTTGTGCTCTTGTCACAGATTCTTCACCCGGCCTGCCCTGGGTCCTATTCACTTGTTCTCATCCAGCGAAGGATCTGAAAGGCACTGTAGGCCAACAGGGCTATACCCCCTCCAAGAACAGCAGCGCCCAACGCATCCACAGCTCTATCCTCCAGCGTTGGGACGTAATTGAGATCCCTCATCCGACGCTCCCTGTCCTCCCATTTTGCCTCCCAATATGCGTCTTGAACCCTGTCCTGCTCTCTCTCACGTGCATATCTCTCATTTCGCTGACGTTGGCAGGACTGGCAGTAGCAACACTCCTGGCTCAGCCGATCACGCTTGTACCAACAGTGCCCAGGACAGCAGTATCGGTGGCAGTGGTCTGGTGGATTTTCGCCGTGGCAGCAGTCCCTTCGATATCTTGAACCACTGTAGCCTTGGCAGCATAGACGGCCGTCGTTTCCGGTCATCTTTGCTGAGAGTCGTGTTAATTCTCGGCGTTCCTTCTTCCCTTGTGTTGAATTTATGGTTGTGCTGCGAGTCGTCTGCTTGAAACCTTGTAATTCTTGAGGATGGCAATGGTCTTCCTGATAGATTACTCATAGAGCTCATGGAAGGCCATTTCGTAGCTACGTGGTGTTTGTTAAGAACAGTGTGGCATGAGGGAGGGGCCGGGACTTTTGGTGCAACCACTAACCTTAGGTAAGTACCTACCCGCCTGGGCACCTAACTACCTAGGTACATACCTAGGGAGCAATGCCTTACCTACTATTGCCACAACATTGAGTCCTCCAGAGTGAACCAATAATTTCTCACAGAGCTTTTACCAGAGAGATGAAGAGGAAGTTTTATAAGGATAAGTAATTCCTTATAGTAGTAATGTGGAATGGTGCCGTTGGTGCCGTGCAGCTGTTGCTGGCTAGCGATGGCTGGCAGTCACATGATCGGCACATGACCTTTGTCCATAGCCTCTTAGCCCATAGCTAGCTGCAGCCTTTACAGCTTCTTTCTTCCTTCCTTCTATAGACAACAATAAACCAACCATTAACCCCCTACATTGTATATTATATTTATTATAGAAAGTTATAAGTTATTTCACTTTATATTATTAAATTAGTAAGTAATTACCTAACAAAGTATATTTAATTTCCAATAATAAGCTAGTAGAGCCTGCTAAGTCTAGCGGCCCACATCTGGTCCACCCCCTCATATGGGCCACCCCTGCACACTATATATCCCCTTCTAACTCAACGGGTTAAATAGCTAATTTTAGGCAGATTTAAATATACATAGAAACTAACAATGGTAATATATAAATAATATTTTAAAAATTATATATATAATACTTTTATATATAATTAAATAAATATATTTTTATTATTTTATATATTTATTTAATATATAATAATAATAATAATAATAATAATAATAATTTATTTATGCTATTTTAAGCTATTATTAGCTAAAAACTATTTAATATGCAGTTTCTTTGCCAATTCACCTATAGGGAAAAACCATGCTAAATAGCTAAAAAAAACCCCTATGCCGCAACCTTTCCGCGATAATGCAGCTACCTATCCGCATTGCACTAAGTAATATAGGCTTTATACCCATATCTAAAAATCCTTAAAAAAGGAAATATTTCCTTTTACCTTATAACTCTTTTGCAAGGTTCTTAACTTACCTATTTACTATTTCCTAAATAGAAAGGCAATAAAAAACCATTTACATAAGTAGCAAAATTTAAGCTAGGGAGTATAAATAATTATAACCCCTTATTTATTTCTCTTCCTTCTTTCTTTAATAATATACCGTTTCCTAAGTAAGTCCTTAATTATTAATAACTTTACAAAGTACTTAAATATTTTATAATAGCATTACAACTCCTTTATAGCCTTTCCTTAATAATTCCTAGCTTTATATCCTTATTATAATCTTTACAACCTATTTATAACTTTTATCATATTAAATAATATTAAAGATATAGCTAAGGCCTTAAATTAATATCTTCGCCCTTATTTTATGATTTTTAGCAATCTTGCTAAGTTTCTTAATAAAATTAGCAATAATAATAATGATTTTTAAAAGGTTTTAATATCTTTTTAAAAGCATTACTATATTAATATTATAATTCTTAAAAAATTTAGCTTTAAGGGCATTACTTTAACTATTATAAAGAGCGTTATTAATAACTTTATTATAACCTTTTTTAAGGCCTTTAAAGCAATATTTATAAATATAATTAAGCTTAATTATATTTTAACTTATGCCTAAATTTTTAAAATATTAAAGCAAGTTTTTAATAAGTTTATTATAACCTTTAGCCATTTCCTCGCTATTATTGCTACTTAAGGTTATATTTTAAATAATATTTATTTTTATTATATTTATACTAAGCGCTATGCTAATTATAGCTATTTTATTACAACTCTTTATACCTAGGTTGTGGGTATATCTTTATAATCTTATTGCATTTCTTTTGCAATCTTACTATTAACTATTTAAATAAAAGGAAAAGCAAAGGGCTATTGCTAATATCGCAAGGGAAATTATTAAGGAAATTACATTATTATAAAATTCCTTTAATATCTCTTTACAACCCATCTTTAACTTTTCTGCAGATTTATGCTAAAGCTCCTACCCTTAAAATTAATGCAGCTTTCTTTAATATTATTCGCGCCTTATGCTTAACCTTTAAGACTAAAAGCTTTAATGGCGCTATTAACACTATAATCTTTATAAATATTCTTTGCTTTATTTTCGCAATCTTAATTAATATTCATAGCTAAATAACCACTACCATTCTTTCCTTAATAAGTACTTGCGTATAGTTAATAAGTTTAAATCCGGCAAGGCAAAGCCCGCGATCGCCGAGACATCTCGGGCCGCCATCCGCGAGCCCTCCGCGGCCTCCAAGAGTACTGATGGACCGTTATTTAATATATAAGCTTTTAGAATTAATATAGATTTAAATATAGATTTATAATATATAATATTTAAAAAATTATAAAAGGATTACTTAAAGAATTATTAATATTTAAACTTTAAAATTTTAAAATGTTAAGATTTATAAGGAATTCTTTAACATTTTATAACATTTATATTTATATATATAATTCTTTTAATTCTTTTATTATTAATATTATATAAATTAATTTAATTTTTAAATATTTTAATTAATATAAAAATAAATATATTTTAATTATATATAATTAAATAAGGTTTATATTTTAATATTTAA